ATGGGGCTGCTGCTGAGCATGGGAATTCCCATGAAAAGCGGCGTCCCTGTAAATGGGTCCTTGGCCACCTCCACCTGTCCCACTGTTGTTGCATTGAACCCCCACTGTTCGGCAACATCAATGTGTTTGAGTTGGGTTGGGTCAGTGTCCCTGGCAGCATCCTCAGCAGTGCCCCAGCCAATGACCTTGGCACAGCCCCAGTCAATGACATACACCTTGTTGTTTTTGACGCACACATTCCCTGGCGAGATGTCCCTGTGCAGGATACCAATGTCATTTGCCTGGGCAAGACACAGGGTCAGCTGGTCGACAAAGCCAGGAACCAGCTCATCTTTCTGATTGTCAGTCTTGACTTTCAGATACTCAGCCATTGACTGGCCGCAGTACTCCATGAGCACAAACTCCAGCCGGTATCCATTGAGGTTGCTGATGAGCAGACCCTTCGAAAAGATCCTGGGAATACCTTCGACTGGTCTCTTGTTGAGGATGGCATATGCGGCGCCCTCGGGCAAACGATTGACTGGGGTCCAGGAAAGCTTCAGCACAGCATCACGACCTTTGCAAGTCCCCTTGAGTAAATGGACATGGCGCCCAATCATGTATGAATAACGCGCTATTGTCTCCTTGATACAAAACAGAGCAGCGCCATCCTTGACATCCTTGACATCCTTGGAAACCGAGTATAAGACTTCGATCTTCGAATCGCCCTTGCCATTGTCATTGGCCTTGCCTTTGGGTGAAAAAATGAAAGAGTCAGATTCCTCCGAGACATCACAGAAATGCCCGAAAAGTTTCGACTCAAGAGTCAGCAGGAACCAGAGCTTTCTGAGGCTTGATTGGATATCTGCAATATAAGTATTTGATTGCGAAGTGCCGAAGCATAGCTGGCCGAGCTCGACGATGTACAGTTTGTCACGATAATATGCGTGAAGCGTCAGGATATGCCCATGGAGGTAGAAGACAGGCGCAAACGTGCGGGTTGCCTGTTGATCATTAAGCAAATGACCGTAATCTGCGAGCTGGCTGCGAGTATCCTCTATGGGTCCACCGAAATCTGGATCCATCTTAGCTTCGAGTATAGCATGAATGGAATGAGCGTTCTCTGCGTAGCCTTTGTAGTAAAACGCGATGTCTGGCTTGTGCGGAGTCTTTGGTATAACCCTATTCTGATGGTCACCCAGATTAAGCCTGCAGTCTGGGATTGGAGTTCTGCCTGCCGGAATAACCCTATTTGCGACACCAACCACATCGATCATCGCGTCGAAGAGGAGGATAAAATACCTGACCAAACGAGCTTCCTTAGCCAGCCCCATCAATTTCCCTGAGTGCTTTTCGAAAACGTCAGCAACGGGAAAATCGCCAGACTCCTCAATCGAGCGATCTGTATTGGCTACAATGCATTTGCCATCAGCCACTGGCGACCCCTTGGCTATGCCGAGGAAAAGATCAGGCCAATCCTTGATGAAGCGTTCATACCGCTCCTTCACACCCAGCGATTCGAGAAAGGCATTAAACGGATAGTTGCATCTTATGTTATCGCCAAGGCATTTCAGCAGCCGCTGACGGCGCCTATCGCGTACTTCGGGGGGCTCCGATTCCCCGGGTGGCAGTTCCTCCTTTTTTTGATTTCTCGAGGGCGTTTGGATAGTGCCGCCTGTCTTGCTGTTCTAATAAAAAATAAAACAAAATGTTTGAAAATAGTGATCGAATTAGTTTTATATGCACGCAAAATAAACAACAAACAATTCATCAGTATCATAATAATCTGTTTATATTCAAAAGTACTTACGCCTGTTTGATTCGGCGGAGTCTTATTCAGAGGAGCTAGCTCAGACATCATTGAGAGAGAGAGCGTGTGTGTGATAAGCACTGAGGTATGGTAAAAGTAATAAAAAGTGAAGAAAAAACAAATTGAACGAAATGGTGCGAATTGGAAAAAAAGCAAATATTAAAAGTAGAAGGTGGAAAGTTGCAAAGGTGAAAATTTGTTGCGATAGATTGCGCAAAAAAATGAATAATATTTTTATTATAAACAATAAGCTTTCGAGCTAATTTTAGTGCTTGCATTTGGTTGGCTGAAATATGGAAACAAGAAATAATTATATTTACGGATTAATTTCCAATCGGCATTGTTCTTTTTCCTTGCGCATTGATTTTGAGCTTTTATTGCTTCTTTTTGGAGCATGGAGACCCCACCATTCACTGCTGTAAAAAAACAAGCTTCTCCAACGCATATACTGAACCAGAGATGCGTCTATGCTTCGTCGCATGGCTGTCAGACCAATTGAGACACAGAGCCACATATTTCATGTGTCCACGACGGGAGCATAAAATTATGAGCACGAGAGAGCTTCCACTGGGATCTTTAAGACCCAGCTGCAAGATCACTTGGCTGAAACGGTTAACTCCAGGTGCATCCGGCACCAACATATTACATATTGGAGGAACTCAAAAAGTGTGTGGATGCCCACTATTAGGACAAAAAAGCTGGAACCTGGATATGAGGCGCGGCTGGCAGGAGCTGACAGAGGACATTTGTCATTTTATCAAAACAAAATTTAAAACCTCTATTATAATTAGTCACTCACAAGGGGCATTTTTTGGTACGCTTTTGGTGTTTTCTAATTTTTCATTTAATTCGTTTCAAAATAATATTCAATTTTAATTCAAAAATCTGGGCTTTCGCTATAAATGTCTGGAAATTTCAAAATCCATTTTCACTAGTGTGTTGTGTAAACTAAAAAAATCCAGGAACAATGAAGTTTGGTGCTTCCAATTCATTTGTTTTAATTCTTGCAGTTGCCAGACAAAACCCAGTGAACTGCCACTTTTCTGGGAATATTGCAGTACCACTTGGTGTCTTTTGCGCCGAATGAAGCTGTGGCAAGTTTGAAAAAATCACTGAGAAGACTATCGGACTGAACCTGCAAGTGCTCGCTAAAGTCAGTTGCGTTCTGGTAGCTGCTGATCAAGTCGGGTCTGTGGATAGAATTGCTGGCAAAAAACGGCAGGGACTTGGCAACTTTGTTGCTGGTGCTGAATTTGTAGCCCTCGGCCAGGTTGCTCCATTCGGGAATTGTGGCACCGCCGTGTGTTAGTGGCTCACTGCTAAGATCAATGAGGATGTCCCATCCAGAGACGGCCTTGTAGAAACCGTCGACGCTCTTAAAACTTGCCATGTCACCAGAGTGAACGTTCAATCCAGCATCAGCTAGGCCCTGAGCCACTCACTCACTGCTGTGGCTGGTCAATGGTCCAGCCAGTCACAGTGCCATTGGCGACTTTGTTATAGTGAGCAAAGCCAACTGTTCTCTTGCTTCCATTTGCAGCTGACCTTTTAACCGAGTTGTAGTAAGCCTCAATATGGTCAAAAATCCTATTGGCCTGTGCCTCCTTGTATCACCATGGCAAAAAGTAACTGGCTTTTTTCACCTCGTATAGAGTATTGTTTGTATCCAGACATTTTTATATTTATTAATGTGAGGTTAGAAATGAATGTGGCTAGTGGAAAATTATGACACGTTCTAACTCGTCTCCTCTTTCTTCTGTGCAGCTTTGGAAATATATCATTTATCACTTAAAACTTAAAAATGACTTTAATTAATGATATCTGCCTAAAAACAGTCCAAATATCGAATATCGTTTTTTATTAGAGGGAAAATGCCGTTGGATATTCACCAAAATTTACACTAGCATTGCGGCACAGGCGCACTTTCTATATCAACAGTTAGAAGGTGGGTTAGCAGGTTTTGTCGCGGACATATGTGTATTGAAAATGAGCCTCGAGGCGGCCGTCCGAAACTCGAAATTGCACAACTCCATGGCGCCGCTATTCGCAAGACAATCGACCAATTTCCATGTACAAAGGCTGATAATTTAGCTGAGCACTACGATTGTTTGGTGACAGCAATGCGAAAGGCCTTGCATTGTGATATGGGCTATAGAATGGTGCATCAGCAATTGATCCCTCATTCCCTCACTGATGGGCTTAAGTCAGCGCGCATTGAGTTTTGCCAACAGCTCATCAGGGACTTTGCCGGCGCATCCAGAACAAATATATAACATTGTTACATGCGAAGAATCGTATGTCTAATTGAACACATCATTCTATGGCTCGGTAGTCAAGGCATATGTCATCGGAGATCAGATGCTACCCGCCCAGGTTCGTTCGCACTTTGGTCAAGGCAAATTTATTGATCTTGTCTTCTGAAAACCTGGTATTGTCCACGCCAACCTCAACATCAAACCGCACACTGTCAATAGTGAATACTTTGTCAAGGATGGAATCGATCCCGTGGTTTCCAAGTGCAAAAATGCACAAGAATGCCAACCCCGACAGAATCGTGTATCACCAGGACAACGCACCACCTCACAAATCAGAATGTATGTTGGATCACATTTCACAGATTTGGATTAAACTATTTGAAACACCACTGTACTCACTAGATCTAGCACTTTGTGACTTTTGGTTTTCCCGCGCATCAAGAACAGGCTCAGAGGTCGCGATCTAAAGATCATTCGAGTGGTGAAAGGGGAATGGAAGTCCGAACTCGATTCCTTGACACGTGATGACTTCAGGGATTGTTTCAAGCAATGGTTTGAAAAGTGTCAGCGTGTAATTGAGCAAGGATGTCATTGTTTTTATAAATGATAAAATTCAGTAGTTTTATTCAAAAAGTAAAATAATTAGTGTCACCCTGATATATCGAGACGAGTGTTTATTGTGCTTTTCGATGTGCTTTTGAAATGTATCGTAATGTTCATTATCGAGAAATGTCATTGATAATACCGATATTATTATTATCATCAATAAAAGTTAAAGCAATTGTATTTGAACCGCTCGTTGACGTCTTCGTTCTGATGTCTTTTTTATACCTTTTTAGTAACAAATTCAAGCATACTACTAAATACCATGGTTGTAAAAATGTATTGTTTCAAGGCTGTTGAGTAAATCAAAAATAAAAATATTGAAGAAAAACAAGAGAAAAAGCGAAGGGCTGGAAACAAGGAACGCACATACATTTGTTCGCCGTCAATGTATGTATTCAGCAATACGGCATTTCAAGAATTTTCCTATGTTAAAAAGTAAGTCAGTCAAACTAATTGCAGAATATTTTTGAACATGCTTTCATTGTACAATGTACAATCTAAATGAAAATCATAAAAAAAAACTTTTTTTTAACTATCCTGGGTGCGGTATTTGGCCATCGACAGCTTAAATTCCGACCCAGAAATGGCCAATATGCGCTGCACCGCACCAATAATGTCAAAGTCGCCGACACTTGCGGCGACACCAAGGCAATCAATCAACTCGGGCCATAGTCGCGAGACAGCTGCCCGGAAAGGACGCGAATTATCAGTAGAATTGACCAGCAGCGCCATATGCGCCAAGATGACCAAAACCGACGGGCGCCAGGACAAGGCAACCACAGCGCTCCGCTTGACGTTGGTGTCCGAAACACCGCGTATAGTGCGCGATGATACCAGATGGATGATGCGATTGCGGCCCGAGCCCATGCCCGGGCTGCTACCATTGCCGCTGCCATTAGCAGAAGAAATAATGTCATCCGAGCCCGCTTGCTCGGCTCCAGGAGCAGCACTGCAGTACTGTACGATAACACTCCGCATAAGCGTGGCCAACCGATCATCGACTTCATCGCCGACAGCTTGGCGCTCGGCAAGCATGCTTTCAGCAATGCCACTGCTGTTGCTGCCATTGCTGCCGTGCTTCTGGCCGCGCGCACTATCAGCCATGCCTATGGCATCAAAGTGCATGCGCTGCAGAATGTGCAGCTCGGTCACCACGCTGCTGGTCTCCTGCTTGAGCAAGCTGGGCATAGTCGGCATAACGCCCATCTCGACCAAACGGCGGCGTACCTTGCGGTCCATGTTAAACCTATGGGCAAACGCCCGGGACTGATCCAGGCAATCCAACAGAATAAACAGATGGTGGGCCGACATGTGCGCGTAAAAATCGCCAGCTTCAGTCACCGACTCTCCGGTCTCGACGTTGGTCCCAAAGAGCTCACCCACAGTCTGGATCAACAGCAGTTGCAAAATGCACTTGAGCGTGATGTGGATGTAATCGGGCTTGACATCGCTACCATCGGATGTCGGCGCCGATGTCGCCTTGACGCTGTTTGCCCGCGGCAGTGGCTTCATCGTCGGCACAGGCAGCGACACAGCGGTAATGCCGTTCTCGGGGACGGCCGATGCCGGGCTGGGCGTCTCGTTGCCATCAGTCGATGACAAAAGCGACGCAGCGCTGTCACCAGTACGCAGCGGGCTGGGCCGGTTGACCACATGCGCGCGCGTGCCGTTGCTGCCGGGAGACTTGCGCAGTATCGGCGCAATCACTGGAAGCGCCTCGCCGCCACCAGCAGCCTTGGATGTCTGGCTGACAGGCTGCTGAGGGGAAGCAGTACTGGGGGTAATGCTCGACATCAGCGTCGCAGCCGCCGCCCGCTGCTCAGACTCCCATGACGCGCCGGCAATCGAGAACAGCTCGCGCGGCTGCGACCAGTTGAATAGGCGCGCCAGCGTGTCGCAAGCCATGCCCCAGGCCTCCTCGTCCCACTTGGTGTAGTTGGTGCGGATCAGATCCTGCAGACAAGATGTGCCAATTTTTCCCAGGATCTCCGATGGCTGGGCAATGCACATGACCAACAACTCGAGCACCTCGGACATCATCGGGTTGGACAGCTGTTTGGGGTAGTACCGCGTGAACAGCGCAACCAAGTGCCGCAGCGCCTTGATCAGCGTCGTCGAGAACCACAGCTCCAAGTCATCGACCGTCGCAAACCGGCGGCTCGCCGAGGGATCACGCAGGTCGGCAAACATGGTGAACACAAGGTCGCGCAAAACGCTGGCCCACAAGCCATGCGAGAAATGCTGGCCCTGCTTCATGATCAGCCGGAAGAACGCGTCGAGCGCCCTGGTGCGCACCTCGAGATCCTCCGTGTGCATAACAACCTCGTGGAGTGCGCGCAGAACAGGCATCCACACGCGGTACAAGGGCTGGTCATCAAGCGAAATGTCCTCGGATGCCGACGCAGCAAACGCCGAGTGCTCGATAATTTGCTTTCCTAGAGACACAGCCGCCAGGTACATGGTATCGATGGCGCCAAGCGCAAAGCGTGGGCGCCGCGTGGCAGCACCCACAGCAAACTCGTTCAGGCAGTCGATAAGCTCGTGGAAATACTCGATACCGGTCACCGACACGACTTCGACGGTCCTGGTATCCTCACTGTCGGTGCTACCACTGAGTACAGACACATTGGCAGTCGCCAGCATCCACATTTGCGGGCCGTGATTCTCGGCGCATGCCTTGGCAATGTGGAATCCCATCTCGGCAATGCCGTCACTAGAGTCGCGAGCAGCAATCTGCGCCACATTCAAAATCGCCCTCCACCCACTGCGAATATGGTACGCCGCGGCTTGCACCAGCTGGTGCACACAGCGCAGCACCATGTCCTTGACTAGCACGTCGACGATTACGACCGAAGACCGGCTACGCGTGCCGCTTTGCTCCTCACCGCTGCCATTAGAAGAGTCAGGGATGTAGCCCTCGAGAATTTCAGCAAACGGCCTGAGAAACTCTTTCTGAAATGCAAAGTGCGGCAGCTCCTCCTTCTCCAAAAATTTCATACTGAGCTGGCGCAGCGAGTCCAACGCAAACAGCGCGGCGCGAGTGTCAGAGTAAGCGCCGACGCGGTCAAACAGCGGGCCAAGGATGGCCCAGATTTGCGACCACTCGACACGGATACGGCCCATGTTGTAATAAGAGATCTCTACAATCTTGGTCAGCGAGAACAGCCGCGACGGAGGTGGAGGCTGAGACCGAGTGACGGCAGACCCGCGCCTAGAATGCTGTATAATGTGCTGATGTTTGGGGTCTTCGCCGCGGAATGTCGCCGTGATCTCTCCCCACGCGACCTGCGACAGCGCGCGCACAAAGTCAACAATGCCTAAGCCCGATAGGTGCACCGAGGCGGTGAAAAGCCTGTCAACCATGACCACCAGCACCTGTGAGTTAGTCTCCAGCTTGGCCAGCTCAGCCACCGATACCTTGGGCACCTGTGGATGGCCGTCACCAGCCGCGCTGCCAGAAGCAAATCCATTGGACACGTTTGCAGAAGACCCAGCCGAGGGCGCCGCGAAGAGCGCCCTAGCAGAGATGCTCTGCGACCCGCTATTACCACCGCTTCCACCGCTGCCAACCGACAGGACACTACTGGCAAACCCAAACATTGAACTAGAATCAATACTGCTCGACGCGCGGCTAGACCGATGCACCGATGCGGCGGCGGCCTCCGAGCCCTGCGTCAACAGCTGCAGCCGCTCGAGCTGCGACACGCACTGAAGCACGTCCAGCCAGCTCTCAGCCAGTCCATCGCCGACATCCGGCCGACTGGCAGCCACCTCGATGAGCGCGCGGATGGCCTCCACATGCTTGCGCTTCATTTCAGCCAAATTCTGCAGCTGCGTAAAGTTCCTCAATGTCGTGACAAAGGTCGCGCGCTCGAGCGGCATGCGGAAGCGGCAGGACAAAGCAATGCCGCTCTGGAATCCAACCAGACACGCGGCAATGACATGCGGGTCGGTGGAAGTATGCATTGGCGAGGACAGCGCGGGTAGCACGGCCGCCCAGATAATCGCAAACATGGGCGCAATGTGGTCGGGCCTCGTAGCATGCAAATAATCGGTCATGTCCAGCAGCATCGCCCAGGTGTCCAAGGTCGCCATGGAGCCGGCATCCTCGCCCTGCTCAACACTGCGCGCGTCACCATTCAGCATATTGGACGCAACAGACACCGATGGGCGGCGCATTGCGCGCTTACGACGCATCTTGGCCATGCTGCGGATCGACTGCTCGCTTTTAGCCGCCATCGCCGCCGAGGCGTGCGAGTGCTGCTCGCGAATGCGGTTGGCAGTGTTGTTTCCCCACAAGGCAAACAGTGACCCGGGTGCTGCCGCTCCAGCAACGTTGGCACCCTGAACCTTGCCCTCAAGAGGATCGTCCTTCATCTTGATCTCCTCCTGGTCGACCTGGTCGTAGACGCCCTCGAGCAGCACGCGGTCGATATCCTGGCCGTCATTGATACCGCGGTTATTGTTGATAAAGTCCTGCTTGGTCATGCGGTTCTTGACCTGCGGAGAGTAATGGTCCGTGTTAAGCATGACGGTCGAGAACGCCAGCACATAGGCTGTATCGGCGTTAGCAAAGCCCGTGCCCGGATTGCCAGTGACGTAGCGCTCGGCGAATTTGAGCATAAATCGGTCAATCTTCTGCGCCTCGCCGGGAAGTCTAAAGGCCTGCAGGAACCGGCGCAGCGCCGTGACAAAGTCCATGCCGGAAAAGTCCATGAGGTCGACGAACGCGTGCATCACAGCAATATTGAAGGCGTCGCCGTCGCCTAGGTACTCGCCTAGTTGGAGCTTGTCAATGCCCTGGTTATTGGATGACGCGAGGAAGCGAGCAATCTCCTGGGGGTCGTTGGACTTGATAAAACCAGAGTTCTGCCACGACGCGATTCCCTTCTTGGGCTTCAACGCAAACAACTTACAGCCGAGCTCAAACTGCTGCTTGCGGTGCTTGATGGACGACATCTCCTGCGGATCATCGCTTGGTGCGCTGACCTCTTGCTCATGAGGGAAATTATCTACAGCAGCAGAAGTATCAGAATCAGCGGTCAGTGGGGCCTCAGGCACAATATGATCTGCTCCGGCAGCCTCGTCATCGGCCAAATTCGCCAGCGCACTGGGCCCGGCAAGGCGGTCGCTCCATGCAACCATACTCTGCAGCATCGCAGCTAGCCCATCCATCGCCCACTGCCGAACCATGTACTCATCGGTGGTCGCCACCGCTGCTGCCGTCGCCATATTGCCCTTATCGCCGGTAGCAAAGTTCAGCCCGCCGTACATCAGCGTCGCGCTGCTAATACCACTACTTCCGACCATCGCCGCACTCGACATGGTTGTGCTCTGGCTGCTCATCGAAAGCGTCCGCGAACCACGCCTATTGTCAGACAACGCACCGGCTGCAAACGCATCCAGGGCACCGCTGCCACTGCCGCCGGCCGCCGCGGCCCGAAGGACCTGAGCCAGTGGCATATTGAAAACAGTCTGGCGCTGCTGCACGACACGCCAGGCCGCCGCCACCATCGACATGCCATCAGCAGAGGACTCGGCATTCGGGGATGCCAACCAGTAATGCGGGCTGTTCTTGTTCGGCGGAACAACGTAGCTCGCTCCCAGTCTGCACAGAATCTCTGCAAGGCGCTGGAACACATTGACGCGCGAGTCCTCGGCGCAATCGTAGTTCAAGTACAGCTCAACACGAGGCAGGCTGCGCCAGCAGACGGCTGAGCGTCTGAAGCAAGCGGCCGCGCTGGTGCAGCGAGCCGGAGCTCTTGTTCTCAAGCAGTGGGAGCAGAATCTCGCGGAAAATAACCTCCATCTCGCGCCGCAAGTATGCTCGCATATGCAGCATTGTCAGCTCAAAGACTGCAAGACCCAGGTCCAGAACCATGGCATTGGACGACACCAGGTTACGACTGAGAGACAGCGACAGATACTGGCGGATGACGGCAATCAGGGGCACCGCCACAGTTGAAGGCGCTGGGGCGGTGGCGACGCCGAGCCATCTTCTTGTTCCGATACCTGTGCACTACTGGCGGAAGTGCCATCAGCCTCAAGCTGGCGCGAGGCCGTCTGGGCAATCTCCTGCGATATCGCGTGGTCGGGGCCCTCAGTGTCGCCAAATTCGTCTTCACCGGAGGCTGCCAACGAGCGCAGAGCGGCGGCGGCAACTGCAGTCGAGGCGGTGGTAGGGCCACCACCTCCGGAGGAATTGTGAGCGTTATCAGCTGCGTTCGAGCGCAAATACACATATGACGAGACAAACACGGCTGTGTGCTCGGACAGGGCCAAGCGAATGAGGTTGAGAGCCAAACAACGCGACCTTAGCTGCGGAGACTTACCGTCCAGAGCATGGTCATTGGGGATCTGGCGCATTGACAGCTTGCACAGTGCCCTGAGCAGCAAAAAAGCATCCCTCACAGCGCCATCGTTCGCCTGCCTCCGCCTATCAACGTCAGCGGGATTCTCGGCAGAGTCTTCAGCGGAGTCTTCAATTTCCACGGGCGCTCTAGAAAGCACCAAGTGTACCATCTGGGTCAGCGTGCCCTGTGCGATAGTCTGGTTGACATGGCTACGCGCCAGCACAAACACATTGTACGCTGTCCGTATCGTGTTGAGCATCGATGATTGCCGCACCGGCAGGCGGTCCGACGAGATCAGAGCAAATAGGGCCTTGACAATCTGCAGCTGAACATTGTCTGCAGTACCCTCGCCCTGGTAGCACCTGGACACGATCTCAACCAGCCGATCAGCTATCGTGCGGAAGTACCCCTGCCGCAGTGTCTCCGTCTCCATCTCGGCATCCCGCATCAACTGCCTCTCGTCCACAGGATGGTCGGAGCACCCCCGGTTAGACCTTAGCCTCCGAGCCACCACACCAACGGTAACCAGGCCAATGACATTATCAAAGTAATGGAATGAGACGAGCTTTTCAATGCAATCCAGCGCAATCACCAGTGTTGCAGCCGTGCTCTGGGCCACGCACAGCATGCCGAATGCCTCCAGGATAGTGTCAATCTCCTCGCGGGTCAGCCACCTGTGCTGCTGCGCCTTTGGTGCCAGCACCTGCTGCATTTTGTCCAGCGCCGGCTTGGCGTCCTTCTTTTTGCCCTCGCGGGTGGCCAAGAGCTTGTCCACGGCGCCAACAATAAACACAAGGCCAGGGAGTCCGGTTGCGGGCATCGGCGGAGCCTCGTCCTGCAATGGGCCGTCCGCAAGCTCGTCTACCGCGGCGGGTGCTTCAACGGGCTCTGGTTGCGCGTGTTTGGCGGCTGATAGCTCTGCTGGGGAACAGGCGCCGCTATCAGAAATTGGCCGACTCGTCTCGTTCTCAAGCTCAGGCTCAGGCTCGTTCTTGTTCTCGCTCTTGTTCTCAGACTCAGACTCAGACCCGCTCTCAGACGCAGACCCGCTCTCAGACGCAGCCTCGGAATGCGATTCGGGCTGTCCGTGCGTGTCTGTGTCTAAAGCAGCCTCTTCTGAATTTAAGCCTGACTCGCCGTCTTCTTTTTCTTTTGCGTCTGTGCTGGGAATTCGCTGTGGCTGTGGCTGTTCTGGTTCGTCCTTTTCTTCTTCGTCTGCTCCGGCCTGCTCAACTGTGTCAGAGTACTCGGAGGCAGACGATTCGGCAATCTGGTCCTTTTCGAGAGTCGCAGGTGACGGCAATTGTTGGCCATCTAAAACTGTGTTGTCCATGATTGCGAAAAATTACAGTGGAAATAAAATATAGAGAAATAAAATAGGGAGTGACCAAAAAAAGAGCAAAGAGCAAAAGAACAAAAAAATTCACAAAAAGAAAATAAAGAGGCAAAATCACGCGGAACCATCATCAGCAGCAGCAGCAGGATCATCAGCATCAGCATCATCATCAGCATCAGCATCAGCATCAGCATCAACATCAACATCGCCACAAAACGGACCTTGCAGTACAAAACAAAAGAGACAGTATCATTGTGAGCAACGCTTGGTTGATTGCAAACAAAAGAAAATCTATAATTAGCCAGGAGCGTAGCGCCTCCCAAAGCCGTACGAGTCGCGCGGCTTGCTGCCGATAAACAGGTCAGCATCGTTCTCGTGGATCTGGTCCAGCAGCTGGTGCGGCGGCACAAAGGTCCTCGGCAGCTCGCGGGCAATCTGCTCACGGCGGCGGTCCCGCTCGCCTTCCTCGACCCGCTGCTGGAACTCACGGCGACTCAACGAGCGGCCGCCAATTAGCGAGCCGCTGGTCATCATCGGAATCTGGATAGGCACCGACCCGGCCAGCATCTGCCCGAGATTGCCGGTCCGCTGCTGCTGCTGCTGCTGCGACGGTGCCATGCGCACAGGCGAAAAGCGCTGGCCTGCCGGCTGCTGCGCAAAGTTGCCAAACGACTCCTCATCGTCCGACTGCTCCTCCGACTGGTGCGAGCCGAAGCGCCGCCGCCGGGCCATTCCGCGCGCAGACAGGCTGCCAGCAGGCTCGACGACGTCCACCAGCCCATACAGCCCGCTGGCATCGGCGTCGTCGCTGGCGTAGTCGTCGTCGCTGTTGCCGCGGCGCCGGTCGAGCGGGCTGGTACGCATGATCGGATTGCGCCCAAGGGCGCCGCCGCCACCGCCGCCGCCCCGCAGCATTGCAGCGAGCCCCGACAGCGCAGCGGGCTCGTTCTGCGTGGATGCTGTGGCCGAAGGCTGCGGGTGCGCTGCATTGATAATGTCGCTGAGCTTTGCGCACTCGTCCATGGTGCGCGCCTTGAGCTGCTCGAGCGCATGGTCCTGGGCTCGGATATACTCGCGCACGCGCTCGTTCTTCGCCTCCTCTTGGCGCTGCAGATACTCGGCCGCCTTTTGCTGGATCTCGCGCGGGATGTGGGTGCTCAGTCGCGTTGCCCGCGCGCCCCCGCTGCTGCTGGTAAACTCGCTGAGCAGCAGCACGCCAAAGGGCCCAGAATAGTCTGGCAGGGCCTTTATCTGCGAACCACGCGTCGGGTCCTACATGCAACGCAGCAATAAACACAGCACGATAAACCACATTATTAGCAGACAAGCTCACTGCTTTCCATTGGCCTTGGCTTTGGGCGGGAGACAGCCAGCATTCGCTTCTTCTGTCCAGCCACGTACCGTTGCTTCCTTGTCCAAAAAGGCTTCGCTGTGCGGCTCTGGCATCTGCTGCTGGGATATCCTCCGAGTGTTTTCTGACTTGAAGTACAGAACAGGCGATTTGCACAGCAGGCAGCGCAGCACCTTGATGCTGCGGTCAACAGAAGACCCAGGCTTGACCTCCACAAGCGCATTCAATCCCTAAAAAACAAGCAAGCAAGCAAGCACGGATGCAATATGGCACAAGGAAAATTAGTTTTCCCATTCGAGCGGTTTTGGTTTTACAAAGGGGGATTCTTTTTAAAAAAACGCGGGACTTACCACTTCAACGGCTGAAAGCCCTCCTAGCGTGCATTGGAGCACATTTTTAATGTTTTCCAAAGACGTGCGCTCATCAGCTGTCGATTCCACATGCACTCTGACATTCAGGCACCTGCACCCGTAAATGTCCTGTTTTGTTTCGCTCCCGCTCATGTGTTTAGTGTGAAGTTTATAAATGTAATGGAGGGGGGAAGAACAAGAATAAAGGCAGAGAGAAAAGGGGGTGATACGCTATAAAAAACTATTGAATGCAAATAATAGATTCTAGTTATTACTGAATTTTTAAATTTGTTTGGAGAAAAAGAAAAGAACTGAAAAAAGAGAGAAATTACAAACTCCTCTTTTATCCTCTTTTTTTATTACGTTGTTCATCAAGGGGAAAAATAAAAATAAAAATAAAAATAAAAAAGAAACTCATCTCTTTGTACAATTTTTCAAACAGAAAAAGGGATAAAATATTGGGGGAAAATCGAATTGCCAAAGCAAGCCCCTCGTCCTTTTTATTTTATTTTATTTAACGCATTGGCCATCGTTTATTTTTTTGGACGAGTCCTTGCAAAATAATGATATCTCTCAAGCTTGTTGGGTGATAATATCTCAAAAATATTTGCCAGCATCAGGCCTAAAAGCACATTGTTTTTTCACTTGCAAACAAACATTTGCTTGCTTGTAATCCAGGATAAGGGGAATGGTGTCAACAGGCAGCTTCAGCATCAGCGCATCCTCCACAGGCAGTGCTTGTAAGTTTTTGATCAGCATGCGTGCGATTACCCACTTAACTCTCCCACCTATGACAATTCTGAAACGATTTCAAATTTTGTGCGCAAGATGCATACTCAAAAACATTTATTTTCCTCAAAAATAACAAGTTTAAAGTTGATTGTAGATCGAAATCAAAAAATAGTTAAGGTGTGACAATCAATTGATTTTCAAACTTTTATCGGAACTAGTCACAAAATTTTTTTAACATATTATCTTTATGTGTAAATTTTTTTTTGCAGTAGCAGTAGGAATGCGCAAATCAAAAGGAAACAATGTGAAAGCAAAGATAGTGGCAAATTGAGGCACTATGTGGGTCCAAAACAACAATAAGAAATGTAAAAAAGAAATGTTAATTAAAAAATGAGCATGGGATACAACAGATCCAGTATGTTTGAAATACATTAGTAAACGTGTATTGTTTCCGCTTTCTTTTTCAATAATTAAAATATTCTATTCCGATAATTCACTACATGTCGAAAATAAAATGTTCTTGATAAATGTTTTAATTAAAAATTGAACAATGAGTAAATGAATTCTGTGAAAACAAAACACAGGCAATTTGCTGGCTGCCAGCCAAATAAGCATTCCAGCCCAGCCTCTACCTGTTCTAGATTATAACCAGAGAAATCAGCTTTGAGTTATGGCAAACAACGCCAATTGCTTTTGCAGCTCATGCAAGAAACATTACTTTTTGCTCCAAAACGCACCCAACAATCCAGAAGAAATACCCCCGTTATACAGTACCAGTGTTTTGGGACCAATCGCCAATGCCTAAATCCAGATCCAGTACAGAACGTTGGAACTGGAGCGGCAAAAAAAAACTGGCAGAACAAAAGCGCCGGTAAGAGAAACGTGGCCGACTACACAAGATGGGTGCAAATATACCGCGTGCAATGGCAAAAAGAGCGCAAAAAAAGGTCTACGCGAATGTAACCAGGTCACTTTAAACGCATCGTCCACAATCTCGAAAACTTCTCAAACACCTTATAATAATTTTTTATAACTCATTCCAACTTTCTGCGCGAAATTACCACCAAGCAGTCTTTTTCGGGATTGACAGGGTTCATTGTCATGAGAGTCTTTCTCGGAATATCAGGGATCCCGCCCAAGGGCTGGACGCCATGTGGCAGAGCAAGATTGTAGTCCTTCAGAAGATTGGCCAGAACAACGTGCATTTCCACCAGTGCCAAGTTTCGCCCCAAGCAGGCCCGCACACCAGTCGAAAACGCCAACATGTTTCCTTGCCCACCACCACCAGCCAAAAACCTCTCCGGCTTGAACGCATCGGGCTCAGGAAACACAAGCGGATTCATATGCAGCGACCCCACAGAGCAGCATATCCACGTGCCCTTGGGAACCACATACCCATCCAACCTGACGCCGCCAGGGGGCGCCAGACGCGGCAAAATCCCCGGCGCTGGACTCATCACCCTCAAGGACTCAGAAATAACAGCCGACAAGTACGGCACCTTCAAGCGGCACTCCTCGTAGCTCACCACAGAGCCCAGTGCAAAATTGCGCCGGATATCCGTAATTAGCTTCTCCATAACCACGGGGTTGTGCAAAAGCAGGGCCAAAGTCCAGGTCAACCCCGCCGATGTCGTGTCGACACCAGCGATCAGGTGCAGGATAGTTTCGGAGACCATCTGCCCATCCGAAATAATCGCCCTCTTGTCGCCCTCGGCCCTTCCGACATCAAGCATAATCTGCAACAGATCCAGCCCCCCCTGCCTGGGTTCCCCGCCCTGCTCCTCCTTGCGCCGAACATTAATAGCCTCCGAAGCAAAGTCCATCAAAGTGGTCAGTGTACGCAGCCTCTTCCCCAACACACGCGGTAGCTGCTTGAACCAAGGGAGAGCCATCGTAATATAGTTGAATATCCGGATCCTGATCAGAATCGCAACCAACTCGTGGCCATCCGCCAACAATGCGCCAAGCTTTTTGCCAAAGCCTAGCTCACCAATAGTGTCCAGGGCAATCAGCGAAAACCATACATTATACTGCACAACAGTATTGTCTTTAACCGACATAAGTGCGTCCAATTTGCGTCTGACGTTCAGCACGCCGCACTCAACAATCTTGGACTCCATTTTCGCCAAATGCCCGTGCGAAAACCCAGGTCCCACCTGCCTCCGCCTCTCCACGCTCAGCTCTGGCACCCTGGTCGAAAAACAATTGGGCTCCAAAACCTGCGGCATATCGTAGCTCGGCGTTTTACCAAAGACATGCGACCCCAGAACATGCTTGATCATCTCAGGGTCAGCCACGGAAATGCGTTGAGGAGAGATGCGCACGATGGAGCCGTACTTTTGGTGCAAACCAAGGAGGTGCGAGGGCAGTTGACCTCGTAGCATGTGGTAGCGCATGGGAATGCTGGTTATGGAGTGTAATGGGTGGCCAGGGATGTTGGCCAGGGGCGTCATCCACCGCTCGTAGACGATTTTGAAGAGTGTCAGTAGAATGAAGAGCGTCAAAAGAGCGTACATGGTCGTGGAGAGCGGTGTGCTGTTGTTGTAGTCATCGTCATCGTCAAACATGAGCCTTGTGGAGTTGCCGCCGGCGCCATTCATGATTACTTATACGAAAATAAATAACAGACTGTTGATTATAGGTATAAGCAGATGCAATGGTGAGTATATGGATAAAGCGAAGGGAAAAATAATGTATTGCTAAAGCAGAAAAATTAGGTTGAGATAGAAGAAAAAAGGGCAAAAGAAGGAAAAAGAGTAACAGGGTTGGCATTATTGTATTCAATTTCCACTTGCAATACAGCAGCACAAATTATCTAGTAAATACTTATAAAAACATAGAAATCACCGAAATAGCAGGAAAAAAATAACACGTCGGTATATCATCCAACAACGCAAGGCTGATTCAAGGTTAAACAGTAATTTTAAATTAAACTAAAAAAATCGACTAGAGGTCCTCATCGTCATCGTCCTCCTCTTCCTCATCATCGTCCTCGACAGGCTGCACATCCATCTCCAAATCAAACTCTTGGTCGCAGCCCAAAAATGCATCACACATCAAGAACATCTTCCACTTGACAGTGCCCACGCGCTCGGGCGCATTAAACTCGACCTGGACATCCAAGTGCTTGCTAAACATCCCGAGCCGCTTAACAGCCACCAGCGCCTGGTTCTGGGGATCACCAATAACAACCCACCAGTTCTCCATCCGCACCGACGGGAAGAACGGCGCAATAACAGGACCCACTTCCTCATCATCGTCCCACTCGCGATCCAGCGACAAGCGCACGGAAACAAGTCCGCCCTCGCAAATATCCTCGGGTGCGTCCACCTGGTAGTCCACCTCAATGTTGGGGTAGCGATTGACAAAGGCAGCGACCTCAGCAACCTGTCTCGGTGCCAGTCCGTTGAGCAACCGCGCACGGTCGTCGTCCTCCATATCCATGATATCAAAGACGCTCTGTACGCCTGCCAATGTGCACTTGTCCAGCCGCTCCGACAAATGCGGTACCTGCTTGACCAGCGGGTCGCGGGACTCCCAGATGGCCTGCACGCTCATCTGAGACAGCTCCATGGCAGCCAGTGCCGGTGCCAGCCAGCCCATCGAGGACGCCACGTCAACCAATGCCTGCAAAAGTGGCATCACGCGTAGCAAACACCACTGCTGGTCGGCGGCCAGGTCAGCAGGCAAGGCGAGACGGGAGAAATGAGCCTGGAGCAAGAGATGGGTGCGCACGCGAGGCGAGTTCCACCGGCCCATGCCCTCTGCCTCTGCGGTCGACGACGACGGCAGTGGGACGGGAAGCCGCAGGGCGATGCGATCCAGCACGGCCTCCTCACGGTGCCGCACGGGCAGGGCCTCGAACTCGTCGGCCGCCGAAATAATGTCCAGGACGCCACGCAGCTTGGTCTTGGCCGACAACGACAGCGCAAACATTTCGACCGTGAGGTACCTGATCTGGTAGTACGCAGCAATCATGCCCAGGTTGGTCGGCTCCACAGCGTCCTCGTCCACGGAAACGCACTTGGCGGCCTCCAGGTCGGCCAAAGTGGATTCAATGAGCTCTGAGAGATAATCCGAAAGGTGCTCGTGCGACGTGCCCTGCAGACCATAGTAGTTGGGGTTCTGCACCAGCCGGCGGTAAAGCAAGGTCCACGTCAGGTAGTCCACAGCATCCTGCTTGCTCGCAATGGTCTTGGCAACAACCTCGCTGTTCATCGCGTCGTGCAGGTGGCCGTCCAGACGCGACTCGAGAGGCAGCGGCTCATGCAAAAACTTGAGGTAAAAGTCGCGCTTCCCGGTCATGCACATCAAGAGGCAGAGCGCCTGCTCGTGCAAGGCCAAGGTGGACGCGCGGCCCATCATCTGCAGGACCTCCGGAACAGAGTAGTCGACGTAGCGGTGCTCGCGACCACAGTACTTTTCCGCGCCCATGATGACCACCGTCGGGGCATGCACGTGGTCCAAGGCCCAGCAGGACTCGCGACTGGCAACTAAAACCTGCACGGCTCCAGACGCGAACTGTGCAAGGACAATGGCCTTGTCAGACTCACTGAGTGCCTCGTGGTAGTACGCAGCGCCGTGCGGCAGCAGGTCGCCCAGCACGGGGTCGTCCACCGCCACCGACACAGCCATGGCATCGCCGGTACTGAAGCGCGACCCGGCTTCGTCGCCCAACGCCATGTCTACCAGGGCAGTCGACACCGAGCGACACTGCTTCCGCGCAGGCACAAACACAATGGTCGCCCTGTTAATGGCGCGGTATGCGGGCGCCACCCACGCGTCCATCCTCGATGCAAAGTGCGCGATGCCCGAGGTGACCACGCGGATCTCCAATGGCGACGACGGGCGAACCGACGGCGCAAAATTAAACACTGCCGACGCAGGAGCGCCGATCCAAGCGGCCACGTCCCGCGCATTAGCCAACGGCACGGTTAGCCCAACCACCCGAATGTGGCGATCCAGCTGCGCCGCCATGTACCGCACGCGGCTCACGACGACCTCGTACAGCGAGGCCAGCAGGTCCTCGTCCGAGCTGGTGCCCAGCCCGAGCCGCCAATCCAATGCAGCTCATCGACAATGACCAGGCCGATATCGCGCACGCACTGGCGCTGGCGCTGACGCCACCTGCGGCTCAGCGCGTCCCACTGGGCGGGCGTGGCCAGGGCCACGTGTGCGTCGTCCAGAAGACGCAGGTCGGCCACAGCGTCGCCTGTCAAACAGACCACGCTCTTGCCGCCCTGCACCGACGCAAAACGCCGCTGCCACGCACGCGTGCGCTGTTCGACCAGCGTTGCAAAGGGCGCAATGTACAGCGCGCGCCGGCGCACATACGAGTCGCCCTCGAGCTGCGCGCGCTCGGCCTCCTGGCGGAAGAACCTCAGCAGCGCAATCTCTGCGGCCAGAGTCTTGCCGGCACCGGGCGCGGCAGCCAGCAGGGCCGAGTCGTCCGTGCGGTACAGCGCGTGGAAGCACTGCGTCTGCACGGCGTTGAACTCGCTGAGCTTGCCGCGGTAGAGCGCCTCGAACTCGGGGTCGCGCAGCTCGGACACAGGCAGTGGCTGCATGTCCAAGAGCTCTGTGGGGGGCAGGGCGCGGTCGGGCAGCTGCAGGTGCCTGAAGGACACCGCCAGCCGCGTGTCCGACCCGACCCATCGGTCGCTGTCGATGGCTACAAAGTACTGCGGCGGCAGGGGCTCTGTCAGCGCGCAGGTGAACTCCAGCAGGTGCTCCGCCGTCGCGTACGCCCGCTTGATGACCAGCGGCTCGGCATGCAGCAGCCGCTCGCCATCGGCGTCCTCGACGGTCACCCAGAAGACCTCCGCCGACCCGTGCACGGCGTCATTCCACACGAAGTCGGGCGTCAGCCGCAGCTCGAAGCGCAGCAGCGAGCGCGTCAGCGGCTGCACGTGCGCGCGCACGTCCAAGCGCGGCACCAGGTGCACCAGGCGGTGCAGCACGCGGCCGGCCTTGGGCGACCCAACGAGCTCGCCCAGCTCGGGCTCGGTCAGGTCCAGGTACCGCGCCCACGGCAGCGGCTTGCGCTCGACGGACCGCAGCAGGTCGGCCGGGCAGTCGCGGCCAAACTGGCGCAGCGGCGACATGGCCAGCCACATGCGGCGCTCGACCTGCTTGCACCAGCCCAGGGCGCACCGTGCCGCACGCGCCCAGCCCCTGGCGCGGCTCAACTCGAACAGCGCGCGGAAAAGCCGAGCCGCCGACTGCGTTACGTAGACGGCGTCGGCGGCCAGCGCAAAGCCGGGCAGCGCCAGCCGTGCGACGTGTGCCTGCAGCAGCGCGGCAACCTTGGGCATCGGCCCGTCATCGGTGTCGCCGCGCACAGGCACCGGCACGCGCTCGAGCAGCCGCTGCAGCTCGACGCGCTCCTCGGCGCGCACCGGGATCAGGCGGAACTCGTCGGCGCGCGCAAACACTGCCAGCAGGTCGATGTCGCCAGCGCCCGAGCGCAGGTGCTGCTGGAAGGCCGCCATTGTGCGGTGCGTGACGTAGTAGTGCGACGCGACGCGGCCCAGCTCTGTCGGCGCCAGCCGCCCGCCGCGCCGGTCATACCGCACCATGCCGCAGCGCTCCAGCGCCAGCGCAGCCGCGTGCGCCAGCGCCTGGCGCCGGCCGCTCAGCGCCGGGTCCTCGTCGACGGCATCGGCCGACAGCCCGTAGACTGCCGGGCTGCGCAGCATGCGCACAAACAGGTACGTCTGCGCCAGCCACGCGGTGGCGTCGTCGCGCGAGCGCACCGAGCCCAGGACGACCTCAGCATTGAGCATGTCGGGCAGCCGCGCGACCATCTGCGACTCGATCGGCAGCTGGTGGCTCATCAGCGACAGGTAGTAGCGCAGCTCGCTGTGAGCCGTGATGATGACGCCCTCACCGAACGTGTCGAACTGCGGCCGGCCGGCGCGACCCAGCATCTGCAGAACGTCCTGCGGCGACAGCTCGGCCCACGCGCCGCGCTGCGGGCTGTACACCTGCGTGCCCTTGATGATGACCGTGTGCGCCGGCAGGTTGACGCCCCACGCCAGCGTCGCTGTCGACACCAGTACGCGCACGTGGCCGTCGGCAAACAGATCCTCGGCCAGCGCGCGATCGGCGCGCGCCATGCCGGCGTGGTGCACAGCCACGCCAAACGGCAGCAGCGCTGCCAGCTGCGCGTCACGCGTTGCCGCCGCCTCCTCGCGCAGCACCTCGGCGCTGGCGCTGGCACCGCGCACAAACGAGTCCAGCGCCGCCGCGTCGACAGCCATGTCGCGCAGCACCTGCGCCGTGCGCACCGTCTCCTTGCGCGAGTGGACAAACACGAGCACCTGGCCGCCGGCCTGCGCCGCGCGCTGCGCCTTGGCGTAGCACACCTCGTCCATGCGCTGGCGCCGCCGCACGTGCTTGGTGTCCGTCAGTCCCACAAACTGCATCTGCAGCGGGCACGGGCGGTAGCGCGCGTCGAACCGGAACAGCGCGCGCGCCGGCACGCGTAGGAACGTCGCGACGTCGTCGGCGTTGGGCAGCGTGGCGCTGAGCCCGACCAGCCGCGGGCCGTTGGCCGCGCGCTTGAGCCGCACTGCCAGCGACTCCAGCACCGGCCCGCGCTCGTCGTGCAGCAGGTGGATCTCGTCGATGATCACCAGCCGCACCAGCTGCGTGTAGCTGCCCTCGTGGCCCTTGCGCGTCACAACGTCCCACTTCTCGGGCGTCGTCACCAGCAGCTGCGTTTCGGCGATCTGCGCCTTGGTCAGTTGGGAGTCACCCGTCAGCTCGGCGACGCGCAGCCCCAGCGGCTCAAGCCGCGCCTTGAACGCGCCGGCCATCTCGGCCACAAGCGCCTTCATTGGCGCCACGTACACTATCTTGAACGCCGCCGCGTCGATGTTGCCGGCGCCATCGCGGAACTGCCCGATGGTGCGCAGCATCGCCAGCGCCGCGCAGTTGGTTTTTCCGGCGCCTGTCGGCGCGCAGATCAGCATGTTGTCGTCCGTCGTGAACGCCGTCGCGAAGACGCGGCTCTGCACGCGGTTGAGCTGCTGCACGCCAGGCAGCGCCGCCCGCGCCCACTCGGGCAGCTCTGTGACGGACACCAGCGGGTTGTGCGCGTCAGCCGCACCCAGCGGCTCGGGCGCAGGCACATGAATCTCTTCGTACCCGGGCATGACCGTCTTGACGGCGCCGGGCGGCGGCACCCAGCGGTCGTTGGTCATCAGGTGTGCGCCCTGCGCAAACGCCAGGCTGTCAAGGTCGACCTCGGCCACCCGCTCGGCCTCGGCCTCCACAGCCGCCGCCGCCTTCCTGGGCGCCTCAGCGCCCTTGGTCTCGCCGAGCAGCCGGTGCGCACCGGCCTCGCGCATCTGTGCCTCCACCGCGCGCCGCTGCTCGGCTCCCTCGGCCCCGGCCCTGGCCAGCCGCATGCACCAGACGACCATGTCGCGGTTGGTCACCAGCAGCTGCACGGCCGCAAAGTGCTCGTAGTCAAAGACCTCCGCCAGCGCGTTCTCCAGCTCGCCGACCTTCTTGCTGCTGTCTTCGAGCAGCGCTTGCGCCTCGCGCGTCTTCTCTTGCACCACCGCCGGGTCTGCATAGTGTTGCGCGACCAGCCGCTGCAGCCAGAACGCGTCGATGCTGCGCGCCTCCAGCTCCTCGGCGCTGTGCTTGGCCTGGGCATTGTCGCCAAGAACCATGCGGCCCTCATCCTCGTCCTCCTGGGAATGCTGGTCGACGTCCATTCGCTTCAGCTCCTCCTCCGCCGCGCTGTGCTCTTCGTCTTCATCATCATCGTCATCTTCTGCCCCCTCGTCGCTGTCATCGCCAAACTCGACGGCAATGCCGGATTCGTCGATATCGCCCGTCTGATCGTCCTCTTCGACTACCGCCGAGCCGCCTGCCTCATAGTCGGTGATCTGGCTCGCCAGCTGGATAAACCTGGAAAATTCTGCCTCGTCGACCTTTGCACCAAATAGCTTTTCGACCTCCGCCCGCTTCTCCCGATCCCTACTGCTCTCGTTCTTAAGTACACCCAGCGCCTCGTCGGCGGCGGACACCAGAACCTCGGGCGTCTGGTCGCCGATATGCCGCCGACAACACGCCAGCAGCATATCCCAGACCACCTGCATCTCGCGACTCCGCGGCTTATACACGCCCTCTTCCTCTTCTGTCGCCGATACAATATCTCTGTACCCGCCCAAAATGCTCTTCTTGGGCTTCTTGGGCTTGTTGGCATGGGTTGTTTTGGAAGCGACGGTTCCAGTGCTGGTACCGGCGCCAGACTTTGGCGGTTGTTCGCGCCGGACATTGGATCCCATCTGGTTGCCGTCGATTTTTCCCCAGAGGGACTCCATCTCTTTGCCACGGTCCCCGCGCCGGTTTATCTTGCTGCGGTCCGACGGAAGAACCAGATTGGAATTGCCCGCATACTGGTACAATTTCTTGTGCTCCTCTGTGAATTCCTCAGACATGTTTCTTCTCCTTCAAAATATAAATAAATGAGGCTGTGTTGTGTATTTAAATTAGTGTTGGAATTAAAGTACAATAAAAATAATTCGAGAAGCAATAAAAAATAAGCACACTTGAAAAAACGGATCAAAACGGCAAACGCACAAAAAACGCGTATTTTGGATGATCCTTACCAAATCAATTAGCGCGCACGATCAACCGTGTTTCCAATTACAACCTGCGCACTTTGTGTCAAATTCCGTCACTAACCAAAATGGTCTGGAACCACTGCCTAGTCTCAGAAAATAATAAAAGTATAAAACTGAGCCCATTACTTTTTATTAGATAACACTTGCTCCGTTTCTCTCTCTCCTTCTCTCTCCTTCTCTCTCTGCATCATTCTGTTTCATTTATCTTGCACCAAAATCTCGAATTTTCTGTTTTTATTTTAGTTATCGCCATGTCGCATATCGCTCTCAACTCGGGCCATAAGATGCCCACCGTCGGCATGGGGCTCTGGAAAATCCCGAAATCCGTTTGTGCCGACCAAGTTTACGAGGCCATCAAGCAGGGATACCGCCTCTTGGATGGCGCCTGCGATTACGCCAACGAAAAAGAAACGGGCCAAGGAATCCGCCGCGCCATCTCCGAAGGCCTCGTCACTCGCGAAGACCTCTTCATCACCAGCAAGCTGTGGTGCACCTACCATGCGAAGGAACATGTCAAGCCGGCCCTCCAGAAAACCCTCGGCGACCTTCAGTTGGAGTACCTCGACCTCTACTTGGTGCACTTCCCCATTGCCCTCAAGTTTGTGCCCTTCGAGGAGCGCTACCCGCCAGAGTGGTCCCATCAGCCTGGAGGCCCTGTCATCCCGGCCAACGTACCTTTCAGGGACACTTGGGAGGGCATGGAGGCTCTGGCTGATGACGGCCTGGTCAAAAGCATTGGCATATCTAACATGCCCGGCGCCCTGATATACGACCTACTGACGTATGCACGCATCCGACCGGCCGTCCACCAAATCGAGGTCCACCCATACCTTATCCGCAAGCAGCTTGTTGACCTGGCCCACACCGAGGGCATAGCGGTCACGGCATACTCCTCCTTTGGCGACACCAGCTACCATGAGATCAACATGGTGCCTACGGACAGATCTCTTGTGCATTTGCTGAAACACGGTGTTATCAATGACATTGCTCACAGACTGGGCAAGTCGCCCGCGCAGGTGCTCTTGAGGTGGGCGGTGCAGCGGGGATGCGCTGTCATTCCCAAATCATCAAACCCGAAGAGACTGAAAGAGAACCTCGACTTGTTCTCGTTTGAGCTCGAGGATGCAGATATGAGAGAGATTGGGAAGCTTGATAAGAACTTGAAGTTTAACGATCCAGCTGTATATGCCAAGCGTGCAATTTGGGCTAGCTAAGAAATTCTGCATTTTATGAAATAGATACACAATGTTTATACACAGTTATAAATAATAGTATAGAATGCTGATCAATCGATCTGGTAATCAATCACAAGGGACGATTGGCGAATGAGAAAAAAAGAAACTAAATAGGCTTGAACCGACAATTTTAACCACAACAAAAGAATTAGCTTGCAGAAAAAAAAACAAAGAAAGAAAAGGTGGGCTGGATAACAGTAAAAAAGATGATAATACTTTTGCTGCATATTCGTTTGTATTATTTATTTAATTAATATTTATTTATTTTGGACAGAGTCGATAATTTCATAATTTCTATTTACATTAATTCAAAGAGCAAAAAAAGCATAAATTTATACACAACCAAGCAATGCTCACAGGCCCTGTGCGTCCCGCTGGAGCTATCGCCCGCTCCACAAGCAATGCGTCCTCCGAGGCTGCAATCCTCGTGGCAGTGCGCGTGCGGCCGTTCAACAACAAAGAAAAGACACACCTGGCGCGACCAACTAGCTCACAATTCGGACCAACAGCGCGCAACTTTATGAACTACGACGACACACAGGACCAGCAACACCAGCCTGGATCGCAAACTATCCGCAAAGTGGTCCACACAATCGACGACCACATCCTGGTTTTTGACCCGCCAGACGAGGACGACAACAGCCGGCGAGCAACGGTTGGAGCCAGCAACAAAAGACATAAGGACATTCGATTTGTTTTTGACAGGGTATATAACGAAGACAGCACGCAGCGCGATGTTTACGAGGGCACCACGCGTGGGCTGCTCGACTCGGTGATGAATGGGTATAATGCGACGGTGTTCGCTTACGGCGCCACAGGATGCGGCAAGACATACACTATCAGTGGGTGTCTCGAGGACCCTGGAGTCATATTCCTGACCATGCAGGAGCTGTTTGAGAGACTGACGGCAGCCGAGGACGAGAAGATTGTTGAGATAACGCTGTCCTACCTTGAGGTGTACAACGAAACCATCCGCGACTTGTTGGGCGCAGATACGGCCAATGCGCCGCCACTGGCGCTGCGCGAGGACGCGGACCATGGCGTCACAGTGTCGGGTTTAAGCGAGCACGTGCCGAACACTGTCGACGAGGTCATGGAGCTGATGATGCGGGGAAACGCGAATCGCACAATGAGCCCGACCGAGGCCAACGCCGTATCCTCTCGCAGCCACGCTGTGATGCAAGTGAACGTGCGGCAAAAGCCCAAAGACGGCGGCTTGCAGACAGACGTGACCTCGGCGACCCTCAGTATAATCGACCTGGCCGGCAGCGAGAGAGCAACGGTGGCCCGCAACAATGGCGCAAGAATGCGCGAGGGAGCCAACATCAACCGCTCGCTGTTGGCGCTGGCCAACTGCATCAACGCCCTGTGCGACCAAAAGACCAAGCGGCACATCCCTTACCGCGACTCCAAGCTCACGCGACTGTTGAAGTTTTCGCTGGGCGGGAACTGCCGTACTGTCATGATCACGTGCGTGTCCCCAACCTCGACGTACTACGAGGAGACACATAACACGCTCAAGTACGCCAACCGCGCGAAAAACATCAAAACGACGGTGGCCAAGAACACAAAGTCGACGCAGATGCACTTGGCGCAATACCAGGGCAAGATCCGCGACCAGAGCGAGGAGATTAAGCGTTTGCAGCGCGAGATCGGGCTGCTCAAAAACCGGTCCTCGAATTCCAGCAGCGCTGCGACGTCCAGCCGCGGAGCCACTAGTGCCCAGGCAGCCCAGGCCATGGCCGAACTGCGCAAGCAGACGCAGGCCGTACAGGTCGTGCAGGACATGCGCAACAAGATGGCCAACGCCTATGCGCCCATCCGCGAGGCCAAGTGGGAGCATGCGTCGGCGTGCTCCATCGGGCAATGGTACGACTACCACATTGATGCGCTCAAGGGCTGGCGTGAGCAGTTTGAGATGCTATTTCAGGAGCACCAGCATCTGGGCAGCCAGGAGTCGATGGACATCGACGGCGAGAACGACCAGCGGCTGAACAGCCAGTCGGTGAATCTCCGGCAGCAGGTCGACGATCTCTTGCGCGAGCTCACTCGCGAGCGCAAGACTATCAGCCGACATGCTGAGCACTCTGAACAGCTAATCGAACGCAATGTATATATGGCCGATCGTGCTGCGCAGCTGCCACCCTCGGTTCAGCTCACGGCCGAGCAGCGATACCACGTTGACCAGGAGCACCGCGTGCTGGATCTCTGGGCCGAGCGCAATGGTTTGCGCCGCCAGGTCGAGTTGGCTGAGCACGTCGCCGATAGCCTGGCCTCGCAAAACACCTTGTTGCTCCGCCTGACGGCCGCATGCATCTACAACCTCAAGCGCGCTATGCACGATGTGCGCCGACTGGGTGGCGAGTCCAGCAATGCTGAGCGGTCTATCGATTTGGTGTATATGCAAGCCATTTCTGCTTACGGCGAAGTGACCCATTCTGTCAAGAACTCGATGAAGCGCGTGCAGGAGGCCGGTGGCCCCTCCAAGCTGCAGGTCAACGGGTCGACAGTGACCCCGCCCTCGCCATATGTTCCACGCGCAGTCAAGGGCGGCAGCAATGCTGCTGCAAAGAATCGCTCGCCGACCTCCACAGATAACCAACAGCGCGCGAACAGTCGCAATCCCAACACGGCAGCCATTTCTGCGGCTGTCGCCGGCACTACGCGCGCCAGGCGAGTGACCATGGTGATGGGTGCGCCGGCGCTATCTGCAAACGCGGGGGCAACAATTGCACCCGGGCGCCATGTTCGGATTTCGCCTGTCAAGCGGAATCAGACCGTGATGGGCCGGACCGCCGTGCGCTTTAATAATTTATCGGTCGACTCTGCTCGCCAGCGCCCAGCAGCACAATCGGGGAAACTGGCTGCTCCCGCCAACAATGGTTCGTCCGGATCAAACGGCACAGCAACATCCACAACTACAGTCGCAACACGTGGCGCAGTGCGCCTGCAGTCTCGTCGTGCAGCGGTCAGTCGGCGGCGGAATAGCAGCGGCAATGCCGACACAATAGCCGCTGCGCTGCGCAGCAACATTGCCATCACCAGCCCAGTACCTCGCATGGCCTCCAGATTCTCCAACGATGATGGCTCTTCCGTGTCACTTCCGTCGCCGACAATGAGCAATGGGACCAACTCGTCGCCAACAAACACAGCGACTTCATGGGCTAGCGCTGAGACCAGCCCCCACCATGAGCCGCTGCCTGCTGCTGCCCGCCCGATCAAGGGTATCTTAAAGGGGTCTGTGACTAATAAAGCCAGCGCGTCGGCCGCGGGTGATGCGCACGGGCCTGGTCCTGTTCGTTTAGGAAGCAGCCGCAAAAAGTCCCGTCATGCGCGCAATATGGCCAACCCTACTGCCAGAGCAACTGCAACGCCCACCAAGCAGGCCACAGGGAGTATTCGCGAACTGACTTTCAAGTCGCTTGCATCCGCCGGCGCGTCTGCTGTCCCTGTTCCTGCGGGCCTACGTCTACATCTGCAGCCGCGCGCCGCCGCCGCTGCCAATGCTGCTGCCAATGCCTTGAATGCTGGAAAGAGGCCTGTCTGGCGTTGATTCTCATCATTCGTCCACAAACATTCTTCTAGTTATTCATTTTTCACTTGCTTTATATACTGTATAAATTTGTTACTCTTTTCTATTACAAGGCTAGAACGGCAAGCGGCGCTCCTTTTCAACTAGTTGATTGAACATATTCAATATATGGCGCTCCTTTTCAGCCATCAATCGATAATCAGTATCCAGCTCATGATCATACCCTAGCAAGTGGCAAATACCATGCGTAAACAGCACCGGCAAACGATCGGTCAGCTTCTCGTTGTGAGACTTACAGTCGTCCAAAATATATGGCAATGACAAGAACATGTCGCCCAAGTTTCGTTCGTCATCAGCACCCAACCCATCTCTTTGCTCTGCTTTAGGAAGAGCACTCTCGGGCTCTAGTCCTTGCACTTGGTGGAACGGGAAAGACAATATGTCTGTGGGCCTGTTTTTGTGTCGATATTGGCTATTGATCTCTTGCATTCGATGGTTGTCGATGAAATGAACACCGACGTCCCAGTTTGTGTAGCCGCTGCAGTCAAGAAGCATTTCTATTTGTCGTTTGATGCACCGCAATGGTAGCCAGACCGCCCGCTGGTTGTTGAGTAAAAGCACCATTCGCGGGGGTAATTTTTTTTGTGAATGGAGAAATATGTGAATGAAGAGAACAAGGTGGTGGTGAAAAGTTAATGTTACACTTTGCTTTTCGGTAAGCAAATTTGGTTTGTAAATATTGCTCAAAATGTTTTATTTTGGGATCACTATATGTTTACAATGTGTCTAAATTCGGATAAATCACGCTTAATAGATCTATCTACTCGATTTTAAATTTGGATAAAGTATTATTTTATTTTCCAACGCGCAGAAGAATCAAATGCCAAAAGATATTTTCAATACTAATCGGGCAATGTTGAGTACTCAACATTACACTTTCCTGTTTTATTCATTTTTGGACAACGAAAAAATATAAAAACAGCCGATGCTGTTAGCAGTCTGATGATATGAAAGTAGATGTTGAGGTTGAGAATCGTGAAACGAGCTTTCATCAACATACCGATTGACAGGGCATAGATGGTACCATGTAAGATCAAATCAGGGGATATAATAATGTCACCCTGATATGCCTCCCATTCCACAACGTACACACACGAGCGCGCATGCACGAAGACCACGACATTGACATGCCAAGATACCGGTCTGCTCGCAGAATAACCAGCTCTCACCAACGGAGTACACAATCGGTGAAGTGCACAATAAAGACGAGACATATTGATTCCCATTAGTAATAGAAACCTTTCCCCACCTTTCCACTACATTGTAGTACTCTACACCCCCCTCTTATTATAACAATGCCATTCTCAAGTTGGTTGGCAAATCTTTAAAAATCTGCAAAATCGAATATAAAAACATTAACAAAAATAAAACCCAAATATTTGGTAAATCTACATGCATCTCTGGGTTACACCGTGAGAATGATCAATACGCTTTGCATGAAACCAGATTTTCGCAATGACATCATATGTATCGAAACTATTGCTAGCATCGCAGTAGTGCGATATTTGACACATGTTTCAGTTACATTTATTCAAAAAGATGGCTTGCATTTTGCATCATTGAATTTTCATTACGGCAAATATTGTTTGAAAAATTTAAAATTTTAAAAATCATGAAAAAGCCGTTTTTTATAAATAAAAAATTAAAATACAAGAAGCAAATAAAAAGTGGCACCAGAGACTGAGGGTTGGTTATACAATAGCGGGCAGAAAGTAAGACAGTAAGCAAGATGAAAAAAGCGCGTAGCTTATAGAGAGCGTCTAGTAATCATCAAGCTTGGCATCCTCAATGGTGGTGACGATGGGGCGAGGTGCCAGCGAGGGGTTGGGCAGGATGAAGAAGCTGTTGTGGTGGCCGATCAGGTCCGAAGCGGCAATGTACCAGGCAATAAGAGATGTGAGCAGGCCAAAGTAGCCGCCGGCCTTGCTGACTTGGTGGTTCATAGTCCAGTCACCAATGCACAGGAGCAATAATGTGACGTCGACCATGGCGAAGAGAACGCAGAGTCCGAGGTTAGTGCGCAGAGTGGCCAGGAACAAGATGAATGTCATGATCACCCAGCCAAGCAGGAATATTCCAAGCGCATTGGCCTTGACGTCAGGTCCAGCAGCATTAAGAGCGCTGCTGACGCCGAAAAAGGGTGTGATGATCACGCCGTAGGACATCCAGAAGCCGCCAAAGGATGTGAACGCGGTGGCACCGAATGTGTTGTCGCTGGCAAACTCCCACATTCCAGCCATGAACTGGGACAGGCCGCCGTAGAAGAACGCCAGACCGATGATGACGCTTGTAGGTGCACCGGCCTTTTGGCCAATATCGGCGTTGTGCAGGGACAGGACAAAGGTCGTCAGCGCAAAAGCAGACAGACCCAGGGGACCGGGATTGGCAAACTTGCGGAATTGAGTCATTGAGTAACTAAAAAATAGTAATTATTATAGGGTCTTGACTAAAGAAGAGGCAAATTGCTCGATAGGTTGAGTAGCGAAAGAAATAGGATGGCGGCACAAATTGACAGCAATGTTATCAACTGGCAAACGTGGTATGTTTCTGAATGTAGGACAGAGAATGGATAAACAAACTATTTACTTTTTGAAAATTGAGGTAGGCGCGGGGCAGGCTTTTTATAAACTGGGAACTTTTTCCTGCCAACAACGCAGAGAGAGGTACAGGCGTTTTTTGCCTACAGTGTGAGAAAGTGCCCGTTATTGCTTTTTTTCTTGTCATCTCATCATCATCTGGCGCCAAAATAAATTTCCTGTTTTTTTGCCGCTTGGTGCTCAAAATTTGATGAGTACTGAATTTTTTTCCATGATAATCTGGACTTTCACAGCCCTATCAATTTTAGGTCTTCAGAGCAGAGTGGGAGGGATGCCAGGGAGGAGAGACAAAAGCAGTGCGCGCGTATTCAATAGCGTGGCAATCACTAATGTGTAAATCCTTCCTTCCTAACTTAACCATGACTGTTCTATTTTCTTTCCACTCTGGCCACGCTATAGCATCAGTCTTCTCACAGAGTCACGGGGATAAAAGTGTTTTGTACCACCCGTCAATCACCTCCCCAGGTCAACAAAAAAAATGCAAGCTATTTGTAAGGCTGGATCGACCTATTGGCTCGTGTAATTTTTATTTTTAATAATATGCCTGGCCGCTATTGATGCAGTCTCAATCCGGCTTTACCAAGCGCCGATGGTTCCGCTCTTTCTCGGTGTTGTTTCGGGCGGCTAGTGGAAAAATAAAAACGAATATTTCCTTTTATACTTGTGAAAACAGAACCATACAGAACTTATGTTGAGTTACAGCGCCAGGTGATCAAAATAAAGGAAAAGAAGGCGGACAATCGCCAAAAGAAAAATAAACCACCAAATGCATAAGAAAATAAAACCATCATTACATTCCCCGCCTTTTATTTTTGTGTGCCTGTGTTAAGCAAGCGCATTGGCCTCATGAGGGGGGGCGCATATTAATATTTTGACTAAAATATTTAACATTCCCATTTTTTATATTATAAAATTTTATACAGGTTAATAATGCAAATGGCAGTCGCAACACCACTGGCACAACTTAATATTTTGGGATCTCGCCTATTGAAGCCCAGGAAAATGATAATGTGTTTTTTATTAGAAGCATTTATTGTTTTTCTGTCATTCTCAACTAAATGTGTTAAGCCAAGAGCTGCAATACAAAACGAGGAACGCGCACATTGCACGTTCTAATAATTTCTTATTTGGAAAATCATTTCTGCCAATGAGTTTTCATTGCAGAAAACACAAACAGATTAACAAATAAAAATGTTTTTTTAGTCTTGCAATTTTACGACTCTTGGACATTGGTATGCTATGAATTCAATTTCTGGATAAAAAAACCATCATTACAAAAGCAATGCTGCAATATTAACACAAATAGTGTGACTGCTGTTGCTTTCCTGCCTGCTCATCATTAGTGGTCAAAGATTTTGTAGCCACATGACTAGTTCATTTATTCTCTCGTCCTTGTGACATTTATTTTGTGTCGGCCAAAGCTGCTTATTCTTTTGCTCTAATGTCCGATCCACATTTGTCTTTTAAAAATTCCGATAAAAAACTTGTTTATTTTATGTTTAGTGATTAACATGCAGCTGGAGAAAAGATCCTGCACAGCATGTTCTACCAAAACTCAACAATAGCAAAATGATACTTGTTTTGTTTTGTTATTTTGACTGTTCTGTGCATCGAGGATGTAAAGGCATGGAGTTGCATAAATCTATAACCTCATGAGCATCGTGGCAAGCAATCCAACAGGTTGGTTTTGACTGTGCGTGTGTGCAAATGTGGAGATTGGAGATGCAGCCAACTGTTGAGCGAGAGATAATCCAACAGAAAAATAAACAAGAATGTGACTTTTTTGTCTTGTCTGTCTATATTTTTGGCTAATAGTGTTGCTCACATACACAACAGCAGCCTTTGTGTGTCAACCTAGCGATTTACGCTTCCTGTTATCTTTTTTACACTTGTCCAGCTGCACAATTGCTTTTGTGACCATTGCGCCAATTTGATGTAAACAGTTTGTTGGCTGCTTGTGAGCGCGTGCCACTCAATTCCGCTACCCACGTCCAAGGAACCAGAAATACAGTGGCATGTTTTTCTTATCTTGGTCTAATTAAAAAATACACATTGTAAAAAATCAATAATCGAATAATGATTTCTCGTAATATGTGCATAATCTTTTTTCTGTTGTTGCTGCAACTGACATGTTCGCACGGTGGATGATACTGTTCATTTTTTGTGTGGCATGTGTGTTGTATGGGAAGAGAAGATTAGATTCGTAAATTTTGCACCGAGATAAGAGAGTATTGCGCCTCCAAGCAAAAAAGGAAAAAGATAGGGCGACCAAATAAATGCTCGCCACAAGGGAATTTCGACTCGGGGATAGATTGTTACACAAAGACTCGCAAAAAAAGCTGACCCTCCAAATAACCATCGGCTTGATCAAATGCATAAATCCACAGTGATCAATCAATGCACACAAGCAAAATAATCAAAATTCTGACAATTACTAGCAATATTCAGAATATCACGTACTATTTAAAAAGTTACTACTGAGTTTTAATACAAAAACTATCAAATTATTTAATATCCAAAATAAAACATTCCCAAACCCAGCAAGTTCCAGAGCCCTGGAATATGGACGCACAGGGTTCATTTGCCGGATCTTCATTGCTTCAGGGAAGCCTTTATTTAACTCTAAATGGGAGTAGCCTGGACATTAGAATGCTTGATCACAATTGCGTTATTGCGGAATTCCAACTCAAGGGTTTCAATGATCGCGCGCCCTTTTTATTTTGCGGTGTTCATATCTGCTTGTAATTGCGCATTTCCGCGCACGAGAGCGACAATTATATGAAAATCGCAAAATCGACCTCTCGTGTCAATTTGTACTTTCTAAACTAAATACTCTGTTTATGTCCGTTTGTTTCTTCTTTTTTTCATTGCTGCCAGCAGGCGTAAAAAATACTCTACACGTTGTAAATAATCTAAAGTAATCTAAAATAACTAAATAAAATAATAAACTTTTTTATTTAGTTCTCTTTCTCCTTTTTGTGACCTTGTGACTCTTGCATATTCCACATGTCCCGGTAGGTGCCGCCCATCTTGAATAGCTCCATGTGGTTTCCCTGCTCAACAACCCGACCGTCCTTCAGCACGAAAATTACATCCACATCCATGATAGTCCGCAAGCGATGGGCAATGAATATAGCCGTACTATGCTGCTCGTCCAAAACCTCACGAATATTGCTCAAGATCGACTGCTCCGTCGACACGTCCAGCGCAGATGTGCCCTCGTCAAAGAACAAGATAGGCGGGCGCTTAAGGATGGCCCGCGCAAGGGCTATGCGCTGCTTCTCACCACCTGAAATCATCAATCCGCGCTCACCAACTTGCGTGTCATATTTCTGTGGCCACGAGGAAATGGTCGAGTGGATATTGGCGCGAATGGCAGCCTCGTGCACCTCCGCCTGGCTGGCAGTCGTGCGGCCGTAGAGGATGTTCTGGTAAATAGACGCATTGAACAGGGGCATGTCCTGCGGCACCACACCGATTGCCCGGCGCAGGGACTCCAACTGCAGGTGGTCCAATGCCTGCCCGTCAATCTCGATGCTTCCACACAGGGGGTCGTAGAACCTGAAGATTAGCCGCAGGATGGTCGATTTGCCACACCCGCTGGGACCGACAAAGGCCACGCGCGACCCAGGCGGGATCTCAAAGTTCATGTTGTGCAAGATCGCCCTCTCAGGCGTGTATCCAAAGCTCACGTTGTTGAACCGAATGGCGCCGCCCTTGAGCAGCAGTGGATGCGCGTCGGGCTTGTCAGTAACATCGGGCGTGATCCTCTCGAGCCCAAACAGCGTTTCCATATCAATAACTGCCTGGTTCATCTCGCGATACACGCTGCCCAAGAAATTTAACGGCAGAGATAGTTGGAAGACCAGCCCATTAACCATAACAATATCACCGATGCTCATCGTGCCGCTGGCTACGCCCTGGGCCGCCATGTACATCATCAGGGCCAGGGACGTGCTGAAAATGGCGTTCTGGCCAGCATTAAGCAGAGCCAGGCTGTCGGCGGTCTTGAGCGCTGCCTTCTGATACTTTGCCAGCGCGGCATCGTACTGCTGCGCCTGGAAGCTTTCGGCATTAAAGTACTTGACCGACTCATAATTAATGAGCGAGTCAACAGCAACCGTAGCCGCCCTGTTGTCCGCCACATTCATCTCGCGGCGGAACTTTGTGCGCCACTGAGTGACCGCCAGCGTAAAGGCGATATAGACGGACATGGTCACCAGCGTGACAACCGCATATTGCGGGCCAAACTTGTACGCCAGGATTCCTGACACAATACCAATTTCCAAAAACGTCGGCACAAGGTGCATGACCAGCGAGGACAGGATAAAGCTGATCCCCTTAGTGCCCCTGTCAATGGCCCTGGTCAGGCCGCCAGTCTCGCGCGAAAGATGGAAGCGGATATCCAAGTTGAGTAAGTGCTTGAACACGCTGAGGGCCAGGTTGCGAATCGCGCTCTGCTGCACATTGGCGAATATCGCGTTGCGCAGCTCTTGGAACAGGGTGGATCCCAGACGCGCCGCACCATAGCCGATAAGCATAGCTGTGGCCACCGTAGACAGGGTGCCGCTGGTGGCCGCCAGGTCAACATTAAGAGTATCAACGATGTCCTTGAACAGGATCGGCACCTGCACGGTGAGCAGCTTGCTGGCGACCATCAGCGACAGGGCGGCGATTATACGCGATTTGGTCGCCCAGTCACCCTTGGGCCACACGTACTTGAACATGCTCAGGATAATTATCATCCCGGCCTTGCTCATCGCGCCCTTGGGTTTGGCCGGCTTTGCTGCCGGTGGTGTGGCCGATACCTGCCTTTGTGCAGTGTTGGCGGGCTTGGGAGGTGCCCCAGCGGAATGCGTGAGGAGCGTAGGCTTGGCCTTGTCATCTCTGGTACTGCTATACAGCCGGCGTCCGGGCGTTTGCTGTACGGAAAGGAGCTGCCGAATAGCTGCTGATTTCGTCCGCTGTTTGTCTAGCCGCCGGGGCTGGTGGCATTGGCCGAGTATACTGCGGCCAACGGCGGCGACCGATGAGGCCGACTGCATGCGACGTCCTAGCAGCGACGCAGCTGGCTTGCGCGCGCAAAGCCCCAAGGCTAACATTATATGGCTCTATTTTTTTCTTTCTTTTTTTCCCCCCTCCCCGGATAATGGTACGGTTTAAAAAAGCTGAAGAAGAATAACAATGTGGCGGCAATAAAAGCTAAAAATAAAAAAATCAAAACAGGATAACGGAGATAAAGTGCCTCTTGTTGGCTTGTGTATTTGGGAGGGGGAAAAAAGAGTGCGGGGGAAGTGGGGGAGTACAAAAACCACCAAAGACGGCTTGAAGGTTATACTTTTTTATTTTTGGTGCTTGTCATTGAGCATTGAGCAGTGGGCATATTTCCCTTTCGATATCGACCTTTATCAAGCGGAGTAGCGCAGAGCACGCGGTGTTCACGGCTTGCTTACAGAATATGATGACGAGATGGCTAAACGATTCGCACCGTTCGCAAGAAAAGAAAAAAGCCTCGTTTGCACAACAAAGTGGAAATCCCCAATTCCTAGAAATTATTTACATTTGGTCTGCGCAAAACGAGGGAATATTCCTCCAGACCCAAAACCGGCTCATAATAAAAATAAAATAAAAAGCACAATCGGCTCGAGCCGATCAACAACAACAAAAAAAACAAGGCTCTTGCGATAACAACTTTAAAAGAAATTAGAGTCAGCATTTGGGCGGGCACAAAGCTATTTTTGCCTACACCGCGCTTTTTCTCGAAATTCAATTTTTTTTCTTCCTTAAATTCAAATTCAAATTCATATAAATTCTCCATAAAAATGCGTTCCAGAGTGCTTCGTGATATCCAGGCGCGTAGAGCCGTTGTGAACAAGGAGTTGGAGCGGACAATATGGCGGTATCTTTCGCGCAACACCACGCTGGAGCCACAGGTTCGCATGCAGGCACAGTTGGCACTCAACCGCACACCGCGCGAGGCCAGCCCGTCGGCAGTCAAGAACCGCTGCATCATTACTGGACGTGGTCGCGGTGTGTTCAACGAGTGGAAGATGTGCCGCTTCCAGTTCCGCATGCACGCGCTGAACGGAGAGCTGCCGGGCGTCGACAAGGCGTCGTGGTAAAGAAAGAAAAAAGGAGGCGAAGATACTGTAATTGTTTTTTTTCGAGTTTTCAGCAAATACACATACAAAAATAACGAAAAAGGTGTGTTTGCAAAAGCTGTCCCGAGTGGACAGACAGAGAGAGGCATGGGAAGAGATTGTAGCATTTTGGGGGTTATGAAGAAAGGAGAGGTTATCTATTACCAGGTTGCCCGCGACGACTGCTTGGCCAGATCGATCATCTTCCAGCCGTTGGTGACGGGGTCGTCAGCATTCTCGGGCACCTTGGTGAATATCGAAACGTAGTGGCAGGCCTCAATGACGTCCTCCGAGCCCATGACGATCTCACCGGTCTTCTTGTTGCGGAACACGTTGTTCTCCTGCGTCTGGAAGGTGACAACAATAACAGGCACGTCGTTCTCAAGCACGCGCGCCGAGTGGAACTCAACATGGCGCATGTCCAAGATCTTGCAGTCGCTGACAACGCCCTGCTGGATCTGCGCAGTAAAGATGGCCGTCAGCACATTGTACGACGCCTCAGAGCACCACACCTTGAGCGTTGCGGCATCGCTGTGCAGGTACGCGTCGAGGATCTCGGGGATGATAAACTCGCGGCACTCGCGAATAAAGGCCTCCAGGTTAAAGCCAGGATCAATGGTGTCGCGGATCTGGCGCAACGCAGCAGCGGACTCGGTCTCATTGAAGAAAAAGCCAAAGGCGCTGCGCACGCGGTCGGTCACGGCACGCGTGCTCTCAATAACGGGGTTCTCGCTCTCGTTGTAGTTTTTGCGCGCCTGGAAGATCCCCTGCATGACCGAGTTGGTCTGCTTGAATGCATCCCAGCTCTCCTTCCACTTGGAGTCCTTGTGCAGCACAACGCCTTCGCCAGCATTCTCGTCGGCGCGAATAGCGCGTGTGCGCTGGTACTCGGCAAAGGACCGCGCCTTGCTTGTGCGGCTCATGATGCGCGACCGCGCCCGCTGCTCCTTATCCCGGTACCCTCCGTACTGCAGCGACGCCTCGTCAACGTAGCTCTTCACATTCTTTTCCACGGCCTTGTACGCCTCCGTGTTGCGGATCGGGGCCGTGGCGGCCGATGCTGCTGAGCCCACAGCCTTGGCCGTGGTCTTCACCGCTTCGCCGGTGGCCTTGGTCACTGGGTTCTCAGCAACCACCTTGAATCCCTCGCCAACGGCGCTGCCCACAACGTTCGCGGTCTTCTTGAGCACCTCTGAGCCGGCAGACGCTGCTTCCTTTGTCTTCTTCATGGCTGCAGAGTCCGAGATCTTTGTGCCGCGATCCTCGAGCAGCTTCATGTTCTCCTGCAGCTCCTCGTTCTCCTTCACCTGCCGCCGGACTGAGTCGGCGAATGCCTTAAGTGGGCTGATGTGTCCGCCGTTCTGCTGCCTGGCCGACGTGTGCAGGCCGGCAGCGCTGTAGTTGCCGGTGGAGCGAGCAATGAACAGAGCGGGGCTGGCTGTGCGCAGCCGGAAAAGCGCCTTGGTCATCATCTTTTATTTTTATTTAAACGAGGTTGAAATGTGTGTTTGTCTGTGTGTTATTATTCTTGGATAAAGTAAAAGAAAGAAGAATAAATAATGCTGTCAAGGTACAAAATGAGTTGAAGAGATCTAATTTGGAGAGGGAGGGAAGGGTTGTTGGCAAATACTTGCAGATACGGATTAAAAAAAGATACAAAGGTGAAGTTTGTCACGGAACGAAAGCTGGACTCCAGTGATAAAAAAAGATCAGTGAAACACATTCAATACTGAGCCCGAATCAAATTGCGGACGAATCATGCTGACGATAATATTAGTTTTTGATTTGCCCACGATCAAACACCAATCAGATCAAGTCACTGTCATTCTTCAAATGGCTGAGGATTTGGGGGTATGTTTCCCCCTCTCAAATTGCCAACAAAAAAATTAAACAAAAAGCCATGAAGCTTACGCAGCATTTTTTGTTGTTGTTGGATACATCGCATGTTCAAAACAATCATAAATCACAATCAATGAATAAAAATGAAAAATAAAGAGAAAAGCCTTGATGGCCGAGTACCAACATGCCAATGAAAAAAGACATGTTTATTGTTCGATATGTATTGCGGATAAGTCTGGTATCCAAAATGCCTGGACGCGAGAGGGGAGTGAGCAACTTCAGTGTATATAAGAAACCCAATGGCAATCTGCCCTCTAGACTTTTTCATCCGTTTTGTTCTTATCCACATCTCCATCTCCATCTCCTATACTCTTGCAGAATCACGTCCTGTCTATTCCTTATTATATCGCCCTTTTTGGATTCAAGAGTTTTGTATTTCTCATTGGAACGCGAACCTAGACGCGGGCTCACTAGTTAGCGAGCAAATCAAAAAAGCAGTTTTTTTAAAATAAAAAACATCCCCTGCCAACCTCTTGAATACCATTTATAAGATGTGCTTGATGACCCGCCCCAAGAGACATTTTCGTATGTGCACCTGCACATGCATGTACTGTAGGCCTGTGGATAAAGTTACAAGGTTCTAAGCGCAGAAGAAAAAATAACATGTAATAGCGGATCTAACTAAAAAAAGTTCTTTTTCTTTTTGGTTTGTGTAAAGTGCAGCAATTGAAAAAAATAAAAGTGATTTTATTTATTATGTTTCTCCTTTTCGCTTGCTCTGCCAAAATAACAAAAATAGTGTTTTTTCCGCATGGGGATATGTGCGTTTTTGATGAACAATAAACAAATGGACAATGGGCAAATGTGCGTTGTTTTCCTCCCTTTTTCCTATTCATCAATTGTTCAATATGTGCCTTCTTTTTCACTATTCCATGTCCAAAAATAAAAAATTTTATTCAAGCAAAATCAAGAAAAATAATAAAAAAATATAGAAAATGGAGCTAAAAAACAGCATTTTCTTGATAAAAAAATTGCAATATGGTAAAAAGTTTTATTAAAAGCAATCAAGTGTTATAAACTCTTATCCTCGGATATTTACAATGCTTGTTGATTATCCTCGACGCATTCTGCCACAGGATAGCACGGTTGAGTAAAACACATCACTTGCTTCTCTACGCATTTATAGCCTCTCATGCATTTAGTTCTCCAGCAGGGGTGCCAGTTGGAATCGTCGCTCGGGCATGCAGGCTTAAGGGGATTGGCGGTCGACGGCGTGTTTACAGCAACGGCCAAAGCACTGCTGGTCATTGCGGCAAAAGCAAAATAATGAAGAGCTTCATTTGTTTAGAAAGTGATAAAAACTGTAGAATTTTTTATTAATGAGATAAAAAGAAATTTTAAAAAAATGTGATGGGGATTTAAAAAGTTGATGTGGGTATAAGATAGACACACCTCCCATTTTATACATTAATAAATAGTCGCAGCCAAGGCCACCAAAAAAATACATTTTTGAGGATTTATTGTAACCCAAAAATAGATTACATGCGATTGGTTTGTTAGGAAAAATCGATATAGAATATTTCTTGCGCTGATTTCTTTTATTTTGGAATAACATTTTGCTCTTATGCCGCAAAATATCAAGAAAATCTAACAAGAAAAATACGTGGCTGACAGTAATAAACTACGCCCCCACTAAATCCTTCCAAGAAATAACCATTATACATGCGGGAATTTATATGAAAAAGTACGTAATAATATCTCATTTATTATATATGAAAATCCAGTTTAGGGCCCCTGAAATGTATAATCAGATGCTGGTGGGGGGCGTATCAGTTGCACTGTTAAATTAACCTGGCACATCTTGCAATGCATAATTATATGTGCATAAATTTGTTCAAAGATTACTGTATTTATCAAATTAGCTGATTCTGTAATAAGTTATGTGATGTTTGTATTCAAAACTGACAAAATGTGGTGTGCTAAAGCTGCCATTAAAATATTTAAACCACAATATTGTTTGGCAGGTTTACAGGCATAATGCATATATTTCGCATGGCTGTATATCGCATTTCTCTTTCTCCTGTTCATATATTTTGCCTTTAACACATACTTTGCCAATGCAAGGGTGCTTTTAGTTGGCTCTCCTCAAGTGGGCGTGCGTGAGCTGGTTAGAATCAAGCGGCGAGCTGTCCGCAGCGGCAAATGTGGCACCGGCTAAGGCGAAAAGAGCAAAAAGTCACGGTGAGCTTCACTTGGATGGTATTTGGTATAAAATTAATAAAGAAATTGATAAAATGGTAGTGGAGTATCTTAAACCTGAAATGTGTATGACTACTGAGAATATTGCTTGCTTTTATACCTGCGAATTTGTTGCACTGAAAAGTATTATGTATTTTTAGCAAAGGCTCGATCTTAATTATACTGCCTTTTATTTGGTTGTTAAAATTAAAAATAATAAGTCACTATTGGGGCCTATTGTAATTTTTTAATTTAAACAAAGTGACTAAAAGTTGTGTGCTTTAAATATGCACACGTAAGTGCAATGTCCATGCGTCTGAGTACGATGTTAGATATTCAATCACTTTATTGTCCAAGGACTCGTTTTGCGTGCCAGAAAAGGATTATCGCTGCTCGTGAGAAATTTAACACGCCATAAATAGTAGCAGTAGTGCAAGGGTGGGTGGATTCAAATTACAATGTTAAAATACTTGCCTTTATCTCGTTTCAACAAAACATAGCGCTCAAGTTTACACAAATAATAGAAGTTAGGCTTAAAACTAATAATCATCGTTTAAAGATAATGACATAAATTTAAAATCAAAGCAGGCATTCAATAAAAGGTAAGGAAAAAGCATCATTTCTATAGCATGGCATTTAAAAATGCTTTATCATGATAGTTTCACACCAAACCCGTCATATTTTGGGAATCGGATTTTTATCTGAAATATTATTGGACGTTAAAAATTGTAAGCCAGAAATGGATATTGTCTGAAGACAAAAAACAATTTCGAACATAATTGAACGTCCTATGCTAGAATGGAAAACTCATATACACTGCAATCCATCATTTCTGCTGAATAATTGGCCTTGATCCCCTTTTTTGATTCATTGTTGGCTGTTGTCTGAAATGTAATTTTTGAGGGGTTATAAATATAGTAGTAATACTTGCATGTTTTTTGTATGAGACTTGTTAATTATCCCCATTTCTCCCCGCACACACTTCCCTAAGATTAATATGGTGTATAGTAATTGAAACCAGAAAATTTGGCTGTGATAATTTTTTTTGGAAAAAGCAACCCACAGAATGAAACACGATTTTTTTAGAGAAATACACAGCGCCATTGCAGGTTTTGTGCGTCTGTCTTTCCATTTTCGCATATCAAATGAATTTATATTTAATACGCATGCAGGATAATGATATGATACATCTATTTTTGTAAAAAAAAAACTTTATATGGTTTATATTTGCTTAAATATTCAAACTGCAACTAACAAAAATATTGCATTTTTGCAAACCCAGCAGTTGCCAAATTTATGGCATCCATAGTTTAACCAACATTCATATTTATATTAAAAATAACCAATGAAGTTTGCAATTATTTCCATTATATTCTTTGCAGCTTCTGCTGCGGCAACCTGGACATACCCACAAAAGCTTGGAGTCTACACAATGGTTCAAAGACTTGCTCAGGTTGAGACAGGCACTCCAGAAGAGCACATAGTTTACGGAAGGTTGTCCATTTTCTTCAACGACTGGCTTACTTCAGCGCAGCTGAGAAACCCGGTGGAATCAGCGGATTACAGAAATGCTCTCTTTTCGCTGTTGGCACAGATTAATGCTGTCAGGTCCGAGGCGATTAGCGATCCTGCAGGTGTTGATAATCTCGAATTCCTGATTAGTCGCATTAGGCGCTCATACGGCAATTCATTGAGCAATTTTTCAACAACTAGTGTGTCATGGGCTGGTGTTGCAACTGCTCCCCCATATTTGATATAAGTATGCGTGGATTAGCACACAATCTAATAAAAATGTATAAGTTTGTTGATGATATTAGTGTTACAATGATTAGTCAGTTATTGTGATTCAAATACACAGTGTTGAATTCTGGGAAACGTTCTGTGAACGTGTAGGGTGTACACTATGTATAAAGGTGCATTGAATATAAGTACTATGTATTGAGAGAGTCCAGAGAAAAAAATACAACTGTGTTGGGTTACTGCGTGACTTGTAAGTGATTGTGCGTTTGGCTAGACAGCCAAGACTAGTTAATTAGTCGATAGTGTTGCACAGACTGAAGATATGGAAGTGGATGTTGAGGTCGAGAATCGCGAAACAGTTTCCACCTGCGTGCCGATTGATAGGGCAAATTGGATCATGCAGGCGTAAATTAGGGAGCATTAAATGACCCAAACATGCTCCCCATTTTGCAATGCACACGCATGAGCGTACAGCACGAAAACCACAATATTGACTTGCCAAGATACCGGTCTGCTCGCAGAAGATCCAGTTCTCACCAACGGAGCGCACAATTGACAATGTGCACAACAAAGGAGACAGGCACATATATAAGATGAGGCTGGCCCTAGTAGTATTTTAGAAACATTAGTAATAAAACCTTTTATAAAATCACCCTGCCTTTTAACACTAGGCAACTAGTGCTCCTCACACCCCCTCTTACTATAACAATAGCAATCAACCAATACATAGTACTAAAGGCAAATGTAGTTTACTCACATTCCATGAATTAAAAAAGCTTTTTTTTTGGGGGGGGGGGATTTTTGATTATGAAGTGCGAAGTAACAGTATAAAAAAGGAGTGTAACAAATTATTTCTAAATACTCCTTATCACAAGATAGACAGAAATTCGAGTACACCACGTCTATATTTTAAAACATTGCTTTTGTGGTCTTGAGGAATAAGCCATTCATGGCACCAACATTTGTTTGAGAAAATGCTGTGATTGGTTTGAGTAGTTTGCCATCTGTTTTCAATTATTTTTTATTTCTTCTCCCAAACACTGAAACGTATCGGGTTTGGCAACTATAAAAAAAAGACAACACTCTTCTAATTTACAATAAAACATTATCATACCAGCAATTTACAATTCAAATTAAAGTAACTACCAATAATTCAATATGCAACATCAATCATCCATAAGCCAAATTGACCAGGCTGTACAAGATAAATGGTGCAGTGAATGCAAATATATGTATGAGAAGGTATGCCTTCTTCATCATGTGCAAATTTCCCGCAAGTAAATATTTATATCCGAATAGTAAATTCCACAACAACATACATTACTTCGAATAATATACAGCTCAAATAAAGCTTTTTGATATTGCCAGATCCCATTGGCAACTCAGTAAGAATAATTAAAGATCCATTACATCGTTGCACATTCTAAATGTTATGCCATATCATGAGAAAACAATAACGAAACATAAATTAGTTTACTTTTTTGTTTTGGTATTTTGGTATTTTTTTCTGGATTATAATGGTTCCAGGGGAGATGCAACTGGTACCAATAAAGTGGGTGGTTTTGTATAGTTTCTAATGTTTGTTGTGGGTATCACTAAATATAAATATTTTTTAAGTAACAGAATAAATTTGGTGTTTTTGAAATAATAGGCACTTTCTATTAACACTGATGAGAATATCCTGAACAAAAACAAGAACAAAGACGAGATTTCTAAATCTAATATAAAAAGAAAAAAAAGTCACATGGGTTATAAAAAGGATTGACCACCCAATTCCTTTTTATTTCCGCATGAGCAAATGAATAAAAAATTATTAGTGTTGCACACGATTCTCATCAAAAATTGTGTGCTGGCAGCGCGACCAATGGAGATCAAGAATGATGACGAATTCAGTATCATGCGAACAAACAGACCTGAATTTTTTTACTGCTATTAATCTGAAATGACAAATTTATTTGCAAAAGAAAAAATTACTATATAGTAATTTTTTTCTCACACATTTTGTTTCTAAACTCCCTTTTTCTCTTTTACTTTTTCCTCTTTTTACTGTATTTTTTTACTATTTTCATTACACTATTATTTGCTTCTTTTTCCTTTCTCTCTTGTAGCTTAATTACCACTTTTATATATTTTTTATTTAAGGAAACAATACACAAATTTTTATACAATGGACAGCAATTCATCTTTGGTGTTATTATCATCAGTGGGAAGCAGCATATCGACGGTACTTGGATGGGTACAGTATTTTATTTCTATTTGAAAAGTCAGATAATTGTATAAATAGTTTTAGTATTGAAGATATTACTAACAATTGTTATTAAAGTTTTTTGTTGCGATTGTGTTTTTTTTAATTATAGACGTATTTCGTAGCGTGGTCAGTGAGTTTTTATCCACAAATAATCCTCAACTACCGACGAAAAAGGTAAACAAAAAATATCCCTTGAGGAAAAAATACAAAAAAGAGAATTTTTTTCTAACATTCACTTTAAATTTTTTATTTTTATATTTAGTGTCGAAGGTCTCTCTATTGACTTTCTCATCTACAATGTCTATGGGTTCGCCTGCTATGCGCTCTTCAACACAGCGTTTTACTTTAGCAAATCGATCCAAGACGAATACTCCCATCGAAACAACGGTCACAGCCACCTAGTGCGCGCCAACGACCTCTTCTTCTCCTACCACGCGCTCCTCCTAAGCCTCACAACATTTCTCCAATCCCTCTACTACAAACGCACATCAACACAACGAGCATCCACTGTTTCAATATCGTATTTCCTCTTGACACTAACTGGACTCCTTGTTTTACTAGCATGCGGTAGTGGTGGTGATGCTGCCGCTGGTGTTGGTGGTAAATGGGGTGTATACGAAGTGGTGTATTTCCTATCTTCATTAAATTGGGATGCAGTTTGGTCAAGTATGTGCCGCAGATATGGCTGAATTACTGCAGACAGTCGACGGTCGGATGGTCTGTGCACAACATCCTGCTGGATTTTACCGGCGGCTGCTTGTCCTTTGTGCAGCTCTTCTTGGATGCCATACGGGAGGGCGACGTCGGCGGCGTTTGGGGGAACCCAGTGAAACTGGGCTTGGGATTAACTAGGTCGGGTTCGATTTGGTGTTTTTGGTCCAGCACTACGTTTTGTACACGGAGAGGTACGATCCGAAGGATATTGAGTCACAGTTGAGATATAGACAAGTAACGAATTACGGATCGGCTGAGAATAGCGAGAATGAAGATATTTAAATAAAAAAGATAAGGTATAAATTAAAGTGTGGATATGATGCTTTGGACCCATGGGTTGGCGGATATTTCAGTCCGATATTTTGCCTCAAGCTCATTAACCCTGGCAGCGATCTGCTCAGGATGCATGGTATCCAGCCCCTCAGTCTCCGTAAATCAGCCAAAAACAGCTCAATCAACCTCGATCCTTCAGCCATAACATTTTTCCCAAAGGCTTCCTCCATCCTCACGTCCTCTCCGCATCCCCAAATTCCTTGTCCTCCAGTCATCAACCTTCCTCTTGGCCAATCTCACGACAGACTCTGGGAAATTAGCCAGCTCTGCCACATGAATACCAAAACTCTGGTCACACACGCCTTTGCCAATGCGGTACAGCAAAGTCAAGTCCTTCGCGCCCTCCGAAATTTTGGCAATCACATGCAGGTTATCCACGTTCGCAAACTCCCTCTGCAGCTCGGTCAGCTCATGGAAATGGGTCGCAAACAAGCACAAGCACCTAATCTCCTTAATGATATGCTCAGAAATAGCCCAGGCCAGCCAAATCCATCATACGTACTGGTTCCGCGGCCCAACTCATCAATGATAACCAAAGACCGTTCCGAGGCAGTCTTCAGAATCGACGCAGTCTCAAGCATCTCCGCCATAAACGTCGACACGCCCTTCATCTGCGCATCCCCGGCACCGACGCGCGCCAAAATGCAATCAAACAACGGCAGCTCCGCGCTCTCACAGGGCACAAAGCAGCCGATCTGCGCCATCAAGGCAATAACGCCGATCTGCCGAATGTACGTCGACTTGCCGCCCATATTCGGGCCAGTAATGATGGCAAAGTCGGACCTTCCACGCGCCATCTCAACGCCATTCGCGATGAAACTCACCCCGTCTTGGACTTCCAAGCAGGGATGGCGGGCGTCCACCAGACGCAGCACCTCGGCGCCCACCCGTGGCCTCGTATACGGCACCGGCGCCGAAGCCGATGCCTCGGCAAACGCCAAGACAACGTCGAGGTGCGCCACCAAGGCGTTGAGCTGCGCCAGTAGCGGGCAATACGACGCTGCCACGCGGACCACCTCGCGGACAAGCTCCGCCTGGGTCTTCGCATAGGCATCCGCCTGCTCCGCCCACGCGCGCGCAGCATCCCTCAGCGCCGCCGTAGTGAAGAACACTCCAGTCTTGAGCGTGGCCAGCTCAAAGAACCGGGACTTCCCGCGCAGCCTCGCCGCGTCCACGCGCGATACCCGCAGGCAGTAGCCAAAGGACGCGTGTTTCTCCAACTTGACTTTCTTGTAGGCCTCCAGGTCCAAGGCATCCGACACCTGCTGGAGCTGCGCGAGAATCAGATCCATCGCCGAGTCCATCTGCGCACGCGTATCCTGCAGCGCCTCGTCAAAGTCCGCGCGCAGCATGAATTCATGCTGGTCGGCCATTTCCAGATCCACCGTGGTTTCGACCAAATCCCGCAGCGGCCCCAGGCTGTCGGCTATCTGGCGCACAGGCCCAAGTACTCCTCCCGGACCATCGCCTCCCTTGCATCCTGCTGCTCACTGCCAGCGGCAGCGTGTGATAGTGCGTCGCCGAGCGCCGGCAGCGCATTGACGAGCTGGTAGACCCGCACGATATCCTGCAGGGACGCACGCGCGCCGCCCTGCAGCCTAGACGCCAGCCGGGCGAGATCCGGAAACACCCGCAGTGCGTCTGCCTCAGTGCATTTCTCCGCTCAGCGTCAACAAAAAACACCTCCACAAGGTCCAGCCTCCGCTCAATCAGCTCGCGGTCAACCAGCGGCTGCTTCAGCCACTGCGCCAGCAGCCTACGCCCCTGCGCCGTCCGGCAGCGATCAAGCAGCCCCTGGAGACTCATATTGCGCGGCATCTGCGGCCGGTGCAGCAAATTAAGCGCATCCAGCGCCGAAGCATCCAGCTTCATGAACTGCGCCAAGGAATGGGTGCGGATGGCGTACGTCCCGTGCGCGGAGTCGTCCGAGAGAAGCCCGAGGTACTGGAGCGCGCAAGCCAGCGGGCCGAGCGCCAGCGTCAGCAGAAGCTCCGGCAGCGCAGCCACCGGCGCCGTGGTGTTCAGCAGCCGGGCGAGGTCCTGCTCGATGTTTTTGGCCGAAAACAGCGCGCGCTCGCACGCCGTCAGGACAACGTTGCAGCGGGCCAGCATGGATGCGAGCCGCCGGCGCGCAGCACTGGCAGTGCGCTCCTCGACGACGAGGCATTCGCGCACGCCCAGTTGGATCACCAGGGCCTCGAGGTTGGAGAACACGTCCGAGTCCGTAAACACGCAGACGCCCAGCGTGCGCTGGGCTGGGTCAACGAAGCCAACGCCGATTTCGCCAGATCCCGACACATGCACGGCCATCAGCGGCGCATCCACCATGTCCCGTTGGCAAACAGCATCTCGTGCACCTGCTGGAGATTCCCTGGTGACGCCACTGTACATTGCCACTCCCCCGCCTGCTGCTGCTGGTTGGGTGCGCGGTATATTTCCACGCGTTGGCCTTGCGATAGGAGGGCGTCGCGGAGGAATGACTCGCAGATGGTCCGCGAGAGCGTGCATGTCGGATGGGTGCCGAGGCGTTTGAGCACCGAGGTGGTTTTGAAAACCGTCGTTGCTATGTAGGTGGCGTCGGCGCCGATGGCTGTGAAGTACTCGGGGCGCTCGAAGAGCCGCAGTGTGTTGGGTGGCTGCGCGGGGAGTGTGCTGATAAAGCGCAGCAGCTGGCTCTGGTCGCTGCTGCTGCTTTTGTCGTTGGGAGTCGAATCAGTCGCTGGAGTAGCTGACATTCTTGAATGTAATTGCCAAAAGCTGTTTTTGGGCTTTTGAATTGAATTGAATTGAATTGAATTGAATTGAATTGAATTGAATTGAATTGAGGTGAAGTGAAGTGAAGCGAATTGAAGCGAATCAAAGCAAAGTGAATTGAAGTGAATTGAGAGAATAAACAAAAAGTGTATGAAAAAAGGTTTTTTATTTTGTTTTGTTTTGTTTAATTTTCCGTTGTGTTGGCTTGATCCTTTAACTTCACCCCTTTCTTTCGTCAAAGGCGTATGGTCTTGTTTTTTCTGACTCTTGCGTCTGCTTAAACTCTCTTTCTTTTTTTTTCCATTCATCAATTCAATGCAATTCAATGCAATTCAATGCAATTCAATGCAATTCAATGCAATTCAATTGAATTCAATTCAACTCAATTCAACTCAATTCAACTCAATTCAACTCAATTCAACTCAGCTCAGCTCAACTCAACCGCAGCTCGCTTTACTTTTTACAGCCCAACAACACACAAATGGCCCCTAAAAAGCGGCGCCACGCACACCAGCACACAAAGCCATACCGCGGCTCACCCGCCGCCACCCGGCGCAGCCCCAATCTCAGCATCAAGAACACCGCGCCCCCCTCGCCCTCACCACCGCTCGCACCCCTGCCCGCACCCAAACCCTCTTCCAATCCCCCCACCACCACCCTGCACTGGTGCCAAACACCGGGCCAAACCACCAAAGTGCAATTCCTCGGGCCCCTCTCCCCCACGGCCCACCAGGGAATTCTGCAGACCGCCTCCACGGCGTCCTCGCGGTCCATCCTGGTCCAGGGCATCTGCCCATTCCACATTGTTGCGCGCCACCACAGCCCGGACGGGTCCACGGACCGCCGCGGATGCAGCACCCACGTGCACGAAACCTCCACGCATACGATTGGAACAGAAATGACCGCTGACCCAAGACAACTGGCGCTAGTCACAGCGCCGCTGCCAATGGATGTTCTGCTCAGGTGTCCGGAGCTGCGCCCAATCAGTCTGTACTATTACATGGACCGCGTGTTTAAATGCACGTATGCGCAAAAGTACCGCTCGCTGGTGGGTGGCAGTGGGGAGCCCGTGGGGGTAGCGGATGTGCCGCCGGCGCAGTACCACCCAAGCCCTTGGTGCTGGCGCCACCTGCAGATGCGCGCCATGGAACCCCAGTGGATGCGCGACCCCGCACAACTGTTTTCGCTCGATACTTGGTCCAGCATTATGGGCGCTGATCTTCTGTTTTATAAGCGTGGGCTTTCCGTGCCTGTGCCCGCGGACCGCCGGTTTTCCGCACCGGATGCTTCCCCAGTGGCATTTGCCTTTGCAACACAGTTTCAGCGCAGAATAATGCGCCGCCAGGCATTGCGGCATATGGGTGGTGCGCCGTGGTATTTGGACGCGACGTTTGCGTTTAAACAAGATGGGTTCCAATTATGGTCCTTGTTCTGCGAAGTTAAGGGGAGAACCGTGCCGTTGTCATTTTTGGTCACGACGGCGGTGACTGTGAGACTACTGGTGGATTGGCTTTTGGAACTCACTGCTGTGCTGGGAAACGTATTGCCGAGCCACACGCTGTTTGTTAATTCCTTAAGGCTGTGTGAGGGGCTAAGGGATGTATTTGACTCATGGGACATTAGATACGCCAAATACTATGTCGTTCAGGATCTGCGATACTGCCTGCGCCAGCAGCTGGAAAACGAAGACGAATACGAATATGAAGAGGGGGAGGTTGGTGGGTGGGTGTTTTCGGAGCTTATACGTCGGGCAGTTTCCGGTCTGCGGTCGGATTTCCGGGAGAATATCTTGGTAGTCAGGCAGGCATTACCACTCACCTCGTACATTCGGTATATCTGGGACCAACGCTCCTTGTGGGAGCCACGTGGGGAAAGAGAATGGCGCAGCTTTGATTATTCTTTGGATGCTGTGGGTCGCTGGAGATACCTTTTGTGGATGAGTCTTTTGCCCAGACCCAGAGTCAACCGCGTTGACTCTGTAGTGTATTTTTTGAACGAGATGATTAACGGTATACGCGACTCCATGCAAGACACAGGTGGGGGCCAAGGTGAGAAAGGGGAAATTGGAGACACACAGGCGGACGTGGAGATGGAAGGGGAGGGTGAGGAAATGGTGCCCTTTTGCTTGGACTCCTTGGAAATGGGTAACCATCGGCTGGGCGGTAATTTGCGTGCATCTATTGTTAAGAAACTCGGCAACCAGTTGTTCTGCTTTGTGTCGACCGATAGAGAACTTGTAGATAAGGTTATTGTGGATTTGGATATGCGCGTGTGCTTTTGCGAAAAATTCGCACACAGTCAGGTTTGTGATCATCTGATATACTGCTCCCAGGATCAGATACACCACCCAATACTGCCCAAGCTAATGAGTGAACTCCCCAAAGCCTAAATTAAGTGATAGAAAGCATTAAATATTAAATAATATGTTAATCCCGAGGGGATTTGTAAACAAAGAAATCAAGCCATGGTTGTGTTAGACTTTTGTGCGACGTAGCACAGCTGTAAAAAAAATATTTTTATTTATTCATTATATAAACTTTATTTTCAACGCTAAAATAATTATATTCAAAAAAAATAATTGAGATTATACTATCTGCCCTCAAAACACCTATTTAAGCAAATTGACTTGTCGTAGACAGAAGTTACATGGTCATTCAGGGAGGTACATACGGGTAGGTAGGAGCAGTGATGACGAACGCCCTCAATATGCTTGCCACAAGGAACCCGTGGATGCATCTATTGCTGACAAGGACCATTCTCATGCCGGAGACAATGGCAATTCAAGCGTAGGGGTGGACTCAGATTTGGAAGACTAATACTTCCTGACTTTGAGCATGCTTCTCCTTCCACTTCCGCTCCCAACTCCAAGAGAAAGAAGACACATTTGGCCGCAGACATTCCCAAGGATGCGTACGATGAGACGTACGAGGAGATCAGTCAGGCAGTACATAAGGTGAACGGTATAATCGAACGCCGATCCAATATAGCTGACCAACCCAGGCCGTCGAATATAACTAACATAGTCCCAGAACCAAGCGGCCACTCTGCCAAGGCCATTGTCGATACATGCAAGAATCTGTCCAGCCTGCCAGCAACATGGCTGGTCTTGATTTTGCCGACTCAGTAGCCCCCAGATCCGACAACGATTTTCTTCTTGATCTGTCAACGCAACAAACTTACTCTTAAAACCATAAACAAATTGAGAAATTTTATTAACGCTAGAATCAAAGGTTGCACTTGTAATAGTGTGAGCGAACACCATTAGAATTATTTGCTAGACATGGATGGAGCGGCGATTTAATAACAAATAAACGGTTTATTAAATAAAAGTCGCTCCGCCTTATCAATCAAAGACCGTGAGCAATAATATATAACCGCAATTGGTAGCAATTGCGGTCGTCAAGCGACATTGCTTTAATTGATGTCACAATGTGCTTTGTCGAAGATGTGAAGGAGTTCTATGGATGTGCTTTTGGACAGTACAATAATCTTGACTTTTAAGAAAAGATGTTAACGCGGTATCTTTTTTTATGTTTTCAAATTAAAGTTTGTTTTTTATTATCAACATTGACCACTTCACTTGAACATGGCATTTGGAATGTAAAGAAAATTGAATTTTACTCACAACAATAACGCCGGTGGCTTATCAATTTTAAATTTTCTGCTTGAGTGCGCTGGGATTTTGGCATATGAAAAAAAAGTTGGTTGACTGAATTTGACTGGCCTCACAGAAAGTCTCTTTGTTCAAATTCCCCAGTCAGAAGGAATTTAGCAGGGCCACAGTAAAAAAAATCAACATTAGAAATCAACAGTTTCACTGCTAATTTAACCATTGGCCCAATGGTTATTGTTCGAGATGATACTTTTTGGAAATATTAAATATGCAAGAATATACGAGATTTTCAAGTCGACAAAAAGCTGCCCAGCTCCTTCGCAGCCCTCCGCACCGCATCTGTCGCTCCCTGGATCCCTAGCACAACAACGCGCTCATCGCCCAAAACCCTTGCACTATCCCGACACAACTGGAACTTCTTCGCAAGCACTCCGAACACCCCCAAAAGCTGCACCTGCGCATCCGCATTATCCGTGCACTCAAGGAACCGCGCCGCCGCTGACAACACCCTAAGCCCATCATCATCGCTCCCGCGCTGAGCCACCATCACAGCGTAGTTCAAGTACATTATGGCCAACGCACTGACCAAGTTCTTGTTCGATACTGTGATCCAGGAGTTGTCCAGCGCATCCAGTATACGCTTGCGCGACTGGTAGAGAAGATCGGCTCCGGGAGCCGTTGAGAAGCCGTTGGCGTAGGCGCGCGCGCACATCATTAGGTTGATCTCGTCCGACTTGCTCAGTCCTCCCTGGAGCCTAGGTGATCCAACAGAGCTGCCCAGAAGACGGAAAAAGCCCGTGGCTTCGCCGATCGTATCGATGAACCCGGTTTGCTGTTGGCTAAACCACTGCAACAGCGCCAATGTCAAGTCCGGCGAAGAGGAGCCCACAATGAGTCGAATAAGGTCAAGCGCTGGGAACCGCTTGTCCTCGGGCCACTGCGTGGCCGCGCGCAACAGGGAGTCAAATTCAAGAGTGGAAATACCCCCGGGCGCAGAGCCAGCTGCTGCCGCCACCGCCACCGCTTGGATACCCTGGATCTGCATCTCGTTCAGTGCCAGATCCGCACCAACCTCGGCATTAAACTCGCCCAATTTCTTCATAATCCCTGCGACATTTCCCTGTCGATTAATCACAAACTCGCTAGGCGGCGCATACCCCTGCGCGGCCACCGCCGCTTGTCCCCCAGGCACATACCGGTTCCCGCCAGTAAACGGATCAGCATACCTGGCAGACGTCTGTGTCGCCGCTGACTGTCCGCCGCCAGGCACATAGCGACTGCTACCTGTGAACGGATCGCCAAACGCTGGCTCACTGCCAAGCTGCACCCCGTCAGTGTTCTTAATAATAAAATTCGCAACCGTGTCGAGCTGGTCCAGGCTCAACTCATTGCGTTCCAAGAATTTCTGCGCCGCCATATACGGGTTCTCCGTAACATTAAATGGCAGCTTCAGCGGCGGCATGCCCTCTTGGATATCCACGTCAAAGACATAGTCGTACTCCTTACCGTCAAACAACTGCTTCTGCGTCTGCCCAATAGCATCCACAACCTCCCCAACTTTATTCCACTGGCCCTGGTCCCACTGGTAGGCCTCAACGGAGCTGCCGCTGGTCTTGACCATGATAACCTGCTGGTCCTTGTTGCCTGGCTGCTCCAGCCGCTCTGGGCCCGGTAGCTTACTCGTATCGATATTCCCCATGGTCTTCTTGCTCATAGCGAATGACGCGTTGGCCGCCTCAAACACTGTCAAGTTCTCGGCCGACGCAGCCCGGGCTGGATCCGTGGAGAACACCCGGACAACGCCGTCACTCGTCCCGCACGCCACGTCTCCGTTCTCTAACACAGCCACCGCCCACACGGACGTAGCCGGAACCATAATTGCCTGCACCATCTTGCCGCCGCGCCACACCCTCACCGACCTATCCTCGCCTCCGGATACCAGACCACCGTCCGGCAGTGCGCTGAGCGAGTAGACAAACGAAGTATGCCCGTACATCTCCGCCTCGCACGTGCCGTCCAAGGACCACACGCGCACCGAGCTGTCATTCCCTGCCGACGCAAATCCCCCTCCGGGAATTTCCACAAGGGCGCGCACGCAGTCTGTATGTCCCTCGTACCTTTGCACCATCTGGCCGTCGCGCCACAGCCTGATGACCTTATCTGCCGACCCCGTTAGCACCGACCCATCCTGCAACACCACCACGCACCAGACGGCGTGCTCATGGTCGCGCAATACATATTGACACCGGCCATCCACCCACACCCGCGCAGTCTTATCCCACGACCCTGACACCAGCGTCAGCCCATCCGAGGACGCCGCCAACGCGCAGACATTATCTGTATGCCCCTCGAGCTTGCCCTGGGGCTCCGAGGGCGACGCCGGATCCCACAGGTAAATGACTTTGTCACTGCCTCCTGTTGCAATCAGCCCGTGGGGCGTTGCTGAGGTGATACATGAGAGGACCGTAGTGCTGTTAACGAACCCCGTATGCCCAAGAAGAAGCGCCTCTTCCGTGAACTCGTTGCCGGAGAGCCGCGTTGAGATGCGCCCGGTTTTGTCCCGCGATACCGAAACTATCATATTGCTGCCTTGCGTGGCTAGACCGCGCACATCTGACGTGTGCCCGCTTATCACTGCCGAGAGTTTGAACGACATGAATGTTAAAAATGATTTTGTTGTTTAAATGAGATGAAGTATTTGTGCTTATGAATTGTGAAATGAGAAAAAAGAAGAGAAAAATAAAGTTGGCTATAAAGATAAAAGGAAAAAAGAGAAAAGGCAGGAAAATGGTATGCCAAGGAGCCTTTTATTTTGACACTCCTCAACATACCCTCGCCCACAAAGAGCTTAATAGAATTAGCGATGACGCACGCACAAAATAAAATTCTTGCTGGACCAAAATTTTATATTTAGCACGTGATAATGGCCAGATTTACTGATGTGATCGATTTGATCAATTTGATCTACGCACATCGCCCAGGGTAAATAAGAATGACAATGTCACAACAGTGGACGGACATTTTCAGCCGGTCATCAAGTTTATACAAATGCCTGGTGCCCGAGTAAAATACCACTTGGACCCTTCTAATTCGATCAAGGATTCAAAAATCGTCGATCCCATCGAAATTTCTAAAAAAAACTGTATTTGGGAGGTGCTAGACGACATAAAGACCTACAGCTTGGTCAATATTTGGCATGGACAATGTCATCGAGTCGCCAATTGATGGGTTCCTCTGCAGCGTCTGGACGAAGCAGTGAAAGACTACTTGCAGACGTCTTCTCTAGTCACCCCTGCAACTGATGGCCGCATGTTTGAGATAGTGGCCAGGGTCTGAAATCGATAAAAACGTAATAAAAATATTTCTTCGACATAATGTATACGTTTATTTTCGCAATACTGCAAATAATTAATTTAATTCGGAAACAACATTGCAACATAAATATTAACGTATGGAAACCAATCGATTACTCAGCCTTCATTGTTACTGTATATATTATAAATCTGGATGGAATCAGATATATTTATATCAATTAGTCTACCTTTTTATTCATAGAAACGCACTACACATAAATGTTTACTTTTACTTTCTCAGTACATACGCCAATGCATAATTGACATATATAAAATTGACATTGTGCTCATGAATAAAGCAATTTTATTGTTGGATTTTTGAAGCACTCGTTTTTTAATATCATTATGGGCGCACTATATCCAAATGGGCGCTACTTTTCTCGCACAGTCGCCATATCCGAATAATATTGTTATATGCTTCTTTAGTCCTTCGTTTATATATTTCTCTGCTCAAAAAATCAGTTATACAATCTTGACAATATGGTCGGCAAACATTTATAACACATCCGCTGTTATGATCGTTTTCAAAATTCCTATTCAAATATTCCCTAGACATTACATTTCTACTTCTGCTGCCGTTCACTCTCATATCCCTTTTCGCTACAAATTAGTTTTTAAATTTCCCACTTCCAATTTTTACCTCGTGTAATGGATACGCTCACTTGTCTTTTACCCTCGCCAGCTTATCTTAACTTCAGTAGCCCAATACAATTTTCCTTGGCAGCTGACAAGAATTTTGCATTCTCTTGTTTATTGTTTATCGTTTTAGGTTATGTGCTTATCGGCAGATATGCCAAACTCAAAAGTATGCCATTCAGGCTGTGGTGCAAAAAGGCTTGCCCTGAGCTTACCAAACTATTTATTAGCCTGGCCGTTCACATTCTCAAACAAGGACCAGTCCCCCAGCATATTGCTTTTATATTAGACGGAAACCGGCGCTTTGCCCGCTTACACAATATGACAACCAAGGAGGGACATCGACTTGGCCTGCAAAATATTGAAGACATAACCACGTTCTGCAGTGACTTGGAAATTAAAAATGTCTCCGCGTACGTTTTTTCTACCACCAACTTCAAGCATTCAAAAGAGGATGCAAACGCAATTATGGATATATTGATGCAGAGACTATTACAGATAGACCAGTGGGATTTGGTTTCAACGGGAAAGTGCAGAATTCGGTATATTGGTAGATTAGAGGTGTTATCGCAAAGCATGCGTGATGCCATTGAATACGCTGAAAATATGACTAGAAACAACACAGGAATAACACTGAATGTTTACTGTCGATATTCGTCAACGGATGAAATGACCCGGGCAGTATGCTTACAAGCAGAGGAAGGCGAGGATTTTAGAGTTTCAAAACAAACAATGGAGGACTGTTTAATGGTTCCTGGGCCGGACTTAGATATTCTGGTGCGCACATCAGGCAAAACTAGATTCAGCAATTTTATGTTGTGGCAGCTCTCCAAGATGGCTTACATCCAGTTTGTTGAAGTCGATTGGCCGGGATTTTCTTTTACACACCTATTTGCCATTTTGCTGTCGTGGCAGCTTTCTGCCAAAAAAATCAAGAACAAAAAACAAGTTTGTTTTTCTGAGGTTTGCGCTACTTTCTAATAATTAATAAATTATATTAACACAGCCAACACTAAATAATTTTAACGTCAACACAGTACATGCTAATTTTGAATTTCGAAACGCAAAATATTCTACACATTTGGTTAGCTTTCGCATCGTATATTGTGCTGTAAACTTGTTTTCAATGTATTTTGAGTATTTATCTTTATAACGAATTGACCTCATTTTTATTTATCAACCAAATGCATATAAAATACAGAGATGTCATAAATACTAATGTAGATCGGTTTATGTGCGTGTCACTAATATAGATGAGGCTTGCGATACATAATCTAAATATTGACTGCTTAAAAATCACATTTCAATTGAACTAGAAAATAAATAAATAATGGCAAAAAATGTTATGCATGGTTTTACTTTTACATTATCATTGATAAAATTAAGAAGTAAAAATGGCTTGCAAACAATGTCTAAAAATGTGAATACACGATTTATTTGCGCCACCAGTGCCAGAGCTGAATGAGCCACCTAAAATAATATTATTAGATTTTATTTTTGATGCATATTAATGTATTTTTTGTAAATAAAAATAAACGAGACAATTTCAACAATGCTGCTGAACATGTCCAAACAAGAAAAAACCATAGTAAAATATCCTTATTTAATCCATTAAAGCATAAAGCAATACACCCAATAACAAATATTTATAATACATTATTATTCAGTTCATTTTTATGATTTTATTTGTTATACCTTTTTATTTCGCACTTATAGCCCTGGGCTATGTTGTGTTGCTGGGAGCTACTCCAAACGCAAACACTTACCATTTAAAAAGCAATGCCAAAACATATACTTTAAACTTTACGAATTACTGATCAATGCGGCTATTCATATTATCAAACAAGGGCCAGTCCCCCAACATATTGCTTTTATAATGGACGGAAACCGACGCTTTGCACGCTCTAAAAATTTGATGCCAAAAGAAGGGCATAAATCAGGCCTGTTTAATGTTGGTACTGTGGTTGCGCTTTGCAGTGCCTTAAAAATTAAAAACGTATCTTTGTATGCTTTTGCTATCAACAACTTTAAGCGCCCAAAAGAGGAGGTAGACGCAATTATGGATCTGATGATGCAAAGAATATTAAGTATAGATGAGTGGGATTTGGTTTTAAAGGAAAAGCCCAGAATTCGGTATGTTGGTAGATTAGAAATGCTTTCGAAAAGCATGCGCGATGCCATTGAATATGCTGAAAATATGACTAGAAACAACACAGGAATAACACTGAATATTTACTGTCCGTATTCATCAACGGATGAGATGGCTCGGGCTGTTCGCTTAGTGGCAGAGAAGGGTGAGATTCAGAGTTTAGCGAACAAAAAATAGAGGACTGCTTAATGATTCCGGGGCCGGACCTGGACATTCTGGTGCGCACATCGGCGAAACTAGATTCAGCAATTTTATGCTGTGGCAGCTTCTAAGATGGCTTACTCCAATTTGTTGAAGTCAATTGGCCAACCTTGTCTTTGCTCCATATACTCCGCATCTTGTTTTCGTGGCAAATGTCATGCAGTAAGATTCAAAAGATCAAAAGCAAGAGCAAAATCTCTAGACTTGGCACCACATCCGGTTAGCTAGTATTATTTCTTAAAAGTATATTACAGCATCTAACCGTATACGTTTTTAGTAACTATAATTATTAAATTATTTATAAAAGTAACATTTTAAACGAAAATAAAAAATTATGCCGGTAACTGCGCCAATCTGGCAACATCCTTTTAATTTTTAATTTTATGACCCTGCCCATACATCGCATTGCATTCGAGTGTGCATAACTTTGATTTTGCAGGCTTTTTGCGCAGCAACTGCCAAAAATGCAAAAATGTTTTTATAAACTTTGTCACTGTATTAATAACATTTAAATATTTTTATCATGTCTGGATCTGGCCAACACCCGCAACAGCGTCGTCGGTTTTGCATTCCGACCGTTGAAGAGATTGAACAGAATCGTTTGGAAACAGAGCGGCGATTGGCCCCTTCTGAAAATATGGCTTTTGTCAATATTGACGTGTCGGCTTCGACTTTTTTTTCATCTATGCAAGAGAAGTCATTGGCCTCCGCATCAGCTACCCAGCATCTCTACAACCGATCAGCCGCAACTGGAAAAGCAGTCCGCAGTCAGCAGCACGCCTGGCACTACAAATGCCAACCAAACGGCTCCGCCTGTTATTTCACCCGTCAAAAGCTTCAGCCAGTCAGTGCAGGTCAACGACCTTCAAAGGGGCAATCCATTGTTGGCATGCATAAGGAACGTGCGGTGGAGTTATAGCAAAGACATTGTCCCTGACTATATTGTTGGGCGCACTTCGTGTGTGCTCTACTTGAGCGTAAAGTACCACCGTTTCACCCAGAATATATTGGCAAGCGAATTGAGGGCTTGGGGAAGTCCTTCCGCCTGCGCGTGCTGCTTGTTTTTGTGGACACTGAGGACTCCAAAATTCCATTGCGAGAGATTAACCGCATGGCACTACTGCTGACATGACAGTATTGCTTGCATGGTCGCTGGATGAAGCAGGCAGGTATATCGAATCGCTCAAGGCGTTTGAAAATCGGCAGCCAGACATAATTAGGGAGCGCGTCGATGACAACTATATGGCCAGGCTGACCAATGCGCTGACTAGCGTCAGGTCAGTCAACAAAACTGATGTCCTAACGCTGGCGACAAACTTTGGGTCATTTGATGGCGTTGCCAAGGCCACTGCGGATGAATTGACATTATGCCCGGGAATTGGTGATCTTAAAGCGCAAAGATTGTTCAAAGCACTCAACGAGCCATTCATTCCTGAAAAGTAGCATCGAACAGATATTGAAGTTTTAAAAAAATATATTTTTGTGAAATACAAACGCAGCTACATTCATCGCGCGGAAGATTTCAGGACAAAATTACCGCCTACTGATCGCGCGGCACCCAGCCCATAGTTATTATTTGAAGGCTGTGTGTTTTGTGCCAAATCTGTTTATCGTCGCTGGATAAAAACTGACAATGATAGGGGTTTTTATTACTATTTCACATTCAACTTTTAACATATTTATTGCTTACTTCTCCAGCAATGCAAGCGATATCACCACCACCATCGACTGCTTCTAAACGCGATGTCATCAACCTCAGCGGCTCTGGCGAATTGCAGACAATTGACCGCCTGAATTTGCTTCCTTGCGCTATTAAATATGACGGAGCAGCAAATTCAGACACATACTTCTTGCCTGCCAAGCAATCAGACGATACATACGAGGCATCGTTCAGGGGACGCCAGCTGTTCGGATGTAAAATTGCACTTCCGAGCTCATATGTTGGGCATGTGCTTATTGACACGACCGTTGAAACCAATACACATGATTCGGCATTCGAGTCAGAATTCTCTGAAGAGTCAGCAGTTGAGTATAGGGAATTGCTATCTGTGAGCAGCTTTGACGCACTGACTGTATGGGAGCATGACCGAGTTCCGCCAGCTGATGACGACGAGTTTATCAGCTCTTTGGAGTGGATTGACGTTGCCGCGAGTATCCATGCCGATTGCAGCAGCGAGAACTCGAGCTGAAGATTCAGTGTAATATTAGCCGGGAGTTTCCTTGTCTTTTTGTCAATAATTTAAAAGGGCAACACGACAGTCACACGCACTCGGGAATTATAACAGTTATATTGGTCACAAAATATGCGTATCACGTCCTGCGAGTCATCAGCACAACATTGTTTTAATAAAAGTGCAGGGTGCTAAAAGCAACAATTGCAATAAAAGTTACAGCATATATATGGGATTAGCTCGATTACAACATCCCTGGGAATAGAATAATGCGAAATTGGCTGACTAGGTCATCACGCTTACTTATACTCCTAGTCATGTATTTCTTAATTATCCGCGTAAGCGTAGCACTTGGAAGGTTGCTGTTGTGACCACTGGTGCTAATTAATTCCCAGCCAATTGTCGGCCTTTCCTTTTTTTGCTGGTACGCTGCACTTTGCATGATATAACAACAGAAAAATACAAATTCACCAAGGCATGGTTGCTCATGAATTTCATCGCCCACCCCCCTTCGCGCAAACTCGTCGATTATTTATTTACTGCTGCAAGCAATTTTCCGGATTTTTGAAATGCGGGAGAGGAATATGGAATACGATAATCTGGGGACAATAAAAAGGTGGATGAAATCTACAATTCGAATTAGCAAAGACAATTAACAAACACATTGCTTTTGCCTTTTTTACAGACATTTTGTAATAATTTTGCGCACATACTTTTACTCGATTACTTGTTGACTAATTTACCCCCTGATATTCACTAAACAATCGCATTATCTTTTTGATATTAATCCTTGTATTTGTATTATTCACATTTTGGTAAGCTTTCCCTACTAAATGGCTTTATATCTAAAATTTTGAAAACACATGAATTTAAATTACAATTCAATACGCATTTTTACGTTATTTTGAAATTGTCTTTTTTATTACCAGGTGGCCGATAGCCCAATCTACACACATGTTGCCCCAAGTTTTTTCTAGCAAAAATGACTGTTTTCTGCAAGCGACTATATTAAATTTTCCACGTTGTCATCGATCATACTAACAGGCAGACAGACAACACCCTATTTATGAGTAGCTAGGGATACTGTAACCTTAAATGGCGCCGATGAGCAAGGCGTTCTTATACTCATGTTAAATTGATTGGTAGTAATATTAGTAGTACCCACATATTTTTTGGCTTATCAACGCTGTTCCCCACTCAAGCTGCTATGTATGGCAAAGTGTGCCACGCTTTAACCCCATTTCCCGACAGCTTCTAATCTTTTGTGGCCCCCGTGGCACAATATATACGTAATCCTTGCTGGAATATTTGTTTCCAACATTGAATTATCGAGCCATTTTCCCAGTTTATTCTGCACTTTGACATTTAAGTATACCCGAGAGGATGACCACATGCGTGGCTACATTGGTTAATCCGTTCGGGCTGCATTGTACAGAACTCCATTGGTATATGTAAACGAAGAAAGTAGAAAAGCAAAAATATGACTGAACTTTAGTTTTTCAAGCCCTTTTATTTTTACAATTTTCTCGATAGCCATTTTATGACTTGACTGTAAGCGTAATTTTAAAGTACTCTATTTGTATTCACTACTGTATCTATATCCCAATCAAACATTTTATCCTTCTACTTTGCTAATCGCTAATTACTCTGTTTGATATATAGATATAGACCGCTGCAATTTTGACTATTGTGGACGAATTTTTAGCAGCGTATAAACCGCATTTTATTTTTATTTTTATTTGCTCTTTGAGCCTCTATTGTACTACTTGGCTACAATGAGGGTGGTACAGATACTCGGGCAGCAATTACGTTGCTTCTTTTCTCAGTCGCAGACAGCTCCCCGGCGGGATTATCCAAGCGATTTGGCAAGGGTGGCGACGTCATTCGTGGGGTCAACTTGGGCGGACTATTCGTGCTGGAACCATGGATTACACCGTCGCTATTCAAACAATGGGAAGGGCCTAACCCCCAGGCCGTGGACGAATGGACTTACTGTCAGACGCTGGGAAAGAGTGAGTGTGAATCGAGACTCAAACAGCATTGGGGCAGCTGGGTTACCGAAACGGACATCTCCACACTTGCAAAGCTGGGTCTAAATCACGTCCGCATCCCCATTGGATACTGGGCGTTCACGGTCAAAAACGACGAGCCATACGTCCAGGGCCAAATTCCATATCTGAAAAAGGTCCTTGGGTGGGTGGGCAAGTACAATCTCAACGCAGTTCTTGACCTACACGGCGTTCCTGGGTCGCAGAACGGGTTTGATAACTCTGGCCGTCTGGGCGGCATTCATTGGCAGGACTCTCAGGAAAACATTGAGCGGTCTATTGAGGCCCTCGAGGGTTTGGCTCGCATTGCTGCAGAGTTCCCTGACGTTGTCGATGCCGTCCAGGTGGTCAATGAGCCCGCAAATTGGGGGCTGTCTAAGCAGGGCATCATTGCCTTTTATAAGCAGGCGTACACAAGTATTCGCAACATTGCACCCAACGTCCTCATAGTCATTCATGATGCTTTTCTCTCACCGGCTGAGTGGAACGACTTTAATGTCCCTGGATGGGAAAATGTCATACTCGACACGCACACGTATCACATCTTTGTCAAGGACCGTCTGACGCTGTCTCGCGATAATCACCTTCGGGCCACATGCCAAGATGCCGCCAACGTACGCAACTTTAACAACAAGCTGTGGACGATTACCGGTGAGTGGTCTTTGGCCATAACAGACTGCGCCAGATGGCTCAACGGCTTTGGCAAGGGTGCGCGGTGGGACGGGTCGATGAACTGGGAGATGAACGGCCCTGTATACCAGGGAGCTACGTGCGCAGGTCAAAACTCTATTGGCGCCTGGGACTCGGCGACTCGCATGTTCTTCAGACAGTTTGCCGAGGCACAGATCGATGCATACGAGGCTGGGAGCGGATGGTTCTTTTGGAACTTTAAGGCCGAGGATGCTGACGACTGGAACTACATTAAACTGGCGCAGAACGGGTTGATTCCCAATCCGCCCACTGACCGTCATTACTCGAGATACTCGCTGGACAGTAAGCGGTGGGACATCAAACTCAATTCGCCGTGGTGTCACGAGTGATTATTTCTATTTCTATTTCAATATTTATTAAAAAAAACAGAATAATGCTGTTTTTCAACACAATTATAGTTATATTCTGCAAAACAACAAAACAAAAATCAAACGATTGTCTTGCTTTTACCGTTTTGCTCACGAGTGGCATATTTTGCTTGTTTTCGACAATGCGGCCAAGTGATAAACAGTTTGAATTCGTTGGTCTAGTCAGGGTAATTGTCTATTTTATTTTTTATTTATATTACGACAAATAAATTTAAAAATATTGACCAGTGTCTACGTTCAAGCTACAAACACTGGCCAATGTTGCAAACTTTAAACAAAGAAACCCAATAAAGGCATAATAAATATAAAAGTGCAGTGGCTCTACTATCAAGCCATCAATTAGCACGCATGTTTACACAATAACAATTTGTTTCTAGCACAGGGCAAGGCCAGCGCTTTGCTTGTTATATGTATACTGTTTCTTTAGGAAGGATTTTAAAAACACATTTAAAAGAAGTTTTAGGAAAATACCAAAACACTCTGAAAGCATACTGTTACTCTATTACTGTTCCAAGTTTGTTTACAATTTGCGACAAATAGTTGCCTACTGTCTGCTAGGACATTGAGATACAATCTGCGACGAAATGCTGTTGTCATTGAAATCGGGGAATGGTTGCGAGATATCCATTGCCTGTCCAAAAAAAGATAGAGCACTGCACACGAATACAGCGGTGTACAAACAAGATACTATAAACTGTGCACAAACGCACTCGGGCGCGCATACAAAATGTGTGGCAATCCCTATTTTCCGCTGTTGCTTCTTACCTATCTCTCGATTATTTTGGCTTGCGTGTATGCTAACAATCTTAATTTATATACAGCCACCTGCCCACTTAGATTTTTAATATTTTTAATAACCAGGAGGGAAACCTTTTTCTCTTTCTATTTCTCCCCTGCTGTCCTTTCCTCACCACACACAGCCTAAATAACGAACAATTTTTCTTTTCCATTCAAAATCCTGCACACCTATTTTAATACGGCCCTTTTGGAATACGCTAATTATAATACGCTGCCACTCCCGCGCACATAATTGTAGACATGCTTTTAAAGTCACTTGTGGTAGTTGCCGTCAGTGCAGTTGGCATTTCAAGCGCAGTTTCTGGACCGACAACTGTCAAGCGGCAACAGATGCACGAGCCGATTCGCGGCGTCAACCTTGGCGGGCTGTTTGTGCTTGAGCCATGGATCACGCCATCGCTTTTTGAAGAATGGGCTCAAAAACCATCTTCTCCGGTCGTTGATGAATGGTCGTATTGCCAGACCCTCGGAAATCTGGAGTGCTCGCGTCGGCTGCAGCAGCACTGGGAAACGTGGGTGCAAGAAGCCGATATCTACACGCTGGCAACCATGGATATCAACACGCTTCGAATTCCCATCGGGTACTGGGCGCTCGTTCCTAATGCCGATGAGCCCTACGTGCAGGGCCAAATCATTTATCTCAAGCGCATTCTAGAGTGGGCAGCCAAATACGACTTGCGGGTTATTTTGGATCTTCACGGAGTTCCTGGCTCACAAAACGGCTTTGATAATTCGGGGCGTCGCGGCGATATTTCATGGACAAAGGGTGCTTATGACATACAGGTGTCTCTTAGCGCGCTGGAGATGCTTGCGCAGATTGTCGACGAGTTTCCATCATTGATAGCCGCCATTCAGGCTGTAAATGAACCCGCCAACTGGGGTGTTCCCAAGAGCACAATTTCCGAGTTCTACCAGCTGGCACACCAACGCGTCAAGGCGTTAGCGCCCCGTGCAGCGCTGATATTCCACGATGCGTTTCTTCCGGAATCCGAGTGGGAGCCTCTGGTTCCAAACAACCTAACCGACTCGTTTTTGGATACGCACATTTACCATGTGTTTTCCGAGGACCAGCTCAGATTATCTGACGACGGCCACATTGCGCAGACATGTGGCGACGGCGACAAAATTGGGCGCTCGAATAGGCGGGTGCGCACTATGTGCGGTGAATTCAGTCTTGCAACCACCGACTGCGCAAGATGGCTTAATGGATTCCAGCGTGGTGCCAGATGGGATGGCTCGTACCTAACATCCAAGCCGGTTGTTACCAGCGGCACGTGTCACGGGCAAGAGGATATTCGTGCGTGGAGTCAGGAGAAGCGCGACTTTATGAGAAAGTTTGCCATCGCTCAGTTCCAGGCGTACGAAAAGGGAAGTGGTTGGATTTTCTGGAACTTTAAGACTGAGAGCGCTGACGCGTGGAATTTTATGAAGTTATTCAGAGAAGGCATTATCCCGAACCAGCCTATTGGCCTACAGCCTGCCATTTGCCCCTGATAACCCGGCTGTCTCTTTGAACTCGGCCAAGTGCCTCTTAGTAAATTATTGTAATTGGGCTTCTTTTCAGTCTTTTTGCCCCCAAACAGGATGAATAGTAAATGTCTGACGACTCTTGTCATGTCCTTACTGCAATACCCTACGTCGTCCATTTTTAATTTTTCATACATTTACTCTTATTATTTTTCACAAGGCAGTAGCATCTGATTATGTATGCGCAAACTTTGCTAGTAAACTGAAAACCAAATAGTTGTACCAGCTGTGTCGTCAGAGCAGAATCCCCACTTTTTCATTTACCAATATAGACAAAATAAAACTACCTCCGCCTATTTGTTTGATATTCCTGTTAAGCACCCGCGACTGATTTAAAAGGCAAGTAGGTTTCGGTCGTGCCTCCCACATGCTCAAAAAATTGAAAATATAGAAATTGGTTATTTCTGCTGAAACATTTGTCATGGAAAGTTGTTTCACGCATTATAATTTATTTTATGACTTGCATTTATCAATACGCCCGTTTTGGCATTGTAGTCAATTGTTTACTTTGTGGAAACAGGCAGTCTGTAGGGCTTACTTTTGGGGGTTTATCAAAGACGGCATTTACAGTTTTGTAATTGACAATTGCAAGTGTCATTTTTTGTTTCTGGGGACATGTTTCATGGCAACAATTCAAAGGTCGACAAGCCTTGCTATCCAAGAAATGCACGATCGATTGTTCGAAGCGCCTCACCTCTTTTCCTTTCTAAACTTTTGTTTGGGTTTTATTAATTTCGTCTAGCTATTGGGGGAAATTGCCACGCAGTCAGTGTTTACTAACCGAACGATTTTTATTATTAAATATTCTAACTGGGCCATTTATATATCGTTACATGGTCTTGTCTTTATAACACCATATACACTTTTACTCTACGTTGTTTCTTTATTTTAATTTTTCAGTGTAATTTTACCATGCACATACGAGATATCAGCCATCTGGCCGTTTTGGTTGCCACACAGCTTTCCTTTACCTCAGGCTTTCTGGTCAACGAGTCCGTGGACGAAATCGTTAGTAACAATGACAGAGCCGCGGGGATAACGCCCGTTCAAGTACATATACCGTCATTAATGTTGCCACAAGATCAGGTCTTCCCTGCAATCCTATATTCGCCAGTCGCACAGACATCAGCACCAATGCAGCAAGCCAATCCGATTCAGCCCCTATTGGAAGCTCTAGAAAAGGAAAATTTGGGCAAAGACAAGGGTCAAACGAGCACCGTCACACAATGGCTGTCAAACACCGACACTTCATCCGAAGGCAGAAAAATAGCATACGACAGCAATATGGATGGCATAATCATGGGTCCAGGTGCTAGTATCGCAGCAGTAGGCTCACCGTTTCAGATAAATGCACTACTCGGCCAATTAACTGTACTGCCGTCGGGCTCGGACTTGGACTCAAGCTTGCCGCTCGGACAGCTGTCTGATGGCTACAGAGGTGCTCCAAGCATTGGCAACCAGCGTGTCATTAAGGAAAAGGCCCCGTCAGACCCCACATTTCCCGCATATCAGAAACCAAAATCCAATAGCAGTAATGTTGTTGGCTTGCTTGAGACAGTTGTTCGAAACGCCTCGCCCGCCCCGGCCGCCCACAACAATGCATATGACACGCAAAAGATACTTGCCGTTAAGCCTGTCGATATCGCTCCAATAGCAGCTGTAGCGAGCCCCGTCCACCCAAATATTGCTTCGCCACCTGCCGTCCACATCGACAGTCCTGCCGTAGCTGGTGGAGTCAGCAGTTGCACTGTGCGCAATAGCACTATTAGCAACGTGAGCTGCGCCCATGAAGCTCAGATCACTCGTGTTTCCGGCGTCGCGCGTGTGGCCGACCGCAACTACTATACGGCAGGCTCTGAAACTGTGCCCACTCAAAACGTAATGGGCGAAATCCGACAGGATCCCGGGAGTGGCATGAGATATCACGGGCACAAGTTGATGCGCGGTGTTAACATTGGTGGATTCCTTGTTCCTGAGTTTTGGATCACACCGTCGCTCATCTCGTCTATCCCTGACCCAAAGCCCAACGACTACTTGCAACTTTGCAACCGACTAGGTCCCGATGCCACACTGCGTTTGATGCGTAAGCACTGGGAGACTTGGGTGACAGAGGCTGAAATTAAGCGCTTGGCAAGCTCTGGCTTGACACATTTGCGCATTCCAATTGGCCACTGGGAGTTTGTCGACTCGGACGAAGGATTTGTGCGCGGCGGCCTGCCCTACTTTAAGCGCTTGGTCTACTGGGCCAAGAAGTATGGAATGCGCGTCATCCCCGATATGCACACGGCTCCGGGCAGCCAGAATGGGTTTGACAACTCGGGCTCAACAAATGGCATTAACTGGACCAGCAACCAGCAGAATGTTGCTCAGTCCAAGCGCGCCCTGCAGATGATGCTGCGCTACATTTCCAGCGACCCTGTAATTCTGGCTACTGTCGACGCTGTTGACCTATTGAATGAGCCGTTCATTGACTCGCTAGACTTTAACCAGCTCTGGGAGTACAACGCTGGCGGCCACACTCTTGTTACCAGCGGCCTTCAAAAGATACCCCCAGTCATTTCGATAGTCGACAGAGGGTTCAAGGAGTTTAGCTGGTGGCAGACGCGCTGGCCCCGGGATTGGAATGCAAAGTTTACAGACGCATATCTGGACGCGCATCTCTACCACGTGTTCGACCGTAACATCGACAATTGGCCGCTGGAAAACCATCTGCGGCTGGTGGCCCAGAATGGCCGTGATCTCAAATCCAATTCAACATACTTCCCCATCATCGTTGGCGAATGGTCACTGGCATTGCCGCAACCAGCGTTGAGAGGGAGGGAGAATGAGGCACGGCGGCGATTTGCTGAGGCCCAGCTTGATGCGTATGAACAAGGCGGTGCTGGGTGGGTCTTTTGGTGCTTCAAGACAGAGTCGTCGCCAGAATGGTCGTTCCTTGACTCGCTTGACCGCTCATGGATACCGCAGCCTTTGACCAGCCGCGAGTTCCAGCCGATTTCTAGATAGAATTGTTTTTATATATCGTAAAGCTGCGCTTGTGCGAGTGCTTTAATTTTTCATTCACAATATTTTGTTCATACAATGATCAGATTATGCTGATTGGTGATCAAATCCATCGATAACAGCTGGAAGAGTAGGAGGCTCCCAATTCAAGCGCTCTTCATTTTTCACTTATTTTTTTGTATTTTGCTGCTCTACAATTTTTCCTTCAATTAATTTTTTTGTATACTACACGCATCATACAACAATGGTACTGTTTGCACCGCAAATTAGGAGACGAGAGCAGCAGCAGAGGAATACACATGGCATTTCGCATTTTGAGACACGCACATTCGACGATTAATGTTAATTTTTCAACCACACCCTCATTGTGTGTGAAATGCGTCATTTGCGTCATGCAACGCTTTTTTTGCGTATTTGTTGTAGGGTGGAACCGCACACAAACCGTATCCTAAGCACGTCTGGTCGCCCTCCGGAGGATGGTGGGCTCAGCCTAAGGCGTGGAAGCGCAACACCATTATTGTCGGTCTGGGCATGACGGCCTTCGTCGGGTTTGTCTTTAAAAAGTCTGCAGAGCTCGAGCAACGCACGCTGTACCCACGCGTGTGGATTCCGTCGATGATGTGGTCCAAGCAGTTCAAGGTGAGTGCTAATTTTGAGTGCAGTGGATCATGGTTATGAGTGTCGGGGTTTTATAGAGCAATAAATCGTTGCTGTTACTAATCATCCACTGCGTCTGCTGTTGCTAATCATGTTGTTTTGTAGACCAAGGATGACCCTACTTTCCAGCCCCCCAAGTCTCTGTAAAGCGCGCTTATTTTTATATCTTTTGCGCTTTTTAAATACAAGTCCAAATATCTTTCGTCATTTGCAATAATAATTATGCAATATTGCGCCGGGTCAGGCGACACTCCCCCATACGCTCTACACGAGCATGCACAGTTACACAATTAAAACTTTAGTTTTTTGCACGCTGACCACAGACAGAGATTGCATAAACTCTTCCAACACACATTACTCACCCTTCACGCCTTCATTTGACAACTGCTTAGAACACCCCAACATAATGGCCAAGGAACTGACAGCGATAGAATGGCGGTCAGACCAGTGGCTGTTCCAATTTGGCGGCCTTCATCCAGACAATGTCCTCGAATACTTCAGCCAGTCGCCATTCTGGGACTCGGCCAGCAACAACGCGATCCTGAAAATGCAAACGCAATTCAATGACTTTCAGCAGTCGGCATACGACCTCAAATCCATGGTCGGAATTGAATTTGCGCTGACACACCAGGAGCCCCCCGCCTTGTTCATAATAACTAAATTTAGGCGGTCCAGCCCGACCAAAGTTACGCCCATTTCTGTGTACTATATCGTCGATGGCAACGCATACGAAGCACCAACTCTGTACTCTATTGTGTCGACGCGCATGCTGAGCAGCATAAAAAAGGTTGAGGAGGCATTCGAGATTGCCAGGGCGCATGCTGAGTTCCATCCCTCGAGCGGGTACTCTTGGAAGGAAACTGCCGAGCAGAAGAGCGCACGCAAGGCAGCGATGAAGGAGATCCAGTAAAGCTATCAAGGAAGTGTAGAAAAATCGAAACCAATTTTCAATTATTCTTTTGGATTAAATACTCGAATGAAATAATAAAGCAAAAGTGTAACATTTGAAATAGTCCATTTATGGCTGGCAGCGGCCAGTGAACCTGGGGTACAGGCAGCAGTCCCTGACGCTGAAGCTCTTGGTCAGCCACGCGAGGAAGCGCTCGACGCCAAGGCCAAAGCCGCCGTGGGGGCAGGAGCCGTACTTGCGCTGGTCAAGGTACCAGTAATAGGGCGCGGGGTCGAGGCCCTCGCGCTTGTAGGCAGCCAGCAGGGTCTCGTAGTCCCAGATACGCATGGACCCACCGACAATCTCGCCGACGCTGGGCATCAGCAGATCAGCAGACTCAGTGACTCTCGGGTCGTCCTTGCAGGGTGGCATGTAGAAGGCCTTGATGGGGCCCGGGAAGTGGGTCAGGAAGATGGGCTTGCCAATCGCATCGGTCATCACGCGCTCGGGGGCCTCGGGGATGTCGTCGCCAAACTCAAAGTCCTGGCCGTCCTCAGCACGCTTAATGCCGTGCTCGTTCAGCCACTTGATACCCTCCTCGTAACGCATGCGCACGAAGGGCTCAGTCAGGGGCTCGAACTCGGGGTTAAGCGCCTGGATCATGGCGCGGGTCTCGGGCTCAGCCCAAACGCGGTTGACGACGTCCTTGATCATGTTCTCGATGCCGTCGAGCAGCTCGTCAAAGGTAATGAAGGGCACCTCGGCCTCGCAATGTGTGTACTCGGACAGATGGCGGCGAGTGTGGGACTTCTCAGCGCGGTACGACTCGGACATGGTGTACACACCGCCCATTGACGGCAGGCAGGTCTCGAGGTACAGCTGCGACGACTGCGTGAGGTAGGCCTCCTCACCGTAGTAGTTGAACGAAAACAGGGTCGACCCGCCCTCCACCTGCGTCTGCACCATGCACGGCGGTGTGACCTCGGTGTACCCGACGTTGTCAAAGTGATCGCGGAACGCCTTCATGACGCGCGAGCGCACCTTGAGTATAGACGATGCCTTGTCACCGCGGATAACTAAATGGCGCTGCTGGAGGAGCACCGAGGGATCCGAGTTGCTGTTGAAAAGGTTCTCAATAGACTCGTCACCGCCCGGAGCCTTGCCGATGACCTCCCAAAAGTCGACAATCAGCTCATGGCCATCGGGCGCAGACTTGCCCTCGGGAACCTCCTTGATCTCGCCGTAGAGTGTCACCGATGACTCGATAGTCAGCGTAAGCGCGTCGTAGGTGCGGCAGAGCTGGTTGGTAAGCACACACTGCAGGAAGCCAGTTCCGTCGCGCAGAACAATAAACATCATGTCACGGCCCTGGACGCGGTGGCGACTGACCCAGCCCGACACCTTGATGCGAGTGTTGCGGTTGGCCTTAGCATCGATGACCCTGATCCTCGTTGCCTGGGGTAGAGCAGGATCCTCAGTCAGAACAATTTCCATGCTCTCGGCAATTCTGCGCTGCTCCTCGGCCAACTTGGCCTCAACCTGCGCCTGGTCGCGGGCATCCTGCTCGGCCTGCTTCAACGCCTTCTTGACGGAGAGCTCGTAAGACTTCTTGGCCCTCTTCAGCGCCGAGGGAGTAATATAGGTGTAACCCTCTTCAGCCTTCTTCGTCAGGATTTTGGTCTCCTCCTGCTTATCCTCGGGCAGGCTGGCAATGTGGGCAAGGGCTGCTTGCGGTGTCTTGTAGGGCGCGTCCTTGCTGCCGTTGCCGGCCTCATCAGAGCCCGTGGCCTCGTCAGTAAACACGACTATTACAAAGGATAAAAGGGTGGGTGCAAGTGGAAGACAGTAGAGTAAACATAAAGTCATTTTAGAATTGGTTTTTGTTTATACACACGGACTATACCATGGTCCTCGGTGCGTGGGAAAACTTACGAGCTGCTATGTCCATCTGTGCGATTTTAGTGGCGAGCTCTTCGGAAGACATCTTTTCGATATGTTATGAGCAGGGTGTTGAATTCAAGAATTAGAAATAGCAGTTGCTTTGGCAAATGTAAAATAATAGACTAATAATGTTTGTGTTTTGTGTGAGAGAAAAGAAAAATAAGGAAAGGAAAAGATGCTTCGCAGGCTGTGTTGGTGATTGACTGGCTTTATATCGCGCGTGTGCGAAGCAATTTTTTCTTTTCCTGGCTCTTTCCGCTTTCTTCGTCGTGCTGGGCCTGATGATTGAGGGAAATTTTATGACTCAACATCACGGGCATACTGTAGGAAAAGAATGAGGCTACAAATATTCTGCAAACCAACATCTTTCCCCAGATAAAGTGTTTAGAAACTAGTGGCAATAGCCCACTATGGGTGACGGTATTAATAAGTTCGCTGCTTCTTTTGAAGAGAAGAAGCAGGGGAAGATGGATCTTTGCGCACACGCTTGGGCTTGGCCTTTGGCTTGACCAAAGTCTTGGGTGTCACTGTAGACTTGGCTTCAGCCAACTCTGACAATGTATTTTTGCGCAAAAAAACGGGGAGGACGCTCGCCTGTAAGCGGAGCATTAAGGATTATGTGAAGGTTCAACACCACAGCCGTGTCACGATCCCACTTCCGTCTGCCTGATAGTACTTTTTCGCCATTCTTGATCTTAGTTCCTTTGGCCCTGAAGGTTTGCAGATAGTCTTCCATTGTGCACTGAAGCAAGCCGTGGCATAAAATTTAGCGGGGTTTTTCTACCACCATAATTATATTCACGCCTGTTGCAGCTACCTGTTTTGCTGCTGCTGCGCGGCCAACTCGTCGCGCATCCTCTACCTGATTTTGCGCTTGATCTCGCCCCCCGCAACCAGCCACTCAACCTGACAATGCGCTTGAAATTATCGGCGGGCTGGATATTGATGTACTGCTTAAAACTTCGCTCAGCCACCTCATCCCGAAGCTGCTGCTTAATTTTGCGGGAAATTTTGCGCTTAGACCAGCCCTGTTCCTCCCATATCCACCAGATGATATTGGCAGACTGTGGGCGAATAGGCACCCATTGGTTGCAACTGTTGTGCACTTTCTGTAATAGATGCGGCATCTGCGGCAGTTTTAGTTGCAACAGAAATGGCGGTGGCTGCTGCTACAGACGCAGCGGCTGAAGTGGTTGCAGCTGCGACGGAATTAGCAGCAGTAGTTTGTTGCGGCTGCGACAGAATTGTGTGAATATAATTACATCGTTAAACGTCACGTTTAACTCACAGCCAAAGCACCAGTCAGACACAAACGTTAATTACTTCCCCGCATCTTCAAAAGTAGACTTTCTGGTATTTTAGGCTAAAAAAACTGGGAGGGAAACGGGTTTTGAAAACCCCCTGCTTAAAAATCAGAAAGTTCGCTATAAATATCTGGAAATTCCAAAATACATTTTCACCAGTGTATTACACCGAAGGAAATAATGAAGAAAATAATGCATACGCAACCTTAAAGAACTGAAAAGCATTTGAACTTCTCTTGGATTTTAAATTTCAACTTGCTCACTCTTAAACTAAGCAAAGCCTTTATGAATTTGGTCGTCAGGGGAGGGCATTGGCGTAGCGTTTGGCGAGGAAAGCCAGCTCGCTGGCGTTGATTGCTCGGTTGAGCACGAAGAAGCCGTTGACCAGGCCGCTGAAGCTGCTGCCAGACCTGCTGCCAATGGAGCTGATAGGGCCAGTGACAACTATGGTCTCGTTGCACATCTGGTCCCAGCGCGGATTGAAATAGTTGACGATAGCCCGGCGGCGCATATTGAAGAAGACCGATGTTCTGTCCTTATCAGCAGAAAAGGCAATGTGCGACCAGGTATCAGGAGGAAGGATGATCTGCGTGGCGTAGTGGTTGCTGTCCTGCTCAAATGTAACAGTGTGCGCGGGGCTGTTGCTGATTAGGAGCTTGCCATCGCCGGATTCGAGAAGCACACCATTGTGAGGCTGCATGCCGCTGGGCTTGACCCACATGCCGATCGTGTAGGGATAGCGGATACTCTCGAGAGGAGTGGTGATGTATGAGTTGACAGACAGTTGCACTGCTTTACCGTGGCCCTCACCAGCATCGACGATCCTGGCACTGCTGCTTAGCTTGCCGTCGTAGCCATTGCCGGATTTATCCTCTGCTGCGCCGTCCTCAAAGTCATAGATGATGACGAATGAGCTTTTGGATTTTGGGCGACGCGTCAGCGTGATTCCTGGAATGCTTTCACGCAACTTCCTGGCCAGGGGCGCCCAGTCGTCGTAGGCCGTTCTGTCCGTGTTCCTCGATCCAGTCCACATTTTCTCAGAGACAACACCGGCTGCCTGAGACACGCGATCATAGAGCTCAACGCGGGTAACTGATTCGCCGAGAAAGTCGTTCCAGTTGGCAAATCCACCGCCTGTAAGCAGGGGCTCGGTGGGGCTTAGGTTGCGACTGGTGTTAGTGCGGTCCAAAATGTCAAATACCCAGGGCTCCCAGAGCTCGTACAGCTTTTGCTGGTCAAAATAATCCGAGTATGCGTGTGAGCGTGGGACTAAATAAACATCGGGTGCGTTCAGATTACACACCCTGTGGCCTCGCTTCACCAGATCGACGGGATTGCTGTAAGTAAAATCCCAATGGTCGGTATGGATGGATTTGTTTATCTCGACAGTGCCAGGTAGTTTAACGTCGGAGCCCCACATGCGGATGGTTCGATTAAAGCGGGTGGCAAAGTACCTGTGGCAATGATTGACAAACTTGCGTGCCAAGTCACCTTTGGATTCGTCGTATTCGTCGGCGCCGATGCTGATTTCGCGCGAGTCAAACCACCCTATAAACTCGGCCCACAGGGTTTCAACGAAGGACCATACGTCCTTATTTTCCAGATCCAACCAATCGCCGCGAGCAGTGTCCTCCTGGATGGACCACTCAGGATGAAATCTGGTGAAACAAAGTGAGTGTGCGGGTGTGTCAATCTCGGGGATTAGATCCAGACCGCGGACCTTAATGAAGTTCTGGTAATCGCGCATATCCTGCTTTGTGTATGCGGTGTCACTGCTGGCATACATAAAAAATGCAGGGTTGTCTGACTTGAGGCGGAAACCCGAATACTTGGCTGCCCAGTCTGGCATCAAGCCTTTTGTCCGCATGCCAGCATTATCATTGAAGTGCAAATGATGCGTGTTGTACTTGTAGAATGACGTTAGTATGGCGTACTCCTTGAGATCTGACATGGGGATTGGTTTGCGAGCAATGTCCTGCACAAACTTGCGTTCATTGTAGTTGGGGTAGTCGCGCGTATGGCCCTGAGGCAGCGCAAAACCACTCTTGTCGGCCAATATCAGCATCTGCAGTAGTGTGCGAGTACCCCAGAAGGCACCGCGGGAAGTAACGGCCTGGATGACCACTCCCATCTGGCTGATAGACAAGTGGTATCCCTCGTTATTGAGCTTTGGGTCTTTAATTTCGGCGCCGAGTGTCATGAAGATGTCGCCCTTTGAGTACTTGTTTGAGATCGCAACATCTATTTCGATTCCTGTTACCTGTTTAATGTCGGACTGGAAGCTGGTTGCAAATTCTTGGAGATGGGATGGATTGGCCATATATGAATGCTTGAAGTCGAGGGCAATGCCATTGGCATATTCTGAATCAACGACAATACGGGTCACCTTGTTTATCACCCAGACACCATTGCCACCGTCCCACTCCTGCAGGCTGGGAATGACAAACGGGGTTGGATGCGCGTTAGTGTTCCCTAGGGTGCTTTTGCTTGGATTGTGGCCAGTGTTAGGAGAGAACTCTGCTCTGCTCGAGACAGTACTGGACATTGCGCCTAGTGTGCCAACAGCAGCAAAAGCGACCATAAAAGTGATGTTGGGTAGTATCATGGCTAAAATAAAAGTATGGATGAATTCAATAATAAATAGAGCTTGATCGCTTAAGAGAAATTGTGAGACACACGAACAAGTAGTAAAATGATGTTTTGATTGCTTTTAAAAATGTGTAGCAAAATAACGCGTTCAAGGACAAAACTAAATGCCAGACTGCCAATCATGCTAGCGCATATATTCTCTTGTTATTTTTCAGCGCGTTGCGGCGCCAGACGGTATGGATATCGACATAGACAGCGACAACAGTCAGAACCCATACCATCAAAAGGCGAATAACAGGCAAACAGACATCAGGGACACAGGGGCTTGTACACACTGAACCCATATACGCCTCCCTCAATGGGAACAAGGAGAGGCTTGTGCCTGGTAACAATGGTGTGCGTCCATGAATGCATTATGCCACTAACATCATCTTAAAGCTCACCTCGTAACCAAAAATACTGTTCATACGGGGGAAACCACTGTGACTTGTACACTGGTGGGAGCAGGAAGATTCATATCCAAGACAAAACCGGCACCAGTTTGATTTTTAATGTAGAGCAACCTTGTAACATTGGAAAATTATACTAAATGTTATAAAGCAATAATCTACTGTGGTTACATATAACAATAATTTAAACCACCTGCCTCGCACTCCCGCGCCCTGGATTCCACAGGGCAAATTAAATGTGTATTAGTTTGCGCAATCTTTAATTTTGTTTCTACTGAAGACGTGTATATTGTCCCTTTTCCCCGAAAATCCAGCTCTTATTTGGTATGGTGAAATGAAATATGACATTTAATTTTTTTGCGAAAGCCTCTTAGTATGTTGCGCAACTCGAGGATATGGAAGTGGATGTTGAGGTTGAGAATCATGAAATGAGCCTCCATCCGCATACCGATTGATAGGATGCAGATGGAACCATGTAGAAGCAAGTCAGAGGACATAATAATGACACCCGGATATGCTCCTCATTTTAAAATGTACATGCATTAACGTACTTACGTGAAGATCCCAACATTGACATGTCAAGATACTGGTCTGGTTGCAAAAGAAACAATTCTCACCAACGGAGTGTACAATTGGCGAAATGCACGACAAAGGCAACGAGATACATATATAAGACGAGCCGGGCCCTAGTTCTACTTTTGATTCCCTTGATAATAAAAACTATAACAAAACCCAAAGATACTTTTAACACTAGATGACTAGTACCCCACTCAAATCGCAACACCTTTAACATTAGACAACTAGTGCTCCCCTCAAATCACAAGTGCTCTCCTTAAATCATAACAATGTACCTTAGCGTGCTTTCCAAGCATTTTTATTTTATTCCCAGCAGTTAACAGTCAGCAGCAGACACGTTCTTTATGCAGATGCCAATGCAGAAACCACATGTCTCAGTTATTTATTAAATATAGTACAATTACGTAATCAAAGTGCTCTTGTGTGTCTGATTGGCCTTACCCATCTTGATCAATTCAATGATAATAGTGTTGCGCAGTCCGAGGACATGAAAGTGGATGCCAAGGTTGAGAATCGTGAAACAGATTCCCGCCTGCATGCTGATAGATCGAATATGGACTGGATTATAGGGGATCAAATCAGGCGCCACTATAGACATCCAGACACATTGCCTATCTTGAAATACGTGTGCATGCGCGTACACAAGCGAAGACCACAATAATGACATATCGGAGACCTGGGCTACATTCATAAGAACCAGTTCTCGCCAACGGGGTGCACAACTGGTGAAGTGCACAACGAAGGCAGTGAGACATATATAAGACGAGGCCGGCGCTGGTGGCCCTTTAGAAAAATTAGTGTTAAAACCCAATTATAAAATCACCCCCTACTTTTCTAACACTACTGTAAGTAGTGTTCATACACACCCTTCTCATCACAATAATAGGAGCCTGCTCTCGTATGATCTGTAGCGAAAAGTTGGGGAGGTAGGCAAAAGAATGCCAAAAGCTATCCGCAAAAAAACAACATTGGGCAGTTATTTTTGTTTTTTGTTATTCGGGAGTGCAGTAATTTCTCACGCGGCGTTTGATCCGCTTATCACTCGTTCGTTTCAACAGAATTGGGTTTGACGCGTTTGACTTGGCACTAACAATGCGCGGTGTGTCTGCTGATTAGTTGGTGTTATTGCGCTTGGGCGCACATTGCAGCAAAAGTTCCCTACCATCCCAAAAAGAGCTGCCGATACCTAACTTTTCTGCTGCCACAAGGGGAATCACCAGCGCAGAAACGTGATTCATTTATTTCAATCTGTTGAGTGGACGAATTAAATTGCGAGGAGCTCGCGAATTATTGTTTATCCCCAAATCCGCCCACTCACCCAGCCAATTCTGACTGTCGATTTTATATTTTGAGGTCATTCTTCCCACAGACACGAGCTTGTTTAATATCCGGGCAAGGGGGGAAGTAAAGGGTTCCAGAAAATTCCGAATCTGAAAATGCTATTGGAAATTTTCTACTGTTGTTGCCGGAAGCAATTACGTAGTAGGCCTGCCTTGGTGTGGGTCTACTTGCAAGTCCAAAAATGAGGGAAAGGAAAGAGCATCAGGCCACAAAAATCCATGACAAAAGATGAACATCAAGTCTGAATTTTTCTGGGCCCTGCAATCGCATTCGAACATTGTTGCACATGCGCACATCTCGATATTAATTTAAATAAGCGCTTAGAACCAAAAAGTAGGCTATAGAAAAAGAAGGATGGAGATGCGACTCGGGTGCATGTAATTTAATTGTAGTGTTGCAGCTTTACCCAATCATGGTATGCAAAAAATTTGTATAATTTTACCCTTTTTAAAGTTTTTTTTAATCATTCAGGGAATGTGCTTGGAAATTGTATAAATACTCTGTCACTTTTTTCACCCACCCCATTTTTTGTATTTTATCTACTGCTAAGACTTTTTATTTTTCATGTTTTGTGGTTAGTTTTCGTATTTCGTGGCTTTCTTTTTTGTTGTTCATTCATTCATTCATTCACATATTTCATTTCCTTTTTTCAGTACTCTACGACTTTTACAGTCTTTTACTCGAACCTATCCATTATGCTTTACTCAGACTCTACCGGACAGGAGGCATTCGACGGCGTATACCACGATCATTTGCAGCAGACCGATGAAAGCACAAACAGGTAGGTTGAGTCGTAAAAATATAAATATTTCTTCCTTTGGATTGGCCTCTTTTCCTTTTTAAAAGGCGGCATTGCCTACCATATAACTTGTACCGGGATTTCTAGGCTGAACCTCTTATGTGGCATGCAAATTAAGGGTGGAAATGCTATTTCGTCGTTCCAATGGCACCGAGTCTATTCGATTGTACACGTTTTCATCAATTGTACTTGCGCTTGCGACCGTGTAGAACCAATAGTCTGCACATGAATATTTATACGCATTACTTAATTTCTCTTGCAGAGTAGAACATGTGTTAGACATTTTCAAAAGCCAGCAGAGCTTTTTATTTTTGAGTATGGTGATTGTCAAATGTCTACTCGGTTCTATTTTTTTGCGCAGAGACAGCTTTAATGCCGGCGCCAAAAACGACAGCAATTCTACCATGCCCCCCCCCCCCCCCCCAACAGTATCCCCAATTCCAATTTTTACATTTCACTTATTTGTGTAGCTAGTGCATCATTATTACTGGACCGCGCTATAATGCCCAGAAACAATTGAACACTCGTATTATTAATGTTCATTCCGTCACACCTATTTATTTTCCTATTTAGTTTTAGTTTTTATTTTGGCTCAGCTGCTCAGGTAATCTCAGCAAGCGCTCCCTATTTTCTTGTTGCAATTATTTTTTCCGCTCGCGTGTCTTTCGGCTATTTCCTTATAAATACGTTGTTTTCGACCATCAGACAAAATTTGGTTTTTCGGTTCTTTTTTGTCCTCAACATTTGTTTATTTTTATATTTCTCCCCACCCACCAACTATCCCAACCCAACGATAGATATTTTCCCACCGCTTATAGTACACTAGCAAAACAACATTCATCCAAAACTCTGCGAAACAAAAAAATCGAGAATAGCGACAGCGAATGAGAACACTCTTCCACTTTTTCTACTGTGGGAAAGATTCAGGTTTTTTATGTTGATCTCAGGCGCGGGGGGAAGATCACAGATTTCATCTCAATGTGTGTTATCTAATTGGCAACAGCAAAAATGCTTACCTGGACTTCTACACGTGAGGCCTGCGCTGGTGTTTATTTTTTATTTGTTTACACGGCGATATGGTCTCTCAAGTATGCTAAAAATACAACCCAAAATCCAAAATGGCTGTTTTATGTGCCCACTGATACCTTTTTTATCGGTTCTTTTGAATTGTGTTCTTGCGCACGTGTAGGTATATCTACGAAATTCACGTAATCCAGCAGCCACTGCGCGCGCGCATGTGTGGGTTTGGGGAAAAGGTAAGAAACAAAGTGAGAGTGAGAAAATATTATTTTAGTTCGAGTGTTGTGAATAAATGAGAAATGTAAATGTGGGGCTGAACAAACCGTGCCACTTAATAGCCAACAGCCAGCTCCACAAACATATCTCATGATCACTCCCTTGTTAAAAATTAAACGCTAATTTCACATTTTAAATTGCAATTGTGTATGCCTTTATTCACATGGTCACTATACTTGGTTGAACTCTAGGATCGGCGACCGTGCACTCCTCCGCCCATCCTACAGCTAATCATATACGATCGCGCAACGGGCCAACCTGTCAACATGGATATGGTCGATGTCTCGTTCTTCACCGCGGCATGCAGTCTGTACTCGGTAGAAATGGACACCGAGCTGGATCTTATACACCAGCAGCGCGGGACACAGGACTCAAGTTTGGGATCAGTATCTACAATTTCGGGTAGCGCCGCTGTTCAGCAATCGCGCCACATGAGCCACACGAGCAAAAATTCGATGGGTCCGAGCAACAACGATGCTGACGGCATGTTGAAATCGAACTCGCCGCCATTCGGCAGTATGACAACAGGCCCAATGTCAAATACAGCGAACTCGTTGCTTTCTAATGCGAGCAATAGCGATAGGGATGCAGTGGTATTTACTGATTTCATAACTGGTCCTAATGTCGCGCCGAGGGGCCTGGGCCAGCATTTGGCCAGCTCATCCAGCATAATGTCATTTTCGGCAGGCAATGAGCGCGGAGGCAGCCTTAGCGGCGGCATTGGGTCTGTCATTGACGGCAGTTATGATAGTGGCGGAGGCAGTAGCGGGAATTTTAGCAGCAACACTTCTGACTCGTCGATGTGCACCGTGAGAAACCTCATTGGCGCCAGTGTCACCACAGGTGCAAAACTGAACAATGTCGACGGATCGCTGGGAGTATTTTTCGTATTCCCAGACCTGTCGATTCGCAAAGACGGCGATTACCGGTTCAGATTCTCATTCTTTGATCTAAAGAGGTAAGTCAATCACTCTACAACTCGAAAACCCTCAATAACTTTATATCCGAAAGTGGACATTCTTATATTCCACATGCACATACATATTACTTATCATTACCTTCGTATGAAAAGTATTTGCAAAGCTAATTTAGTTTTATCAGTACTTTTCTTTTTGCAGATTTAGTGATAACGGTGACCTGTTGAAAACTTCGGCGGATATAAAGGCACGAGCATTTTCAGAACCATTCCGCGTATACTCTGCCAAGCAGTTCCCGGGAATGATCGAATCTACGCCTCTTTCAAAACATTTTGCCAAGCAGGGCGTCAAGATCCCCGTTCGCAAAGAAACTATCGGAAAGTCCCGCCAGAGCCCTGACGACGACGACTGGCAAAACAACTAACCTAACCTAAAATTTAAGCATTTTTGTCGTTTTTTATTTTCTTTATCTTTATATGATTTCAAACGTCATGTATTTTATTTAAAATTTTGACAGAAATACATTTCATAATGTTGATGTTCTGTAACGCTTAGCTTTTAAAATAGAAACACACCAATTTTACAAAAGCACAGCGCGGATCTGGTGGCTTTCTTTGAGAGCGACCGAGGATGCTGTCTGCTGTCAAATACTTTGGAGACTAAACATATGACTAGGTTGGGTGTAGTGGCATTGCCTTTTAACGTCTTTTGTGGCGTTTTGTGGTTGCGAGAACACTAATCAAGACCACATTTTTACTGTAATTAAATTATTAAGGGTGGCCTTACACTACGTCATTCACTTTGCTTGGGCGAGAACTTGTTTTTAAAGAACCCGTCCAGGCTCGTAGATACATAGCTGGTCTTCAAAATGTGTTTTTTGTGTGTTCGTTGAGTGTTTACTTCTTTCATTTAATTGGCTACCAGCACCAACATATTTAATTTATATAATAATAATATTTTGTCTCGCGTTTCGCGTTTCAAAATACATTACACAAACTTTGGTGTATCCACTTATATAAAAAACCTTGATATATCAAGCTAGTCCACGAAATGTGTGGCTTGGTCTGGTCTTTACGGTTTGTTTGAGTGTACAATGCCATTGTAATCTAAAACATGGAATCTTTTATTTTCTAGCCGAAAGGAAGAAAGATAAAGTGAAGATAGGGAACAATCTACGATACATTGATATGTGTTATAAGGGGCGTCTTGCTTTGATTGTGCTCTAGATTCTTGAATTGTTAACACAATAACTTTTTTGCTCAGGCTAGTGTGCGTGCGAAATGTGTAAACAAAAACAAGCATTTTTGTCTTTACAAACTGATACAAAAAAGTTTGATGAGAAGGATAGGAAAAGGCACAAAACACAATGCTTTTGTTAACTATAACGGATTCCCAAGGGCTATGGTTGAATCAGCTTCTATATTTCAAACCCCCTGCGACAAAAAACGTATATATTGCTTTCCTTCAGCCCAGTATCTTGTCTTTTTTGCGACTCTTCTACAACTTTATTCGAGCCTACACCTCACTCAATCACTCACCCACGCACAAGCACCATATTATATTTACCCTTATATAGCTCAAAATGAAAACTGCTCTGCTTGCCCTCGTCTTCTCGGCAGCTGTTCTGGGCGCGCAATGTGGTGACCAGCAGTGTCGTAAGGACGCACCCTGCTGCGTCAAGGGCTACTGCAATATTAACGCCATGTATTGCGCACCCTTCAGCTGTGAGCCAGATAATTCTCTGTCGCCCAGCAGCTGCTGGTCCACTCCGCACTGCGTCGACTACACAGCCGACTTTACCAAGCCCGCGGGCAGCGGCGCCTTTGCGCAAATTGCAGACTACAAGGGCAACCCATCTACCGCCAGCTACGTGTCGCAGTTCGAGCCATCAAATGCCAATTTGGCTAACGAGCAGCTCGAACTCACCTTGACCAAGCAATCTGATGGCAAGGGATTTGGCGCCGTGGTCATTGGCACGCGCGCCATCCAGTACGGCACAGTCACCGCTGTTGTGCGCTCGGGGTGCCGCAGCACCGGCGTGGTCTCATCTCTGATTATCCGCAATGACAAGATTGGCGATGAGATTGATTTCGAGTTCGTCGGCGCTGACAAGCTGACTGTGCAATCCAATTACTACTGGCACAACGAGCTGGACTACACCAAGATGGTCAAGTCGTCCAGCCTGTCCGATACTACGGAGGCATACCACACATACCAGGTTGTGTGGGCCCCAGACTCGATTCAATGGCTGGTAAACGGAAACTCATTCCGCACGGTCAACCGCGCCGACACCTGGGACGCCGAGCGCAAAGTGTTCAGGTACCCCGACACGGAAGCCTTTGTTAGCTTTTCCATCTGGGACGGCGGCTCTGGTCCGAAGGGTACCTCCGACTGGGCGGGAAAACCAATTAATTGGGAAAAGGGTCCGTTTATCATGGGCGTCAAGTCCATTGCGGTCAACTGCTATTTCAGAGGAAACGAGACCACGTATACTCCTCCCGTTTGAAAGTATCTTTTTTAGATGTTAATGATCAGTTTACTTTTTTCAACAAGGTGATATAAAAACACATTCATAATTGCTTTTCAGTCTTCAAACCAAATTAAATGTTGAAAATATTTTAATTAAGAGAAAAAATGAAAGAAAAAAGAGAAATAGCGACAGACAAACCAAGTTGCAAAGTGCAAGCTCAATTGGGCTACCCTTCAAAAAGACATACAAAACAGACGATAGCTGGGCGCGTTTGCATCAGCAGGGCTTGGATCCTGCTCGGTCCCAGCTAAAAGAAAATAAATGCGAAGCAGAAAAAATAAGAGCACAAAAAAGGCGAGCCGCTAGCAACAGGGACATTGCCGTGCTAAAATAAGAAATGGGGCGATAAAATATGGAAGTGTATAGGGCAAAAACAAAACGAGGCCGGAATCTGAAAATCGAGACACTGCGGTTTTTAGAACTTGGGAACAGTGGTCTGGTCAGTACGCTTGAACAGGTACTTCTTGGTCGAAGGGTCGTACTCAGCGCGGGCCAGCGGGTTCAGGTACACCTGCGACTCCTGGGCCTCGGTGTAAGGGGGTGCGTCCTTGACCTGGACGAACGGATGGGCGCCCGTCAGGGAGTTGTGCCAGTAGCGGTAAGACTTGGCCTCGCGGCCCTTGACCTTGGCCACATACACCTCAAGCTGCTCCTTGGACAGGACAGCAAGCAGGTAGTCGGGGTGGAGCACCAGGATCTCGCCACCAACCTGGCCGAAACCGAACGACTTGAGCAGACCAGCCTTGATGCCGTCGGTCTGGATCGAGCGCGACGGGTACATGACGTGCTCGAACTTCTCAAGCTCAGCGGCAATGTTGTCGGCATTGCGGTTGCCCGGGATGATACCCGTGCGCAGGACCTGCAGCACACCGTTGAGCATCCACGCGGCGGCAGCACCCTTCGGGTGACCAGTTAGCCACTTCTGGCAAATGACCGGGCAGGCGTTTCCGGGCGTGCGGCCAAGCTTCTGGAACTGGCTCTCGACAACCTGCGACTCGTTCTTGTCGTTGGCCTTGGTCGAGGTTCCATGGAACGAAGCAACGCCAATATCGTCAACGGTCAGGCCCCAGACGGCAAGCGAGCCGCGCAGGGGAGCGATGCGCGGGTCCTGGCGCCAGAAGTGGTTGCCCCAGAGCTCGAGGGCCTCGCCCAGCTGGCGCTTGGCCTCCTTCTCGATGAACTCAGAGCGCTCGCGCACAAAGACCTCCTCGTCGCAGGGCAGGCCAATAGCCGAGCCCTTGAGGGCCTCAACCTCGGCCATGATGTAGCTAAGCTCGCTCTCAGTCCACTGCTTGATCGCAGTGCGGCGCAGGTCGAGCTGGCGACGGCGGTAGTTAATGTCGAGCAGCGGCGATGGCACAGCGCTAGGCACCTCGCGGGCAGAGGTCAGGATGCCCTGACCAGGAGCGGGCACAGAGCGACCCTCCTTGTCAGTAGCAGTGCCGCACATGGCGAGGATACCGTAGATGGGCACACCAATCTCCAGAGCGACGGTCGCCGACATGACAGTCAGGATACCGGCACCCTCGCCCTCCATGAAACCGTTGCGAGTGGTCGTGCAAGGACGCGACATCTCGGCGGGAGTACGGCCGCGCGCAAACTCGTCGACCGAGTTGCTGGTCGCCTTCATCTGCGCGAACTCAAACGAGCCGTCCTCCTGGAAGAAGTCAAAGCCACCGCACAGCACGATCTTGGCCTTGCCCGTCTGGATGGTGTCAATGGCAACGTCAATGGACAGCACCGATGTGGCGCAAGCACCGACCGTGGGCTTAATCGGGCCCGATGACGACAGCATCAGCAGGTTGACCCAAGCGGCCATGGTGTTAATGAACGTCTCCTGGAGCACATCGTTTTGCACGTCGCGGTCAAAGTAGCGCTCGCGGAACATCTTCTTGTTCGACTGCATGCCGCCGACGCCCGAGCCCATGGTGTTTCCGACCTCGCTGACGTGCACGTACTTGTAGAACTCGTACGGGTCGGTGATGCCCGAGCGCACGAGGGCCTCGACAGTGGCCACAAGCACATAGCAGGTGATTGGATCGATCTGCGCGGCGATGTCCTTGGGGATACCGTAGCGGACGGGGTCCCAGCCGGTGGGGATCTGCGCGGCAACCAACCGGTCGAAACGCAAGGCCTTGGGCACCATCAGGGTCGCGCCCTTGAGGAAGCGCACGGACCACGAGCCGTCAGCGTTCTCCCACACGTCGACCTTGTCCTCGTTGCGCAGCTTGAAGTTGGCGGCATCCTCAGCGCTAGACTCAAAGGGCTCCATGTCGTGTTCGATCTGCAGCTCGCGCAACATGGGCTTCTTGAGCGGGTCGTAGCCGTCGAGAAGATCAGCATCAATCAGGCGGACACCAGTATGCTCGAGAATCTGCTTCTCGTAGCGTGCCTTAATGTCCTTGTCCTCAACGGGTTCGTCGGTCTTGGCGTCAACCCAGCCCGTGTACAGCTGCTTGTTCTTGAGTCTGCCGTTAAAGTGCTTAATGTAGCCCATGATCCAGGCAAGCTCAATGCAGCCCTCGAGCGAGAACTCGCCAAACGCCTCCATCTCCCAGCGGGTCTCGGCATTACCGTAAGGACCGACCTCACCGTAGCCAGTGACAACGACAACCTTGTCCAGGTTGACCATGCCCTGCAGGTGGCGCAGGTGCTCGAGCTTGTCGTATGCGCTATGGCTCGGGAACGGGAACTTGTGGTTAGCACGCGGCTTGACGATGCGCGATTTGTGCATGTTCTCGTTCTTGGCGCCAGCAACAGCCTTGAAGTCGAGCGACGAGTCAGCGGCAACGGCCTTCTTGACCTCGCTGGACTCCCGGATGCTGGCGCGCAGGCGGGCCGTGGCATCCTTGAGATCAGGGATGAACTGGAAGCCGCCGTTAAGATCGGCCCACACGGGCTCGGACTGGGCCAGCGCGTTGATGGTCGGGTGCATAAGGCCGAGGATGTTAAACGCCATCTCCTGGGTCGAGAATGTGCGCACGCCAAGCTTCTCGATGCCCTCGGCAACAATGTTGTTGGCGTTCATCAGGCCTGTACCGCGGGTCCATCCGATGACGGTACCTGTGATGGTCAGGTAGGCACCCCACGACTCGGAGTACCAGCGGTTGAACAGTGTCTCGAGCGAGATCTTGCTCTCGCTGTACAGACCGTCAGAGCCGAACAGACCGTGGTTGGGCGACAGGGGCAGGATGACCTGCGCTGGGCGCGTGTCAAAGCCGCGTGCAGCCTTGCAGGTCTTGATCTCGCCCAGCAGACGCAGCAGGTTGGTCAGCATGATGCGGTGCGCCAGCTCCGAGCGCGAGTCAATGTCGGTGATCTCACGGCCCTGCTCGGGGATGGCCGCAAACGGAATGACGTAGTCGAGGTCCCAGCCCAAGTTCTCCGAGCGAGGCGAGTCATCGTAGATGAACTCGACAATCTTCTTGACGTCCTGCAGCGAGCCCTGGTTGAAGGGCACAACAATGAGCGTCGAGCCGCGTGCGCCACACTCCTGGTAAATGCCCTGGTAGTACAGCATGTTCTCGCGGTTGTAGCGCGACGTGGTCACGACAACCTTGGCGCCACCGGTCAGCAGACCCTTAAGCACCTCGGCACCAATGGAGTCCTTGCCGCAGCCAGTCATCAGCACGTTCTTGTTCTCAAACGTCTGACCATTCTTGCACATCTCGGTGAGCACATCGAGGTACATGCCAGTCAGGCGCGAGCTGAACTCCCACTCGCCAGTGGACAGTTTGCGCTTCAGGTGCAGGAAAGGAATTGTCTCCTTGGGAATGGGCTCAGGGATGGCAGCCGGGGCAGCAGCACTGCCATCGGGGGCCAGGGCCATGCGCGAGCGGCTGAAGATGCGGCGAGCGCCAGATTCTTCCATGATCTTGGGCGACATGCGCAGCGAGCGCAGCACGTCGGTATACAGACCCTGGATGGCCAGCTTGCTGTCCTTCTTCATGCTGTTCTGCTGCTTGATGATGCGGTAAATCTTGGCCAGGCTCTGCTCAACGCGCTGGCGGCCGGAGAACTGGGTCAGCTCGCCGCCGGCCTGCATCTTGTGCACGTAGTCGAGCAGCTTGCGCTCGTCGGCGCGCTGCACCTCGGCGTATTTGATGTCGCCGCTGGCAGTCACCTCAGTGCGCGGGCCAGTGGGGAAATCGACATCCTTGTACATGGGCGGGTGGGTCAACGCGACCTCACAGTTCTCGTACAGCATCTCGGCCAGTTCGCGGGCCAGCTTGTAGGTCTCGCCCTTGGACGCGTCGGTCTTGGCAATGTGGTATGCCATGTGGCGCATGAGGGCCGGGTTGGCGCGGTTCATCAGGCGGATGCAGCGCGACGTGATCTCGCGGTCGACCTCGTGCAGGCGGCCGAACAGGATCTCGTAGTACAGAATCAGAGCATCCTGGCGCGCCCAGTTCCAGTACGAGTCAAAGGTGCGCGCCTTGCGGGCATCGAACGAGGGCTTAATGCCGTTGGCATAGAACTCGCCGTGCTCCTCCATCCACAGGTCAACCTCGGCCTGTAGCATGCCGGTCTCAACCTTGGACGCCTCGAAGGCGCGGTCGCCCTGGCGCAGGTCAACGCCCAGGTAGCGGGCCAGCACTTCGAGCTGCTGGGTGATCAGGCGCTTCTGCTCGCGCTGGGCCTTGTCAAAGGCCTCGCTGTTCACGACAGCAACCGCAGCGCCAGCAGCACCGCTGCCAGAGCCGGAGCCGGCCACTGAGTACGAAATGCCGGTCCTCTTGGCGTACAACTGGGCCAGCGAATCGAGCCATGCCTTGGCGTCGGCCTCACCGCCCAGACGGGCAGCGGGCTCCTGGGTCAGACCCAGAAGCAGCAGGCCGTCCTGGCGCTGCTGTCCCAAGCCGTACGACGCCTGCAGGTAGCTGCGGGCGGTGGACTGCGTGAAGCCTCCAGGCATCTTGCTGCTAATCAGGCGCGCGACCTGACTGGCGGAGTGCTTGCCCAGGGCGCCGGCGAAGGAGGTCATGCTGCCGGCCAACTCGTTGAGGGGGGTCTCCTCGGACTTCTCGGGGACGTCGTTGCCAAACTCTTTCTGCAGATCACCAAGGATCTCATTCTGCATGGTGGACTTGCCGCCGACTAACTCCTTGATCGACTTGGACACGGGCACCTCGTCGAGAGACTTCTTGAGCTTCTGGCACACGATGGTGTGGATGATATCTATGGCCTTGACCGGCACGTCGTCAATAGCAGCACCACCACCAGCGGCGGGCGCGGGCGTAGCGGCAACAGCAACCGGAGCGGCAGCGGCCACAGGGGCGGCAGAAGCAGCAACAGCGGGCGCAGCCTCGGCCTCGGCCTCGGGCTCAGACTCGTAGGTGTAGTAAAGCTCCTTCTCGTTCTTCGAGTAGCACAGGGTCGAGCGGCGGTGCGCAATGGCGTCGTCGTAGGCCTCGTACTTGAACTTGAGCGTGCGCTGAGCCATACCGCAAAGGGTCGGGCTGGGCCCAATCTCGATGAAGCGCTCAATGCCGTAGCCCTTGAACAAGTGGTCCTGGGTCTCAATCCAGCGCACCGGCGAGGCAAACTGGTAAGCCAGCAGCTCGACGAGCAGCACGTGTGACAGGCGCTGCACCTCAGCAGGGTCAGCGAGCATCGCGTCGTCCCAGCTCTTCAGCACGCGCGTGATGCGCGCAGAGCCAGTGAGTTCAAGCACATCCTCAAAGTACGCCTTTGTGACCTCGAAGGGCATGGCCGTAAGGTTAGGAATGTATAAGTGCTTGAGCAGGCTGTAGTTGATGTCGTTAACGCGCAGCTTCTTGAGAAGGAAGTTTCGGAAGGGTCCGACACCTGAGAGCAGGAAGCTCGAGTGGAAGGGCACGTCAATGCCAGTCAGCGGGATAGTCGCGTGACCGCGGTCCAGCACGATGAAGCCGTCGCGAGCGCGTTTCTCATCGGCCTTGACCAGCGCTCCGTCGACGATCTGGCCGAGCTGCTCCTGCACCTCCTCGAGTGGCATGTCCTTGATGAGCTTGGCAACGTCGATCTTCTGGCTGAAGATGAAGTTGAGCACATTGGTCAGGGTGTCCAACAGACGCAGCTCACCAGCGACAACGTATTGCCAGTTCTCGACGTTGTGATTGACAATCTCCAGCAGCCCCTTGCTCTGGTGGCGGATCGAGCTGATGACAAACTCGAGTGCCTCCTGGCTGAAGCTCTTGCCGACGCGCGCGGGGTTGACGGCCATCATGCTGTACTGCGAGCGGTTTTGCGAGTCGCGCTCGACAGCACGCTGCATGGTCATACCGCGGTAGAAGCCGACGTCAACGACGGCCTCGACGGCCAGAACCTCACCGATGGCGCTGAGGGCACCGTACTCACCAAGCGAGTGGCCGGCGAAGGGCGCGTTCTTCTGGATCAAAGACTTTGCGCGCATGTCAGCGTACGACGACAGCTCGAAGAGCATGAGTGCGGGCTGCGTGAACTGGGTGGCCTGTAGCAGACCGTTGGGCGACTTGAACGTGTAGAAGGGCGAGTCCTCGACAATGTCGGGGAACAGGCGCAGCACCTTGCTGTTGCCATCGGCGTCGACAGTCTCGTAGGTCAACGAGCAGTAGTTCTCGCGGATCTTAGCGCCCTTGTCACCGCCAAAGTACACGGTGCGCTCCTTCGGGTTGTTCCTGACAATATCGATGATCGAGAAGCCAAAGGTCCCAAGCATATGCTTGTCAGCACGGTCCCACAACTGGCGCGCGGTCTCTGAGCGCTCATACAGCTCCATGCCCATACCGGTCTCCTGGGAGCCCTGGCCGGTGAAGGTGTAGCCGGTGATGGGCTGCTCAACCTCGGCCATGCCCTCGATGACCTTATCACCGTGCTGGTTGAAGGTCGCAACCTTGATCAGCTTGCGGCCGTCCTTCATGCCGACGTGGTACAGCTTGGTCTCGAGCTGGTCGTTGGGTAGGACCATGCCGACAAAATCAACCTCGTACGCCTTAACGCGCTCGGGGTGGTTGTCTGCGGCAAAGGTCTCGACGAACTTGCGAGTCGACGCGCTGGTCCACATACCGTGAGTGATAGTGCCCGGCAGATCGGCATAGTCGGCAAAGTACACGTTCGTGTGGATCGGGTTGTGGTCGCTCGAGATGTTCGAGTACGGGTCGTTGGTTCCAGGCGAGTGTGTGATCGAGCTGAACTCGCTGCCGCGAGGCATGACCGAGTAGCCGCCGTTCTCAAAGTAGAACGAGTCCTCGATGGGCTGGCCGTGGCGCTTAAGGTACTCGACAACGGGGTTGCCGTAGGACTCGCCGCACTCGTACACGACGTCAGCAATGTGCACAAACTCCTTGGTCGACACCTGCACCATGACGCGGCCGGTGGTGACAATGTTCGAGTACACGGTGCGCGACTTGAAGCGGTAGCGCGATGACAAACGGAACTCGAGGGTCGATCCCGGCTGCAGCTCGTGACACGCACTCTCTAGAGGCACGAACCACTCCTTGGACTTGAGCACAGCAATGTCCTTGGTCGTGGCCAGGGTCACGCGCGATGGCTGCTCGTCAATATTGCGGTAGGTATCGGCAAAGTCGGTAAACGCGCCACGGTAGAAGAATGACGTCGTGATCTCGACGACGGGCTTGCCGTCGCGGTAAACGTGGCCCCTGATGCGCGAGCGCTTGCCCGTCTCCTCGATGGTGACCTCGATAATCTTGGCCTTGCTCTCGACGATGTCGCCAGCCTTGAGCGGCTCGGCGCCGTCAACCATGCGGAAGCCGTTGGACATATGCACCAAGTTGAGCACATCGCCGTCGACGATTTGTGGCAGGATGGTCTTGCACGTCATCGGCCAGCATGCGCGGCCAGCAAAGTCCATGGGCGCGTAGACAACGCCATCCTTGTGCTCGACGTAGCGCTCAGACTGGTTACCGACGACCAGGCAGAACTGGCGAATATCCTCCTTGCGGATTTCCTCATTCGAGTGAGTGAACTCAAACTCGGGGTCGACAATGCCAATCACATCCTCGCCCTCCTTGCTGTTCTCGAACCACACCTGCGCGTAGAACTTCTTAATGCGCTCGTTGCGGCCCTCCATGACTTCGTGGATGGGCACGCTGGGCATCTGCGCCTGATAGCGGAACAACAGCTCGAGGGTGCATTGGGTGCCGCGGGGCGACGAGTACATGTTGAAGTGGATCATCGTGTTGTCCGCGTCGATGCTAAAGTCCAGAGCCTTGAGGCCGCTGGCATCAATGACCTCGACAGCGTACGGGCGTCCCTCGCGCAGGGCGACCCTGACGACCTGGCCAGGACGGGGGCGCAGCACACGCTGAACAATGTTGCTCACATACGTGCGGTCCTGCGAGACGGTCGGCGAGGTCAGGAAAGCACGCAGCCAGTTGAGCTCGCTTCCAGCCAGGGCCTTGAGCCAGGCGTCGGTCTCGGGCAGCTGCGCCTTGACACGGGGAGCAGTGAATACGCGCTCGGTCTCGGTCGACTCGACCTTGACATGAGCCGGGAGGGCGCAGACAGCCGGCGGGTTGCCGAGGTAGCTGACAGTGGGCACAGCGGACTCGTCGCCGCCGTAGTAGCGCTCGAGCAGCGCCGCAATCTGGCCGTGGTAGATGCCGTCGAGAATGCTCTTGACGGGCTCGTTGGCCTTGGTCGCGTAGCGCACGGCAACGGGGCCCTGCAGAATGCACACGCGGCCGACGTCCTGTCCGGGGACGGCATCGACATCCTCAGCCTGCCACAGCGAGTCCTTCTTGAACCAGATGTGGAAGTCCTTGTCCATAACCGGGATAAACGGCACGGGCTTCTGGCCGGGGCGCATGCACAGGTTGATGAAGTACTGCACATCCTCGGTGGTCAGCAGCTGCGTGCTGCTCTCGGGGTAGGCGTCGATGATGGCCTGCACCTGGGGGAACGGGTTGTTGAGCTGGTCAAAGGACTGCAGAAGGGCGGGCTTTTCGGTGGTAGAGAAGCGCTCCTCGAGACGCAGCAGGTAGTCGCCGACGAGGTTGCGCATGGTGATGTCGATCCAGCGCGACTGGTGCGAAATGTACAGGACCTCGACCATGCGGTTGGCGACTTCGGCGTACGTCATCTCCTCGAGATCAGCAGACTTGCCGTCAGCCTTGCGGCCGAACCAGGGCTTCTGGAAGTCATCGTTGAGGCGCTTGATGATGTAGTCCTTCTTTGCCATGAGCACGGGAAGGCGCTTCTCGCGCGGCAGCGAGAAGATGGTGTCATCCATCTCCTTCCACAGCATAACACCGCGAGTGGCGATCTTGTGGATAGGCTCGCCGAGTTCTGAGAGAACAGTGACGATGCCGCCCGTGGGGCCACGGTACGTCTTCTCCCACTCGGAGTCGTCGATACCAGGCGCGGCGACGATGGCCTCCTTGACAGCGTCCGAGGCCATACCCTCCTTGGCGACCATGACACGCGAGCCGAACAGGCAGCCGTCGAAGGGCATGGGCGCGCAGTCGAAGCGACGACTCCACTCACCAGTAAGGTAGGGCAGAGTGTCGTCGACACCACCAAAGCCCGAACCGGCGACGAGCACAATGTTGCGCTGGGCGCGGATGGCGCCGTACGTCTCGAGGATAGGCTGATGGAAGTCCTCGAAAGAATGATGACCACCGGCACGACCACCGGTCCACTGGAGCAGAATCGGGAAATCGGGGTTGGCCTGCGCGATCTTGATGACCAGGCGGATAGTCGCCACGGATCCGGGCTTCAGGCCAATGTGGCGGAAGCCAACAGCGCTGATGCTCGAGATGATCTCGTTCGTGACCTCGAACGACGGCACACCAGCACCAATGCACAGGCCCTCCATGGGGACGCCCTCGCGACGCATCGTCTGCATCGCCGGGTACTGGATGTTCCACAGGAATGGGTTGATGTAGATCGAGTTGATCGTGACACCAAGTCCGGGGTCGACGAGCTTGAGGATCTTATCAACCTTGTTGCGCAGCATGGCCTCGTTAAAGTGACCACCGCCGGACAACTCGATGTGGTAGCCGGCGCGCATGACAGCCGACACAAACACCTCGCTGACAGTTGACGGCGTCATGCCGGCAACCATCACTGGCGGCTTGCCGAGCAGACGGCTCATGGGCGTGTCGATCTGCAGTTGGCCGTCACACTCGGTGCGCACCAGGCGCGGGGCGTAGTCGCGCTGCCAGTTTTGCGAGTACACGACAGACGACGCGCGGGTGTCGAACAGAGCAGACTTTGCGCTGAGATCATGATTGCTGGATTCGAGCGCGCCAGCCAGAACGACGCGCAGGCCGGTGCCCTCCTTGTTGCGGTTGGTCAGACCACCAATGCCGCTGACGCCACCGGGGCCAAAGTCAACCATGTGAGTGACGCCCTCGGTGGCCGTGGCCTTGATCCAGTCTACAGGAAGCACGCACAGGCTGTCGACGAGCTTGCGGCTCAGATCCTTCTCCTCGCTGAGCAGGCTGCCGTCATCGCCGGAGATAACTGGGATGCGCAGATCAGCGGCGTGCAGCTCCCAGCCGTTGGCATGGATGTCGCGCATGGCGTTCTCGGGGGCCGCAGCCAGGTACTCGGAGTGGAAGGGGCCGGTGATGGGCAGGAAGCGTGTCGAGAACTGCAGCTTACGCTGGGAGAACGGGATACGGTTCTGATCGAGACCGGCCGGGGCTTTCAGCTTGCGCAGGCTGAGGTTAAGGCCGTACAGAGACTGCGGCGGGCCGGTAATGACAAACGACCGGGGGCCGTTGATCAGCGATAGGGCAACCTGGCGGTCGGCGGGCAAATGGCGGTTAGTGGCCTCGATGTGCTTCTCGACCTCGCTCTGGCGCAGGCGCGAGATACTCAGCATGGGGCCGGGGGTGCCCTCGGCATTCTCCAGCGAGTCCTCCAAAATGGCCGGGTTGATTGTGGTCGGCGGGTGGGCCAGCTGCGAATGCATGCTGATGGCGAACAGGGTGCCCAGGGCCTTCTCAGACAGAGCGTAGAAGGAGTCCATATCGGTCATGGATGCAAACACAACCGACGTGATAATACCCTGGCTGTGGCCAGTGGCGCCCTTGAACAGCTCGGCGATGGCGCCGGGTGCAAGCTTGGTGACCTTGCACAGGACCAGCACGTTGAGCAACTGCGTGAAACCGACAATGGGCAGGCTGATGGCCACGCTGAGCAGGTAGTGCAGGTCGGGGCGCGACTCGGGGCTCGACAGCCAGGCCATAATATCGAGGCCCTTGGCGCAGACGGTCTGCGCCTGGGGCGTGCACGCGGCGCGCTTAAGCGACGCGGCCATCTTTTCGGCAAAGTCGCGGACCAGGGGCTCGTATGTGTCAAAGACCTCCTGGGTCTCGTCAAAGTACTCCTCGACGTTGCCCTGGCCGCCAAAGATGGCGAACAGACCGGCGGTGCCCTTGGCAGCGCAGTCGAACAGGGCTGGAGTTGCAGCGGCAGCGGCGGACTCGTCGTCCTCGGCAACCAGCACCTGGGCCGAGTAGTACGCGTTGATAACAGCCTGGCGCGCGGCGGAGGTCAACAGCTCATCGGTGGCGACATGCACATCGTTGCCCCGCAGGAAGGTCTCGCGCATATGCTTGAACAGCACGCGGATCAGATCGAAGCAGGGGAGGCCCTCGGGCTGTGCGGGGTACTGGGTGACGCAGAACTTGAGGAACCGAGCGGCGAGCTCGATGGGCTCGACGTCGTTGCTCTCGGCGTCGGCGGGCGCGTTGGCGATCCAGGAGGTAGCCTGGAACTGCTCGCGCATCTGCTCGGCGGCGGCCCACAGTTCATTGGCCACGAGGACAGTGATTTCTGTGGTGGAGTACTTGATGTGCAGTGGGCGCAGCGCCTCGGCAATGCTCTTTGCGGTTAGTCCGGTCATTGTAGAAGTACTTTAAGCTTGCTCTATGTTCCTGGGCTGCTGATTCCGTCCAAGCAATGACAAGAAAAATAAATTGTGGCGAGGGTTGCTGTATGTGTGTATGTGGCGAACGAGTAAAGTAAACGCGGTAAATCTCCTCTACAATGTCGTTCGCTGTTGTTATTTGCGAGCTAGAGCGAAAAAGTGTCTACAGAAGAAGTAAAAAGAAAAAAAGAGGAACAGATTATTATTTATTTGAAATTAGTATTTGGAAACGCGATATAGTGCAGGCATTTCGCACTGAGGTGGACGAACATGGCAGGGTTTTTTGTATTCTCCAATGGGATTGCCGCTTGGTATTCAAGATAAAGGGACATTGAGAGAGTGGCAAGACATTGTGAATGGAATGGACTATCGGACAAGTTTATGTGTGTGTGTGTTTATTGATCTGCCTGATCCCTTTTAGAATGGGCATCTTACCCAGCGGCAAATTGGAGAGAAATAGAGGGGAGCACTGCAAACAAAAAAAGCTACCAAATAGGAAGGCAGATCAATTTGCGGGTGCACACGGTATTAAAAATATTTTACACTATGCATAAAACAAGCAAAAAGAAGGGGGTAGGAAAGGGGCACGAAACGGTGCAAAATTCAAAGTGTTCAAGGGCCACCTATTGGGCGTGCGCATAAGCGAGACATAGTGCATGAAAATAAAAAGACTGATAGACATACAATGCAGATACGACAGCGCGATGGAGAGGGCAGAGGGGAGACATGTTTGTATTGTTTTTTATTTTATTTTTTGTTGGGGGCAGAAAGCAACAAGTAAACAGCTCACGCGATAAAAGTCGGCAGTGGTTACAGCTAAATTGTAGACTTTTTTAGCAAGGTGGGATACACGAAGCGACACAGGACAGGAAAAGACAAGACGAGGCGTAGTCCGCTGCAGCCTGGCGTGGTGTGAGATAGCAATAAATTCAGCCTAGTTTAGTTGGTTGCATCCGAATTTTACCAGCCCAAACCCAAATCATAGACACAAAAAAAGAGGCAGTGCAATTGAAGTGGTATTCTTTTTGGTGTGCGTCAGTGCAGCGACAGATTGCTAGGACAGAAACCTTTTTTACGTTGTAATAATAAACAGCCAACAAAGACTATAGCCAATTATCTGCAAATACAAGAAAGAGAGGAAATGAAGAGAAGAAACGGCTAGAGAAACAAAAAAAAGGAAAAGTAGTGCAAATAAAACAAGAGAAAAGAGATGAACGAAAGGGAGAAACTGTGGCAAACAATGAAAAGGAATCGTCGCCCAAGCTCGATTCGACTTTCGTTATTTTTTGTTTGGTTTAAAGAATACAAGTTAATGAAAAATAGGGGGAGTGGGGATGACAGGACGGAAATGGACAAAAAATAAAGCAAGACGTGGAAGTATTACGTACCGTTTAGAAAAAATAACCGATCAGGCAGGCGCAGAATGCGAGTGGTCTCGTTTCTTTTTCTTATTCTGGTATTAGGGCTCCTGGATGCAAAGCAAGAGCGATAAGGAAGGTGGGGAGAAAGAAAAGAAAGTGGCAGGTGGGGAATACTTTAATCGAAAGTGTCCAGACAATCTTATTCAGAGCGTGAGTAAAGACCTATAGTAGAATTGCAAAGAATATAAAAAACGAAGAGGTACTTTTTTGGTTTGGTTAGTATTACTGCGCGCTTATCAATTTGTTGTTTTTAGCATGGCGCTTCCCAGCCAAATATAAAAAAAGTGAAGCAATGGCGCACACGCATAAAAAATGAATATGCACGCTTCTGTGATGCCAACTGAAGCATTGATTATTTGATACATTGTATATCAAGTTGCAGGAAAGCGTGATTTTATCTGGGACCAAGCATCATTAAGAAATTAAAGATAACATCGGGACCCTTTTTAAGGTTGCTGAAATAAAAACTCGACGGTCTGTTTGAGCTTGAAATTATCCTGAATAATGAGGTTTACCCGAAGGGAGGGGAAGGGTTCTAACATGTGAAAGATAAAATGTAAGCACAGCCAAGCATACTTTCACGTTCACGCTTGCTCACAAAATTAACTCTTCCCCTCCCCCCCCCCCCAAAAAAAAAAGAGAGAGAACGGTCATTCAGGGTCATCTCTCGCCGGTTACAGATGGTCTGGAATGTGCAAAATCCATTTTATATTGGACTCTTCCGGCTTAAACCCCCATTATGTTCACATTTTGCCGCCTTTTTCGGTAAGAGGAGTTTCAAAGCATGTTATTTTTGTGAGCAATGGGCCTGGAATAAAATTATAAAAAGCATACCTTGATGTTCTTTGAAACGTCGCTTGCAGTGGTGTTATTAAGTTGGTATAGACGCAAGCGTGAATAAAGATAAAAGGTTGCCTGATTCCAGTATGTATATCAAGGAACAAGAAAATGTGTAATAGATAATAAATGTTATAATTTTTGAAGAAACAAAGTGCAGAATTTATTTTCAAGAAAAGAAAAAGGGAAAAAGATGTACCTGTTCTAAAACTCAACAGACGTATTTAATTCTTTTTTTTAGTTCTCAGTTGACTACATCCCGAGTTGTGCCTGCTTATTTTTCTTTAAGCAGAACTGTCAAGGGGGGATCATTCGAGGAGTAGGTGGACAAAAAAAGCCACTTTTTGCACCCATTTGTTCATCATTGATGAATGAGATAGGATCAATTTGCTTGCTGGGAGGCGAAATAGGTGTGTTATGCCCAAATGATTTATTGAATTGTCTAGAAGTCTGCTACCAGAAAACATTACTGCGCTTTCTTTCTTTCTTTTTCCCCCCCGTTCCTATCCCCGAAGATATCAAGGATGCCTTGCTCGGGAATGATAATATTTTGTGCTGGTGGAAGTTTTTCAACCGCTTTGTTTTTTTTTAAAATAGTTGCGCGGCGTTCTGACCCAATCATTCAGTTAACAAATCACGCCAACCAAGATAAGAAAAAAGAAGGGAAAAAAAAGAAATTGGCAGTAAAATTTATTTTGTTTTATTTTGGTTGGGACAATTTGAAAAAAAATATATATATACGTGGATGGGTGGATTGATCTCACGCACTGACAATTTCACTGCCTTGCTGCGGTATGTTCGGAATGGTATGGCGGGTTTGGTGATGTGGGGAGGACGCTATGACGAAGACATATTTTTCTTTCACCCCTCACCTCCCTGTGCCACAGCAAGAGAAAAAGAAGAAAATAAACCTGCGAGGTGTGCAAATCTCAATTTGACAGCTGGAAGTTTACCATCCAATGGCATGAGATCAAAGGATGCCTGGAATACACCAAACAAGAAAACAAAATTTTATATAAGTTTTCTCCGCCAAAATTCTTATTATTATTTGTTTGGCAGATCAATTAGCTAGAGGAAATAGTGCAAAATTTTAAAATTAACGATTTGCCAATAAAATTATCATTATTTCTATTTTTCAAATTTACAGAATGCACACGATAAATAATTGTGTCTGTCCGACATATAAAATAAAAAAGCAAAAACATATTTTGGAAGATTTTAATTGGTGCGATAAGCAATTCTTAAAAAAAAAAAGTACAAGCCTTGCTTACTTTTTAGTTTTGTTTTGTTTTGTTTTTGCTCAGCCTCAATTGAATTGTCTACGCCACTATTAAAAATAGTTTAATCTAGCCGCCATTGATTCTTATTTTAGAAAATCACAGAATCAGCTGAACGGGCATTAATTAGAAGCTCTTTCTCTGACAGCTGCATATTATTTTGTCTTTTTTGTTATTTTTGTTGTTTATAGTAAAATAAATGTGGTCTTGATTATTGTGCTCGCAACCACAACAACGCCATGAAAGACGTTGTTAAAAGGCAATGCCACCACACCCAACCTAGTCCTATGTTTAATCTCCGAAGTATTTGACGGCAGACAGCATCCTCGGTCGCTCTCAGAGAGAGCCACCAGATCCGCGCTGTGCTTTTGTAAAATCGGGGTCCGTTTCTATTTTAGAAACTAAGCGTTAAGGGTTTCTTGTTTGTATTTTAGTGGTATGTGATTTTTTATTTATAGGCTGGTTAAAAAATAAGGTTTAAGTAAAGTATATGGGGACAGATCATGCTTTTTTGAAGTTGGTAAAATTAAACCCGACCACTTTTGATCTAAATTATTTATTTTCGCAACACCCTGTGGCGGACACTTCTACCGCCAGACAATTAGACCCAGGTCTGGATAATTTCCAACCACGCTGCCCTTGGAATAATTTCCGTTATAGGGGCATATAGCTAGGTTCTGCAATAGAGCACACAATGCGATAGGCAAAAGTGGTGGGTGTAGTAGACGATCAGTCTTAATCATTAACTTCTAGTTTGTCTTTTTTGTTTTTATAATTGTTTTATATCTCGCGCAATGGATCAATTTTCTCTCTTTGTGTATTATAAATATCAATATCAATAACAAAAAAAGAATTATATATAAACATATATTTTAGTTGATTTTAAAAATTGCTTGTACCAGAAAAACTCAATCCAATGGGCATTTTTTCCGGATATCCAATCCTAGGGTTTCTCCTACCGATGCGACTTTGGGTCCACACCGGGGCCCTAAATGCAATGCTCCTTCCAATACTCCCAGTCATAACACAATAAGTGAACAATACACTGGGCAAATACGACAGCAACCCTAGATAATCCTCTCTCGTAAAAGCCTCATCCAAACTGACCAAAGCATGAACATACAGTACCCAAGTAGCCATCAACGAGGCATTCAGGGAAACCAAAAAGCCATGCAATGAGCCATCACAAACGGTCCACAGTCCCAGAGAAATTATAATCATACAAGCAGACGACTGACTTGCGCTCTCAAAGGGTAATTTCAACGCCGCATAATTTACGCCCAAAAAGCCACCAACACACCGAAGGACGTCGTTCCACCCGGTACGACGCAGTGGGGTGTTCAGCCACTTACGATCAAGAAAGGGGTACATGAGGCCAACCAGCACAGTGAGAAGCCCACTGAGTGCATTACTCCAGGGCGCCTGCGCCAACACACGACTGATTAGATCGCGTGTTAACCCATGCGGGCCCAATCCACGGCGCCACCCAAAAAGGGACTCGTAGGGGAATTCCAAATCATCCGAGTCGCTGGAATCCTCGCGCAACAAGGATCTTTGCTGAGCATGGATCAGCTGAATACCCACTGACCAAGACCACCCGATGGAAAAGAGTAGTAGAATACGCGGAATATACCATGCAATTATACGTGAGGGCGAAAGCGGAGGCGGAGAGGATGCGGTTTTTTGCTGGGTGCGCCGGATGTGAGCTTTTCGCCGAGAGTGCAGCAGGGGTGTGGTTGCCAGGGCTGAGGGGGCTGGTGATATTGGCTGGACGGCGATGTTGATTTGGGCAGCTGCGCCGGTGACGGTGGCAGGAACGGACTGCGCGGGTGGCGGGGATTGCGAGTTGGTTGATGAGCGGGAGAGTTTGGGTGAGATCCATAGCTCACCACTATCGTCTGATGAATGGCCAGCATCTGCTGCTGCTATTGGTTTTGGTGGGGAAGCAGCAGCAGCAGCAGCAGAAGTCATACTGCGTTTGGCTGTGGAAAACATCAACAATAAAATTGAAAAAAGTGAAATTGAAAAATAAGAAAATAAATGCAACAGATTACCAAAACAAAACAAAAGTGAAAAAGAGGATGAATGAAAATAGAGAACGGTAGCGAAAACGAAAAATGTTGCAAAGAAACGAAAACATCAGAAAAAAACATTATAAACATGTATAAAATGGCCAATGTTTCATTAGCCATAGGAAGAAAAGAATCACAGGGCCTGGATATCACATGAGGTTTCTAGGATAGACATTGCAGCAAACTTTTCCAACACCGAATAGTACGTGGCAGGTGGCAATGGTATCGGCGCCGCCGCCGCTGCTGCTGCTGCTGCTGGTAGTGGTGGTGGTAAAGACTGCTGCTGATCCGCGCCCTTGGCGCCCTTCAAGGCAGCACTAGCACTAACAGAAGCAGTGACAGCCAGGGCCCAGGCTTGCGCACAGGCTTGTCCCAGGTCATCGGCATCCCCTCATTCGCCATCAGGGTCAAGTACACCTGCGGGCGCCTCCTCCCAGACTCCAAAACACGCAACAGCACGCTGACGCGGTCAAAAACACCAAATACAACAGTGCGACCGCCACGGGTATTCCCAGGCCAGGCCCAGGCCCAGGCCCAGGCCCAGGCGCCAAGACAACCGAAAGCCGGGTAGGCTCAGGGTTGAACTCCTTGCATCCGTCAATAAACACATCGGCATCCTCCACCCTGCCGGTCACAGGGACAGGGGCACTTTGATCTGCTCGCGGTCGCGCAACCGCACAGGGGCACGCAGGCCCAGGGACGGCACAAAAACGACAAGCCCGTTCTCGCGCACCTCCGAGACCACGCCGCGGACCACGGTTCCCTGGAGATGCGCTTTGATGTAGAGCGCCTGGAAGAGCTCCGTAGAGTCGCGCTGTGCCAGCTTGGACATGCGGTTGCGCTCGTTTAGAAGCAACGCCGTGCGAGCCGTCCACTCCCACTGCAGAGCTTCTGGCTCCGCCGCCTGGTCGAGTGCGGCCAGCAGCTGGCGGTGGACGACCACGTCGGCGTAGCGGCGGATCGGGCTGGTGAAGTGCGTGTAGTGGTCCAGCGCCAGCCCGTAATGGCGGAGCTCCGCGGCGCCATTGCAGTCCGCCGCCGCAAGGTACTCGGCCTCCTGCATGGCCATCGTCGCCATGGCACGGGCCAAGAGCGCCAGCGCCGGGTGCTCGTCGCGCGCGACAGCCAGCAGGGACTTGGCCAGCGCCGCGCTGCTCGAGCAGTCGACGGGGATGTTGCGCGCGCCGAGGGCGGCGCCGAGGCGCGCAAAGCGCTCGGGCGTCGGGCTGCGGTGGCGGCGGAGCAGCGCCGCGCGCGGGAAGGCATCGGCGATGCGGCACGCGACAGCCTCGTTGGCCATGACCATGGCCTCCTCGACCATGCGGTGCGTCTCCAGCGCGGGCTTCGGCGCGGCGCCAACGACCTGGCGCGTATCCGCGTCGAACTTGAAGCCAACCTCGCTGCCGGCCAGCTCCAGCGCGCCCTGCGCCATGCGCCGCGCCCTGCGCCGCCGCATGACGGCCGCCAGGTCTCCCAGCGCGCCTGCGATCGCCCGTGCCTGCCCGCCCAGGCGGCCGCCGGGCGGCCGTCCAGCAGATCCTGCGCCTGGCCGTAGCTCAGCGCGCCGGCCGAGCGGACGACAGTGCGGCCGAACCACGTGCGCACCACCTGCATGTCTGCGTCCAGCACCCAGACCACCGAGACGGCCAGGCGGTCGACACCCGCGTGCAGCGAGCAGACGTCCTCGCTGAGCACCTCGGGCAGCATGTTGAAGCGGCGGTCGGCCAGGTACACGGTGGTGCCGCGCGCGCGCGCCTCGGCGTCGGCGGCCGACCCGGCAGCGACAAAGTGCGAGACATCGGCGATGTGCACGGCACCTCCAGGTGGCCGCCGACGCGGCGCGCGGACATGGCGTCGTCGATGTCGCGGCAGCCGCTGGGGTCGACGCTGAACACCAGCCAGTCGCGCACGTCCCGGCGGCCGGCAACGTCCGCCTCGCTGGGCGCCCAGGCCACAGGCATTTCGCGCAGCACGGCGGCGGGGAACGCCAGCGTGCGCTGCGACGCGGCGATCTGGCGCTCGACCAGGATGGCGTCGACCTCGGAGTCCACCGAGCCAGTGGGCCCGAGCGTGCGCACGTAGTGGCCGACCGGGTGCGGCGCGTCGGCCGGCCACGCGTCCACGACCACCACAAAGTACACGCCGGCGAGCTGCGCCGCGTCCATGTAGTGCATGCGGATCTTGGGCACGCGCGAGTCCACGGGCACCGCCAGGTGCCGTGCGCCGCCGCCCTCGTCCGCCTGCAGCGTTGCGACAAACGGCCGCCAGCTGCGCTGCGCAATGCCGACGACCACGCCGCGCAGCCGGTCGGCGGCTGTGGTGGCGAATGCGCCCGCGCCGCCAAGGCCGCCCGCGTCGCCAAGGCCGTCCGCGTCGTCAAGGCCGTCCGAGTCGCTGCCCGAGTCGCTGCCCGAGCGCTGCCGGCGCTGCCCGAGCGCTGGGCCCAGCCGCCTCCCCGCACCTGAGCAGCCGCACGACCACTGTGTCGCCGGCGCACGCGCGGTTGAGCGCCGCGCGGCCAGCCACGGCGATGGGCTCGGCGCCGCGCCGCTCGACCACGCCCAAGGTGCCGCGGCGCGCCAGGCGCACCGTGCCCTTGACCAGCGCGCCCGCCCGCAGCCCCGCCTGGATGTCGGCGTCCGGCCAGTGGCGCGCGTAGTCAGTTGCCGCCGACTGCGCGCGGAGCCGGTGGCGTGCGTGCTCCAAGGGCGTCCGCGCCGACACGTCCATGTCGCTGTCCGCTGTGGCCGCATGCACGGCCGCAAAGTGCGCGCTGAGCTCCGGGTATTCGCTGGCGAGAAGCCCGCCCATCTCGGCGACCTCGGCCCCGCCGCAATCGATGCCCAAATAGCCGCCTTCCTAATGGGGATAGCGCCAAAAATAAAAGAAGAAAATAAAAATCAGGCGGGTAGATCAGCAAATCTGTTTTTTTTCTCACCCCTTTTCCCGTCCAGCCTGCCCTTTTTGATTGGCCCCATGGGCCTTTTCCAGCCAATTAAATTACCTCGAGAGTCACCACAATGGCGCGCTCACCCAGATGCGCGGCATACCAGCGGGCTGCAGCCACCACTGCGCGCCTATCCCTCCGGCCACACCCTCACCCTCTTGAGGCTCGACGCCGGTGGCAGCAAACACCTCGTTGGCAAAAACCACCGCATGCCTGCGCTCATCCATGGCGATGCGCCTGATGTTCTTCAAGCTGCGCGTCCTGCCTCTGCGGTCCAGCGCATCCAGCACAGTCTGGCAGAACACCATGTTTTTCAGCGCGTCCTGCTGCTCCCACAGCTCCATAAACCTGCTAAGCGCGCCCACGTCCGGCACCAGAATGGGCCCTCGGCTGAGCTGTGGGATGCCGCGTGATGAGAGGACTCGGTTCTGCGTGCACTGCGTGCAGTGTGTGCTGAGGCAGGGATGTCGCTGCGTAGGTATCTCTCGCTTACGCTCATGCTCATGCCGCCTTGCCGCTTGTTGCGCCGGTACGCGAATGTCTGTGTGCGCGTGCCCAGCATGGGTAATTTGATTTAGTTGTTTGGCTAATATAGTAATAGTAAATGCTAATATGTGCAAAATGACGACGACGCTGCCGCCTTTTTTGCCCCGTGTGTGCAGGCCTGATGGCTATGCCGCCCAATTTTTGAACGTTATGGTTTTTGCTCTCCCACTTTCTCGCTCTTTGTCTTTTGTGGCTCCGCTGGCTGTGTGAAAGACAGATAAATAAAAGAAAATCATCTACTTTTTAATAAAAAAACCACATGTTTATCAGGTTGTATTTGCGTCAAAGCGCTCCCCCCCCCCCCCCATTGTACAAAGCCTTGGAAATGACAGCTGTCGTCATAATTTTTTATTTTAAAAAAGCCTTGGCCACAAAAATAAAAAAAACCGGTTTTTTGGTCGACTCTACTGCTTAGTTTCCTTTTTGTATTTCGGAATTTGGCCGTGCATTCTTAGCCAACCAATAAATAATAATAAAAAATTGGGCTTATGCAGTCCAGGTTTAGGGCGTAAATATTTAGAAAATCCCACTGTCCACCCAATTGCAGAAATCTTTCTAGGCTATTTCTTGCTTTTTTGTTAACCTCCTCCACCCCCAAAAAATGGGTTTTTTTTTTCCAAGCCGCTCTCTTTCACTGTTGTCATACTTATTTTTGTGTAAGCACGTACTTGCACTGAATAGGGGGAAAAACATACGTGTTTGTGTAATTTTTGTAATCGATGAAAACTGATGCCAAAAAGATTGATTGAAATCATCGCTTTACCAAAAGAAAAGAAAAGAAAAGAAAAGAAAGAAAAAAAAGGAGATTGGGGAGAGAGATGGAGACAAAAAGAATGTAAATTTTTTTACTACTTAAAGTAACACCAACGCTCAAAACCCCCATCTCAACCGTTCTTACCTTTTCTTCTCTTCAATATCTTGTTTTCAATTTATTATTAAACCTTATCTACACTTTATAGAAAAATCATTTTTTTCTTTCTTTTCCTTTTTCAACCATGACCATTGATCCTCGCAATACTTCCCGCCTCGAATGGCTCGAGTCCCTGGACATCAATAGCGAGCCCAGCCACATCCGCAAGAGCTCAATCATCTGCACGCTGGGCCCGAAGACCCAGTCCGTCGAGATGATCACGGAGCTGCGCAAGGTTGGTATGAACGTCGCGCGGATGAACTTCTCTCACGGCTCGCACGAGTTCCACGGCAAGACCATTGCCAACGTGCGCCGCTCCGAGGAGGTATTCAAGGGCCGCCCGGTTGCCATCGCCCTGGACACCAAGGGCCCTGAGATCCGCACGGGTAACACCAAGGACGGCAAGGATATTCCATTCAAGGTTGGCCACGAGATGATCTTCTCCATGGATCCCAAGGATGCTAGCGAGGGATCGCTGGAGCGCCTGTACCTGGACTACCACAATTTGCCGCAGGTCGTTGCCCCCGGCCGCACCATCTACATGGACGACGGAATCATGGCCTTTGAGGTACTCGAGGTGCTGGAGAATGCCGTCAAGGTTGTCGCGCGCACCAACGGGTCCTTGTCCTCGCACAAGGGCGTGAACCTCCCTGGGTCTGAGGTCGACCTCCCGGCGCTTTCGGAAAAGGACAAGGCTGATTTGACTTTTGGCGTCGAGCAGGGCGTCGATATTATTTTTGCCTCGTTTATTCGTACCGCCAAGGACGTCACGGATATCCGCGCTCACCTGGGCGAGGCCGGCAAGCATATCAAGATTGTGGTCAAGATCGAGTCCACCCAGGGCGTTGAGAACTTTGACGAGATTCTGCGCGAAACCGACGGCGTCATGATTGCCCGTGGAGATCTTGGAATTGAGATCCCCGCTGCCAAGGTGTTTATTGCCCAGAAGATGATCACCGCCAAGTGCAATAGCGCTGGAAAGCCGGTTATCTGCGCCACGCAGATGCTCGAGTCCATGACTTACAACCCGCGGCCGACGCGCGCCGAAGTGTCGGATGTGTCCAATGCTATTTTGGACGGTGCCGATTGCGTTATGCTGTCTGGAGAGACCGCCAAGGGAGATTACCCGCTGCACGCCGTGCGCATGATGAGCGAGATCTCGCTTCTGGCCGAGTCCGCCATCGCCTACCCTCCGCTCTTCAACGAGATTCGCGCAGTGACTAAGCTTCCTGTTGGGATCACCGAGGCTACCTGCTCTTCAGCCGTCAATGCTGCGCTGGAGCAAGATGCCAAGGCGATTATCTGCATTACCACCACTGGTACCTCCGCCCGCCTGCTGTCCAAGTACCGCCCGTCTATTCCGATTCTCGTCGTTACTCGTGATTACCACACCGCGCGCCATGTGCATTTGTCCCGCGGCTGCTATCCTTTCCACTACCAGAAGCCCAAGCCTGGAAAGGCCGCTTCGGAGTCGGAGGCCCGTGACCAGTGGCAGAATGATGTCGATGAGCGTATTCAGTTCGCCATCGCTAATGCTTTGGATGCTGGTTTGCTCAAGAAGGACGATGTTGTTATTTCCATCCAGGGATGGCGTGGAGGTGTCGGAAACACAAACACCATCCGCATTTTGCGCGCGTAAGCATCAACATAAATATCCACTAAACCATTTCCACGTTTTGAGTAGTTTTTCCATTTTGTTTTTCCACCTTTTACACCTACACCATTTCTACCACCCACAAAACACACAATCTCACCACCACACCCCTTACCCTTTTCAACATTCATGTCAGCCCAACTCGATGTACTGGAGTTGTGTATATATCTGTATCTAAGATAAAATGACCTCCCCTCCCCCTATATCCCCCAACAAAATTAAAATTCATTGTCAATTATATTTTTCATTGCTATTGACTAACTGCCTCCCTGTATATATATTCTTTTTATATTTTTAGCGATGTTCAATCGGAAGCCCTATGGATGAACAGCAATACGAACAGTCGCACAGGATCTCCTATTGGAACTCCGGAACTGCGCCCCGCAGCTATGCTTGCCCGCGCCACTAAACATAATCTTAGCCCAGATACACTGAGACTCACAGAGTCCAGTTTTAAGAAAAGATGAATAGGAAGGGTGGGGGTTTTTTTTGCATTTTTGCATTTTTCTTATTCTTATTCTTTTTCTATTTAATTTATTAAGTATTGATTCCACACATTTCGTAAATAAAAAACATGGCCGTTAAAAGTATGCGAGTCAAAAAAATAACCAATTAGCAGTTAAAGAGTACTTAGTTATATTTGTACATACGATTTAAAAATGCAATATACTTGTATAGTTGGCCACAAAATACAGATTACTGTTATTTTTTGACTCAATATCCGAATGCACTCACCATTAAGACTCATCGCAAAAAAATTGCTAGTAAACATTCTACATCAATAAAAAGAAAATAGTCAATATAGGTATTACGCATCACGTGTATAAATGTATACTTTACTTTGGCATTTGTCGCTTTAACCATTATTTATAAATATTAAAATCGAATTTTATTGCATGTAAAAGTCAGGCACCAAAAAAAAGTAGGCCATCCACACATTCATCTTGTACATATCCCATACACACCAATATACCATTTTTATTAAATACATATTATATTCATGTCATTAAAGCATTCCAACAACGTCACTGTGTCCCAGTTACAGACAAGTTTTGCCGAGATCCAAGCCGAGCTGAAAAAAGTACTCGACGGGATCCACAACGGGCGCATCCTTGAGAGTTTCGATATTCTGAGTAAATTGACAGACGCCGTTGTGGTTAGTTGCGAGGCCCTGGGATTGGCCTCAGAGCTGCCTGTGGTGGAGGCCTTTCGGAGGGACAATTTTTGGCAAGGGCTAAACAAGTGCTGGCTGTTGGCTTTGCAGAATGTGCACAAGGCGAGGTCAGAGGAGGACAGATTGAGGGAGGAACATATTGTGCATTTGATGAACTCGGTTGTTCGGTGGGCTGATGCTTTGGATCGGTTTGGACTGGTCGATTACGAGATGGGGTTCTGGGAAGCCGATATCATGGACTCACTAGATGGTATTCTGAAAAATTTAAGAGCTCAGGCACTGCAAAACATGTCCGACTGAGCATTTCTATTTATTTGACAGTTTTTTAATGCAACATTATTTCATACTTTTTTGTTCAGTTGCGTAGTGCCAGCGACAGGAGTACTCCCAGCATTAGCACAAGCACAACAATGATAACCTGCAGATTTGCCATGGCAAACTGCACAACGGCATCAGTCGCCGAGGGCCACTTGTCGGGAATCACAATGACCTGGCACGTCTCGTCCGCCGACCCGCTGATCAAGCACTTCTCCTCAGCATCAAACGCGAGTACAGTGATGGCAAAGCCGTGGGCATTGGGAATACGCATCAGTACGCGCAACGTATGCGCATCGCAAATGCAGATCTGCAAGGACGCCGTGGCGAACGCCAACAGACGCCCGCTCTTGCTCAGCGCAAACGTCGTGATCGCAGAGTTGCACACTGGACGTGTGACCAGCCGTTCCCACTTGTTAGTATCCCACATGGCGATATACGCCTGCTTGCGCGACCGCGTGTTCAGCACCGTGTACAGAATATCCTTGAGCTCAATCCGGGTCTGCAAAGCTGTGAATTCCTTTGAGCCCTTGCTACGCCCAAACTTTGCAAACCGGAACATTGCGCCTGTTCCCTTTGCCGTGTGCGGATTGTCGATCGTCTGCACCACGGATCCGTCCTTTGCTGAAAGCACCTTGAGCTCCTTGTCCGTAGTCACGGCAAGCCATTTCCCCGAAAGGTTAAAGTCCACGTCGTTTATTTCGTCCGACGCCTCGATAAAGGGAAACGCAGGAACAAGCTGGGGATACTGGATGACAGACAATGTGCCGTTGGTCGATCCGCCCGCCAGGAGCTTTCCTGATGGATCAAACGCAGAGCAACGTTGGTAATCGTAGTCGCTGGTGCTGCACACGGACTGCGTCGCTTTGCCGGCCTTGATGCTTTTCTTCTTCAGCTCGAACAAGCGACAGTTATTGTTTTCTCCCTTCTCTATCTGCGCTTTACTCGCGTTTATGCTGGCTGCCAGCACTTTTTCCTTTGGGTGCAGCGCCAAGCTCGTCGGCGCATCCTCGGAGCTGCTGAGCACCAGTTCGCTCACAGACTTTAGCCCGGTCTTTTCGATAGTGTAGACAGCCTAGTGAATAATTATTTGAATAACATTTTTCCTTTAGTTAGTTGTGGAATTGCCTCTTGGTATTGCTTCTCTTAACCGCGAGAAAAGGCAGGTATTGAGTTGTAAAGGGACTCCCCTCCTGATGGCACCGACCGCTTACCAGTTTGTTTTTAACCCCCGAACGCCCCGCACCGCCGCCTCCGCCGAGGACAACCTCGTTATTCTGAGTTATTCCAATACAGCCAATGGGAAAGCCGACCTCGCTGGTAAACTGTTCCAATTTGCTGGGCATCCTCGTGTAGTGAAATTAAAAATATGTATATAAATGTGTGTATGTGCAAAAGGAGAACAGGGGGAAGAAGAGAGGAGAAAAGAAGCAAGTGCGTTCTATTTTTGTGAAAGTGGAGAAATAAAGAGGGAGAAAGAAAATTTAATGGCGCAAGCTGGAAGCTTCCCCTTTTTTCTACTGCAGCTCGGACAAAAAGACCTTGAGCTTTTCGACAGCCAAGAAACGGTGCGAGCACGTGTTTTTGATCTCGCTGGGCAGCTCGGCATAAGTTTTGTCAAAGCCGTTGGGCATAAAGACCGGATCCCAGCCAAAGGAATCCGGGCCGCGGGGCTCGACAATCGTACCGTGGTTGACACCCTCAAGCAAAACAGGCTCATGGCCGGGTCCCTCGCAGTACGCGATGGTGCAGACAGCAAAGCCAGACTTGTCCTCAAATCCAGCCAGCATCTTGTACAGCCCCTCGGGCTTGAGCTCCTTCAGGAACCACTTGATGTACGGGCCCGGCAGCCCCTTCATCGCGTTAAACCCCAGACCGACGTCCTCGGTGATAACCGGCCCGTCGATAATGGCAGCAGCCTGCCTGCACTTGGCAAGCGCCACCTCCTGTGTGGTGCCCTGGATCTCCTCTAGATCAACGGAGCGGTTGTCTAGGTCGACGATGCCGCTGAGCAGCTTCTGCATCTCACGCAGCTTGTTCTTGTTGCCTGTGACAAAAGTGAGTTTGCGAAGCGACATTGGGGCGGAATAGAATGCGAATTCAGCAAAAGGATGAAAAAATAAAAGAGAAAGCTAAAACATTACAAAGAAAAATGCATTTGAGAACCGCTGCACCAGCCCTAAAGGCCCTGAGCCGGCTTGCATGCTGCTCGAGCCTGTTTTCTGGCCACATGTAATTTTCCCTAAACAGTCCGTTCGGCCAAAAAATAAGTTAACATATTCTGCTTCTTTACCTTTTCCGTCTGCTCTTTCTTGCACCCTCCTTTTTTGTACCACATCCATTTTTAACTTTGTGCATCACTTGACACTCAAATTCAAATGCCTCAGCCCAAGTTCATACCTGCCGACGAGCTCGCCGAGCTCATCCGCAGCCCACAAAAGGTAGCTGGGACCGACTACTTGATCGTTGACGTCCGGGACTTGGACTACGTTGGAGGCCATATCACGGGCGCAATTAACGTCCCGGCGCATCTCATTCGTGGCCAGGCACCAGTTCTGGCCGACCAGTACAAGCATGTGCCCAGAATAGTGTTCCACTGCGCACTGTCGCAGGTGCGTGGCCCAAAGTCGGCGCGTATATACAGTGAGTGCGTAGAGGATAGGCTTGAGTCTGCCGAAGTGGGCGACCAGCTGTTCGAACAGGAAATCAATATTCTTCGCGGTGGATTCGATTCGTGGCTTGTGCGCTTTAAGGATACTGAACCGGAGCTTATTGAGGCCTATGACGCGACGGTTCCAAGAGACACAGTTTAAAGCCATTGTAGAGGCGCTCACGATAGAAAATAGATCCATTGAGCGAGATATAGAACAAGTATAAAACATGTATAAAACAAAAACCAATGTTGATTAATGAGGCTGATTGTCTGCTGCGCTGCCTTGCCCACCACGGGGTCTATTTCAGAACCCGGCTACATGCCCCTATAAAGAAAGTTATTCAAGGGGCAGCGTGGTTGGGATTTCTCCATATCTGGGTCTAATTGCCCAATGGTGGAAGTGGTCACCAGGGTGTTAGTAAAATTAAAGCCGAGCACTCGATCTGCCAGCTAGAGCGTCAGATAGCTAGTGTGCATATCTACCATTCTCGTTGCTGTCGTCCGCAGCCACTTTGACAGGCCGTCATCTTCGTCTTGTCACGGATTTGGTAGTTGGGGGTGTTTGTTGAGATTGGAGTCTCATCAACAATCGGCGTTTCTCAGGCGTCAAGGATCCCCTTATTTCCTGTTCGATCCGAAGACCGCACTGTTCCTTGCACCAGTCGTGCTGTTTGTTTATGATCTCGTTTACAAACACCGTTGCTTGTTTTTGCGCACTCCCCTTGGAGTTTATTGACCACCATTGTATACCTGTCCTCCGTCAGCTTCTTCTAGCCTCGCCTCATATCTAGATACACGTTTCTTTCTTCTGCGATTATTTCCTTTATCAGAACAGGTGTTGCCTCGATTTTTTTGCTCTAGCTTAGGTTTGCTGCGCAAATTTCAAATTGCCACAAATTCTGCAGCCCTAATTTTCTTTCTCCGCAGCAATCCCATTTCGGACCTCGCTATATAACCGAAGTAAAAAATACAACTAAACATTATTTTTCTTTTTATTTCCAACATTTTCTACATGAGTATTTATTTTTCTCTGCTGCCTTTTCCTCTTTATTTCTCGTTACTTTAATCTTTCCATGAACAAGCTTGTAGTTTTTGTCCCCGAATACGTCAATCTTGACGACATTGACAAGTGCCTGTGTGACCGTCTCACAGAGTTTATCCAAGTGGACTCGAAGACCTTTGAGGCCGAAACCGAGTTGCGTGAGCGCAATAGGTTTATTGTTCTTGAGCAAAACTGTTTCCTTGTTTACGAGCAGGAAGCGGATGGACCCGTGGCCTTTCACTACCAGTCGCGAAACCAGGTTATGTCGCATATGCGATACAGCAAAATATCGACCATACACTATAATGGCATGTCGAATCTTCGACAGAAAGACGGTCTATGGGTTGGAAACGAGCTTCCTGTGCTTTACTTTGTGTTTAAGAGCGACGCAGATTGCCTGAAGCTGAACAATAGTGCCGAGGATAACACTATTGTCGAGTACTATGAGACAGAGGATGAGGAGGAATTTTCCAAGTTTGCTAATATTGCCAAGTCAAAGTGGGCATGCGTTCCTCACTTTTTTGTTGTTAACCGCGGGAACGTTTACCATGTCGTTGATACCAATGACACCAGCATCAACTATTATTTTAGCCATTCGCTGAAATACAAGATTATTAGTGATCTGGCCACGGGAGCTGCCACCATTCAGACATTCATCGACGAGGAAAAACATCTGCATGAGCGCAGGCCTAAAACACAGCGTCTTCCCAACTTTCAGCTGCGCGATTATTTGGGAAACCCGGTGTCTGAAACGAGGCATTTAGCTTGGAGATAATCAATGAATGTAGGGAAAACGAAGTAGGCAGCGACTTCGATGCAGACAATGGTTCCGACGAAGAAGATGGTATGGACTTTTTGAGTTATTTCGATTACCATTCGGATGAAACTCCCCATATTTTTGGCTGCAACAGTTATCCTTACAAATTTGGATTCAAGGTTGTCGACAGAATAACTTATTTGACCTACGAATCCAAGTACCTGTGTGCCAGCGGCGACGATGGCTACAAGATAGAGGTCGTTCCTGCAATTCCGCCCAAGAACCTGCGCATCCAAGTGCATTATGCTGAAGACGGTAGCATTATGCTCACCATGTGGGGAGGCAATGTATATGCCAATTGTGACTGGATCAAGTGTGCATATGGCGGAATTGGATTCGACTCAAGCGAGTATATTTTGCGCTGGGGCTCACCGATGAAACTGCGCCTGAGAAAGATTCAAAAGTAGTTTTATTTAAAATAAATATATATGCCAAATTTTGCACACATACACAAAACATTTGCTTTCAAAAAGTGGTCTTAACTGTGTTCAAAAATGTAATGCCTTTGCTATAAAAATTGCATTGTCACACACCCCCAAATTACCAACGCCAGCCCCGTGGTTCAAATATACCACCTGGAAATGCCATCAAAAGCTACTCGCGCAGGTTTTCCTGGAAGAGCCGTCGCGTTGGAGCTGTCGGCTTATCCCCCATTGCCTCCCAGGTGGTGCCACACGATCGTGCAGCTGCAGTCGTAGTATTGCTTTCTCCAAACACTCGCGTCTGCAACAGTGGGATGTGCGCACCCTTCCAGTGGTGGAAGAATGCTTCTGGAAAGTCGCAGAGTTTTCCAGTTACATGGCGCATTACAGTTCCTATTAGGGCGGCCAGCAATGATGGTTGGGATCCAAGGATCAGGATACCTTGGAGCATAAATTTAAGGCAGGAATGACTATGGCGCACACTAGATACTGCACCATTGTGTCCATTGTTCGTCGCCGTTTGCATTGTAGAGGCGCGCACTTGATAAAATGATGCGATCCCACAACATTTAAATTAATAGTTACCCTTTTAATTAAAAAAAGCAATTTTTGGCTCAACGTTTTCTATATTTGCACCAGGCATAAAACTTCTCTCCCCTTTTCATATATAATTAACAATACCAACAATGTCCAGCCAAGCCGCAGTAGCCATTACCCCCGGACGCCGTCTGGGTCTCACACAGGAGTACGAGGCGGGCACAGGAACATACGTGCGGAATGGCATAATCTACTCGTCGATCTTGGGGTCAAAAGGAATCAAAGAGGCAGAGGGCTCCGGCAACCCCACTGTGTTTGTCGAGCGCAGCAACGCAAAATTTGCCATTCCCAACATTGGCAGCGAAGTTCTCGCTCGCGTCGTCAGAATCAACCCGCGCGCAGCCTCCGTGGCCATAATGATGGTTGGATCAACACCCTGCCAGGAAGATTTCCAGGGCGTCGTGCGTGTGCAGGACATCCGTGCGACCGAAAAGGATCTGGTACAGATGATCAACTCCTTTCGTCCTGGAGATATTATCCGGGCCGAGGTCATTTCACTTGGGGATCAGCGGTCATACTATCTGGCCACGACCAAGAATGAGCATGGCGTTGTCTTTGCACAGAGCGCCGCTGGAAACACCATGGTGCCGACATCGTGGGAGGAGATGCAGGACCCCAAGACTGGGGATGTCGAGAAGCGCAAATGCGCCAAGGCTTTTTAAAATTAGAGTTTGTGTGCGAGAATAAAAACGATTGGAAGTATGAGCGTGTGGAAAAAAACTGACGGTTTATTTGCGGGTTCGCGATCTGATCCAAAATACAACAATAACTGAATATCAGATCAACAAGCTAAGTGTGAAAAATTACACTTTGATTTTGCAAAAGGCTATTGTTTTCGGCTGCGGTTGGTTCTGTTTGTCTTTTTTCATCATCATTATTCTTTCTTTTCATTATTTTTTACCCCGAAATGCACAGCTTTGACAGCATTCCCGAGGATATCATCAGAGCGATCCTAGCTTATGCCATCAGACCAGCGACAGCCAGGACAGCTTCCTCATGGACTTCGGCACACCCGTTGACTTTGGTCTGTCGTCGCTGGCGCGCATTGGCCCTCGCTATGCTTTGCAAAACCGCATTCATACGCTGCGAGGTTGGCTTTAAAAAAGGCAAATGCGTGTTCCAACGGAACGAAGTGTGGCGGACAAACGTTAACTGCATCAGCGCACTCGGCCATGGCCACCTAGTCAAAGAGCTGGTTATCGGGATTGACACATACGTCAACCTTCTCATGGTTCTGCAACAGGTTATTGGTCTTTTAAATCTGCACTCTGTCCCCGAATGGCCTCAGCTAACGACCATTTCTATCGACGTTGATTTTATCGAGAGGAACCTGGACGACAACTTTATAAACGAGCCGGTTACTGCTCTGTCGGATATCGCTCTCATGGCCGAGGGCTTTTTCCAGTCTTTACCGTTCATCAGTAGCATAAAGACAATGACCAGGGATTCGGGTTTGGGCACCTTTTCAAACAACCTGATTGATGTGTATGGCGAGAAACTGCGGCGCATTTGTTGTGACGCGCCACTGGCACTGACCATGCCTCAGTTTTCCAGCCAGCTCACACACTTGGAGATTACAGTTGATATCCCCGAGACACATGCACTTCCGCTAGTATGCACGGGCAGCCTACTAGACCTGCATTTGCTGGACGTGCCCATCACGTTCAATTGGGAACACTTTGAGAACGGCAATGCGTTGACCGATACCATCAGCTTTGATAGACTCGTCAGTTTGCAAATTGATTTCCGGCCCTGTGTTTCGTACACTGCCGATGATGTCTATAACGCACAGGCCCAGAGCAGCACTTTCAAGACCAAACTGCACTTCCCCAGTCTTCGACAATTGCGCATCAGCGACTGCTTGCCTTACAGCGGGATTTTGCGCGAGGCAGTGTTTCCCTCGTGCTTGGAGAGCGTGCACATTTCGGGTGAGCCTGTGTGCGTTCAGCTATTTACGGGGTACATCCCCAGCGCTATCAATGAGTTCCGGGCCATGCTATACCACTATTCTGAAAACTCTTTTGAAGAAGTTTACCAGCTGACTAACCATTTGTTTGGTGAGGAGTGCGTTGCGACAAGAAGTGTTCTCGAGCTGGATATCTGTACTGCCCTGCTTGATGTCAATCAAATTAGCTGGGTTAACATCACCGACCTCCTCCTACACAATATGCACTTTTCTGCCCTTGTTGAGCTGGTTGTCAGGCTACCCGCCCTCATATGCATCAATGCATATGGTCTGGAGTTTGAGCAGGATACTGTGATTGCCGCTGAGTCCGAAATGCAGTCCCCCAACCATGTAGCGCCATTTAACACTAGGCTTCGCGAAATGAGCCTTGTTCACTATCCACCGCGAGGAACAAGCGATCCAGGTTTCATCATGCTTGCTTGCTACTTGGCCGTGAGAGTCACATCGCTGGAGGTGCTTGCGTTGAGTGAAGAGTACCTTTCCAAATGCAGAGTTCTTTTCAGAACGCTCGGCATCACATACCCTCACATACAGAATGTCTTGATTCGAGACACCGTCCAGAACATCTGGTGACAAGTCCGCCCGTTTCGACGTAAATAAATAAATTAATTGATCGTTGAGAATTGCTCACAAAGATGCAAGTTTGATGTTTTGACAGTACGTTGATTTGATTTCTCTCATGCAGAGTGTAATATTTTGTAATTGAAAAACGTACCAGCTGTAGTAGAAATATGGTGATTTTGCATGGACAGTAACAAAAATATGTACAAAAAAGGACGCCTCCTTGGTTTTGCGCTTGGACGCGGGCTTGACCTTGGACTTGGGACTTGGTATACCGTGGCGTGGAAGGAGGCAGGTGCATAAAGCGAGTAGGGCGTATGCCATGCTCAATCAAATGTCTGAAAACAATGCAGGAATTAAGCACTGGCTTTGCGCCCGGCTGCTACTGCTGCTGCTGCTGCTGCTGAGTCTCTATCAAATAATTGCACTTAATTTCGTACCTCTAGCAAAAGGCGTTAACGCACAGTCAACGCAATACATTTTGACAAAATGTAAAAGTACGTACACACAATCTCCAAGGTTACCCCCGCAGGTTGGGGATTTGTTACAGTATTAACTACTTCCTGCCATCCGGTCGCCCCCCTTTTCGTCTTGGTATTTCAATTTTTTTGGACTGGGTGTCAACTGCAGCAATTCACGTTCTTATTTGCCTTTCCTTTTTTTATTTTTTCGTCAACGCATCGTTTTAAATTATATACTTATACAAACACCATTACTTGTCCATTTATTTATTTCACATTCTTCACATTAACGCTTCATTTGCAATTAGCAATGTCCCAGCAGTCAGAATTTATATTCGCGCTTTCGACGACCGTCTTTCTCGCATATGTAGTGTTGGTCGGCACACACAGCAAGCACTCAGCCATGCCACTACAAAAACACTGTCGGAAGCTATGTTCACAAGCATCAAAGATCTTCCGCAAGTTTCTTGTCCACATACTGCAGCAAGGGCCGATACCCAAGCACGTGGCGTTTATCATGGACGGGAACCGACGGTTTGCGCGCAAGAGCCACCAGGTGACAACAAGCGGCCATGTGGCTGGATTCCACAAACTAGCCAATGTTCTCGAGTGGTGCAATGATCTGGGAATCAAGCATGTTAGCGTGTTTGCGTTTGCCATTAATAACTTTAATCGCTCAGAGGAAGAGGTGTCGGCGCTTATGCATTTGGCCAAGGATAAGCTGAAGGAGTTGGCAGATAATAGTGAGTTGGTGCGGTACCATGGTGCGAGGATCCGCATTGTGGGCAACAAGGCGCTGCTGCCATCTGAAGTCAGGCAAGTGATGGATTATGCCGAGAAGACGACCCAGGACAACAAGGGCATGACCCTGAATGTTTGTTTCCCGTACTCGTCGACGGACGAAATGACGTCGGCGATTCGCGCATTGATAGCTGATGCGGAGAGCGGTAAGCTGCAGGAATCCGAGATCAGCGAAGGCGCTCTGGAAAGCAGGCTGCAGATTCCCGGACCGGACCTCGACATCCTTGTGCGCACGTCTGGGCAGATCAGATTCAGCAACTTTATGTTGTGGCAGTCGTCCAAAATGGCATACATCCAGTTTATCGACGTGTATTGGCCAGAGTTCTCGCTATTTCATATGCTCAGCATAATGATCTCGTGGCAGTGTGCGTACCTGGGCATAGAGAAGAAGAAGCAGACCGTGGCGGAATGTGCAAGGCCATGTATGTTGTCTGCGTCAGTATCAGACGACGAAACCTGTTGCAGCGAGCGAGAAGCTGCATAAGCGTGGTGGTAAATGCCGCAGCTCCATGTTTTAATTTAAAGTTTAACTAAATATGGGCGTATTGTTGAAAATAGATCCATATAGATACACATTATCAAAAAAGTATTGAAAATTTCACTTTGCTTTTACGCGCTTAATTACACATTTTCTAAAATTTTAATTTAATAAAAAAATGCATTGTGATGTTGTTGATGAGAGCGAAATAGAAATAGAAAAAAGTACACGAAAAAATTATGAAATGCCTATTGGTTGCCTCCCAGAGTTACATGGATGTGATAGCTGCGCCCGATTTATGCGCACCAGTGAGCACCGAGATGTGAGCGGTAGTGTTCGACAAGCATGCGTAATTGTGCGCCGGCAGTGTTGCCGAAAAGGTGCTATTTAATTTTGTCAGTCTCTCAGCTGTGCAGCTCGAGCTAGCAGCCGCACCAGTGGACTCGTTAAAAGTTTTGCACATGTTGTAGGGCGGAGAATACAAGTGCAGCGACACCGCCTTCTGTGTGCTCGATGGGTTGCCAATACGGTGCAAGCCAATGTTATCGTGCATGTACGCAACGCTGTTGGTTTTCAGCGGTGCCGTGCGCTTCAGTCGCAGATTTTCAGTATCGCTGGTATCGCAGCCGCCAGCCTGCGCGGGCCAGGCAAAGAGGTCTTCGTTGAGCTCTCCGGCCAACAGTTTCATCATGCAGTGGCTGCCAGCGTGGTCGTGGATGGGGCTGCTCTGGCCTTCTCCCCAGACGAGGATGAGCAGATTGTACTTGCCGTTGCCATCGTCGACCAGGTTGCGCGTGTACCGGGTACCTTCGTGGTACACGGCATGCTGGGCCCAGTCTTGGCTGTGTGAAGTGTAGGAGTGCATCAGCTGCTTGACTTTGCGCACGGTGGACAGGTCTTTGCCCAGGCCGTTGTCGCCCATGGTGGTGTTGAGGGACGATATGAGGTCTTGCATGGTCTTGACTGAAAGTTTATCAGCGGTATTAGTGCTAGCAGCGGATGAAGAAGGAAATGGAGACGAAGAAGCCATGGTAGTACTTGTCCAAAAAAATATGTTTGTTAGAGGGAGTGGATGAAAATGTTTACTTGCAAAATAGAAGGAAAAAATTGAGAATATTGCAAATATAATTACTAGAGAGAAAGTATGTGTGTTGAAAAATAAAAAGGGGCCAGCTGAGTGCCGTATTTATATTCCTTTCGGTCCGTTTTCGCTACAAGCAAAAAAGCACAAGTAAAAAATGACGATTATTTTGGCGCTTATAACTCGGAATATAAAAATTAGAGTGTGCACACACATAAAAAAGAAAACCGCAGATGTGTTGTATGGAGGAGGGCTTGAATCCAAACAAAGGCTCATTTGCAAATACAACCTCGCTGCAAAAAACGAACATCTTTCATATACAAATAATACGGCCTTCAGCCGAGTTGAAAAAAGTATCTTATTTGTATCGTATTAGCATAACGCCCGCAAATATTCGCCGCGTTCTCACACTCACATTTGGTCGAGACATAAGAAGCGACAACAGAAAATATGTACGTATTTGCACTTTTTTGGTCGGATACAACATGCACATGCTGTCATTGGTCGGTGACAACCAATTGGAACAAGAGGAGCGACAGCAAGAGAATGTCTGCCCATTGTTTTACAGGGGAAGCGTGTGTGCGTTTGTCACGAAAGGGGTGAAATCGAGCTATTCAGGGGCTCCTTTTTTAAACTTTACGGTCAAGTGATTTTTGGGGAGGCTTGGCCTTGTAAAAAGATTTGCGAATTCCGTACAACCGTGGGATTGTCCTTTGTTTTGCTTCATTCCATTCGACTGTTCGACGTTTTGCTTACAATCGATTTGTATTTAAAAAAAGTAAAATGGCGGTTGGCAAATGACAGCGCCGATTTAATTAGGAACTTTTGTGTGTCATTTGGAAAGTGGGCGAGGTGGCGGCGGACACATTTTCAGGGGGAAATGCGCAGAAAGGGGGGATTTGCTGCAAAAAAAGAAAGGGGGAAGAAAGCGCTTTGAACCTCCTATTATGTTCTTTGTCTTGATTTGGTTTGGAAATGAGAATATATGAGGATTGATGGTGGTAGGATAGCGAGAATACATGACGTAGAGCACTTGATTGAGTACTCGATTAGGAACTGATATCCGCCTTTGTTACTGATGCTTCTTCCTCTGTCGATGCTGCTCTTTCCCCTCCAAGCAACAAAATCAACAATTCAACAGTGTTGTGCGGCTTTCCACACATGGTTCGAAAACAACCGTTTTCAAACGTTAAATATCGCTGCGCATATGATTAAAAATATGCTACGAGAAAAACAAAAAATTAAGTTCAAAATTACGGATCAAGTTACCAAAACAACTGCTGGAGCTCACTGCTGAGGAGTCACAGACGCGGGCTTTTCAGTCTCGCTGGTAAAGACAAAGTCCTCGGGAATAAATTCAACATTGGCCCTAACTCTTCCCTTCTCGCAAATAAACGTATCGTTGGTGACGACGCGAATAGTGCCCGCGCCCAAGTGGCGCACCTGGGAGTAGAGGTCGTTGCAAAGCCCGTTGGAATCGACGGGGACCCACAGGCTCACAATGGGCTTTGCGCGCAGGGCTGGGTTCGCAAACGCCTCGGCCAGCGCGTTGTCATTGGCATCGGCGTACAGGCGGGTTTCGGGCGTATCGTAGCGGCTGCGCCTCACAGCCGAAGCACTCGAGAATCCTTCGGCGGCCACGCGACGCTGCCGGAGTTCGGTCTTTGACGAGTACGAGTGAATGCTCTGCGAGGTGTCTGGCGCGCCGCTGTCCAGATACATCTGGCTGTCGGGGCTCGTGGGCATAGCATCGGGGTTGTTCGGCACAAGAGGGACGATTGAATCGGTGGCAAAGATATTGGTGTTGGCGCTGGTGGGCCTGTCGGCAGCGCTGACGGCCACGTCGCCAGAGACGGAGTAGTGGTGGGCTGTGGGCATTGGCATACTGCTGTAGGGCTTGTCTGTGTGCTCGCCAGCAATCTCCTCCTCGGCCACGTCGTCGCTGCTCGAGGGGGTAGTGTCGGGATTCGGGCTCCCCGCGCTACTGCTGGAGTGCAGAATGCTGGGCATCTTGGTCAGCACGTAGTCAATCAGCTTCTTGGGAACCAGCGACCCGTACAGCGCATAGATGCGGCTGCGGCCCTTACTGTCAGACTCTATGGCCGAGTTGCCGTCCGATGCGTCCGATGCGCTCTCGAACATGTCGCGGTCGCCGCCAATGTCCGGGAACCTGTCAGAGGCGCTGGGATTCTCCTCGATTTCGGCGGCGCCGCGGACAGGCAAAAAGTTGCTAATGGGCATGTACGCATCTTTGATGTACAAGTGCGTGCCGACGGTGCACAGAATAATAAGCCCACAGAACACGATGCGGATAATGGCGTTGGCACTGCTGTTTACCCTGGCTACCATCATCAGCAGCAAATAGACCTCCGAGATGTACACGCCAGTCATCATTTGCGAAACTGACTTGGGGTACGACAGGCCTCCAGTGACCCAGTTTGTGTCGTTATAAACATACAAAAACTGATACCGGTACACCAAGTAGAACAAGCCAAAGTACACGGCGACAAAGATGTTGACCAGCGGCGCGATAAACGAGTACGACAAGCCCATCAAGAATATCAGCGAGTGAGTCGGGATGCTTGTGGCCCAGTCAAACTCTGCTGGTGCCTCAGCTTCGGCAATTGCGCGGGGTGTCTTGGCAAAGAGCATGGGCATGATGTAGCGCATGGCCAGCGGCGCGACCTGGATAATCTCGTTGGCAGCTCCGGTGAACGCCAGCAGCAGCACGTATGTGAGAATTGGGTTCGACGCCTTTGGTACTTGGGTCGAGATGAGCTCGGGAATCTTGCTCGGATCGCCGAAAGCATCTTTGCCAATGGAAATAATCGCTGTGGAAAAGATCGTGACAAAGTAAATGTTCCACACTTGGAAGAAGTAGAACCGGTTGAGCAGGCGCAGGTTGACTTCGCTGACCCGCGGGGTGCCCTCCATACGCAGCAAGAAGCGCAGGAAGATCGGGAGCAAAATCATGAGAACGACGAGGGCAAGCGAGGGCACAATACCAGTGAAAATGCCAAATAAACCGCTTGTGGGCATCTTCACCTTGAAAATCTTCTCCAGATTTTTAATGCTGACCAGACCCGTCACAGCAAAGGTGAGGAAGGTCCACGCAATCACCAGACCGACTGTAAATGCAGACGAAATGTATCCGCGAATCCGGCGGTTGTACGGGTTCATGTTGAGGTTGCTCCAGATGACATCGTCAGGGTTGACGTCCAGCGAGACTGCGTTCATCGAGAATGGCTTGTAGTCGAGCACGGTCTGCGCTGACATGTGGGCGGCAATCTGCTTGCGAAACAGGACGAATGCCGATGACTGTGGCTTGAACTTTGACGCATCGTTACCACTCTCAGCGATTTGCTCATTGAGCTTTGCAATCTCAGTCGACAGGAACTCGACAGCGTCGAGCTTGGGGCCCTTGAAAGGAACCTTGCTTTCGCGCATCATCGGGCGCTTGGGCTCCACGTACGCAGATCCCTTCTTGATGGCCTTCTTGTGTGCCTTCTCGCAGTTGACTGCGTAGCTGGTCATCAGGCTCTCGAGCTTGACCGCGTACTTGTCGCGCTTCTCGACGATATCCGCCAGCTCTGAGCAGTCTCTGTTGACAATGATCTGGCGCACGCCTCCTGGGAATATGTTAAACATGGAATGAAGCTTGTCCTCACGCTCGATCAGGGTGTCTGGCAGTGACGAGACCATGACCGTCGATGCACCGACCTTGGACGAGTGGGCGTGGTTGGTCAGCCACCACAGGCGCAGACGGGTGTACACCTTGAGCTCGGTGAAGATGATTCGCATTACCCACACGACAAAAACCATGAAGAAAATAATGTGCACCCATACCTTGTTGCTATCCTGTGGCAAGTTACTCATGTTAAGAACGTTGATTCCCTCTTCACCTTCGCCGCCAGTGATGTGGACGGGCATAATGGCTACGACCGAAAGCAGGGCGAGCACGGTAAAAATGATAAACATTGAGCGCATGTAGCGCAAAAACATGTATGTATCCAGACCCACCCGCGCAATAATCACGTCGTCCGGAATGCTGAGCACCTTTTGGATCCACGCCAGCGGCGATGCGCCGATTTTAGTCGAGCGCTTGCTACATAAAATCAAAAGGATGTTGCAAAATAGGTGTGTATTCCATGCATGATGCATTAGCGAGGTGTTCGGTCAATATATCTATGCAATTCCTGTTTATATCGCAAATGCCCATTTTTTTCTGTTAAGCTGCACGAGGTTGCATTCGTCCTGTTTAACAATCGAGATTGTTTTCGAGGCTGTGTAACAGTGCACACTCACGCCTCCCTATTCCGAAAATCCTTTTTTGTCCAAATTCCAGTCGCAGAAAAGAAAAAGACAATATTTACCTTTTGGCGACGGCATAAGTCCTGGGCGCATACACGCGCTTGAAGCGAGGTCTCAGAATGCAGAACGCAATAAAAATGGCTACTGCAACGACAACGTTAAAGATTAAAGACGAAACGAAGGTGCTGGTATCGTTGTTTTCTCCATTCGAATCACCATTGGCGTCCGTGCTGTCTGCCATGTTTACAAATAAAAAACAGCAAAGAAAATGAGTAAATAGGTTTAAAAATAATATAAAAACGAGCGCTCAAATAACGTAAAAATAAAAATAACAGCAATTGTATCGAGAAAATAAAAAGGGGCGGAAGAGAAGGAGGAAGGAGGGAGCTGGTAGTATCAAAGGAACAAAGCGATACTGCTGCTACTTTTGCTAAACAAAGAGAAAACAATAGAAAACAAGAACCAACAAAAATGCTCTTCCTTTTATATCGACTAACATTGAGGTGAAAAGGGAAAGAGAAAATCTCGACAAACAACAAACCAAGAAACAAAACAGGTTGCTCAACATTTCTGTCGATTGCTAAGATTTTGTTTATTTGTCCGCGAATTATTCCTGCAAGTGACCACAGCCCAATTGGCAGAAATAAAATTACCACGCCTGACCTCTTATATTCATCGAGTCCCCAACATATAATGATGTACAACTGACGAAGAGAAAAAAGATATTGCTTTAAAGAATTTTAAGAATTAATCCGTTCCAAATTTTACCTTGGCGGAAACTGCATCGATATGCGGCGTTTCCCAATACATGCACCTTTTCGTCATAATATACTTTAATGATTGATCAATTGTGAATCCAATATGCTAATTTACCAAAGATACTCGAATAGTAAAGCAAAGCATAAAAATCAACTTTTAGTTGGCGGCAGCATGGGTCTTGCGGGCGTTGACGGCGACAGTGACCAGGTTTATCAGCGACTCCTTGACCTCGGGCCATCCGCGGGTCTTCAGACCACAGTCGGGGTTGGCCCACAGGTTCTCTGCGGGGATGTACTTTTGCAGCGCGGCGAAGCGGGCGGCCATCTCCTCGACCGAGGGCACACGCGGCGAGTGGATGTCGTACAAACCGGGGCCAATCTCGGCCGCGTAGCCGTGGACCTCCAGAGCGCCGAGAAGCTTGAGATCAGACTTGGAGTTCTCGATGGTAATAACATCGGCGTCCAGGCTCTTGATGGCGGTGAAAATCTCGTTAAAGTCGCTGTAGCAGAAGTGTGTGTGGATCTGGGTCTCGTTGCGCACGCCCGTGGTGGCCAGGCGGAAGACATCAACGGACCACTTGAGGTAAGCATCGTAGTCGGTCTTGCGCAGGGGAAGTCCCTCGCGGATTGCAGGCTCGTCCACCTGAATGACCTTGATGCCGGCGGCCTCGAGATCAACAACCTCGTCGCGGATGGCCAGCGCGATCTGTCCAGCAGTCTGCGAGCGCGGCTGATCGTCGCGCACAAAAGACCACTGCAGGATGGTGACGGGGCCTGTGAGCATGCCCTTGACAGGCTTGTTCGGGCTGCACGACTGCGCAAAGCGAGCGACATCGACGGTCATGGGCTTCGGGCGAGAGACATCACCAAAGATGACTGGCGGCTTGACACAGCGCGAGCCGTACGACTGGACCCAGCCCTTCTTGGTGAACACAAAGCCCTCAAGGTTCTCGCCAAAGAACTCAACCATGTCAGTGCGCTCGAACTCGCCGTGCACAAGCACGTCAAGGCCGGCCTCATCTTGCCACTCGATGCACTTACGGGTCTCAATGTCCAAGAACTCCTCGTACTCAGCCTTGGTCAACGAACCCTTGCGGAACTGCGCGCGCGCCTTGCGCACCTCGGCGGTCTGGGGGAAAGAGCCGATGGTAGTGGTTGGGAAGAGAGGAAGGTTAAGTGCTACGCGCTGCACCTGCTGGCGCTCGGTGAACGGAGCCTGGCGGCTGTAGAAGGTCTCGTCGAGTGCGGCAAGGCGCTTCTGGACTTCCGGGCGCGTGATGCGCTCAGACTGCTGGCGGCTGAGAACCTTGGCAGTGTTACTCTGCAGCTGGCGCTCGACGGAGCTGCGATCAGCGGCGGCAGCGGCCAGGATGGCAACCTCCTCGATTTTCTCCTCGGCAAACGACAGCCAGCCGAGAGTCTCCTCGTCAAGGTGGCCGGCCTCGGGCTTGAGAGAGTGTGGCGAGTGCAAGAGCGAGCACGAGCTGTTGACCCAGACGGCAGCGCCCGAAGCGCGAGCGCTAATGACCTTGTTCAGAACGGCCAGCTGCTGCTCCAGGTTGGCCTTCCAGATGTTGCGACCATTGATCAGACCGATGGATACAACCTTGTCTGCCGGAATGGCAGCCAGGGCAGCATCAAGATCTGAGGCGCCGCGGACGAGATCGAGGTGGATTCCATGCACGGGAAGAGCGGCGGCCAGCCTCAGGTTGTCGCCAAGGCGGTCAAAGTAGCTGGTCAGAAGGTACTTGAGCCCGTCGACCTTGGCAAACTCGGTGTACGCCTGGCTGAAGGCCACCGTGTACACAGCAGCGTCGAGATCAAGAGAGAGGATGGGCTCGTCAACCTGCACCCACTCAGCGCCGGCGGCAGCAAGCTGCTGGAGAAGCTCAATGTAAACGGGAATGAGCGCGGACAGGTGGTCCAGCGGCTTGGATGTGGATCCCTTGGTGGCCTTGCTCAGAGCCAGGAGGGTGACAGGGCCGAGAATAACAGGGCGAGCAGTGTATCCAAGAGCCGTGGCCTCCTTGAACTCATTGACCACCTTGGTCGAGTTGAGTGTGAACTGCTGGTTGTCGGCAATCTCGGGCACCATGAAGTGGTAGTTGGTGTCAAACCACTTCTTCATCTCGAGCGACCGAACGTCGACGTTCTTGTTTTGCAAGCCGCGGCCCATGGCAAAGTACGCCTGGATGCCGCTGTCCTTGTTCAGCTCCTGGTAGCGCTCGGGGATAATGCCGACAGCGTAGGCAGCGTCAAGGACGTGGTCATAGTAGGAGAAGTCACCGACAGGCACCTCAGTCAGACCGTATGAGGTCTGCAGCGCCCAGTGCTCGGCACGGAGGTTCTTGCTGCCTTCGGCCAGCTCGGCCTCAGAGACCTTGCCGGACCAGAAGCCCTCGACGAGCTTCTTCAGCTGGCGGTCAGAGCCCATGCGGGGGAATCCGAGGATGGTAGACTTGATGACAGACATTTTTGGTTGAAAGTTTGATGGAGTGGGCGACGAAGTGTAAATGTAGCTCGCTTGGTGTTATAAGTTTAAAATCGTGCGTTTCTCTTTGTGGGTTGAAATTTCAAGAGAGGAGCTGTAGACAATAAGAGGACGAAAATGTTGCTTGAAATTATTTGGACTGGAATTTGGTGTGATATGAAAATTTTTGAATAAATGTGGGCGGGCGGGCCCAGTTCGCTTTATATACATGGCGAAAAGCAGTTAAAATGCAACATTTGAGCGCATGTAGTGCTTTTAACGCGGCAATTTCCTTCACAATTAATCACACCACCTCGTATTATCATCACCGTCCGTTATTATTTGTATTTTTCTCGCTCTCGCTTTTTCTAGATACTCACAGATGGTAACATTTGATCACACCGCTCATTGTAAATGTTGGGGAATGGGAGTGAAAAAGTAACAAAGGAAGATTGGCAAGGATGGGCGCTCACTTTGGATTGGGGGTTGGATTGCATAGCGGCCCAATTTTCACAATTCACAATTCACAATTTATAACAAAGTGAGAGTGGGAGCGGGAGCAAAGGCGAATGACAATATGAAAAAGGAGCAGATGCCATATTGCCACAAAACCCAAATGAAGTGAAATGTTTTTTACTTGTTCCCTTGTCACCAGAGTAGTAAGCTGACGAGTAGGTTTGCGAGCAAAAAAACATGTAAGCTAATAGACCGTTTTAAAGTGATATTGTTAATTTACGCCTTGTTTGGTTGTCTAATTTGTCTGGCGAGCGTGATGCCTGCAAAAAATCCGAATACCAAGGTGCTCACGACATACAACAGCGTCGTTGCTAGCCCAGAGAAAAAAGATTCTTATGTTTCTGCAAGCTTCGACAGGCCAACAGCATTGCGACTGCTTCAAACACATGGATGGCAACCAAGGCCTTGAAACCAAATCGGAAAACCCATTGCGGGACTACCCAAAATACCATTTGCACCAATGTGATTTCCGATTTCGTGCGAGCAAAATATGTGAGCATTGCCAATCCTCCCAAAGTAGCAACACAGATGATGGGAGGTGGGAGTGTGAATGTGATGGTGCGGCTTTGCGGTAGCGGAAATTGGGATGGTGGCAATGGTGGTAGAGTAATGTTGTCGATCCCATTTGCTGCCTGTTGAGTGAATTTGCGAGACAAGGCGGCTGTTGTGAGTATCTCATTTAATGACTCGGAGCTGGATATGGACATACGCCGGGTTTTGACATGCACAGCGCCGTTGCTGGGGTCTGTCCATTGCCATTCAAACGTCGCCGAGTTGTCGTCCACGTTAGTGATGCGCGCTTGTTCAGCATTGGGACACTTTCCATAATGCTGCACGATGCTCAGAATGTCATCGTGGTGTTGCTCGTTGAGTTCCTTGAGGGACTGCCTTGCAATGCTCTTTGCGTCATTCATTGTATTATATTTGTTTTTCAATGTCTAAAAATTAGCAAGTATACTAAGTTAAATGTTGGACACAAAACAATTAAATAAGAACAAACCTATAAAAAAGATAAAGACGATTTGCTATCGAACAAATACAATTTGAAAGTCAATTTTTGTTACCAATGTTATTGCCAGCAGTAAACTATAAAAGGAATATAAAGCTGTAAATGTCTATGTTAGGGTAAAAATACTGCATCAAGTTACTTATCCAAAGTAATGCACAATAAAGTAGATGCAAATACAAGTCACAAACATCCCAGCAACCAAAAATATCTTGTCCTGAGTGGTTCTCCGGTTGATATACGTAATGACCGACTTGGACAGCCCAAGCGTACTATCGGCATTCAAAATCCTCTTATGTGCGCCCTGCAGCATGCCCCTCTGTTCCCTAAGGTTATCCAGCGAAGCCATGCCCTGAGAAATATACCCATCCAAGGCCTGCTCGCTCCTCCCCCAAAACCCGCCATCCTCGCCCTGGGAATCCATCATAATAGTCGTGTCCATTGGCATCGCGCCAGCGCCGCTGCCATTCATATTACTGCGCTGGAACAATTCATTGCGATTGTCATCGTACGTGGCTTGTTCGGTTTTACGTTGCTTGAGTTTCTCGTACCGGCGCTTCAGCTGCTCGTGCTCCTCGGCCATAGCAGAGGCCCGATCGAGCATCATGTTGCGTTTGCGCTCGGTAGACTCCTGGCGTCCCAGAATTCGGTACTCTGTGATGCGCTTGCTCAGGGTCTGCAAATCCTGGACTATGGCTGCTTGAATAACCGCAGGGCCGTTAAATCTTCCTAGCTCAAAGTCGCTGACGCTTTGCTTAATCTTGTGTAGCAGCCGCTGTGCAGCATTGTATTCGCTCGTCATGCCAGATAATGCAATATAATAAAATAGGTAAAAATACACGATGAACGAGTTGCAATAAAAATTAAGTTGATGTTTTTGAAACAAATTATTTACTGAAAAATGCCAGTATTCTTGGCTGCATGTGCCAGCTTTACTTGGCTTTGGGGCGAATCACGTGTATATTGTAAAAAGTTTATTCGAAAAGTTTTCAAACTATCTTGCTTATTTGGCACTACTCAGCATCCGCTCGTGCACGTCATCCTCCAGCCGAATCATATCATGCAAAGCCATCAGCAAGCACCCGCTACTCCACGCCTGGGTGTCGCACGAGTCGCGGCAATGGGCACCGTCCAAATTCGTCAGCTCTGGCAAGCCCGCATACGCAGATGAAGAGATATGCTGCTTCAGCGTGACCATATGCGCATGCAGCTCATGGTAAGCCGTCTTCAAGGGTGTCAGCAAATTGCCTCCTACCGACCGCTCAAGGATGGCAGAGTGAATGAATTGGAGCTGCGCGCGCAGATAATATCCTGTGACCCACAGCCACTCAGGGCCCTGGTGGTAATTGATGCCGTGGGCTACAAATGAGTCAGACGAGTCGTTCGAGTTGTCGTAGTTTGGCCGATACCGTATATCGGACGGATCCAGGGTGCGCATCCCCATGGGTGCAGACAATACAGCGCTCATCTTGTGCAGGCAAACGAGGGCATGCGAAGGGTCAAAGAGCTCAGGAGCAACGACCATGGCAATGGAGATGTTAGGGCGGAACTGATAGTCTGCCCACTCTACCGAAGAGCCGTAGGTGTCACGGTAGATTCCGCGACGGTTGACCATGGCCGAATTCACATTGTACTGCGTGTCCTCGCGGGTATCCAGAGGGACCCAGAAGTACCGCTCAAAGCTTCTCTGCACTAATTGGTCCCACTTAGCGTAGTCAATGTGTGTACCGTCAGGCTTGTCAACGCCATTAAAGGGGAACGCGCTGTTTCGGTTCAGAGAGGCAAGCCAGCGCAAGGCCGACTTTTGAAGCCCAACAATCTCCACGTCGGCACCATCGCGTGGGGTCGCAGGCACACCGCGGATGCCGGCCTTGTCTGACGATCCCATCTTGTCCATCCATGTGCCGCAGTTCCACTGGTTCCCGCCGCTGACAAACCCAGTGGTGTCAAAGTCAACACCGACGCTGATGTCGAACCCCTCATCGCGCATCTGCGAGTCCAGCGCGGGCCCGGCGTTCCACTCGCGGAACTTAATTCCACTGGCGTGCCGCTGCATAATTTCTTGAACGAGTTCGGCCACAGTACTTGTCGCGTTGAAGGCCTCCTCACTATCCCACTGCACAAAGGTCTCGCCATCAGGGAAGCGCCGCGCCACAGGTGTATCCAAAAATGCTAGTCCCTCGGGCCCGAGCTCACAGTACGTTTGCACGGCCTGGAGCCAGAACCACGTTGCATCGCGCGCGTTGTAGCGCGGGAACCTGCCGGCATCAAGCAGATTGGGAATCAAGCCGTGCTTGAGCGTGCTTCCAAATGCCAAGAGGTGCTCGCGCGCATCCGCAAATCGCCCAGTGGCCAACAGCAGGCCATCGAGGGCGATAAAAACGTCACGGCCCCAGCAGCGCATAAAGTCAGTGGAGAAGTGTGGCAGACCAGCGCTCATCGAAATACTGACTTTGGTTTCAGACACGGGTCGCAGGCCGGCGCCATTGACGTGTCCCAGCATCTGTACCGATGTCATTGCCAGCTGGTGCGTGAACTGCGACTTATTGACAACCTTGCCTGGCATCAGCTCCAGGGCACGACGGATCAGCGCCTGATACGCGGTGTGCATGGTCAGGGCAAAATAGCGCGGGAGCATAAAGTTGGGCGCCCGCTTAACTAGCTCCCAGCGCTCCTCAAACCACGCCGACAATTGTTTGATTTCGGGGTAGTCCTCGCTGTATTGGGCCAGCCGCTTGGCAACGTAGTCCAGGGCCCAGACGCCCTGGCGCAGGTGGTCGCACAGCGGATGGCCCAGGTCGTTGTTTGGAATAATGTTCTTGAGATGCGTGTACCAGCCCTGGATGCCACAGTAGGCCAGCGGTCCTAGCCCAGGCACATCGTAGGCACCCTCGCCAATAGCGTCGCGTTCTTCGGCGTCGCAGCGGTAGAGCACAACATTCAACGCTCCAAGCGTTAACTTTGCAACAGCCTCGTCGGCGCACGTGCGTATCTTCCAGTCGAGGTTGGGCTTGAAGTTTGCAAGCCGGGTCCGCACGACCAGGACACTGCCAGGGCCAAAGCCCTTCGGCAACTGCAGCATTGTGAACACGCCCCGGCTGTCCTTGTGCTGCACAATCTCTGGGCTGTCTAGCTTTTCAAGACGCGAAGGCAGGCCGTGCAGGAAGCCGTCATCCCTATTGCCAGCCGCTGCCAGGTTGTCAGAGCGCACTTCCACAGAGTGTAGACGGTAAGCAAACTCGGGGGTCACCAGCGTGCCATCCAACCGGGGGCTATCGAACCATGGGCTCTCGGTTGCGTCCTTGAACGCACAATGCGCAATCATCATGACGCCCTCTCTGGTGACCGGATGCACGCGGTGGATGGTAACGTATTCGCTCTCCTGGTGTACATGGACCTCCTGGTACAACGCAATTTCGCTGTGCAGCCTGTTGAGCTTGGCCTTGGCCTCGCCCAGTCCAATACACAGGGGATCATCCAAAAGGGCATATCGGCGTTCTTCGTGTACAACATTTAGCAATTCCGGATACAGCTCATCGTAGCCGCGGTTGCTTCCTGTGGCGGATGCTGTAAAGGAAACAATGGCGCTGTTGGGCAAGGAGTCCTCGAGTGTGCGTTTTTGGCTAGGCACCTCGTTATCGTGGGTGCAGTCAAAAAAGATGGCATGCGGCAGCGAGGCGCTCAACGGCGCGACTATGCTGTCAATGTGAATGCCTTTATGCTCGTCATCAACAAAAAAGCCGGGCTCGCCGAGACAATCAACAGCCAGGGAACCGATGGGGCGGCCGCCATGGCGATGTGCAAGTCGCGACATCTCCTTGGGATCCCAAGCCTGCATGGCCTCCCTAATCAGCGAGTTAATACCCAAACGCTGTACAAATACACGGTCGGTATCCTCAGATCCAGTGAACAGCTCGGCAATGACGTATAGGTTGGGATTGGCCTTGCGAGCCTCGTCCAGCAGATATTCCGCGAGCTCAATCGGCGTGCTGTGGCAGTTGTCAATGCGGAAACCATGGAAGGCACGCGCCATGCGCAAAGTGTATTGGCGCATGTGCTCCCACAGCCACGGGTTATCCTCGGGAGTCAGTCCGTAGTTGAGTTTGACGCAGTCGCCCCACACGATGACTTCGCGTTGCAGGTATGCCTTTGATTGTGGCCCGGCAAAGTTGTCCAGCGGGTTCCCGCCCCAAATCCACCCGTTATTGGCCAAGTGCCGGCAATCCTCTGGCATTCCCTCGGCGCAACGTGGCTCGACAGTGGTAAACAAGGGGTCGACAATCTTGTAGTCATCGCCGACAGGCTTGCCGTACTTCCAGCTCCCATGGTCCAGGCGCTCATACTTGACGCGCTCGTAGATATTTCGGCGAATGGTCTTGACGTCGGCGTCGTATTCGCGGTAGTAAGGCAGATTGAGCAAATCCAGAAGCTTGCGCAGCTGCTCGATAGCTGCGTCCTTTGTGCCACCAGGCCCGACAAGCAAGCGCAGCACAGCGGCCGTGCGAGCGGCGTCGATGGTGCGGCCAAAGCGCGTTCCGAGAATATGCAAGCGGTCGCCGACAATGTACGTGCCCAGCCACTTGTTACGCTCGTCGCCGCCAAGGGCCTGGAGCGCCGCGCAATCTGACTCTGCAATGGTGCCATCAGCCGAGTCCCAGGCCTTGCCGACAGCAACAATTGCGGCGTCGACGTCAATGACATAAAACTCCCAGAGCTTGAGCGGCTGTATAATGTGCCTGTCGACAGCATCGAGCAAGCGGTCGACGTCCTCGATTGAGTTGACCATGCGGTCAAGGCCGTAGTCTGGGAGATCGCGAGAAAACTTCACCAGGGCGGCATCCAGCTCATAGGCGCTGCGTAAATGCGGCGAGTTTCCAAATTGAAGCCGGCTTCTGGGTGATCGCGCAGCCAGTCAGAGTTATAAGCTGTGTGGTTCCATACCATGTCGGTAACGCCTAAGAGCTTGTGCTTGTGGGTCATCTCGAGCAAAGCTTCTCTGAGCTTCTGGTCCTTCTGCTCCGCTGTAATCCTAGGCGTATCAAAAAGATCGTCGGATATCTCCAGCTGGTTGTACAGTGAGTAGGGAGAGTTGGACGCGCCTCGCTGCTGCATTGGAATGAAATGCAGCATGTTGTAGCCCATCTTGCTGCTGATAGCCAGCTGGTCTGACCACTTTCTCATTAGACCGAGCCACTTGGGGCTGACCGACTGCAGAACAATCCCGTCCAACGGCAAAGCTTGGCCGCTGAGCGTCAGCTGCGGGTCAACCAGGAAGTACGCTGTCGGTGTGCGGCGGCTCTTGAATTGGCGGTAGATGCGCTCAAGCGAGAGATTCTCATCATCAGCGCTGGTTATGGCGTCCTGGTTGTTCTGGTCGCCAGAGTCTATGCTCTTGTACGTCAGGTAGTATTGGTAGGGACCAGGCCTTTTAATGCGAAACTCGCATATCAGATCGGTTTGGTTGTTGAAGTTGAATTTCTTCTCGTGGAACTTTGTGCGTTCGTAGGGAGTGCCGTCCAGAGGGTAATTTGTGTGCAGCGAGGCGTCGATCGACGCGGTAGATCCCGTGAGTATGCGGAAGCGGATGGCGCACGACTGGGCGGGAGCCGACGGCAGGCGGATAAACTAAGGCAAGTGTCATTTAAACCCATTTATTTGGGATATTTAGTTTTGCGTTGCGAACAAGGCAAAAAGGCAGGTATCAACAGACATTTGAGCAAACTGGTGTCCCCATCTTTATTATTGTTTGTTTAGCCACTTACTGACTTGTTGTGAGGAGTTGTGCCATCCTCGTTGAGATCTAGGTTCCACACCATGAATGGCGGGCTGTCTGGCTGGACAGGAGTTTGGTGCCGCAGAGCCATGTAAAATGAGTGTGTACTTATAAGTGCGTATGTGAGTTGAGCGAGTCTAGTCTGAAATAGCAACAGGGCGTTGGTTTAAGTATAAAGTTAAAGAGAGAGAAAGAGAGGTTGGAGTGCTCGGTCAAACAGCATCGCTCGCTTTTATTCTTTTGCGCCGCCAGGAAAGAAAATGGCACGTGCAATTACAGGATGGGGGAGGTGTGATTTAAGCAGGGTCTAAAAGTTTGGTTTTTTTTGGAAATTGAGGCGACAACACCCAAGCGCGATGACGATTCGACACGGCGAGTTCCTTTATTTCACTCTCACGCCCATCATCGCGCATTGCGCAGGACATATTGTCGCGTTTGAAAACCCGTGCATTTCAGGACATATTGCGTTGCGAAAGAATAAGAAATTAAATAGAAAAAACGGCACAGGCTCGATAAATCAATCAAGGCTCACTTTGCTACACCGACGACCGTTGATGCTGCTGCTGATGTACCTGGGCAGCAGGCTCGGCGACTCGGTCCAAATCCAAACCGTATGCACTTAGCACATGCTCGCGCCATCTGTCCTCCGCAGCCGCCGGCATGGCATACGTGTGCAAGCCCTCCTCTGGAAACTGGCGCGCCCTCACATCCGTCTTGTACTGCACCAAGGCGGCGTCCATCTGCGGGGCGAGCTCAGCAAAGCGGCGACAAAATTTAGGCGTAAAGCGGTCGAAGATGCCCATCATATCCGACATCACCAGCACCTGGCCCGATGTCCTTGATCCAGCGCCAATGCCAATAGTGGGCACGGAGACCAGCCGCGTGATGGTTTCGGCAACCAGCGACGGCATGGCCTCCAGCACCATGGCAAAACACCCGGCGGTCTGCAATGCCAGAGCATCGTCGACCAGATGTTGTGCGGCGGCAACAGACTTGCCCTGGACGCGGAAGCCGCCCAGTGACACAGCCGTCTGCGGTGTCAGCCCAATGTGGCCGACGACAGGAATGCCAGAATTCACAATAGCATCGACCCGCGAGACAAAGTGGCGTCCGCCCTCCAGCTTGACAGCCTCGGCACGCCCCTCCTTGACCATACGGACGGCGTTGCGCACAGAATCACCAATGTCTGCGTGATACGCGCCAAAGGGCAGGTCACTGACCAGGAAAGCGCTGCGCGTGCCGCGGGCCACAGCACGGCTGTGGTGCATCATTTCGTCCATTGTCACCTGCGATGTGTCCTGGTGGCCCAGTGCTACCATCGCCAAGGAGTCGCCGACGAGCACCATGTCGACGCCGGCGCGCTCGCACGCGACGGCCGTCGGGTAGTCGTACGCTGTCATCATTGCAATTGGCTTGCCATCGCTGTGCATCTTCTTAAGCGCGTGCACTGTGACCTTGGCGCGCCCTACTTTGGAAAGGAATGGGTGTAGTTGGATTAGTTTAGGCAGTCATTTTCCAAAATGAATTGTTTGTCTTTAATGCCTTTTTTTCCTTTCTTTTCTGCATGTACCTGGTAGTGTGTCGCGCGCCGAGTCTGGCCGTGCGCTATATGCACGCACGCATGCAGCAATGCCTTTAGCTGCTGCCGCCGAGGTCATTGTTTGTTTCTGCCAGCATTGGTATCTGAGCGCAACCGCCATGTTTTTTGCGCAAACGCTGATGCTGATACTCATTCAAATTTATGCGCCAAGACCGTGGGACTTTTTCCTTTCGATTTTTGCGTAATGTTTTCCCCCTCTTTTTCTGAATGGTGAATGGTAAATCGATTTCTATATTGGGCTCGTTGCTGCCACGATAAAGCGCGATGATTGATTTTGCAAAATGATGTGTAAGATACGCAGGGGATTCTTTTGAACAAAAGAGTGCGGAAAATATGAGAATGTGTGTAAAAAATGGAAAAGAAGATAAAAGAGCTCTGTTCTGAGCCAGGACAGCGAGTGGGTTTATGAGCTTTCCATTAAAGCTGTTATTTTACAGGCTAAGCCCTTCCCACTCAATATTTTTATATTTGCATCAACCTGTACAGTGCATGCATCCAGAAGAAATAAATAAACCCAATAGGACGAATTCGAAGGCCGGAGCAATCCGGGCCAATCAACCCAAAGTGCTGTTTCCAAGCAATGCCAAAGTTACACGTGTTGGAGGGATACATGGCGGCGCAGGAACTCAAAGTCGGCCAGCGCGTCCGCATACCTCCTGTGCACAAGCTCTCTGGGCACAGCAACATCTCTCAGCACACAAGCATCGATGCTTCGGCCCTCAGCAGCAGAAAGCGCCCTGACCGCGGCGCCATAAGCCGGCATCGCCGGCGCCACGCCACACTCTGCTGACGGCATATGCACAGCGCATACACGGACACCCAGGATATCCGCTATGGCCTGTCTTACGACGGAATTATCCGAAGCACCTCCGGTCACTGCGACTATGGGCAAGGGATCCGCGCTCTTGTGCCTATAATCCACGCACATGCTCATCAGTTGGCTCTCGAGGATGGCCCGTGGATCACTAGTTTGGTTAAATTCTTGCACTGCTGTGTATCTCGTTCCGCTAGTGGGGCTGATGAGTTTGCCATCGGCGGCTTGGACAAACCGGTGGATGCCCTTGGCCTTGGGCTGGATTTCCATAGACGGGTAGTAGAAGCCAAACGCTTTGGGCGCCAGCGGCTCCATGGCCATCCGGTTGAATTCTGCCCATGAACCGTTATCATGTGCGTACGTATCGCGCACCCACTCGCGCACTAAAGACCCGTTCTTGTAGCAGAGCATGGCAATGAACCGGGAGCGGTCAGTGGGGTGTCGCATGACGTGTCCGTCGGGATGCTCCAGGGCGCTCTTGCTCACATAGGGGTATGCGGAGAGCGGAAATAAGACAGTGTCGCTGGTGCCCAGGCTCAGTACGGCCAGAGAGGGCCCTGGCCGGTGGATGCTCTCGAACCCAGCAAATGCCGACGGGTTGTCTCCTGAGAACGCCCAAATAGGACAGCCGCGCAGCCCGTATTTTTCGACAAAATACGTAGAAAGAGTGCCTACTCGCTCGTCAGCCATGCACACGCGAGGTCCCAGCATGTTTATTAACTCGGAGCTGATAGAGTCGCAGAGTCCTTGCGACCAGGTTCCTTGCTGCGCGTCGAACAGGTTGGTACCTGATGCGTCGCTGACGTCTACAGGGGCTATTTTTCCGATAAGCAGGGACGCGAGAAACGACGACACCAATGATACTCTGCTAACGTTTGTCCACGCTGGCGTCTTTTTGATCTTGGCGATCTGCGCGCCTGTGAAACGCTCGAATCCCACCGACCCCGTAATTTCTGCCAGCCTGGCAGCACTGCCGGCCGCATGCTCCAGCTCACGACACTCCTCTTTCGTACTCGCGTCTTCCCAGATTGGTGAATCGGCCACTGCAAACACTAATTGGTCCTTCAGAGATTTATTTGTGTCCAAGTTTGCAAGCTGCTCGATGCCCCGGTGGTTCCAGTACACGCTTCCGTGCTGCTGTGCGGCGCCGCTGATACCGTGGATTCGAGGGCCTAGGCCGGACAGTAGTATCTCGTGCATTAGGTGATCCAAGGCCTCTAGCCACATGTGCACGGGTGCTGTGACGCGGTCGCCGTGCACATGCCGCCCATTCGTTGTGTGATAGTGCGGGAAGCTGGCGTCAAATCCTATGTTGCTTTCTTTGACAATGTTTCCGCTAGAGTTAATTAATATGCCTTTGAGTTGCTGTGTGCTGAGGTCCAGGCCTAGATAAAGTGGGTCATTGGTATCAAGTGGGTTGCTGTTTTGTTGGTCCATTATGAAAAATAAAAAATAAAGAGAATAATAAAAAATACGTTTTACTTGCCGAGCATTGTTTGATGCGCCCAACCACAAAGCTATGCTGGCTACAGCTTATGGCCAAGAAATAATGCAGAGCTATACCAACATTGAGCCAAGGAGAATGGAACCGTTGTGTATCTGGATGATCTGACAGGTATCACCAGCTTCAAGGGCTTAGTGGTCTAGCGGTATGATTCCTGCTTTGGGTGCAGGAGGTCCCGGGTTCAATCCCCGGCTGAGCCCTTTGTTTTTTGGCTCGTAGCTTTTCTTTTTTGTTTCTTTGTTAGCAGTACAATCAACATTGTGATGTGGTGACACATTCGAGATTCTGATGATGCCTGGTTATGTGCTGTTGATGACGTATTTTTGGCCTTATATTATTTTTTATGCGATCAGATTAACTGGATTGCTGACCATTTTGGACCGTTTGATGGGTTGCCGTAGTTGGACGTGCTGTGATCTCTGCATGAATATTTTTGTAAGCTGCGATGACAAATATTGGCCACCAGAACAAAAATTGATGTTGTTTGAACAACCTATCTCCTCTCTCCTCTTTTCCATTTTAGAATTTCGACTCCACTAAATAATATTTCATTTTTCGTTTCCATTTTTTGAATTACCCGCAGCAATGGCAATCAAGGTTCAACTCGCTGTCGACATGACGTGCCAAAGCTGTGTCGACGATATCACACAGGTGCTCAACGATGTCCCAGGCATTCAATCGCTCAGCATATCGCTACCAGACAAGCGCGTCGTAGTAGAAGGCAATGCAGGGCCCTCTGCCATACTTAAAGCCCTCAAGTCCAGCGGCCGGTCCGCAGTCATCCGCGGCACCGGCTCCACCGCCGAAGGTACCACTGGCGCAGCCGTCTGCATTCTCGAACAAAGAACGCCGCCGTATACCCGCGGCCTCGTCCGATTTGTGCAGATAAGTACAGATACATGCTTTGTCGATATCTCTGTAAATGGCGTTTCTGATGGCACCCATCGGGCGTCTATTCGGGAGTGCGGCGATCTCAGCGATGTGCCGGGATCTTGCGGTGGTGTGTGGCAGGGTGCGAGCGAGGTTGGCGCGGCGGGGGAGCTGGGCGAGCTGGTGGTTGGAGATGGCTGGGGCGAGGCGTGCTTTGAAACGGACCAGTTTGCGGTTTGGGATATTATTGGCCGGTCCGTGGTGGTTAGTGGCAAGAGCAGTGGCAGCGGCATCAGCAGTGGCGTTTTGGCTGGCGTGGTGGCTCGTAGCGCTGGGCTGTTTGAAAACGACAAGTTGGTGTGCGCGTGCTCAGGAAACACCGTGTGGACTGAGCAGCGGCTGGTTGACCAGGGCCGCCTCCTTTGACCCTCTATGCGCTGTTTTTATTTTTCAATCCAGCACGTGGTGGTGAATAAGCGACAAAATAGCCTGTTTTTTTGCCAAGTGTAGATTTCTTTTATTATTTTCCCTTTCTCATCCCCCTCATCCCAGACACAAAAGAAGGCCGCATGTTGGTCATGTTCATGGACAAAGCGCGGAGAAGCGGGATTGAAGCGCAACAATAATAATAAGCAAAGGAAAGTTGCCTTCTTTTTATTACTTTTTTTTACTCCACACAAATAAATATTTTAATTCAAATAACTTTGACGCATATTTTGCCCTGGCATTTGCAAAAGAGAAATGGCAGAAAAGTTCCAAGCAAAGGCGCATCACGCCTACAGCAAGGCCAAACCCGACGAGCTGGACCTCTCACCAGGCGACATAATCCACGTAACTAACGACGAGCACGCGTCCTGGTGGATAGGACAAAACCAAATGACAAAGGAGCAAGGATGGTTCCCGTCCAACTTTGTCACCAGGCTGGCCAGGCCCGAGGGCACCAGCAAGCCCAAACTCAAGACCAAGCGCGTTGTGCGCATAGTCAAGGCCTATACGGCAATGGACGAGGATGATTTGGATTTGCAAGTCGGCGACCAGGTGGAGGTGCAGAAGGAGGTTGATGGGTGGTTCCTGGGCACTTTGGACAGCAGGTCAGGGATGTTCCCAGTCGGTCACGCCGAGGTGTCGGAGCGCCGCCCGTTGCCGCCGACACCCGTAATGTGCGCCTCGAGAAGAGGCACTTTCAGCGGCGGCAGTGCTCCTGAGGTTGGCCTGCCGGTGCTGCCACAGGCGCCGCCAGCACTGCCTGCCCGTACCCCGTCGCTGCCGCCGCGCGCATCCACAGAGACCTCGAGGCCTGTCGAGAGGAGATTTAGTGTCTTGTCGGCTGCACCCGTAGCAGAGGCTGCGGACGATGGAAAGAAGGAAAAGAAGTCCGGGCATCGGATCAGCCGCTTGTTTGGCGCGAAGAAGAGCAAGAGCAAGGAGAAGGAGGCTGCCTCCGACCTTGGTTCTGGAATTGGTTCAGGGGAAGCCGCGAGCCGTCGCAGCTTTTCGAGTGCAACGGATGAGCCGTATCACTTTGACAAACAGCCCGTGTATGACGAGGTAAGCTATTCAGCCCTAAATAGGAAAATGGAGAAAACAATAATAAACGGTGCAAAGCGGGGGGAAGGTGTCCGCACTGTTGTTTTTGTTTTTGTCTCTCTATTCATAGCTACTATTTTGTTTTATGCGACAACCCTGAACTACTGTTTGTGTATTTATCTATTTCGTCCCTTTTCTCTCTTTTCGCTGCCTCCCTGTTTCTTTACACACCCTGGTTTTATTCGCCCTTCACACTTTGCTAACGTTCTATTCTTATTTTTCATTTCTGTACTCCATTTTCATCTCTCCTTTAAACTTTAACACTAGCAGAGCGAAGAAGAAATGATTTCACCCGCACTCCCCAGCAGACCCTTGCCGCAACCAATTGCCGCGAGCTCCTTGGGCTCTCCGTCACCGCCGGCTGCCCGCCCGCTGCCTTCCATCCCGCAAGCAGGCCTAACCAAACTGCCAGCATTGCCGTCTGTAGCCATGCCGCCACCACCAGCCACAGCACCAGTTCCGGCCCCAGTGCTAGCGGCAGTGACACCCGAGCGCCGTGCATCAATTGCCAGCATAAAGTCGCAGAGCTCTGGAGTCAGCGCCCAGTACCCTCCATCCCAGGCGCCCCCAGTGCCCGAGCTGAGTGCTGCTGATAAGGAGGGGACTACCGGCGAGGAGCCAGCGACCGAGCCTGACACCGAGTCTATTGCCGAAAATACCGACGCCGAGGAGGTGGCCAAGGTGCGCGGCTCGGCCAAGTTGGCCAAGATCATCGAGGACTACGAGGCGCAGTCCTCCGAGGAGCTCAACCTGATGTCGGGCGACGTCATCACCATTGTCCACAGGGGCACTGATGAGGAGCCGCGCTGGAAGGGCGAGTACCATGGCAAAAAGGGATATTTCCCCGGCACCGTTGTCGAGGCCATTGAAGAGTCGGCCGACCTGGACGAGGAGGACGATGCGGTGAACCGGCCCAGAGGCGGGTTTAAGCTGGCCGCGTACGGCGTGCAGCAGGGCGGCCTTGGCTCCATCTTTGCTGGCGGCGGTGGTATGCCTGCTTTGCGCAAGTCTGCACCCACCCGGAAGAGTGCCGAGCAAGAGGACCAAGACAACAGTATGGTTGCAGCGGCGCCGATGGCTATGGCGCCAGCTATGGCACCCGTGATTCCCAAGCTGCGCAGTGTGAAGCGCCCACAAGCCGAGGAGCAGGAGCCAGAGCAGCAGCCAAACTTTTTGGCGCAATTGAGCCGGGTGCCCCGCAAGCAGGTCTCTTCAGAGGATTCGGCAATTTCGGCCGGTTCGGAGCCACTGGCTGTGGCCCCTGTGGTTCCTACAATTCCTGCCATTCCCGTATCACGCAAGTCTACTGCTGCCAGCAGCATCCACGAGCTCGAGCCTGAGCCCCAGGCTGTGCACAAGGATAAGACCAGCAATATCGAGGAAGAGGAGGAGGAAGAGAGGTTTATTAATGAGACCAGCAAGGCTGAATCTATTAAGGAGGTGGACTTCTATGACCGTGACTTGAATGGAACAATCGAGGCAGCAGAACCCGAGGCGGCTGCCGACACTACAGAGCCGCAGCATTCCGACGACAATAATGAGAGCAAGGACGTTGCGGATGAGGTTGATACCTCGACATCCTCCCACCCCTCTGAGACTGCAGAGGAGCCATCTGAGGACGCACAACTGTCCGACGATGCGCCCTCGAGCAGGGCCTCAAGCCTCGACCCCATGAAGTCGCCAGCCCTGTCCCAGGTGAAGCGCCTGGTTCGCCGCGGCCCGCGCCAAAAGCCTACTGCCGAAGGGCTGAAGAAGAGCTCTGAGGAATCTCAGTCCCAATCACTCGTGAGCGCGCTGCAAAATGACGCGGTGCTGCCGGAGCCAGAGCCCGAGGTGGAGAAGGCTGCGCCGCCAGCACTTCCGGAGAAACCAAAGGGTCTGGCGCGGTCCGCATTTGGCGGTGGCATGCAGCTGCCCACTGGAGGATTCAAGGCCACCGGGAGGGTTGGCTCGGCCATGGCGTCGCGGCTGGCTGCGCTGCAGGCCCGAGCCAGCGGAAACTCTGCCGAGGACGAGGACGAGGATACTAGTGGAAGTCGGAGAACATTATCCGGATTGCGGCAGCCTCCCACAGACTCACATGTGTCAGCAGCTGTTGGTGCTGCTCCAGTGCCAGTCGCCAAGAAACCCTCGTTCACTGTGCGTTCTGCAGCCACCAAAGACGCAGCCCCAAGCGCACAGCCGCCCGTGATTTCCGCTGAGTGGAAAAAGCAGGTGGAGGACGAGCACTCGCGTCTGCGTAGCGACATTGACAAAGCATCGCGCGGAACCGAGCAGCAAATTGCACGGCTTGAGGCCAAGCTTGCTTCGAGTGAGCAGGAGAACCAAGCGCATAAGCAGAATATTTCAGGACTGGAGCGCCAAGTAGAAGGGCTTTTGGGGCAGCTAACGGGCGTAAAGTCAGAACTGTCTGAGATTCAAAAGTCTGTTGCCGAGGTGGGTGCACATAGGGGAGTTACAAAGGACGAAGTTGCAGTGATTTTGCGCGCAGAGCTGGCAAGTGCCCTGGCGCCCATTAAGAAGCAGAATGGGGAGTTGGTCGAGGAGAATAAGAAGTTGCATGCAAAGATTGCGGAACTCAGGGCGTATGTGGATGAGCTGGTCGTTGAAGAAGAGGACAGTAGTTGAATGAATGAGATATACATGCATTTTTTATATACAAAATTTTATAAATTTACAGAACTTGATATACAAAAATTAAATTATATGGTATATTGAAAGCCTATTACTATCACAAATTACTACATAAAACAGTGTCTTGTCGAGCTGAATCAAGTTGTGTAAAGACACGCAGTCCGTTTGATTTGAATCCAATGCCTGCAAAGCTTCTAACTTGGCAATGTATTACACTAATGTAAATGAATTGTTGAATTTCCAGACATTTATAACGAAATTCCGGATTTTTAAACAGGGATTTTTAAAACCTGTTTTTCACGCAAAAATGCACCATCAGAGTTGGCTGAACAAGTCTCGGGTCGATGTAGACAGGTTCAGCCAAGCTTCTACGCAAGAATGCATCTTCCCCTGCTTCTTTCTTCAAAAGAAGCAGCAAACTGGATAATATCTTCAACCATAGTGGTCTATTGCACTAGTTTCTAAACACTTTTTAGGTTGCTATTCAATCTTAATGGGAAGGATGTCGATTTGCAGGATATTTGTAGTCTCATTCTTTTTTTTAGTGTAGCTACATTAAAGATTTGATATGTCGTCTTCATAACACTCGTCAGAAAAGTTCGTATTGCTAGTTCCAACCGAACTACTTCCACATTATTTTTACATTTTACCAGTTTGTATTCTGCAATAACAATGGGTGCAGCCTTAAAATACCTGTACCAATTATTTACTGTTTTAAGTATGTTAAAAGTAATTGAAATTAGCCAAGTAGAAAATAACATTGACACCGCATTGTTGCGTAGCCCGAGGATATGGAAGTGGATGTTGAGGTTGAAAATCGTAAAACAAGTTTCCATCTGTATGCCGATTGATAGGGACTAATTGGATTATGCAGGCGTAAATTAGGGAGGCATTATAATGATGCCCAGACATGCTCCCTATTTTGCAATGTACACGCACGAGTGCACACATATGAAAACCACAACATTGACTTGCCAAGATACCGGTCTGCTCGCAGAAGATCCAGTTCTCACCAACGGAGTGCACAATTGGTGAAGTGCATAATAAAGTCAACGAGATACATATATAAGATGGGCCAGCTCTAGTTCTAATTTTGATTCCATTGATAATAAAAACTTTCATAAGTCAACCAAACATACTTTTGACACTAGGCGACTAGTGCTTCACCCAAATCACCACCCTCTTATTATAACACCGCTACTGTTTATTATAGTTTCATTAAGTAGTCGAGTGGAGTATTTGAATGAAGTATTGCAATAATTGTGTGGACTTGTAGAAAGGTAAATAGAGGAGAGGGCTAACTTTAGCGGAAGTAATAACATGCAACCCAACAATAATTCTAATCCAAAAAGGTTCGTGCAAGACTATTTACAAAAATAGTGGTGCTTTTGTTGAGCGCAACTTGCTTTGTATTGGAGTCCAATCCTCCCGAAGTTGTTTCTGGCCGTCACATCGTCCTTTCCATGGTATTTTTTGAAAAGCTTTTTTGTAAAGTTGAAGATAATGAAAAAAGTGTAAGGGAAAACGGAGGCGATACGCTTACAACGGGTTGGCCTCTCTGAAGTACTTCTGCAGATTGTTCATCCGCATACCAATGCGGTTGGTGAAATCCTGGCGAGTGCGCTTCTCCTTGAAAGTGGCAAAGTCCTTCAGTGCCTGGCGACCGTTGGGCATGGCCAGCACCATAGCGCGGTTCTGACGGCTCTGCATGAGCTGGTTGCTGAACTGCGGGTTTTCGGAGTAGTTTGTCAGCATCTTGTGAATAACAACACTGTCCTTCTCGGGCCGCTCCAGGGGATGGACTGCTTGTAGTAGCGGTGCAGCGCGCGATGGCCGATGCGGTTGCCGCTGGGCAGCACGAGCTCGCCGTCCTCCTCCTCCAGAGTACCAGACATGGTGGGCCGTCCTGTGGTCCGCACCAGCGCGCCGCCAGCAGCGTCCAGCTCCTCGTCGGCGTCGTGCTCGTCAGCGTCCGGGTAGGTAGACGAAAAGTCGTAAAAGTCCGAGATCTCCAACACGTCAATCTCCGTGTCATACGCCAGCTTGGTGTGGCCCTTGTCGAGCATGTGCTTGCGCACAGCGTCCAGGCTCTGCAGCGCGCGCCCGCGACCATTGCAGTATAGGCACACATTGGCGACGGACAGCTTGTCTGCCAGGTACTTGATCAGGCCGCGCAGATCAACAATGTACTCGAGATCAGGGATGAACAGCGAGTGGGCCAGGGACATATGCGCCATGTTGCTGTCGAAGGAGTCCGATTGTGCGTGCAGAAGAGACAGTCCGAGTCCGGGTTAAGGCGGGGGGCGGTAGCCTTTTTCTTCTCTAGCAGCTTGACTACCTCCTCCTCGGAGGTCGCCTGGTGCAGCTGCTGCTTGAGCTCGCGCTCTTGTTTCCGGCGCGTGCGCTCGGCGTCTTGCTCATCCGTGGGCTGATCGGCGTTGTTCAAGCTGGCATTCACCTCTTCCTCCTCGTCGTCGTCGTCGTCAGAATCGTCTTCGTCGCCAAGGGGGAAGTTGCTGACTTGAGCTTCCTCTCGCTAGTCGCGCTCGTAGGGCAAACTTATCGGCATCCACCGCGGTAGTAGCAGCGGCAGCGGTATCAGCAGCACCCTGCTGCTGTGCCCCATCGGCGGCAACAGAGGCGGCGGCCGGCGAGATACTGATATTGGCAATGGACTCGGCGATAGCCGCTTGCTCCGCGCGCATATCCTCTCTGCCTGCATCTTGGCAACCATCTTCGCCTCAGTCTCCTTGTGCTTCTTGCTGTTCAGATGGTTGTTGAAACCGTTCTCTGACACATAGGTCTTTTTACACACCGTGCATTCGCCAGAGTACCCAGCCTTCTTTGCGTCCTCGACTGACTTGGCCTGCTGTGCGAGCACGCGCTCGGCAAACTCTCGGCGGTGACTGGTGGCAGATCGGCCACTTGCGCTTCAGGTTGTATCTGTGCCAGTCGCTCCTGTAGTGCGCGCGCTGCTGATCGGCAGAGTAAAATGCCACTTGGCATGCCATGCAGGTAAACAAGGGTGTGTTTTGCGCGTTGGTCGGCACGCTGCCACTGCCTTCAGGCGAAATGGTGGTCTCCATCGTCTGTTTTGTATATATTTAGTAGATAGTGAGTATGAATAGGTTGAAATATTAATAAAAACAAGAGGAGAAGAGAGCCAAGCGAAAGAAAGAAAGAAATAATATACACAAGGGACTCAAAGTATTGCCAATTTTCTATTACTAAGCCAAGGCTTGAAGAAAAAAATTCCGCCATACTTTTTTTTGCACTGTTGCTTGACTGGCTTGCTCTGCTGTCACTGGCCGCAGCGCTTCAACTTTTTTTTCGGCGAAGAAATTGCTAGTCGCCCAGATTGATCTCCCCGTAATCCAATGCGTGATCTCGCTCAGCTCGCGCACACAGAAAAGAGAGAGAGAGCCAGAGGCTGGTGAAGAACGACGCAGAACAAAAAGAATAATGAAAAATCGCTTGGTTTCAAAAAAAAGGCTGCAGTGCAAAACTGTTGTTGTTTCTAAATTTCTACAAGCAAAGCAACGTCGACCAAGTTACTCCAAGTGGCCAACTGCCAGCTGCTGCTTGTTGCCTTCACATTGCTTCTTTAATTTCCTCTTTTTCTCCATTCACAATCTCGGTTCAGCTTCTTGGCTTTGAACTTGTTTTTATTTTCCTACACAACTTTACAAGAGAAGAAAAAAAAGCACGCGCTAATTTTTCAATTACAATAAAATAGCAAGGATGCAGTCACCAGTAATTGTCGTCAACACCAGCAAACAGCGCGAGAGCGGCCATCGCGCACAAATGTCCAACATTGCTGCCGGCAAGACTGTCGCTGATATTGTGCGGACATGCCTTGGTCCCCGCGCAATGCTAAAGATGCTTCTCGATCCAATGGGCGGAATCACCTTGACAAACGATGGGTTTGCAATTCTGCGTGAGTGCGAGGTCGCGCACCCGGCAGCCAAGTCGATGATGAGCTCAGCCGCACGCAGGACGATGAGGTTGGCGACGGCACCACCAGCGTTATTATCCTTGCCGGCGAGATGCTCGCCATCAGCGCGCCCTTCTTGGAGCGCAAAATCCACCCCGTAGTTATTCTCCGCGCGTTCCAGAAGGCCCTGGAGGATGCCCAGGTTATTTTGCGCGAGATCGCTGTGCCCGTGGACACCAACGACCGGGAGCAGATGCTCAAGCTGATCAAGTCAGCGATCGGCACCAAGTTTGTCAGCCGCTGGAACGATCTGATGTGCAATCTGGCCCTGACCGCTGTGCAGACCATCGTGTGCCGCACTGGCGATCTCGACTCGGCCTACGACGACGTTTGGCAACTATTACCGGATCGCCACCGACGCCTCCACCACGGACTCTGAGTCCAAGGCGCTGCCGGCGAGGCCTCGGCTGATGCCGCCACTGCTACTGCAACTGATGCCAATAGCATGTTGCCGCTGAAGAGGCCGCCGCCCCTGCCATCGAAAGCGAAATTGGTTCTGCCAAGACCGCCGCACCCGAGGTTGATGTGCGCGAGGTCGACATTAAGCGCTTTGTCGTGTGGAGAAGGTTCCCGGAGGCGAGATTGAGGAGAGCCGCGTTTTGGACGGTGTCATGGTCAACAAGGACGTTGTGCACCCCAAGATGCGCCGGCACATCGAGAACCCGCGCATTATCCTCCTTGACTGCCCCCTTGAGTATAAGAAGGGCGAGTCACAGACAAACATCGAGATCTCGCGCGAGAGCGACTGGTCGCGGTGCTGGAGATCGAGGAGGAGCAGATCCGCGCGATGTGCGACAAGATCGCGGCGCTCAAGCCTGACCTCGTCATAACTGAGAAGGGCGTGTCCGATTTGGCCCAGCATTACCTGGTCAAGCAGAACATCACTGCGCTGCGCCGCATGCGCAAGACAGACAACAACCGTATTGCGCGCGCCACGGGTGCCAATATCGTCACCTCGGTGGATGAGCTGAAGAGAGCGATGTTGGTACTGGATGCGGCCTGTTTTCGGTCGAGAAGATCGGTGACGAGTACTTTACGTTCCTGACCAAGTGCAAGAACCCCAAGGCTTGCACGATTCTTCTGCGTGGTCCCGGAAAGGACACCCTCAACGAGATTGATCGCAACCTGCAGGACGCCATGTGCGTTGCGCGCAACGTGCTTTTCAGCCCGTACCTCTGCCCTGGTGGTGGTGCCACGGAGATGGCTCTGGCCGTGCAGCTGGCCAGAGGGCCAAGTCGGACATTGATGGTATCGAGCAGTGGCCGTACGGAGGCGTTGCCGAGGCATGGAGGTCATTCCGCGCACGCTTATCCAGAACGGCGGCGGAAACGCTATCCGCACGCTGACCGAGCTCCGTGCCAAGCACACCGCAGGCCTGACCACCTGGGGCGTGGATGGCGAGAAAGGTGTGCCGGTCGATATGAACGAGTACGGTGTCTGGGAGCCCCTGGCCGTCAAGCTGCAGACCATCAAGACTGCTATTGACTCGGCGTCGCTGCTCCTGCGCGTCGACGACATTGTGTCTGGAACGCCAAAAAGTCCGAGTAGACTTTATTTTTATTCGCTTTAATACCAACTTGGTAGGTGCAAAGCATGCATCGCCATTCATTTTTCCCCTTGCAAATAACTTTATTTGAAAGTATTAGCGCAAAAATTGAAAATTAATGTCTTGTTTTCTTTTGCGAAAAGACTATATGCACTGTCAACAAGAATAATGTCAGGCCGTACTTTGACGAGCATATTAAAGTAATGTGATCTGATTAATTTTAATATAATCTGATCTGATCTGATCAATATATATGCATATCGCATATATATCACCAAATGTACATAACCTAAAGACATGGCAAACCCAGTTGCTGTTCAGCATTTGCTTAATGAATCTATTTTCTCTCCCGGTTGCTGTTCAGCTGCAGCCAAGTGGACAGATTTACATTTATCCGCTAAAACATGTTTGCCAAGTGGGTGTGCATTATGCTTGTCATTTTTCCTCCTTTCTCCCTCTCACTACTTATTTTGTCTTTTTGAAAACAAAATAAAAGCAAAGATTTGCCTTTGATGCAGTGTTATTAAGAAAAAAGTAATCCTTTTTTGGTAGCATAAAAAGGCATTCCTTGTAATTATACAAAAGAGTAGTACAAAAAAAACAACCGAGGCTTTTATACAAAACAGTATAAGAAGCCTCATTTTGCCTTTTTCACCCCAACGAAAAGTACTTGGCTGTTCCTTATTTCCTTTTTTGTTTTACCGTTATAATTATGTGTCCTCTCGTTCAGCTCCCCTCATTTTTTTCCAAATATACTTTTAATTAAATTTATTAGGGGTTCACCCAACTAGTAGTTTATTCTTAGTGCACACTTTCACTCTAGCAAAAGCGTACAAAACAAACTCTGCTTTCCACAGAATGTTGCATATTAACGAATTGCCGCTAATTGTTGTAGAATCCATCCTAGACTACGCAACGGAAACCGATTCTCAGGATATTTCACGGTCATGGGAGGACTCGCTTTGTTTGCTATCGGTCTGCAGATCATGGAGATCGATTGCCTCTCGGTTGGTTTTCAAAACAGCGTATGTAGTCATAGAGGAGCCCAAAGAGGACGAAGAGGAAGACAGCGAGGAAGCAACAAACCTTGACTTTCTGAGGACTGCAAACATCACACATATGGTTAGGAGCGTGCATATTGTTCTGGACAACCAGGTGAGCCTTGTGCGGTTTCTCAGTAAATATGCGGACATGTTCAACTTTGGCAATAGTAATTGGATCAGGACACGCTGCTTCGACATGACCATTAATGAGGTCGTCAAGAATAACGACGAGTTGTTCATAAATGAGCCTCATAGTGAGCTCGCATCGGTGTTTTCTAGCTTTGCCAATCAAGTGGTGAAGAATATGCCCAACGTGGCACAGCTATTATTCGACATTAACCCGATTACCAATCTGAACACATTGGTCACCAGCAGGCTTATCAATGGATTCCAAAACTTGAGCAGTATCGAAAGTAGCTGCTACACAGTGTTTGACTCCAAGACACAGTTTACTAGCCTCACACGACTGACAATCAAACTCATACCCAACACCGACTTTGTATTCCCATATATCAACCCGGATATTATCCAGCACATTCATATCACCAACGTGCCGCCTACTTTCTCGTGGCACCCCTTTTTGTCAGACAAATCGGCAGACAAGCTGGAGTTTAAATCGTTAACCTACCTGAACATAAAATTTACCAAGCCAGAAGACCAGCTCATTCCAAACAACTCGACTACGCGCGCCCTTCAGTACGATACGTCAAATAAACTGCATGTTTATTTCCCAAATCTCTCAAAGCTATTTATCAGAAACAAAACAAGTGTGGGATTCGACTCGTCCATGTATGTGTTCCCCAAGTACCTGGATAGCATCGGTGTGACCAATTCAATAAGCACTTTGCAACTTCTCCAAAGGGCTGAAATCAAGCTCATCGACCGGGTGGTTCTATTCTTTGACGTCATCGGTAAAACAGACGAAGCAAACTTTTACAAGCTGACCAACTATTTCGCCGGAACTGAGGGTTTGACAAACTATTCTAGAATATGCTTATGGAGACTTGGGTTTGAGGTGGATGTTTCGCGAATTAAATGGAGCCAGCTTTCGCAATTACACATGGTAGAGGTGACTGAATTGAATTGGCTTTTTGAGCTGATTAAGAATATTCCTGATTTGTGCAATCTCACGATTGCCAGCTTGTACATTAACAGCATGCCCGCACACGTCAGTGGACTGATGAGCCAGTCAAACCGTGGCATGGGTGTGCATTTGGGTTTGCCAATAAATAAGACTATCACAAAGTTGGTTATAATGGAACTAAATAGCGATGGGTGCTCACCCAGCGAGGTTGCCATGTATATTAAACACATGGTCATTCAGTTGCCTAGCATTAGACATTTGCATATTACAGATGCAGGCTGGATGGAGATGGATAAATTTGCTTCGAAACACAAGCAATGGTACCCACATGTAGGTGACATAACATTTACATATGGTTTATAGCGCCCCTTTTATGCACTTGTTTTATTTATATATTGTTAATAATTGTGTAATAGAAGTTTTAATGACCATAACTTTTAAATTTTAAAAAAAATTGGCGTCTTGGGCCGCCGTCCGTATTTCGCTGCATTGGCATATGTGATACCAAAGGGGCTCGAACAAACAATATTTCAATTAAAACTCACATTCGGCAGCAGGCAGATTTTTCTTTGTCCTCATGTATACCTGATAATTGAGCCGGCGAAGAAAATCGATAAAGAGAAAACCATGAATTTCTTTTTTTTATATAAAATTTAAATGACATCTTACAAACCAAAATATTATTCTTTGTTTTTTGTATGTGTATTGGGCTCTACATATCAATTGTTGGTGACTTTTTTTGCATGCCATACAGCAATCATTGTCATTTTCTTCTCCTGTAGCACTATAAATAGCAAGGGTTGGAAGGGCTTCCCACCTTTTTTAAATAATTTTTCTTCTCATCATCAAACTACCAAATTATCAGTAATTTGTTTTATTCCCAATACTTTAGCTATATCGACTAAATAATGGCTTACCAGCGTAAATAGTCCGGAACTTATGATTTGGTAAGTCTATTTTTATTTAACTGACTTAACTGATTGAAACATGTACTATATTTTGTTTATATTTATCACTTAGTATTTATTTATTTATACCATTATTTATATATTTGCTAATTTTGTAGGATTCCAATGTTGCGGTCACAATAATGGAAAACGGTGAGTTGAGGTGTGTATTTAAGGACAGCTCAATTGGAAGATTATACCTGGTTCCTGATATAGGTTTCATATATATTAAACAGTGCCCTCAAAAAAGATTGAATAATAAGGCTGCCAATACCACCTGCTATTATGAATATAGCATAAGTGATGGCAAATACGTACTGAATTGGATCCGCCCAAACGACAGAGTTGGCTTTCTTTTATTTAAGTATATGGCATTACAAGTGAGGGCTACAGAGAAAATTAATAAAAATTTAAAGTTAGAGCTGAAGTTAAAGTTTGTACTACTGACTTGTAAAGCAACTTTCTACTCCGTCGCATGTGTAATTGTTACATCAAGTGATTCCGACACAAGAACCGGTGGATAGATTCTGCTACTCTAACTAGTCATTCAGTTTTTTTTCGATAAATGTTTTTTTTAGGACGCAGTTTTTTTTCTTCATCTTTTAATTGTAACAAATAACGCAGTCTCCAATTATCACAAGAGAAAAAACATTTTGTTAAACATACTCTGAACTATCAAAAGCAACAGGTCTCTTCCATACCCTAACAATACCTCTCCGACAAGCAGTAACAATAAGCTCCCGGGTAACACGCAAGCACTCCACAGCAGTGCCATGCACAGGCACAGAAACAAGGGGCAAAACCACAGGCAAATTCCCTCGCACCCTCCCACCACCTCCTGCACCGGCGCCTCTCGGCCGGTGCAAAGCCCCCAAAGAAAAGTCCCACACCAAAAGTCTTCCATCCTCACCAACACTCATAAACCGGTAAGTGTTTTCGTCGCCGTGGCCCAGTGGGTCAAAAACAATCGAGCGCACCCAGGACTCATGGCCTTCACAGCGGGCGACCAGGGTGCAATCATGGGTGCTCCAGATACTCAGGAGATCATCCTTGCCGCCAGCAATGACAAAGCGGGAGTCTGGGCTCCAGGCACTGCAGGTTAGTCCGCCGAAATACGACGCGTGTACGGAATGGAGGGTCTCGTGGAGATAGTCGATGATGCGCAGGCCGCCGTCCTCGCAGGTGACTGCCACATGGTGTGGGAACCCGCCACCATTACCCGAAGTATTGTCGGTAGGCGCAAAGGATATGCTTGTGATGGGCTTATTGGACACCCGCCAGAAAGTCACAGGATTCGCACCAGTGGACTTTTTGAAAGAAGACGGGTTGTTACTGCCTGCTGCCGCCGCTGCTGCCACTCCTGTTGTCCCCGATGTTGAGAAAACTTCCAAATGATCCAAGAGCAGCGAATCGTCAAACTTGGAAATTTTTGGAACAACAAACTCGTCCCTCGTGCGATCCACGATCATCAGACAACCATCGGCCATACCGGCCATAAACAGGGTTTCTGAGCCAGGAATCCAAGCAACACAGAGTACAGCGGAGGTATAACCAGAATTCTTATTCAGCCTGGAATATTTGCCGCACACAGGATCGTACCAAATGAGGTTGCCCTGTGTGAAGCCCATGATTATGTCCAGGCGGTTGTTGGATTTGCGTGTGCACGGGTTGATGCTGTGACAGAGTGGGGTGTTAGAGACAAGGTCAAGGCGGGCGAGGGTTTCGCCGCTACTTTCTGGCTGATTTTGCTGATTCTGATTCTGCTGTTGCTGGAGGCCCATCCAGGTCATACAGCGGGGCGCATTAAATATGAAATTAGTGCTAGGGGTGTCGCCGACCACCCACCTTGCGAGGTTCTCGTTGGTCACCAGTCGGCTGACAAAAGACGACGTGGACTTTGTCACCGTGCCCTTGCTATGCGGCGCTGAAGAAGCACACGCAATGGGCGCTGTTATTACAATAGATGTGGCCGTGGTCGTGGTGGTGGTGGGCGCAGCAGACGAGCTGGAAGAGCCATTAGACACGGCCTTATTCATGTGCAAGAACCCCTGTCGAAACCCATGCGGTCGCCCACTATCTGGTGCCATACCACCGGCAACTCTGTGCATATTGGCCATAGAAGCAGGGGGAATATAAGGTGTGTTGAATACAGATACCTGTGTCGGTCTGCTAGGTGCCGTAAAAACACCAGACGGTCCTAGCAAGCTGCTTTGCTGCACAGACGGCCCGGCAAAGCCAAAATTACCATTGCCCAGCTGCTGCTGCTGCTGCTGCTGCTGTTGTTGTTGTGTGCGCGTGTCGCCAAACATGATGCTGCCGCTGGCAGCCATACCTGCGGAGCCAGCGGAACCGAACCGCAGACTGCTTGTGGGCGTGGCTGTTGGCGTAGGTGTTGGCGGCTGGACAGTGTTCTGGTGTGTCTCGTGGTGGTGGGCATTGGCGCCTAGACTGAGGTCGTCGGCATTGAGGTCGCGCGGAATGTGCGGATGGAACTGATTGGCGGCCTCCTCGGTTGTGAATTCCGACAGCAAAGTCCACCGTCCTTCAGGCGTGTCGAAAAAGGAGCAAGGCGTAGGCTTGGCGCTCATAGTGTGAGGGGGGGGGGAAGAAGAAGAAAAAAGAAGAGATAACAGGAATTGAAATAAAATTGCAAAATGAAATAAAAAAGAAAGAAAGTGACATAAGAAAAATACCATGAAAAAAAGCACTAGTTCGATTCTTGAGGCAGTGGCTTGTATGCGTGCCGCGATGGTCCAGGTCTGAATAATCCCCCTCTTCCTTCAGAAGAAGCAGCAGCAGCAGCGCCGTGCACGCGGCCAGGCGCCATGCCAACCATCTCCAGGCCAGACATATCCTCGGCATCGACGACCTCGGACATGTCCAGGGCGAAATGGCCGGCAGTCCGGCGGCCGTCCGTCCCAGCAGTTGCCCTGGGGGCAGCCAGTACCTGCACATCAGCGACATCCAGCGGCAGAGTCCCAGACAGCGGCGCACGGCACACAGGCTTACGATACAGCTTAAGCAGCAGCGAGCTAGCCATGACGCTCAGGCTACTCAAGGCCATCGCCATGCCGGCAAACACCGGCGGAAGCATAACACCAAGGGGCATAAACAGCCCCATGGCCAGTGGAATACCCAGAAGGTTATATACGCTAGCCCACACGTAATTCCACTGGATGCGGCGGAAGATAGTGCGCGCCAGGTCGAGCGCTGCAACGACATCAGCGACGTCCTCGCGCATCAGCACCATTGACGCGGCCTCCATTGCCACGTCCGTGCCGGAGCACAGGGCAATTCCCACATCCGCGGCCGCCAGCGCCGCGCCGTCATTGACGCCGTCGCCGACCATTGCCACGCGCCGCGCGCGCCACGAGCGGCGCAGCAGCCAGGAGCGGTACGGCGCCATTTCAGCCTGCAGCTGCGCGACAACCACAGCCTTGCCAGCCGGAGACACGCCAGCGTACACGCGGCGGATACCGCATTCAGCAGCAATCGCCTGTGCGGTCAATGGCTGGTCGCCTGTGACCATGACGCACTCCGCGCCCATACGCTGCAGAGTGGCAATGGCCGGCACGGCCTCGGCGCGCAGCACGTCGGCGAGCGCCAGCCACCCGGCGTACCGCGCGCCGACGGCAACCAGCACTACGGTGCGACCGCGCGCCTCCTGCGCAGCCTTGGGCGCCGCCACCAAGCCAGCCGGCACGGCAACGCCGTTGCTCTCAAGGAAGGCTGCGCTGCCCACCAGCACGTCGCCGCCGGCAGCAGCTGCGGGCAGCACGCGGGCGCGTACGCCCTGGCCCGGCACCGAGTCGAAGTCGGCGATGGCGGCCGGGAACGGCTTGCCAGTGCCCAGGCCGAGAAGTGCGCGCGCATACGCGGCAATGGCGCGGCCCAGCGGATGCTCGGACGCGACCTCGGCAGCGCCGGCCAGCAGGGCCAGGTCGCGTGGCAGAATACCAGGCGCCGGCATGACGTCGGCAACGGCCAGGCGGCCGGTAGTCAGGGTGCCGGTTTTGTCAAAAACCACAGTGTCAATGCGGCTGGCAGCCTCCAGGGCCTCGCCGCCCTTGATCAGCACGCCCATCTGCGCGCCAACACCAGTGCCCACCATGACAGCCGTCGGCGTGCTCAGGCCGAGCGCACACGGGCATGCGACAACCACCACGGCCACAGCCAGCTTCAGGCACCCGACCATGTAGCTGCCCGTCTCCTGCGCTTCGGCCTCGAACATTGCCGGCTTGGGCAGCGCCGAGTACGCCACCACCGTCCACCCGACCAATGTCGTCAGCGCTAGCGCCAGCACGGCCGGCGCAAAATACTGGGCGACGCGGTCGGCGTACGCCTGGATCGGCGCCTTGGCTGTCTGGGCCGCCTCGACCAGCTGCACGATCTGTGCCAGCGTCGTGTCGGCACCGACGCGTGCCGCCTCCATCGTGAACGAGCCCGTGCCGTTGACTGTGCCGGCGACAACCTGCATGCCAACGCGCTTGCGCACGGGCAGCGCCTCGCCTGTCACTGTTGACTCGTCGATGGTTGACTCGCCCGATATTACTGTGCCGTCCGCCGGCACGCGCTCGCCCGGGAAGACGCGCAGCAGGTCGCCGGTCTGGATCAGCTCCGTCGCAATGCGCCGCTCCTCCTCCTCATCACCATCGCCGCTGCGCACCACCAGAGTGGCCTGCGCCGGCGTCAGCGTCATCAGCGTCGATAGCGCAGCCGACGCATTGCCCTTGGCAACGTTCTCGAGGTAGCGGCCGAGCGACACAAAGGTGATCAGCATAGCGGGCGCCTCGAAGAAGCAGTGCGGCCGCGGGTGCTTGCCGTGGAACACCGACCACATCAGCATAAACAACGAGAAGAAGTACGCCGACGACGTGCCCGTGGTCACAAGCACGTCCATGTTGGCGTTGCCGTGGCGCAGCGCCTTGAATGCGTTTTCGTAGAACCGCGCGCCGACGTAGAACTGCAGCGGCGTGGTCAGCAGCAGCTGGCAGAGCATGCCGAGCGGCAGCCCGGTGACCACCTGCCAGGAGATGATCTTGGCCAGCCCACCGATGTGTGGCGCCACTTTGGCCAGCAGAATGACCGGGAGCGAGAACCACAGTGACTGCCAGAACCGCCGCCGCCACGCCAGAATGTCCTTGGTGCGCTGCAGAGACTCCAGCTGCGTGTTGTTCTGCGCAAGGTCGGCCACCAGAACGTCGAACCCGGCCGCCTCGACCACCGCCACGAGCCGCCGCACGCCCACCTGCGCCGGGCGATACTCGATGGCCGCGGTCTCTAGCGCCAGGCTGACCGCCACCGAGACAACGCCAGGCTCTTTGCGCACTGTGCGCTCGATCAGCGCCACGCATGACGCGCACGTCATGCCGTAGACGTTCAGGCTGGCCTTGGCCACGCGCGCCTCGGCGTCCAGCACCTTTGCGTCAAAGCCCAGCTCCGTGATCCACCCAACAATGCTACTATCGGAAACCACGGCTGGATCAAAGTGCACGGTGGCGCGCTGCGCCAGCAATGACACGCTAATGCCCGTGATGCCTTGCCGCTTGCCCAGCGCGCGCTCGATCAGCGCCACGCAGGACGAGCATGTCATGCCGTGGACTTCCAGCTGCAGCGCCGTGGTTCCGTCGTTGGCCTGGCCGTCCAGCAGAGTTTCGCCGGATTTTGCGCTCGAAAACGAGTACGCCTCTTTGCGCGCCGGGGCGCTGTCCGCTGCAAACGTCCGTGTAGACCCGGGTGTGGTGCTGCCGCCTAGCGGGCTGTCATGGAGCGTCAGCAGTGGTACTTTCTGCTCGGCCACCTTGGAATTGTCGCCGTCAAACACGGCCATGTCGGGCTCTGCGCTTGGCGCGGGCCCCAGCGAGGCGTCGAAGCCGGCTTCGTCGATGGCCATTGCCACGGCGTCCTTCGTGGTGGCCTGCGGGTCAAACCACACGCGGGCCAAGCCCCTGGGCGCCAGCTCGACCTCAACGCGCGCAACACCAGGCGAGTCCTCCAGCGCCATCGTGACAGACTTGACGCACGACTGGCACGTCATGCCCTCAATGCCAACCACAACAAAAGCCTCGTTGTCCTTGTTCTTCTTTTCCAGCACATCGCCAGCAGGCGTGAAAGCAACATCAAAGCCGCAGTCCTCAATGACCTGGGCGACCTGGGCCTGCGAAAGCACAAGCGGGTCCCACTCGACCACGGCGGACTCTGTGTCCAGCGACACACTGACGGACTTTACGCCGTTCGTGCCACCTAGGACATCTTCGATACTGCGCACGCATGATTGGCACGTCATGCCGCGCACTCCCATTATGCTACGGTGCTGCAGGGTCCCGGGCAGTACAGCGGCGTCGAAGCCGCAGTCTTCGATGGCTTCGGTTATTTGCTCGGCTGAGAGTACGTGTGGGTTGTAGTGTGCTGTGGCCTGGTTGGCTTCAAGCGATACTGTGATGGAGATGAGACCTGAGAGGTCGGAGAGCACGCCTTCTATTGACTTTACGCATGAGTGGCAGGTCATTCCGACCACCGACCATGTCTGCTTGCAGCTGACCGACGACATGAGCCGTGTATATGCGTGCGAGTGTGGATGTGAGTGTGCGTGTTAAGGTGGGGGGGAGGAATGTTTGTTTGTTTGTTTTTGTTGTTTTTGTTGATATTGCTGTTGTTGTTGTTGTTGCTGTTGTTGTTGCTGCTGCTGCTGCTGCTGTTGTTGTTGTTGTTGTTGATGTTGATGGAATAGGAAGGATAGTACAAGGTGGGAATACTTTAGGAAAAAGAAAGAGGGCGCAATGGTCGTTTGGAAGAAAACCCAAGCACGCAGCGTACGTATAAGAAAGGGAAAGTTAGCCACCGGGAAAATAAAACAAACCAATTTGAGAGAGAAGGTAAGAAAGTTGCACGAGATACAAAAAAAGGAGGCAAAAGCAAAGTAAAAATAAAAATAAAAATAAAGGCAGATATACGCCTTTCTGAAAGAAAAAATTATTCTTCCGTTTGATGGTGTGTGTTGTTCAATATCAATGCTACAAAAGGAAAGGACACAAGATGTTTAATTTTATTGTCCTTTTCAGCTGCTGGTTGGCTTTCTTTGCATTTGATTGAATAAAATTCAACAAAGGAAAATTATTGGCCCACTTTTTTATTTGTCCCCTCAACACAGTATTTTTTAAAAATATTGTTATCCAAATTCAGGCAAGCATTGTCTATTTCTGGAACTGGATGCAAGACTCCGGGCATTATTAATTGTTCTTTCTTGATGCTCTGGACATTCCGTTCATCTGACTGATAAACCGACCGACCGACCGACCCCGAGCAGCCAGCCAACCACAGAACATTTAAAAACACTTAAGAAAATAAAAGAGGGAGGTGGAGGCGGTGGAGGCGGAGGCAAAATAAGACGGGCGACTCGGACAAGCATGGCCTGTCGTCGTGTTTCATTCGCTCCACCTTTTTCGGTCTGCTCGTGAAAAAGAAAGACAATCGAAAAAGCAAAGAACAAAAAATGCATGGTCCGAGACGCATCACATCTATTCTTTTTTAAAAAAACAACGAAATCACTGGTTTCTCGGGCGCTTGTCTTCGGAAGACCGCGTGCTGCCAACAAAGGCATCAATGCCAAACACATCAGCCTCCTTCTCAAACACCACAGGCCTCCCAGCCTCCACAGCACGCGGCCGCTTGACACCGCCACGCAGCCCACCTTGGCCACCGAAACGGTCCGACTCCATCAATCTCTCCACATCACCGGCCTGCTGCTGCTCATCATCAGCACCGGCACGCGGGCGATACGTCTGGTGTGGTGCTGAGCTGAACAACGGCTTGTCGTACAGATTGTATGCCTCGTCGTTTTGCAGCTGCGCGTTGGATGCGCTGGGCTGGTTGAACAGCCGTGAGTCAAACATGCTTTCGCGCGACATGGATGTGGGCTTGGCAAGTCCCAGGGCGATTTTCTCCGAAATATCGCGGTCATCGCGCGGCTTCTTGCCGCTGCCGCCTCCAGAGCGCTGCTGGCGGAGATCGCGCTCGTGCTGCTTGCGCCGCTCGGCGCGTAGCTGGTCTCTCTCGCGCACGGCAGCATCGGCACCATAGCCGTGACCGTGATCATGGCCCTGATCCCGATCATGATTGTGATTGTGATTGTGGTTGTGGTTGCGGTTGCGGTTGTGGTTGTGCTCCTGCTCCTCCTGCTCCTGCTCCTGCTCGCGCTCGTGGGTGTCCTTGCTGCCAGGCTCGTTGAAAAAGTCCGTGGCCGCCTTGCGGTTGGGGTCGCGGCGGCGCACCGCCACAAGCGGGCTCAATGGCGGCGCCACATACTCGGCCCTCTCCTCAGCGCCGGCGGCCGATTTCTTCTCAGCCCTCTCCTCGCGCGCGCGCTGTGCAAGCAAGCGCAGGCGCTCCTCCTTGCCCTCCTTCTCGCGGCGCGCCAGGGTCTGTTGGATCTGCGCGCGCTCGGCGATTTCCTCGCGCGCATGCGACTCTGCAGAGCCCAGGGCCTCGGCCAGGCGGGCAAAGCCATCGCTCACCTGCACGTCCTCCAAGCCGCGGCCATCGGCGGCCAGCCGCTTGTCCAGGGAGACGGTGAAGCCGTGGATGTTCTTCCAGTTGGACACGCAGGGCGGGACGATCCAGTCGCGCTGCTCGTCGGCGGTCAGCTTGCGCGGCGGCGAGTGCATGACGGGCGCCGGGGGCGACCCTGGGCGGCGCGCGGCCTTTTGGTGCTTGACCTTGGGCGGCTCCAGCGGGTCAACGGGCATTTCGCTGACGCGCACTAGCCGCTGAGCCGCGCCCGAGTTGAAGCCGGGCGCCTGCTGATTAGGCGTGTACCGCACGTATGTTGGCTCGGCCCTGGCTGCTGCGCCCTTGGCTGCGGTGCCCTTGGCGCCGAGGCGCTCGCCGGTGATTCTGTCCAGTGCGCGGCGCGTGCGCTCCGCTGTTTCCTCGACGGACTCGGCGGTGGGCCGCGCGGGGATGACGGCGCCGGAAAAGCCCGCGCGCTCGGCTAGCGGCACTAGCTCCTTGAACGTCGACTGGACTACTTGGCTTTCGCGCGTGCCGTGGCGGGCGAGCGCCTCGTAGCTGATGTTGCCGGAGCCGTCGACCTGCTTGGCTACGGCGTTGCCCTTGGCAGAGCGCTTGCGGCCCATGCCCAGCGGGTACTGCAGGACGTGGATCTCGGGGTAGGCCCCGCCGCCGCCAAAGTCTGCCTCGGTCTTGGGCACCCAGCCCTTGCGGCGGCCCTGCTGCGGGATCTCTGTGGCTGATGCGGCTGCTGTGACTGCTGTGGTCGATGTGGTCGCTTTGGCGCGCGCTGGTCCCGAGGACTGGTGCTTGGGCTCTGGCAAAAACTGTGAAAATGACATGATTACAAAAAAATAATATATAAGAAAAATACGAGGAAAAAAATGTTTGAATTGAAGGACCAGAAGAACAAAGGGGGAAGAAGAAAAATACGAAATGGAAAATTTTTTTGTAACCACCTTCTGCCACTCAATAAAAAAATTTTATTTGTTCTTTTGAAATGCCTCTCATTCTAATGACGGGCTATCCGTCCAGCGGCAAGTCCACGCGCGCACACGAGCTCAAGCGGCTCTTCGAGACGCGGCTCCAGCAGTCCTCGGTGGCAACCCACAGTGTGCATATAATCGACGACGCGCTCCTCGGCTACACGCATGCAGCCTACGCCTCCGCCACCGAAGAGAAAAACGCGCGCGGGGCGCTTCTCTCCGCCGTCGAGCGGCAGCTCTCTCGCGACGCCATTGTGATCGCCGACACGCCCAATTACATCAAGGGCCTGCGGTACCAGCTCTACTGCATAGCGCGCGAGGTCGCCACCACCCACTGCGTAGTCCACTGCGCGATATCCAGGGAAGAGGCCCAGAGAATTAACAGCGGCCGCGGCTCCGAAGCGTACCCGGAGGAGGTCTTTGAGGCGCTGATTATGCGGTATGAGGAGCCGAATGCCGCTGCCAAATGGGACAGCCCGCTGTTCACTGTTATTCAGCACGACAAGGAGGATGTGCTGCCGTTTGATGCCATTTGGGCTGCGCTGGTTGAGAAGCGCGCGCTGGCTCCGAATTTCTCCACGGCGATGAAGCCTGTCACTACTACAAACTACCTGAGTGAGCTGGAGAGTGCCACGCAGCATGTTATTAGTGCTGTTTTGGATGCACAGAAGAGCGGCGTGCCCATGTATGAGCTTCCCGTGCCTGGGTCGACTAAGAAGGTTCGGATGCCTGGTCGCAACCTGACCCTGTCGGAGCTGCGCCGCTTGCGCATGCAATTCACAAAGCTTAACCGACAGGTGTCGCTCAATATCGAGTCTATTGCGGATATTTTTGTCGAGTATTTGAACATTAACCTGTGAAAATAAACATTTTGATGGCGCGTACGATACATAGACGAGTTTTTTTCCGGCTTCTTGTTTTCGGTGCTGCGGTTCGAAGGGCAGTTCTTGTCTTTTTTTTCGAAGATCTTGTTGATTTTTCCTAGTTCCATTCCTGCAAACAAAACCCAAAAAACCCAAGGCCAATTTTTATTTACATGTGTCGAGAAGCCTACGCTGCCCCTTCCAACGACGACGTTAGCTTTGGGTGTTTTTGCGCAGCCAGTTGAGCTCCTATTTGTGCTTATTCCTCTCGCTGGTAGAGTAATATTCGATAGGAGCCGAAACAAATTGTTATTATTTTTGGCAGCCCGCAAATGCGCAGTCAACTCGAACCATCCGAAAAAATAACTAGCGTATTTAACAGAGCTTTTTGCAGGCCTAACGAGCGCAAGTCGCATCTTCCGCCCCCATCCACAAAACACATTTGCTTCCTTTTTTCTCTCTTTTTATTTCATTAATTTTTCTTATATTATTTTCTCAAAGTGAATTTTTGTTCTGTAAAGGTAAATTCTTTTCCAACTCTTTTAGAATTTGTCAACACAAAGGACCGGTCACATACACGCAGAGAATCCCGGCACCCGAACCCCCCTTCACGAACTTTGAAATACAACTGGAGCTGGAACTGGAGTCGGTCGTTTTTTTTTCCTTTTTGAATTTTGCTGCATTCTCTGCTAGCCGCCTCAGACCAATCTGTTTGGTGTGAGAGTGTCACAATACCACTCCCACTCTGCTCCATTCCAACCCTATCCACACAAAAAATATATCCTGTACTTTGCACTATTTCTGCTTTGCAGCTTGTCCTTTGTCACCTGGTATTTTCTTCGAAAGTATTCCTTGCCTCTTTAATAATTGTTTGGCACATGCGTGCTTTGTGTGTGGATTCAAACTACTCCCTGGCTCTCTGGGCACTGACAATGTCCACTTGGCTCTAAAAGCCATAAAGAAAGCATTGAGCGTGTGTCAAGCACAGAGCCGCCCTTTTTTTGCAGTGTATTTTTGCCTCATATTTCCCTTGTGCCCTTTTACGCTTTCTTTTTCTTTTGCCCCTTTTAAAGGTCTTTATTGAAAGGGCGCGAGCATTTTATTCGCGCAATAAACACCTAGCTGCCTTTTACGCTCAAGCTTCTCTTCTGTTCTATTTCTATTTTTCTCACTCCATAATAAAATTTGTCAAATAAATACACCCCCCCAAGGCCAGTTTCAACTTGATTCCTCACGCTCACCCGCGCGTATATATATAAAATCTTCATTGCTCGAAACCCCTTTTCTTCCCCTTTCTGCTTCTTTTCTTTTTTCATTTCCATTCCATTCTCTCGTCACTTTAGAATTTTCCCATACACACATTTTTTGCATCAAACAAAATCAAGGAATAGCACAGGCCCTCGCTACTAACTTTTTACTTTATTCAGAACCATTTCATTTATTGCGTCCGCGTAAGAAACTATATAGCTTCAGCTCAAAATAAACAACAAATAACATACCAATAAGCATTTTCAAGCATGTCTGCTCTCATCAAGATTCAGTCATCCGACGGTAAGGAGGTTCAGGTTGAGAAGGCCGTAGCCATCCAGAGCATTCTCATTAAGAACTTGCTCGAGGACTTGGGTGAGAACGACGCCCCCATCCCCCTGCCCAACGTTACCGGAAAGGTGCTCGACAAAGTCATTGAGTACTGCACCCACCACGTTGACGACCCACCCGCCCTCAACGACGACTACGAAGATGCTCCAAAGCGCTCCGACGACATTGCCCCCTGGGACGAGAAGTTCATTGCTGTCGACCAGGAACTCTTGTTCGAGATTCTGCTTGCCTCCAACTACATGGACATCAAGCCCCTGTTGGACCTCGGCTGCAAGACCGTTGCCAACATGATCCGGAACAAGTCCGCCGTAGAGATCCGCAAGATGTTCAACATTGTCGAGGACTTTACTGAGGAGGAGAAGGAGCAGATCCGGAAGGAGAACGAGTGGGCTCAGGACCAGTAAAATTTTCTTTTTGCATTTTTGCCTTTTTAGTGTACTTTGGGTTGGTAAAATATAATAATACCTGCTGTTTTTTTCTATGAATTTTATTTTATTTATTATTGCAAAGTTGGATATGTAACATGATGGCTGCTGTATTTTGAAAATGTTACTTGTGCATCTCTCCGAGACGCAAGTCAGGATTGGATTACTGGTCCCAGGTTCAGGATTGTTAAATAAACGTCTATTCGTCACACACAAACGTCAACGTAGCGCCAAAACCCCCCTTTTTTGCAAGCCAGTAAATCTACTGTTAAATTTTTTTTTTGTATTTTGACCTCACATGAAAAAAGGTGAAAATATTTTTTTTTTCTCATTCATCGATCGACCTCTTCAGCGCTCAAGCTTGGCTTTTTTTTTGTTCTCCCCAACTGGCAAATTAATTCATTCCCTTTGTTCAATTCGTTTAAATTTTAATCCACAATATGGCAACCCGACGTTTTGCGAGACTTTTGTCGCCAGCGCAGCCATGTCTGACAACCGCGCACACGCTGCTGCAGCCGTCGCACCATCGACAGCCAAGAGGGAATCAAAAACATCTCATCAGCCGAACGCTAGCGACAACAACCTCCGAGCCACAATCAAGCAGCACACCCCAAGGCCATTTGCTCGGGAAAATCCGGCCCAGCACGCTAAGCGCCCACGAGGTCTTCGCACCTCTCACAAAGGGGCGACCGGTGTTTAGAATCCGCCAGCCTATTGAGATAATCCGCGAGCCAGGGGATTTCTACCAAGAGCTTTTGCGCGGAATACAGCGTGCCAAGCGGCGGATCTACCTGAGCAGTTTGTATATTGGCAGCGAAGAGACCGAACTCATTGGGCATTTGGACCAGGCTCTGGCGCATAACAGCTCGCTACAAGTGCATATCCTTTTGGATTGCTTGCGGGGCACGAGGACAAATAAAAGCAGAGAGAGTTCGGCGACATTGGTGGCACCGTTGGTGCAAAAGTACGGGGAGGACCGCGTGCATGTGTCCATGTACCATACGCCGGCGCTTAATGGGCTGAGCAAGAGGGCGTGGCCGCAGAGATATAATGAGACCTTTGGCCTGCAGCATATTAAACTATACTTATTCGACGACGAGACTATTATTAGCGGGGCGAATTTGAGTCGGGATTACTTTACGAACAGGCAGGATCGGTATATGAAGGTAGATGACCGGGCGATGGCGGACTACTTTGTCGAACTGGTTGAGGCCATCGGGTCGTTTTCGTTCAGGCTGCGGGGGGTTGCCCAGGGGCAGAGTGGGTTTGGGCTGGAGATGGCCGGCGGGTTCCCTGACCCGTCGCAGGAGCCGCACGAGTTTGTGCGCCGGGCGAACGACATCATGGCGCAGTTTCTTCTCCGAGCTGAAACCCAGCACACGCTGGCATCCATGCCAGAGCCCACAGAGACTCTGGCGATTCCTACGGTGCAAATGAGCCAGCTCGGAATCACCCAGGATGAGTCGCACATGGACGAGTTTTTCCAAATCACCAGCTCCTATGCTCGCCGCCATGGGTGCCGCAACCTCATGGCATCAGCGTACTTTAATTTTTCAGACTTCCACAAGGAGCACGTGCTTTCGAGCCACAGCCGCTGGGACCTCCTTGTGGCATCGCCCGAGGCCAACGGGTTTTACGCAGCCAAGGGTATTTCAAAGTACATTCCGGATATGTACAGTATCATAGAGTATCAGTTCTTAAAGGCTGCTAGGAGACGCGCCAGGGGAGATATAGCTGTGGAGGAGTATGTGAGGCCTGGGTGGACGTACCATGGGAAAGGTGTTTGGTGCTATTTGGATGAGAAGTTGCCGCAGTTGACTATGATTGGATCGCCGAACTACGGGTATAGGTCGGTTTATTGTGATTTGGAAGCGCAGGTGACTTTGATCCCTGGGTCCGGCGCTGGACTGCAGACGGATATTCATCAGGAAGCGCTGTACTTGCTGTCGCATTCAAAGATGGTCGATGAAAATGAGCTGAAGCAGCGTATACGCGGGTCGCCAGTGTGGCTTTATGGGCTGAAGCCTTTTATTTTAAAGAAAATGTAGGAAGTTATCTTCAAAAATGTTTAGTATTTATTCAGTTTTTTCTTCCCGGAATCTGGCTTTTCACTTCCGCAGTCTCATTTTGATCGAGCTGGCTGGTATTTCTGGGTTTGTTGGGTTTTCTGGTTTAATCGGCTTGGCCGGTTTGACTGGCAAAACATCTACCTTGGCCTTGCGCTTGGACGCCGCAAGTTCCTTCTTCACCGCTGCAGCAGACGACTCTGCAGTATCCAAGTCGCCCGAAAACAGCATTCCCTGAGCCCACCCGGCAAACGGGCCAAACAGGGCAATAATCAGCTGCTGCGCAGCCTCATAAGCCTTTGTGCTCGGCGCCTTCTGCCCCGTCACCAACTGCTTCGCCAACTCACGCACCAGCTCAACTTTATCCTCCGGCGGCACCAACCGCCGCGATTGCTCCGCTCCAATTCCATCCTGCACGTTGGCAATCCGCGGCACGTATCTGCGCAAAGCAACCTGCCAAATATGCGTATCAACAGGTACGGCGCCGGGTTTATCCAGGGCCATTAGGCAAACACAGTCGGCAACCTTGGGCCCCACCCCGCTTAGCTGCAGTAGTGCCTTGCGTGCCTCCTCCAATGATTTGTCTCTTAACCCAAGCAAGAATATCTCCGGGCACTCATGTGAGTCACAGAGTAAGGCCACGGTTTTGGCGTAGTATTTGGCACGATACCCGAACCCGAGCTCCTTCAAAGTGCCCTCGATATCCACACACCGAGCGATATCTTTGACCTCTGGGAATGTGTAAAAAATGCCCTTATTGGTCTCAATCGGCGTACCGAAACGCGCGCAGAATTTGTTCACAAGCATGGTGATCCGCTTAATGTTATTATTTGACGAAGCGATGAAGGCAAAAAGGGTTTCCACAACGGGTTGCCGCAGGGTGCGGACGCCCTCCTGGGCTTTGCGCAATTTGGCGAAATCCGGGTCCACAATGGTCCATGTGTCGCAGAGGGTTTCCAGGCTGATGTGGAGCTGGAGGTAGTCTCGAAGAGATGATTCAACATGGGAGTGGTCGGTAGGGGCGGTTTTGAGGTGGCCGAGGGTGCGGAAGAGGATTGTGGTTGGGGTTTGCTTGAGATCTATGGCGTGGCCGAAGAGCGCGCAGGTCCATTCGCTGGGCCCGGTTGATTGCCAACGAAAGGCTTGGCCACATGTTAGCGTGGGGTCTAGCCGCAGCTCACTGGGCTTGATCTTTAAATCGGTCCAAGCAGGCATTGGAAATGGAGGGGGAGGAAGGATATGGAAAGGTGTAAAATAATGAACAATAATATGTAGATATTTTGAGATATTGGAAAAGTTATTTGACTGCGGCAAATAAAAAAGATTGAATTTTTTTCTCAAGAACTACAGGCGATTTTCCGTTTAAAACAATACGAATTATGGACTGCTTGAATATTTTGGGTGTGCATCGACTATCACTTTTTACCTGTAAAAAACAAGTGGTTTCTTGCTTTAAACGGTTATTTGTTTCATTTAAAAAACATTTGCGATTGTTAGAAATTGATCTGTTTTAGCTGCCAAATAAATGTTTTTGTTGGTAAAAAAAACTATTAGCCGAGCACATCAACCCATTCCACAAAATGTTTACTTTTAAATATATATTATCCCAAGCTCTAGACATTATATGACACTGACACTGCCATTGCTGACACTGTTGCTAGACCGATCAAACTCACGTATTGGACGAATGGAGAATAGCCCATATTATGCGGTCCAAATGTTTACAAAATGGATCAACCTGTTCAAGAACCCCCCCCCTTATTATCAAAAGTTTTGTTTCGCATAACCAACTAAAAAAATATATAATATACATATTCATTTTATATTTCAATGATGGGCATTCACGAAAGGTAGATACTAGCGGAATAACACTCCCGAGCGGGTTCGATTCGTTGGACAAGTATGCGAGCGAGCTGGACAATGCCTACCAGCAGTACGGGTATCTCGCCAGGATGCACATTGTGGACTTTTTTGTCTCCGACCATTGGAGCAGCCTGCCACAAGAATGGCAAGAGTACTTTGATGCCGACGATTTTGAAATTGCCAGCCTGATCAATATGGCATCAACGGGCACCCTGAAAGCCACATGCCCTGATTTCCTACGTACCTATGTCAACAAATGTTCGCTCTGCAATTCCCCCGCGAAAAAGTCGACCTGCATTCCAAATCAAGCCAAACCGAGGAAGAGAAGCAGCAGATTCTAAAGTACTTTCTTGAAGGAATGAGCCCCAAGAAGCAAGCCGAGGTGACTGAGCTTTCCCAACTCATTAACGATGTGGCCAAGGCATCGAGCTGCCAGCGGATTACAGATGTTGGTGCTGGGCAAGGATACTTGACGCGCGTTCTGGCCTATGCGAGCGGCAACAGCGGGGCGGAGCTGTTGGCGCTGGACCACGATTGGAAACAAGCACGTGGTGCAGAAAAATACCAAGAGCGCATACTCAAACGACTCAAGGGACCCCGTGCTCGCGCCGATGGGTATCAGTGGGACGATACCCTGGCGAAACGAATTGTGCACGACGTGCAGGCCATTGATATGCAAAGCACGGTGCTCTGGAGGCCGTCGCAAAGGGCGGTATCCCAGGCAGCAACTATATGGTGTGCGGCTTGCACGCGTGCGGTGATCTATCGAGCGCGGTGCTAAAGACGTTTGCGGAGAGCGATTTGGCTGCTGTGGTTTTGGTGCCATGCTGCTATAACCATATTACCGAGAACTCGATGTGCACGGCGCGGTGTCTGGTAAACAACTTAATCAGTCGAGCATTGCGCGCAGCCTGGATTCCCATTGTCGACGAAGTTTCCTAATGTTGTCTTTGGCACTAATGCGCTAAAGGCAGCATGCCAAGCTGCTCCGCGCTGGGAGCATGATTTTGAGGGGACTATGGAGGCGTTCAAGCGCAACTATTTCCGCGCCATGTTGCACGTAAGTTTTAAAATTATAGTGCTGATGTTGTTACTTTGCACCGTTTTTTCTTATTAACAAAGGCTAACTCTGTTGGCATTTATTGCCATTTAACCACTTTTATGCTCTCGTTTATTTATAGTATCTCATGGTATCGATCGGAGGCCTGTCAACAGACGACAAGTTCCCAGTTATCGGCAGCATAACCAACACACTCATGGAGAATGCCCGACAGCGCATAGTAGGCCGCCTTGACGACAATGCTGTCGATGCCACCGATGACAACATTGAGTTTGCAGTGTATGTGGAAGCAGCGCTCGAGAACATCAACTACACGTGGCGCCCGACAATCGCACAATGTATCGATTGCTGCAGCCAAATAAGACATGGGCTGAAGCGGATGGCCGCCGTGTGGGCGCTTCGGTCGATGATCGGCGCGCTCATCGAGAGCATATTGGTGGTTGACCGCGCTGCTTATCTCGGTGAGAACTGTGGTGCTGGCGGCAGCGTGCGTGCGTTTGCGTTGTTTGATCCTGTTACGTCGCCACGCAATGTTGTTTTTGTTGCTCAGCGCAAGAAATAATTGGGATGTGGGGTGTGGTTTTTTTTGTTGGTTCCGCGATACGTATAACCCGAGATTTGTTTGACATGTAGAAAAGTGGTGACAGCAGAAGAGGGTGGGGAGGAGGGAGGGGGGCAAGCCATTTTTTTCACATGATGTTGGGGGAGGAGGGATAATGCCAACGACGAATTTACAATTATATTTGACAGCTGTATTAACAAAAAAAAACATAAAAATTCAGGTGGAGATGACACTACACTGTTTACTTTCTCATGGCCTATCCACGCTTGTCTAATTTAGCCATTGATTTATCCGAATCGCTGTGAGCTTTAGAAGTTGGCATTCACTGTGCACAAGTTGTGTATGATATGATATCACTCTTAAAGTCATTGTGACACACAAAAGCAAGCAAGGGTCTAAGAAAAAATCCAATGATTGATCACCATCGCTCAAAAGCTTTACATTCAGTATTTTCAAAAAACGCAAACCCCAAAACCCCCAAAAAAAAACTCGCATTGTCGAATATCAAAAAGATCAAGTTATTGTTCCCTCCTCCAATATTCGCTGCAACTACCAACTTGTTAATTGGTAATAAAAAAGAGTACTTTTTTGCATTATATTTTTAGCTCTTCCCTGTTTTAAAGTGCGCGAGTTCTTTGGCAAAAAACAATGTCGTATTGATGCATGTGCGCATGTACTGAAATATTAACATCGAAAAATACAAAGCAGTTCATTAAAATTGGGGGTGGAGGGGAGGGGTGCATTGCATTATGTTCAATAAAAGTTGCTATCGAAAGTTGTATTTCTCTTTTTTTCTTATGCTTCTGCTGAATGGCTGACCTTGTCTGCTCGTCTTTCATCTCTGCTTTTTTTAAACATTTTTTATTCATTATTAATTTTTATATTTTTATTATTTGACTGTATTATTAACCAGCTGTATATTTTTTAGATAATCTCTTTTGCTTTTAATCTCTTCGTGACCGCCACTGCATCCTTTGATTTCCGCAGGCTTTTCGGCCATTTTTTAATTACAAATACAACGTGCTTTAGGCTCTGATACATTGACCGACGCGCACACACAAAAAAAAAACAGAAACTCGGCCGATTAAAAATACAGATTATTTATTATTTGTTCTCAGAAGTCTGCCGTAATTTTTTTATAAAGATCCGAAAGAGCCGGCTGCTATCTTTAGTTTATATCCAGTAGCCTCGCACGCGTAGACTAGCATTTACACACCTCTATTTGAAGCACGGGCACGTCTTTTTATTATTTTTTCATTCAAACTTCCCCTATAAATAGCGCGAATGCAAACCACGCACTGCGGAGTATAAAACAGCACCTCGGTAACAGTGAGGCTTCTTCTGGAAACAACATTTCCTTTTTTGTTCTTTTGGCAGTTTTATTTCTGCTCCCGCTCGCTGAATACTACTAGTTTCAGTGCCAGTCTCAGTGTCGGTTGCAGTTGCAGTTGTGGTTGCAGTTGTTTTTATTTCGTCACAGCAGCTGATCGCAGAAAAAATTTTCTTCAGAAAAACAATATTACTATACGCACAAAAAAAGGTATGTTTCGGCACCAGCTGCATTCCCAATGCACGCGCACATTGTCATCATATTCATTTTCATTTCCATTGACACGAAAAAAACTTGAAAAATAGCGCAATATATGCAACGCTTAATTTTGCGCTTCCAATTTGCAACAGCTCTTGCACTTTGCTTTACATGTCAACATTAACACGACATGCTGCAAAGACGAAAAGAAACTAAATCATCGCACTTTGTCCGACTGTCAAATGCAAGTCAACGTTTTTTTTTGGGAAATTTTGATCGCATGTTGCGCTCTAATTTTTCTATTTAGTATTCCCCCTTCCATTTTCCAATATTTTTTTAACTTTTTATTTATATTCTCGCTATTCATCTGTCGCTAATTAATTGCTTTTTTCTTTATTGTTTGCTTTGAGCTCTGGTGTTTTCTCTCTTTCTCTCTTTTTATCTGTCTAACATTATCCTTCCTCGCTCTTCTTCACTCTCGCACTCCGCCCACCTCCTTGATCCAGCAGACCAAAGAAAACATTAAGATGAACAGCGGTTTTGCAACAGAGGAATACACGTTCAGCGGCCGCGCACCAAGCCTGGCGCCGGCCGTTGACATAACTTTTTCCAAGCCGTCAGCCACGTTTAAGGGCTCGAAAACCGGTCTCCGATTCCGAAAGCTTAAAGGTAAAGACCGACATGTCGTTTCTCCTGCTTGCTCGCATAGAGGCAGTGCGCAGATATCCCGATATACGCCCATTGTTTTGTTTCTTTTTTGCTCCGCCAAAAAGCGGGACCGTTCCTCTCCTCCCCGGTCCACAGCCTAATTAAAAATTAGGTTCACAAATAATGGTCTGCTACTGTACTTTTCTGCCCTTGTTTCCCTCCCCCTGTTTGTGGCGGCAGTGGCAGTGGCAGTGGCTGTTGCTGTGGTGGTGATATTGCTAATGCTGGCCCAATTCTCTTTTCCAGGCATGGCGAGAAAAATTTTTCTCTCTCCCACCTCTCCTCTCTGCTGCCGCCCTATCTTTCCTTTTTGTTTGCCGTGACGCATCTGAAACACCAACAGCAGGCAAAACGAACACACAAAAAACAGGTGTCACCAAACGGAAGCGATGGCGGATCATCTGTGTTCAGGGCGAGCCATTGAGGGTTTTTTTGGCCCATTGCCCCCCCCCTTTTTGATGTGCAGTCCCCGCCAAGTCGAGTTCTCTTTCGTGCTCTAGCAGTCAATCTCCAAAGAGTACGGAAATTCAAGTTGCGTCAATGTCGAGACCTGCGCAACCAGTTTTGCTCCCGACAACGCAAAGCAGAGACCCTATTCCCAATCCCAATTCGAATTCCAATCCCACGCTCCCCTGCCTCTCAACCATATCGTTGCTTGCCACTATCATCAGAAAGTTGATTCTGCTCTTTGTCCCCTTCTCCCGCATGTATGTCTGTTTGTTCTCGCTACGCACTGCGCGCATGGTTGTGCATGGCACCGTCTGTCTATACCGCATATTTCTGCGAGCAAGCTTGCTGCACTTGCGTAATCGTCATTACCTCTGAAAGGGGGGTCGCTGATATCCACAGGAGGGATGGTAATGTCTTGCCCGGCATGCATTTTGCAGCACTGCTCGATTTTGCTGGCATTGTGGTGTGGATAATAGAGTATGGAAATGTATGTGCAGTTCTAGCATTGAGGAAAAAAAAAAGAGCAAGGGAAGAGGTTATCTTGCCACAGAGCGCCATTTTTTAGTCTCCGACCTTTGTTTACTCGTCCCCCCTCCTTGTCGCTGCGCGCCTTGTTGCTGTCTCGGCGCTAACTTTGGGAGCAAATAAAACGTATTGGCAGCGCGCTGTAACCGCAACTTCAGCTTAGCACTTTTTTGTTTGCACTTTCCGCTCCTCACCGGTTTTTTTGTTTGGCTGTTGGGCGTGCGTGCGGCTCGCTCAATGGTCCGTTTTTAGTATAGCAAAGCAAAGCAAAATTTCAAGCAGCGCACGCATGAAAGCAAAAGCAAAAGCAAAAGCAAAAAAAAGCTGGGATCTTGAATTCTGATGTTGACGAAATATTGACCAATATTGGGTTGTTGCTCCTTTTTTCTCATCTAATTTATTGCGCTTCCGTGTCGGTCCTTGGCGGATCTACCTCTTTCGAGAGCAGCTAGTTCCAATTTCCAAACCTGATGTCGTTTTTTTTTGCTCAACAAAATTGGCCTACTATTACGCTTTCCTGTCGCTTCTTGCTAATTTTGTTTTGCAGCGCTCATTTTTGACCGATTGCAAATCCCGCGCCCGAATTCGCAGCCAGAATTTTTTCCATCGCTTAGCCCTTTTGTTGTTGTTTTCGTTTTGTTCTTTCTTTGTTTCTCTGCTTGCTCTGTGTTGGCCTGCCATAGTGTTTGTTATTGTGTGGCGGGCATTTCGCCTTTCTGACCGCCTTTCTGGCGCTCCATCCTCTGTTGCCTCCTTTTTTATTAGCGGGCAGGAGGAAGCAGCCTCATTTTTATTTATTTTTCTTAATATCGCAAGCGGCATTTTTGTCCCTTGTTCTTGTTTCGCGCCTTTCTTTGCCTTTGTCCGATTAGCAAACATCCCAATTGCCCAAAAAGCGCACGCTTTAATTGCTGCAAAGTGAAGCTTGATGCCAGCTCGAAAATTTTGTATTTTGTATTTTGTATTTTCTACTTCTTTCATGCTTTAATTTAGCTCTTATTTTTTTCTTCAACCAGTCGTTTTCGTTTCTGATTAGAGAGACGAAAACAAAAAATATCATCTTTTTCTTCTCCACACCACTATACTCTTTATTTCCACCCTGTAATCCAAACTTGCTCGCCCAGCTTACTGATACATTTTTTTGCTCTTCTATTTTTCTGCTTTACACATTATTCTCTTCCTATTCGCTCTCCTCTTGCCCTGTCCTGTCGCTCTTGGTCTCCGTATCTCTCTGTCTTGGTTCGCGAACAACGTCACGCCCAACCAACACCCCTTACCACGCCCATATATACATATACACACACCCCATCCCCATTTTGCATGCCGTGCAACTGGCTTGTAGAGCGGGGTCAGGCACTCTTGTCGCGCTCGAACAGCACCAGCAGCCGCAAGGCTGCGCGCCCGAACAGGATACTGTCGTCGCAAAACGACTCTGGCGCCACCGCACTGCCGTCGCATGATGATGCCGTGGAGTCGCGGTCGACCGCCATCCGCTCAAACTCTATCGCAGTCAACCCCAATAAGGGAGCGACCGATTTCCGCGTGCGTAGTATGAGGAATGCAGCCGCTAGCGCCAGCGTTGCCAATGCTAACGGCGCAGCGCCCTCGTCGAACAGCAACTCGCCGCTCGGCCGCCGCCAGTCGGTGGACGAGGCCATGAACGCAGCGTCACTGTCCATCCCGTCGCGCCGCACGTCCAAGCTTGTGCGCAATCCACGCAACATCCGTCACACACGCCACAACACCAACAGTCTTTTCACGCAGAGCATGGATATTGACCGGGCGCAAATCCCCGACGCCCACTCGCAGCGGCGGCAGTCAGGCCTTTTCAGGCAGCTCTTTGCCTGCTGCACGCCTGTATCGCTGTTCAGGCGCAGCACGTCCTATGGAAGCGTGCGGAACGAATCTCAGCAGCAGGAACACAGCTCGTCGTCGCAGTACGAGCACCAGCACCAGCAGCAGAGCTCCGTTGTCGACGAGGACTATGCCCGCGACCACATGGAGCACGGTCATCTCCAGAGGCCCGGTGCCTTGAGCCACAGCCGCCTAAGTGCCACCAATACGGCCGTTGGTGCCGAGTCACAGGATGGTCACTCAGTCGTGCACTCAAAGATGTCTACTACGCCCGAGTATGCGGCGAGAGCCACCGGTGGCGGTGCTGTTGCTGCGGATGAGGCTGGCGAGAGCGACTGGCTTATGTCCCGCCCCGACGCCGAGGTGCCGAGTGCGTTCCCCAGGCCAGTTGCTTATGCGGCCAGCCATGAGGACTACTCCAGCCCCGGCTCTGGCTTCGGCGGTGTTGCGCCCCGCCACAACTCGGCCGTGGCGGTTGGCAATGGTGCGTCTGCCGATATGCATGATGCCGCCTCGCAGCCATTGGCCGTGGCGCAGACCAGCGACCTCGGCGCGTACAACACTACATATTCGGACCTTGACACTGAGGCAGGCGTGAGCTCACTCGGCAACTCTGCCTACCGCACAGCACCAACGTCAGTCGGCGGATACACCAGCTCGTCTGCTGGTGGCCTGCGCGACAATATTGCATCTGCAAACGACAGGAACTCGTACCACGTCAGCTACCCAGTCGATGTCGAGCTTGGCCATGGTGTGCCCAGCGAGACGCCGGCAAACACATTCACCAAGTTGTATCTTGATGACGAGGCCTACGAGCACGTGCCGCGGAAGATCACACTGGAGACCAGTTCGGCGGATCCCGAGAGCATTGCCGACGATGACTACGAAACTGATGACGATAATGAGCTGCGCGCCGAGATTACGTCGCCTCCGGGCAACGTCGCCACCGTGTCTTCCGAGCGTCTGGTCACGCACGTAGTTAGCCAGCACTTGCTGCCTCCGCTTGCATTCGAGCTTTCAGGTAGGAAGTGCTTGGTTCTTGATCTCGACGAGACGCTTGTGCACAGCTCTTTCCGTGAAGTTGAGCACCCTGATTTCATTGTGCCTGTTGTTCTTGACGGACAGGAGCACAGCGTTTATGTGGTCAAGCGTCCTGGTGTCGATGAGTTTATGCGCGTGATGGGCCAGTACTACGAGATTGTCGTGTTCACCGCCTCGCTGTCAATGGTAAGTTTTCAATGTGCCTTTTCATGTTTTCATATTTTTTCTGCATGCCCAGCAACTAGGGGATCCACTTGTTTGTTGCCCGGCATATTAACAATGTCTATTTTCCCTCTTCTTTGGGTTACTGCGATATAACTGCACTATACCGGAAGCGCATCAAGCCCCTCTTGCACTTGTTTTCTTTTCTGCTTATTCGCTTGTTTGTATGTGCTAGGATCCCAAGTAGTGGCACCTTTTGTTGTTTTTCTTGTTGTTCTTCCTGTGACTCTCCTTCTGTGAGCTTTATTTATGAGTTTGAATCGCTCTGCCATTTTTCACAGAAGCAAACCTGCATCGACAGCCATATTATTCTTGACCACGCACAAAGCACCTGAACTAACAATACCGCAAATGAGCCACTCGCCATAATGTTTTTTTGCAACATCTTTTATTTTATTGTAGTACGCTGACCCAGTACTGGACCTGCTTGACAAATATAGCGTGGTACACCACAGGCTGTTCCGCGAGTCATGCAACCTGTTCAACGGAAACTACGTCAAGGATCTGTCGCGGTTAGGGCGCAACATCGCTGACTCGATCATCATTGACAACTCACCGGCGAGCTATGCGTTCCATAACAACAATGCCATTGGCATCAGCACATGGTTGAACGATCCAATGGACACTGAACTGCGCGATTTGATCCCGTTCTTGATTGATTTGACAGAGGTCGATGACGTCGCAGCGGTCCTGAGTCTGACGCACAACCATGCCTCGTTTGGAATGGAGTAACTATCCCTCCCTTTCTTCTCCCTATGTGGGGAGTGGTAGAGTAGGGGGAAGGGTATGGCTCCCTGGTGCTTTTTGAGGTATCTTGGTGCTCAGGGCTGGCTGGCCAGCATCTACTTTCAATGGAGAGAGGGTCCGTTTTTCTTCTTTTTCCGATGGGGGTTGGCGGCGAATGTAGAAACTGCAAAAAAACATGTTACAACCGTATGCGCATTGGCTCCCCTTACACACACACATATTCACCTTTCTTGCACAACACCATTCAATTACTACACCCGCTAATATTCACTAAAGCATCACCATGCCAAGCGAAGCAACATTCTAATACACACGCACACATATACTTTTCGCACCAACATATATCAGCTTATCCCCTCCTATTTTCTTACCCACACCTTACCCATCCTTAACCCAGCTTTTCTTTTTTATATTCTGTTATGTGTTTTTTATTACCCCTTTTTCTTGCTTTTTTCTACACATTTTGATATGTATCACTTGTTAGATTTTTTCTCTACTTTTTTTTCCTTTCTTTACTTCAAGCTTCACCTCTTGTCCCCCACCTACCTTGCCAAACCACACCCCCCTTTCTTTTCTTTTTTTGTTACTTTTTTTAATGCATTAAAATGTTATAGACTATTGAAAATGTATTTTAGAATTTCCAGACATTTATAGCGAAAGTCCAAATTTTTAAGCGGGAGATTTTAAACCTCCGTTTTCCACGCAAAAATATATCGTCAGAGTCGGCTGAGGCTGAGTCCACAGCGATGCTCAAGCCTAAGCACAACCACAAGCCCAAGCGTGTGCGCAATAACCCATCTTCCCTGCTTCTTCTCTTGAAAAGAAGCAGCGAACTGGATAATATCGTCAACTATAGTGGTCTATTGCCACTAGTTTCTAAATATTTATCTGGGGGAAGGATGTCGGTTTATAGTATATTTGTAGCCCCATTATTTTCTTATATAGTGTAGACATGTGTTGTTAAAAACTATCAACAAAATAAACAGGGAATGTAAAGAAAACAACATATTTAAATGTTGAATATTGATGTGTTCAAATATTAAAAAAATATTTAAAAAAAATCACAACAACGACTTTGCAAAGGATGACATCTTATTGCTGTTGTTATTTGACTCCTTTTTCTTTGTGGCCTCTGTCCAAAAACGAATATGTTCCGAAACATCAACACCCGACAAACCACCACCAGTACTATCCACCGCACGCAAATCATCCACAACTGACAATACCGGTGTCTGCTTTAAAGTGCGCATCAAGTCCAAAACACTCGCAGCCAAACGAACATACATAGCGCTATTTTCCGAGTCATTCTGTGCCTGCGATACCAGAAACCTTAACGCAGTCATGTTGAACTCGAGTGTTGCGTGATTCAGCAGGTGCGGCGAGCGATCAGTGGAAGTACGCCATGCAGTGAATATGCGGAGTCCGGAGTTACAGCTTTTGGGATTTTCGAGTGTCAATAATTGACAGAGATTGAGTGTTTCTGTCAGCAAAATGTACAGTGGCGAGGCCAGTTCGTCTTCCGATACCGACGACGGCTGTCGGCTGTTGGCAGAGGCGGGGGTGGTGGTGGTAGCTGCAGGGGTGGTGATGGTAGCTGCAGCGATACTGCAGCCCAAGGATGCCCATGATTCAGCAGCGTCCAGCATTGTATTATCCAGATACAGTGATTTGGTTCCGTGGGATGACACAATATCGTGAATCGCAGCAGCCAGACATTGCACTGAGGCAGTTGGGCTGAGGATACCGGCCCAATACCACCTGCTAACAAAAGCATGTACCCCGCTTGCTGACTCCATACGTGTCAACAAGGCGATATACTGGGTAACACAGGATACAATAGGCAATGTGGATTCATTGGTCAACCCGCTACGAGGTGCCCAACCAACTTTCGCCAGTGATCTGTCACCCTTGATACCAAGGATATGTATCAAATACGGGTCGTCGCGGCGGTGCCGTTCCTCGAGCCAGTCGATGAGATTTTGTGACTTTTCTAGACGACTTTTCAGCGACGCGCCAAACAGGGGGGTTGTTGCGGCAGCGAATGCCGAGCGACAGAGTGATGCGGATATGGGCATGTCTTGGATATCTATGAGCTTGTTAAGCGCACCAAGGATGCTCTCATTGGCCATAGTGCGTTCCGATGGAAGGCGCAGTAGGTGGCCGATGCATGCGCCAAAAGTCAGAATGGTGGCACTGGCCTGGCGTTTGTGCAGCTCGGCTTCGGGTAGCGTCGCTGTAGTGCCCTCAGATTCTGCCCCCGTCACCGTTGTAAACAGGGTTTCCCTACCAGAACCAAAACTAGTGCCGCGCACCAGGACCAGGTTGCCCGCAGCTGCCAAATCAAGGAACGTACAAATGGCCTTGGGATTAGCCTCGTCCGCGATAAATCTGGACATTACTATGATATCGTCCTGTGTGAGCGCCAGCGGAATGGTAGCGAAATGCGTCTTTACAAAGTCTGCAAACTCAATCACAGACTCCGAGGCCACTCGCACGGTGCCTGGTGAAATTGTCGAGTGGCTGTTTTTATGCGCAAATATATGAGTGATATTGCGCAGCCACTGGACCACTAGTCGCTGGCGCAGGTCGTGTTGGCTGATCAATGAGGGTTCGACGACAGCGTAGCGCCGGGCAAACTTGCTCCATGACAGGGCCAGGCGGAGTTTCCAAGAAAGCCGTAGTCTTTGTGATTTGTGAGCAGAAGAGGAGGAAGCTGCCGAGATAACCTCGTTGATCTCCATCATGGCCTCATCCGAAGGCGAAGCGGGGAATGCACGGCGCAGGATGCGGCGGGCCTCGGAGTCGATTTCCTCCGAAAGTGGCTCAGCATTAATATCGTCCACGGGTTTTCCGGGCGAATCAGACATACTGGAGAGCAACGGGGTAGTTAAGGAACCCATTATGGAATGCCGAAGCACCAGGCGTACACACGCGGCGGCCGCCAGCAATGCCGCGGCGGAAGCCAGGATCTTAGGCACTAAAGGAAGGCCGGCCAAAACAACACTGTTGCCGATCCACGCCCACTTGGCTACCAGAACACCCATTGCTGTATATGACCCGTACTCGAGCACCTTGATCAACCGCCGTGTGCGTCTCTCCCTGCGCACGGCGTCCTCGACAATCCCTGTGACTGTGTGGAAATCCAATCGGCGCAAAATAACATCCGCGGGATCTTCTACATCCAAAGTGGCCCTGAGCAGGGGTGTGTTCTTAGCAACCCTGTCACCGTTGAACCGCAACAGGGCCAGCTGCTGTGCAGCATATGCGTGCATGGAGGGCCGCCTCCACTGCGTGGAAATCCTCGAAAAGGCGCGTTGAGTGATATCGGGTCGGCCCAAAGTAGCATAGAGCTCGAGATATTTGACAAACAAGGCAGGGTTAAAGCTAGTTTTGTTGCGCTGTAGAATATGATGGGCAAGGTGGTCGGCGATATGACAGATACGGCGGATATCTTGGGTTTCAGAGACTGTGCCGCTGGCTACCCATTGGCAGCATTGGGTCATTATTTGGGTTCCTTGCTGCTCCTGTGCCGATGTGGTCCAGGTTTCGGTGCTTAGCTTAGTGGCTTGGTCGATGAGTGTGTCTATTTGCTTTTGGATGCTCGGTTTGGGAGTTGCCGGAGAGTGGAAATGCTGGTGAGTTTTGTGCTGATGCTGATGCTGCTGTTGCCATCGAGCTGGACGTAGGGCGAGGTTGGTGAGGGATTTGGGCGTGGTCAGCAGAAGCAGGCTGCGTGTGCGGGGATTCAAAAACAGCAGCTGCGACATTTGAAGAGTTGAATTAAATAAAATAAAATAATAAAAGTGAAGGACAGAAAAGCAAGAAAAAATGAATACTGTAAGGATACAACACGACTGATTTGATCCGATCAGCATTCAAGCCTGGGACCAGGGTTTCAATTTTTCTATTAATGGTGCTGCGCACACATCCGCTGCGATATGTAAAAAAATTAAACGAATTGCAATTTTTTTCTCTCACAAAACCATTTTTTTTAAATATTTATTATTCGAATTTCATTCATCAAAATGTACGCGAAAATAGAGCGGTTACTGTCGCAGGTCGAAAGCGAAAGCGGCCATGGCATACTAGGCAAGAAGCGCACACCAAGTGCATTCCGCAGCCCAAACATAACCACTGGCATACCACCCCTAGACGACGCACTCAAGGAGCACACAGCCAACATCACACAGGAGGAGCAACATCCACGGCCACCATTATTTGAGCTTCTAGGAGCATCAGGCAGCGGCAAAACACAAATGCTCTACCGAATCTGCGTATCCACCGCAATGCCACGGTCAGCCAAGCTTTCCAACGGCACGACTGTTGATCTACAGGGCCATTCGGCGCACGTTCTTCTGGTGGACATTGACGGCAAAATGTCAATGGATATCCTGGCGCATCAAATACGCGAACGCGCACGGGAATTAATAGAAAAAAACAAGGGGCTGGAATTCAACAATAGTGAGGAGGAAGAGGAGGAGCGGGTGGTGGAAGAGGCTCTAGGCCGTATTCGCGTTTTCACACCCGAGTCGACACACTCCCTGGTGGCCACACTAGCGCTGCTCCCGCGGTACGCGCAGGATATAGATGCCCCTTTGGTGCTTCTTGTAGATGGGCTTGGGGCGAACTTTTGGCTGGATAAGCGAACGAGCGACCATATGTGGTTGAAGATCAAGCGCGCAACGCCGTGGTTTAGACTCCAACAGGTGATGGTGGATACGCTACAGCAGGTACATCTTGCCCTGGGGTGTCTCTGTGTGGTAACCAGTGGGTTGTTTTTGAGGAGCACTGAGGGGTCGGGGTTGGTTAGGATGGCGTCACAAGAATCCGCATCTTCGGCGAGTCAGGGGAGCCAGCAGGCTGCTGGTGGCGGTGGGCAGCAGGGTGCAAGGAGCATTGAGGTTGGACAATGTGTTTACCGCGACCATATGATTCCGAGGTGGAAAAGTGCTGTTACTGGGTCGTTTGTGCTCGAGAGTATGCCGGGAGCTGGGCACGGCGGGATGGTGGATTGTCCGGTCACGAAGATTACGCTGATGAATGTTGGTGGTCAACAGAACCAGAATCAGCAACAGGCTTTGGGTAATCCGTTGCAAAAGTATACGATGTATGTAGGGACCCGCGCGGAATGTCAGAAAAACGCGTGCTGATTGGGCCAATGTAATGGAATGAAGTGGGCCAAGCCACACTTTGATATGTAGACATGCAATTTGGGAATAGTGTAAATAATTTTTTCGTTTGTTTATTTTACAAGTGGCGGCAAATGAAGCTGGGAGTGGCTGAGGGAAAGAATAGAGTGACTGTTTATTTGTTTTTAATTATTGTATTTGGTTTGCGTGACGATAAACAGAGGATACTCTGACGTAGTGTGAGATTTTGTGAGATTGAGTGTGTCTCCCACGCAAACGGCACTGTGCACTTAATTGGGAAATTTTTTTATAAAAAAAAATTCTATCGTGGTGTTTTGACATTGAGGGATTCGCAGAACTAATTGGACCAAACGAGTTGTATTCAGTCTCGAAGTTGGTTGGTCCTAAATTTATTTTACAACAATAATGTGTTGGCGTGTATTTAGAGGACGAGGGGGTGAAGGAGATATGTTTCTTTTTTAAAAGTGATTGTCTCTCCGAACGCGATTTCAATTGTTCTATCAGTCCCAGCAGCAAGGTTTTTTGTCAAGTAGAGTGCTTACACACAAGAAAGAAAGAAAGAAAGAAAGAAAGAAAGAAAGAGAAAAGTTTGGTCTTCTCCGAGCTGAGAATTGGGCCTTTTCATTTTCTCACTGCGTCTGGTTCAGGCACTGTGTTTCCCTCAAAACCAAGTGCATTTTTTGTTGTGAAAGTAGCACAATTGATTATAGTGAGCGTACAGTACGTGTTGGTTCCTGCTCACAAAAGGTATCAAAACCACATCCTTTTTATTTTGTTTACTTCCTCTTTCTTTCTTTCTTTTGTTTATTTTATTATTTGGGTTTGCTTCTTCGTTCACTGTTCCCTTCCGTTATCTCTTTTTATTGTTTTATTGTTTCATTATTGCCCTTGCTGGCTAAGTGAGCGAGTATATATACCGCAAGTCAAGTCAAGCAACAAAATAAAAAACTAATAATGACTTCGGATTCAACCGAGCCAATCGTCGCAGCGCCTATCCCTGCTGTCGAGGCTGATCTCAAGCCCAAGCCCGCACCCGCGGTCGAGACAGAACCCAAGACCAAGTCTGTCCCCACGACGCCCATGTCCTGGACGCGCAAGGCCACACGGCCATTCTCCTCACCCTCGGTCTACGCGCCCACGCTCCCATATGAGTGCGGCGGCGCGCGCGAGTACAACAGCTACATCCTCTACGGACTCGCACTGGGAATCCCCTACCTACTCAAGCGCCTCCTCAGCCTCAGCCTCGGCAGTTATCTAGTTCTGACAGCCATCCTGGCGCTGCCGATCGGGGCATTATCTCTTGTCGCGCACTCGTGGATAGTCAGCACACCGACGGAGCAAATCTGCGCATTGCCGAATGAACCACTGGAAAAGTACATTACGATTCTGGAGAAGGAGCTCAAGGCCAAGTACCACGGCGGGAAGAAAATCCCAATGGAGGAGTTTTTCGAAAACTACTTTGACGGCAACATTGATCTTACGGGCGACGCACTGGAGATTTTCGAAAAGCGTTATGACTGGGCGTTTTTCCCAATTACACTGAATGTGGCCAAGTTCTTCTTCACACAGTGGATTCCTGAGCTGATCTGGCACTCGAAGAAGCAGGATGAGACGCAGGTGCGTGACCACTATGATCGAGGCGACGACTTTTATGCGGCGTTTTTGGGTGACCGCATGGTGTACACTTCGGGGCTAATTGGGGACGAGACACGGCGCGAAACGCTGGAGGAACTGCAGGATAACAAGATGCGCGATGTCTGCGAGCGCATCCGTATGCAGCCAGGCGACCGCCACTTGGACATTGGCTGCGGCTGGGGCACTCTGGCAGCATTCGCGGCGCGCAATTATGGCACTGAGTCTGTCGGCATCACGCTGGGCCGCAACCAAACGGCCTTTGGCAATGAGCGCGCAGAGCAGTGGGGCGTTGGCGACAGCACACGCATTCTCTGCATGGACTACCGCGATATCCCCCGGCGCCCTCGGTACAACCGCATTACGTGCCTGGAGATGGCCGAGCATGTCGGCGTGCGCAAGTTCCAGGACTTTTTGCTTCAGGTCAAGGATATGCTGGAGGACGACGGGCTTTTCTACCTGCAGATCGCTGGGCTGCGCGGCGCCTGGCAATACGAGGACTTTAGCTGGGGCCTGTTCATGGCCAAGTACATTTTCCCTGGGGCGGATGCCTCGTGCCCGCTCAACTGGGTGGTTGCCCAGCTGGAGACCGCCGGCTTCGAGGTGCGTACCGTGGAGACTGTTGGCGTGCACTACTCGGTGACCTTGGGCCGCTGGTATGAGAACTGGATGCGCAATAAGGAGCAGATCATGAAGACTTATGGCAAGCGTTGGTTCCGCGTCTGGGAGATCTTCCTGGCCTGGTCGGTTATTATTTCACGCCAGGGGTCGGCTAGCTGCTACCAGATTCTGGCCCACAAGAACCGCAACGCCTTTGACCGCACGGCGCTGATGCGTGCGCCCATGGGCGTTGAGATGCCGAGCGGATCGGTCCAATAAAAATATATATACTGTTTTTTGGAATTTGAATTGATCCGTATTTCTTTCTTTTTTGGCTGTTGAAGGGGTGTGTGTGGTCCTAGATCTTGGAAATATCCAACCCTAGAGTTTATCATCGGTCCCAAACCAACCTAACCCTAGAAGGCTATCAGCGGTCCCCCTCTTAGATCAACCTAACCCCGGGCGGGAGATAAAGAAAATCCATCGACAACAGCGGCACGTGGTTCAATTTTCACTCATTTGCTTGTTTGTTTTATCAGGCCTCGTTTTTATTATTCTCTTTAAAGACGTCGTTTTCGTTTAAAGCGTTCTCGAGACATCACTATTTCTTTCTTTCATAAGCAAAAACATTTATTTCATCTCAGCTCATCTCGTTTTATAAGTATTCAGAATGGTTATTTTCGCCAGATCCACAGCACTCAGATCCGCGGTAAGCCACCTGCGGCATATCTCCACCGGCAGTACCGCAGCGCCCGTGCCCAGTGGGCTCTCGCTTTCCTCGCTGTCGCTCAGACGTGCAGTATTCTACGTGCCATGCAGCGACGAGCGCAAAATAGCCAAATCCTACACGTCCGCGGCTGACTGCATAATGTACGATCTCGAAGACGGCGTTTCGCTCAACCGCAAGGACCAAGCGCGCTCCCTCGTCCTCCAAGCACTCTCCGAAAACCCAACCAATCTGCTGTCCAACGAGGGAACGGGCATACATAAAAAGAGAACCGAGTTGGGCGTGCGGATTAACAGCGTGGGGTCGGGGTTGGAGCAGCGCGACTTGGAGGTGGTCCTGGAGTCGCCGTACCTCGACACCATCATGGTGCCCAAGGTTGAGCGTCCGGAGGATCTCCGGGCGTATCGGAGATGATCCAGAGGTCAGGGCGCAGCGTTAGCATTATTGCCGGAATCGAAACGGCGCTGGGACTGTTGAACATTCGCGAAATCGCCCAGGCATCTGAGCACACGGATGCGCTGCTGTTTGCTGCCGAGGATTACTGCGCAGATACTGGCATTCTGCGCACGCCTGGCCGCAGAGAACTGTACTATGCGCGGTCGGTGGTGGCGACCACTGCCCATGCGTTTAGGCTGCAGGCGATCGACATGGTGACGATGGATTTCCGCAGCCCACAGGTGCTGGCGAGGAGAGCAGGGAGGGTGCCGAGATGGGGTTCACTGGGAAACAGGTTATTCACCCGGCGCAGGTTGATGAGGTGCAGAGAATGTTTGCGCCGCCGGCGGAGGCTGTTCGCCGCGCGGCAAGGATTGTCGAAGGGTACCGGGTCAACTACGAGGCTGGCCGTGGCGCGTTTGACCTGGACGGCAAGGCGATTGATATGCCGGTGGTCAAGTGGGCGTACCGCGTGCTGCGCCAGGCCGAACTGGCCGGGATGACGGTCGAGTGAAAGGAATAGAGAAGCACGTGCCGTCTTTTTGTTGTTAAATTCATTTTTCTTTGCTTGGCACATGCTATTTGTTTGCTTTGGGTTTCGGCCCCTGTAAATGGAAGCAAAGGCAAGCCAGGCACATGCATTCATATGTCGCGGGCACATGAAAGCACAAAAGGGCCTCTGCCGCTTGTGATTATGTTTTGTGCTTGTGCTTTTTGGCTCACACGGATATGCGCTATCAAGCATGTGTGAATGAATGCGCAGTCCCATGTCGTTCTCGTTCGGATCCTGAGTATATTCAGTGTGGGGGGAGAAATATCCGCAAAATCTCGTTCTTCTCTTCTTTAACCTTTTCTTCTGTTCTTTAATCTTTATAACAATACGAATACTATTTCACATGCTGCGCATATCTTCCCCGCGTGCAGCCACGGCCAGCACCCTCGTACGCCACCACTCTACCACCACTGCCACTGGCGCAATGTTCGCCAAGCAGGGCTCGCTCCCGCGGCTGCCGATTCCCAGCCTCAAGGACACAGCCACGCGGTACCTCAGGTCCCTTGAGCCGCTGCTCAGCCGCTCAGAGCACGCGCAGTCAACCAAAGCAGCGTCAGCATTTATTGGCACCGGCGGACTAGGGCCGGTGCTCCAGCAGCGGCTGCGGGAGGTGGACCGGCAGGCGGAGCACAGTTGGCTGGAGGACATCTGGGTGAAGAAGGCATACCTCGAGTGGCGCGGGCCCAGCTATATCAATGTCAACTGGTTTGCACAGCTCGGCGACAACCCCGACTATGCGGCGCCTGCACACGTGGAGCGCGGCCAAGTAACAGGTGTGCAGATCCAGCGCGCAGCGCGCGTCGTCACGCACATGCTGGAGCTCAACGAGATGATCAACGCGCGCAGCGTACCGGTCGATTCACTGCGCGGGGAGCCGCTGTGCATGGCGCAGTTCATGTGGCAATTCGGCACTACGCGGGTGCCGCGTCCGGGCTGCGACCAGCTGGTGCACCAGTTCCCGGCGACAGCGCGCCATATTCTGGTGATGTACCGCACGCAGGCCGTCGAGGTGCCGGTGTACAATGCTAGCGGCCAGCGCGCTAGCCTGGCGCAGATCACTGCGCAGCTGGCCGCCGCCACGCAGCGGGTCGACAAGCTGATTGCACGTGCCGGCGCCGTGCCGTCCGTCGCCAACCTCACGGCCGCGCACCGCGACCAGTGGACGCGCGCGCGCACACACCTAGAGCGTGACGCTGGCAACCACGCGGCGCTGGAGTCCGCCGACCGCGCGCTCTTCGGGCTCAGCCTGGACACCGACGTCAACCCAGAAGACATGCGCGATGATGAGCGGCGCCTGGCAGTGTTTGCGCACTCGGACGGCGGCGCCAACCGGTGGTTCGACAAGGCCATCCAGCTGGTGGTGCTGGCCGACGGCCGTTTGGGCGTCAACTGTGAGCACGCGCCGGTTGACGCGCTGACCACCGGCCGCATCCTCATGGAGGTAGCGCAGCGCGAGCGCGGCCCGCTGAAGGATCTGCCGCCAGCCGCCGACCTGCCACCGCCGGAGCCGTTGGTTTGGAACGTCTCGCCAGAGACCGCCAATGCGATCTCGCAGGCGCGCGCCGAGGCGCGGGCGCTGGCCACCGACCTGCGAGTGCTGCTCGGCGGCGTCGGTGACTTTGGCGCCCGGTGGATCAAGACACTGGGTGTCAGTCCCGACGCGTTCTTCCAGGTGGCACTGCAGGCCGCATACCTGCGCCACCACGGCCAACCGGCTGCCACGTACGAGTCGGCGTCGCTGCGGCGCTTTGCGCACGGCCGCACCGAGACCATTCGCTCGTGCACGGCTGACGCCCAGGCCTTTGCGCGCGCGCTGGACGACCCGCACGTGGCTGAGCGCGTGAAGCTGGAGCTGTTCCGCCGCGCTGCCGCCACGCACACGCAGCTGACGGCTGCGGCCACTGCCGGTCAGGGCGTCGACCGCCATCTGCTCGGCCTGCGCGCGCAGCTGAAATCGCCGGAGGAGGCCGAGCGCGCAGAGCTGTTTGTTGACCCGGCGTTTGCGCAGTCGTCAGCCTTTGTGCTGTCAACGTCGAACACCACGCCTGGAGACATGTTCCGCGGCGGCTTCGCGCCAGTGGTCGCTGGCGGGTACGGAATCAACTACGCAATGGACCGCGATGACATCAAGTTCAGCATCTCGGACTGGCGCCCGGCTGCGTCTACCGACGCCCCGGCCTTCAAAGAAACGATCAAGCGCACGCTTGTTGATCTGTATGCCGCTGGTGAGCATGTAATGTCCAAGTAAATGTATTTTTTAGAATTTCCAGACATTTATAGCGAAAGTTCAGATTTTTATGCGGAGGATTTTAAACCTCCGTTTTCCACGCAAAAAGATATCGTCAGAGTCGGCTGAGGCTGAGTCTACAGCGACGCTCAAGCCTAAGCACAACCACAAGCCCAAGCGTGTGCGCAATAACCCATCTTCCCTGCTTCTTCTCTTGAAAAGAAGCAGCGAACTGGATAATATCGTCAACTATAGTGGTCCATTGCCACTAGTTTCTACACTTTTTAGGTTGCTACTCAATCTGAATGGGAAGGATGTCGATTTGCAGGATACTTAGCATTATTCTTATAGTGTGCAAGTAAAAAATGCATTATATTGATATAACAAAAATGTATTTATTTCTTTGCTGTGAATGGCCAAATAAAAGGGGTTTATGTTGATGTAACAAAAGCTTTATCTCTTTGCTGTGCAGTACGAGTTGCGTGGCAGCTGGTGGCAGCACGCGTAGCCCCACTGCCCGTCGCCCCACCAGGACCCATACACCGAGCTGTGGTTCATTGGGAACACATCCTCCTTGAACCGTGTCCTTGCCAGGTTTTCTGCCGCCGGTCCTTTCCCAGCCACAGCACCAGCACTGGAACCAGCACCAGCACCGGCCCCGGCACCAGCCTCGATGACCTTTCCGGCCCGCGAGTACTCCACATATCTCTCCTGCTGCACCAGCAGCTCCCTTGGCGGCTGCTTCAAATGCTCCTCACCACCATACTGCGCCAAAATCCTCGATTTCTTCTCACCCTTCATCGAATCGCGCTTCCCCTTAAACTCCTCATACATCAAGGCAGTCTGAGTAGGGTTAGCTTGGAAATGCGCCCCGCGGTTGCCTCTTTCTCCAGCCTCCCACGCAAACACCTCTCTGCGGGCAACCTCGGGTGCGTCGCCAGAGTACCGGATAAAGTTGTCTCCGGAGTACGCCAGCTGCGCGGTGTCTTTACCGGCATAGGGGTTTTCGCGCATCGAGCGGGTTTTCGGGTCATAGTAGGCGGAATCCGGGTCGAGGTTGCGCAGATACTTGGCTGTGTCCTCGCGGATACGCAAGTTCCGCACTGTTGATCGAGACTTAACGCCGGTATTGCCACCATTCTTCTCCTCCCTATCCTCGTCCTCCTTATTATCGTCCTCATCCGAGGACGCAAACTGATCCTCCACATGGGATTTGGCAGCGGCGGTGGCATCTTGCTGTGTTTTGTTTTGCTTGATGGCGTCGAGTTCCGAGGCTTTGCGTTTTTTCCGCGCTTCCTCTACCAGCTCCCAATCCTGCATCAGTCTCCGGTGATCCTCTGCATCATATCCGTTCCACCTATCCCTCTTCGCATCATAGTCCAAATTCACATCCCTCACAACCTCATTTGCCATCAATCCCTCATTAGTCCACCTTGCCCCGCGCTTCCTTGGCCTCTCCACACAATCCCTAGTTTTATGCGACATTGCTCCACAATTCTCACAAGCTCCTTTTTTAAACTCCTTTGGTGCCTTGCCTAAGCGAGTTCCGCGCGCATACCATTCTTTTGACTCACCAGGATCATTGGATAGGAGGGCATTTTTGCGTTGATGTTGGAGTCCGAGTTTGCCGGTGTCCATGTACCAGGGCGCTTTAGACATGAATTCTGGAATATGCGGGTTGATCGCATTGCCTTCTTCGTCGAGCTCGGCCGGTGCTGTGCCGGCTTTGCGCGCTGCATCTAGGTCTTTTTGTTTCTTGTAGTCTTCGCGACTCAATTTGCCCTTTCCGAATGTGTTTGATGATGACATAATTATTTTGTATAAATAAAAAATAGATGTTTAGGTTAATGTTTTTGTTTTTGTTCTTTACGCCCAAAATATTTATAATTTAGTTTATCCGTTTGTACGCTAAAAGATGAGTTTGGGCCAATCACGTGTAATGCTTTGACCAAATATGTTTTATCTTCAAAACGTATGCAATGATAGGTCGATATTTAATTATTTAAGTAATAAAGAGCGCAGTGGAAATTTGCTTTCCATCCTTAAATTTTTGTAGTTCCAATGCGCAGAACCGTATATCAGATTTAAATTAATAAATATACATTCAGTATTTGGAAAAATATTTTTACACCCATTTTGGTATTGCTTTTTAAATAAATAATTTTGAGTAAAAAAGTTCAAACAAAAATAAATATGCTAATAGCAATAATAAATTGCTGCAGAACAGCATGGTATAAATTAGAATAAAGCTGGCAATGTGTGATAGCCGTTGAATCTCCCAGCAGCAGATATATTTCCTGGGTTAAATACCCAGATTGTGATACAAGAAATTGCGGCTTGTCTCTGGCGATTGATTAATGAATCAATCGCCAGTTAATTCCCTACTTGGACATGTGGGAATTCATATGCACATATAAATACTAATGAATATGAACAGTGGAGGCTGTTCATCTCTCAGCTTTCTTTTAGTTCATTCAGTTCAAATATATATTTTTAACATAACACAGATCGTGAACATTTTTCTTAATTTTTGGCCTAATTAATTGCATTTTAAGGGAAATCGACAGAAATGTACTTTTGAAGAATAAAGCAGCTCTTGGCGTTCAGCAGCCTGAACCAGTTTATGTGGCAGTAAATTTTTGAGACAGCCCAGTTGGCTCGTGTGATGTCCACACAGTTGAAACATGCAATGGTGACACGATTGGAGCGTGTGATGGCAGTCCTAATGGTAGTGTGGTTACTGGGCGCTCGGCTCCCGGCACCCATAACTGTAACATTAAAAATGGGCCTGAGTCACGTGACAGAGTAAACGCATGAAATATGTTTATGATATTTCATGCGCACGGCGAATTCTGAATAGTGAACTCCTTAGCTCTTTTTGTAGTCTCATTTATATAAATATATTATAACCAGCAGAACTAACATTACAGAATGAAGTGGTATATCAGGGCGTCATTATTGTGTCCCCTGATTTGATCCTGCATGGTATCATCAATGCCCTGCTAATTGGCATGTTGAGGCTAAGAATCGTGAAACGAGTCTTCATCGACATCCACTTCCATATCATCAGGCTGCTCAACAGTGCTAATAAGATAACAATAAATGAAAGAAAGAAAAAGAGAAAACGCACGATAAACAACGCAGAAAAAGTCCGTTATTCTTGCACTGGTGGTAGGGAAAAAGCACAAGTGGGTGTAAACAAAAATATTTTTACGCTGTGTTGAAGAAATTCTCATCATGTGCAATGTGAGAGGCGGGGGAAATAGGCTTTGGATCAATTGGAGGCAGCAAAAAAAGATTATGCTAGGGGAAAAGATATATTTCTGTAATTTTTTAAAATAGAATACTTTTCTGTCGATTTGGCTTATTTTTTGACAGCTAGATCATGGAATTGTATTTATTTCAGAGCTTTTGGAGCTTTTTTATTCTTTGCGACTTGAGCATAACGCTCTAATATAACTTTTCAACTTGTTGGGCCTATAAATAGAGGTTTTTATTGTATACTTTGTTACAAATGTGCAATGGATGCCAACAAAAAGAAAAGTAAATGGAAGGAATAGAGAAAGGAATAGAGAGGGAGTAGACCAATATTTTGCAATTGTTTTGTCTACTCAAGCTGTGAAGAGTATAGCTGTGTTTTTCCACTTTAAGGCAAGTTATATGTTTGGTAATTCAGGTATAAAATGCCAGGCATCTGCCCTCCTCTTCAACATATTTTCTCCATCATTCAACACCACCATCATCAGCTACACAATTTCCATACGGGTATACAAGAGCCACTCCAAATTCAATATTATTCGTTAGAATCTACCATGGCTGATATTACTATTATATTGTCAAAAACCAATACAAAAATTCATGTGAGTCTGAGGGAGACATCTAGTCTCCTCGAGTTTTTGAGTCGTAAAAATGACGATCTTAATGTCCGTGATACCAATCTGGTGGCTATTTTCAACGACGCCAAATTACTAAGTAAACCAGACCTTTTATTCGAGAGGTGCATGGGATGGAAAATGAATTTTTTAAAGGAAAGGTATGGTACCTTCAATATAATAGTTATTTCAAACTAAGCACATATTTGCATAGCCAGTGTCGAGCATTGATATGCATAAGAAATATTTATTATTATTATTCAACATGGTCAATTTATTTTGCATATAGTTTTGTTTATATTTTTTATAACATCTATAACAATATATTTGTATGCTCAAGCCTTCACGTGGTAAATTTAAACGCTGCACCAGCCGATGCCTGTCGGGATTATGATAATCCATCCTGGAAATACCAGCTGTGCTCAGATTAAGCGGCATGGCAAACGTGACCTTGGAAAACGATACAGTCGCTGACAAAATGGCCTGCTCATTTGCATTGCACACATTGTCTCTGAAATTATTTTCTTCGTCGTCATTGATACTCTCTGCAATCGGATAAAAGCGCGCCACCATCCTTTTTGCCACCCATGTTGGTCATTACAAGTGTGCTTTTCCCATTGATAGTGCTTTTTAAATAAAGTTTTGAGTAAAACTTTTAACTAAATAGATTAATAGTAGTAATAAACTGTGGTGCCCAACACGCATTTCAAGCTACTATCTTCCCTTTTCAAGAATCAAGATCGCCCTCATGGCCACTATACACATTTCTGTTATTGCTGGCTGACATCAAGAAACACCATGATGTTTACAGCGCTGCCTACACAGCGCTGCCCCCTTTTTCAGTTAAGTAATTTTTAAGACTTGAATATATCGATTTAGACCCACATTTTTATGGAGCACGACAAACTGCCGCAGAACAACACAGTATAAATTAGAATAAAGCTGGAAATATGTTGTTGAGTAGCCTGATGATATGGAAGTGGATGTTGAAGACTCGTTTCACGATTCTTAACCTCAACATGTCAATTAACAGGGCATTGGTGGTACCATGCAGGATGAAATCAGGGGACACAATAATGACACCCTGATATATGTTACAGAGAGGTATAAATCAAAAAGAATATTTACTTTTTCCAAGGAGAAAAATTCCTGGCTACCCGACAGCCACACCTTTTATATGTTCTCTTTGGCATATAAATAATGTGATACAAGAAATTGCGGCTTGTCTCCGGCGATTGACTAATGAATCAATCGCTAGTTAATTCCCTACTTGGATATGCGGGAATTCATACGCACACATAAATACCAATGAATATAAACAGTGGAGGCCGTTCATCCCTTAGCTTTATTTTAGTTCAATATATATTTTTAACACAACAAATGAACTATAATCTTATCATTTCTTAATTGCCAGGTGCGTAATCAATTAATCTCAGTAAAGCAACATGCAACACCATGTGCCTAAACTGTGATATATATCCTTCCATTCCATAATGCATATTCTTGAACGTGCATATGCGAAAATCATAGCCTTGATACGCCAAGAGGCCAGGCTGTCTACGGAAGAACCGATTCTCACCAACGGAGTGCACAATTGGTGAAGTGCACAATAAAGATAAGATATATAAGATGAAGCCAGCCCTAGTTCTACTTTTGATTCCATTGATAATAAAAACTTTTATAAATCAACAAAACATACTTTTAACACTAGGCGACTAGTGCTTCACTCAAATCACCACCCTCTTATTATAACATAACTCATTATGTCTCGTGAAGAGATTAGTACAATTGTCATTATTGTTAGCCCCAAAATTATCTTACTAAAAAATAGTATAGAATGAACAAATCCTTCGACCAAACAACTTAATTACACAGCCCAGCACAGCACATCACAGCACAGCACAGCTATATACACGAAACTTTTATATTTTTTATTAAACTTGTAATATTATCAAAAATGCATAATATCAATACCAAGAATTTCTCCATAGAAGAAAGGCCTTATGGCTGTTGATGCGGAATTGATTTCCAAACTAAAGGTAGCCTATACTTTCATGAGATACAAGAGGGACATTGTATTTTAACAGTACATGGTTAACATACAATGGTTACAGGAAGGCATTTTTTATTAGCAGTAATAAACTAAAGTGATTTTTATTATTCTCATGTAATAGTTCATGTCAGCTTTATATATCTATTACTGTTTTCGATGAAAATGCGAATTTCTCATGTATTATTTATTTTTATTTCTATTCATGGCTTGGTCTTTTATTTAATAAAGTCATCAACAACCTTCATATACTTTGCATTCAAAGTGCAAACAGGCCAATTTTCAAATTAAAAAGCAGCTAACTGTTCAGAATATCCTCCAGCAAATCGTCAACTTCGGGCAGGCGCGACTCGTGCGCCTGGGTAATGCGTTTAGGGTAAAAAATGAAATCTGACGTATACGCGCCCAGGTTTGACAAATCGGCGGTATACACGTTGGCAAAGGACTTGATCTTGGTAGCAAACAAGCTGGGGTACTTTTCAGTCCTAAAAACACTGCCAAAGTTAGTATTGAACGAGTCACGCAGCCGCCACCTCGTCCGGCGACGCTCCAAGCGACCAACATCCAGGAGTTGCCTAAATCGCTCCTTCTCCTCCGCTGGCAGCCGCATAAACTCGGGACTGCGCGTTTCCTGCTGCGAGTGCTTCAGTATTTTCTCAATCAGCTGAATGTACGACACGCACTGGCGGTATTCGGGCGTGTGAATGACCGAAAGCTCGTGCTTGAGCTCGCTTACAATTGCGCCGGTCATCCATCCCTTTTGGATCGAGGGGTCGCGGAGATCAGAGTAGAGGTGGTCGCCAAAGTACATGACGTTGCGGTCGGAATACCCCGTAATGCTTGTGAATGACATGAGGTTGCCGCCAGAGTAGACCTGCCCGTCCTCAAAGTGATCCACCAGAGCCCAGGGTTTCACACTAGTGCCCCCGCGACCGGTCGGCACAAGACGGAATGGCCGGTGTGACATGTACCAGCTGGGCTTGCGCGCACCGACTATGACCACGTCAAAGACATCACGCCAGTCTTTCGTGTTAAACAGGTATGTTAGCCCTGTGTTGACATAGTCGTAGCCGCTGTTGGTCAGCAAAAACAGCCTTTTGCCCTCGCGTTTGAGTGACTCCAGGATCTGTAGCAGCTCGGGCGCGCGCTCCAGATAGTCGCCAATGTTGCTCATAATCGTCTTGTGCAAAGGGCTCAGGCTAATGCCATCACCCTTGTGAATATACTCCCCCGCCGTGCGGATGTCCTCGGCCAGGTACCGCGGATGGAACGGAATGTTGTGCTCCGTGAAGTACTGAATTATATCCGCCAGCATAGTCGCCTCTGGAATGCTGTATAGATCGTTCAGCTGGTTGAGCTGACCCTTCACATAAGCTGGTGCCACATGTGGCCCATTGTGCAAGGTATAGACCTCCTCCAGATCGCGCAGCGGCTCGCGTCCATAGTGGATCGTGTCCATCGCAATGTTATAATTGGAGTCCAACTTAAACAGCCATCCGGTCTCCTTATCGTACGAGATACCACGGATCGCAAATGTGCTGTCGTACTTCAATGCCTTCAACGCCGGAGGGTAAAGCAGCTTGTTCACTAGCACGTCGCGGATCATCGTGTAAATGGTTTCCGGCAGCTTGTCCGTGTACCGAGCAAGCGTGTAGTCGTAGTCAAAGCCGTACGTGCGCACTTTGCTCAGCCGAAGCTCGGTGTTTGGGAATATATCTTGGCTCGAGGGCTGGAACCGCTGGTGCGCGTGCGTTGTGGTAAATCGTTCGCTGTCTTCCATGCAAAGTTTCCGCGCCATGTCGTAACGAGAGCTCAGATGCCGCAGATACGGGTTGGACTCGATTGCATCTTTGATACCAGGCAAGTGCGCGCCATTTTCGTCCGCACATCTGGTGCTGTAGTGAGATACGCGTTTCGAGTTGGTTGCTGGTTTCTGTGTCAGTGTCAGGGCAAGGTTGCCAATTGGAAAGGGGCAACTGCGACGCCCATTTGAAATGACCGCGTTTCTGGCTGAGGGCAAGCGTAGCATTCAAGTAATATACACTTGGAATTTGAAAAGCGAGCAAGGTAAGAAAAATAATCAAAAAGAGTAAAAAATAATAGATAATGCAATATTAGTAGCTAAAAAGAGAGTCAGAAATGAAACGCGCGCGTACGTCTTTTTTCTTTGTTATCCACTGTAAAAACCAAAATGAATTTCATATAGAGATGTCGTCATGTGGCCTCTCACTCTTTATAATCATTTCGAATTTTTCTAACCCGGCAGCGCGGAGTGACAGATCTGTTACAGTGGTGTGACTGCTTTTATTTATCATGTGCGCCGTTATCTCGACAAGAGGGTAAACAAACATAAAACCGTATAAACATTAATTAATTATAAAGCCACATGTTGCGCTCATTTGAAACTCGATATAAAGATTAAAAAGGGTTAGGCATGTTGCCGGCTTGTCCAAAGGCCACAGACAGCATTTTTGACTGAAAAGAAGCCCCGGACTACCAAACTACCATCCTCGCGGAATGTCTGATCGCGAGAACTAAAAGCATCTCCGTCTGACCTTGGCTTGAAACCCCTGTCGTCTGTGCTGCCGCAGCATTTGTCTCTGCCCTGATCGCTATCCATTTCAAATGCCAGCTCCAGAACCTCTGTGTACCCATGCTCGTTCAGCACCCTCAACCCGTCGATAATACTGGACTTGCATACAGGACAATGCACCGTCATATTTTTGGACAAAAGCCACGTGTCAATGCACTTTTTGTGGAATGCGTGCCTGCACGGGAGCAGCCTCAACGACTCGCCGGGGCTGTAGTTGCAGAGGCATATGGCGCACGAAGTCTCGTCCATAAACGAATACAAGCCCGTGCCGCAACGCTGAATAATGCCGGCCAGCTGCTGTTGCAAATCATACTTCTCAGCACACTGTGGGTCAAACTCCATCTCGGGCGTCTCGTACCGGGACTCCTGGTCGCTGTCGCACACCCCCGATACATCCCACTCAACTGGAATTACAGGCAGCCTGTCCAGCGTTCTTTGATCGACGGGCTCTGGCTGACGGCCAAATATCCCAGGTGCTATCTCGCGCGGGATATTGCGCAGAGACCCCACGGTGCACGCCAATGCGAGGTATATGACAATGGCCAACACGACCAAAGTGACGAGCAGAGCTTGCGTCGATGCCAGGATCCGCACAAAGATGTGTCGATGGGTGTGACCCATGCCATCGCCCAGCGCGCTGATATACACAAATGCATCCTGGTGCAAGTCTTCTGCAACCGCCTCTGGCCCGTGCACTTGCAGCTTCTGGGCTTGCATCTGCATCATCCATATCCTTCGGGAAATCTTGCTCGACACAAATGCGACAGGAAAACTCACGCTGGCCGCGTATTTGAGGAACTCGTGCGTCGGGCGGCCGCACTCTTTTGTGTTGGTAATGAGGATGCCACCAAAATCTAAGCGTGCTGCCTCGCGCAATATGTCTGTCAGCGAGCTCTTGCTGCAGCGGACCAGCCCAACTGAGTGTTGGTTGCTCTTTCCCCGAATAGCCCGTTCTGCCAAAATTTCACTTGGACTACCAGTGCCTATATTAACTATCCGACCCTATACTTTGTAAAAGTGCAATTAATACACAAATGTGTCTTAGCCCAATGGCTTGCTTGCAATAACCTGACGACCATATAAAACTAACAAATATACTTATTTTCGTTACCTGCAGCCTCTTTTTGTAGTCTGTCGATGTCAGTAATAGTATGTGCGAATCGTGGTATGCCACTTGGTCAATTACATGGCAGCCCTGACCATCTGCACAGACATGATAGCTGATCACCAGCTCCTTTGGCGTGCATCTGGCCGGACTGGCCAGCAGCAAAAGTAGCAGCGACAGCGCTGATAGCAGCAACCATGTATGTGCCGATTTAGCCGGTGGCTTGGTATCGCTCCACATTGTCAATTAATTTGTACGCTTTGTTGTTATTGTTACAGTCGTTAGATATGATGTTGGAAAGATGCGTACATAGATTTGTTAGTGCGGTGCTCAATAGACAATAGATGTTACAAGAATAAGTAAAATAATAAGAATGAAATAATGGAGGTAAAGGACGTATAAAGTAAAAAAGGGGTATCTGGAAAATTGTTTTGCATGTTTGTATTTGACTTTTTTCCTACGCATGTACCCTTTGGTCGGCCAAATTGGAAAAATGGAATAGAAATAGAACCGACACACTGCATGGGCATTGTTCCATTCGATTATATTTGCCCCCGTTGTTGATTTCTGACCTCTTTCTTCCCCACGCCATTTCTCACCCCCACCTTTCCAACTCCTGTTTATTTGTCTTTATTCTCTTTCATCATTTTCTCAGCCACTATTCAATCAACGAAGGAATAAAAGAGTGAATGAAAGAAGCATGAAAAGTTCCAAGAAAACAAAGCTGCCTAGAATTACACAAGCAAAGTTCTATCAAGAAAACTAAATAAAATAATAAAAACGAGGCGCATGTTTGGGTTACAAATATAAACAAATATTAAAGGAAAAACATACGATTGGCACTGGGATATGCAAAATATGCAAACATGTGCCAGAGATATCCAATCAACTTGTATTATTCACATTATCTTCTTCGAGTGTTTTTCTGCTTAAGGACATGTAATTTGTGCCAGCATTTTTCCTGATGGTTTCATTACCCGGATCAGAGCCAGTATGTCCATCTGCCGCGTGTTCAAGTTTGCACTAACGTTGGCATTACCATCAGCAACAAGGCGAACGATCGCAGATATATTATTGTGTGCGTGGAAGGGAAAGGCATATGAGGTCAGCTTGGAGCATAACTGAACTGCATCGTAATTAGCCCCATTGTGCATATAGGGCTGATTAAATCATTTAATCATAATGCAGTGATCACTAGATCACTATGATATTAAGCTTTTTTGTTTTCTCTTCCAATAATTATAAGGGGTAAAATCGCTGGTCCATTTATTTTTGTCTTGCTGTGCTTGTTGGAAGTTGAATATTATTGCAAACCGAATTAAGTAAAAAAATAAGAAAACGCCAAACGAACACCCAAACAACGCCCAGATCTCCACTAATCTTAATCTCCAGGCATCCAATTAAAAAATTTTGCATTCCATAAAAGTTATTGCTCTCGTATACACTTATGCATGGTTTTTTGAAAGGTTTCCATCACAACTATATTACCCTTTCACCTTCACAGCATACACTTTTTATTATATCACTTAACATAACAATGGATGTCTCTGGAATTCTTGAGGAACACAAGAACAAGTTCAAGCCCATTCAGGTTGATCGTCTGATCCCCACAGAGTTTGACCTCGGACTCCTCGCATGCTTCGACATGAACATGCTGGACGACAACAGGCTCAGGGCTGGTCAGCAGTCCCGGGACAGATACCTCAAGGAGCTTTCGCGCGAGGGCGCGCAGCAGATGATTAATGAGCTCTTTGGCCTGCCTACGACTGTCGACGAGGACAGCGTCTACGCGACCCTCCCCAAGACCACCACCGTGCTGCCGCGCGAGAAGCCGATTCCCAAGGAGAAGCCGCCAACGCGCTGGGAGAAGTTTGCCAAGATCAAGGGCATTCAGAAGCGCAAGTCTACGGGCAAGGTCTTTGATGAGGATCAGGGTGAGTGGAGACGCAAGTACGGGTACAAGGGCGTCAACAACGACGACCAGAAGCCGTGGTTGATCGAGGTTCCGGGCAAAGCTGACCAGTATCAGGATCAGTACCAGGTCAGGCGCGATGAGAAGAAGGCCCGGATTGAGAAGAATACACGCCGTAATCAGAGAAACGTTGAGGAGAACGTAGCTGTGGAGAAGGGCATGAAGCCCCATGAGATGCGCAAGCGCGAGCTGCACAAGGCTTTGGTTCTGTCCAAGCAGTCGACGGCTTCGCTCGGCAAGTTTGACACAAAGCTCAAGGGCGAGCCGAAGACCAAGGGCTTGAAGCGCAAGTTCGACCCCCTGGTCGGAAGCGCCGACAGCGAAAAGTCAAAGAACATGGATATCCTCAACCGGGTGGCCAAGGGCGAATCCAAGGCGACCGTCATCAATGTGCGCAAGGCCCAGCGCGCGGTTAACAACGCCAAGCGGGCGGCGGCATCAAAGTCGAAGTGAAAATAATGGTGCGACACAGGGCCCATGCATGCCTTTGCAAAAATATTTACATAATTTCTTTTGAATACATAACATATTGTGAGTTCAGCTCTGATTTAAATTCCATGTCATGGCATGTCATGCCCATTTCAAGCACAATTGCCATTGGCATTGCTGTTGCCATTGTTGTTTTGGTGATATTTTCAAATTTTTAAAGTGAAAAGAGAAAGTGAAAGAAAATTTCAGATTAGAGCTCATCGTGCTCGGCATCCTCATCCTCATCATCGTCGTCATTCTTGGCATTGGCACCGCCGTACAGCTTGGACACGATGGGGTTGAACACAGACTCGAGCTCCTCGCGCTGCTCGTCAATGTCCTCCTTGGTGGCATCAGCGGCGTTGTCGCTGAGCCACTTCTCAGCCTCCTTGATGGCGGCCATGACGGTCGACTTGTCGTCCTTGCTGATCTTGCTGCCGAGCTGCTCCTTGTCAGTGACCTGGTTCTTGATGCTGTACAGATACTGCTCAAAGGTGTTCTTGGCCTCAATGCGCTCCTTGAGGACACGGTCCTCGTCGGCAAACTCGGTGGCCTCGCGGATCATGCGCTCGATCTCCTCATCGGAAAGACGGCCCTTGTTGTTGGTAATGGTGATCGACTCGCCCTTGCCAGTGCCCTTGTCGATGGCACCGACCTTGAGAATGCCGTTAGCGTCAATCTCAAAGGTGACCTCAATCTGGGGCACGCCGCGGGGAGCAGGTGGGACGTTGGTGAGCTCAAACTTGCCTAGCTTGTTGTTGTCCTTGGTGAGCGAGCGCTCGCCCTCGAAGACCTGGATGAGGACGGTCTGCTGGTTGTCAGCGGCGGTCGAGAAGATCTGCGACTTCTTGGTCGGGATCTGGGTGTTGCGGGGGATGAGCTTGGTCATCACGCCGCCGGTGGTCTCGATACCGAGGGTCAGGGGGTTGACATCAAGAAGCAAGACATCGTCGGTGCCAGCGGCACCAGTGAGGATGCCGGCCTGGACAGCTGCGCCAAAGGCGACAGCCTCGTCGGGGTTAATACCCTTGCTGGCCTTCTTGCCGTCAAAGAATTCCTCGAGAAGCTTCTGGACCTTGGGGATGCGAGTAGAGCCACCGACCAGCACAATGTCGTCAATCTTGGACTTGGAAATGCCTCCGTCCTCCAGAACCTGCTTGACAGGCTTCAGGGTGCGCTTGAACAGGTTGTTGTTGAGCTCCTCGAACTTGGCACGGGTGATGGTCTCCGAGAAGTCCTCACCGTCAAGGAGGGACTCGATCTCAACGCGGACAGACATCTGGGACGAAAGAGTGCGCTTGGCCTTCTCGGCCTCGCGCTTGAACTTGCCAATAGCCTTCTTGTCGTTGCGGGCGTCCTTGCCAGTCTTCTTCTTGAAGAGCTGAACAAAGTGCTCGACGACCTTGTTGTCAAAGTCCTCACCACCAAGATGAGTGTCGCCGGAGGTGGCGAGCACCTCAAAGATACCGTTGTCAATAGCCAGAACCGAGACATCGAAAGTACCACCTCCCAGGTCGTACACGAGGATGTGGCGCTCCTTGCCCTTCTTGTCCAGGCCGTAGGCAATGGCGGCGGCAGTGGGCTCGTTGACAATGCGCAGGACGTTGAGGCCAGCAATGGCACCGGCGTCCTTGGTGGCCTGGCGCTGAGCGTCGTTAAAGTAAGCGGGGACGGTGACGACGGCGTGGGTGACCTTGGTGTTGAGGTAAGCCTCGGCGACCTCCTTCATCTTCCCGAGAATCATGGCGGAGATCTCCTCAGGGCTGAAGGTGCGCTTCTCGCCCTTGACGTTGACGCGGAAGTTGGGCTTGCCGTCCTTGTTGGTGATCTCAAACGGCCAGTGCTTAATGTCACGCTTAACCTCCTTGTCGTCGTAGCGAAGACCGATCAAACGCTTGGCATCAAAGATAGTGTTCTCAGGGTTGCTGGGAGCCTGGTTCTTTGCAGCGTCACCAATCAGACGCTCGCCATCGGCGGTGAATCCGACCCATGACGGCGTAATGCGGTTACCCTGCTCGTTCGCGATAATCTCGACGCGACCGTTCTTGTGGACGGCGACGCACGAGTAAGTTGTTCCAAGATCAATACCGATAACGGTGCCATAGTCTTCCTTTGACTCCTCACCGCGGACCGAAGGCGCAGCGGTGAAAACAGCCAGCAGCAGGAATGCTAGCGTGAGGAAGAAGTGGATCCCCCTCATTGTCGAATAAAGTAAACCAAAGAGTGAGCGGGTAACTGTATGTGCAAGAGAAAGCTGTGTAAGATGAGCTCGCAGACAAGCTGAATTTTTCTGTTACAAAACTACAAGAAACGCAAGAATGAGAGCAAAAAGCAGGGATGGTGTTTGTTAGTACAAATGCTTGACTTGTCAAACACATAAAATAATTGGAACTATTTCAAAAATGCGCAGATGCTCCGGTGTGGTGGCAACTGGGAAGAATTGAGACCGAGAAAGTGTGCGCCAGAAAAAATTGAACAAGTTGTTGCACAAGCGCCAGTTGCCGGCAAAGTAGACAGCGTGGATACTTACAATACAGCGAGAATAAATGTAATATAAAATAAAAGAGAAAAAGTGGTGCGAGAAAATAAAGCTAACAGAACAGAAGAGAAGAGAGAGAAGACGATACCGGCGCAGTTGCTATGCTTTTTACGTTATCCTGGAGCGTTTGTGTCCTTCGCGAGTGCTTAAATACCAGACATTCAGAGAGGTGCGCGCATGCATTTGCGATACATTGATGTTTTTTTACAATTGCAAAGAATGCTAGCAGCCCGCACATAATCATCATCTGTGACATTGCGATCGCTAATTGGCTGAAACGGTCCCCACGAATGGGATACTGCCTGCGGGGCATTGCTAGAAAATAGCAAACCGGCTTGTATTTTTTTGCCACGTCGCAAGGGAGCAGCGTTCAAAATGATAGAAAGGCGAGTCACGCTTTTCCTTTTTGCAAAAGCAGCAAGCCGATATGCGCGAATGCGAGTTGAGCTGCGCTCAAAGAATTGTCATTGGCATTGCATTGCACTGTCATTGGAAAATGCTAGAACCTCCGCCGACTGACACCTTCGCTTTCGGCACTGCATACACCCACCCACTTTGAGAGAATTTTTGATACCCCAAAAAAGCCCCGTACGCGCACTCGAGCACACCTTGACCCAAAGAAGCAGAGCCAAGTGCAATCACAGACAGTCTGCGCAAAGATACCCAGAGACAGATCCCATGGCGCCGCCCCAACCGCCCGTCATGTTCAACGTAGATCCAAGTGACACTTGGCTCTCAAAGTCATCTAGCACAGTGGCACAGAGCAGTATTACCAGCGGCGAAGCCGATTCTGTGCAGTGGCAGAGCGGGCGCGCCGAGCGCATACAGCAGCTGGAATCAGTGCTTGCTGCCACGACCCAGCGCCGGTGCCAGGGGCAAAAGCAAAAGCAAAAAAAAAGTGTATATAATGAGACCAACTACGGCGACATGCTGGACGGCGAGGACGGCGATAACAGCAACTGTGCTGCCAAAATCAGCGGTGATGGAAGCGATGACGACTGCCGCTCGGAATCGAGCAGCCTATTCTACAGCGAGGGCCGGTCTCTCCTGTGCACATACTACCAGCCCCCTGCAGAGCCAGCGGCGGACACCGCAGCGACGTTTGGAGTCTACGGGTCAGTCAGTGCCCCGGAACCGCCGCTGAAAACGACAGAGCAGTTTCTGCCGTGGGACGTGCGGCTTCGCGATGCAGTCCGGCGGGTGCTCTACTGCGGCAGAAGCGCTTGTTTGGACAGCAACAATTGAGAATATACACGCGGTCCCCCTGCCCACTTTTGCTAGCCATCGACTGCATCGCCGATTCAATAGACTAGTGAAAATGGATTTTTAGAATTTCCAAACATTTATAGCGAAAGTCCAGCTTCTTAAGCAGGGAATTTTTAAAAACTTTCTGATTTTAGGCTAAAAACTGGAAAAAAAAGTCCAGATTTTTGAATATATGGGGAAGTATTTAGTGTTTGTGTCTGACTGGTGCTTTGGCTATGGGTTAAGGGGTTAATGGTGACTTCTAACAGTGTACCTATATTATTCATCCAACTCTGTCGCTGCCGCAACCAATGCCGCTGCTGATTCTGTCACAGCAGCTGCGGAATGAGCTGGCTGAGGGTAATCGTAAGCAGTACATCAATATCCAGCCTGCCGCTAATCTCAAGTGCATTTTCGAGCTGAGCGGCTGGTTACAGGGCAAGATCGAGCGCAAAATCAGACGGATGATACGCGATGAGTTGGCCGCGCAGCAGCACCAAAAGCAGAAGCAGCAGTAGATATAGTAGTGGAAACAGCAGAAGTAGCGGCAGCAGAATGGTCAGCAGCAGGTAGCCGCAACAGGCATGAATACAATTCCACCAGTAGAAAGCCCTTGCCAAATTTTATGCCACGGCCTGCACCAGTGCACAATGGAAAACTGCTTGCAAACCTTCAGGGCCGACGGAACCAAGATCAAGAATGACGAAAAAGTGCCATTAGGCAGACGGAAGTGGAATTGTGACACGGCTGCGGTGCTGAACTTTCGCATTATCCTCAATGCCCTGCTTAAAGGCAATCATCCTCCCCGTTTCTTGCGCAAAAAGGCATCGCCAGAGCCGGCTGAAGCCGAGTCTACATCAACCCTCAAGTCAAACCCCAAGTTCAAGCGTGTGCGCAAGAATACATCTTCCCCTGCTTCTTCTCTTCAAAAGAAGCAGCGAACTGGATAATATCGTCAACCATAGTGGTATATTGCCACTGGTTTCTAAATACTTTTTAGGTTGCTATTCAATCTGTGGGAAGGATGTCGATTTGCAGCATACTTGTAGTATCATTCTTTTCTTTTAATGTAGAAGACCCGCGTTTGGATGTGCTGCCTCTGCGTATTCAGAATCTCGCTGCTTCTTTCTCTCTTTTTCCTTTCATTTTTTCAGTTTTACTGCGCTCATTTTTTACTTTGTCAAAAACAGTAGCGGGTTTTGGAAATTACTTTGTTCGATGGCCCAAGTGGTCCACATTTATCCGCCACTGGGCGCTCTGACGTGCGTGCGCGAGCCTGCAATCACATTCCGCGTATATTTCGTTCATACTGCTTCTAACGACCCGTCAGAGACAACTGGTTCGCCCGTACAGAATGCTGAAATTTGGACAAATATTCATGGCGACGAGTGGGTGGGCATTGCGCTGGAAAGATTGCCAGAAACGTCAGCTGCCGCCCAGCTGGATATCACATTTCTGAATCCAGCACAGGCAGCTGGACCTGGCAGCACCGCTCAGCAGTTCGGCCTCGAAGTACCCGTAACGAGCGCCGTGACGAGGTGCTTTGAGTTTACCGTGCGCTGGCGAGCCACTGGACATAATGACTGGCAGTGGGCGGGTGCCTTGGGACAGAATGCACACGTATCTGTCATTCGCAACTGCATTTCAGACCCCAGCACAAGGCCACTCAACTACTGGCGCCAGCAGCTCAAGTCCATACTTAGGCCCGCAACCACCAACATCGTACAGTCCCCACCTATGGCCATAGCTGATTCCTGGCAGGTGTCTACAACTGGAGCGTCGTGTTTGTTCAAGTTTGGATCGGCTGCATCGACTACCGACAATATCACTTGGTTTGGCCGTCTGGCAGGTATCGAGCGACATCTAGCCTTTGTGCGTAAAGATTTATTTTGGCAGATCCCGCTGAGCGGCGGTCGACAGATTGATGTTGGTGACATGGATATTGTGATTTTACTTTTCGAGCTTGAAACAGGGGCCTACGCGGCACTGATGGCCTTCACGTGCAATTGCAGCACCAGTTGTACATCAGTATTCCGGGCCACCAGCTCTGGCAATCTCATTGTGCGTGTTAGCCCAGCAGTCAGCCCGGCTGTCGTTCGAGTGGCCGCTACTATCAACATGCGCCCGTACGATGCGGTCGGAGAGCTGTTCGCTCGCATTCGACAGTTAGTCGCTCTGCCGGCTCCCAAATTGCTTGCATTGAATTTTGTAGAGCCTGCTCTTTTGCATGCAGACACATATCTGACAACCACCATGGGGTACTGCACTTGGAACACATTCTACCAGAAAGTGTCTCACGAAAAGATTGTGTTCGAGCTAAACAACATCCGCCAGGCCGGCATCGATGCTGGCCAGCCACTGCCTGCCTGGGTGGTTATTGACGATGGGTGGCAGTCAGTCGACACATATGACGGTCTTGGAAAACTGATTGATATATTTGCCGACAGCAACAAGTTTCCTGGCCAATTGGCGCAAACAGTGGATGAGCTCAGACATATGAACATCCTTCGAGTCGGCGTGTGGCATGCCCTATGGGGGTATTGGGGTGGCATCGACCCACATGGCCCGCTGTCAAAGCGCTACAAGCTGGAGAGACACTGCCGGCAATGGTCGCCGGTCGTCAAGCAGGAATCCGACATTTGGCTGATCGCAGCGTCGTGTATATGGGAATTTTACGATGAATTTTATGGATGGCTCAGAAGTCAGGGCGTGTCATTTGTAAAGGTCGATTACCAGGCAGCGTTTGAATGCCTGAAAGAGTATGGCAACGGCAGCGATACAGGAATGCACATAGCAAAGATGTACAGTGCCTACCAGGACGCAATGCAAAGCGCGGCATGCAAGCACTTTGGGCCAGGAATTATTATAAACTGCATGTCCCAGTCGCCCCAATTTGCTGTGCGTGCTTTGAAACAGCAGTACCAGCAAGACAAGAATGGCCACTCGGCAATTGGCCGGATGTTGTTTCGGAACTCCGACGATTATTTCCCAGATGAACCCGGCTCGCACGGCTGGCACATCCATTGCAACATGCTCAATGCAGTTTGGAGCCGCTTTCTGGGCCAGCAGTGTGTCGCTGACTGGGACATGTTCCGGCCTGGACAGCACGAGAGCCACATACATGCTGTCTCGCGAGTGCTTAGCGGCGGGCCAGTTTACATAACAGGAAGTTCCTCTGACTACTCGCGCCAAAGCCTCGCTCAACTCATCGGGCCAACGGGTGATATTTTCCCGCACTTACCACCTCTGATAGACACCCAATGCCTGTTTACCGACATGACTAAAACGCCAGGTTTCTTGATTGCGTCAACTGTTGTTCCCGGTGCAGGGACTGTACTCGTTTCGATTTATAATGTCACAGAGAGAGCGGTAATTTCACCCGTATTTCTCGCACGAGCATATGCCGAAAGCACAGGAAATGATCCGGAAGCAGGACAGCAACATGGCACCGGAAATGAATATTTTTCTATCCACCAGCAGTCCACAGGGAAAATTTTTATAAGTACTGGCCTGCCCAAATTATGCTCAATTGCGCTGCTACGGCTGGACTGCGACGTACTATCAGTGACTAAAATGGCCACTCTCAAATCTTCTGACTGCAGTGCCATCCTATATGCAGCATGTCTAGGCGACACCGGCCACTGTGCAGGTGCGAGCGTTGTCGAGCGCGGGGTGTATGGTGCTCTCCCGCGCACTTGCAGCATGTGTAACAACGTCAGCAACAATATAAGCGGCCACACCACATTGACCTTGGCGTGCACCCATGGGCACCACCAATGGAATATACGAGCGCGAATCGCTTATCGGGCAAACTCAGTCACTTTTGCAATGTTCGCGCACAAAGCAGCTCTCGACACGCGCTCGTTGCCAATAAACATCAATAGCGTCAGAGTACTTGGATGCAATGTGCCCAATAATCGGTGGCAGTTTCAATCCAGCACGGGCTTACTGACCATAGCAACGATCGGCCATTCAGGAACAGCTGAAGACACTCACACTTTACCTCGCTTGTCGACAATCATTACAGTGTGTCTTTGCGCATAGCCAAGGGGTTAGTTTTTGTATTTAATATATTGTATTGCAAAATGTCAAATAACATAACGTTTTCTAAGATATGGACCGGCGAATGGCCTCGATGACACCGATCTCTTGTTTGCTCAGCGCCATGCGGACGTGCCCGGGAATGTCCAGGTGCACATTCGCCCTCTTAAAAGCCTTGCTCCACTCATTGTACCAGTAAACCAACCGCTCCTTGGTCTTTCTGACCGAAGATGCGCTGTAGCCAATCTGCTGCTGCTGGTATCTGAGCACTCCCAAATACCCGCTGACCATCAGCTTCCAGCAAAGAGCCATATCGGCGGCGCCCCGGGGGCGAGAGTACTTTGGCACGGTGCTGTCCTGGTAAAGCGCAACTATTTCGTCAGCCAGCAACTCAGCACTCTCCATGTCGCGGTGCTCGTCGACCGTGGCGTATATGGTCATCATCCTGACTGCATCCAAGTGTGACAAAGGCAGCTTGTCCAGCGCGCGCAGCCGGTCCATCTCCAGCTGCTTCTCGACCTCCCGCAGGTCATACCAGGGTTCGGGAACATTGCCGTCGTCGAGCAAAGCCCGCCTCAGCTGCGGCACAACATAGTACGGGCGGCCAAGAATAAACAGGCGCGCATATTTGGGCTGGTTACGGTAGACGAACCGCGAGTACGCCGAGGCTTCCTCACGGAAAATAGGCATGGCGCTCATGCGGTACTCTTTGAACCAGTACTCAGCCAACACGCGATCACCGTTCTTTGCAGCCTCCCGGATGGCCATGGTCCATATGATCGGCGATGGCGTGAACGCCGGATTGATGCGCAGTGCTGGGGGCAGTTTGCGCATGACCGCGGGAATGACGACTTCGAAGACCTGTCGCAGTTCAGATATCATGCCCGCATGGCCAAGGGCAGAAATGAGAACGCTGTAGAAATGGGTTGTAGGCCATGCTCTGTTCTTGAGAGACGCGTACAGCATTGCCAAGCCCATCTGCGCAACCATCTCCTTCCGTTGCCCGGCGGTACTCGGCACAAGCACAATGTCAGATGACGACTCGCCCTGCGGCGGATACACAGCCTCCATGCCAAATATCCTGACCGCCGGCCCGTCCCAGCCCCTGGGAGAATGGGTAGCGGTGCATCATTTGTGGACAGCGAGTTCAGAAGAATGGCCGTCGCCTGCGCAATGGGATAGCCGCCGGCATCGATTATGCGGCGGAAATAGTTCATGGCCTCATCAATCTCTCCCAGACTAGAATACGCAAAGATTGCGTGCGACCAGATCGTGTCTGCATATTTGGTGCGCAGGCTGGTAGCGCCAGGGAACGCATAAGCGACGCTAGTTGCCTCGGGTGTGTTCAGTGTCTCCAAATATTTGGGCATATGATCGCGGACAATGGGCTCCCAGACTGTGCGCTTGGACTGCCGCATGGCATCGCTGACCAGCCACGAAAGATGCTGAAGAAGTGGTGCTTCGCCCGCCTGGCGGCATGCCGCGTACCATCGGATTTTTTCCTGAAGCGGTGTGTCGAATTTGATCGCTACCGTAGAGGAACTGCCCCTCGAGCTCACGCGCTGGCTAACTACTGCCGCCGGCGGCAGCCGCTTGGTTGCTGTGTTGCCATTTCTTGATGCTGACTTTAAACCTGTCGCGGGCACTGCCGTCGCTGTAGCCACCGCCGCATCCTCCAGCCACTGCAAGTCAGCACGGTGCTTCTTCTCTGCCTTGACCTGCTCTGCGCGCGGCAGGAGGTCGCCGGTAGCAGGATCAACAATCGGATACCCCGATTCAAGCAACACAGAATTAGCAGAGCTCAACAGATCCGGATCGAGCTTGGCTCTAAACATGAAGGCAAGCTTGATTGTTAGCAGCAGCCCGTGTGCTGCGCTCTTAGCACCTCCAAGCTCGGTTGACTCACGGTTCTCAAATGCCCCAATAGCGCAGTCCCAGAATTTGCTGTCAGCACTGGCGACCGCACACACATCCCAATCCGAGCCCCACTCGTCATCAGAGACCGCTTCAGGCGAATTCGGCACGCTGGCCAGCGTGCTCGGCAGTGGCTCAAACAAGCTGGTGGCTTCGATCCTCAGGACTTTGCACACAGGTGTCAGGGCCACCATACCCCGTTTATGGATCATCGCATACAGCTCCAAGCGCACGCGCTCAGCCAACTGCAGGTCTGACAGCCTACGAGCCACGCTCAGAGTGCACTGAATAACCCGGGCATTCCACTGCGAATACACGCGGCCCTGCGTACGCACATTTCCGTGAAGCAGACCAGAAACGAGCTCCGAAACCAAATGCATGCTGCCAACCTCGGATCCCGCGCACAGCTCCGTTGCCCGCGTGAGCACGGACTCAATCCATGTAGCAGGCATGGCATCAAGGGCTGCGCTGTTTTTGGAAGCAATGCTTGTGAGCAGTTGCGCGCATTTGACAGCGTGGAAGCGGCTCCGGGTAGACAGCGCGCGTTCAAGAAGACATTTTATGCCATCGACATACTGCGCGCCCTGGGAGAGAGCCTTGCCCTCACCGACAACAGACCATATGCGATCCCAGTCATCGACTGCGCCTAGACCCAGCAGAATATCGCTGGTGATAAACCCCGAGGGAGTGCCGCCAAATATAACCTGCTTGGCCCCCACCCCATGTCCGCCTGCGGTGTTCTCGCCACACTGAAAGTCCATGTACAAGTTGTACGCCTGGTCGATATGGCCTCTGGAAAGTAAGGCATGGAGGAGTGCGCCAAGCTGCAAGGAGTTCATGGCCACAAAATGAGCATACTTGGCCTCGCCCAGCAGCGTCATGGCATGGTCGACATGCCCCTGGCTGACCATCTCGAGGGCATAGCGGAAAAACGGCGCGGCTGCCCGGTTGCGGATCCGCCAGAGTTCCTCAACCTCAATGACTTGTGGCTTCAAGACATGCTCCTCATGGACCAACCTCCACTTCTCTGCCTGCATACTGACTGCGTCCGGCATGACAATCGAGCCTTCAATGCTGCGCCAGCTCTGCTGCCAACCAGCGGAAAACTCGGAATAAAGCGCATCGGCTGCCGCCGGGTCGCCGAGCCGGTAGTACATTGACATCATTGATGCGTACTCAGACCCCAGGTGTCTGTGGTCGTTCTGCCGTGCCATCAAAAACAACCACTCAGCGTCAGCCTTGCGCTCGCGCACGCTCATCGCCCTAAGTAAAAACAAATAAAAACCCGAGCTTGCCGAAAAGGACCGGTCCCTCAGAATGCGAGCTATATCCACGGCGGTATCCAGCGGATCGTCTGCCAAAAAAGATTCCAGCGCCAGTTTCTGATCGGGCGACAACACTGCGCTGCCCTGAGAGCGAATTTCAGTGATCGGAATGTCCACAGCCTCCAAATTAGTCAAGCGAAACTGCCACATTGACCGGCCGTCGGCAGAGCTCAGAGAATCCGATGTCTTGCTGTGTGTGTTTACTAGATGTATACCCTGTGTGACCCCGTAAAAGCTGTTGTTCGCCAGGTAAATTGCAACCCTTTCAAGAACTGCCGAGTCAATCAGCCATCCTCTGGCTGCAGCAATCGCGCACAGCTTGACAATAACCCGCGACTCGATGCGCTGTGAAATGCCGTTGGTCTCGGTTTTGGAAATGGCATCAAGGAGGCTCTCGCATACAGCATGGTTCAATAGATGTGGGCTAAACCTCATGCTGCTGCCATTCTCTCCGAGTTCGCTTATAAACTCGATGATGGCATTGATGTACCGGCTGCTGTTTATCGATCGGCTCTCGGCGATGCGATCCAAGACTTGCAGCGGTGTAGTCGGCGGCGTCTTTTTCAATGCGTTTATCAAAATATCTGCAGCACTGACGTCTGAAACTTTTCCAACCGCATCTTCAGCCATTGATCCTCGTTGTGTTGCTTTGTCGTCTCCGCTGTTGTCGCCACCATTATTAATGCCGGTAAAGGATCGTGTCTGATGTATATGCACCGAGTGCAATAGTGGCTGAGAGCTGCTGTTGATTGCTGAGCAAAATATATCCCGGCTGGCAGGCGCTAAATTCGCCCGTGAGCGCACGCATTGTGCAGTGGCCTGGCGGGCTATCTGAGAGGCCGTTGAAGTTGCCCTAGTTTTCGACTGTGACAGTAGCCGCGCAGCCATGGTCCTGTCCGTTGGGCTGAATTATAAAAGGAGGCTAAATTCAGGCCAAACAAATAAATAAAGTAGAGAAAGTACAAGAAGACAAACATGAATTCGACACCAAAAAAAAGATAAAGCAACAACTTTAAAAAATATATTGATCGGTGCTTGGGTGAGCACTGGGCTCGCTTGGCAGAAGATGAGGGGTCGAACCGAGTCGAGCTGAATCAGTGAATCGGGACTTAAAGCGTGATCCCAACTTTGGATGTTGAAAATGTGTGGTGTAAGCTTGTTTAAAAGGCAAATCGTGCGGTCAAGCAAAAAAAACCGTGCATAAGCAAGTTTGCCCATGACTTTCGGATCGGCCACTATCCAGGGTTCTGACGGCTCTCAAAGCGGTGGGTACTGGGAAGCTAACTGGAAACTCCTAAGAGTGGCGGCTGCACTCGGGTCAATGGGGGCACATTTTCCAATTGGGAGTGAGAGAAAAACACATAGATGAGGGGAGATTGTAAACAGCCACACTCTTTCTCCCCATTTCTCACACCTGCCTCAACCCTTCCTACTTTTTATTTGTCAGCAGCAATTGATCTCATTAGATGCCGCATCAGTCTGTTCTGGCGAGCGCGCACAAACACGTGCTCGTTTCCTTTTAAATTAGGGAGGCGTATCCCAGTGTCAACGAAACGCACAATTTTTTAATATGAGCACTTTGTGAAAAGAACAAAAGCCCAGGTGCGCATGCATATTGCTTTGCTTTGGCCGTTTTTTCTCCGTCAATTGAAATTATTAAATGGCTGTCGCATGTCCCCTCTCACTCGTTTCTTCTCTTCCCTTCTTCGATTTATTTTTCGCATTCACGCTTTTCTTTTACTTTACCCACACTTGTATTCTGCACATACACACAATCATACTTACTATTAGATATATTGCTCAGATGGTCAAGGATATCGATGCCACGCAGAGAAAAGCGACATTGGTCGATGGTGAGGTGCAGAGAACAAAAGTGCAGACTGCAACTTTTGACAGGGCAGAGGAAATTCAGGTCGATGGCGACCAGAGCAGGTTCTCGGCGATGCTGGGCATTCTGCGCAAATTGGTAGGCGTTTCAGATATAATTAGTCTGTAAGTTGACATTACGTGCACATAATTAAATCTAAGCAAACATTGTAAGTGTTTTTGGTGTTTCATTGCCTTACAAAGTTCCTTCAGCCGTCCTGGGAGACAAAAGGGCAACGGATTTCATTTCATCTTGTTTGTTTGTTTTAATTCGGGTTTTCGGCAGTAACAAAGGGATGGACTTTGTGGTCACATCACTTGGGCATGCGGAACTATGTCTATGTCATGCTCAAAGCAAGTGGAAACAAGTAGTGTTGTTTATTGCTATTCTATTACCATAATCTCAAAATAACAACGGTGGATCATCTGGCCATACTGATGCCTGTGTGCTCTGCTGCATCGCAGTGGGTGGTATGCCCGAATTTAGCAATTGCAGACGATCGATACGTGCATATGTGTGTGACCTTGCATGTTCTGAGCGATTTTTGTTTATTTGGAGTTTAAAGTGCTATGAATTAACAATTTGCGTATTAACCTGTTTATATTTACATTTTTTATTAGTCGCCTGTCACTGCCGTCGCAGCTGCTGGATCCAATTCCTAACCTCGAATACTGGAACTACATGGATCGCCCCGAATATTTTGTAAGGTAGGTAGTTGAATTGCAGCTGGAGACTTTGCAATTTCGCTTTGTCATCCGCAGCACACATGGCTTTTTAAAGCTAAAGCTGCACATTTGTAAAGATTGCATGTGGTTAATATATGCCAAGACTCGATTCAGTTTTACAATTTGTTTTGTAGGATAGCAGATTCTGACGATGAGGTCGAGCGGATACTGGCGGTGGTGGCATGGTGGTTCTCCAAGCTCCTCAAACATTCAGGCAAGGTGCTCAAGCCGTTCAATTCGATTCTTGGAGAGCAGTTTTTCAGCCGCTGGCAGGTTGACACTGCCGACAATGCCGCACGCAAGGGCACATTGTCGACCAGCTCAAAAAACGCGTCCTCGAACGGCGCATATGCGGGCACCAATGTCACGGTCGAGTACATCACCGAGCAGGTGTCGCATCACCCGCCAATATCGGCGTTTGTTTACCGGTGCCCAGAGCGGGGGATCGAGTTATCCGGGCTCGACCACTTTTGCGCAAAGTTCACGGGGCTGTCCGCCACAGTGGCCTCGGGATCGGAGTGCAAAGGCGTTTTCTTGAATATCAAGGGTCGCGGCGAGGAATACATGAGCACTCATCCAACGGCCAATATTGTCGGCTGGCTGCGGGGCAGCCTTAAGGTGCAGTTTGTCGACACCAGCTACGTCGTTTGCGAAAAGACCAAGCTGGCAGCCATTGTCGAGTTTAAGGAGGAGAGGTGGTTCGGAAAGAATAAGGATAATGTGTCAGGAAGGGTGTTCCGTTTCAGCCCTGAGCAGCGCAACCAGATTGCGAGCTGGCGCCTCAAGGATATTCCCAAGTCGTGCGATGTAGTGGCCACGTTTGGCGGGAACTGGGATAAGAAGGTCGTGGTCCAGCGTGGCGGAGAGGAGAGCACGCTGGTGGACCTGACTGATCTGCAGGTGGCAGAGAAGATTGTGCGGCCGGTGGAAGAGCAGGGGCCGATGGAGTCGCGGAAAGTCTGGGGGCCAGTGGCCGACAAGATGAACCAGGGCAAGTTCGGTGAGGCCACAAAGCTGAAGCGCAGCATTGAGGAGGACCAGAGGGAGCTGGCGGCGGAGAGAACTGCCAAGGGGGAGCCCTTTGTGTCAGCCCTGTTCAAGGTTGAAAGCGTCGCCAGCGGCAAACCGGAGCTTTTGAGCGACGCGCCAATCAACGTGTAGACTTTTTTATTTATTCTTTTTTACGCTTTCAGGAAATTTATCGTCTTGCATCCTCGCGCGTGGAAACGCGGTTTTTTTTTGCTGGAAAAAACACATACACTTCAGTTTTTTTTTAAATATCCTCTGACTCTCCTTTTTGGGTAGTGCGCGCCTGCGCGTTGTTTAAAATAGATGGGCTCGGCTAAAATGCACGAGCGCTTCGGACTCAAGTTTTTCTTAAGCAAGCACTTAAAGTTCGGTATGACAAGAGGCACATTGTTGAAACGTCTGGAATATTACACTGTAGCTTGAATAAACTTTTTTTTTCTTTTTCAAAAGTGCTTTTTTTTTGTAGCAATTTTTTTCTAGTTATAACATAATCTTTTGCCCTTGTGCAGTCAACAATTTTTTCTTCTATTTTGCTTTTTCTTTTGCTTTTGCTTTTGCTTTTTTTCAATTTCTTTTTTCACCTTTTCAAATTATTTTTTCTCTCTATTTTTACCCATTTATTATTATTTCCTCCCCCCCTTTTTCACCTTTACATACTCACTCCTATAGCACCAGGCATTTGTGCACCTATTGTCAATACCTTTCTGGGCCTTTCCATATAAAGTTTCTTTTTTTAATAACGCGTTTCAGTTCATTTATTAACAAGGGAGCCACAAAGACTCGGGTTGGTAAAATAAATATACAGCAAAGCACTAAAAGGTTAGTATATTTTCTGTTCTTATTCAGAACTGACAAATCAACGGTTTGAATTAGCAGAGTCCAATCCGCGGTCTGCCTTTCTTTTTCACCCTTAGCAAATGAGTTACACAGTGAGAGTAAGTCACTATGACGCGTCGCTGACCCCCCCCCCTCCACAAATTGAATGCAACGATATAACAACTAAGCAACACAAACAAACAACTTTTGGTTCTAATTATTAGTGTAGATAAATAAGACCTAGTTTCTTTTTTTTCTTTTATTTCACGACGTTTAGGAGGGTGTTTAAAAAGCGGATTATCCACTTCTATTTTGTTATGAGTACGGCGGTACCTGCAACAGATAACATCGTCGATCTAGGTACAATGGCATTTAACAAGGCTCCGGGACAACAGGTGGCGGGGTTTCAAGCGAGTACCGGACAGGGGGCGGATGGCTCGGGAGGTATTTTGCAACAGAATGGACAGTTTGGAGCACAGATGACAGCACAGCAGCAACAGCAGCAGTTGCATTTTCAGCAATTGCAACACCTTCAGCAATTACAGCAGCAGCAGCAAATGGCTAATGACAACGCTAACGTTAGCGCGGGGGATCAGGGTCTCAGCAGCAGGCTTATACGGCCCAGCAACTGGCATTTGTGAGGCAGCAACAACAGGCACTGTTCAACCAGCAGCACATGTTCTTCAGCAGCAACCGCAACAGCACACAACGCAGCAACCAACCAGCAGCAATCTCAGGCTCAGCAGCAGGCGCAGGGATCTATACAGGTGGCTAATGGCGCAGCACTGGTGGAGGAATAACATGCGACATTGCGGGCCATTGCTGCAAAGTTTGGAATTCCAGAGACGGTTTCGTCGCAGATACCCCCGATGCAGCTGGCGATGATTTTGCAGAATTTTCAGGGGCAACATAATGATGCCATGATGCAGGCCCAAGGACAAGGCCAGGCACAGGCACAGGCACAGGCACAGGCACAGGCACAGGCACAGGCACAGAGGCCAGGATCAGGCGCAGCAGCTACACCACCACGACAACAGCAGCAGAGCCATATTCAAGGCGTGGCGACGCCGCAGCGGCAACAATCGGCTACGCCGCAGTTAGCGACGCCATTGGGGGGAAGCAGCAAAAGCGTCAAGCCAGCGTCGAAGCGGTCCAAAAGCAAATGCAAGAGCGAAAGCCAATCGCCAGCGCCCAGCCAGCACTCAGCACTGGTATCACCCACGACGCCGCACATGTCGGTCCACTCCTCATTCCCGGGGCGCGGCGGGTCATCAACACCAACGCCCGGCGACACAGCGGCCATCAGCTACAGCGCCTCAGAGGTAGCCGCAGCGCAACACATGTCCGACGAATTCGTCGCCCAGCTCCCACAGTACACGTACGAGACGTTCATCCCATTTCTGCAAAATTCAACCGCGAAAACAACATTCCGGGCAACTTCAGTAAGCCGCCGTTGTTCAACGAGCAGCGGATTGATCTTTACCGGTTTTTCTGCGAGGTGATTCGCGCCGGCGGGCTGGAGCAGGTGCACACGAAGCGGCTGTGGCGGCAGGTGGCCAAGGATGCTGGGCTGCCGGATAACCAGACGCTGCCGCCGCTGCTGAGCCGGTGGTATAAGGTTGGCTGCAGCCGCTGGAGCAGCTGCGCGTGTATCCGCCGGGCCACGCCAGGCATACGGGAGTTGGAGCCAATTTTTCGCTCAAGAAGCGGCGGAGGGCGGACGCCAGCCCTGGTGGCACCCCGGGGCCTGACCTGGCCAAGCGCTCGCGCATGGCGAGCCCGGTTCCGTTTCCGCCCGGGCAATTTGCGATGCCCGGCCAAGCCATGCCCGGGCAGCTCATGCCGGGGCAGCACGCAATGCCCATGCAGGCGCTACACCACGGCCAGGCGCTCCAGATGCAGCTGCACAGCGTGCAGCCAACCCCAGGCCACGTGACGCCAGTATCGGCGCCGTCGCTGCCGTCGCAGCCGGTCAGCGCACAGGCCCACCACAGTGTGCGGCAGGTGACTGTGCCAATGCCCCCGCCGGCGCCGGCGCAAGCGCGGTTCTTTCCGTTGGAGCGCACGCTGGACACGTTTGGCGGAGTTGATGTTGCGGCAGCCATGGCGCTCAGGCCGCGCGCGCGGCACCCGGCCATTGGCGACTACGGCAGCATTGACGTGCGCGCGCTGGCGTTGAGCATCGAGTCGGGCATTCCGGCGGAGGTGGCTGCGGCGTTAACGACACTGGTGCGTGTGACTGCGCATGCGGACGCGGTCCTGCCGCTGGCACAGTGCGAGGAGCTGGCGGAAGCGCTGCTTGGGGTGCTTGAGGGCGAAGCCGAGGCTAGAGCTGAGTCGGAGTTGGAGTTGGAGTCGGAGCCGGAGCCGGGGCCGGAGCTGGGGCCGGGGGCCGGAGCCGGAGTCGGAGCCTGGGGCCAAGGAGTGCCCGTCGTACGCCGACGATCTGGCGCGCTTCGCTCTGCTGAGCACGCAGGACCTGTCGCTCGGCGGGCTGCCCGGCGACGAGGTGCAGGACGCGGCGGCCGTGCGCGGGCTGCTGCGCGGCGGCAGCGCTCTGTGGGCATTCACATCCGACCGCACGCTGGCAGCAGCATGCGCGCTGCGCAACCTGTCGTTCCTGCCGGCAAACCAGCTTTTCCTGGCCAGCAGCCACGACTTTTTCCGCGCCTTCGCGGCGCTCTGCCAGCGCTGCGACTCTGCGGCCGCGGAAGCGGCGGCCAGCGCCAGCGCGCGCGCCCTGCACCGTGCGCTGGAGTTTCGGCGCGCGCTGGTCGTGGTTCTGGCCAATACCGCCGACAGGCTTGACTTGCGCGCGTGCGGCGCCAAGTTTGTGCGCGCAGCCCTGCGGCTGCTCGCGTACTTTGCCGATGGGCGGCAGGCAGCGGCGGCGGCGGCGGCGGCGGCGGCGGCGGCGGCGGCGGCGGCGGCGCATGCGTGGGAGAGCAGCGACGGCAGCGCGGGCAACGGCGCGCTGGTTCTGCTGGCGCTGGAGGCTGGCGCGCGGCTGTCGGTGGCGGACAGCAACCGCACGATGCTGGCGCACCTCGGGCCGCGGCACTTCGGGCCATTGGCCGATGCCTGCGCGCGGCTGCTTGCCGCCAGCTCGCCCCCTGCGCCCGGCGACGCGGCTGCCGCTGAGTCGCGGCTGGTGTGGGTGCACACGGCGCTGCTGCTGCTGAGCAACCTGGCAGCGGCCGCCGCCGGGCCGCCGACCTCTGCCCGGCAGTACACGCGGTTCCGCGTCGCCGACATCAATGGGCGCCGCGCTGCGCCGCGCCTGCGCATGCCGTTTGCGCCGACGTCCTTTGTCGCCGCAGCCGTGCCGCCCGCACTGGCGGCTTTCCGCAAGCGGCTCGCGCAGGACACGGCGTTGGTGCGCGCGCTGCTGGAGATGGCGGTTGCCGCGGCCGACGCCCAGGTGCTTCCGGATACGCCGGTTGCCGAGCTGGCGGAGCGCGCTGTGTTTGTGCTGCAGATGCTGCATCCCGACCACGATGCGCTGTTTGCTGCGCGCTGGGCTGACTGGGTTGTTGATCGCGTTGCCTGTCGCCCGCTGCCGCGTGCGCTGACGGAGTCGCTGTGTGAGCTTGTGGGGTTTTTGCCGGTGAACAGCCTGCAGAAGTCCAGGCGCTGATCTTTTTTTTTCTTGGCTTAAAAAATAGAATTTGTGGGTTTTTGCCTGTGAGCGCGTCTTTTTCACTTTGCTTTTGCCGCTATGCCGCTATGCCAACCTATGCCATGTCTATGCCACTATTTCTATGCCCCTATGTTTCTATGCCCCTATGCCTCCATGCCTCCATGCCTCCATGCCTCCATGCCCCTCTTGCTCTCCTCTGGTCATGGCTGTTGGATTTGATTTACTTTTTTATTTTTATTTTTCAACCCGCTTGAAGGAATCACGCGTCTCACCCAATTGGCTCACATTGCTTTTTTCATTTCCTTTTTTTTCTTCCTTTTCTTTTGCCTATCCCAAAGTTTTTTTTTCCCAGCGAGAATGGAAAATAAGAGAAAAAACCAACCGTTTCAACCTCATCTGTTTTTTTCTTTCAGTTCGGCTCGATTCATTCATTCATTCATTTTTTTTTGCTTCCTTCTTATATATATTTTTTGGTGCTAAAAAGAAGCCTTATATATATAACTCACGCGCTATTATTGTTTCTTACTTTTTTATATTGCCAACACTCAAAAACACCACCAGGCACACTGACAAACCCAACCAACCCACACATAAAAAACACCCGCCCCTCCCCCTCACCCATAGGGCACATTTCCTGAAAGTGTCTAGTTACCAATAGAAGAGAATATCTTATCCTCGCTCTTTTTTTTCTTTTTCACAGAGCCATGGCCGACCACATTGACCAAATCCACGAGGAGGAGGAGGAGTACGATGGCAAGCTTGTCGATGGGTCCAAGCATGGCGAGTATATCGTTGACCAGGAGGACGAGTCCCTGGCGCAGGAGGTCAGTTATGAGGCCGAAGAGTACGGCGAATTTGAATTAGCCGAGGTCGAGGGTATGGAGCAACAGGGGGATTCGACGGGGCAGGCTGAGTACGCGTCCGGGTCTATTCTGGTGACTACAAATGAGGGCGATCAGATGCTGGATGAGCATCAAGGTGAGTACTACGAGGAGGATATTGACAAGGGCATGGATGACCACCAGATAATCGAGCATATGCAGCAGCAGCAGCAGCAGCAAGAGCAAGAGCAGGAACAGGAGCAGGAGCAGGAGCAGGAGCAGGACAGGAACAGGAGCATGGGCATGGGCATGGGCATGGGCAGCAGCCTGAGGAGGGGGTGGAGGGTGAGGAGGAACTCCAGGGGCAGGACATTATGAAGAGGAGCATTACGATAACAGCCATGTTGATTACATGATGGCCTCCGATGCAGACGCACATGCTGCCAACTCCTCTCTGACTGCGCTGTCGCAGGTCATCACATCTAGCGTCAACCAGCTCACGGACGAGATGAACGAAATGGGCGATATGGGCGAAATGAACGACATGGGAGAAATGGGCGAGATTGGCGACATGGGCGAGGATAAGCAGGACTTGCCGCAGGACCACCACCAGGAGGGAGAGGAGATCCGCGTGGATGACCCAGAGGCGCACTCGGCAGAAATCTCGACCCCCACTAGATACAAGGCCATCTCAGGAACGCATCGGACGCCAGCCAAGCGGCCGCTTTCATCGCATAGCGGCGATGGCGGGAGCAGCCGCCTGAAGAGCAAGGTGTGGGGCTGGTACGAGATCATGCCCGACGGATATCGCCAATGCAAGTTTTGCGCGCAAAAGTACGGCCGCCTCACAGCCACCACCATTCTCGCCCGCCACTACCACAACAGACATGATCCCAATCCAGAGTTCACTACGTCCACCCCGACTGCGTCCCACCGCGGTATGTCGCACATGGGGTCTGCCAGCCAGCCGGTCTCCTCCATGGCCTCGGGCCAGCACCACGATCTCCATCACCACCACCACCACCATCATCAACACCAGCAGCAGCTGAACATGTCGCAGGCTGCGGCGGCGGCGGCTGCAGCTGTGGCGGCTGCCGTGGCCAATGGCACTGCGGGGACGACGGGCGAGACGCCGGACCCCCAGACATCGCATCTTTTCCACGCCGCATCGAATGGCGCAGTCTCGGCCGCCTACTCGCACCAGGGATCGCTGGCCAACGGGTCTACTGAGGACATCCTGCGCTCTGTTTCAGAAGCCGTCAACCAAGCACCCTACGAAGACTCTCATATTATGATGCCGGGTAAGAATGATAATTTAATCTGTGCTGCAATCACATGCGCAAAACATCTTTTTGAACCGACATTCACTTTTATTGTCACTTCTTTGCTCACACAGTCACTCTATGTCTTGTTTTCATTTTTACCTTGAGCTTTCGCTTGTGCTGTTACGATCAACGACGCGTATACAAAAAAACTAAAGATTTTTTGTTCCTCTTCCTCCTGCTTCTTATCGTCCCATTCCATCTCTCTCACTTTTCTATTGCGTGTGTGGATTAACTTTTTCTTTCTTCCCTCCTCAACCTCTCGTCACCGTGTTTTTATTTATTACTTTAGACGGATTCCCACCCATGCTGTCGCCGCTCGCCCGCATCAACCTCACGCCCGCACGCAAGGCAATAGCTGCCGTGGCCCAGTTCTGCGCGCAGTCCGATGTGCAGAAGAACCTGCAGACTTGCATTGGCCTCATATCCACCGCTGCCCGGCGAGGCGCCCGCATGGTCTTCCTCCCGGAATCCAGCGACTTTATTGCCGAAACCCGCACCCAGCCCGCGCAGAACGCCCAGCCGCTGGACGGGGCCTTCATGAAAGAAATCCAGCAGGCCGCCAAAGACAACGCCATCTGGGTCTCTTTGGGCATTCACGAGCAGCCGGCCCTCAACGGCATGCCGTACAACACCAACGCAGTTGTAAGCTCAGACGGCACCCTTGTCTCGATCTACCGCAAGCTGCACCTCTTCGATGTTAACGTCAAGGATGGCCCCCGGCTTCTGGAATCCACCACGACAACGAGAGGTGACCGCCTGCCCGATGTTCTTGACACCCCCGTGGGTAAACTGGGGCTGGCCATTTGCTATGACCTGCGGTTTCCCGAAATGGCGCAGCAGCTGCGTCTGCGCGGCGCCCAGTCCCTATGCTACCCGTCGGCGTTTACGGAAATGACCGGTGCGGCGCATTGGGAGCTCCTGGTGCGTGCTCGGGCGGTGGAAACGCAGACGTATGTGTTTGCGGCGGCGCAGATTGGAAAGCATAACTCGAAGAGGTCGAGCTTTGGAGATGCCATGATTGTGGATCCTTGGGGATCGGTTGTTGCCAGGTGCCCGCGCAATTCAAACGAGCCTGAGGTTGCTCTGGCTGAGATTAACTTGGATTTCTTGGAAAAAGTTAGGCGCGAAATGCCCGTTTTTAACCATAAGAGGACGGACGTATTTGGAGAGTTTGTCGCATAGACAACAACACGACGACGACGACGACGACGACGACGACGACGACGACGACGGCGACGACGACGACGAAGACGACACAACAAAAGTAATATATTTTTTTATTTAAAAATTTGATGTTACTTTATATATAACTTTAGTAATTCATTGCATTGCTCTTCTATCAGGGCACTATGGCATGAGAGAAACTTTGAGACAAAGGAAAACAGTTACGCATTAATTACTCAAAACTCTAGGCTGTCCACTTCGGCAAGTTCCTCCCTAACAATTGTAACCTGGTCTTCGAGGAACCAAAACCTCCCAATGAATTTCTTGCCCCGAATAAACATCGGCCACCACCTCTCATCATCCTTCCACATTCTGTCAAACGGCATATCTCCTACCCCAAACCACTTCGGAGCCATCTCCTCAGTCTCCTCCCACTCACCCTCATACTCCACCGTGTCAAAAACATGCACCTCCATAGTCACGGGATCATTTTCGAAATAGAAAAACAACACCCCGCGTTTATTCACCGACCGTGCCCGCAAACACGACTCCTCTGTGAGTTCGCGTATGGCGCCCTGAGAGATAGATTCTTGGGGCTCTACTTTGCCTCCGAACCCGTTGTATTTGTTTTGACCGAATCCGCGCTTTTTGAGGCCTAGGAGGACTTGGGTTTGAGGTGGGTTGAGTGGGAATATGAGGGTGAAGAGACGGTGGGGTTTGCATTGGTACTCAAGCTCTTCGATGTGCTTGGATACTGATCTGGAGTCCATGATTGAATGCTGAAAGTAAATATCTAAGCGAATGGGATCGGGTGGGTAGAAAAGATGGGTTGGTAATATTGGTGATTAGGTGCATAAATAAGGTGGGTGTAACTTTTAATGCTCTTTTTTTTTTTGGGTTTAGTAAAGATTGGATATGGGCGGATCCTGATGCACTTCCCCCTTTTTTCTGAATGGTTTCTATATTTCGCACAATGTATCTATGTTCTCTCTCTCCACTCTTCCCTGAATGCTCGGGGACTATTCTTAATACGGGCAACGATTGGACTTTATTATTGTTATTATTATTCATTTTTGTTTACACCAAAAGCAATATGATAGTTTACTTGCTTGTTGTAGCGGATATATTCTCGATCAACATTTTGTGCTCCAGCAACTGCTCGCTACTGACGCGTTCAATTGCATGTCCGGCAATATTCTCACCATTAAACAAAAAACGAGCGACAAATAGGCCTTGTGACAGCAAAGTTGGCCACCATAGCTAGCCTCGATATGCATTTGATCATACGGGAGGCTATCGCTGGTAGTATCGAACCACTTGGGTTTCATCTCGTCGGATTCTGAGATATTACCAGAGTACTGGGACAAGGTGTATACGAGAATGTGGTGGCTCGGTCCTTTCATGTCGTCCATATACAGGACTCCGACATAGCGTAGTTTTTCGGCAACTAATCCGCATTCTTCCTAAGAAAAAGATATACGGACATTTTTACCAAAATATATTTTTTTTATTTTAGTCGATAAGTTTTTATGAATTGTTAGATTTAATGTTTTTAAATCCTAAATACTCTTTTCTTTCTTTTTACCTGTAGTTCGCGGTGGGCACATTGATCCATTGTTTCGCCGGATTCGGGTTTACCGCCAAACCCATTCCACAGTCCTTGGCCCATTCCACGCTTCTTCAGACCAAGAAGAACCTGGTTTCCATCAGGGCTAAATGGGAATATGACAGTAAAGTAATTTATGCGTGCAGAATCCATATATTAATTTATACCCTAATAAAAAGATAATTATGATGTCCAAAAAATATAAAAACTAATTGTTTAGCATTAAAAATGTCACAATTAACACATGTTTAACGGCAATATGGGTAGGGAAATGCAGCTAATTTAGGGTGTGTGCATTTCGAAAAAGAACCCCCTCCCCCCCCCCCAATACTTCAAAACTTGGTAGCATAGACAGTTTGAATGAAAGAATACAAAGTTTTTAAGGTGGTAGGCGCGTAATCCAGAAACAAGGGAAATTGTCTTTTTTATTTTATTTAATAGTAATGTATGTAAAAATCAATTGATCCACTTGATCTAGGGTGGCAATTTTTAAAACCAGTGCAAACGTCAACGCACATTTGACGGTAAATCAACATAATCTTTTTGTCTCCTTTTCCTTTTCTTTGATATATATATGTATATGTATATTTTATTTTTTAGTTAAATTTACAACAAAAAAATCTCAAAACTTTTAACCAAATTTCAGCCAACTTCGAATTACTACTAGGTTAGAAGGCATGCCAAAAAACATTAAGCACGATGAGTTGGCTCAAATGTTATCCTGACACAATGCAGAGGACCTTTCATCAGCAGGGCGCTAAGGATACAGCCAAAGTCTGCTAAAATATATCGCCAAGCATACCAAGAAGCAGCGTCTCGCGACAACTGATTCGAGCGTCACCACGAGTACCGCGCCTGAGAGTCTGCTTTTAGTCAACGATGTCACTTCCTGCGAGCAACGCCAACAATGCAATCGAAATGGTGTTATCGGTAATGCAGCATTTGTTGCCCATGGCTAAACACAGATGGATGATGGCAAATAAAAGAACGGAGTATGCTTTATGGAGTGCCAGCAGGAGATCTCCGCCAGGCTCGCGGCCAAGGTTGGATATCTTGACGTGCAAGGGATGAGCAGCTTGCTGCAAAGGAGGCCTGGATTTGATGCCGAGGGACAATCAGCTTGCTGCAAAGGAAGCGTGTCTGGCTGCGAAGGACGAATATCTTGCCATCATCAGTTCCAGCTCTCATCGAAAGTGGCAAGGATCAAGTATGCTCGCACGGAGTCCCTGAGCTCGAAACACTGCTAGGTAATATTGCTCTCCACGACAAAGACTCAACCTGCCGCTGCCAGTCCTGAGATCATACAGCAACTTGATAAGAAGGTTGTTGTTGTTGTTCCGCAGCCAGAAGACATTATAAACGTTGTCCTTCTCCAGAAATTCTGCTAACTTGATTATAACCTGAACTCAAGACCGCTACCGAATGCAAAGCCATAGGTTTTGCGTCCAACGATCGCGCCGCATCCACAGGATGGTGGTATGGTGGCGAGGGCTGATCGTGCTGCTACTGAATGCACATTCGATGGTTACAACCGCGCTTCGTGCTTTGTTCACCTTCCACCCTTCCTGGATAATACGCCCACCGCGCATCCCAATCCTATCCATGCTGAGTTTGATACCACGAGGCGTCGGATTGCTAAACCCAGGATATTCTGGATCAAGGAAAATAAATGGCCGGCTGTTGTTAAAAAAACAACCTGATACCTTGTTTTTTATTTTGGCAGACCCAGTGCTGGCTTCAGCACTCCTGAGATTCGTGAACTTTGCCACAATAGGTCAGAACAATGTCCAGCTATTTAATTTTATAAACAGACCGTTTATGTTTGTGACATGAATAGCTCCATATTTGGTAACCCAATACATCATATCTGAAACATTTACAAACCCAAATATGCTGGTTTCAATATATCAAAATGCTAACGCAAGTCAACATTTCCAGAGAAACCATCCAAAGCAAAAATAAGAATAAAAATAAGAACCAATACTTTAAATTTTTCTGATATTAAGCCATTGCCATAAGTAAACAGACTTGGTGCGCTGGTCGTGGTCTCGGAGATCGGCGCGGCATGTTTTCCAAAGTGACAAATTTACGCAAAAAATGTACTTTGTAGTACTGCCGGTGATGAGCATTACCCACACTGTTTGATGCCCCGGAGTGCTGCTTGTGTTTGGTCGCAAGACCAGATGCAAGCAGTCCCAGGGAAATATGAGCATGCTCTAGGTTTTCTGAGGCGAATACAAATCTACAAACAAAAATTATGTTTGCGCATTAAAAAGTTGACAATTAAACGAAATACCTTAAAACAGGAAGAAAAAAGAAAAAAAACTAAAAAAGTCAAAGATACTAAAAACCCAAAACAAAATAAAACATCTATTTTCTATTTGGTATTGTCCAAATGGAACCTCGCAATGCCAATGTTGTCCGAGGTCTTGTCAGACTTGTCAGCAATGCGGCGCAGCGGATTGAACTGCGAATTGAGTTCATTCTGGGTGGCCAACGACATGTTCTTGAGGCGGCCCAGTGCCGAGCTGATCTCGCTAACGTTGTCATCAATCTCATCCTCGAGCTCCGGGTCCTCGTCCTCAAAAGTGTATCTTGAGCGCTCGCCCTGACTGAGGCCATTATAGGACTGCAAAACTTTACCATTGGCATCCATGCGTCCAGCCGGGCCCCTGTATCCTGAACCATCGCGGCTAGTGTGCTCCAGCAGACGACTGCGCGACTCCTGGTTACCTTCGCGCTCGCGGTCTCTCGCCAGTCGCTTGCGCTCCTGGTCAGCCTCAACCTTGGCAATCTGCATTTCGCGGCGCTTTTTGCCACTAAAGGGGTTCTTTATGTGAACAGCAAACATGGACCTGTTCAGAGTGCGCAGCTTGCTCGTATCCTCGACTGAGTTTTCTGCCTTCATGTTTGCCAGCTCCATTGTGTGCTCAATGCGGTTGAGTTGTTCTGATTGCTCACCGATTTTAGTCAGGGTTTTGGCGCCTACTTCCTCGGTGTCTTGGAGTGTGCGCAGGGCCCTGCGCGTGGACTCTAGGGTGTCTGTTTTTTTCTCGTGAATGCTAGCCTTGATCGAGTCTATTTCGTCGTCTTCTTCGTCGTAGTCGTTCTGGTCCTGCTGGTAGCGGCTGCCGCCATACTGGCCACTGGCTCCATACTGGCCGCCGTTGCCATATCTGCTACCGCCATTTTGGCCGCTAGCGCCGTATTGGCCACCGTTGCCGTATCTGCTGCTGTACTGGCCGCTATTGTTTTTGCCATCTTGGTCACGGCCCTCGCGCGAGGCCGCTGCGTAGCCGCGAGTATCGGCTCTTCCCTCGGGCGCCCGGCTTAGCCTGTCACTACCAGAACCATATCCACCCGATGACTCGCCTCGTACTTGATGAGCTCTTGGGTTTCGTGTATGCCGGCTGCCTGGGCTGCTGTTGCTGCTGCTGCCAAAGGGGTTGGGGCTGTTGGAGGGTCTGCTGCTAGGGGCACGGGCATCACCAGCACCGTTGTCATACCCTCTTCCTTGTCCTCCTCCTCCGTAGGAATTCCCAGATGTGTTGCGGTAGCTGCTCATCTGAATGTGTAGACTTGTTAAAATGCGGTGGTGTAATGGAAAGTAAAAAAAAGCGTGTAAGAGAGTAACAAATAAAGACGCAGCGGCTGTCTCAGATTTAGTATTGTTTTTGCTGTCTAATTTTAGCTTGTCACACACATGCACATTTTTGCTATCGCTGCTTGCCGCCCATTTGCTGCCTGCAAAGTGGACAAGGTTAACAGCAATGACTGCGACTGGTAAGGCGCACCAAGATTATTTTGCTTTGTATCTTTTGAAAAAAAAGTTTGTGCTTTTTCTAAGAGCGTACAGGCCCCTTTTTAAAAAGATGATGATGAGCACGTGGGATACATGTGTGACAGAGAAATCTAAAATTACAGTGTGCGAAAATCGACATTGTAATTGTTATCAAGCACGGTTGTTTCTTTTTTCTTTGGTGGAGGACTGCTTCATTCGATTTTGTATTTCAAGAAAACAGTTTTAGGCCAACGCAAAAAAATGTTTTGTAAATATGTATTCGCCTCAGAAAACCTAGAGCATGCTCATATTTCCCTGGGACTGCTTGCATCTGGTCTTGCGACCAAACACAAGCAGCACTCCGGGGCATCAAACAGTGTGGGTAATGCTCATCACCGGCAGTACTACAAAGTACATTTTTTGCGTAAATTTGTCACTTTGGAAAACATGCCGCGCCGATCTCCGAGACCACGACCAGCGCACCAAGTCTGTTTACTTATGGGAAAAATTGATGTATCATGCCGCTGACGGCTCAAATAAATTATATTAATATTCTTTTTTTACATGTTAACTATTTTTTAGTTCTCAACAAAAAAATAAACAGCAAAAAATAATATAGAGAAATCAAACAAAATTTACTCGAAAAACAGTTCACCGTACGGGTACATTGTCTCGGACACAAAGCAGCAGTTCGGGCACACATAGTCAGTCGGGCCATCTGGGAGCTCCATATCGACGTCGACGTCGGCGTTAAGAGAGCGCTGCATCTGATGCAGGAAAATTAAGCGAGCAGCGGGGGCAGGGACCTGGGCGCATTTTATGTGGAAGTACTCCTGGCAGTTGTCACACTGAATGACTGGTGCGCTGGCACACTTGGGGTCGCCGGGGTTGACAATATCTTCGGACAGCTCAGTACCATGCACATTGCATACGCAGTTCTCGGCATCCCTGCCAAACGCGTCGCCAGCAGACACTAGGCCCTGACCTAACTCGATCTCCCCGGCTGGGGGATTTAGAATCAAGTGGACCAGATTCTCGAGCTGATCTTTCATGTGCCTGGGAATCGACACTTGGCTCCGCATCTCCTCCTCTTCGCCCATCAGCTCTCCATTTTCAATATATACTGCGTCGGCGTCCGTGTCAGGGGTCGGGTGCGCTACCTTGTCAACCTCAACCTTTACTGGGATCTGCTGGGCAGGCATCTCCTCGGCAGGTAGTGGCGCTGGGGAGGGCATACTTTCTACAACGTTAACACGGGACTCCGACGGTTGCAGTGCCTGGACCTTGGTTTCCACTGGGCCAGTTTCAGGAGCATCTGCCGATACGTCTACGGGAACAGCTCCAGAAACAGTTACAGGAGCATCTGCAGAAACGTCTCTAGAAACATCTACCATGGCGATAGCATGGTTTTTCGGCACAAGCTCTTGCAACTCAGTCCACAAATCGTCAAAGATGCCGTGCCTGAGGTTGATACCGAGCCCCAGAAGCGACATGAGCAGCGCACGCACAATCTTCACCAGCAAAGCCTTCTTGGGTTCCGTCACTTCATCCACAGCCACAATCTTTTTGCCCTGCAGTATGTCCTTTATCGCCTGGGTAAGCGACTGCGCGTCGAGCAGGATGGTGACCAGTGGATCGAGATCGGCAGCAACAAGTCCCAGAGTGCGACAGCTAGTCACCGCGCGGTCAATGTGGCTCAGGTGCGGGTAGTCGGCCAAAAGCCGCGGCTGCTCGCCCTTTGCGCCAGCGCTGCACAGCGGGCAAAAGAACTGGCAATCGCTGACATCCGCTGTCTTGAGGCCAACGCATTTGGCATGGTACCACTCGCTGCACTGCTCGCACTCGACCATCAGGCCACCCTCAGGCTGCAGACACACGCAGTACAGGTCAGTTGGCGGCTGCTTGCTCTCCGCAATTTGCGTCGCCCGGCGCAAGTGCGCCTGCACCAGGGCGAGAACCTCATCCGCAGCCACACCTTGCTGTTTGGCTACGGGCGAGAACATGTGCTCAATCTCGGCGGCCCACGCGTCGACACGACTGATTTCTGTCCGCAGTTTCCCAAGGCTGGACGGCTCAAAGCGCCCAAAGTCCCTGCATGCTTTGACTAGCTCCACAGCCTCGGCATAGCGCGGACGTTGAACCAGCTCCGTGCTCTCAGTGGAATCAGCCAGCCTGTCTGTGCGCGACTGCAGAGTCAGGGCCTTCCGCTGCAGATCGCCAACCTCGGCATAATGGGCAGGAGAAAACAGCATGTTGCGGCCCTTCTCTAGCAGCTTGCCCACGTCGCGCAGATCGAATTGCTGGCGTCCATCTATAAGAGCCTCCGCCGTGGTTGCCCACTCGTCTGCATCGGCTTTAAGCTTGAGCAACTGTGCATGTAGGTCGACCTTAATGCTTACCTCAAGCTGCTCGGCCTCAGCCAGCACCTCATCTAGCAACTCATGTGTCAACTTCTTGTCCTTAAGCAGCGCATTGTGCTTTTCGCACCACTTGGGCACATCTCGCAGCTTGCGGAGTTTGTCGGCCATCGGGAAGTGCAGCCCGTTGGTGTTCAGCGCGCGCTCGGTATTCTGGATCCGCGACATGTACACATCCATGCTCTCAGCGTATTCGTAAGAGTTGCTAGCGAACAGCTTGTTCATGCGGTTGATGACCCGGTGGGCATCATCAATAACGCTATTGATTGTGGCTTGTAACTCCAGGGCGTTCGCCTCGTATTCGACGAGCACCTCGAACTCGGCCGAGTTGAAGTACAGCTTGTCGCCCAGGCGCAGGAGCTCAGAAACGTCCTCGAGCGTGTATGCACCGTATTGATAAGGCTCTTCAACGCCCAACTCTGGCTTGACGCCAAGCACGCGCTGCACAGAGGCCGCAAGCTGTGCCTTAGTATAATACCAAATTAACGAGTGCTTGAATACAGAGCCTGGGGGCAAAGAGGGGTCCCTCGGCGGCCCCAGTAGATAGCTACTGCTGCCCGAATTTGCGTGAGCGGTTGCCCGTCGAGTCCGGGGCAAGTCGGAGACCTGACGGGTGCCCACTGGCAAAGGCGGTGGGGCACGCTGGTACCGAGGCGAAAGGGGCTGAGCAATCGGTAGAGTCGACCCCTTAGGCGGGCGCCCTCTGCGCTTGGGGAGGGCGGTCAATGTTTCTATAGGTGTTGGTTCTGTGTGTGGCACTGCAAGGCCCAGCGTGGTTGATTGCTTGCGGCGTTTGTAGGGCCTCCTCGTGCGTCCTGGTATTCCTTGGACCCGGAAGTCACCGTCCTCGTCATCGCTGGCCTCTTTCGAACTCGTTGAATCGTTGGAGCTGTTGTCAGTATTATACGCCAACACGCGCTTCTGTGAGTGTCCGCCTAGCTTCAAGCCCTCAACGGACATATCGCCAGCACCAATGCTATCGTCGTCATCGCTGTCGTCAAACTCACCACTATAGCACTCGGTGGCCCTGATCAACAGCTTGTCGAAACGCAAATGCAGCTGCTCGCGATAATACAAGTAGATCGACTGCTGCCTGGCAACAATTCTCTCAACCAAACGACGCTCTCCAATGCTCATCAGCAGCGCCTGCACGGCACGGCACCACTCCTGGGCCTTCTGCACAAACTGACTAAGCTGCCGCACATCGGCCAGAATCCTCAGCTCGGCCATAGAAGTCGCGTCTCTAGCATCGTCGCCAACGCTGCAAGTCCGACCGTGGACGTTTATCACCCGCTCGATCTCCATCGCGATCAGTGCAATCGAATCGACGGAGCTGCTGGTGCTGATGCTGGCGCTGGTGATGCCGTTGGTTTGGGATAAAACCATACCCCCAATTGGCTTGGCTGGCTCCGCAGCTGAGTCCTCGACCGGCTCATCAGTGGGCTCATCCATCGATTCATTGGCTGGCTCTTCTGTTGGCTCCTCCATCAACTCATCAGTTGATTCCTCAGCTGGCTCATCGGCTGGCTCATCGTCAGAGTCCTTGCCAAAATCATCGGCAGAATCCTCAGCAGAGTCCTCATCAGTATCATCGGCCGAATCATCAAGTGGTACTCTAGCTAGAGACATCCTGGCAGAGTTTGGGGGCCGGCCCGGACGACGGCCATTGCCCCGCCCTCTTCCACGGCCACCACGGCTACCGCGGCCACCACGACTTCCACGACCTCCACGGCTGCCACGACCACCACGCCCCCTCCCGCGACCACGGCCACGGCCACGGCCAGCTAGTGTGGGGCTTGTCAACGAACTGGAAATAGGCGCCACAGCGGCAGAGGCTGGACCTAAAGCAGAATAATGCACTCTGCCTCCTGCGCTGCCAGCATATTTGGGCGCTCCAGAGTCCATCGGGAGGTCCTCGCCGCCCTGCAGCACCAGCCGATGCGACTCCTCGAGCAGAACGACCATCTGCGTGATATGCGGGCGTTGCAAAAGCTCCTCGCCAATCAAAGTACCCTTGATCGGAGGCAAGGGCTTGATTGTAAGCGGCGGCAGCGACTGCGTTTCCTGATCACTATCGTTGACGGCATTGTGGCCGCGCAGCTCGCTGATGTCTGCGATGTTGTCAGCCACAGTCGGCACGTCGCTTGCGCTGTCCTTGCTCAGATCGACCGAGCCTGTCACCGACGACGCCTCGCCCTGGTTGACGACGGTGGTGTGCGCACTGCTGGCATTTGCCCCGTCGGTATTAACGTACGACATCATTACCCTGCGGAACTCGGACTCCCATATCTGCGCCCGGCCACTGGCGCCCTTGACTGGCGCCGGGCTTTTCTGGATCTTCTTGGCCATTTGGACCTTCTGAATGTTGTGAGGCTGAATATCCTGAATCCTCTCACCGCACATCGCAAGCAGGTCGCTGTCATCGTACCGGGTTTTGAGCACCTTGGAGCTGCCTGGGCATTTGCAGGACTACACAAATTCAAGAAGAAGAAAAGCGCACAGATTGCACAAACCAAATAGGGGAAATTCAGCAAACATGAAAGCAACAAAAATAAAAGCACATTAACAATTCAAATTGACTTACACTGTCAGCATGCGCCGCGCACGCAATGTAGTTGGGGCTGCAGTTGCACACCACGGCCGAAAGGAACGAAAAGGCCTTGCACTTGACACACTGCTGCCGGATTTCCTCCGGGAGATCCGGGTCCCCTTCATCAACCTCGTCCCAGGGCGCCTCTTTGATGGCTGATCCATGCGACCACATCCTGCGCACGCGCTTGCGGTCGCCAAGCTCGCGGTCAACCATCTCTACCACGGCGTCCTGGAACCAGCTCTGGCCGACATACCGATCGCCCTCGGCGTACATAGTCATCAACAGTTCATCGTGCGAGAAAACCGGGTTGCGCCCGTGCTGCTGGTAGCGCTTAACGCTCGGCGCGTCAAAGGGCATCCAATCGGGCGTGGCAAAGTTTACTGCCTCGTTGAAGTTGACACCCTGGTTGAATCCCGAGTGGTAACTCTGCGGGAACGTCACAACAAACTCGCCGGCACGCTGGTCGCACGTAACCACATCGACGCCGCGGCTCAAAAGCACCTCGGGGCTGAGCATTGTCACGAGCTGAAACAGCAGATCGGGCTGCGCGTCGAAAAGCTGCGGCACGGCCCCCCGCATGGCCTCCTCGAACTTGCTCGCGTGGCTCCCGGGCACACCGTACCACGTCTTAGTGTCGCCCCAGTGCATGTAGTTGATCGAGTACGTGTAGTGGTCCTCATTGTGCCAGCAGAACGTGCTGAAGCACATGCCAACGTATATCCAGGGCGTCATCATCCCCGAAATGTCCTGCTGAATGTGGTTGAACAGCGACGCTGGTTGGAACGGCAGCACGTTGAGGTTCCATGGATGCCGTGCGTACGGCTCCAGCGGGTTGCGCTCAACTGTCGGGAATCCGCTGCCGTGCTGCGCCGAGTGTAGGTCCGCGCCATACTCCACCTCAACCTCCTCGAAAGGGGATGCAATCAGCCGCCAGAACTCCTGCTCAACCACGCTCTCGGGCACGCGGCCCTCCATATGTGGACCGTAGAGATACGGGTTCCCCGCCTGGTTGGAGCCCGCGTCCCTGTAGTATGCCTCAAAGAACTTGCGCTTGAACTCATCGCCCTTCTGCTTGAATGACTCGAGCGTATACTCATCGCCGTCTTCGAACCCAAAGTCAGTGCCGGCGTTGAGCACGCACGAGTTGCAGTACCAGTCGTTGGTCGGGATCGCGCTAAGCGGCGGAACCAGGCAGTGCATGTGATACCCGCGGTCACACCCGTCGCAAATCAGCATGCTTTCGTCGTTCTCGCCCGACTTGCACACCTCGCACTGCTCAGGGATATCCTCCGCCGACTTGGCTGCCCAAGCCCTGCTGCTCTCGCCCACATCGTTGCCATTTGTAGACATGTCGCTGTCGAGCAGCATGTCGCTGATCGCCGGGCTGATTCCCCTGCCCCCAGAGACAGACGAGGCAAAATGCGATTGCATGATGTGGGTGTGGAAGCCGGGGTCATCACCACTGTGCTCAAGGACAGGCGGCGGCGACGGCTCGGCACTGTCGCTGCCTATGTGACGCGAAGAGCGCTGGCGCTTGGAGCGACGAACGCCACTGGGGCTGCCGATGCCTAGTGCAGATGCAGAGTTACCATCGTCTAAGCCAAGAAAGCCATTGCTCACACCGGAAATATTAAGCGGCGCGGGCGTGTTGCGGTTTGACGTAGAGCTGGTTGGAAAAGAGCCGCCATGCTTGGCCAGATAGAGCTCAAAAGGCAGGACAATTTTCTGGTAGGTTGATTTCAGCGCGGTCGACATGGAGGTACACGTCTTGCGGTCATATTTAAGCACGCGGCCAATCTCTGCCCATCGCTTGCTGCCGTTGACCTTTTGGTAGCCGCCGCGCGCAGCCACCTCATTGCGTAAATCGTACAGGTCAATGGGGCGGTGGTCAAGCTGCGGCACCTTTATCGTCGGCTGACCCTGCTGCGCGTGGAATTTGTACAGCTGGCTCTGGTAGTTGAGGTTTGTGCGCGTCTTACCCTCCAGCGAGTTGAGCTGCTGGATGCGCGTCTTGAAGCGAAAGTTCTATGCATGTTGCAAATAGGAGTAAAAATTGCAGTAGGATCAAAATGTTGCGTCCGTGTTGTGATTAGTACTTTGGACAGCCCTTTCATTGAAATTTCTGTATTTTTTCTCGCCCTTTGCCAACACATAAATAATAACCCTTAAAGTATTGCTTAACAATGTTTCGTATTGATGGGATATTTTTCCCAACGTTCAAAAACCGCAGGAATAGAGAAATCTCTCCCTACCAGATTTGATTGACAGATGTCGAACAAAGGGAGGGGGGCATGCTGCAATTTGAGCAGTAGAGAATGTTAAACGGGAAAGCATGGCGAAAATGACAGCACTAGTACGCTTAGAACAAAAAATTATGTAGTTATACTTTAACATTTTTGAATCTTTACAGCGAGAAATGACGCAACAAGCATTTGCTCGCTGACTTGACAAGATAAAAAAACACATTATAAAAATTCTGGCTCGGACGGAAAATTAATTACGACAGAGCAAATTACAATATACTTTCGCTGGACATGCGAAAAAGGAAAAGGAAAATTTCGAGGCAGATTAACTATGCAAATGTTGCTAATGTCTTCAAGCGAATAGTCCAGCTGAGCATAACACTGCCGCTATTGCATGTAGCCTTAAAAATACACACGTACTCTATCTCTCACTTGCTTTCAAGCCGATACTTGTGCGAAAAAAGACACGGCCAAACCGATGAAAGGTGGGGAAGTGAAATGCGGCAAATGCGGCAAAGGCGGCGAATGATAAGCCCCAGCATTTTGACAGCTTCTAACAAAATGATACTCTCGAAATGTAACGGAGACATGTTGGATTGGCCAAAATCCTACCTTTGTATCAAGCGAAAACGGCGGGCTCCAGCCTTCGGGCGGCACAATTTTGCACAAACCGGACTTTTCTGCCAGTGGGCGAATACTCTGGATGTATGCCAGTGGGTCGGCAAACTCTTCAGCAGTCGGATAGAACGTTGGCGCCTCGGGGAGTCCAAAGATATGGCTCCTCGGCTGAAGATGGCTGGCCTTTTCCTGAGGCTTCCTCTGCGGCGGCATCCGCACACCGCTCAGGTCAAACGGGTGCAATGCAGGCCCAGCTATGGACACATTTGATGGCCGCACACGCTTCATCTGCAGCAAAGAAAATGTAATGACAAAATAAAAGAAAAATATGGTGTTATGAGTTTTTAAATAAATATAAATGTTTGGATGCTGCTAAACGCGCTGGAATAAGGATGCTAAAGAGTTTGTGCGAGTGCAATAAAAATATAAAGATAAAAATTTGGTTTTGAGATATGCAGAGCAGAAAGGGGATTTGACACGAAAGTGGGGGGAAGCGAGTTTACTCGCCCTTGGTATTCAAAAGTATGAGAAAAATAAGAAAAAATAAATCTAAGGGCAAGTGCACAATACGCAAGATTAAATAAAAAAGAAAAAAGTTGGATTCGATGATTTTGTGAATAGAATGTGTGCAGTGATATTACTTGGAAATAGAACAAGCAAGAGAGATAAATGATGAGTTGAAACTTGGGCCAGGAGTAAAGCAGCTATAGGCCAGGATAAAATGGCTTTTCTTTTCAAAGAAAAGTTTATGACGAATAATGGAGAAAATATATGAATAATTTCAGCTTTTTTTTTAAAAAAAGTTAAACTAAAAATAATAGAAAGTTACTTTAATTATATTTTATAGTAAAATATTTGTAGCAAAAGTAAAAAAAGAGAGAAAGCAAGAAAGCGAACTTGTTGTCACGCACTTCCGCAAGCGATGGCATTTTGAAAACAAAATCTGGGCCTTTCGATAAAAAAAGTCTGCCGCTTTGTGCGTATAAAATATTCCTTTTGCACTTGCACGAGTGAAAAATGCTCAAAACTTTTCCCCCTACTCTGTTGGACCAATCACAAGCCGGTGTTTCTTTCTACATTCAAAACATTTGCTAAAAGAAAAAAGCTCGCTCGGTCGCTTGGCACAAAATTACATACACACCGAGCAAAGCAACCTCGTATTCTGTGGCATTTGTCTCTGCCTCTGACGGTGTATACTGTATATTCCGACACATACATGCACCCCGGACAGATGTTTACACATAGTTGTGTGAAGAGATGTGCGCAAGAGTCTCTTTGCCTTTGAATTAAATTATTTGTTGTGCATTATTGCGAGATGTATATTTGATGCGCTTTTTGATGCGTACTTTCCCTAACTTCTGGCTGCCACTCGCTTCAGCACAAGACAAGCCAAGCCAAGCCAAATCAAACCAAATCAAAGAAAAGAAAATTAATCCACTGTGTGCCATCAGAGGTATCGAGCGACCTGACGTGGGTCAAATGTGCCATTGCAGACAATGTTTTCCGTACTGACATTTTGCCCAGCTGATACGTGTGGCTGAAATTCTTATTCAAAATTATCCCTCCTCAATGAAGCTGTCTGTTTTCCCCCAAGCTTACGCACAAAATGTCGGGAGAAAATCTATAAACTGGGCGCGCTTTAGTGCTCAGCACAATTTCTAACATTGGCATGCAATTGCAGTGCATATTTTCAGATCAACAGAAAAAAATATAATCGCGTTCATTTTTGCCCTCTGCGCTTGATGGACAAAATGCAGCCAAAAAAACTCAAGAAAGCTTACTCTGGCGTGACACAATCCAGTCCCTTTTGGCCCCTTTTCCGAGCCACGTATAAAAAGAGATTTTGTGAGATTTTTTTGTTTTTATTCTTTTGGTCTTTTTCGAATTACCACTTTTAATTATTCAACCAACACTAATTTTATTTTTAAATTAACCACAATGTCAAACTCCATTGTGGCAGCAATCTACCGCTATGTTATAGACGACGTTGTGCGCAACGTGCAGGCCGATTTCGAAGGCCACGGCGTCGACACCTCGGTTCTGGAAGAGCTGCAGCGCAGCTGGGAAGCAAAGATAATTCAGAGTCGTGTGGCCTCATTTCCCGGAGAGGACGCCGGTAACGACATTGACAATGCGACGGTCGGCGGCCGGGGAGGCGTGAACCCGCCAGGCGGATACTCGTACAGCGCACATGGCGCTTCGGACGCGGCCACCAGCGGAAATATCAACTCGGCGGCATCATTGGCGTCAATTATCAATAACCACGAGAGCTCGGCACCGTCAGCAGCGTCTCTGGCATCGCTGGCGCAGTCAGGGAGGGGCCAGCTATTGATGGAGGACGATGAGGACGTCGATGGCGATCATTCGCATTACGGAGGTCATGGCTCCGGCAGCCATATCCCGCAGAACGACGGCCCGGGGGACGAGAGGGATGTCGCAGAGGGTGATGCTATGGCCAAGTGGAACGCGCTGCGAAATGCCCGTCGTCTAGTATATGAGCGCGAACAAAAGGCCTGCGATGTTGGTGCTATTTCCCAGGTTGACGGTGCCTCCGATGATGATGATGACGACGAGGACAGTGGTGACCGTGCCAACGATGACCTTGACGGAAACAGAGAGGCACCCGAAGATGCCATCAACTCCGACCTCGATGACACCGACGAGGAGGACGACTATGAAGGCGGCGCCGAAGAGACAGAGCATATAGTCTTGTGCCAGTATGACAAGGTTACTAGAAGCAAGAACAAGTGGAAGTGCGTTTTGCGCGACGGCATCATGTTGATCAACGGCCGCGACTATCTGTTCCAAAAGGCAACCGGCGACTTTGAGTGGTAGGTAAAGCGCGTTCGGCCGTGGCAGTCTTCTGTTTTATTTATCTTTCACTATTTTTCTATTTATCTTTTATGTTTAAAACCTCGCACCAAAAAAGAACCGAGCGCGTCCACACTTGCAACAGCAGTGATTTGTTTTCGTTTTCGTTTTCGTTTTCGCTTAGATTGTCAATTTTCAATTATCAATTAAAAGTTCTGAAATGTTTTTTGCGATAAATAAAATTGAATATATGGAAACAGACAAGTGTTTAAATTAAACGCTAGCATTGGCCAGTTACCGTGACCGCGTTGGTCCTCGTCTAGCGATAGTCACGGGGACCACCAGGGTGCTGCCGTGCCGGTTGCTGTGGTTGTTGCTGCTGCGGCTGCTGCTGCTGGTACTGGTCAGCATAGCCGTCGTAGTTGCCATACTGTGCACCGCCCTGCTGCTGTGCACCGCCCTGCTGCTGTGCCGAGTATTCATCGTAGGCGCCATCGCCATACTGGCCTTGCTCCTGGGCGTAGTAGCCGCTGTTGTCGTGAGACTGCGAGTAGTTCTGCATCTCGTACTGCTGGCCCTGCTGGGGGTAGTGGCCGTAGGAGCCAGCCAGCGTGCCACTGCCTTCGTGGACCGAAGCCGTCGCTGAATCGCCCATGAACGAGTACCCAGGGTGAGACTCGTAGTACATCGAGTCCTCAACCGAGTTCTTCAGCAAACCCGCGTTGACACCATCGTCGACCATGGCTGCCTGGTACGAGGCAGAGTCGTCGGCGTGTCTATCACGCTCCTTGCGCTTGATCGAGCGTCTGCGCTTGCGCTCGTACTCCTCCCAGCGCTTACGTGGCACGACCTTGGGGTCAAAGGTGCCTCCAGAATCGCCGTGGCCCTTGTCCTTGCCTTCGCCGGCGACCTTGCGCGTCTCGCCCCACGAAAAGTCATCAAAGTGCCAGTATGCGTAGGTCGGCAGCACGAAATTCCAGATCGGCAGTGCTAGCAGGTACACAAACATCCACGCGACGTAGACCCACTTGCGCGTAGTAATAAAAATCAACACGGCGGGCAGGAACAAAATGCAGATAAGCATCGCGAGAGGCAGGTACGCAGAGACTGAGTTGTATGTAGTCATACACGCGCGCACAATCAGAATGTATGTCAGCACGATGGCAACGGGCAGAGAAACAGTTCCGACGAGATCTAGGAAAATGGAGAACTGCATGGACAGGCAGAAAGTGCCGCAGAGGTTGCGCACCAGCACCAGCTCGAGCAGGTTGTGCACAGTCGAGTTGATCCACCGGCGGCGCTGCGACAGGAGTACCTTGAACTCGTCGGGAACCACAGTCTTACAGATGGCCTGAGGCATGAACATCATCTTGCGTCGCGGGAAGTTACGCAGCATAAGCGTGGACAGGAAGCGATCCTCGCCAAGGAGCAGCAGTTCTTCTCGTGCAGGGTCTCGACGACGTTCTGCGAGTACTCCTGGCAAATGTCCGGCTTGGCCAGAATCGGCACCCAGTCGTCGCCCTTGCGCACTTTGATGCGGTACATGCAGAAGCAGCCTGGGAGACAAGTGACACCGCCAAACACAGACTCGAAGGCCTTGCTCAAGTGATGTGAGATGTAGTACTCGAAAACCTGGATGGCTGTCACCCACGAATCGCGCTTGTTGGCGATCTTGGTCTCGCCGCACAGGCCCATGATGAGCTGGTCGTTGTTCATGCAGTTGACCAAAAGCCGCAGCGAGTCCTCGTACACCTTGGTGTCGGCGTCGACCATCAGCACGATCTCAAACAGGTCAGGAGTCACGTTCATCAAAAAGTGCACTTTGCGGAACAGGTCGTACTCCAGTGGCACCATGCGCTCGTTGTGGACGACGTTTGAGAAAAAGTTCATCAGGATCATCTGTGAATCGCGCTTACCGCGGTTACCGGGCTTGGCCGCGTCCTGCTCTTCGGGGCTCCACACTTGATAACAATTAGGCAGGGCGTGCGGTGCTCGCCCACAACATAGTGCCCGCAGTATACCTTCGCCATATTGTGCTGCTTGGAGCCTGCGGCAACAGCAAGATATGAGCACGGCTGCGGGTCGCGGAAGGACTCCTCTTGCTCGATGAGATCGATACAAATGTCGGGGGTCGAGCGGTCGTTTCCCGATCCCTTGATGATACCATCTGCCACAATAAACAGAAGCTTGTGCGAGTCGCTAAAGGTGGTGCCGCAAAGTGAGTCGCAGGTGCCGCGGATAGACTCCTCGCCCTCGGAGTAGCATGTCACAAGCATGATCGTGTACAGCTCGTCGTCGTCACCCTTGCCAATCTTTCCAGCGGCGGCGCCGGTCTGGGGCTTCTTTCCGGCCCAGGGTGCGGCTGCATTGTATGACAGCGGCCGTACCTTGCTGCGAGGGGGGCGGCGGACCAGCTGCCACGACAAGAAATACTGGAAGATAACCGCCATGATAAAGCGCGAAAGAACGATGCCACCGATAATGATCAGCGCGATGTAGTTGAACAGATTGACAGCAAAGCATCCGGGCGTGTCCTTCGCCAGCTGTCCGGCGCCAAACCGGGCGATCAGGCAGACGGTGGCAGCCTTCATTTTGGCGGTGCGCTGGAACAAAAGGCTGGCATCAACAAGGCCATTGTTGGCCGCCGCAAAGATGGCCTCGTCGAGCATATCACCCGAGGCCTCCCTACCAACCGACATCAGATACGGTGTCAAATTGAGCACGTTTCCGTTGATGACAAAGTACCCGGATCCAACATCGGACCAGTCATAGCCGATGGGACGGTCGTCCAAGCTCTTCAGATTGTTGTTTTCGATTCCATTATCCACGTTGCCCAGCGGGCAATTCCCGCTGCCGTTGTCGCCCGAGCAAACGTCGTATTGAGATGCACGGAACTCTTTGATCTTGTCTGACATGCACTCATTGGGAAGCGGAACAGAGAAATACGGTGTCATGTCCATTCCGGCTGTAATACTGAAATCGATGGATCCGCGCCAGGTTGCCTCGTTGGTTGAATAGGCAATGCCCTGACTCCAATAACGCCGGCCGTCTTATCCGTGCTGTTGACCTGGAAGATGTTACTCTGCGTCTTGGACACGCTCTCCGGGCAAAAAGTCATTGTCAAAAAGATGGTCAGGTACACGACAATTCCGCACACTAATATAATGAGCGACACCAGCGCAATCTTCTCGCGCCACGCCTGCTGCATGCCGGCCTCGGGCATGCCACCGAGCTTTGTGAGAAGGATTGCAGGCGCCCAGAAAGTGATGATTTTAGAGTAAATGACCCAGGGCGTCATTTGGCGCTTCTCCTTCTTAATCATGGGCTCCGCCGCTTGGGTTCTGTCGGTGCGCACCATCGTGCGCCCGCGCCGGAGCGTCGCACCGCGTTCGCCGCGAATTGGCATGGCGAAAACGATGGCTTACTTGTTGGTAAATGGGTAGCGCAACGATGCCGGATCCTTGCTTGCTACTGGCAGGACAAGTAAAAATAAATAAATAAAATGAGGATGATGATGATGATGAGATGAAATGGACGCTGTCCTGTTACTTGGAAGAGGCCCCGGTAAAGAACGAAAGAAATAAGAGAAAATAATATTTGCTGCACTATACACCTCGCTTCAAAATAAATATCCAAATAGCAAGAGGAAAAAGAGCTTGTGTGTAAAGAGTTGATGGCGGATGATGCGAGTACAATAAAAAATTTTAAAATGCAGAGGCCCAGTTGGTAAAAAGAAAAGAAAAGAAAAGAAAGCAACAAAAAAGGACAAAGTATATTTTTAGACGACTTTGTTGCAGTCGACCCGTTGTCTGTAAATAGAAGCGTCGGGGCTGCCAACATATCCAAAAAGAGAGAAATTGATGGTGTTTGTTCGCGTGGCAGCCAAACATGCGTGTTTGGGGGAGTGCCGATTTCTGGACACGCTGTAATCCATGTGAGGGGAACAAAATGTGCCGGGCTTGTGCTACGGCAGACTGGACGCAAGTGCTGTGCATGCCAGTTCCGAGTGAGAGAGTGGGAGAGTGGGAGAGTGGGAGAGTGGGAGAGTGAGAGGGCAAAAGGTGGCAAAAGAGGGTGAAAAAAGAGGGGTAAGGGTCGAGCTGTGCCGTGCTATGCAGCTAGCCAACCGGCTCGCATTTTGTGAGGATTGTCAATCGAGAAGAAAGCAACATCGCATCCCTGTTTTGGCAATATGTGTAAAGCGGGGATCTTCGACCAACTGTGAGCTGCTGTTTTTTTACTGCAGCAGCAACTCAGGGATGGGCCAACAAACGCTTCCAGCCATTTAACGTTGCTCATCGATGACTGAGGGAATGCGATTTGGTTGGCCCCGGCTCAGGCACAGCAGAGCATGAATCGTGTTCATTTTATGTGGTTTCTGCACGAGTGCACTTGGCTTTGGCTTTGGCTTTAGTTTTAGTTTTGCTTACATTTGTTGTTTGTTGTCCAAAGCTCTTAAGATCACTAATCCCACTGACTGGAAAAGCAAATATAGACGCAAAAAATAGTGGTAACTAGGACAAGGGCGAGGACAGTTAAAGATGGATTGATAGCAGCTGGAAAAGATTGCCGGTCTTTGTACTACCAGATCAAATGCTCAACGACAACGGAGTTGTATACTGCCTTTCTTTCTTTGTGCACCGGATTTGTATGCGGTGTTCGCAAAATGGTATTATCCTCCTTGTACGTTGACGTAGAAAGAAAAGTATTGTGTGCTGAAGCAGTGTGAGAAAAAACAAAGCAGTGATGCGACAAAAAGTACAGATGTGTTATGAAAGTACAGAAATGAAAAATAAAATATAAACTTGAATCTTTGTTTTTTAGTGTAAGAGTGTCCGAAAATAAGTGTGCAACACAGCAAAATAAAAAAGAGGAAATGGTAGGTAAGTCTATCAGAAATGTCGAAAGAGAGAGCTCGACAGCCAAATAGAGTTTATATATGCGCGGCGTGCGTGATGCTGCCGACACCTCAACATTTTGCATCCCACCAGCAGTACTGTCTGCTGAGGCCAAAAGTAAAATGCGTGCAAACGAGGGCACGCTCAGCTTGCACAACAAACCGCGCATTGTCGTATCTATTTTTGGAATTGCACGCATTCGATTGCTCGTGTGCACTGCTATTTATGGCGTTTCTTGTAGTGGCCAACAAACATTAAAACTAATTGACAACAAAATACCCAAAGTTTATAAATACATGTAAATTTCTTTATTTCTGGTCAGGCCATGGCATGGCATGGAATGCGCATGACCACTCATTTGGTGTGTTTTGTTGGGCACGCAAAAAAGAGTAGTAATTTTTTGTCGCTCGCTTATTTTGAATGGCACGTTTAGAAGCGGCTCTACGCATATAGAAGGGTCAAATAAACAATTGAGTTTTTCCAAGTGGGTGTAAATTCTAAATGTCAACATTTTGCATTGATACTTGGATTGGGCATGTAAAGACAACAATTTGTTACCAATATGACTGCAGCTGGGCATATATATATGCAACCATTCGCCAATTTTAAATGACTTATATGTAAGAGTTAGATACACCCATTTGACAGGCCAGTCTAGAAGAAAAAACGTGACACGCCTTATATCCTTATATTCTGTTTTTATCAAAACGAAGCGCAAAGTTACAACGCAAGCCGATTGTAACCAAAAGTTAACGAACCAGGATTTCGCAAAATCCAAAGCTCGTGTTTTTTCGGGCACCAATGTGATCGCAGCTAATCTCGATATCCGCGTGATAAAATTAATGCACGTGCTCATGTCTGTGTGTATAGTTGGTGCGACATTGATAACGGAAAAGGTGTGTTGCAACTCGGGAAACACTTTTGTGACTAAAGTAAGAGCACTTTGAGGAAAGACCAAAACGATGGAGAAAAAAACTGAACATGTGCAAAAAATTAGGTGTTCAATTTTTCTCTTCCCCTTTTTGGTTTTCATGAAATAAGTACAATAACATTTACTCCAAATCTCACATATAATCACATATTGGTCGTATTGCTCAAGTCATTTCGCATTCAAATCATTCATCACATCATCAAATATACTTCAACATTTTCGATGTTTCTCTATCGCAGAAGCATCAGGTACATTAGCCGGATACCGAGCCAAGCAGCGACTATATCACCCAGCTCGTCCATATTGATCAAAACGCACTTTTGCTCATCCAAGCACAACTGCGCCGCCATCGGACCATGCACCCACCCGCTAGAAACACCCGCCAAAAAGAAATCCAACACGCCAGCAGCGTCACCAGCCAGTGATCTATACGGCACCGAGACTGCAATTAGGCAGGACTTCGGGTATCCAGCCGAGTACCACGCGGGGTCATTCCCCTGGTTGTTAAGCGCAGAACGCCAGCGCGTGCCTGTAGACGATCTCTGTACACACACAAGTGATCCTGGGCTTCTAACTACCACAATACAGTGGCTGCCCCTGGCTGCTCGTCGCAGGCTGGCGCATGCGCTTAACCTGCGCATTGCTGAGCGCGCATTGGGCTTGCACGCGATGGACTCGGTGTGCGCAGGCGCAGCAATGGCGCTGCCCGGTATCGCGCGGCTGCTGTCCAGCGCGTCCAGCAGCGCGACTCCCGAGGATACGGCGGCATCGCTGGCGCATGTCTTCTCAGCACCGCTGCTGGCGCGCTACACCAGCGATCTCGACCGCTTGCGCAACGACAACGTGCGGCTGGCGCTGGAGGTCTACTGCGTTAATAGCACGCGCATCCACCAGATCCGCACGCAGACTGGGCCTGCTGAGGCATTTGCCGCGCTAGCTTCGCTACAATCGTCGGCGTCATCGCCACCGTCGTGCTTGAATGGCTTGCGCGCGGGGCTGGTGCGCCAGGGCTACCGCTTCTCCAATGTGCTTGGCGCGTCTTACGCAGCGCCAGTTTCGGGAAGCAGCAGTGGCCAGTCACATTTGGGACCGGCCCCTGGGCGAGCGGCGTGTGGGCAGCAGCGCAGGGCAAGGCCGACGATGTGCGTGTGCGCGTCGACGTCGAGCTGAATGTCGACATGCGCTATCGGCTGATCGGCCGCCACTCGGGGCCCTCCGGGTACGACCGGCACAACGGCACAACACAGGTCATTGTCGACGATGATGCCACGCGCAACCTGATCCTCACCCTAGAGTCGGCGCCGACCAGCACAGCATCGCATGGCAATGGCGCTGGGGTGTTTGAGTGGCGTGTCGCCGATATCGACTACCTGCTATCCAGCGAGAAGCGCATCAAGAGCGAGTTTGAAGAAGCTCGCAGCTTTTAAAGCATGCATGATTTCCATTTAATCAATTTCGGTTTAATCATTATAATACTGGTTTGATCAAGCCGGCCGATATATACATTGACATATGCAACTGCCTAATATCCGGTCGGACATTACTGGCACACACAATAGTTGCTTTATTTTTTGGGCGTATTGTATATTCTGGGTCACACGCGATAGATGATGCGTTTATGCGTGCAGTGCATGAGTGTATGTTTATTTGCTGGTGAAAGTCAGTCAGCAGGACATGCTCGATTAATAGCCTTTCAAGGAATTATTTCGTTTACAATTTTTTTGGACAATCATGTACATTTTTGATTTGCGCCTTTTTTCTGACAAACTGTGTTCGCATCTCGGTGTTGTTTCATGTTTCTGATGGTTGCTTTCCTTTTGCATACGAGGTTGATCGTGCGGAAAATGGTACTTTTTAGGCTCAATACGGACAAACAGACAAAGGGGGTGGCAACAAAGAATATAACGGTCGGACCGTGCGTTTTTTATATTTATACGTAAAATTAATAGGCCCAAAAAACCAAATTCTGTAAAACTTTTTCAAACATTTTATTGTTTCCGTGGACACGGAGCTTGCAAATAGCAAATGGAAACGCAGATAATCTAGCTGCGTCGTATAAAAATGACCGAATTGTAAATATCATTTAGACAGCGGTAAAAGCAGTGGCAGCGGCAGCGGCAAGCGGCTGGTCAATCTTTATTTTATTTACTTGCCTATTTTAATTGACGTGCGCTGCACATGCCAGCAATTTTGTCCATGTGAGGCCCAGTGCTCAGACATTTAACAAAAAAAATCCAAAATTGTACAATATTCCAGCTTCTCTCTTTTTACAATGTAAAATGTCGATCGATTTGGCTGGTGCACGAGTTGAGGCTCTTAGGATTTACAATCCGCGTGCGCTACACTTGCTATTTAGCTTTATGAGATAGCAAAGCAACTTTTTGTTAGCTTTAGTATGACCTTTATACTGGATCTGTGGGTAAATTTTCCCATATCATTTTTATTTACTTCAACTTCGTGGAGGATGTACAAGCGGAAAAGAAATCAGCGGGCGCATGTGCTTTTTATTTATTTATCTTTATTCGCACAGGGAGAGTCAGAAGGTTGGAGATTTTCGTGATAGATTCGTGTCTGTATTCTACCTTCAACATTGCGAGCGGCCATTTCATAAAATAAAAAACGTCGTCTGTGCTTTTTTGTATTTGTGGCAAGGACCAGCCATGGGTAAAATTTTGATAATAGATAACGGCAAAACAGGTATTATTGGGACGCAGTGCTGTTTCTTCTGAGATAGTGCTTGGAGCACTGCCCGTCAATGTAAATTGGAACGGGAGATTCACGCGACTGCCTTACCTGGCATCGGTGTTTTGTCCGAAATTAGAAAGTGTGCGAATTCCGCTTTATTTTCTCTACACTTTTATTCTGGCCTCGCATCTCTGCTCCCACGCATTCCACACTCAAACGACGGCGCCGACGGAGGAAAAGGGAGTGAAAAAAGGAAGGTGATAATATGCACATGTCTGCTTTTGTCATTATGCCCGTGCTTTTGCATCCACAACCCTCTGACGTTTTCATACATCCTCGCTGGCCATTATCCCCCCTCTACAACCAACAGACGACCTCTCTGTTCCTGGTATAAAAAAGGCAACGGCCGCATGCCTCATTCCATTCATCCAGACCAACACTGTATCTCAAACACATAATAATATCTTTTCGCTTCAGGTCCAGACCTTTTTTCTTTCTTGATATCTCAAACAACATTTTTTATTGTTCTTTTATTTTTCTTCCTTGCTACTTTTATCTGTAATTTTTCCTGTAACCACCATGTCCAAGTCTGACGAAGTTTTTGTTGGAGCCATCGACCAGGGTACCTCATCGACCCGCTTCCTGATTTTCGACGTCAAGGGCCAGATTGTCGCTAGCCACCAGTGCGAGTATCAGAACCACTACGCCAAGGCCGGTTGGGTCGAGAAGGACCCAATTGAGATCCTTGACTCCGTCGAGACCGCCGTTGCCGGCGCCTGCCGTCGCTTCAACTCCCTCGGCTACAATGCCAGCCAGATCAAGTCTGTCGGCATCACCAACCAGCGCGAGACTACCGTCGCCTTTGACAGCGTGACCGGTCTTCCTCTGACCAACGCAATCATCTGGAACGACGTGCGCACTAAGGATCTCGTCCACAGACTCATCGACGAGGCCGGCTCCGCATCCCGCTTTGCAACGATCAACGGCCTGCCTATCACCACATACTTTAGCGCGGTCAAGATGCGCTGGATGCTTGAGAACGTGCCCGAGGTCAAGGCTGCGCGCGAGAGGGGCACCCTGCGTTTCGGCACGATCGACACATGGCTGATCTACAAGCTGACCGGCAGCTTTGTCACCGATGTCACTAATGCGAGCCGCACAATGCTCATGGACATTAAGGAGTTCAAGTGGAGCGCCGAGTGCCTGGAGTTCTTTGATATCAAGGAGTCGGAGCTGCCCGAGATTCGCTCGTCCGCTGAGGTCTACGGCACCATCACCGAGGGTCGCTTGGAGGGCATCCCTATTGCCGGATGCCTGGGCGACCAGCAGGCGGCCATGGTTGGTCAGTCGTGCTTTGAGGCTGGTGAGGCCAAGAACACCTACGGCACTGGTTGCTTCATGCTGTTCAACACCGGGTCTGAGCCTATTTTCTCAAAGAATGGGCTGCTGACCACTGTCGGATACAAGCTTGGCCCTAACGCCGAGCCCAAGTACGCCCTCGAGGGATCTGTCGCCGTTGCTGGCTCGGCCATCCAGTGGCTGCGCGACAAAATTGGACTCATCTTCTCTGCCTCCGAGATCGGATTCCTCGCTGACTCTGTCGAAGACAACGGCGGCGTCTACTTTGTCACTGCCTTCTCCGGCCTCTTTGCCCCCTACTGGCGCGACGACGCTCGTGGTTGCATTGTCGGTCTGACCCAGTACGCCACCCGTGGCCACATTGCCCGCGCCACCCTTGAGTCCGTCTGCTACCAGACCCAGGCCATCCTGGATGCCATGCGCAAGGACAGCGGCACTGAGCTGCGCCGCCTGCGTGTTGACGGCGGTATGACCAACTCGGAGCAGGCCATGCAGATCCAGGCAGATATCCTGGGCATCGAGGTTGTGCGCCCGGAGATGCGCGAAACCACCGCTTTGGGTGCTGCCCTGGCTGCTGGTCTCGGCGTTGGTATTTGGAAGGACGAGGCAGAGCTGCGCCAGATTGCTCAGTCCAATGTGTCCGCTTTCTGGTCGCGCATCACGGATGAGAAGCGCACAGAGATGCTGGCCGGCTGGGACAAGGCTGTCAAGCGCAGCTTGGACTGGGCTTAATATGTGAATTGCCACACTTCGTTTTTTCTGATTTTATATTTTCTTTTTCACCTTTCTACTTTATCTGTATTAAAATATTATTATGATAATATTATAACATCTTGCTACAAAGCTTTCAAAAATGGGTTTTATTTACATAAAAGAAGTTTAGATGATGCATGTGTTACTTTGTAATAATGTCAGAACTCAGTGAATATAATGCTGTGCCTCGACAAACTCGCTCTTGATGCGCTTCTCGCTGGATAGCAGGTAGTCGATATCGGCGACACGCCACTCAAACACCCCAGCGCCATTGCCATGCGATGCTGTGCTGGTCGGCGCCGACTCTAGGGTGAGGATCAGGTTGCGCGTGGCATCATCGTCGACAATGACCTGTGTTGTGCCGTTGTGCCGGTCGTACCCGGAGGGCCCCGAGTGGCGGCCGATCAGCCGATAGCGCATGTCGACATTCAGCTCGACGTCGACGCGCACACGCACATCGTCGGCCTTGCCCTGCGCTGCTGCCCACACGCCGCTCGCCCAGGGGGCCGGTCCCAAATGTGACTGGCCACTGCTGCTTCCCGAAACTGGCGCTGCGTAAGACGCGCCAAGCACATTGGAGAAGCGGTAGCCCTGGCGCACCAGCCCCGCGCGCAAGCCATTCAAGCACGACGGTGGCGATGACGCCGACGATTGTAGCGAAGCTAGCGCGGCAAATGCCTCAGCAGGCCCAGTCTGCGTGCGGATCTGGTGGATGCGCGTGCTATTAACGCAGTAGACCTCCAGCGCCAGCCGCACGTTGTCGTTGCGCAAGCGGTCGAGATCGCTGGTGTAGCGCGCCAGCAGCGGTGCTGAGAAGACATGCGCCAGCGATGCCGCCGTATCCTCGGGAGTCGCGCTGCTGGACGCGCTGGACAGCAGCCGCGCGATACCGGGCAGCGCCATTGCTGCGCCTGCGCACACCGAGTCCATCGCGTGCAAGCCCAATGCGCGCTCAGCAATGCGCAGGTTAAGCGCATGCGCCAGCCTGCGACGAGCAGCCAGGGGCAGCCACTTCACAATACTACTGCCGCTGCTACCGGCGGCAGCTCCGGTAGTTTCGAGGTCGCACATGGGCACACGCTGGCGCTCGGCGCTCAACAGCCAGGGGAAGCAGTCCATGTGATGGCTCGTCGAGTACGACTCGCACCGAGGAATTGGCGTACTCTCATCGTACAGCGCGGGCCTTATATACCCATCAGCAGGGACTAGGGCAGAAGTTACCAGTCGGCGAGGAGTCTCAGCTGCTGCCAATTTCACAGTACCAGCTGGTGAGGTGGCTGCGCTCATTGCTTGTGCTGGACTTGGCGGGCAGCCGGCCACCGCCCCGACTACGTCACCTTTGCCTGTGCTCAGTGAGCGGCGAGCTGGGAGCATCTGCGCGTGTGCATTTAGACGAGAAATCCAAGTCAGAGGAAGAGGGAGATGGCCGCCTCTGCTGCCACACAGGCTGCCGGCGGCAGTGACGTGGTGACCAGACAAGGTTATCCGGAACATAGATGATTGCATTAGGAAAAAGAGGAAATATTTTGACTGCGTCCGTCAAGTTTTCAAGCTGCGAATAGTTCGTTTTAAGTTGGGATTTGGGTTCTTAATTGCTGCCAAATGAATGCAAAGGACGTTTGAAGAGGAAAAAGATGGAATGAAACGAGTGTGCGTGTTTATGTTTGTGACTGTTAAAAAGTTGGTGCCTAGGCGGGGTGTTTCATTGCAAAAAAACAAGTGCTCTGTAGTATGCGCTAAAAGCCCTGTCTGTCGTTGCTGTTAGAACTATTGAGTAGTTCAGTTATTTTGTCACAAAAAATAAAATCAAATAACTGGAGAAAAATGCGGAGTGGCCGACTAGCAGCTGTAAAATTTTTTCGTTAGAAATGAATATAAAAACGGATAAAAGTCAAGCTAAGCACACTTTTAGGGCCGACCGCGGCTGTTATATATAGTTTTTTGCTGGAGGCACAAAGACTTTGATGATTTTCCTCAACAAATTAAAAATTTATAACCGAAATTACGTCATATATCATGCACCCACTTGGCGAGTCAATTGAAAAAAGGGCTGTTGCAGTTGCAATTGGACAAGCAAAAATACACATAATTTACCAGACCTTTTTTGTTTGGCTGACAGGCCTCCACGAAATTACAGAAAAAAGATTGGGCCCAAGTTTTTGTGTCCGGTCCAAACAATTTGAAGCTAGGCAACATTGATAAATGTGTATTGGTCTCTGGTTCATTTTTCTCGCACACTGTTTCAGGGATTCTGACATCATCAAAACATCACACTAAAACACAAATGTTGTGATACTGCCCCTTTCAGCCGAAAGAAGCGGCTGCAAACAAAAATGCCCACCGCTTCCACACCTGCATTTTCTCACGCAAATATCTGGATACTTTGTTTTCCTCATGAATGCCTAAATTAAAGAAATTAAAGCCTGAAAATTATTAATTAAACTTCAAAAAATCGTGTTGCATGGCTCACTTGGGCGGCTGGAAAGGCTCGAGCAGCAGCCGCGAGAACGACTTGAGCTTTTCGACGCCGCGAACTTCAGTTGTCAGCAGCGGCAGCAGCGTAACATGGAAGTCCTCGTAGAGGTCGAATATCTGATCAAGATACTTTTGCTGCATCTTGTGCCGCACCTTGCATTGATCGCAGTTGGACTCTTTTGATGGGAACAGCAGCTGGTTGACCACAATATTGTGAGTGTCAATGTTGCCGCTGGTCAGCTCCTGCACCAGGCGTTCTGTCTCGTAAAGGGAAAGGAACTCGGAGATGCACACGCACACAAACGTGGTCTTGTCAGGGTCCTGGAACTGACTGTTGACCTCTCTGATGACCGCCCGCATGTCCTCAAGCTTTGAGAAAAGATCCTCGTGGTTGGTGCCCGCGCCCATCATTCCCGACATCTGCTGCATCATCGGGCCGAATCTGCCCGAAAGCTGCGATACCTTGGACAGTGCCTTTTCCAACACCGTGGGGAACGAGAGGAACCGCAGCGTGTGTCCAGTGGGCGCCGTGTCGAAGATAATCACCGAGTACTCCATTGACTTGACGAGCTTCATGACCTCGGCAAACCCCATGGCCTCGTCGACGCCCGGAATCGCAAAAGCAAGATCCTGCATTATTGAGTTCACTGCGCTGTTGTCTGCGCCATCAATCATCTCCTGAATGCTGCTCGTCGGGTCAATCTCCATGCAGTACAGATTGTTGAACCCACTCACCAGCGTTGGGTTCTTGCCAAACTTTTGCCCAAATGCATCAGAAAGGTTGTGCGCCGGGTCCGTCGAAATAAGCAGAACGCTTTCACGCGCTGCCGCCATTTGGATTGCCAGCGAAGAGCTACAGAGAGTGCGCATCATTTGCCATAACGTTGGCGTGTTTTTTTAGGTTAGCGCCAAGTGTCTAGCATTTAAATGTGCTTAGCAAATTATTCACGCCTGTTTTGCGATTTTTGATGTTGCTGCTGCTTTTATTATGATAATGTACCTGGTTGTGGTTTTTCCAACACCTCCTTTGCCACCGACAAAAACCCACTGAAGCGATTTCTGGTCAATAACATTCTGGAGAGAAGGTGCGAGCTGCTGCGATTCGTCGTCGGACATTGTTAATACTACTGTAAGCGCGGGGAAGTATTTCAGTCCTTTTTAAAAGATAGTGGGTGTTAAAATACTAAGGAAAAAATACTTTGAATTTCGCAAGATGAGCAAAGACAAACCTGCAAAATTTTAAAACTTTGCAAGTACAGCCACGCTGGGAAGCAACTTGCGGTTTCTGGCACGCCGGACTGGGGGGAAGTAGGAAAAGACGCGGATACGATTTCATGATTTGATTTGACTGATCGGGCGAAACCTCCAAATCAAAAAACATCTGTGCATTATGTTTCAGCCTTCTTTCTTTTTTTTGGGCTGCAGCTTGTTTTCTTATGCCGTGTGCCATGGCTTTGAACCTTTTTTCTTTGCCTGCCGCATGCCGAGTTTAGAATGCTTACTGCCAATTTAATCCAAGACGCAGGCGGCGCTTTAATTATCGGCATCTTTTTTGATTGCAACTGTGGCAATTTTTCTTTTTTATTCCCGGTGTAGCAGTAAATTCCGGGAACGCAGGAAACTCGGTCTGAACTTACTGTGAAATGTGCATCTATCCATAAAAACAAACCATTGCGTAGTGAGCATTCCGACCATGGTATCTGCTGCCCAGATGGGGTTTCCCTTTTTAAATAATCATGAGCAATGTCAATTTCGTGGCATTGCCTTGCTTTAATAATATAAATTTTTAGTCACAAGCCGTAACGCCTTTATGGAGTTAAAATTTGTAATTGCTTCTTTTAAAGTAAGTATTTGTGTGCACAACAATTTGTATATATTGATTATACTCATGACATTGTGGCTACCAATCCGGCCATCCAATGAAACTGCGGCATAGAAAATTGCAGGCGCCACGAAATGGTTTTCCACTGCCTACAGCATCGAACAAAAAAGCAATAACATCACGACACTTTTTCAATTGTCACCAATAGTATCTACACGATTAGTCCGTGCGAGTTGTTTTTGGGCAAACAAAAACTTTATGCTACAAATAAACTAATGCTGGTGCAAAACTCCCAGGGCATTTAACAGCCAATTTTCATTTGTCCGCTTAAAGTTAATTAAATTTTTAAAGAGTGTGGGGTGAGTAACACACTTTTTTGTTACAAGCCCACCATTATGCATCCAAATTTGTTCAATGCGCCTCTTTTAGAGCATCAAAACAAGGCTGATGTAATTTCTGTTACAGTGTTTGAAACAAAAAGCTTTTTCAACTGAAATTTATTTCCAAAAAAAGTGCAGAAAAATATTATTTTCACTATCTCTTAGACACTATTACCACAGTGAAAATACTAATAATGTTTAAAATCAATTGGAAAATGAGTATTAAGAATTTAGCGCTATATTTACTATATACACTTTTATTCCCGCATATTGCAAATAAAACAAAACAATATTGGCTAAAAAAGGCTATACTTAAATAACAAAATAAGGCGGCAAAGTTATTTATAAGAATTCACATGCGTGGTTGTGTCTGAAGCAGAAGGTCTGCATAACTAATATGCAACACTATTCGAATGTTTGTTTTTTCCAGCAGATAATGCGTTTTTTGTACAAAACTCCTTGCGACATATTTTTCAGTGGCAGACATGCCCATTTTAATATTGAATAGCACTTTTAATAGCGAGCTGAATGCATAATGGTGATGTGTAATGTTTTTGCCTACTTTTCTCTTTGAAATATACTAATATTTATACTCTAAATAAAAATACCAACAAACATCCCGATAGCAATCAACTGTTGTTTTGTCATACCTGGTGTAAGTTTTTTGTTTGTTCAAACCAGTGGACACTTTGTAACATGATTTCTTGGTTGCCGCTACTCCCCACCCATCACAAGGGGTGTCATTCGGGTGGCATCCTTATATCGGTTGGTTTGAATGCGCAAACTGCCTTTTGCGCTCCTTTGTGACAATTGACAAAGGGATGACCATTACGCATTAGTAGTCAGACGATATCCCACAGCCAACCTCTACGATTGCTCTTTATCTTAAAATGATAAAGGATAAATATAGTATGCGCTTGTTTTGAATAGCGCTATATCTGATACGACCCTTGCGGCACTTATGAATCACAAACACGCCATATAAATAAGCATACCATTTTTATGCTAATCTTTTTAACCCACACGTCTAACATTAATACCGCTTAGTGCTCACATATTAACATACTCTTATAGACGGATTCAATGTTTTCAAACACCGAAGACTGGCGCAGCTTCAATACAATAAATCAGGGGCCTTTGCAGATGGAAAATTTGACACAGGACCCAAACAAACGAGAGACCTGCAAAACGCCTATCAAGCAAAAGCTATACACGCACAACTTGGATATTAATACCGAGTCTTTGCCGCTAGCACAATTTTTTGAGCGCGAAAATGCAGGCTCAAACAGCGCATTCGGCTCAAATCAAGCATTATCTGATTCTCTCAACATTATACCAACCGGAGACAACCTGTCGTTGCCTGATTTCAGCGAACGTGTAAGTGTATATTTGTTTGATTATAAAGCCTTGGAACAATGTATACGTGTGATGCAACGAGTGACTAGTGCGAGTTGTTCATTGCTTATTGTCCGCATTAATAATTTAAAAGACCAGGGGTAAAAATCGATTTTATTTTTTATTTTATTTCAACAAATAGCACCTACAAGCAGCAGCACAGCTTTATCGGCAAGATAATTGTTCTGATAACCACATCAACATTACAGGTAAGTATAGTAATTAATAGTTTACGCTTCTTGGCACTATTCTAGCATTATAAACATATATTAATTAGCGGCTGGTTGCTTTATGGACAGCCTCAAAGACATTGGGCATAACAGGAATCAAATATCCTAGTTGGAATTTAAACATGCCAACATGTCGATATGCGCTGTTCATAAATTCACAAATTGATAACTGATTGACGACTGGCTTACAAGTTGCATGGTTCATTGGTGAAAGGCAAAACTTAATTTACTTACATTTTACTCGCATTTAAAATATGTAGCGTATGATGGCGATTCTTCTCTTTGGCCAAATATCAATGTTGACTCGGACTTGTTTGGCGGGAAAGTGGGACTTTTTCTGCCGCCCAAATTTGTTTCTACAGACCTCACTATAACGCCCATGCCAACAGCTGCATTCAACAAAATGTCGGCGACATCATCCACTGCAGCATTTACCCCTTCTTCCTCTTTGGTTAGCGCTGCTACAATGTCCTCTTACATCAGCACTCTACATGAGGCTAACATATTTTCTTTGCCAGGAGCAGTGGCCGCGCAACGCTCAATGTTTGAGATGGCCAACATTGAAGGTCAATGGAATCCTGCCTTCATACCAAGCCACCATGTCGCCACTGACAATTCTGACTTGCATGCCACGCCCACAGAGAATATGCTGCCACAAAAAGCTGCAATGGCCGATAGCCAATGCAACAACCCCATTTCCCCACTACAAATGCCCATTCAACCGTGCAATGGGGGCACCCTTGCTGCTGCCTCGCTAATTGCTGCTACCACCTTGGTTGCCACATCTGCAGCTGACGCCGAATATAGCGACTTGTTCCCTGCAAAGAGCCCCGACTTGAAAACCGCCCTTGGCAACACAACCACCACCCAAAATGATGTTAGTGATGGTATGTTAGATACTAATAGGCTAGCAATAACCGCCTGCGCCCAGGATTTTCTTTCTCCGCACCTTTATCAATCTCTCCATTTTATTCCTGACATGGACAATTTTCCTCCACTTAATAACCTGATGTCTCCGTTCCAGCCATTTGGTCCACCCCAAACAACACAGCCTCAGCCTCAAACACAGACGCAGTCGCAACAATATCAACAACAGCAGGCACAGCGACAAGCTTACAACGATCAACCACAGCAGCATCAGCATCAGCATCAGAATCAGCAACAACAACGACAACGACAACAGCTACGCCAGACAGAGCAGGTAGGCCACTCTGCCGACAAAAAGGGTCCATTTGCACAAGCTTCACACTTGTTTGAAATGTCTGCATTTAACTCTCCTGCTCCAGATACAACCAACTCCGCGCAGCACTCCACATCAATGTCTGTGTCGCGTATAACCGGGCCTGGCATAGCCAGCAGCAACCATCTGCTGGGATTTGACCCAAGCCGACCTATAGCCCCGTTCTCGTTTATCAGACCGGCTTCGCTCGCACCCGGAGACGCAGTCGGCGTCAGTGGCAACAGTGGTTTTGATGACAACATTGCTGCTGCCTCGTACCATGGCATGTCGTACCCAACGCTTCCTTCAGAAAGTATGCATGCGCCATCAGGAATGCATGGCCCAATCGGCCACAACGCTGGCGGATTTATGTCCAGCCCGATGATGTCCCAGATGAGCTCGCTGCCTTTAGCGGAAAACATCCAAATGCACTCTCAACAAGGTAGCCACGCGCATCCAAGCGGCTCTCTAGTGTCACAGATGCGCCCGTACAACATGGTGTTTGGCATGCCTGGGATGGGAGAACAGTGCATAATTTACGACGACCGTATGCAGGTGCCACCAATGCCCCACCAAGGGGGCAACTGGCTGCGGATCAGACAGCCCATCGACTATGTTGCGCCCCTCAAGAAGCCAATGAACTCGTTTCTGCTGTATTCCGCTGAGCGGCGCGTACAGCTCAGGCAAACGCACCCAGACCTAAATACGACCCAGCAGAGCACTATTTTGGCCCGCGAGTGGGCTAGCCTTGCCGAAGAGGAAAAGGAAAAGTACCGGGCAGACGCCAAGCAGCTCCGCGAGGAATACAACGCTCGGCGAGCAGAGCTCAGCCTCAAGCTTCAGCAGCAGCTTAACCAGCAGCATCTCAACATGAGCCTTGCACATCAGCCGCACCCGCTACCACATACACACGCTTCTCACCACCAGTCATCTCTGGATGTATTGGACGTCGGAATGCTTTCAAATGATCAAAATGCGCACATGCAATCTCCCAGTACGTTTGGGGCAGGGTTCTCGCAGCAACATTACCCCAACGCGGGCTTACAAATGCCTTCTCATACGCAGTTCTCACAACTCGCGCCTAGTGCTAGTCAAGGTCATTTTTATGGTCGCCACACGCCAGTGGCATCGTTTTCACAACCCCCGCACGAAGACATTGCATATGGCTCCTCTCGAGCAATGGCGGTCAACATGTCGGACAACTTCCAATTCGATTCATCGCTGTCTACGCTGGATGCTTCGTCTGGACCCGCTGGTCAGCACTATGCGCGGACAGTCGGGCGTAACACACCTTACATGCCAGATAACAACACAGGCGGCAGGGCATTTGGCGATGACTTTGACAAGCAAGGTATACATTAGTGAGCCCCCCAAAATAAACAAACGGTTGACTGTGCACACATCCAATTTTTTCACGTAACACTAAAATGGTATTATGCATCTATTTGTAGATCATAGATGGCAGGAAGTTAATTTAATGGGTTCCGAATATCAGAAGGACTACGGTTCCGCCCAATACCAACATAACCAGAGCCAGAACCAAAGCCAAAATCAACATCAACATCAACAAGGCCAGGCTCAGTACGTTATTCCTCGACCCTCGCCAACGTTGTCTTACTATATGAATGCTGGTGAGCAGCAGCAACAACATAATAAATACCAACAACAGCAACAGCAACAATACCAGCAACAAGGCTACAAAAACAATAACAACGGCAACTCGCACAACAGTCTTGTCAGCACTGCAAATAGCCTGCTGAACGTCTTTGATAATGCAATTCACTCTGGTGAATTTGGAAATAGTGGCGGCATTCCTAAGGACATTAGCAAGTCAGCCTCGTTTGCCACTTTTGCCGACCTTGGCTCTCTGGCAAATTTAGACAGCGGCCTGGATGCCGCTGACTTTGGCTCTGCCGGGAGACGAGGTGCTCTGACGGGTCAGCCAAATAACACCGACTTGGACCATATCAGAGAATACTCTGTTGCCACCACTGCCAACATTGCGGACAGCACCAATGTTGGCGATCGCAACCAGGCAGGCTCATCAAAGACGCGCGCTCGTCCTTCCAGCCCAGCCAAAAGGGCTCGAAAGAAAAGCAAGAAGGACCCGGATGCCCCCAAGCATCCTATGTCTGCATTTCTATACTACTTGACATCTGAAAGACCACGGCTTGCCAAACATATCGGCGACATGACTATTGGCCAGCAGACAAAGCTCATCGCCAAACAGTGGAAGGTCATGGATGATAATAAGAAGGCACCCTGGGAGAAAATGGCAAGAAGCGACAAGGACCGTTATGCACGCGAGCGGCGAGAGTATCACAGCGGGTCTCAGCAGACTGGGACGCCCGCCCCTACGAGCTAAACACTTCGCGCTTCTCAATTATGCAGTTTTCATATTTTATATATACATCCACCAAACCATTCTGACAATAAACTGACTATCACTGGTAAAATTTTCTATAACAAGTATTAAAGAAAAATTCTCGTACAAAATACAGAGTACTCGGGTATTAAAATTATATATGTATGTATAAATTCGATGTGAAATACAGAACATATTCGAAATACCAAAAAATCACCCGTCAGTCGTCTGGATTGGCCACAAAGAATTTGTTTTTCTGCGAAAACATATTGATATCAATGGAGCCTCGCACCAAGGTTGACGACATGTGCTGCTTCTGAGCATCAGAGCCCCGAGCATCCGGCATTGAGCCAGCACTTGAGCTAGTCGAATCGCTGCCATTTGCACCGTGTTTTCCGTTCCGAGCAGCGTCGTCGTATGCGGCAGGCATGGCTGGAGGGGTCAGTTTTTTGGTTGCTTCGTTGCCATTGCCATTGCCGTCAGTATTGGTAGCATTGTTGCCAAGAGAATCCATCATGAATTGAGCAGGGAGCTGCGGCAGGCTGGGGCTCTCGGGGACGTCTTCCAGCTCTTCAAAACGGTAGCGAGCCAACGCGTTGGCGGTCTCCATTGGCAGTGTCAAACGGCTCCCAACAACGCGCGGGAGCATGGCAGAAATGTGCTTAGACTTGCGACTGGCTCGGCTGTTCGCCGTGGAGGGCCGCGACCAGCCGCCTCCATTATCCTTGCTCATCACGGACACCCTTTCCTCGACGCAATCGGCGCCATCCAGATCATCACGGTTCCGCAGACCTGTTGGAAGCTGCACATTATCCAGATGTGTTCTCCGAATAAGCTTTGAGTTTCTCATTTGCGGGTCCGTGTGTTTCTCGCATGCATTCGGGCTGCCCAGCAAGAGGCTCTTGTCGATGCTGGAGCTTCTGCTGACATCAAACATGATGTGCCGGCTGGCGTCGTCATCGATACCTGGAACACTTTTCAGCCGTATGTGCTTGGTATGGCTGAAGGCTGGGCTGGTCGGTGTCGACAGGTGCATTTGCTGCAGTATTTTATGGTTTCCTGAACTGATCAGTTTCTCAGAATCCTCCATATTGCGTTTACTAAGCAGCGACTTGTCGCGGGCCACCGCGCGCTGGCGCTGAGTTCCGATCCTTGCTGTCAGCCGTCTGCCCAGCTCGCGCAGCTCGTTCGCAGGCAACATGTTGCCATTCTCACCCGAGTCCGACAGCTGCGGGTGCTTGTTATAGTGGTGCATGCACAAAATGTATAGCAGAATTAGAATCACCAAAAATCCGGTCGTCGAAGCGATGGTCAACCCAAAGACAGTACCGCCAGAGAGCTTTGCGCTTTTGTAGTTCACTGTCAGCGCCGATCGCGAGGGGTCAAACTGCGCGACAAACTTCCAAACACTGGTGTCCAGCAAGTATAGTCCATAGTCCCCTGAAGCCACTTCTGTTTGGTTGGACACCATGCGGCCAAACGTCATTATCATATATGGGCCGGCCTGGGAGGCGGTGTGTCCAAACCGAGCGGTGGGAGCGCCGGATACGTTGGGCACCGACCAAACCCAGGTATCGGTGTCCAAGACAGCCACATCGCCCAATGCCTTACCAAAATCAATTGTCGCCCCGCCATGAACCACAATGTGCGTTCCGTTAACCACCGTGGCGACATGGTTGCGCCGGCTGGCTGGTACATTGCCAGTGGCTGTCCGTTGATACCACATGCGGTGCGAGCTATTGTATACGTAGACAGTGCCCATGCCAACCAATCTGCTCCCATCGCTGCCGCCGAGTATCACCATGTTGGTATCATTCACCATGCTGGCCGTGTGGCCAATTCTTCCTGACACGCTAGCCGGCAGCATGTCATTGGTCCAGGACATGAGAAGTGGTCCGGAACTGACATTGTCATCCAAGGTGAAAATGTCGATGTCGTCATCAATACCCCGTAGTTCCAGCCCGCGGGCGTCGACATCGTCTGATGCCAACTGTGTGATACCTGTTGCTTTGGTGGTGCTGATATTTGTTGGTGCAGGAATGCCCTTTTTAGTGCTGCTTTGGAAAGACGACGCTGATCCATCCTTTATTGTGCTGGCTCTTGTTTTGCTCGCAGCCTCAGTGGTGGTGGTACCAGTGCTAGTGTCTGACACTCCCGACAAAGGTTTCATGCTACTGAATCCAACGCTCGGCTGAATGCTCGCATAGTTGTGCTTCTGAGTGTCTGTGACCATCCCCAGCGTGGCATTTGACAGAACGTACGGATCTGTATCGAAAGATCCACCGTACACTAGCATATCTCCTGTTGAGCGTTGAATGACTGCTGAGTGCCCAACCAGCGGCTGCGGAAAGTCTAGGCTATTAGGGGTGCTCCAAAACCCGATCTCAGCACTGAATAGGTGCATCGGCCCAATTCTCTCGACCTCATCAGGGACAGTTCCGCCAAATACAATGGCCATGTTAATATTGTCGTTTATAATCACTGAGTGACCGGCCACGAGCGGCCCGTTGTTATCACAAACCCACTCCCAAGGCGGATTGCTTGTCGAAAACTTTCCGCTGAGCTTCAAAGATATGCACGGTGTCGCGTAGTCGCTCTCAGCGTTCCCGTATCCTTTTTTACCGCCTAAAATATACATGGTTTGGTCCGCAATGGCCGAGGCATGGGACCAGCGCATAGAAACGCCCTGGGAATACTGCGTGGCCCTTGGAACCAGGCGAGACAAGCCATCAGCTCGCGCTGCCCTGGCCAGACGACCGGTCGGGCCGTCCGAATGGCTTAGTTTCTGCGAATCATAGGACGCCGCATGGCACCCGTAAAGTGGTGCGGCCGCAAGGGCTATAGACGCGGTTATAAGCAGAGAGTTCAATATGCGGCGAGCGCTGTATTTGCTGTTAAAAAGCCGCTGCTCGCAGTGTGGTTTTGATTCTGTGCGCGTTCTCACGCATGGGTTGTCGCCTTGACAGCAAGCGACAAACATCGCTGGCGCGTCTATTTTGCCTGCGGTATTCCTGCGAGCCAACGTACGTGTCATATCCCGCTCTGTTCTGTCGATACGCGTATGTGTATGGCGATGTTTGGGCTAAAAGCAGTGAGGCTTTTCAATAGTGGCTGCGGTCTGCTCTGGGGCTGTTGACGAATGAAGTAAATGAGTAATAGTTTCGTGAATGGCGAGTAAAAATAATATTGGCGTGGAGGGAATATAGACGGTATTAAGTGGTAGGGTGGCAAAGATTATTAGTCGTAAAACGAGACAAAAAGAGAAGAGAAACGACAAACGAAAAAATTGAAGCGCAAAGCACTTGGGGAGCTTGAAATAATAGGAAAATAAAAATATATAGGAACAAAAATCAAAGTGATTTACACATTGGGTTTTTGTGCATGCCAACCACTCGTTTTACAAGTGTGGTATGTCGTGTTTTGTATAGCATAATGCAGCTTTCATTTATAAAAAATGCATGCGCGGACCACTTTGGACCACTGTGAACTGCATTGCTTTATTTTTATTTTTAGACTTCACAAATTTTGCTTAGGCGACTGCATGTTTTGTGCGCGTATTTTGTGCTGGTGGTCCGACAACTCTCAATGATTTGTTACAGTGATATTGTTGGGACCGCCAACCACGCGCTGGTATGTGTGACAGTGTTAATCGCATACGCATGGCTTTTTTGGGCATAAAAACCTGCATTTCTGGTGGAGATGATGCGCGCGTAAATAATAGCAGATGCAGGATGCTAGAAATGACTAATTTTAGCGTCCTTATTTTGGAGTATGGTGTATATTTAACCTTTGCAAAAAAATGAAACTCTATTCCAAAAATAAACAAATCAAAACACAGCAGAGCAGAGATAAAGACTGCTGCAAAGAATAACATTTACCATATGGCCATATGTAGAGTCGGCGTATGCCCTCGGCGCCATCTCTAGATCTGAGCATTGGCGAGCTTCTCGACGGCCTCAATGACAGATGCAGAGGTCTCAGCAGTAGGCGCCTGCGCATCGGGGCGCACGTTGTGCTTCTTCTTCTGCTTGACGGGCTTGGCCTTGGCTTGTGGCGGCGGGTAGGCCTCCAGGATAAGCTGCTGCATCTCAGGCACGGCAAAGTGCTGGCGCACAGGCTCCAGCAGCGCGTTCAGGGCCGCGGCGGTGCTGTTCTTGAGATCGCCCGGGTGGATGTTCTTGTCAGCAAAGTCACGCTCGAGGGACGCAAAGTCGTTGTACACGCTGTTTCCGCCGTACTGCTCGGGCCGCTTGATGACAAACTCCGCTTGGCCAGCGCGCAGGCTGCTGACGGGCATCAGTACAAACTTGATAAACGACAGGATGCCGTTTTCTGTGATGTTGCCTTCCTCGCAGAACGCCTTTTTCAGCTTCTTCAAAACTGCCTTCTCGTCGTCCAGAATGTCGATCTTCGAGTCAGGGTCTGAGGATGACATCTTAGAGCCCTGCAGGCCGGGAACCATGGGGTTCATCAGATGGATGCGCTTCTTGTATCCGAGCTGCGGCATGTACTTCTCGGCGAACGTAAAGATCTTGCGCTGGTCGACACCACCAAACTGCGCGTCAACCTTGAGGTACTCCTCATCAAGGGCCTGCATGCCGGGGTATAGAAGACCCGAGAGTAGCGCCGAGTCGACCTGCTTAACGACCTCAGCACCCGCCTTTTTGGCGTCGTGCTCGGTTACCAGAGAGGCCAGGCGGTAGTTGTCCATCGAGTACTCGGGTGTCAGCTCGAAGCTGCTGCCGACAACAAAGGTGAGCTTTTCCAGGGGAACGCCAATCGAGTTCAGCATGGCCTTGATGGTCTGCTCGTAGTACTTTGTGCGCGATTTGACCAGTTCGATCGACGACTTCAGGTTATCTAGGAACGCGTGAATGTCGGCCAATAAAATGGTAACATGGCAGCCGGCTCTCAGGTAGTCGGCAATCTTCGTCATGGCCACAAAGTAGCCAACGTGGGGTCTGCCCGTGGGCGCGGTACCCCAGTACAGGCTGATATCGCGCTCGGCGAGGATCTTCACGAGCTCAGCCTCGCCAAGGACCTCCTGCAAGTTGCGCTTGATGAGCGTGAGCTTCTCCTCAGGGCTCAGGATTTCGGATGTGTTGGTGCTCATGTTTTCTGAATGAACTTTAAAAAAGGCGAGATTAGGAGAGAAAAAGAAAAAGAAAATTGAGGAAGAGAAAAAAGATAAATTCGAAAACAAAAGTTGCAGATTGACAAAACTGAGACCAAAGTTCTATTGTTTTTTGCAGGCAAATCGGTTTGTTGACTTTTCACAGCTAAATTTTAAGTATAGACATGATTGGCTGAGATGACTCACCTTCTGAGACTGGCTGGCTGGCTTTTTTCCATTTGTTTGGGCATTCTTTGCATCCTTTCCCGCCAGTATTTTACATTGCTGCGTGGATCAACATGTGTGAAAGTAAAATATCAATATCAATATCAATGTGACAAATATATATCTAAATGCTCTTAATGCTAAGCTTGGCCATCAAATCCTCAAGAACGGCGTTGCCACCGTGCTCTGCGATCTTCTCACCAATCTTGTCCTCCAATGTGATCAAGGATTTCCTTGTATATTCAAAGGACCCGGCCTTGGCTATCAGCGACACAGCATGCAGCTTGTCGATTTCATTGTCAGTCTTCTGCCTCAAAATGCTCATCAGCTGCGGGCCATCCTCTCGGTGATTGCATGAACAATAAGAAATGAAAACTTGCCTTCTGTAAGGTCCTCGCAAAACCCTTTGCTGTTCGAGTACTCTGTAGACAGTAGGTTCATATAACCGTCCCTGATCTGGAAGAACGTACCCATCATATCAGCCAGATCAGTAAAGTCCACATTCACCTCGCTGCACTCCTGGAGCATCTTCACAGCCAATCTGAATAGACCTCCAGTCTTATTCAGCACCATCGCCAAATACTTTTCCTGTCGGGCATGATAATGTGTCTCTCCAGAACAATTCCAGTCCCTGGCCTCTGTGCAAGTTCATAAGCTCCTCGGTGAAAACTTCCATTATCTTGGGTCGCTTCATTTGTAGCACGCCCCGAGTGCTAATACAGTAGACATAATTTTCCGCATTCAAGGCCATCGGGATGCCATAGATCGTATGTGCTGCAGGGACGCCACGGCGTAACTCTGAGCTATCCTCAATGTTGTCGAGCAGCAGACTTGATGTGTGCAGCTTGCGGATGATACTGGAAATCTCCAACAGCAGGCTTAGGTCGACATGGAGCCAAGAGTTGAAGGCGTTAATTATCATGGTGCGCACTTCTTTGCCTGGCATTTTGGCCAAGTACTCATACGGCGCAAGAATGATTTTCTCCTGGACAGTATTATTAAATGCGGGCATGATTAAATGATTCAAGTGGATTATAGATTCAGTGAAGGATGTAAAGTATAGAATTCAAATGTATGTGTGTTTGTGTTTGTGTGCAAAATACAGTTTATACAAGATAAAATAGAAGCTTTTTGAGCGACTCCAGATGGGAGGCACATATGGTTATTTTATACGATATAAATTATTCATACTTGAAAATGCATTTTTTTTATTTTTAATGTGAATGGCAGAAAAGGTAAGCAGATATCGTGGCAATTGCCGCCCACCAAAAACAGATTCATACAATTAATCAAAAATTATATATGTTGAAAGCAATTATCCCAAGTCAAAATTCATTAAAAAAACAAGCGCCACATGCAGTATAATGCTGTATCGAGTTGTGGTGATGTATTTGCTTTTACATCTTTTTAATCAGTTGGTTGGTTTATTGAACGTGTCGAAAAGTATTGAACTGTTATTCAATAACAATATTACTCCAAAACAATATATGAGCATTATGAGCAAATACGAATTCTTGTCGATAGTGTGTTTCCAAATTAATCGCGATAATGGCCATATTGTTTAGCGAAAATGATAATTTTGTTCAATATAGCACAATTCGATATTCATATGACCGCATTTTCAATATTATCGCCAGCCGACGATTTTTGAGAAAAATAATAATCTCACTGCTAATAAAGGTAATACTGAATACTCTTGATCAAATTGAATAAAAGAGAAAATATAGAGGGGATTTGAAAGGAAGCATGTAAGAGGGGAAATTAGGCTTGCCTCAGAGCGACCAGTATGAAAAGGGATGTTGGTGCCTGCCAGCAATAGGCGCACGGCATCAAAAGCCAGACCAGCCAGCAACACTGTTTCTACAAGATCTGCTCATCAGTTGCACAGACAGTACAGGTGAGAGAATAAAGGGGGGCGCGCCACGGAAATGGGTATTCTGCTTGCAAACCGTAGTCCAATGGAACTTACAGGCAGGCGGCAACCAGGGCAACAGCACCACCAAAGAAGGCGGCAAAGGTAACCGAGTGCGACACACCTGCCGACTTGCTCGACTTGCTCTTGGAGCTGCTGGCCTTCTCCTCATCACCATCGGACTCGCTATCGTCGGCAATAGTCTCCAGCTCGCAGTCGATGTTGCTGGCAGCAGAAAGGGCGTCCTCGGCGTCCTCGCAAGAGAGTCTGCCTTTTCCGCTGAGGCTAACCAAACCGTCGACCGTCGAGAGGCTGGGGAAGGTAATGTTATCGAAGCTGCCGACCAGGATAATGCTTCCGGGAATGGTAGTCAGCTCGGGGAACGTATTCTTGTCGACAGACTTGAAGTTAGTGTTGTTGGCAATGTTTAGGGACGAGCCGATGTCCTTCAGCTTGGGGAAGCTGATGGAGGTGAACTTGTTGCCGCTGAGAGTGACGGACTTTTGCGCCTCAGTCAGCTGGCCGACGGTCAGGTTCTTGAACGAGTTGGTGTACAGCGAGAAGTCGTCAGCAATGGTGCTCAGCTTGTTGATGTTGAGCGCGGCCGCATCGGCAAACGAGGCGTTGCCACCGACATTGGTCAGCGACGAGAAGGTGATGTTGGCGTTCTTGCCGTTGTTGGCAATGTTGATGTAACCGGAGGCCTTGCCGACCGAGCTAAAGTCGAGCTTAACCAGCTGGAGGTTGGACAGAACCTCAATGTTCTCGACGCTGGGGGCAGTGAACGCACCGAGCTCAGAAACGTACGTGTTGATGATCTGGAAGTTATCGACCGACGAGATGTTCTTGTAGTTCATCTCCTTCAAGTTGGGGTTGACAATGACCTGGAAGTCGCTGACCTTGGTGAGGCTGGGGATGTCAACCTTATAGACGTTGGTGTTGTTCAGGATTTTCAGCGAGTTGGCAGAGGCGAGATTGCCGAGGGACACGGTCTGCAGGTTGTACATGTTCTGGATGATGATATTACCGCTGATCTGCTTCAGGTTATCGATGCTGATAGTGTCAAGGCCTGCGATACCGTCGATAACAACATTGCCCTGGAACTTCTCGCACTCGTTAATAGTGTTGATGTCAGTCTGACTCTTCACGTTGATGCTCTTGTTGCAGGCGCCTATATGATCATCGAACACAAAAAAGTGTTTATCAGCGAGTTAGCTCGATACAGAAGAAAGAGGATATAGAGACTATACGCACAAAAGCAGTCGGCGAACAAGCGCTGCTCTGTGTAGTGCACACAGTAAAAAGAGTACGCAGACAATACAGCAGCCACATAGAATGGGCATCCCTCTTTTTCATCTTAAAATTACAAGCCCTTCAGCAAAGGCCTGCCTGCATAATAGAAGCAGAAACTGCCAATAAATAAACAAAAGAAGGAAGTCTTATTCATCTGGGCTCCCGCTACTGCGTTAGGGCAATGCAAGTGGTTTGGGATACTGCTTGCGGTAGTATCGCTGTGCTATTAACAGCAAATTAAGCCGTAAAATTGAAAAACTTACCAGCGGCGAGCGCAACAATCGTGGTGATGGCGAGAATGCACTTCATGGTTTAAAATGCCGTCGTGAGCGAAAAGAGGAAGAAAAAGGTTTGGGTGTTGTACGTGTAAACGGGCGCGATTGCTACAGAATAAAAAACAGATGTGACAAAAGATCAGGACGTAAGAGAGAACAAAATGGGTTAATGTTGGTGCTTGGATAATGTGAAGTAAAATGTAAAAAAATTTGGAAAGGCCAAAGTGCACTTGAAGGATGAGCGCAAGAAATAAACGAGCTTGTCACAATATGCTGCTCAATCCGAGGAGCATCAACGCCAACCCATTCAACGCTATTTATACGCTACCCATGACGCACACAACCATCACACCGTCACCATCGCTATCAACTGGGGGACTATGAACCTCGGTTTGGCCGCATCCTCGTAGCAGCATGCCAGAGAGCATAGCTGACATATGCATCACATGCATGAATCCTTACCTAGTTATAGTCAAGCGGAGCGAGTGTCTTCGTAACAAAGAAATGGAAAAAAGGAGTGGTAGGAATTAGAAAGGGTAGTGAAAAATATAGAATTTCAGTAGACAAGGATGTTTTTTTGTGAGACGGAAGGAAGAGAGGGGGAAGAAAAGAAAAAAGGTCGAAAAAAGCACTACTTTGTTTTGCTGTGAGAGGGATATTCATGATAGAAAAAATAGTCCGCCCAATTGGTTCGTGTTGACAGTTTAGCTGTGGCCAATCGCATGCTAAAGACCACTAGCCCGCCTGTCCCCACTTCCTTGCTGCCTTTGCTCCCGTCGATCGGCCCTGCCCAAAATAGATTCAGTATTTTTTGTGGGGAACGCAAACAAGAGCACTTTGAAGAGTAGTGAACAGAAAGTTGACATCCGCAACGAAGAACACTTTGCTTGAAGCAAAAAGGACTTTGCGCAAAATTATTAAAAAAATCCAATGGATTTAGTTGACCAAGCTCAGCCCACACTACATGCTTGCATGAACAACGACCCAGCTGGCTGTGATATATATATATATATATATTCTTTTTGCAATAGGTTGTTTTTTAAAATTGAAAGAATGAAGGGACTATAGATGTATCTAAAAGAAGAACATCCTCAACGACGCTCTCTTGGTCTGCCTTTTGTTGCTAGATGGGCGCAAGATAAAAACATAGTTTTGAAGTGTAGCAGCTCTGCGCACACAATTAGGACTCGAGGTTAATAGCAATACCAAACTTGTTCTCGCCCTTGAGGTGGTCCAGCTCTCCAGAGAGGAGGAACGAGAATCCGGGGGCAATCTTCTCCTCAAGCAGCATCGAAACCTTGCCGAGGTTGTCAGCCATGGCCCGGAAGGTCGACGCAGCAAACTCGTACTTGACTCCGACCGAGCAGCTGGCCTCGCGGCGGTCCTGCGACGGGATGTTGATCATCTGCAGCTCCGCGCCGGCGTCGCACTTTTCGGAGATTTTGCGCCAGAACGAGGTTGTCAGAATGTTGGTGCCCTGGGTCTGGGCGACCCACACGCGGTCGGCCGTGGGCTGGTACCGCACGCCGAAAGAGATGCTGGTCTCCTGCACCTTGGGCATCGGGCACTGGTACAGCATCTCGGCGCCAAGGCTCAGCTTGGGCGTGACCGACTGCAGGTAGTTGAACAGGTAGATGCCATTGCCGTCGGTCAGCGAGGGGTTGACCGCCTTGACGTTGGCCGTGTAGTCCGATCCCGTGTACTCGCTCTCCAGCTGGAGCATCGACTGCGAGTCGCTGGCCATCAGCTGTGCCTGCGACTTCAACTGCAGGTTCTTTGACAACGCATGGTTGAAGCGCGCCATCATGTTAAAGTCAGAGTCCATCTTTCCGTGCATCATGGTCCTCTCGTCGGCGTACACACCGCCAAACTCAAACAGCGACGGGTTGCCACCGGGGAGTCCCAGCTGGAACGTGTGCATCACCTGGAAGTTGGGCGACAGAATTTTTGCCAGATCGGCGCGCCCGCCCTCAAAGGTAAAGTTCGACAGCATCGTGCCTTTGATTTCCTTGTTCAGGTACTCAAACTGGCCGGGGTTAGACAGGTTCAACCGCATGCGATGCTGGTTGAGTGCCTTGTAATAGTACATCGGGTTCCAGAACCTGTAGTGGAGCTCTTCCTCAAAATCAAAATGCCTGGGTTTTCCGAACCCCATGTCTGCAATGCTCGGCACCGCGATTCCAGAAGTCGCTGAGGGCGTGTACGCCTGTTGTGTTGCGTCGGCCATTGTATTCTGCGTTATTATTTCTGTGCCGAGGCGAGTGTGTTTTGCAACTGTGTGATCTGATCGCCGACTGCGCTCTGTGGTTGCTCCAAAAGAAATAATAAGGGCGAGTCTACAAGTTGTACAAAGCGCTTTTAAAAGAGTGTATGAGTGTCTGTGAATATCTGCTGTCAGCACATGTGTGCAACCGGGTGTTATAGACTGGCGGTCTCGCTGACTGCTTTCATTTTGCTAGTAAACTCGACATTTCTATCAGTAGATCAACTTCAAAATGTGACCCGCGTTTGCCTGCAGCTTGTTTGAATCCAAAAGGCAAATTGGTCCCAATCGAGTGCACGTACGCTTAAAAATCCGCTCTGTAATTTGCAAAGAACAAAATAATACAAATGACGAAAAGAGGAATTAAAAACTTTAGATAACGACAAGCTGGCGTGCTTGTCAGAGGTGGCGCGCTGCTTACACTAACGCCGGAAAAAATTGCACACAGCGGCAACCCTCCAGCCTCTATTCAAAGGCCCCATCGCGATTAAAATTAATCTGATATTAATCACAAGATTATATGCCAATGCTAATTTCATGATCCACAGTGCGTTTTCCGGTTGCAAGGAGCACCGCTAAATGTGTTGAGCAAGCTGAGAGCTGTCACAACCATATCAGAAGCGCACTGTAGTCTACGCAAACATATCGCCAAACTCTTGTGCGTTTTCTGTCATTGCTGAGGGCAATTTCACGCTGTGGTACACGATGTCATACACAATAGCATGCGACTATATCGAGTGGCGGGTAGCTCTGCTACAATCCAGGGATTTGGGCAATCGCAAATGTTTACGTCCGATATTCCAAACAATCAACATCATTGTTGGCTACCCCCTTTCAGCTCATTGTTTACCCACGTCGCTAACTGTGTGTGGGAGCCTTCTGGCCGCTTGGGACGCGATCATATCGCGTCGTTGTAAAATTACAAGCCCCAATTCGAACTGGAACCTAATATTGTACGGGCAGTACACTTTGTCCGCTGCACTTCGTTTTGATGGGCGTGGCCCAGCCTCCGGAATAAATGTAAAGTCGCACATATCCCCGGAACCTTTATATTTTTATTTGTGCCCAGACCACATGGCCACGCAAATACGCAAATACGCAAATATGATAATATGGAAATATGTACAGGGCGATAAATGACTGCTCGATGCAGATTGCTTTTGAAAACGAAATTTTCCCACCATTTCCCTGTGCAGAAATAATGGATATTACACAGGATATTTTTCTCATCGGAGATCTCGTTTCCCGAATTCGCTTCCGCGTTCACAAATCTAACTGCTCAGTATGAGAAGCGGAATAAGCCTTTGTGCGTCGTTTCTGACTATGCCAGCGCAAATTCAGGCTGTGGAAAGAGAGGGTTTAAAGGGGAAATGCTTTAGAATAGGATCGCCTTCGATCTTGGATAAAAATGATGACAAACTACAAAGCAAAATTCAAAACAAAAAATGATATTTCTGGTCGACACAACACACAACATAAAACAGTACATCTGTTCATTAATTTATTCGACTGAAAAAATGACTGAAAATGCCAAGACAATTTATAAGGAAAGCTCATATTTTACCCCCCAGAAAATGGATGGGGTACACGAGTGCAGCGCTCTCTCAGATTTAAAAAGAAAAGTTTTTTTTAGTGTTGCAAAATTTTTAGTTTCCAGTTTTTTAGTTTCAATATTTTTATTATTTTATTATTTTTATTATTTGACAGCTATTATTTCATTGTATGACATCAATATCATCTAAATCCTCGGGCGCAGCCAAGCAGGCGGAGAGTCGTGACGTTTCGCCCACAAAGACCGAACAGGAGTCGCTTTCTAGCACGGACAATGCTATTGCCCCTGATGTAGATGACAAGGTCGATGATGTGAGGTTGTTCCTGCAGAGCAGCGACGACAAAAAGGACACCCCCGCGGCGTCTAAAACCAAGGAAAAGCCCATCGCGCTCATGAAGCTGTTTCGGTTTGCCAGCAAGTTCGACCTAATACTCTACACGCTCGGAACTCTGTGCTCTTGTGCCGCCGGCATCCTCACACCCGCGATGACAATCGTTTTTTCCTCGCTTGTGCAGGCGCTGATCAACTTCAACATGTGGATTGAAGAGGGAAAAAACGAAGAGGCTCACAAATTGCTGGACCACGAGTCGCGCAAGTTCTGCCTGTGGTTCTTGATCCTGGGCATCATCATGTGGGTCGTGTCCTACGGGGTCAATCTGTGCTGGTCTGTGGCCGCCGAGAACCAGGGCCTGCGCATTCGCGAGATGTACTATGAGTCTATCATGCGCCAGGACATTGGCTGGTTTGATGTCGTCGAGACCGGCAACTTGACTACGCGAATCACCAATGACGTTAACCTCATCCAGGACGGCATCAGCGAAAAGTTCGGTTTCATTCTCATGAACTTCGTTTCCTTCTTGACCGGCTTCATCATCGCCCTTGTCAAGGCCTGGGACGTCGCCCTCATCTGCTTGTGCGTGCTGCCATTTATTTTTGGCACGGCCATCATCATGGGTAAGCGGATCTCGGCGCTAACAACTGTGGCTCAGGACCAAACAGCGGGGTCCGGTGGCGTGGCCGATGAGGTTCTGAACAGTATCCGCACGGTTAACGCGTTTAACGGTCAGCAGCGCGAGCTCGAGCGCTACGACTCGAAGATCCAAAGCTCGTATATGTACGGCAGGAAGAAGGGGCTTATTTTGGGCTCCGGTATCGGCGTCATCCAGTGCCTTATTTTTGTCATGTACTTTGCTGGCTTCAACTTTGGTATTTGGCGCATTTACAATAACGTCCGGATCCCGCAGCAAGTGCTCAACGCCATTTTTGCCCTGCTGCTCGGTGGCTACCGGCTGGGCAGTTCTGCGCCCCAGTTTTCGGCGGTCTCGACCGCTCAGGGCTGCGCTGCTAATGTTTTTGCTGTCATTGACCGCCAGTCCCCCATCAACCCGTTGGACACCGAGACCGGCAAGAAGGTCGACAAGATCAACGGTGACATCTCTTTTCGCAACGTACACTTCACTTACCCGAGCCGTCCCAACGTCCCCATCCTCAAGGGCTTCAACTTGGAGATCCGCCCTGGCCAAAATATCGCGCTTGTCGGAGAGTCCGGCTGCGGCAAGTCGACCACCGTTGGTCTGATCGAGCGCTTCTACGACCCCGCGCAGGGCGACGTGATCGTCGATGGCGTCAACATCAAGGAGTACAACATCGGATCGCTGCGCCACCGCATCGGCATTGTCACCCAGGAGCCGGCACTCTTTTCGACCAGCATTATGCAGAACATCAAGTGGGGAGCTGTCGATCCGGAGAACAACCCACCCACGGACGAAGAGGTCATTGAGGCCGCCAAGGGCGCCAACGCGCACCAATTTATCAGCCAGCTGCCCGATGGCTACAACACGCTTGTCGGCGAGGGCGGCGCCCTGTTGTCCGGCGGTCAGAAGCAGCGCATTGCTATTGCCCGCGCGATCATCCGCAACCCCGACGTTTTGTTGCTCGACGAGGCCACTTCGGCGCTGGACTCCGCCTCGGAGCGCCTGGTGCAAGACGCCCTGGACAGACTATCGGCCAACCGCACGACCATTTCAATCGCCCATCGCCTGAGCACCATCCGCAACTGCGACCAAATTTACGTTGTCCGTGAGGGCGTTGTCTCCGAGAATGGAACCCACGACGAGCTAGTTCGCCGGGGAGGCGAGTATGCTGGCATGGTACACGCCCAGGAACTGCGCCAGGCTGTGCATGTTAACGAGCAGAACCCAGAGGAGATGGACCATTCCGAGGACGACGTCGATGCCCTGATCGCCAAGGAGCTCAAGGAACAGGCGCTGGAGCTGAAGGCCACCACCCAGGCGACTCAACAGAGTATTACCAATGCCTCCATTTTGAGCCATACACAGGGACCCAAGAGCCTGCAGAGCTCGAGCGACTACTACATCCTCTGGTGTTTGATCATCAGGTACCGCACCTCGATGGGACCTATTGTTCCGGGTATTATCATTGCTTTCATCCAGGGTGCAGTTATGCCTTGCTTTGCCCTGGTGTACTCCCGCCTGCTCATTTCGCTGTCGAACCCGGACCGCGAGAAAATGAGGCATGACGCAAGAATGTATGCCTGCCTGTTCTTGGTGTTTGCTGCCGCCGATCTGGTCGGAATGTTTGGGCGCATGGGTCTTTTCCACATTGCCGGCGAGAGCCTGACGCGCAAGATTCGCTATGAGACGTTCAAAAAGTACCTGTCGTTTGAGTCCGGCTACTACGACGACGAGAACAACGGCGTCGGTATGCTCACTGCGCGGCTGGCGACTGAGGCCGAGAATGTGAACCAGTTCGTGGGCACAGTTCTGAGCACATTTACCAGCACGGTGTCATGCGTCATTACGGCAATGGTCATTGCGTTCACCTACGACTGGCGCCTGGCGCTGATCATGATGGGCACCTGGCCCGTACAGTTCATCGCGCAATACCAGCAGGCGCTCACAGTCCGCCATGGCTCGCTCAAGACCAAGTTGGCCTACGAGAAGTCCGGCCAGTCTGCTGCCGAGTCCATCCGTAACATCAAGACTGTGGCCACGCTGCGCCGCGAGGAGACATTCATCCAGTCGTTCAACGTGCAAAACCGCTTGCCGCACACGGAGAACCTCAAGGGCGCGTTCGCCACCAGCATTGGTTTCGGCTTTGCGCAGGCTTGCAACATGTTCGTCAATGCCGTGATATTCTACGCCGGATGTCGCTTCGTCATCAATGGCTGGATCGATATGCCACAGATGACCAACGTACTGATGGTATCGACCTTCTCGTCAATGTCCATTGGCATGCTGGCACAGTTCTCGACAATGATCTCTAAGGGCGCTGTTGCGTCGCGCGGTATATACATGACGCTCGAGCGCAAGAGCCTGATCGACGGCATGGACACTACTGGCGAGGCGCCTGAGAAGTTCGAGGGCAACATCGTCTTTGACAACATCAAGTTCTCGTACCCGATCCGCCCCGACACCAAGATTCTCAAGGGCATTTCGTTCGAGGCTATTGCTGGCAAGAGCGTAGCGCTGGTCGGCGCCTCGGGCTCAGGCAAGTCGACGTCGATTCTGCTGGCGCAGCGCTTATACGAAGCCAGCTCTGGCAAGGTCACGGTCGAAGGCATTGATGTGCGCAACTGGAATATCATGGCGCTGCGCGAGAACATGGCCATTGTCGGCCAGGAGCCCGTCTTGTTCAACTACACTGTCGGCGAGAACATTGGCTATGGAAAGCCCGGCGCCACGCAGCTGGAGATCGAGGAGGCGGCCAAGGAGGCAAACATCTACAACTTTGTGCACAATCTGCCCGACGGATTCAACACCAGCGTCGGTCAGAAGGGCGGGCGGCTTTCCGGCGGCCAGAAGCAGCGCATAGCCATTGCGCGTGCCCTTATACGCAAACCCAAGCTGCTTCTGCTAGACGAGGCCACGGCCGCGCTGGACTCTCGCAGCGAGAAGATCGTGCAGAAGGTTCTCGACAAGGCCGCCAAGGAGCGCACAACGCTGACTGTCGCTCATCGTCTGAGCACCATCCAGGACTACGACATGATCGTCGTGTTCAAGAGCGGTCACATCGTCGAGCGCGGCACACACGACGAGCTCCTCGCGCAGAAGGGCCACTACAGTTTGCTGGTCGAGCAGCAATCGCTCCAAGTGACGCACTAAATAACCTGATAGATATATATTCATACGTTTTTTTTATCTTTTGTCAAACATATATAAAGTCTCGGTAACAAAAAAAAATATTTTTTTGTGCACAAAAAAGCTTTAATTTCATGCGGCGTTTGGCCCTTTGCCATTTTGAAAAATTATGCCTCTTTGCTTTGTTTTTTGCCTCCTTTTAAACTATAATTCAATTTATTCGAATTTTTGGACATTCAACCACATATTCTGCTATCCGATTTCGGACCTAACCAAAATATAGCGCAAATCAGACCAAATGAGCGCGAGCAACCCAAACAATAAAGTGTGCACTGAGAACCCGAAAGTCGGCGAATCGGCAGCGGCCAGCCAGCCTGCCGACGCGGCCGCAGTTGCAGTAAAGGAGAAAGCAAAGAGGGAAAAGGAGGAGCGGCGCAAGGCGAAAGAGCTAGAGCTCAAAATGAAGGGCCTTGACGTATCTGGTGGAAAGTCCGCCGCCAAACAAATGACAAAGGCGCAGCGGCGTGCACTGCAGGATGAGCAACGCGAAGCGAAGATGAACGGGACGCAGTCTCGGGGGGGTGTCAGCAGTGGCTACCAGCACAGGGATGGGTCGAGTGTAGCGAGCATCAGCAGTGGGCGGGAGTCGCGGGCCGATATGGCCAGCCAGCACTCGGCGTTGGCAGCCACCGTGGCAGCCGCTGGCAAGAGGGTTGCAAAGGTAGACATGACCAACCGCGTGGTTCTGGAGGACAAGCGAATGCATCTTTACTTGCACCTGGAACTGCCACAGCATCCTCCGAGCTCGGCGGCCGCCATGGCTACTTTGCAGACGATTAACCCGATCAACACAGTGGCTGTAGAGCACGTCGCTGGCGATTCCGGCGCATTTATGGCCGGCATCAACAACGCTGCCTTCCCGCCAGGACCCCAGGTTATTGTCGGCAAGGCCCGGGAAGATTATGTCGCTGCAGAGGCCGGCCAGCCGGTCAGCGTGCCTGCTTCTGATGCTACTGGCGAGGCCGCGGTGGCCATACTGCGCGACGCTATCCCGCCATTTTCGGGCGGGCCGGGCAGCGCAAGATTGCAAAGCCGCCAAGCGGCGTGGCCGGCGTCGAGATTCATCCGAAGATTAAGGAGGTCGGACTGCGCATGAGCTCGATGGAGATTGTTGGCTCCAACGCGCGCGCAGAGGCTGTTCTCGTCACATTTTCCAAGGTCATAGCTGACTATACCGCGCCGCCGCTGACAGACATTAGCCGCAACCTTACACAGTACGTGACGACGCAAATCAACTTTTTGGTCTACCAGCGCCCGATGTGCATTGGCATGGGCAACGCAATCCGCTGGCTCAAGCTCCAGATTGGTAAGATTCAGCCTGGTGTCAATGATGAGGAGGCCAAGGGTAAGCTGGTAGACATGATTAGCGAATACGTGCAAGAGCGCATCACCGCCGCCGGTGCCTACATTGCCGAGGCCGGCGCCTACAAGATCCAAGATGGCGATGTCATTTTGACCTACGGCGCCTCCTCCACTGTTGAGCGTCTGCTGCTGGACGCCAAGCACAAGCTAAAGCGCCGCTTCCGCGTCATTGTCATCGACCCCCGCCCACAGTCCGAGGGACGTGACCTGGTGCGCAGGCTTGTTGCGGCAGGCTTCTCCGACATGTCTTCTCGGGCGGACTCTGAAGACACCACCTCCACCCCTGACAACCACAATGCGCGTGGCAAGGGCAGAGGTCGCAATGGCATGAATGGTGGTGTGACATATGCCCCGGTTACCGCCCTCAGCTTCGTTATGCGCGAGGCGTCAAAGGTGTTTTTGGGCGCAGAGGCCTTTTTTGCCAACGGCGCCATGCTCTCGCGCGCAGGCACAGCAATGGTTGCCCTGGCAGCGCACTCCTACCACGTGCCGGTGATTGCTGCTTGCGAGACATACAAGTTCAGCGAGCGCATCCAGCTGGACGCTGTGGTCAGCAACGAGCTGGATACTCCTGACGCGCTCATTTTCAAGACCGGCATTCCCGATGCCCAGCCCGTGGGCCCGAAGAGCGACTCGACGCTGTCCAAAATGGAGTACAGTGCCTATGCGCGCGACAGATACTCGGCCCACCCTCGGTGGAATAACCGTAGCTCGCTCGGCTCTTTTGCAAGTAACGCCCCCGCGTACGTGGGCAAGGGCAATGGCGCTCGGGTTGTAGTACCAGCGCCCGACGAGATGTCACCCGAGGCCAAACACGCTGCCCGTCTGAAGGAGATTTTCCCGCTTAGCGACTGGCGCTCAACCCCGAACCTGCGCCTCCTGAACCTCACACAGGACATAACGCCGTCAGTGTTTGTCACGATGATCATCACAGAGGTTGGTATGATTCCGACGACCAGCATCCCGGTCGTCCTTCGCGAGTACAAGAACCAGAATTGAATGCGCTTTTGGCCGCCCCCGCCGAAAATGACGGCAGTGACAACATTTGCGCAGTGTTAGTCGGTTCTTTGATTTACAAATCTTAAATTCTTTTCCCAACCGCCAGTAATAGACAAACTTTTTTGCTGCCTGTTCTGATAGAGCTCTCCATCTATGGCTGTCTCTGGCACGCCCTGGAGTGTGAACTTCCAGTCTGCGGCCGAGTACTGCGAGTGATCTTTGATGTTGTAGTCCAGGTAGGGGGTGCCGGCGGAGCACAGGAGTGACTCTTGCTCCATGCCGCAAAAGTGGGTCTGGTTTTTATGGATCCACACTTCTTGCGAGAAATGCTGATACCCCAGCCACTGGAACGGTATATGAGGGACCAGGTCGCTTTCATAGACCACACGGTATATCGGAATGCCCAGCGCGTCAATGCTGTCTGCCCAGGCATTATTGCCTATGCGGGGCATTCCATATGTGTAAATATGGACTCTGCTCTTGACCTCGGGAACCATGCGCAAAACATCGACTGCACACAGGACGGCTTCGGCGCCGCCCAGCGAGTGGCCGGTAAATACCAGCTTGTAATTTGGATACAGACGAATCAGCCTGGTAATCCGGGCAGTCACAGTTTCCGATACTGACTTGTATGCAGTGAGAAACCCGTGGTGGACCATGGACCCGGGAATGTGCTCGGGCCAGGGATCCATTAGAAACTCAGAGTTTTGTACCCAGTCCTGCGTGTCGGCCGAACCGCGGAATGAAACCACTATTACACCTGTGCGGTCGTTGTGGCTTATGTACCCGACGCTGGCCGGCAGGTTGTTGTACCACGTGTAGTCAACGACCGTTTCGATTGTCTTGGGGAACAGGCAGCTGGGAGCGCAGTTCAAATCTTGTTTCAGCTTGTACGACGCGCCTGCGTACCTAGTTTAAATTACAACATTGCAATTTTTTGATAGTATGAACAGAGTTGAATATAAATATAGACATAATTTTTTTTTTTAAAAATGCAGCACTCTTAAACTTAATTATTCACTTACTGGGCAAACATTTTGAACTCGGATCCTGGCTCCATTACTTTGTTTACAATGCGCGCAGAGCGCTCTCCCTTAGCTTCTGTGAATAATAAATAAAGCATTATCGAGAAAAGCCCGTCAACATTGGACACGCTGCGAATGGACTCTGCCTCCTTTAGCCGGCTAGTAGAGGCTCCGCTGGTTGCGCCTGTCAATGCCACCACGAAATTTATGATGAGCAAAATAACTGCAGCGTATGATACCCTCATCGTCGAGATAAGAGCTATACTGTGAAATAAAAATATATGGATATGGATTTTATATGGCCAAGAATAAGGCTGGGAGGGGAGAAAGGAAAACGAGTAGATAGGAGAGCGAGGAAAACGATATCACAGGAATATGGCTAAATACTGCAAAAGAAATAACATAAAACGCTGGTAGTTTTGCCAACATTTTCTGACGAAGCAAAGAAAACGTTTACTTGTGGCATCCAATATATACATAAAACGCCTCTGCCAAAAAAATGCAAAACTGTACATTAATCAGGCATTGACGAAATACAGAATATTATAATAAAAGGTATCATGCAAATGTTTGCCTTTGTGAGTCAAAACAAGCAAAAAATAACCACAGTAACATGCACACATGCATGCAAATTATATGCGTATGCGTTACTCGGCTATGCACGGTACTTAGTTCAAAATGCGCGGAGCAGTGGGTGGCTACAAATGCTTGCTGAATAGCTGTGGTTTGGTAAATTCCCTTTGACATATTACAATGGCAGCAAGTCCCACTCACTATGCATGTGATACTCATTCTAATAAAGAGACAAACGCTTATCTGTTATATTATATATTCTGACGAGCAACGTGCAACAGAAAAACAAGGGCAGATTGATAAAGGCAGAGCAGCAGCAGCATCAACGGCGGCGACAACGGCGGCGACGGCGGCGGCAATAATGGTAGCCGTTGCTGTCAACTACAATTACAATTACAATATCAATGTGTACCTGATATCAGCTGGTATGCAAAATAATTAATAAACAATCAAATTTCGTATATTTAAAAATCAATAACAGCGTGTTAAAAATAATCTGTCCCTTTTTGTGGCCTGACCTACAGCGCCGCGGCCTTTGTGTACAGCGACTCGACAACGTTGCCGAGGCTCTTGATGGTCTCCAGCGTGGTTTCGTAGGCAGTGTCGCTCTTGGGCTCGGGGAAGACTACCAGGCAGCCATTGCCCTGGTCCAGGATGCCGTGCAGCACTTTGTCAAGAATCATCTGGCTCAGCTTGTTCTCGACAACACTGATGGGAAGACCAATGAGCTTCGCAATGTGCGTGACTTCGACACGCGAATACGGCTCAATAAGACGCACCATGTTTTGCTCCAGCAACGTATCGTAAAGCGCCGTCAGGTGGCTGCGGATAAGCTCGTCTGTATGCAGCTCGTTGCGGTACTCGGACAAGGCCTTTTCAAAATCAGCCAGCGACCGCTGCTTCTGGGCATTGGCAACCGCCTGCAGGGCAACCACCACCTGGCTCTCCCTGAACTTGGCAGCAGTCTTGCCGGTCGCCAGAAGAGCCGTGATGTCGTCGGGATGCTGAATCATGATCTTGGACAGAAGCATGTACGCAAACGCCTGTAGCTGCTGCTGCTCTGACGATGCCGCCGAGGGAGCCACAGATGCCGATGCCTCCGAGATGGATGATGAGGCCTTCGGGGTGACGTACGTTGCCAGTCCTTCCATGGTCTCAAAGAAATAAGAGTATGCAGTCTTAAAGTCGCCCTCCTCAGAGTGCAAAATTCCCGCCTGGAGATCGAGATGGGCTTGCAGAGGCGGCGGTGTATAGATGCTGTTCGCGCCAGTGCGCGCGGACGTTAGCGCGGCGCGCGACTTTGGCAGGTTCTTAATGGCCAAGTACACGCGGCTCTCCAGTAAGTTGACCTCGACGAGCTGCATCTTGTCGTCCAGCTTCTTGAGCTCGGACAAAAGCAGCGAAATGAGTGCCAGGGCCTCAGTGTACATGCGGCTGTCCAAATAGAGTGAAACCAGGCGCGTTTCCAGCGCCTGACGCAGGTATTCGCGGTTATCATTCTTTGCCCATTCAACCATCCCCTGGCATGTCGCAATCTGTGGCTGCAAACCACCCTGGATCCCGTCAAAGCGGTCGACCAGTGTACGGATCAGCTTGGATGACTTGGCCCTTGATACGACAGTGAGGTAGTTCTGCGAGCTATTTATAAGGCTAGTCAGCGCCGCTGCGTCCTGCCTCTGTCAAAGAGAGAAGCAAGGGACAGGAGCGCGACCTCGCGGTCCGCAATGCTGACGCTGGTCTCCTGGCCGGCGTGCAGAATGGAATTGTAAATCTCGATTGCCTGCTGCGGCGAGTCCTTTACGAGCGCGTGCGCCTGCTCCAATTGCGAAGTCATTGATGAATGGCTGATTTCTGGGTGTGTATATATATATGTGTGTGTGTAAAAATGATAGTAAAGACAAATAAAACGTAGAACTAAATAAAATAAGTAATGCGAGGAAAGAAAAAGGCAGGCGCCAAATTGAGATTGATGTGTGAGCAATTCAAATGAGCCAAGCGGGTGCGCGCAGAAATAAAACTAACCAAACCAAATTGCATGACGCGGAGGGGGGAGTTGTGATGCGTTGATTTGATCTGCGATCATGGCTGGTCTGACGCAAGCTCAGAATGGAGATTTTGAAGTGCTTAAAAAGGGCGATGCGAATTGTCTTATTTTTCTGTTTCAACTTTTCGCACTTACTTTTTATTCACTGCAAATCTGCGTATTAAAGCTCAAACTTGTTAAATTCGCCCACCCATTAAAGCACATGTCTGACGGCGCAATCTTTGCCAAAAAGCCCGAGCTGGCCCTGGCCCAGCACAAATTCGCAATTATCAATGGCACGCCCGAGCAGAGCAAAGAGGCCATGAAGAAGCTCGTCGAGGGCATTAAGGAGGACAAGATGATTGCATTCTACACCAGGCTCGTTGCCGAGGGCGTGCTTCAGGAGGACAAGGCCATGGAAAAGGAGCTCGAGGAGGCCAGTGCTGTGGAGCTCGCTACTTTGGACAAGAAGCTTGAGGCGGCAAAGGAGGAAAGCGGCGATTTGGAGCAGAACGAATGCAGCATCCACCGCGCGATTTTTCTGGCGCAGACCGGTGAGGATGACAAGGCCCACACCGCGTACGAGGAGATTATCCAAAGGCCCACTACAACGCTCAACCAGAAGCTAGACATTGTTTTCAGCAAGCTCAGGCTGGGCATGTTCTACTACCGGCCGCAGATCATCCAGAAGGAAATTGACCGGGCGCACGAGCTCGTGAACAAGGGCGGCGACTGGGATCGCAGGAACCGCCTGAAGGCCATCGAGTGCGTGTGGCGCTGCAGCCAGAGGCAGTTCAAGGAAGCCAGCGACCTGTTTATTGAGTGCCTGAGTACATACGCCAGCCCTGAGCTTATGTCACTTGCTGACTTTGTCTGCCACGGCGCGCTTGCCTGCGCGGTGGTCATGCCCCGGTCCGAAATCAAGAATAAGGTTATTGACGCCCCCGAGGTTGTCGAGGTCATCAACTACATACCGAGCGTCGACAAGCTATTGCGGTCATTGTACGACTGTAAGTACGCCGACTACTTTGTGGCACTGGCGGGTGTCGAGACCGAGCACCTGAGCGTGTCGCGCTACCTGTTTGCGCACCGCAGATTCTATACACGAGAGATGCGCATCCGCGGCTACGCGCAGCTGCTCGAGTCGTATTTGTCTCTGACTATAAAGTCAATGGCCGATTCGTTTGGCGTCACGCAGGACTATATCGACAAGGAGCTGGCGCGCTTTGTCGCATCTGGACGCTTGCACTGCGTTATTGACAAGGTCGGCGGCATAGTTGAGACCAACCGCCCCGATACAAAGAACGCACAGTACCAGACAACCATCAAGCAGGGAGACTTGCTCCTCAACCGCATCCAGAAGCTCTCGGGAATAATTTCGATCTAATGTGCACTGACAGCGTGTAGATTTTGTCGTCTGTTTACTTTATATAAGTGGAATTTTGCCTATTGTTGTTTCCGCAAAAAATGGATTATTCGTATTATTTACATTTTGACCAACAATTGCGCGTCGTGTTTTTTATTGTACGAGTGAAAGAAATGCACAGTCAGCAGCCAACACACGGAATTACACATGGTGCTGACTGGCAAGTTTAGCGTTGGCCAGCAGTGATGCAGGGAGGATATTGCGCACACCCAATTGTGGTAGGTTGTGCTGCGGCAAATTGTGCTGCTGCAACTGCTGCTGCTGTTGCTGTTGCTGCTGCTGATAATTTTGCTGTTGATATTGGTGATGTAGCAACTGTGACTGAAACTGTGGCTGAAATTGAAGTTGTGTTAGGGCGGCCGCTGAGATACTGGTGCTGTTATTAACAATATTTACAAACGGCGAGCCACCGTTGCCGCCGTTGCTGGGAGCCGCTGAGACCGGTGCAATTTGGCCTATGAGCGGCGACATTGAGCGCTTGTGCGATCCACGACGTGATTTTAAAGAAATCTCCAAGTTGTGTATCTTTTTCAGGTGTGTCTTGAGGTTCCCCATCTGCGTAAAGGCCTTTTCGCAGCCGGCTATGTGGCACTGAAACGGCCGATCTCCTGTGTGTATCCGCTCGTGTGTCCGCATGTTTCCCAGCTGGGGAAATGACTTGCCGCATCCCGGGTACCGACATGCATATGGCTTGTACCCAGTATGCGAGCGAATATGTATATTCAGATGTGCTCGCTGATAGAATATTTTGCCGCATCCGGCAACTGTACATACAAACTGACGGCGCCGGCCGCCGTTGTCTTCGCTTGCGTCCTGTGCAATTTGGTTGATGATTTGCTGGTATCCCGCATTTACTTCTGCCAGCTTGTCCTCGCTTATCTGGTCTTGTTCTGCACGCTTTGGCCGGCCGCGCTTGATTTTGGTCGCCACAATAAGCGACTCGGGTATCTGCGGCGCCACAGTGCTCAGCAGCTCACTCCCCTGGCTAGACTCGCGGCTGAAGCTGGCCTCGGCGACTGCGACTGCCAGGGCATCTAGTGGGTTGCATGCCAGCCGCTCAGACATGACCGCAGAATGGGTGTTGATCATTGCTGGGGAATACTAGGGCTATTTTTGGGAGGGGGCGAGCGCGTGTATGGGTGTGTTCTGAGCGATCGATTTGGAGTAATGTGCTGCTGTTGTAGTTGTTTCCTCGTACGTCGATGATGCCTGGCTCGGCTCTGCCAAATTGTTTTTTATTAGTAACAAAAATTGGGGATGAATATCAACAGACAACAAAAAGAACAATAGACGAGCGTGGCTTACTGGCCCGAATAACAAGAGGACGGTGCTTGGAGATGAGGAAAAAAAAAAACGTTGGCTGGTTATTTTTTTTTTTTGCTGGGCTGGCAAAAAAAATAGGATAAATCAAATCACGATTCGAATTGCCAGGAAAATCAAGAAAATAATAGTATGAGATTATTATTATGGAGTTTTCGACAAAATCCTCCATTCACTTCGTAGTCATTGATTTTACCCAGTAGTGATTAAGCTGTCATGTAGTAATTGCTAGCTCTCCATGTGAAAAAATTAAAATCTATCTAGTCTTGTTGCGCTTGGATGCTGCATCAGTCTTTGGATCATACTTTCTCTTGACTGCAGCCTTGGGCTTGGACGCGGGATTAAGATCAATTGGCAGTCAAGCAGGGCGTTTGAAAGCTGGGTGGCGCTCTAAAAATTTGCAACAATATAAGGTTATCATAATGAAACTGCACACTGACGCAATATCGCGGCTCCAACACCTGATCTTGATGTTGGACTCGAAGGCATCCTTGGTTTCATCCTTGAGCACTGGCACCGAATTCTGTGAAATGCTGGACCTCGTTTTATGGTTTTTCTAGGACCATAAATAAATTGGGATTGTGAGCACTGTATTTTGAGTGAGCCGCGAAACAAACATTAAGTAATAAAATTGTAAGAACTATCTCCAACACTAATCGACTGCTTTATAAACCTATTTGTAAACTTTTAAAAGTACATTGTTCAAATAGTTAAGCTGGTGTTGTTAACTATTCTTGAGTGTACTTCTTTTATAGTTACATTTTCTGAACTAACTTATAATACATTAGAAGCGCAGCTTAAAATGGCTAGTAATTATGTCGTATCTATAAATCCCGAAAGGATAAATGACATGACATGACGTGACGCCCACTCCAGCGCGTGATCCTTACATTTTCCACTATGTTAAATTTCTTTCAGTTTATTTTTAATACCAACTAAATCTCGCCTGGTCGCAGGCAAAGTGAAAGGAAAAAAGCAGCAGCAACAACAACAAACATAAGCGAGCAACCAAGTAAATAATACCTTCAGAATTGGGGTTTCAAACAAACACAATTTTCTTCATCTTCATCTTCTTCATGTCTTTGATCCGACAACATCGACAAAACTCAAATATTCGGCTGTTAAAAGACATACGACATTGCTTGTCATCCTTCTTTTTATACGAGCTAATAAATCAGACTAAATCGCGCATTTGTACACTTATTTTTATGTCAAACATGGCGAAGGCCTATTCTGGGGGAAATAATGCAAAGCAAATTGTATGAACGGGGGTGTACGAAAAAGTGTATGAATACGTTATTTTCTGTGATATGTTGTCATGACTTTTGTCAAGTAAAAACTTTTAAATTTTGTAGCCATTGAAAAAACGCCAACTCGCCAAAAAATAGCCACCAATTCTCGGGAAAACTACCAAAATATACAAGCATTTGGTCAAATATAAAGAGATTTGTGCTTCAAAACTCCTAATCAACCAAACCATTTTGTATTGCAATATAGATGAAAGAAAGTCTGTAATAAGTGTATCTTGTGATTTGCGCACAAGTGGCAAAAAAGTGGGGAGTGGGGAATGCCCACTTGACGCTAATTGAGGTGGCACTTTTGAATACATATACTTTATTAAAATATAACCTTTTATCCTTGCGCTCTGTAAAAGGGTACAAAGCACACAAGCAGCCGCGATATTCAATGAACTCAAAATATATGATAATGGAAGCGAACAACTACAAAATATATAGTGCTATGTACTTACAACAGTATTGAGCATTATAATACGCACACTTTATAACCATTATTTATAAAAAATAATTATATATTATCTCGGCAAAAGCGACCAGTTCACTTGCTTATTTTATGGAAATTATAACAAAAATTACATCTTTGCATTTTATTTTCTATGCTTCATAAACCATTCACTGTTTGCTGTCTTTTTTTATAATTTATAATTTATCCTGTATTCGGGTATATTTAATTAGATAATAAATAAATGGATTATTCACTCGCACAGCAACTGCCCATCGACATACTGCACCGAGTTACTCAAGAACTGGGCAACTCGGCATTGGAACAAGGTCAAGAACCCATTGATGCCTGGGCACTACTTGGTACATGCAGGTTATGGCGGATGGCTGCGTTGCCGGTTTACAGCCGTTGTATGACTGTGTGCACACCTGGGGACAGAGGCCACAGCTATCGAGTCAGAAGGGGGCTGTCATCTGCCAAAGTAGCGGTATTGGGTTGGCTGCCATTTGTTAGGCAGGTCGTCGCATTTGTTTCGTTGCAGGAGTATTTGACCGGTGGCTTTCAATTGGCACTAGCCAAGTTAGGCAACTCGACATCCAGCATCGTATGTGCGCGCTTATACGTATTAAACTATGCCCAGCAAGCAAGCACAAGGCAAGAGAAGCAGGTTGCGAGCAGAATAGATGTCAGCTCTCTTATCATTGCAATTAGTAACGTCTTCTGCAGCCTTTATAAAATTGACATAACTGCGAGAAACGTCGGGTTGTTTAGCGATTGTCAGGACGGCTCTGCAAGTATTCCAGAGCATGCGCAGCGGGCATACACAATAGTCACGAGCGCTCATTTATGCGGGTGCCACGAATTCCAATTTTTGGGAGTGCCATTCACTGGCCTTGCAAATCTGGTGCTAGAGATTTCCGGAAATAGCGCCGATGTCAGCTTTGCCATAGCACGAGCGCATGCCCCTGTTCTTGAAAATCTAGAAATAAAATATGCCAGAATAAGGGAATGTCTGGGCTTGATACAGGAAAACGGGGGAAATGCCATAACGTACCCAAGGCTTAAGCGCCTATCTCTGCAAGTGTTGGGTGCTTACACTGGCAGTGAGGCGCGCCAGAGGAGTGCACCGCTTGGCGTGCCATTTCCTAGTCTGGAGCATCTCAATTGGGTGACATTTACCCATTTGCCAATGATGTCCTACTGCGCGGCTCGCGGGCAACTTTGCGCAAGTTGGTTCTCGCTGTTGACACATCTGTTGCCGGCTGGATTCTCGCTAAAGAATTTGACGGTATGTGCAGTTCAACATACCTGAGCCATTTTAAAAGGCTGCACTTGATGAAGTTTTACATAATAACCAAAGCAAGCACTGTGACTCGCAGTACACAAGACGTGCACAACAGACTGCTACATGCAGCATTCAAGGCGCCGCAGTTGGCCCAAGTGCGCATTCAGTACCCAAATTTTAGTATAGCCAAGTACACGCCCGCACACATGTCCTGAGCTCGAGTTGAATTTTTTTTAGTTTTTTAGTTTTTTAATTTAGTTTTGTGACTTTGTACTTATGCATAAAAAGCAAGCAGTAAAAAAATCTTATTATTAGAAATAAATAAATTTAGTCAAGGTAATTCAAAAAGTAAACATTCAGAATAAGAAAGGCTAGCTCATAAAACAGCAGTTTTCAGTGGTAAATCCATAATGGTCCAGAGGCTAGGATCTCACGCTTTCACCGTGATGGCCGGGGTTCGATTCCCCGTTATGGAATATTTTTGGGGTTTTTTTTGCAGTTTGCAAGGTCCAATGCTCTTGCCATTTTCTCGCATTTCGGGCGCAACTGGTTTTTCTCTTTGTCTTTTGCGCGTCGATCGCCGCTGTGTCCCGTTTGTGTGCCAATCATTCTGCACTATTATTCTCAGTCGTTGCTGCTGCTGGTGCAGCTGCATTTCCTATTTACACTGAACCTGCCGAGGTTGCGGAAAGCAGAAAAATTAAAAAAGAAAGTGGAATGGCGAGCTTGGTTCTGAAGGTGTTCGCATGATATTGAAACATGCCAGTCAAAATGCTTTTTGCATCCCTCATTTTCTCAATTCTCTACTTTCTATTTTTTCATATTCATTCCCTACTTTATTATTTTGCACTTTGTTTTTATCCGTTCTGCACAACGTCTCGACTTCTGACTTCTGACTGTTTACTGCAAAACCTACAAAAATCTGCGCGCGCACATTCAGACAACAGACCGACAATAGACTTCGAGCTGAGCATCTTGTTTTTTTTATTCCCGCTACTTTATATTTTCTGGTTCGGCCAATTTAAGCTTTCGATTGTGTTTCCCTGCGCTTTCCATTCCCTGCGTTTCCCATTCCTAGAGCTTCCCAGCCTCCCGATTTCCCTTTCAACTCTGCGTTATCTCAATAATATTTTTATTATTTATTATTTTCTGCACCCCCAAAATACCAGTCCATTTTTAAAATAGTTATTGCCACCACCAACATCAACATCAGCATTAACATTAGCATTGATATCAACACCAACACCAACACCAACACTACCACAGCCAGAGCCAGAGCTAGATGACGGTTCTAGGATTTTCCGGGTTTCTGCCCGTGCAGCAGGACAATCGGGCGACCGCAGGAGGACACATAGGGATGCTGCAGCTGCCGCCCACGCCCACATCACCAGTATCAGGAGGGGTGTTCAGCCACAGCAAACAGCGGTCAATACACTTGCACCGGCCATCGGTAGACTCCAAGACAAGCACGCTGGCATGGCTGGCCGAAAAAGTCCAGCAGCAGCAACAAATTGCCCCCGCGGTGCTGTCGAGCACAACAACAGCAGGGCAAAAGCAACGGCTGCGGCTGCCCAAGCGGCGAGGAACGGCTGAGCACGGCAGCTCATCAGCTACAGGAACAGAGAATATAGAGATGGATGCGTCAAGCGCCCTGATATACCCGGCGTTTGGAAGCCTTGACGGGGCGTGCGAGTCTTCGGACCAGCACACGCTCGATATGGGGGGTCGCAGCGAACGGAGCTCATTCAACAGCTTTGCAGAGACGCTGCGAGAGGAGGCATGTCCGTTTATGGGCGAGCCCAGCATGCATGTGCGGGGCAGTCGCAGTATGAGCATGGCCCGCGGGCACATTGCGCTAAGCGCGTCGTCAAGGACCAGTTTGACACACCGACTGAGCCAGAGCATACACCAGGTGGTGGGGCCTCGCAACTCGACCTCGCCGACCCTGCCGATTGCCGCGCGGCCGCGATTCAACTCGACAGCATGGTCGTCGCGAACGCACGTGAATGGTCAGAATCACCAGGGTCATTTGGTGGGCGCGTACGAGGAGAGCAGTGCAGAGTTGACCATCCGGCTGAGCATGGACGCTAGCCAGTCGCGGAGCTACCAGATGCTGCTGAACGGCGACTCTGTTCTGTCCGACCTGTGCGTGCTCGAGGACGAGCACCAGCGCACAGTGTCGGCAATTCAGGCTGGGTTTGGCAGGAAGCTTGTCGGTCTTTATTTTGCGGCCACATGGAGTGCCGATTGCGACGAGTTTACGCCGGTGCTGCAGGGGCTCTCGGCAGCGAATTGGAATGACCTGGTCATTGTGCACATTTCTGCTGATAACCACCCGGCGGACATGGCGCGGTTGATGTCAGGGTCAGGGTGGCTGGGCGTGCCGTGGAGTGACCGCAAGTTGAGACAGGATCTGATCGAGCGTATGAACGTCTCGATATCAGAGCTACCAAAGCTCGTTGTTATTGATGGGATGACTCACCACGTCATTTCGCTGTCGGCCAAGCATGATGTCGAGAGGCGGCCTCTGACGTGTGTGCGCGAGTGGAAGAAGAGTCGCGTTGGATTGACATGGTGGAACAAATCCAAGCCATGGTAAGCTAAACAAAATGATATGCAACTGAAACTTCAATTTCAATTGCAACTGCCCTGTTCCCTCCATTTCATTGCTTTCTTTCTCTTTATATTTTCTGTCTGTCTATACGTACATTCCCTTGTTCACAGTTTTTTGTCAGGCCATTCGCAACATCATCACAAGTCGCTGAATTACGTACTCTTCTTTTTCTGTGTACATTTTCCCACCACCTTTCGCTTGCTGGGTGTATGATTGAGTAGAAATTGGACGCAGATCAGTCAAGCGGTTCATATTTCTTCTTCTATCCGGCCATTTTTTACTGGCACACTCTACGCGATGTCTTTCGTTTATTACCCTTCAATATTTTAAAACATGCTTGTGTGCAGTCCAAGTTTGTACAATAAATTAACATATTTTAAGCTTTATCATATATCTCCCCCTTGCTTATTTTAGGATTTCCAAAGGACTGGCCGTGTTAGTGCTCTGGTATATGGTAGTGTTCTTTTACTCTTCTGTGAGTTCCAATATCCAGCGGTAACATTTAACCCTGGTCTAAAAAAAGTAAAGCGTCATTAGGGTTATCAGCGTCATCCCACTTTATCAAAGCACTTTTGCAGAGGTGTGAGATAATGAAGAAATGTTGGCGTTTTAACTGTACGTGCGAATTCCGGCTGGCTCCGACAACTGCATTACAAAAATACTTGCCATTTTCTTATACTCTCCACTTATTATGAACAACACGCAATATATAGGAACCAGGCAAAATTTTCTCTCTTTTTTCCTTTGTAATTAACAATGAAAACAAAATTATTAGAGAAAAATATTAACAAGGCAGAAATTGAATAAAAACAGGTTACGCAAAATTATTTGACCGCGGAGTTTTGTTTTGTTTGTTTTTAAAATTTTGGCTCCGATAGACAATAGAGAATAGGCATTAAAAACAAAAAATCCGGCACCGGCATGGTTTAGACCGAAAGCATGGCTTGATGGGACCGGCCAAATAATGTATTTTAGAAACTTCATAGCATGGTGTCCAGTGACTCTGAACGTGAGAAGTGAGGGACTGAAGGGAGTAGGGGGATTTATTGCTAGTGTTGTTTTATTTGGTGCTTTCATTTGGGGACTTATTTAATTTACAGCTGATGTAATAATAGAAGAAACGCAAAAAATAGAAAGTAACAGTGTCATATTGAACAAAGACGAGGAATAAATGAAAAGTGTCGAAAACAATTATTTTCGCCCACATGAAAATGTAAGTATTTTTAAACAGTGGAGCAGGTGGTAACACATTCTGATGAGCAGGGGGTACCCCCTCGTCGTCAATCCTAAAGGCCACCCGTCCTGAGCTGGGGGAAGAGAAAAAGTTTTGCCTGTTTCCACTCCACTCCGCCCCAATACTTTTTGCTACTTGGTTTCGTATATAAATTTATTACTCCTTTTCTTTTCTTCCACTTGCCTTGATTAAAAACAATTTTATTTATTTATTTTAGCTATCCTTGAAAATAATTTTTTCTTCACGTTTTCTATTCAGTATTCTGTTTACATTATTCTAATCACTGCACATACGCGTTTGGGTTGTCCTTATTTCTTTTGTTTTATTTCTCACGCCTCATATTTTCACCCTTGTTGTTCGCCTTGAACACACTATTCCCAGTTTGTTCCAAATAAATCTAGCTCAAATTCACTCATTCGCGTTGCATTTCTTGCCAACCTCACTCATACTCACTCACATCCACACACACACCATATTCACAGCAGCCATGCAAAACAGGACGCCCATTTCCGAAACTCAACAGCCCATACAGAGCCGGCTTGACCGCGTAGATTCGGTGAAGCGGTCGGCATCCAGAACACAGCAGCCGGGCTACATGCAAGCGAACAAGGTAGCGATGCAAGCGGGGACGATGTCCAAATACAGACGGCCCGATTCGGCAGCCAGCACCACTGGCTCAGGATTCCAGATGCCCCTTTTGGCCACAGGCGAGCGCGCTGCTAGCCGGACAATGGTCGCTGCGCGTCCGCGGAGGATCCCCAGTGGGACCTCAGTTGTGGCTGAGCAGGCGGCTGGCAGCTCTGCGGATAATGCGAGTGCTGATTCGCGCACGCTGAGAAGATATCGGTCGGATACACAGGCGAGGTCTCGGTCGCCAACTCGCGTTGCGAGCGCGGTTTCTAATGAGCAGCAGCCCCAGTCACATCAGCAGCAGCAGCCTGTGAGGATTTTTGGTGCAAGCAGAACTACCACGGCTGTGCCACATATAGGAATCAGCGGGCGGCAGCACTCGGAGCCCGTTATGGTTCAAAAAATGCGCGCATCGCCGAGAATAGGCTCCGCAGTGCCATCCGCAATGGTTCCTCCCAGCCCGCAGCCCATGCAGCCATCGAGCATCCGCACTCCATCTAGGGCCAGCAGCATAGCTGAGAGGCCGCTTAGGGCGCCGTCCGCAGCCTCAATGAACACAAAGACCGCGCTGACAGGAAGTAGCAGCAGCGTGTCGAGGCCCGTGCGGCCGGCCACCGCGGTGCCGGTGAGGTCCACGTCGCACCGGCCATCGTCGCCACCGTCGTCCATGGCAGCCGGAGGCAGCGATGATCGGTTGAACTCCTCGCGTATTCCGCGGCTGGTCAGCCACAGCGAGTACACAAAGGTTGTGGAGTCACGGCGCCAGATGATGGAGCAATACCGCGAAAAGGATGCGCAGCTCAAGGTCGAGCAGTGTATGAACAACGAGCTCCTGTCAGAGTTCAAGAATGTGGCGGAAGCGTTTGAGCTGGCCACCACTGCGCTTGAAAAGGAGAAAGCCGAGAATGTTGAGATTGTTCAGAGAGCCACTGAAGTTGAGGTCCAGTATGCGAAGGAGCGGGCTATTAACCGCGAGTTGCAGAAGAAGCTGGGCGCCATGGAGGTTTTACTCAGGGAGCAGCAACATGCGCGCAAGCCCGCGCTAAATGTCAGCAGCAACAAGGGTCGAAGCTGGGTAACGCTGATTGGCGGCAGTATCCTGGGCGCATCCAGGCGCAGGTTGCCGAGATGCATGCTGCTTTTATGCTGGAGCGTCCAGACTCTGCGATCGACGAGACCACGCGTAATGAGCTGGCAGTGCTGGAGAAGTACATTGAGCGTGGTAACAAGAACGGCGTGGATACAGTTGCCCGCCAGTTTGTACAGCAGCAGCAGAAGCAGTTTTCTGTTCAGGACCTTGATTTTGGCAGCGCCCAGTCGTCTGCCACTGCAGGAGCGCCGTCTCCTGGGTGGGATATGCGCGTGCCGCAGCGGCGCAGGGTGGTGGATGAGGAGCGCGAAGACCGTCGCCGCAGTACCATTCTCTTTGCTGGACTTGTCCAGCCGAGCAGCGGGTCGTACAGTGCAGTGGCCAACAACCACCATGGCCTTTTAAACGCAGATTCGACTGTCGGCGATGAGCACAAGTGCGAGCGGTGCGCGCAGCTTACTGACACGCTGATGCTGCTCGAGCGCGACAACGATTACTACCGCGAGGCCAATTCGAAGCTGCGCGACAATATCACTGACGCCGTTTCTAAGCACAACGCGATTGTGCGGGTCTTTGAGCGCGAGAGGCAGAGGAGGCGCGAATTGAAATCACAGGCGCTGCTTGATGCTATTCAGGTAGCCACTAATGAGCGTGATGCTATTGAGGCTCGCCAGCGGGCCAGTCTCGAGGCTACGGCTGAGAACTGCGATCTTTCTCGGCATTTCGACCGTTCTATGCGTATCGCGTCTCCTACCACTCAGGCCTTTTGACCTTAAATTGTATTAAGCTTTCTTTTCTAACCAGTCTTCTTTTTCCAATATTGATCAATTGCACAAAGTTAACGACCATGTTACCAATAATAAAGGCGGCGGTCTGGTTATCATTAGCGCAATATTTTATCCAATATCTCAGCTTCATAGTTTTTGTTTATACAATATTATTATGAAATAATGAAGAAAAGGTCAAGTAAAAATGAAAATAAAAATGAAAATAAAAATAAAAATTTTGTGGCTCGCTGTATCAAATGGCTTAGCTCTGCTAGTTGCCAACTTTGGCCAAATTATACAAATTTACAAATGCACAGCCTCTGAGGCGCAGGAGCTTGCCAGAAATCACATCAATGTCGGCTGTATTTTGTTTATAGCAATGGTCCAACTCCTCAACCCGCTGCTCCAATTGCCGGTTACGCTGCTTGTCTGCGTCCAGTTTCCAGATAACTTTGTCCCGATGCTACTTCCTCTCGCCCACAGGCTCGGCATTGAGTTTACTCGCAACGCGAGTCATATCCTCGAGCTTTTCGCCAAGCCTGGGTACCTCACTGTGCATGGCAGCGTCCTGCTCGCCCGCTCGCGCAAGCTCGGAGTTAAGCTCATCGCGCCTTTTGTTTAAAAAGGCAAGCTGCTGGGTCGCCAAATCGGCCCACTCAGTGATCGCCGCCTTGACCATTTCGAAACTCGAAATGAACTCCTCCTTCTGGTGCAGCTGGGCAGTCAAGCGCGCAATCTCGGTTTCGGCCTGGGAATGCGACAGGGCAAACTCTGCCTGGAAAGCATCAACCTTGATGCTTAAAGCCGTATTCTTGTCCTCCATCCCAGCACAAGTGGTCTGAGCAATGTAGCAGCCGGCCTCGTACAGGACCTTTTCAGGCCGCAATTGGGAAAGCGTATGTGTAGCTTTGGTGAGGTTGGTCTCGACCACAAGGCGGGCTGCAGTTTCGTTAGCGAGAGCTGCCTACAGCCCGGAAAATGCGCGGTTGGAGTTGACGGTGTCGGACTCGAACTCGGTCTCAGAATTCGCATAATCGTTGTTGGTGGTGCTGGTGCCAGAATTGGAGTCGAGCTTGAATGCGGCGCAGTAGAAGAGATGAAGCACGTTTATTTTGCGCGGCATGGTGGCGGTGGTGGCAGAAGTTGCGGAGGTAGAGGTAGTTACAGCAGTAGTAGTGGCAGCGGCAGAGGTAGTGACAATATGACTATCGACAACGGGCAGCCGCAGGATAGAGCGCGCCTTATGGACAGCGGCCTTCAGATGAAAATTCATGCTTATAATAATTATAATTAAAAGTGAAAAATAAACAATAAACGATAACCAAAAAACAAAATAAACGAGCGAATAAGGTAACTATTTAATACGCAAATAAAACAAAAACTTGAAAGAATGTGTAAAAGTGAGAGTTTGTTATTAAATTAAAAATTTAAATTATTGACAACGATGAAAGAGAAGTGTTTTTTTGAAGAAAAAGAATACAAGAAACGCAAAGATGAAGGCAATATAATCCAAGCGCTATTTATTATTTTCCCGCCCGTCTTTCGTTTTGTGCTGTGTTGTTATCCAACAAGTATATGCTCCTTTTTTGTTTCCAATAATTTAAAAAAGTGGTTTTGCTTCGCATTTTTTGCGCCCGGTTTAGCAGAGGTGCATCGGGGGAACTTGTTACATGTGTATTTCATCTTTTGCACGAGGGCCGATCTTTCCAGGGCGCATAATTCTGTTACGATTGGCAGTATCCAAAAATACGACATCGATGTTTGGAATAAGAAAGTTCCATATGATGCAGAAAAATCCAGATATGCCATATGGATCTGCAACTACTCTGCTGCTTTTTTTCTAGAGTACAACTGCCAGCCATATATGACAAACATGGAAGATAGTCATATTCAATTTAAATCTCAAATAATTATATTTTTCAATAAAGCAACTTGGATTTTCCACATTCTCGGCTAGATTCCTCCAGGCAGGGTTTAGTAACAACAGTGTGTTTCAATAGCTTTGGCGGTGTTGGTGCGTGGGGAAAGGGTATTATTTACCACTTATCAGACTTTTTGTCGTCCTTTGTCGTGGAATTTGGGAATTCAAAATAAAACTAGCTAAAAGTGAATATGGTCTATATACCACGCAATAAGTAAAACTTGATTCCATTAATTGAGAAACAAATATCCTAGTTGTGAGCGTCTTGCAAAAAAAAACCCAGAGTAATTCGGCGAGGTCCTTGTAGCGCGTTTCCTAAACAGGAGCCAAAAACCACTCGCATTTCACCCGCAAGACACAATGCGTGTTTGCATTTAAAATCATTGACCAGTAACCGCAAAACATGCAAATGTATTTATTCGAAACTTAAGCCACTAGTCACGCGTGGACCAGTTGTATATTAACTTACTGCTGATCTTCACAAAAAGTGCACATGTCGGATATATGTCGATAATGATGCTCATGATGGCTTTAAAGTAAAATAAATAGTCTGCGCTGCATGTGCCTCCCACAAATATGAAATGGCAGCGCCTGCCTTCTGTCTTCTGCCTTTTGCCATCTTCATCCCTCTATCTTTCCTTTTTTATTTTATTATCAACTTTTCTCATACAATTCTTATTCACTTGTGCACCACCCCTCATCGCCCCTTGGACTCTACTAAAACCCACCGAACCATTTCCGTAGTTTTTGCTTGTCTTTTCTCAAAGGTCATTTTCATCCCATCAAGTTAGCGTTTTCTGTTTGTTTACTTTTACGCGATTTCATTGAATTTCTTTATCTTTTTATTATTGTTTTCACTTTATTTACCTTGAAAACGGTAACCAAACTGGTCTCCACGATCGGCAAGGCATGTATTCTGCTCAGCCTTGCCCCGGCCTTCATAATCATCTGTGGTGTTAACTGGGCTCTCACGCCCACGGCTGAAGCCAAGTCCAATGTTGCCGCCAACCCCGCTCTCAAGCAGAACAAAACCACCAACGCTTCTAGCGCCTCACACACTACTAGGACAAATGCGAAGACTGGGCTTATTAAGACAAAGCCTGCGCAGGCACCTGTTGCAACCAAGCAAGCGCTCACCAAAGCTGAGACCGCACATGCTTCCCAGCCCAGCGAGGCGATGGTCGAGAGCGAAACCCTGCGTTGCAAGTTGGCTGTTTTTGAGTCCAAGCTAACTGAAAAAGACGTCAGCATTGCCAACCTCAAGGTCAAGCTGGGACACGCAGAGAAAGATAACGCCACACTGCAAATCAAGCTGGGTAGCATTGAAAGTATGCTGCGTGTCCAACGCCAGAACGTCAAGACACTGGATGCCAATGTCCGCAAGGCCGAAAGCAAGCTGAAGGAGGCTTGCACAGACTTTGAAAAACAGCGGCAAATTATTGTCGAGCTGCACAAGGTTGAGCTGAGCCGTGCTGTGCAAGACAAGGCGTCCTAGCACCGCAAGCCGGTGTTCTGCAGCGGCAGCCTATATGTCCAACGTCAAAATGTCAAAACCCTGTATGACCAAGTCTGCAAAGTTGAGAGTGAGCTGAATGTGGCTCGTGCAGATGCAGAAGCCAAGCAAATGCTTACTATCAAGCTGTGCAACAAGGTCAAGACCGTACAAGCGAGAGCCAAGGCTCAGCAGCCAGCGGGAAATGCGCCGCGCGCTGGATACTTTGAGACAATCCGTACCTTGCTGGCCAAGGTGGTTGGTATTTCTCACGCAAACAAGCCTGATACTGTCGAGCCAAGTGCCCCTTTTTTGGCCCTAAAGGAAATAGCCGACTCACTCGACGAGATAATCCACCGTGGTCGCCAGGCTCAGACCAACCATATCTAAGGTGAGCTGGATGCTCACTTCGAGGCACACACTTGGCCATCCATCCATCCATCAAGTAACGTCATTGACAGTGAGCTAAAATAATGGCCACAGTTAGCATACCACAGCCAACGTGGATCTGGGCCGATGGAATCAGCCTAATGTCACATTTAGTTTCTCACTTTTTCCATTTCATTCTTTCATTCTTTCACTCATTTTTTGTTTAATGCCATTATACTTTAATTTTTAGCTTATAACATGCGAAATATTGTCGACAGATTATGCATTTCCATTTGCTAGCAATTGATTACACACCAATTTGTTAAGCATTCATGTCAATTATCCATGTCTTGCACTTGGCCGGTATTAAGCGATACATGCTCAATAGCTGCTTCAGGCTAAAAACCAAAAAAAATTATAGTATGCCTTTTTTGTTTGGACTTTATTATCTTTAGTGTTGATGTTGGTATGTTTGCCAGCATAATATAGATTTGTCCAAAAGTATCTGTTGCATAATTGCATAATTATACTTTGTAAAAAGATATATTCAAATGAATAACATGCTACAAAAGTGTTCTGAGAATTTTCCCGCCCAATGTCTTTGGGATAGCCTGAATTTCCTTGCACTCAATATTAAATGATACGCGAGACTAAACCCAGTTGTTAATGTCTTTAAGAGACGCAACGCCTGGCACCAGTACAACAAGCAGCATCACGCGTGCTTCGCCCTTTGGTCCGGTACCAACAGCGGCACAGTCCTTGACCGCAGGGTGCTCTGAAGCTATCATCTCGACCTCTGTCGGCAAAATGGACCCTGCTCAGTATGCACAATATCGACCATCCGGTCGCAAATAGACACAGTTCCATTAGCTATTACCCGAGAATAATCGCCTGTGCGATAGAAATAATTAATAAATGGCGACTTAGTGCCTTGACCAAGGTATCTGACCATGGCCTGAGGTCCCAAGATGCAGGGCTCTCCGTAACAATCGGTCTCGTTCTCATCCTCGTCAACAACCATTGCAAAAGTGTCAGGATACAGAGATAAATGCGTGCTCGGTGCTGGTTCCTTCCACTTACAACTGGCTACTATGAAACTGGTTTCAGTTGCGCCATACCCATTAAACACAGTCGCCCTGCTAAAGTATGTCATGAATTTCTTCAGTCTAATGGGTAGAATAGAGGTTCTGGCACACCCTATTGTCCTGACAGATTCAGTAATAAACTTGCATTCAGGGTTAGAAGAAATCGTCAGCGTACCATCCTCAAACATGCTTGAGCCATCAACAAGGCCTTGGGTAATCCAAGGAGTAACATACAATCTGTCAACCTCAAACTTGTCAATAGCAGCGAGATACGATGCGGGGTTAAACTCAGAGCTGCACCAGGCGTAGCCCCGAAATCAATGGGTGATACAAGAGCACGCTCAGCCCAAAAGTATGTCAAGGTGGCAGCGATCACAGCAGGTAGCGAGGATGTTCTTTGGATGAAGTGTATATGCCTGTAGAATGCTGCGCCATGTAGACATCAAATTGCAACTGTGTGGTGACAATGTTGCAGCAAGTCAGCATTATGTCCTTGGAGTTTCCAGTTGCCCCTGAGGAATACGATATCAGCGCCACCTTACGTGCCAGCTCTTGCTCGGACATTAAAGGAATCAGCGGCTCCACACACAAGCCCTTATGCTCGCCAATAAGATCAGCAAGCGAGGTGTATCCCGAGATGTTTCCTTGAGTGATGAAAATGCGAGATTCGTTGATTGACACGCCGGCCAAATTGCAGGCAGATAACAAAGTGGGAAGAAGCTCGATAGTCACAAATGCTGCGCTGGCATTGAGGCATTCGAGACGGTTGCTCAGTGATTGCGCGTCTAAACTCGGTTCTATGGGCGCAAATGTGCCGTCAGCCATCAGCGTGCCGTAGTGAATGGCACTCATTCCGATATCCGCAGGCGAAAACATCATGGCGACACCGTCAATGTCAACATCGGGGCTCTGGTGCTTGCTCTGCTCATTAATAAATCCCCTGTGCTTCAGGCCATGTGCAATAGCCGTTGACATCTGCTTGATATCAGCAAAATTGTAGGGCTTGCCGGTGCTGCCATCGATGAGTAGTGGGTAATCCTCGCCGTTTAGCCTGTCAAGTCTCGCTTGGGCCAATCCGAAGAAGATACACTATCTTGTACCGGTATTGCGACAGAAGGAAACGGCGAATGGACTGGCATTGCTGAAAAATATATAATTTATTCAAGGTATGAGATTAATGGAAGTAAAGTAAAAATTAAAAGGTAGGGCACACATCTCACATTATATAGCAAGGAACAATACATATCTCTCTGCTGTTTTGTATAGCAGCCCTATTTGTATTTTACTAAAAATAGCCGACACACAATTGCGTAAGCAAAATGTAGCTGTAATTTTTCATTTCATTCCTGTCTTTATGTGTATCCCTCGGGCAATTAATCCATCCCCAATAGCAGTATTTTGTATTCAAAGCAACACGCATGTCAACCGTGCGAGTATATTAAAAAATGTAATTGAATTATGATATTAGTTACAATAATCCATATGCACTGTCATATATGCACATGACTGGTATGTTTGTGGCAGTGTCTTTTGCTTTTTATTTTAAGAAATGTGCGCATTGACATGGCAAAGCGATTTGTTGGGGTTTTTTCTGTAATTCTTCAACACTAAAATATAAAGGGAAATAAAGGATTACTTGGATGACTGGTGTTCATATTCAAAGACCTTTGCAATCGTGAATGCAATATCCAGGCTCTGCTCGTAGTTGAGGCGCGGGTCGCAGAAGGTCTGGTAGTTAGTGGGCAAATCCGAGTGCGACAGCTCCTGCGATCCGCCAGTGCACTCTGTGACGTGCTCGCCAGTCAACTCGAGGTGCACGCCCGATAGCCTGCTGCCGAGCTCCAAATGAATCGTAATATTGGAAGTGATCTCGCTGACAATAGCCTCAAAGGACCTGGTCTTGTGCCCCGAAGGCGCCGTAGTTGTATTGCCATGGCACGGGTCGCAGCACCAAACAGGCTTATGCTGGGTCTTTTGCACCGCAGCGATATGCGCAGGCAAGTACTGTGCAATCTTATCTGCGCCGTACCTGGTGATCAGCGTGACTCTACCGGACTCGAGCAGGGGGTCGAGGATATCCAGGACGCGCACGAGTTCCTCGGCCTCCATAGTTGGGCCAACCTTGACGCCGATGGGGTTTTTGACACCGCGGAAGTACTCGATGTGCGCGCCGTTCAGTTGCCGCGTGCGGTCGCCGATCCAGATAAAGTGCGCGGACAGGTTGTACCAGTCGCAGAGCTCAGGGGCGAGCGCGTCGCGTGGCGGCGTGGATGGCTCGTATATGGCGCTGCACTTAGCCCGGTTGGTGGGCAGGGGCTTGGCCACGGAGCGGGTCAGTGCTTGCTCGTAGTCCAGAAGAAGCGCCTCGTGCGACATGTACAGGTCGACGGTGTTTAGCGCCGTGGCCTTGTCCTCAGTGGCGCCAATAGTGCCCATGAATCCGAGAGAGTCCGTCAGCCGATTAACAATGGTCTGGTACTCCTTGCGAATATCAGTATTGCGCACATGGCCCAGATCCCAGGCCTCGGGGCGGTGCAAGTCGGCGAATCCGCCGGCCAGCAGAAGCCGCACGTAGTTGACTGTTGCTGCAGAGTGGAAGTATGCAGCCAGGAGTCTCTGCGGGTCGGGCTTTCTGTTCTCCGGATCAATTCCGTTGACGTTATCGCCGCGGTACGACAGAATAGTCTTTCCGTCGCTGGTCTTCTCGTACGCACTGGACCGCGGCTTGGCGTATTGGCCGGCCATACGGGCGATGCGCACAACGGGCATGCGCATGCCCCACACGAGAACGAGACTCATTTGCAGAAGAATCTTGAGCTTGTCCTCGATCGCCTGTGGGTTGCAGTAGTCGAAGGACTCGGCGCAGTCTCCGCCCTGCAGAAGGAATGCCCGACCCTCGGCTACGTCCTTGAGCTGCTCGCGTAGCCGGTCGATCTCAGGCGATGACACAAGGGGCGGCATGTTGGTCACTCGGGACAGAACTGTCTCGAGCTCGTTGGCGTCGTCGTATACTACGTCTTGTTTGATGGGCTTGGACTTCCAGGAGTCTGGTGTCCATGCTGATGGGGCTCCTTCGCTCATGTTTATGTGTGTGATGTGATGTGAAAGGAGTAAAGAGCTGATAAAAGCAAGTGTTGGGAGTGAGGGAGAAGGTTTTGCAAAATAAAAAGGACAAGCGGAGAAGAGATGTTGTGCCCCTGAACAGAATTTCTGATCTGACGGTGCGTGCTTTTATACGAAAAAATATATGCAGGATGGTTGGGGGTACGGTGAGACGACGGTGGAGGAGGGGAGAGTGCGAAAATCTCTGTGCTTCTGAATTAAAACAATCTTTTTTTGTTGTTGATTTTTTTGCACAAGCAGTAAAAGGCCAATAGCAGTCCTCTCGGTGTTTATTGGTTGTGAGTAATAACAGCACGCATTCTGCTAGTGACACTTAAAGCCTTACTTGATGCGTCATGTCAGGCAAATTTGTTTATCTTTTGTTAGAATTTTTAATGATTTATTTTGAACTGCCTCGAGCGAAGGAGTAAAAAAAATAATAAGATAACATTAGTTTATTTTTCGGTTGGGGTGCGGGGGGTATTGGAATATGGACATTGCGCCTGGAAGCCAGAGGAGGTGGCGAGGCCTTGAAAAACAACAATGTAAATTTTTATATGCGCGAACAAAAAAACTAATATTTATTAGTGTAAATATGTGTCGAAAAAAATATGTAAAGAAATTGTGGCGGACTCGAGGAATTGCGTGTTCAAGCCACCCAAATCATCGTCACTTTTTTATGCTTTCATGGTGTATTTCAGAAATTAATCGCAGACTTCCAAGTTCCAGATTCTCACATGAAAGTTAAAAAACATAACTTTTTTCCCACACCTCGTTGATCCCATTTTAAAAGTCTAACAAGTTTACAGATAATACCGTGAACTGAAAAGGGAGAAGGGTGTTGCATTTAGAATGTTTTTATATTGTATCACATATGTTTATAAACTGTTTTTAGTAGATATTTTTCTGTCTTGTCATCTGCACTACAATTTTTAAAAAAATGTACGTTCCCACCAAGCGACGCCTCGCTATGGATGATCCATTTTTTGATCTTGGCAACGCCGAAACAAACATGTACTTTCACATCAAAAAGCATCCATCCCCTATCACCACCACAACCAACAGCAAAAACAGCGATAACAGCAACAGTAACAGCGATAATGATAACAGCAGCAGCGGCAACACATCAGACGACAATTCCGGGCAACAAGCAATAGCCCAAATAAACAAAGTCTTAGAAACCAACATCGACACCCGATACTTCTCCTTCTCCACGCGCACAATTATTTGCCACGAGCCGCCATGCCAAGGAACCGCACACCCGGCCATATCCTACGAACTGCACTACGACCAAATGCACCGCAATAGCTGTTCCACATGTAATGCGATATTCCCCAGCTCTCACTGGTTGGATCTGCATATTCAAGAATACCACGATATGTTTTTTCAGGCCCAGATTGCTCGCACAGATGGTGGGCTGAATTACTCATGCTTTTTGCCCGCTTGTGTCGAGATGTTTGAGAGTGCCGGGGAGCGCAAAGAGCATATGATTGAAGTGCATCGTTTTCCGCTGTCATTTACGTGGGATCTTGTTCAGGATGGGCTTCGGCATGCGGGAAGGGACGATGACTGTGACGATGACTGTGACGATGACGATGATTACGACGATGATGGTGATGATGGTGATGATGAGTGTGCCGAGGATATGGATGTTGATCTGATTACAGCTGGATTTAAGCGGTCTCTGCGCATCAGTGCTCCAGAAAAAATCACGTTTGGAAGGCATGAGGACAACCAATATCAGTACGACCATTGAAAATAACTATATTTCACACAATGATAAAAATAGATACATTAAGCAAGGTAAGACAAGAAGTTGCTGCTTTCTGAGCAAAAGCCAACAGACCAAAAAGCTTGTATATTTCACAAAAATGAGTTTTAACTAAAAAAACTAACCATAGTACAAAACAGTCTATCCCAAAGTTTAAAGCTCGTATTATAGTCCTCATTTAACAAAACCAAACATTAAACTTTTCTTAGTTTTATTACCATTTTACACTATTTTAATATATTTTTTGCCAACATAATAACCAACAAAAAATAAGGGAAATGCAACGTCTCATTAATAAAGCCTGCACACGACCAATGGAAGACTGGGGTCTTGATCCATTATTTTGGACCTCAGCGAAGCTATTTATCAGCGACTTGCACAGCGCCATAGCCAACACCAATGGCGCTTATGCCAGCGCTGCATCGTCGTCGGCAGCAGTTTTTTTTGTAGGGAACGAGCATGTAGTTCGCAGTGTCGAGCTGGTGGGGGTTGTTGTGTCTGTGGATGCCCGGGGCTCAAAAATGACCGTGTACCAAAGTAAAGTATTCTTCTCATATTTATGCATTTATACATTTCAGCCACGGTTTGGAATCGTTATGATAAAATCTGCGTGTTTTTTTAAAAAAAATTAGACTTGGTTGCTAACAAAATTAATTTTTCCTATACTTTTTTCATGTGTAGTTGATGATGGTACTGGTATAATTTCTTGTGTTCATTTCACGACAACAGAGGAGCAAAACAACTATAATTTGCGGCATAACTATGAACTGGGGATCACACTTTGCATTGAGGGCCGGCTGAGCACATTCCGGGACGAACGCCAAGTGATAGTGCGTGTTTGCAAGCAAATAGAGCCCAACCAAGAAACCTTAGCTTGGCTAGAACGACTGTCGCTGAGAAAGTTCCTATCGATATCGCTGTTCCAACAACAATAAATAATATCTTACGCTTCCAATTATTGTTTTCTTTTCACGCATCCTTCTTTGTCTCCTTGCTGCTGTCCAACTGCTTGCGAAGACCATCGCACTCATCGGCCAAGCGCATGTACTCCTTATGGCTTGAGTCAGCCTGCTTCTTCAGCGTAGCCATATCTCTGTCCTTCCTCTCGAGCTCGGCAATCTCCTTGCGGGCATCAGCCAGCTCAGCCTTAACCTTAACCAGCTCAGCCTTGGCCGAACCCGGTCCTGAGGTGACCAGAGGGGTAGCGCCATCACCTTCAACAAGCTGTCCAACGAGAGTGTGGGTGGATATGAGGATGAGGCCGAGGAACATGGTGATGCCCGTCAGGTAGGTGTTGCGCTGGGCATAGAACTGCTGCAGCTTGAGCTGGCAGACGGCGTGCTCGTCGACGAGACGTGTGGTGTTCTTGGTCTGCTGAATCTTGTACAGACGCATGACGGCGTCGGCGAACAGGAGAAGAATAAAGCCAAAGGCTATGCGCACACTGTAGAGGGCCCTTTGGGCAAGAACGGACCTTGACGACCAGGTGATCATTGCGCGCCTCCACCGGTTGGGCATCGGAATCTACAAATATGAGATGACGGTGAGAGGGGAGGGGAGGGGGCACAACGACGTAGACAAAATAGTATCGCAGCCATGCATCGTTTGTTAAAAGTAGAAGGTTTAGTAATGTAGTACAGAGAAGACAGAGCTGTTAATTTGAGCTCCCACCATTCTTTTTTTCAAGTCAGGTTTCGAACAGCTGGCAGGTGTTGCTAGTTTGAGTGTTACTTACAATGAGAACGACAAAGACGAATATCTACATGGTAGTAAAAAAAGACAAACAAATAGGAGAATGGGTTTTGCAGAGTTAGCGTGTGCTTGAGAACTCACTTGATTAAGTGAAAAAGTAAATGAAATTCGGTTCGTCGTCGCGCTAAATAGTTATTCCCTTCCCTCAGCATACCTCTATCAGCAACAGTGCAAAGACGCCAGTGTATTGTAGCGTAGCCATGTTTTTCTAAAGTCTTTGTTAATTTTGTTACGGACTCGAATCCCAAACGATATAAAAGAGAAAAATATATTTGGTGAAAAAAGTGGTTAGAAAAAAATATAAAAGAGTAGAAAAGAAAAGGAAACAAAGTTGAAAAGGGTCCCCTTCTCAAATATTTATAAAGTTTTTGTTTGTCCACCTGCTCACCCAAAATGTTCGATAGACACACCCCCACCCCTATTCCTGGATTAACACGAATTTTTATTCCGCTGACTTGGAAAATTAAAAAAAAACGACACGACGACATGGCACACGATCTCACACACTGCGCATAAAAAATGTAAAAAATTTATAAGAAAAAAATCGATGACAAAATATGCTCGTCATCATCATATCTAACATCCAACATCCAACAATCCCCATCCCCTCACAAAAAGGATCTATTTACCCCATCTCTTTTCAATTTTAGCGTAGCTGCCCAAAGCGCGCACAACAGCATCTCCCAGGCTCTTAACGCTCCCCTGCCCAATCTGATAAACCTCTGTATTCTGCAACTGCCATGGTGGGAACTCGGGGATGCAAATCAAATCATCGTAAAGCAGCAAGAGTTCTGGGTGCGCAAAGCCAAATGGATCCTTTAGCAGGATGCCACCATGGTTTCGTCGATGGATTTGGCCGAGAGGGTGCCGGCGCTGACTTGCTTGGCGAGAGAGCGGGAAAGCTCGACAAGTGCAGGGAAGCCGTCTTCGCGCGACCAGAGGGAGACGTGGAGTGGGTGGTTGCCGGGGGAGGTGATGTGGCGTTTGGCGTGGTGGGTGCCAAGGTCCAGAATTATGCTTGGGGGTTTGTTGTTGTATGCCCGGCTGATTATCTTTGATTTGCGCAGGCGTGCTTCGATGGCATCGGCAAAATCTTTGAGGCGGCCTACAACGGTAAGTAAATATTAAATAAATATAAAATCGGTATTAAAAAATATCATCTGTGTTAGTATTAAATATCATATTAGCATCTACTATTCCTACTTTTTTTTTCCAAATAATACTATTTTTTAACTTACCATCTCTGCTGTACACAGTCAGGCGTGGGATCTTCGCCATGCCGCTCCAGGCACACAGGGCTTCAACATCATCAACAATATCGTCCGTATGCCCATCGGGAAGCACCACGGCGAAATGCTCCGGTCTCTGGGGCAATGAAAGCAAAAACATCTCGAGCTCCGCCCTCTCCTCTACCAACGCCGGCCGGTCGCCCAAAAGCAAGTCATGCACGTCAACTTCGTTCTGCAAAAGAGTCATTTGCACCCAGCTCTGGAAGGATTTGTGTACAGCAAAGGCAAGATGAAGGAAGCGCAGGATTGCGTAGCAGAGGCCGTCGAAGATTTGGCGGAGGAAGGGCTTGGATTGCTGCGGGGTGTCATCCGGGATGCCGACAAAGCGAATGAGGGCTGCGACAGGCACGAACACAAGGAGCCAGAGTGTGACTGACATGGCGGTTTTTTATTAAATATTTTTTTGAATTCAAAAGAAGAAGAATAACAATAATAATAATCTAGAAATGAAAATGAAAATGAAAATGATGATTGAGAAGAGGAAGAAGAGGAAGAGTAATGAAGAGAAGTTCGCTAGGTGAATGTCCTTTAATCTTTTTCTTTCTTGATTCAAGTGAGCGAACAGAAAAAAAACGGACAATCGTGGTGTAATAGAATGTGAGCGCGCTTTTAACAAAAAGGCATCATGTCGCTCGTTGCAATATTTCCTTACTTTTTTGGATTTCAAATATTATAAACATAATATGGAGCACATATTACAAAGAACGGTGGTAACAAAAAAGGGAAAGTTGCATTCAGCCTTGCCTTTTGACTCCCTCCAGGCACGTTTCAGCCACACTTTAGCCACGCACCAGTCCTTTATTTTGTCGCTAAATTTATTTTGCAGCCATTGACAAGTGGAAACTCAATAAAGCCACCCAGACAAGCCATACAGTGTAAAACATTATTCTATACATCTACATTCACCGAAACATAGGTGGCCTCTGTCAGGAACTGCTGTGGCGGTGGGTGGTATGGGGCCAGCTCGCTCAATTCCATGACACTGAACCAATCGGTGTTGGCCAGTCGGCCCTCCTTGTCGTGGGTCCAGAACCCAAGACAATTATCCACTAGGCCGAAATCATACGGGTCCTTCTTGCCCCCCGTACCGCTGCTGCTGCTCAGAGCCGCGTACCCCATGCCTGTCAGCGGGAAGGACTCTTCGTTCTGCGAAAGCACGCTGGTGGAAGTCATTGAGCTGGCATTGGAGATGGGCGGCGGCATGTTCTCGGAGCCAGCAGCCTCAGCGTCGGCTGGGCGCGCAGTGGCAGAGGTCGACATGGTGCGGTCGCCGGACTCCACAGTGCCACCAAGCCCAATGATGGCCGACTTGAGCCACGACGCAGCGCCGGATACAGGGCCCTTCTTGGCGCCCTGCTTGGAGCCGTGGCCGTGGCCATGGCCATGGCCGTGAGCGTGGGAGTGGCCATGCTTGCACTGGTGGCCGTCTTTGCCCCTGGGCGCCACTCGCAGGTACCCGGTGGTCATCTCGTTGGTGGTGCAGCCGACGGCAACCTGGTACAACTGCGACACAAGCAGGAAGCCGGCCCATGAGCAGTTGATGCCCAGCCATCCGGTCAGCACCACAGCCCAGGCATCGGCCTGGAACAGCCCGCACATGGACTCGCCCAGGTAGCAGGGCTGGCCCGGAATAGGGTCGTAGACGACAAACACGTAGCTCAAATACATGCTGACCAGCACCACAAAGACAAAGACGCCCAGCACGAGAAAACCCAAGAACAGCATAAAGCTGCGGTGGTTGAGCGCGCCCACGCAGTTGTACGTCCACGGGCAGTGGTGGTCAAAGCGCACCACGCAGCGGTTGCACACCCGGCAGTGCTTGGACCGCAGCGGCCGGATATTGAGGCACGTGCGGCAAAAGTGATCAAAGTCCAGAGTCGCCGCCGCCGCCAGCCGCCGCACAGTGGGCGCTGCGCCCAGCAGCGTCTCGTTGCGCGCCACGTAGCCTGGATCGCCGAACACCGCGCGGTAGAAGTGCAGCAGACACAGGAACAGCATCCCGGCGAACACAGTGTTGAGCAGCCAGTGCGTCGGGATAGTGCGGCCGTCGATGGCGCCGGCAACTGTTACCGGCAAAATGCGCGTTGCCCAGGTGACCAGCGTGTAGAGCGCCGACGCCTGGAAGACCGCCGAGAAGTACGGCACCGACTGCAGGTGCAGCGGCTCGCGCGAGCGCACCACGTAGCGCAGCACCAGCGCGTGCATGGCCGCCAGCACGCCTAGCGCCAGCGGCACGCCGACAAACCACGGGTACGTGGCCACAGCCGCCAGCGCCGTGCCCACCATGACCAGCGGCAGCGCCGCGGCAGCCAGCTCCTTGCGCAGCGACCGGCCCATAACGCGGCGCCCGGAGTCATCGACCGCGCGCATCTTGCGCGCCAGCGACACCTGCTCGTCGAACACCGCAGCAAAGTTGTTCTGCACGGCGTAGTCGCGCGGCGTCTGGCCGCCGGCATCGCTGGCTGGGTCGGCGCCACGCGCCAGCAGCGTGTCGACGATGTCCGCCGCCGTGCTCATCATGCCGAAGTGCAGCACAGTCATGCCGGTGTTGTTGCGAGCGTCGATGTTGGCGCCGACGCGCAGCAGAAACTCAACCATCTCCTGCCGCCGCTGATACGCCGCCCACATCAGCGGTGTTGTGCCCATGGCGTCGCCAGCGTCCAGCGACCCGGCGCGCGCCTCCGCCTGCATGCACGCGACAAACACCAGCACCGGTATCGACCCCGAGTGCACCGCCGCGTGCAGCGCCGTGTTGCCACCCGAGTCTGTTAAAAGCAGGTTGGCCCCGCGCCCGACCAGGTACTCGACCGCACACAGGTGCCGCTGCGCGATTGCCCAGAAGATCACCGGGGCAAGGAACCGCTGGCACCGTGCGTCAATGTCCGCGCCCACGTCCTCCGCCAGGTACCGCAGTACGCGCATTGCCGCCGCCTGTGCCGCCCAATGCAGCGCTGTGTTGCCCTGCGCATCCAACTGCGATCCGCTGGCCGCCCCGGACGCAATCAGATGCTGCACACGGTCGATATCGTCTGTCTGCACCGCCTCCCAGAACCCGTTGTCAATGGGCTGTTCTGCCGCCGCTGTGTGCTTGGATGTGCCCTCTATGACCCCCGCCGCATCGCTTGCCGTCACGGCTGTCTGCGCAGCTGCTGTTGCTGCTGTCTTTGGCTTTATTATTTCTTTGCTCCGGTCTCTGCCGCCGCCCTCTGATGAAGCGCTCATGTTTGGTGAATGTGAAATGGAATACAAAAATAAATTTACAATTACAAGTTTATTCTAAGCCTGAAATACAAGCTGCTGGCACTCACGGCGACAAGAAGCAAAATATCGAAGCACGCTCCCCAGACCCTGTGGCCAAGCAAACACCATGCACTCTATCTTCCTCATTGCTTGATTTCCCAGAAGCCCAATTCAAAAGGTTCTCATTTTTTCTTCCCTTGGCGACTCACGCATTTGAATCAAACATTCTTGAGTCGCACGTGCATTTACATTTGCAGATCGAGCCAATCGCCCGTGTCCAGCACAATGAAGTAGGCGAATATAAACACCGCACGCCTTTTTCAACATTTGCAAGAGGCCTCAATTGAAGCAATCTTTGCAATCCGCGACCACCTTCCTTTTCTTTCTTCTTTCCCTTCCCGTTATTGCTGCATTCACCCACTCGTTCCCCTCCCTTATTTTTCCTTGTTTTATTTTATTTATACCTCCGATGCTCAAATTCGCTTCGCTCGCACTGGCAGTGGCCGCGCTCCTCTCCCACGCCGCCGCATACACAACCATCATGCTGCCCAACTCCCAGGAATGCTACAACGAGCGCATGAAGCACAACGACCACTTTTCAATTACCTTTGAGACCGCTGGAAAGCTGCCCATTGACTTTTCAGTACGTTTATTATACGAACAAAGCAAAAACAAGCTTACACCAAACACCCAGCCCAAAAATAGCACGCCATGAAACAAAGCGCTAAATTACAAATCTTTACACACACATCTTGTAAAATTGTTGTCTCTTAACTTTAGCTCTTGGATGCGTACAATAACCCTGTTTACTCGCTGCCCCACTCCGGAGAGGGAAGTTACGGTTACGCGGCAACATCCGACGGACGCTACTCGTACTGCTTCAAAAACAACGCGCCTCATGAGATCGTCGTCAACTTTAACCCGCACGGGCCTGAGGAGGAGATATATCTGGTTGACCATGATGCTACGCCCGCGGAGAACGAGGTTCGCAAATTGTCGCATAACGTGGAGGAGGTCAGAGACCACTTTAACTTTATGCTTTTCCGTAATGAGGTGCATGATAGCAATGTGGAGGATACCCAGCGCCGTATGTTCCACTGGGCTGTGCTGCAGACTTTGGCTTTGGCTGGTGTCTGTGGATGGCAGATCTACTATGTGCGTTCGCTGTTCAAGGTGCGCGGCGTGGTTTAAACAAGTTAATTTTGTTTTCTATGGATTTTTTTAAAGATAAAACATATATATATATATATATATATATGTGATGCGTCTCCAGTAAAAAAACTATTTTTTATTTATATATTTAGTGCGTCAGGACAATGCGATAGCGCGCCTTGCCTGCATCCATGCGCTCGAGGGCCTCGTTGACCTGGTCAATCGGGTACTTTTCGATAATTGGGCGGATATTGTGCTTGGCAGCAAACTCGAGCGTCCTCTTGATGATATTGACGCCGCCGATCATCGACCCGGTGATAGCCACCTCGCTGAAAATAAAATCAAACGGCGAAAACTGCATATGGCCCTCAGGAACCGCCAGCAAAACGATCTGGCCCTCGTAATCCATCCACGAGATAAACTCATTGTACTGGTTGGATTTCGAATTGGACGTGACGAACAGGTAATCGAGCGAGCGACTGGCCTTCTCGACGTCCTCCTTGATGCCCGTGTTGACAAACTTGGTGGCGCCCAGTTTTATGCACTGCTCATGCTTATCAGCCGAATGCGAAAAGGCAATGACCTCGGCACCCAGAGCATGCGCGTACTGGATGGCGAGATGGCCCAGACCTCCAATGCCAATGACACCGACACGGTCGCCCTTCTTGACACCCTTGCGTAGCATGGGGGCGAACACCGTTGTGCCGGCGCACATCAGGGGTGCAGCATGCGCAGGATCGATGGCCTCAGGGATCTTGAACGCATAATTGGCGTCAACGCGCACAGCCTCAGCGTACCCGCCCTGGGCCTGCTCGCCATCGGGGTACTTTGAATTATACGTCAGCACGCCCTTGGGGCAGTGGGGGTCGAGATTGCGGCTGCAGGGATTGCAGCTATCCTCGAGGCATGCATGAGCCTGGGCGCCGACACCGACGAGATCGCCCTCCTCGAGGTGCGTCACCTTGGGACCCTTGGTTATCACCTTGCCGATAATCTCATGGCCGACAATCACTGGGTACATGGTTCCTCCCCATTCCTCCTTAGTGGTGTGCAGGTCGGAGCCGCATATACCGCTGTATTCGATTTGATTTCGACGTCGGTGTCGCCGATTGCGCGAGGCTTGTACGTGAAGGGCTCGACTTTGATTCCGGGCTTCATGGCTGCCCAGCCGTGGATCTCGTTGATTTTGCCTTGAACCATGTTTAAAATTTTTTGTTAAAAGTTGGGAATTTAATAGTTATTTGTTCAGTTATTTGTTCACAATTATTTTTCTCGCCAAGATGTTTTTTGCCCGACCTTTTATACCACATCGAGATTTTCGCATAGCTAAATTTTTTATATATTTTTTCGGGTTTTATTGGCTTTGTTGGTTTCTCAGAAATTGCATTAATGTTTTTACCAAATAAAATACACAAACACGGCCATATTGCATAAAAATCACCACACACCGCCACCACAAATAAAAAATATCGAAGAGTCCAGAAGACACCGCATAACTGGAGCATGTAAATAGAAACAAACAAAATTATATTAAAAATATACGCCAAATAAATAATACAATCTACTGCTTGTTCTCAAGCACAACGCGGTACCGAGCCTTGCCGCTGCTAACATGCTCAATGGCCTCGTTGACATGATCCATGGGGAACCGCTCGATAGTAGGGAAAATCTTGTGCTTAGCCGAAAACTCCAAAGTCTCTTTCAAAACCTTGACACCAGCGATCAGCGACCCAGTAATGGCCACCTCGGATTTAATGAAGACTCTGGGCGACATGTTGAGCTCGCCCTCGGGAAGAGCAAGCAGGACAACCTGGCCGCCAAATCCATCCACGAAACCAAGTTACCGTACTGGCTGGTGTGCGAGTTGGACGTGACGAACAGGTAGTTCAGGGTGCCGCGCACGGCGTTGACCTCCTCCTCATTAGCAGTGTTGACAAAGATAGAGGCGCCCAGAGTTAAGCACTCATCGCGCTTGTTGGGCGAGTGCGAAAAGGCAACGACCTCGGCACCCAGAGCATGCGCATACTGGATGGCGAGATGGCCCAAACCACCAATACCGATGATACCAACACGGTCGCCCTTCTTGACACCCTTGCGCAGCATGGGGGAGAAACCGTGGCGCCAGCGCACATCAGAGGAGGGGCGTAGACGGGGTCGATGGACGCGGGGATCTTGAACGCGTAGCTGGAGTTAACGCGCACAGCCTCGGCGTAGCCACCGTGGGCCTGCTCGCCATCGGTGTACTTTGCGTTGTACGTAAAGACACTCTTGGGGCAGTGGGGGTCGAGATCGCGGCTGCAGGCATTGCAGCTGTTCTCAAGGCATGCGTGAACCTGGGCACCGACACCGACAAGGTCGCCCTCCTCCAGATGGGTCACCTTGGATCCCTTAGTAATCACTCTGCCAACAATTTCGTGACCAACAATCGCCGGGTACATGGTTCCTCCCCACTCCTCCTTGATAGTGTGCAGGTCGGAGCCACAGATACCGCTGTACTCAATCTTGATCTCGACGTCGGTGTCGCTGAGGGGGCGGGGAGTATAGGACCAGGGCTCGACCTTGAGTCCGGGCTTCATGGCGGCCCAACCGTGGATTTCGTTAATTTTGCCCTCAACCATTTTGTTGTTAAAAAGTGAATAAATTTTATGTGAAAAGAGTATGTGTTGAAATATAAAATTATTTAAAATGGGGGAGCAAAAGCTAGAGTGGAATGCGACAATGCTCATTTTATACCCCCACTGTCTCTGTTGTTCCTGACAAATGGATTGATTTTTTTACTTTCATCGTGTTGGTAAAGGCCACTTGTCTGCAGGTAAAAGCTGCAAAATGTGACGAATCCTGACCATATCGGAAGACTGATCGACTGTTCTGTACATTACCCCTATTCCTCTTCATTCTTTGTGGTATGTTAATTGTTATTTTTTGTTTTGCACTTTACCAAGACAGATCAATAACGCATATCCATTCATCGATCGCCCAATGCAAATTGCGGACTAGAAACAAGCAATAGTTGCTGACTAATTCATTAGCTCACCGTTTCGAAGATGTAGAATTAGCTTCGTTTTTTACGATTCTGTCTGTCTGTATGCGGACGTACGTCATCTACAGTTCAAGTGTTTTTAGTCGACAATAGTGCCCAGCGTATTAATTAGCGGTTTCCATTGGCCCAAATGTCAGCAGACACTGTTTATCCCACTACATCATGTGCCAGAGCAATCTAGTTACCAAAACCCTATATTGATTTCGCTTTTATCACCTGGATGTTAGACCAATGGTCTTCCGAGCTAATCAATCTAGGTTTTCCAAATATCCAATCCGCCCAATGGCTAAGCGGCTTCTGCAAACCTACCTCTTCTCGCCCCCCAACAAAACACTCGCTTTAATTTATCCGTTGGGATTGTTCTCTGCATTGCGGCTGCCTAATCGGACAAGGACAAGGCAGGAATAAGATAAAAATGTTTTGTCTTTGCTCAAAAGAACCTGGATATTTGTGTTCGGATGTCTTGTGTAAAGCATTGCATTCGATTGTTGCGCCCTCAGATTGTGTGACAATATGGACAACATATTGCTATATTCATGTACTTCAAATCTTGATTGCTTGAAATTTGATATACTTGACCTGTGCTAAATATATGTTATCACCACTTGCTCGCACTATATTCCATCTCTAACGCAGTTGTGCATTCTAATGTTTGCCACGTGTAGATTTCTAACTTTCAATCCTATAGAGTGCGGATTTCGCATCTAAATTTTTTTTGGGGGAGGGGGAAAGTGGGGAGTACACAAGCAAGTACGCAAGTGAGCGATTGAACGATTAAGGGAGCGAGTGATTGGGCATAGATAAATGCAGAGATTACATTGTATAAAAAGTTAATTCGGGCCCAGTCGCCATGAGTAGTGGAAGACTAATAACTAATGCATTGCGGAAAAGCCTACACCCCGGAGCAATACATTTCCGGCCGCAGCCATCTGGCTCTTTCGTTGGACGCACTGGCTACCAGTACGCAAAACCAAGAGGGTAAAGCCCCATTTCCACTTGCTTTACTCGCCTAATTCAGCCACAGAGGAAGGCGGGAATGAAGGCGACGGGGAACTCCGTGTGCTGGAGGTGCAAATGTAGTGTAATGGAAAATGGAAACAAGGCAGGAATTCAGATACGAGAAAGGTGAACAAAAGACAAGATAAAAAGAACTTTTCCTAGCAAATGCAGCCAAAACAAGAATAGTAAATAATACGTTGTTTCGCGTCCACCCCCCCTCATTCTCTCCTCTCCTCTTTTTTTGCTTTTGTTTTGTTTTATTTATCTTTTTGATCTGGTCACTTTGTTTATATTCTTTTATTATAGCCTCCCACTAGCCATGCCTTTGCGTATCGATCCGCCAGCTGGCACCCACGTAAACCTCAGCGATATTCCGCTCGGCGAATGGTACCCGTTTTTCATGCAGTGGCAGGTCCCCACCACCGTCGCAATTCTCTACACGGTGATGGCATTCTACTTTAACCCAAAGTCGAACAAGCTGTCAAACACAGAGGCTAAGCGTCTGAACCTCAAGGTCGCAGGAACCTCCGCCAAAAAGGCGATTTTCACCCCCATGAACATGTTTGTTTTCGCGCACAACGCCATTCTCGCTGTATACTCGGCCTGGGCATTCATGGGCGTGTTCCCCACATTCATCAACGACATCTCAACTAAGGGCCTGCGCAACGGACTCTGCGACTTTGACGGTACTCGCTGGAACTCGGTTCTGTTTATGCACACCTACCTGTTCTACCTGTCCAAGTTCTACGAGCTGATTGACTCTGTCATTATCATTCTCAAGGGACGCAAGGCGTCAGTGCTGCAGATTTACCACCACGCGGGCGTAATTATGGTCATGTACTTTGCCAACTACTACTGCTCGTCGGCCAGCGTCTTTATCGTTTGGGAGAATGCCGGCGTGCACACCATCATGTACACCTACTATGCCCTGACGGTCATTGGCATCAGCCCACCGGGCAAACAGTATTTGACCTCGCTGCAGATCTTCCAATTCCTGTTTGGTCAGTCCGTTGCTGTTATGTATATGTTGATTCCCGGCTGCGAGACTGCCTCTCAGCGCACTTGGGTGTGGATTCTGACCGCATACCTGCTTCCTCTGATTTACCTGTTTGTTCAGTTCTTTGTGTCGACTTACAAAAAGCCTGTTGCGCCCAAGCAAAAGAAGGCCGAATAAAGACACTTTCGAACCTTACATTTAAATAATAATATTTTTTTTTATATTTTCCTCATCCTATTACATTTAATAACAGTGAAGTGGCACCCTTTCGTCTATTTCTCTGCCCCTCCCCACTGCCTGATCACGCACGCAAACCAACCCCTATTAATGCCGTCCCTATTTTGGATGGCCAAATCCCAGTTGCAAGCGTTACCACCCCCATTTTTGATGGCATTGCACAAGTTGCAACTAGCGTGGCTCCTCACTTGGATATTGCATCTCCCCTCAATGGAATAAGCAGCCCCCAAAATCAGACGACGCTTTTGGAACAAAGATATTGCAGCAAGCCTAAACATGCGCATCGTCTTCAACTGCTTCAGCGAGGGATTGGTGATTCCTGCTCGATTCACGCGATCAGTGGCAAAAGACGATTGGGGGCAAATATGCTCAGAATTTGACCTATACCTATTGTCCTCTATCGGATGAGTAAGAGCCCAAGTGGCGCAGAATTGAGGTAGTCAATTATTTTTCCCACATATTTTTCATATTCCAGTGGCGTTAACACCTCACTTATTTTCACAAGGCTATCTGAATCCATTCTCTACTAGTTGTCTGAGTAATCAGCGAGCTAAGCGAAGCGGGTGATAGTAACTTATTTGGCACAAGCAAAAATCAAAGTCTGGCTCGTCGCCTTGAACCCTTCGGGACTTGATTGCCTCCCAACAAACACACATTTGTGTCAAAAAAATCAATCGATCACGCAAAATCATCAATTTCGAGGTTATCTCTTTTTTGAGTGTGTGTTGCGCTTGTTGATCGAAAAGACAAAAAAATTATAGCTTCTCGTCTTTTCAATTTCAATTTGTGTTTTTCTGTTCGTGCATTTATAATTCATTTTACTTTAAAAAATTCAGGGCATAGTCAAACACTCCCCCCCAACACACACACACACTTTAAGGATAAAATACATTGGAACCATGCCGCTGTATGAACTCGTTTGCATTTCCAGGTCGACAATCACTCAGGTACGACAAGCGCCATATGCTTTCATACACGCACGAAGAAAACACATTCAGCAAGGGACATATACCTTTTTACTCCCAGAAGATACAAAAAAATCAATTTCCTTGCATGGCAATTCGAATAGACAGTACACTTGACTTTAATTAACAACCCCACCAACTGAGTTTTTTTACTTTGAATGGTTGTGTAGGAGAACATGCGGATGCTGCTGAAGAGGTCGGCAGAGACAGTGTTGGATCGCGGAGGCGCCGTGCGTGGGTTTGTTAACATGGGTAGAGATCAGCCGCTGCCGTACCGCATGAAGAGGCATATGGAGTATCACACTCGCGGATCGTTTTGGCTCATGCACTATTACTCGAACCCGAATACGTCCAGTGTGTTGATGAGCCAACTGAAGCTTGACCCGCGCATTATTAGGTGCAATGTGGTCAAGGTTACAGACAAGTTGAGCGAGATGGTTTCCGTCGGCGAGCGGGCGTAAGAGCTGAGAGGGTACTTGAATCACCACTATTTCTATAATGAATAAATAGCAGATATAAATGATGTTTGCAATGAGTTTTCGGACAGCTTTTTATAATCCTGCTATGCTGCGTATCGCTATTTCATATCCAACATATCGAATGTGGGGGCGGATATGTCCAGACAGACAGCGTTCGTTTCCCAGCTTATTTGGGCGCTGTAATCGATTATAATGTCGTTGAAAGATTATCAAGATATTAAAATCAACACATTAGGGGTTTTGATTATGTTTGTGGAATGTCTATTTTGTTGTTGGCATATGTGTGCCACAATATAATACCCGCCATTTTATTGCCATCAATGTCAATTGCAATAAATCCGTAAGCTTGTAGAAGGATGCTTTATGTGTGCTGCTCCCCAAAAAAATCAAATGATATTATTTGTCTGCAAAACTACAACAGACAGCCGAAGGACAATTGAATAGCATTTTGGTGTCTGCCGTTTGGAGAGAAAAGCCACTAAAAAATATCAGCGACAGCCAGATAATAATGACAAAACCAATTGTTTTCATTATCCTCCCCTTACCCGCCGGTTGTACTTTTGCCATGGTACAGCCTATTGCATTGCATGTGCAGCATTAACGATAACAAACATGCCAGACCGCACAATAAACCTCAGCTGCCGAATTAAACCAAAAACACTAAAAATTTGAGAAATCAACGTGCGTTCGTGCAGAGTAACTCGTGGAATATTTCTGAAATACACACAACAATGCAATAGCCGCGTGCGTGGAGGAAGAGGGCGCACATTTCGCCACTATTTATGACATGTTTTGTTATTTTTTGCAAGTGCCGAGGAAGGAGTGAGTCCGAACATTTCAAAGCCTCCCTGTGTTAAAAAATAATGGAAATGAAAGGGAGAAATGATAGCAATGCGGCAGAAATAAAAACAAGGAAACAGCCATATTATTTTTCTTCATGTCTATCATCTGTTGTTTATAATTTTATGCTTATTATAAAAAACTATCTTCAAAATGCTAAATACCCTTATAAATATTGCCACATATTTGAAGAACAAGTTCTATCCGTGCGCGGATTCTGCAGACAACGATGACGATGTCCCCAAGTCTACGGATGAGGCCGAAATGTCAGTAGCTGCTGTAAATGTTGATATGGCTGGGAGCACTGGCGCAGAAATGGGGGTCCCGGCTGAACCGCTGTCTACGGTTACCATGGCGCTAGCACTTGTTCCTATAACAGAGCCCAACATTGTCGCTGTGCCCGTAACGGAAGCTGTTGCCGTGCCCGTTACTGAGACTGTCTCTGCGCCAGTAATCAATGCTATCTCTTTGCCTGCTCAAGTAACTGAGGCCGTCTCTGCACCAGCGCCCGTTACCGAGGCCATTGCTGCACCCATGCCCGTGCCCGTGTTTAAGGCTGCCGTTGCACCCGTACCTATGCCTGTAAACAAGGCCGCTGCCGCACCCGTAATCGAGGCCACAGCGCCTGCATCCATGTTTGTCTTCAAGGCCGCCGCTTCTGCGCCCACGCCAGTATTAAAGCAGGCAGCCATACACGCGCTTGTGTCCTTTACAAACCCGCCTATTATCCACGCGCGCGTTTCTTCGCCAAAGCTTCTAAAGCCACCAAATGGCCTGGCTACTGTTTGTGACGTCAAGCCCAAGAGCGATGCAAACACTTTGCCTCTGTTAGATTTCCCAGCCCTCCCACCATCTGGAGTTCTGACGCCAGTGTCATCGTTTTGCTCAATAGGCACACATTCAGCGTCCCGAGTACCATCCCATTTGCGGATGCATGGAGGGTTGCGAGCGATAGGTGTGCCGGTGGATCGAGCAATATGTTTGATGGTATTTTTGCCGGTTTGGCCAATTTCACGACGACGTCTGAGTCAACTTCTTTGAACAGCTCATGGTTCACTGTGACTCCTACCATTGCGCCGGTAACAATATTGGCACCAGAACCCTTCAGACTGCACAAACCGCTCTTTATGTATGTTGACAGGCCCCCTGTCATGCCCGCCATGGCGCTCCCTTTCATGCCCACGCGGGCGCGCGTCACTGCATTCGCACACGCCTCGGCACAAGCATCCAACAAAACTATTAAGTCGGCATTTGTTCCTGTGAAAGACTCCACGTTTGTTCCCGCGACGGATGCCGCTATTGAGCCTGCGGTGGCTCCGGCTCCGGCTCTGGACGTGGCATTTGCATCAGCTCAGGAAAGTCGCACAATGGTAAATTCAGTGTTTGTTTCTGCGAATAAGCCTGCTGTCATGCCCGCGGCGTCCCCAGCCACTGCTTTTGCACCGGAACCTTACTCGGCAGCGGCACTTGGCAGGCTGTTTAATGCGGAGTTTGCGTCTCTACATAGGTCAAATGTCAGAACAGACATTGGGCGCGACATTGATGCTGGGAGCAGCGCAGGCACAAAGTTCAAACATTTTGGGGACACAATGTCTTTGTCCGCGAATGTATCTGCTTTTGGGCCCGCGGGAACTACTGCCACTTCTTTTTCAGCCGAACCTGGGCCAGCTCCAGCCTCAGCATCCGCGTATGTCAACTATTCCAATCCAGGATTTGCACCCGTAAACAGCTCTAGATTTGTTCCTGCGAACAATCCCTCTTTCACGCCTACAAGCATACTTTCCTACACGCCTGCCAACAACTGTTATTTTGCGCTCGCCAGCAGCTTGTCTTTTGCGCCGGCAGGGCACCCGGTTATCGCACTTGCAGCAGTCCCAGCGTATTGGCAGGCAATTGTCAACCAATGCACCGGCGCCGCCAATGCCCGACTGATTGAGAACGCTCAGCTCTTTGATACATGGGACAAGCAGTGCCTGATGAGCTGGGTCAGAGCGATCGGCAAGTACGTGCTGGAAAACATGCCGAGCGAGTGTTACTCGTTGGAAATTAACTCGTTCCTTTGCTTTGCCCAGTCGAGAATATCTTTGGCTCTTGCGTGGGCGACTCGTGTGGCCTATATGTGCGCACTGGAGGTCTGGGGAGCCAATGTTCTGGGCCCCAGCTACTTGGTGCTCCAGCATGAGTACCTTGAGGCGATGACTCCTGAGGTATTTGAGCAATGGTTCCCATACTGAACTTGCACTGCACTGCATTCAATCATTTTTTTATTTTTCATTAGCACTTTGCTTTTTTTATTGCCTTTTTTATTAACGAATCATAGCATTTATATTTGGAAAAAACATCTACAATGTTTAATTGAGCAACTAAAATGAATCAATGAATCAATGTGGCCAGCCGTGGATAGACAATTTTAGGTTCGATTTTGCTTATTAATCACAGCCAACAAGAGCCAATTTCCAGGTGAAGCACATATTTTTCTCAAACTTTGAAAAGCATAAACAAAAAATGGCGCATATTTTTATTTACTGCTGGGCGCACTGCACACCAGGTCCCTGTTGGTGGGCATCCTCGTAGTCCTCATCCATGGCATCGTCGCCCTCGCGCATGTTCTTCTGGTGGCGGAGATCAAGGGCCGAAAGAACGACCTCCTCCTGATAGCGCCTGCAGGCAAGGTGGGCAGGGGTTTCCGGGGGGGCAGGATGTCCTCGAGCTTCTTGATGTTCTCCTCGGTGGTCCAGTTGCTCTCGGGGAAGCGCACGTTGAACTTGACAAACAAGTTGCCCATGTTTTGGTGGCGGTGGGAAGGCATGCCCTGGCCCTCGATGACCTTGACCTCTCCGGGCTTGATTGCCTCTCCAGGCAGGATGTTCACGTCGAGGATGCGGTCATCGAGGTGCTGGATGTGAACATTGCCGCCAGCAAGTGCTGTGAGGAGGTCGATCTCGGCCTCGTAGTGCAGGTCGTCGCCGCGGCGCTTGAACCGAGCGTGCTCCTTCTCCTCAATGACAATGATGATGTCACCAGGAACGACACCTGGTGCCTGGTCGGCCTCGCCCTGGAAGACAATCTTCTGGCCGTCCTTCATGCCGCGCTCAATGTGCACCTCAAGCTGCTTGCGCTCGTTGGTGACCTTGCGGCCATTGCACTTCTTGCAGCAGTTACGCGGGTCAATCTCCACGCACTCACCGTTACAGTTGCGGCACTGCTGCTGGATCTGCTGCACCATGGGGCCCATCTGGCGGATGACAACCTCAACACCGCGGCCGTGGCACTTGCTGCACTGCTTGACAGCACCCTCCTTGCCGCCCTTGCCATCGCAGCCGCTGCAGATGACGCTCTTTGAGACCTGCAGCTTCGAGGTCTTGCCCTTGTACAGGTCCTCGAGGGAGACCTTGAGAGCGTGTGCCATGTCGCGACCGCGACGGGGTCCGCTGGGACCACGGCGGCCACCACCACCGCCGCCGCCAAACATGCCACCCATGCCGCCTCCGCCAAAGAACTGCGAGAACAGATCATGGGGATCGACACCGTCCATGCCGCCGCCAGCTGCGCCGCTCAAGCCGGCCTCGCCGCGCTGGTCGTAGATAGCGCGCTTCTGGGTATCGGACAGAATTTCGTAAGCGTGTGAGATCTCCTTGAACTTGTTGTTGTCCTCGGGGTTCTGGTTCTTATCGGGATGGTACTTGAGGGCCATCTTCCGGTATGCCTTCTTGAGCTCGCTGTCATTGGCGCTGGGGGAGACGCCGAGCAGGTCGTAGAATTTTGTTTCGGCAACCATTATCAAATAGCGATTCTTTTAAAGTATGTCGCTGTAGAGTTTTCTAGTTGGATGTATAAGTAAAAAAAGTGATAGTTGTGTGGACCGTCTGTTGAATCACTAGCTACAAGCAATGAAGTAAAAAAAGAGGCTTAAATGAGTTGAAAATGCTGCAATTGAAAGAGAAGAAAAAAACAAGATGGAATGTAAAAGTTTTTGTTTAAAAAGAGATTTCTTTGGAAAGCAGGGGACTGTTTATTTATGCAGCAGGGACAAAGCTGGCTTGCGAGGCTGCCGTGAGCGCAGCACATATTTTTTTCAGCCTTCGCTGCTCACAAAAGAACAACATGGAACGGCAAAGAACAGTTGCCATGTCAATTGGGCTTCTTCGTCGCCTTATTGGGTGGGCCGAAATCTGCATAAAAAAGACAGAAAGAAGAGAAAATGAAAGGGAAAAAAAGTGATGGGGAAGGCGCGGGTGCCCAGACAAAGTCAATCGACAGGATACAAAATGCACCAAGTGAATGACACAAAGCGGCAAAGCGTAGCGGCAAAAGGGTGCGGAGACATATCCCAGCTCAATCCAACCAATATAAGACAAGCTAAAGAAATAGAGAAAAATAGAGCGCGTTCATACCTATGTGTTCTTTAAAGCAAAGAGGCGGACAAAAAAGTTTAAATTTTAAAACAGTGAGACACGAGAAAAGCACAAAATGCTTGGGCTTGGCATTGTTGTCATTGGAAGCGCAGTTCAAGCCAAGTCCAATCACAAGCTCAGTGTGTCGTGTCGGGTCGCCCACCACGCTTGAGGCGATTGGGTCCTTGGCCAAACATTTTTCAATTATTTTTTCTTTGGGGTGAGCGCCATAGCTGTCCACCAGCTGAAAAACCCCATCCAGTTAACTTTACTGCGCGTACGCGCGCACGCAGAGAACGCGGAATCCAACAAAAAAACCTGGCTGCCAATTTGCTGATTGGGTTGGCTGGCCATAAAAAAGTGTGCGTTGCGCGATCAAGCGCAGCAAGATCAAATCAGTTGACATCATATCTTTCATCATATCTTTCGGCCGCCAGATAAGGCGCAAACAGGCTGAAAAGCGTAAAGGATAGGTGAGAGTGTATGTTTGGGAAAAAAGAAACAAAAAATATTGAGATGGGAAAATTCGGCGGTGCTTCAGACAACCAGCAAAGCTACATTTATTTTAGACTTGGCTGTTGGCTTAGGCGCGCATCCACGACATGGCCGAGCGGATGCGCATGTAGTCAGGCATGCCCTGGATGGGTCCGACACCCACAGCGGCAACCTCCTGGTCCCACAGGCGCTCATAGGCGACCTTGCGCACGGTCTGGGCATCGATGGCATCGACAGCAGCGGCCACCTGGGCGGGCTCCATGCGCTTGCCGTGTGTCAGGATCTGGCGGCCAATGTCCTCGGCGATAGCGGTGGTGCCGTCGAGGTTGAGGAGAAGCGAAGCCTTGAGCTGCTGCTTGGCGCGCTCAACCTCGGCCTCAGTGACGGAGGTTGACAGGCGAGCCCACTCCTGGAGAGTGAAGTGCACGAGGTCATCGAGGTTGCCGACGTTCTCCGAGGTCAGGTAGATACCCCACAGGCCGGTGTCGTGGTACGACGTGTTGAACGACATGAAAGAGTTAGCAAGGGCGTTCTTGGACACGACCTGCGACAGGCGCGAGCTGACGTTGTTGGGCGCGCCCAGAGAGCGGTCCCAGTTGCCGATCAGCGACTGCAGTGTGAGCATCGAGAAGTAGTCGGGGTGGGTCCATCCGACGCCCTCGACGGCAAGGGCAATGTGCGCCTGGGGGATGTCATCGTTGCGCACGCGCAGGTCCGAGCCCCAGAAGCGGGGAGGGGCGTCCTTGCGGGTCGCCAGCGCGACGGGCGTCTCGCTGGTCTTGACCGAGCCAAAGTGCTTCTCGGCGAGCTTGACAAGATCATCGTGCTTGACGCCACCGGCACCGACAAGAACCATGCGGTCGGCAGTGTAGTTGCGCGAGATGTACTGCTCCAGATCAGCCTTTGTGATGGACAGGATGTTCTCACGGGGGCCAAGAATCGTGTAGCCGAGGGGGCTGTTCTGGAACGCCGTGGCGTGCAGGTGGTCGAACACAACCTCCTCCATAACCTTCTCAACCTCCTCCTGCTCGCGCAGAATCACGTCGCGCTCGCGCTCGATGGCGGCCTCGTTGAGCTTTGAGTTCTGCAGAATGTCCGAAAGAACCTCGACGGCCTGGGGAACGTCCTTCTCGAGGGCCTTGGCGTAGTACACGGTCTGCTCGCGCGAGGTGTAGGCGTTCAAGTGGGCGCCCATGTTCTCGATCTGCAGCTCAATGTCGTGCTGCGAGCGCACGGATGTACCCTAGAAGAAATAAAGCAATTAGAATGCAAATGAGTTTAGCCAACAGGCGAGCAAACGAACACCAAAAAACATCGTAAACAAATGTGATCCGGCTGCTCTTTGCACAGTAGCCAATTGATGCTCGTGTATTTACCTTAAAGGCCATGTGCTCGAGGAAGTGAGCAGAGCCGTTGTCCTTGGCGGTCTCGCTGCGGCTTCCCGAGTTGACCCAGACACCGACAGTGGCGGTGCTCACCGAGGGGTTGTTTTCGGTGGCAACCGTAAAGCCATTGGGCAGAGTGGTGATCTGAGTCTTGCCAGCGTTGACCGTGGCATAGCGAGCGAGCTGGATGCCAGCAGGCCGAACAAACTATCAAAACAAAAAGTGGCGTGAAATATGGCGTTTAGTTAGAAAAATAGAAAAACGGGTTTGTGTTATGTGCCTGAAAAGAAGTTCGGTATATCTTCATTAAATTCCCGAGAAAACAGTAGGTTGTGTCCATTTCTGTAATCGCCGGCGCTGTTCGACAAATTGAAGCGGTATTGAGCAAATACCACCCATTGTTCGATTCAATTGCGGACCACACACTAGCCGATTCGAATTCGGCAAGGGTTTATATCTTACCTTGGGCAAAGCGTTCTTGCTGAGATAGTTGAGAGCCATTGTCTGAAATTAACGTCCTTTATCCTAAATTTCTCAATCGGTGTAAGAAAACGATTCGAGTGAGACCAGGGAAAAATAAAAAAATCGCTAAATAAAAAACGCACAGTTGGATTTATAAAACAGAAAATAGGCAAAGTGGAGGAAAAAAGAACAACTCGACAATTGGATTTCGAATTTGCACCTTGCAAGCGCTGCAATTATTTTGGCGTGCAACTTTTGTGCGCTCAAAATCTATTTCATCTGGCTCGGATGAGATAAAGATGCCCGCAATTAGTTAATCGATGCCGCTTTATGATAAATCCGGTGATCCGGTGATTGGTTAACCGTATGCAAGTCACAATAATGTGAAGCAGGGTTTTGTTTTTATTTTTATTTTGCAGATGCCTATGTCATTGTTTTTTTCCACTTGTCGTTGTTGGTCAATACATCAAAAGAAGCAACCAAAAGTTGGCTTTAATGTGGGCAATGCCAACGTTAATGCACATGTACATGCCAATGCCAATGCCGCTGGTAGTAGCTAATAAAACCAATACACCGGTCAATAAAAGAAAGCTAGACGGTTGTGATGGTAGTCGGGTTTTCCCCGTACAATGCCACACGCTGGTCCCGAGGCCGTTTCGCCACCACCCACAGCAACGCTCTGCAACGCTACTTTGCCATTTCAGTGCTGCCCTCCTTGTAGACATTGGCGTGTAGCTTTTGATATAGTCGGACAAGTGGTATATATAATAAAAGTTTGGATTATGAATCATAGATTAGCCAAATATCTCGGTCAAAGCTACAAAACGGATCCACTCGTCAATGCTTTTGTACAAATCAACCATATCTATGGCAGTCATTTTATTTTCAGGGTAAAACAATGTTGTTTTATATTTAAGCAAAGGAAAGGAGGTTACAGCGTCTCCTCTTGTTTGCCATCGTAAAAATTGTTGGCAATAAAAGTCGAGAAGATATTTGTCAGAAAACAAATTAAAATCGCCCAATCTCTGGCATCTCTAAAAAATGGTATTTATATAAAGATTAGAATAGTGGCGGGTATAGCCTGACCCAAACTTTTGAGTCGCAGGAATAGCATAATGGGTAGGGTACCAAAAAGCGCCATTGTACTGACCTTATTCAAGACAAACCTCACAATGCCCAGCTTAAAATATTTATGATAATTGCTTTTAATATCATGACGATGACCATACATTGGATGGAAGGCTTATCCGTTTTGGCTTGGGCAAGCGTGGCATGTTCTACTAGTATACTTAAGCGGTTTATATATTTAATATTTCCGGGCTATATCCAATTTTTACGATATATCCTGAAAGCCAAAATTTGTTTTATTTTGTTTTTATTTAACTGATTTTTGTCCGCAGTTTTTGACCACCAAAACTTGCAGCACTTGTTTATAATTGTTTGATAATTCTAGTACCTTAAATATCCCAATTTCAAGCATAAAAATCTGAAAGTAGAATTATTGATTTGATATTCATGTTCTTTTTTGTATGAACCGTATTGGTATAAATTCATGGCGCTAATACCATTATGTATTTTTATGGTTTTATTGTTAGTAAAGAAAATACGGTTCTGCAAAAAGCATTGACTTTGGGACTTCTAACTTTACAAAAATTTTTGAGTGCGTTGCAGATTTTGAATAAAATTATTACTTGTGCAACATAATGCTTGCTGATGAAATATCATTTTTTTCATTTTCTACATCTATAAAAGCGCCCCTCAAGCGGGCGCTGCAAAGCTTGATTATTTTCTTTGCCTTTTTTCGTTTCCCCTCTCCAAACACGTTTAGGTTGCATTTTTCTTGTTTCTTATGTACTCCTGGTCACAGTCGCCGTCTTGTTGGTTCATTTTATTATTCTGTATCAATCATTGTAGGTTAGCATCTTCTGGCAAGTCATCGTCTTTATTTTTATCATTTTTTGCAGAGGATAAGCTGCGCCCATTCGACTACCTTGTCTGCTTACGCTCGTCGCGCATCGTTTTCGTTCGTGTTTGCCGGCTCATGTCGCCCCACCAACGCATCTGGTTGCCGTCGTCGTCGCTGCCGCAGTCGAGAGGATGTCAGGCGATTCAAGTGGCTGGCGATACTGGCAATGGCAGCAGGGCTGCCCTGCCCATTGGTGCAAGTGTCGTACAGTAATATTTTTTATTTTTAGCTGTAATTATATAATTATATGAATGGTATTCAATCAACCAATTAATGCAGATTCATTTATTCTGATTTTTTCTTCGTTCCTGTTTTTTTGTTGAAAATTTGGGGATTGGTTCTACACAGCAAAGCCATGCCAGCCATGGGCCATGGGGATATTGCTTTTTAAGTGTTATTTTTTGCACATTAGTATGGACGTACTTAAAATGTCTTAAAAATGGTTCGATAATGAATCAAGTTTTTGTACAGTGTACATACTAAAGTTTAGTGATTTGCAATCCCAACCGCGAGCACAAACGTGTATGCAAATGTGTGTGTGAAGTATCCATATAAATGTATAAACTATTTTTCTTTCTATTTTTAACTCAATATTCATTGTTTCTAAAAAAGGGGTTTGCAGGCACACTCCATTTTCTTTAAACAACAGCCTGTCACTGGAGCCCAAACAAGAAAATAGCTTTTGGTTTACACATTTTCGCGTTTTTTATAAATATATATTTTTTCGCATTTCCAATTTGGAAAACACATTTTTGCACCTTTTGTTATTAATTTTCCCTTGTTTTTCACTTTTCACTTTTATTTGTTTGGCCTACAGGGTGAATTCCCCTTCCCTCCCCACAAACACACTCCAGGGAAGCAGTAGAGTACTGAATTCGACTATAACCAGCACAAATACACAATCTGAAACCACAAATGACTTCAGACGGAGCTGCCGAGCACAGCAGAAAGACCAGCCAGCCCAGCATCATAGACAGCAGTGGGAACAGCGTAGACAGCGGGGTCGACAGGATCAACGGCTTTATTAGTTCTATGAAACTCGAGCGCAGCAACACAAAGGCCGGGCTAATAGGCTCGCTCATGCGACGGAAGACTTTGATGAAGCAGGCTGAGGACCCCGAGGTGGACCAAGAGGCGTTGGAGCAGGAGATTCGGCACGTGGAGAGGCTTGCATCGTTGCTTGGCCGGCGGCAGACGCGTTTTAGCCACAAGCGCGAGCCAATAAAGGTCAACCACGACTTGGATGCGACGCTGGATGGATTTTTCGATGTGCAGGACGAAGACCGCCTGGGCGACCTGCTACTCACTGGGGGCCACAAGCAGACCGCAGACGCCCAGCTTGCCGATGATTCTGGCGAGAGTGTTGCTGACCCGGAGCTCAAGCAGAAGAATATTAACACTGCGCCCACGGCGCTCATTGCTAGCCAGCAGGAAGGGCAGTACAGCCTTGCAGAGGATCCCTTTGACAAAATTGAACAGATGCAGTTGGAAAAGTCGCTGTCTGAAAGCGTCGAGTACCTTTCGATGGACACGTATGCGAGCGACGACGACGACGACGACACCGAGATGAGCAGTGATGCGGTAGCCGGTGGCAAAGTAGGAAACCGGGTTGTGGCGGGCAAATTGGCCGGTGGCGTCGACCAAATTCTGGACACGGACATGTTTGCCGAGGACGACGGCTTGGTAGCTGGAATGGGCCGAAGCAACACGTGGAAGAGGCAGAGTATGGTGCTAATCCAGGAGCGGGAAAAGTACGGGCCTGTGCTTCCGCGTATCATTGATGAAGAGGACGAGTCAGATAGCGAGTTGAGCGTCTCTGGTATGTCGGCGTCCCTGAGCGAAAGCGATGTTAACAATTCTTGCGATGAGGACATGGCCACTATCCCGAGCGAGATGATTGCAGAGCAACCGGAAGTTCCAATGATTCCAACAGTCCCAACAGTCCCAACAGTCCCAACAGTCCCGATAGTCCCGAGAGCCCCGACACTCCCTACCATCCCGGCTATTCCGGTGAGCAAGGATTTGATATTGCCTGTCAGCGCTGACACTACCAACGTCGATATGCTCAGCGACTACTTGGACATACTTGACCTTATCGACGGCAAGGGCGAGGTTGCGGAAGAGCTAGTCAAAATCAACGTGTACAACATGCATATCAGTTCTGACGACGACGGACATGTCAGCAGCGACCTGAACCGCGGCAGCGAATCTAGCGAAATCGAACTGAGCGATGCCAGCAGCAAGAGCGAGAGCGAAAGTGAAAGTGACAGCGATAGCGATAACAAATACTTGTCCAAACTGCGCCCTCAGCACGCGTTAGCAGTGGTGAATGTGGTTGACTTGGCTGCACCTCGTGCAACTACCATTGTTAAACGGGCAGGCAGCCGTCTGGCTGCAGCTACAATAGCGGATTCCAGCCTGTCCGGCAGTGAAAGCGCCGGGTCGAGGCCATGCACACCTGTCAGGGTGGGAGGCCGAGTCATGGAGCTGCAGACCGGCGCTATTAGACGCTCGCCGATGCGAAGGAGTCGGCGCATACTGAGCAAGGGATATTCATTGCGCAATGTTGACACAGGCCCAAAGTGGACTGCGGGGGCGCCGGCACTTGTTGCGAGGAATTCAGAGGGTGCGAGCGTGCGTTGTAGCGATGTTGGTGCTGAAGTAGGGGCAGCGGCTTTGACTGAGACTGTGACGCTTAAGAAGACGCCGACCGAGATTGCACCGCCCGAGATTGCACCGGTCGAGACGAAGCCAGCCAAGGCAGAGGCAGCCGAGTCAGAGCCAGTAGTGCCTGCGCTGCTGCCCAGCGTTCAGCTGCTGAAGGCAAATGCTCTAAGGGTTTCTGTTACTGCTCCCTGCGCTGATCTCAAGCGTGGCAGCTTTGCGAGCGACGATGTCGGCAGCACAGAGTCGGGGCGCGCTGGTTCATTGCATTCCAATGTCAACCCAAGTCTATCGGTTCCGGTTGCAACTGCGCCTGCAGTGCCTCCTGCTGCGAGCAACCGTGCGGTAATTCCAGGGCTGGCCAAGTTGGCCGCCGACGCGACCGTTGCCGCTGTACTTGCCGCTGGCGCGCAGTCCCCTTGGATGTCATCAGTGCAAGCAGGCAGTTCCGCACGCCACAATGCGGCGCTGCTGGTTCCTGACCGCATTGCGCGCACCATGGAGGTCGCCGACGCACACGCCAGAGATGCGGCCAAGGAAATAGCAGGAGCAGCAGCAGCTCAAACCGCAGAGGGCGCTGCCACTGGCCGATCGCACGCACCGCCGTTGCCGAAAAAGGAGCGGCCGAAGTTTCCCAGGGCGCTGGCTCAGGGCGGACTCGGCTCGCGTGCAGCCGTCGCAGTTGCTCTGGAGCTGCCATCCTCGCGCACGCTGTTCAACTCGACAGGGCGCGCAACATCGCTCTACAGCACCAGCCGCTCAAACATGCACCACTTGCACTTGCAGGGTGTTCCATCGGCAAACCGGTCGTCGATGACGCTGCCACGCAGCCGCGCGGCCACCGCTAGAGGGTCAACGGCGGTTGCTGGCGCAGCGAGCCTCGAGGAGTGGCTGAGGCAGACAGACATGCAGCTTCCGTCCAACAACCATGTCGACAAGCCGCTGCCATTCCCGCCAGGCGACGCGAGCAAATCTACAACCTTTAACAGCTACCACTACGTGCCAGCCGAGCCGTCTGCGCCCGGACTTGACTCGGTCGAGCAGGGCAGTGGAGAGCTTGGCGCTTCCTCGATAAAATCCGGTATTTCCCCCGGCCAACCACCGGCAGCAGCGGCAAATTCAAAGGTAGAGTGGTCAGGGTAGTGAGTGTGCTCCCTCCATCACACGCTTCCTCTCGCAACTCTATTTCTGCTCACACTTCCATTCACTCGCCTGCATCTCAACGCGCAATTTCAAATTCCAATTCGCCACTCAATTCGCCGCTCAATTCGCCAGTCCTTTCGCATTTCAGCAACAGCAGCAAAAGAGCCAGCATCACGTCGAGTGTCTCCATTCCCGTTTCCACGCGAAGCTCCATCGGCCCGCACGCAGAGCACAGCCAAGAGGCACTTTCGAACACGGCCTGCGTACAGGCATCAGCGACGCCCAGCAGTTTCAAGAATCTCTTTGTTGAGGATCCTCAGATGAACGCACTGCCTTACCCGCACGCAGGCGCTGGTGGTGCCGCATACGGAGCGTATACAGGCATGGGCTCGCTGTCGGGTCCAAACGTGCTTTCAGCGCCGCCCGATACCAACGACGAGAATGGCGGCGGCCATGGCGCGCCCGGCGACGGGTTTGCTGAGCCATCGGCGCCGGTGTTTCCGGAGCCCACAGCGCCAGAGCTGCCGATTCTCTGGGGCCAGCCCAGCCCCGGGGCCCAGGCATGCGCGTTCCCAATGCCCACGCACTACGGGTTGCCTCTGTCGCCAGCGCCAGCATATACACAGCTGGGGTTCACCATGCCGCCGCCGCAGTCGATTCAGCAGCAGCAGCAGCAGCCGATGATGCTTCAGCAGCAGATGTATCAGAACCAGCTGTCCCAGCAGATGTATGTGCAACAGTGCCTTTACGGCAATGGCCCAGAGCCGTCGCCTCCGACTTACATGCCGCCGCCTGTCATGCCGCCGACTGTGGACCGCCCGCTGCCGCCCATACCGAAGGTGAAGCGCCCTCCCCTCCCAAACACGCAGCGGCCCCGTCCAGTGTCTGTGCCGCTGTCGCCACCGCCACCGCCGCCTCCCAAGAACTGGCCGGATGCATCAACAATGCACACCATGGGTCAATTGTATGCACAGGCGCCTGCATACGGCCACAGCCAGGGTGCATACAGCAGTAGCACCGCAGCCATCAGCGCCGAAGCGGCGGCCAGTGGCGCCCTTAGCACCATCAAGTCGTCCACGTCGTCCGAGTTTGTTATCGTAAGTATCAATCCCGATTGCCTCCTGTTTGGCTGTCCTGGGCTTGTGAGCTTCCACATTGCATAGTTGGTTGGCAGTTGCGTTGCCTACAGGCGGTGGCTGCTTTTGCACTGTTCCTTTGTTTTCTTTGCGCTCGCTCCTTCAATCGCCTTGCGGGTTTCTTTTCTTCTTTTTTGCGTGCGCCGCTGCTATACTGAAGAACGGCCCCAGCCAAGCCAGGCCGGCCAAATACCAGCGCGCTGCCCTTTTTAATGCCGCATGGTATTTTTAGTTTCGCCATATTGCGTCATTTGACCTTTCTTTTCTTTTCCCCTTTTGTGTGCTCCGAGAGTATCGACGATATGTTTCCGGTATCGGGATTTTTTGGCGATGCTTCCGCTAGGAGGATTGCGTTGGCCGCCCATTCTACTCCAAGCATTCTTCTTTCCCGCCCTCTGAGAAGACGGGCCTAAAGGCAGGGAACGGCAGCGCCAGCAGCCGTCTTTGGGCAAACAACCCCAAATCCGGACCTGTGCCTGTCCGCACAAAAATAGAATGCGAATACTCCTTTATGCAGGCCAAACAGTCGTCGATGTGTGGCTTGTTGTCGGGCCATACGAATCCCGCTTTTTTGCCCCGTGCGCGATTGCGACGATTGCTGCTTGTTTGCGATTGCAATGGTGGGGGGCATATGCCCAACGCGCGGCGAATGATGCGAAAGAGAGGAGAAAGGCCCGCAGCACTGTTTCCATTGCATGTGTTTCGACGCTTCAGCAACGCTCGTGTGTTTTTTTGCTTGTGCCAGCCACCAAGCTCTTTCCCCCCTCTTTTTATTTCAATTCCCTCGCCGCCGCTGCAATTCTTTTGCTATTGCAGCCGTCACACTGTTACTAGCTCTGCCACCACGCCGCTCCTCAAGAGGCTCAGTCTCCTTGCCCCCTTTGCCCGTTCTGATTCTTATATGACTGCAGGCCATTACTTGTTACTATTCGCACTTGTACCATCATTATACTTTACTTTCAATTCGCCAATCGCCATCGCCATATACACACATACACATATAGCCAGCGCTCGGCCCGACATCTAACCTTTTTTAGAGTAGTGCCTCGCAATAGTTCGCGCTATTGTTTCTTTTCTTTTCAAAGCACTTTTTTGTCCTTCTGGTTTATTTAGCACGTGCTCCCCTCCTTTACAAAAAACCATTTCTATCCAAAAGGACCACAGCTTTTGTGCCCGGGTTTGGCATTTGCCCTTTACAGCGCTCGGTCGCATCTTTGTGTTAAACGCAGTCATTCTATTATTGTTTTCCATTTCTTTCTCATTTTCTGTTGCCCAGAACAAACACTCATTTACACCAACTGGGCCTTTACTGGGAACTCCTTTATTCTTTATATCTACATCTACATCCGCATCCGCATCCACATTTATCTTTTTAGAATTTTTATACTCATTTACCCATTTACTCATTTTCACCCCCGCACGCGCAGCCATCTGCTTGTTTCTTGTCTCTATCCTTTTTATTTCCTTGTACATTCATTCATTCATTCATTTATTCGGGTACTCGCGTTAAGCACCCTTACAGTGCCTTATTATTTTCTTTATTGTATAAATACCCCTCCACCCCCCCCCCCCCACGCCCTCGCCGCTGTGCGTCACTATTATTTCCTTTTTACTCAATCTCTCATTCTTACTCGACGCTGCCATCGTTTACCTGCGCTTTGCTTATATTTTTCTGTAAACGCGTGTGCATTCGTTTCGGGCTATCTTTATTCTTTTCTGCAACACATACACCGTGCGATGCTGTCCTTATTTTCTTCTCGCGGCAGCGACCGGCAGCACCCTGGCAAATCCACAAGCAACGCCAACGCAAACACATCCAAATCAATGTCGTTTCTGTCAAAACGCAAAACGTCTCGGTCATCATCCGTATCATCGACCGCATCATCAACATCGCAAACGACGCCACCATCAAATCAAAACCAAACCAATTATTTACCAACCAAACTTTCTCCACAAACCACTGCCTTGTATGACTATCCGATTCCACCCCGCACGCGGTCGCTGATTACGCATTTGCGCCATTCTAAAAACCTCAATTCTAACTCTGCTTCCACTGCTCATTTTATTGCCAACATTCAGGTCGAGGAGCACGTTGAGACGCGGCCGAGCGACATTCACAGCGAGCACCAGCAGCCCACCCCCACAGAATCTGCGGGCGCTCCTCCCCGCTACAAATTGGCAAACAGGCCGACGAGGATCAGCAGCCTGATGGGCAAGCATCCGCCGCCACCAATTTCTGTAGCACGGACTGGACTTAATATCGACACGCTTGCCTCGGCCCTGCCCAGTGCCCTGCCCAGTGCCGCACTCAACACCGCAAAAACCGAATGCACACCGACCATCAACATGGCAGAAAAGTCCGGATGGCACACAGACGAGGACAATTCGCCCGCGATTGCCGATGCCATGCGCATGATTGCAGAAAAAGAGCGCCGGCGCGAGGTCAATCGCAAGGCTGCGCTGTTCGAGCTCATTGAAACCGAGCGGTCTTTCACCAAGGACCTGCGCATGATTGTCGAGCTGTTTCTGCTCCCCATCCAGCTTCTGGGGAACCGTAAGATCGTCGAGGTGATCTTTGGCGACATGGTCAAGATCACAGAGATGAATGGCATGATGTACTCAGATATGGTCATGCGACTAGGCCCCCTGGCCTGCCTCGTCGACCCAGAGCGCGCGAGCCGCAACCGCCGGAAGAGGAAGCCCCCGCTCAAGCAGTCGGGCTCGACAAATGCGTCGGCACATACACGATCGGTGCTGCAGAGCGGGTCGATGCGTTCTTCGATAACACCAGTGTCTGTCTCAGCATCGGCCTCGACGACTATGTCGCGCCGCCTCAGCAACCCGATCGATCGCCAGAGCTTGACGCGCCACTCATCCGTCAACTCGCACAGCGACGCCGTGTCGGTGGCAGGCGGCTCGTCACTCAGCCGTTCGGGCTCTCAGAACGACGGCCGCTCATCAATGGTGTCCAACGGCGATGATCATTCGATTGTCACCAGCGACGTGGGTGGAGAGAGCGGCGAGAACAGTGAGCCCCGCGGCTTGTCTGCTATCGGCCTGGGCTCGGCGACTGCGGGCGAGCGGCATGACAGTATACGCAGCATCAACGGCGCAGCCGAGGACGACGACGAGGATGCGACAAAGTGGACCGACAAGCAGATTCTCGAGTACTTCAAGAATGTGTGCATTGGCGACGTCATGGCCACCTACCTTAAGGACTTTTCTGAGCACTATGCGCGGTACTCGGCCAATCATGACAAGGCCATCGAGTACTTGAAGCTTGTGCGCGAGAGCAGCTCGCGGCTGAACCTGCGCAATGACGCGACCAAGGACGCGCACCAACGGCTGCTGCTGGCGCTCGAGCGTGCAGAGAAGGATCCGCGCGTGAGGCGGCTGCGCCTAGAGTCTTTTTTGCTAGCGCCGGTGCAGCGTGTTATGCGCTACCCGCTGCTGCTCGAGGCCCTGCTCAAGTACACGCCCGAGACGCATCCGGACTATGAGGACGTTGCCCTGGCGCTGAGCATCTCCAACAGCGTGGCCTCTGAGGTCGATCGCAAGTCTGAGGAGATCATGAACAGCCACCGCCTGGCCGAGCTGCAGAGCACCTTTGACTGGTCGAATATGCTGGGCGTTCAGCTCCAGCTTGATGCGTACACCAAGCTGGTCGGACAGCGTAAGTTTGTGCGCAAGGGGCCGCTGCGTAAGGCCACATCTGGAAGGCACCTGTACGCCATTCTGTTCAACGACTTTATGATGATTACCATGTCAGATCGTCGCAACGGCGCGTGGTGCTACGAGGCCTATCGCCTGCCTATCCAGACATACGATCTTTTGGCACGCGAGCCTGTCAAAGACATGTTTGAGCTGGTCAACCTCAAGAACTCTGAGGTGCTGCAGCTGCGTGCCGATTCGCCTTCTGAGGCGGCCGACTGGGTCAAGGACATAATGAAGACGGCTAACTATTGCTACAATATTATGTGCGATGCCATTCGCTCGGGGATCCAGGTCGGCAAGGTCAAGTCGGTGCACTCGGAGGAAGCCAGGCAGCGGATTTTGGCGGGCGGCAAGCCAACGGCCGTGGTCAAACGTCATTAATTTTGTTTTGTGATATCTTTTTTTGCGTTTTCCTTTTGCATTCGATCCTACTTTTCTCTCTCTCTTGCTTGTATTGGGAGAACAGGGGGAGAGCGCACAAGCACACCTCGTGGCATTATTCTCTTCCACCTTTTTCACTTTTTCACTTTTAGTATTTGTTAATTTTACTTCCAATTTGTTCTCTTATTTGTTTGAAATGGTTTTGGCTTTCGGTATGCCCTTTCACCCGCTGTGTGTTGTTTGTGCGTTCATCAGGCTGTGCACATTCCATGTTGCGCCCTCCCCCCTTTTTTACATCATGATTGTTGTTATTGGGAACAGTATGTAGTACGGAAACTAAAAAATATTGTTTGAGAGATAAATGCTGATTTGTGGATGATGCAGAATATGCCTGAGTGCCGGCAGAAATATGAATGCCAAGGTGTTCTGTGCTCAATGTAAAAATAAAAAAACGTGATTGCGATCAGGCGAGCAGGCCGTTCAGAGCGATCGCAAGGACTGCAGCTGTCATCGGCAGAACGCCGCGGACAGGCAATCTGAGCGTGTCAGCAGCAGACTTGGACTGGACCTGGACTGGGCGGCTAGCCGGTCTGCCTTTCTCATTTCCGCTGGTCATCATGCCCTGGGTGTTGGAATGGGTCACAGAGTCCTTGGGAGTCTCCACAGCATCGCTATCAGTCTCCGAGCTATCCTCGTCATCGCTGCTCTTGCTCGCGGAAGCGCCGGAAGAGGACTTTTCGGGCTTATCATTGTCGTTGTCCTTCGTGGTGGCCTTGCTTGGGACAGGGCCATTCTTGCTGACAGTAAAGATCTGCGAGTACTTCCAGACTGTTCCGTCAGCAAGACCCAGCCGCAGGCCGTATTTGCCCTCTGGAATGGACTTTGGCACGTCAACAGTGACAGAATTGATGCCGGAGGACTTGGGGGTGGCCGGGGTTTCAAATACATGGACAAGCTGGGCATTGTCGGCGTCTCCAGACATCAGGTCAATCTCAAAGGACTGGCCGCCGGGCGATCCAGCAAGACGGTAGGTGATTTGGCCTTGCTCGCCTGGCACCCAGACAGTCGACGAGAGAGGAAGAATGATCGCTGCAATGTCGGACTTTGCTGCTGCTGTTACTGATGCAATCGGCAAGATGCAAAATACCACTGACACTGCCAGGAGCGCAAGATGCAGTGGCTTAGTGATGGCGGAAAGGGCGCTAATATTAGTGGGGGTGTACATTTTTTAAATGAGAAATAAGATGTATTTAGTGTGATGCCTCTACTCGGTATAGTAGATGTGTTTGGAATATGAAAAGTGAGGGGACTGTGAAAGATGTTTCCCACTGTGGCTATATATATATACAATTTTGTTTGGCTCAGCTTTCTTTGTACGCTTCGATGCCGTGTGTTTTGTGACTGTAGAAATGTGCATTAATTCTGGTGTTCCTTGTGAATTGTTTATATCTTACTCAGGCTGTTTTATCCTCAGAGATCAGGCTGCCCAATTTCTTTTGTTTAAAAGATGTGCGCATTGCACACACGCTTGCAATAAAGGAGTAACAAATTAAGGCAACAACATATGCAAAACTCGATATATCTACATTGAAAAAAACGCATCGCATCATCGTGTGGGCGAGACAAGACAAAATTGGTTTATTGTTGTTCTCAAAGTTCACACACGCGTATTTATGAATTTAATTATAATAAGCATACACTAAATATATACACAAATGTGCGGCGACGAGTGCATGGGAGTCGCAGCCATGTGTCAGATTACAAAATGCATTTATTTATTATTTGATATGATTTAGCTCTTATAATCTGTCTGTAGTATAAACAAAAAAAGATGTTTGACATTAAAAATGAACGGATGAATAAAGTTTGAGTAAGCATGTTTCGAAAATAATAATTAAAGGGTGATTTCAAGACAACATTTTCTTTCGTTTATCCATGTTTGAGTTTAGGCACATATGCCGCCTTGTACCGTCAATCAAAAGGGGGCGTTACTGCATTGCATTTTTTGATTGTGGTCTGGTGACCAAAGCCAAGTTTGCTTCTAATTGTTTGGCAAGCCATGTGTTGCTTTGATTGTATTTTTTTATTTTAGAATGATTTCTACTTATACATGCTTGCTTGTAGAATATCCAATGTAAATACGAGCCAGCGTGCGGATAAAGATAAGGAGCCAGATTTAAACATTTTATTTGCTTGCTTCTAAATATTTTTATTTTTAAAAGCTCACAATTATATATTGAAAAATAAATTTGCTGCCGTACAGTTGCTAGCCAACCATGTTGGACATAAATAAAATATTTTCAGTAGTACGCAGAAACGATCATAAATTATCGTGGCATTTGTTGCTCCTCTGAAATCAATGTACACCGAGTCCCGTGTTTGCCATATCGCAGGTAAAGAGGCACACATGCAATATTGGCCGAGTTACATGCACATTATCGACATAATCGACTCGAACGGTGTAATTAAAGCACAATAATCCATAACTAAAAAATATGAATAAATGGCGGAATGGTAAGCAGCAGGGCTTGTGTTATCAAGCAACGCCTCCACTCAAAGCAGCCTTCCCATCGTTCTGCGATTGTGGTTATTCATTTTCCGCCACCATGTTGCGCATTTGGTTTTTATTGCCCTCATCACTTACTTTTGATTGTTCTTTTTACCATCCAGTTGCTTATCAACATTTATATTCCAATTAGCGTTACATCAACATCATTTAATATAACCATCATCCATTTAAAGGCCGAGAAGCTTTCTTATCTCAACCATTTGTTCCGCCATCAACTGACCACATCACGCATCAGAATCATTACCATTTTTAAATCTAGAAACTAGGCCTAGCACCATTCTTCATATATATTCGTTATTTTCTCTTTCATCTCTTGCCCACTGTCACCACTACCACTCAGTTTGTCTCTTTTTCAGTTTTCATCAATCTTTCTTCAAATATTACTTTCTCTGCATTATTTTTCATTAAACAAGCAGTGTCATTTATCTGCGCATTTATCCATCCTTCTACTGCCATTTTATTGTAGTATTTGTCCAGCCAGATAGCCAGCTGGGGCTTACTTTTTGCTTTTTTTGCGACGAGTGTCGGTCTTGGTATTTCTTTCCTCTACTCACAGTTATCAAACGGTCTTTTAATTCTTATCATTTTCAAACCAACTACGCCCAAAATGACGCAGGTGGATGGCCCCATTACGCAGTTTTACAACTGCCGCATCCTCAAGGATCATAAACTGACCGACGATTATTTGTACGTCCAGGGCGGCAAGATCATCGACCCCGAAAAAATGTTTTGGGACGCAAAGCGCAAGCCCGACGTCCGCATTGACTGCAAGGGATGCATAGTTTCTCCTGGATATATTGACGTGCAAATCAATGGTGCTTACGGTTATGACTTTTCGAACGATACAGATATTATCGATGAGGCTGTGAGCAATATTTCCAAGGGATTACTGCTGCAAGGATGTACATCCTATTGCCCTACTACAGTCAGCTCTAGACCCGAAGTCTATAAGAAGGTTCTGAAGCACCTCGGTCCGCGTAATGGCTCTGTCGAAAATGGCGCCGCTATTCTTGGAGCACACATCGAAGGCCCATTTATTTCACCCCAGAAAAAGGGCGCACATGAGCTAGAGACGCTGCGCACAGCCAATAACAGAATTTCTGACTTTGACGAGTGCTATGGTCTGGATAACCTGCGCAAATATGTGGCGTACGTGACTATGGCACCCGAAGTTGAGGGCATTCTGGACACAATCCCTAGGCTCATCGAGTCAACTGGAATCAACATCTCGCTTGGCCACTCTAATGCCACCTCAGCCGAGGCTAGCCAGGCGTTTAAGAGCGGCGCTAACATGATTACACACTTGTTCAATGCCATGCATGCCTTCCACCAGCGCGACCCGGGTATTATTGGGCTACTTGGCGCTGCTGATTCGGGCTCACGGCCATTCTACGGGATAATCTGTGATGGCATTCATGTTCACCCACACTCAGTGATGATCGCTTACTACGCGCACCCGGAGGGCGCTTGCCTGGTTACCGACGCCATGTCTGCGCAATGCCTCCCCGATGGGTTCTACAAGCTCGGCGAGATGGACGTCGACGTCAACGATGGTCATGTGTACATCAAGGGCACCGATACGATTGCCGGCTCAATCATTACGATGGCCGAGTGTGTCCGCAAATTCATCAAGTTTACAGGCGCCTCCAAGGTGGAAGCCCTTGAGAATGCTACTTTGCACCCCGCGCAGATGCTGGGTATTGCCAACAAAAAAGGCAACCTGGTCCACGGTGCCGATGCAGACATTATCATCTTGGACGACAACCTTTGCGTCCAGCGCATCTTTATTGCGGGCGTCGAGGCCACTGCTGAAAACGTGCATTTTAACGAGAAGATATAGCTCTATGGGCCAACAACAGCAGTTCATTTTACTTTTGCCATCACATATCATTTAGCCAGTCATTTTTAGTTCAATCTGGTACCACTTCGCGTTTGGTGCGACTTTCGATCTCACTTTTGCACACAAATTCAATATTATTTCTTCACATGTCCAATTTTTTTTAAATAAAATCAGGTATCATAAAAGCATGCATTACTAAGTGCAGCTAGCCAGAGAACACACACTGACACACAAGGCCAGGCAACAGCAGAAGTATAAAAAGGCAGTCAAATAGCAGCATAATTAACACAGGTGACGGAATCAACGGGTGCCTGGCAGCGGCTGTTGATGATAAACAGGTGCAGGAAAACACATGTGGAGTCAGAAGCCAGTTGGTCAACCATCTTGAAGAGATAATAATACACAAGAAATAAAAATAAACAAAAAAACAAAAAACCGGTGAGAAAAATAGAAACTATAAGCAGTATTATCTGTTTTGATTTTGTATTTATGTGCATGTGTGATTGACAAAAAATGCAAGTCAAAAGAGAAAACGGTGAAGATATGTGCAATTTGGGGTTTGTGTTTGTGTTTGTTGAAGTACAAGTTCAAGTACAAGTTTAGGCTTTAATATGACCTTGAACTTGAGCTTGAAAGGTAAAAGGAAAGTGCGTTTTATGGACGTAAAAAAAGAAATAAAGAAAGAGAAGTGGGAGATGAGAGAACTTGGGCGCAATTAATTTATCCATTCATTTTTGCTTCTCTGCTGTGCGACACGCACGCATTCCTTTTTCCCTCGTCCAATAAAAAGTTAGTCAGCGCCATTTTGAAAATTATTGCCATGAAATGCTGGCTCCAGCGCGCTTGTGCAATGTGGCCACAGATATAATTAGTTTGCAGAATATGGGTATCAAAATATCATTTCAACAATATTTAAAATAAGCCAAAACACAAAGGTAAAACTAGGAGGATAAAGAGAGTGAAAAATGAATGCAACTGCGCATTAAGATTTCCTCAGGCTGAATGCTTCCAGCCATCCAGCCAGCCAAAGACAGTTTAAATTTGCTCATCGTGCTATGCGCACAGTTTGCAGTTAGTGCGCCAAGGTCGGGTTGTCCCTGCTATTGTGTCCCATGCGGCTCACATTCGAAGAAACGTCTGCAGCACGCCCATGGTAAGATCTGTAATTGATTCTGGTAACTGTGCTCATAGGCGAATCAGCATTTATCCAAATTAGCGGCGTGTGCCCTATCACAGGGCCAGGCGGACGCCTTGCAAACGACTGTGTCGAGGAATTAGCCCAACTCTCGTAGGCAACATTCAAGTGCTCCGTGGGTTCGGCCAAGTGCCCGTTGGAAGCCTCTGTCTGTGTCATGAACTCGGCCTCAATGTACTCGCTGCGCTGCATTGTGCCCCAATACTCCGGCTCACGAGTGGCCTAGTCAACAAGAACCTGTGTCCGCTCATCCGATCGCTGTGTAATAATGTTTTGGTTCCTCAGACCCCTCTTGCACAGATTATTGCTGTGCAGCTGCTGGTTGGCCTTGGACAGCATGCGTTTCAGGGGTATAACAATGGTTGCGGAGCTGCGGTCCCACCCATTGTGCTCAGCCAGTATCCTGCTAATCTTGCTGCTGAAATCGGCCAGCTCATCCTCCAAAGATTTGTTGGCTTTTACCACCCTCGAAATTCGGCGCTCAGGTTGTGAGGTGCGCATCTGGCTCTGGTTTAGCAGAGCATTGGTGCCGTTTATTTTAGTTTCCAAAGCTTGGTTGGTATTTGCTGCTCTTTGAATGTGACTCTCAAGGCCCAAAATATGCCTTTGACTCTGATTGTACAAAGCATTCACATATTGCAATTGAGCGCGCAAATCTGTGTTCTTGTTTTTTACACGCGTGTTGTCTGCCTCTACCTTGGCCAGCTGGGCGTTGATGCCAGCAAATTCCCCGAGCTCAATACGAGCGTCCTCGAGCTGCTTGCAAAGAGTATCAGCAATATCATTGGCGGCAGCAACCTTGGCCTGGATGGGTCTGAGTTTGGCCTCGGGTCTCCTGCACTTGTTCTCAACCATCGTTGTATGAGTGTAGGCAATTGAGCGCTGCTTGTAGTACATATCAATTTTTTTCTGGGATTCCAAATCTGCTTTGTTCAGCTTCTCCATCAAAATGGTGGCGTTGACTTTGGCGACATACAGCTATGTGCAGAGGTTTTTATTATCAGTTCTGACGTCCTCGGCAGTGGTGGTGGCTGCTGCAATTTCGGCCCTAAGCTTCTCGTTTTGGGCGTAAAGATTACTGTTATCGGCAGCAGCTGTTTCCAACTTTATGCAAAGCGCCTTAATATCGTAGTGCATCTGCTTTAGCTGGTTTTCAGATCCAGAGCTGGCGGAAGTAGAGCTAGCAGCGACGGTGACGGCAGTAGTGGTGACTGCAGTCACAGACTAATAACGGAATGCATTATGCCCGGAAGGCAGCTGAAGAAGCTTTATGTTCTTGAGTTTTGCTTTGGACAAGTTGTCCATTAACACGCTTATCGTTTTGGCAGAACCCTTGCAGTGCTCCTCACATCTGTAGCGTGCGTTGGCGGAATCTATCGTCCTGCGTCGGATATCAGGGTCTTTCTTCAATACAGAGTCAGTCTTTTTGCGCAGCTCTGAACGCAGGTCGCTGATAGTTACCTTTGCTTCTACGCAGAATGAGCAGAGAGAGCAATATGACTTAAATGTAGGAAGATTCGGAGAGGAAGCGCTTGTGCTGGTGGAAGAAAAGGAAAAAGAGTCGTTCATTTTTATACGAGAGTGCAAAATGGATATAATAAATCAAAATGGAATAGAGTTGGTGAATTTCAAATTGTAAGGTAACCTGTGATAACCAAATTATGTTAGGGCTAATGTTAATACAACGGCGAAAGCGATGGTGATAGTGAGAACTAATTGCAAAAGTGAATATCAAAAGAAAATTTAATAAAAATTGAAAGAAAAGAGTTAAAGTAAACAAAGCTGAACGACTGCCGCCATTTTATATTATTTTTATAGGAGCGAAGCCACTAATTTTCTTGAACCAAAAAATTCTCGCACAAGCGCATGTTTGGCTTGTGTGACCAAAGGATTACGCAAACCATGCGACTTAAGGTATTTCCTATTTGGATTAGCTTATTTTGGCCTACCTTTTTTATTCAGTGATTATCAACACCTGCATGCTTATAATTATACTTTTCTAACACTTACATGTACTCTTTTTGAGCTCAGACCACTTGTCTTTGTAGTTAACCATTTATTGGCGCCCAAATCTGAAAATGCCCCGTATAACCACTAAATAGCATAAGCCTGTACATTGTTGGGCCTATCCGTGAATGCTACACAATTGAATTGGACAAGCAGATGCACTCTTATTTCATCTCCGCATATTCTGTAGAAACGGTTACTTCCGCGTATAAGCATTGCCAAAGAAACAATTCAGGAACCGTGAAAATAGTCAGGACACCGCCTCGGATTAATAACCCAGAACTTGTTGCATTGCAATATGATACTGTGCCATCCGGTTTAGTTCTGGCTTATATTATAATACAAAGAGATATCATCATCCTATTTGAATGCTTAAAAATCGCAATATTAGTCAGTACCAGTCAAATCCTCAATAGCCGATGGGTGCACTGTCAATCAAATAAAGAAAATGCGGCCTTTATTCCTGAGCAACAATCATGTTTAAATAAGTAATTAGATATAATAAATACCAAAATGGCCAAATAACTTTTCAAATAAACATATGTTATTGATAAAAGCTCCGCTGAAGTGGCCAAGCGAGAAAGTAAAGACAGTAGAAATTCCCTGCAGCAACACTGTCAGCCACTTATTGTGTACCAGGGTAATTCATATTTATTATCCACAAATGGGTCAAAAACAGGGATTCTGTAGTGCCACATAGATAAATGATAAATTATAGATATAAAAATCATTTACATGTGTTATGATTGTGTTGAGTACAATGCGAATAGTGTTAAATGATATGTATAAGTTTTTCAATAATTTTTACTACCAAGGAAATCAAAAGTAGAATTAAGGTCAGCTTCGACATATATATATATATGCGTGTGTGTATGCCATTCCCGACCTTGCCCTGTTCTACATAATAGCCGTTATAATCACTGATAACGTGTACTGGCTTTTTTGCAAGCAGCTCAAATATTGGGTGTGTCGGTGTTGCAATCTTTGCGTGTGCGCGCGCGTTATAGAAGGGGGATCATATCTGGATGTTATTATTGATCCCCTGGCCTAATACTCCATGTTCATATTTGCCTTCTACCAGTTGGTATGCAAACAGAAAGCAGTCACTTGAATCTTAATCTCAATATTCACCTCCATGTTATTTGGCTGTGCAACACCGTATGTAAAGGTTAAAAAGATTGTTTCAATAAAAGCCAAGTTGGGCAGAACAAAATAGAACAATAAATAAAACAATGAACACATATTAGAAATGAATAAATGGCATGGCTGTAAATGTGTCCATTCATTCTAAGCCAAGATGAGGGGGTGTATGCGAGTGTCATAAAATATTTTTTCTGACAAGAGCCAAGAGTGCCTAATGCGTCAATTATGCGAATGATTATTAGAAAAATGTTTACCCTAATAGCTCCTGAATTGTAACAGCCATTTAAAACAAGTGGATGTATTTATCTCCAGTGCTCTTGTAGTTTTCATGTTTCTCCCGGGTCTCCTCAAGTTTTGGACTGCCGCGAGGTGCCGTAATTAGTGACACCCTGATTTATATAAATGTTATATATGTACATTTTTATTTTAGGCACTGAGTCGGCAAATTACACGGGCTGTCGAGCTTTGTTTTTCCCGGGCTTTGAGTTAAACTGGGTATATTGTTAGCAGCTAGTTTTAGAGCATTGTAGTCGACTTTCCCTGTAATACCCAATGCCTATCTGGTTTATTAGACACTAAGGTCCCTTCAGGAATACTTTAAATTGTCCTTGCCGCATGTGCGTCTCGCTAGTTTTAAAGCTTCATGATATCGAATACTATATTGCCGCCTGTTTAGTGGACCTTTGTAAGCGAGGTAGCTACTTCCATTGGTTTTGTTGCATTCTCTAGAGCGTTTCACATATTGACTCACACTCAGGCTTAATAGCGGGCATCCAAACTATTATTTGCGCACTTTGAAAAAAACACTGTTTAATGTCTTATCCAACGTCTGTCTTGCTGTTTGTGCGGCCTTGGCTTGTTTTTACCTTGTGTTTAAATGAAACTTGAATACACCTGGCGCTCTAGTCTTGTTTCTGCTGCTCAAAAAGCCCCCTATGTCACCGAGCAAAGTCCATTGCTGCTAAAATGTATTGTATGTATTATTTACTTTTACTATGTGCCTGTCTGCCTCCTTGTTTTTTTGGCGATGCTTCTCAACCCGCCTTTTGCTGGGTTTGCACTTGTTTCCCTTTTGGCTGGTCAGCTTCCAGACTCTATCCTTTTGCGGTACATGCGGCCTCATACTTTCCAATTTTAAAGTAGTGTTGTGCTAGCAAAAAGCGCATTGTTGCTGGTCAATTAATAATAATTTTAATACTCGAGAAATAAATAGATGAAAAAAGTATGGAAGAGAAAAAAGGCTGTTTTGCTCATATGCGCTGATTAATCGCTGCTTTATTCGCGGGTTTTACGCAACGAGCCAGCTGCTTCGGTGTTTAAATAATTAGCTTGTTTATTTTAACTAGCCGCTGTGGGTGTTTTGTTTGTATGTAACCGGTGTTTTAGACTTTGGGCTTTTTAGACCGCTAATGTACTTTTAGACAATTTTACAGCGTATATATGCTGAATAGGCGCACTGAGTTTCAATAGAACGCCTGCACCGTTGCAGCTTGTCTTTAATGGGAAAATAACTTACGCAAAAAAACATATTTCCGGCTCTTTGTCCCTACCACATAATATATTTTTCTTGATTAATACTCTCACCAGCTTATTTTTCAGTCACAAAATACTTTAACCCTAATAAAGTACATACGGCCGTCTTTCTTTGTTTTTTGCCAACGGCTTCCACATTATGCCTGAACAATAAAATTAACCTTTAAAAAAATAAAAGTATTGAAAAAAGTGGAAAAAGTGAAAATGAAAATTCATGACAACTAAAGAAACAAAAACATCTGCAAAAAGTTTAAAAATAGGGCAGTGGCTTTTCTTCAAACAGCGGCCATTTTGACAAAAGTGCATACTTATTTATTGTCGCTTATTAACTATCCTGCCAAATTTGTTGCCAAAAAGAGAGACAAAAAAGCAGATAAACACGACAAACGCGACATACAAATACAAGAAAGCAGGCGCTTGAAACCGGTATTCTTTTTTTCCTCACCTATTTTTAAATTAATGAAATCAAAAATCAAAAATGCTGTTTGCCACTTCTCTTATTCTGCATCCTCTGCTGACACTCTCACATTCCTTGTATCCAACGGAAACTGCACCAACATCATACACTGAGCTGCCGTCCTACGGCAACATAAACGTTCCCTGGGTGGATTTGATTAAGCCAGTTTTGCTAGTAGTTGGGTTTGTGGTGCTGTCTTTTTGCTTACCTTTATATTTTGGCCAGGGCGCCCAGGGCTATTCCTACTACCACCGTGCCTGGTGATATTTTTGCTGTTGCTGAGCCCAATGCTCTTGATTTAGCTACTGTGCACAATGCAACCGATTTTGCTGCCACATTTGCTTTGCAGCTTGTTGTGGTCAGACAACATGTTTATTTGGCACCGCTTGTTTATTTTAAGTTGCATGCTCTCTGGCCACTTTTCCCATTTGTTATGAAAGCTGTTCGTTCAGTTCCGCTTGTTCTTTCCAAGGAGCGCATTCACTGGCCACTGCTTGTTGCCCTATGCTTTGGGCCAATTGTGTTTGCTGGCTAACAGCATCATTACATGCTTGCCTTCATGTTACTTGATGCTGCTGGCCAACGCGGGTATGCAGTGCCACCTGGGGCAGCTCATATATTTAAGCTGTCTGATGAGACGCCCATAGAGCTGCCCACGGAGTCGCCTATTGAGCCACCTGCCGAGCTGCCTACTGAGAAACCTACTCGGCTGCCAACTGAGTTGCCGTTTGCGTTTGACAGATGGCCCAGTTTTACTGTATCACTGATTTTTGGATAACAGCTCATTGTATACAGTTTGCTGATCAGTGTTAAGCATCGGGTTGTTTCCACCACGCTTGCCAGCAACCCTTGACATGAATTTGCTAACTTTATTCAAGGTCGTCGCACAATCACTGTTAACGAGTGTATTTCATAAGTATACTAAGTTTATATTTCTAAAAGCCTGGAAAAGAGAAGAGCGAGAACTAATAAATGTTGTTGTTTTGCCCTTTTCATGGCTGTGAGTCTTTCTACTCATAAAGAAAAGGGCAACTGATGGGCATTGCCTATAAAGGAAATTTGTGCCCAACAATCACTATGCATGAGAATGCCTCAGATATTGTCCAGGGAGAGATAAATGCCACAATTGACTTTTGAACTTGATGCTGCCATTAGCACCAAGATTTGTTGATACATTTTTTGTCAAATGTGATCCTACGGGTGTTTTCCGCCTGCTCTCATGTTTTTATTGTTGAATCCACCCTTGCCTCAATGTCTCTAGAGGCACTGAATGCTTCATCCTACCCACTACTGATAAGTGCTGTCTGTCTCACTCGTCCGCTGTCCCTGATGTGGCCGGCAAGGTGCTCTATCGGAGGAAGACTTTCCTGATCTTGTCTCCAAACCCGACACCAGTGACAGACTCCATAGCCTGTTGGGAGCGACTGCCATTTAGTAGTCTTGTATGTGTTTGATGCATGAGTCAGCGCCAATAAGACATTTGAGACTAAAGGTGTTTTCTGCTTTAGACAGGGTCATTTGACCAAGCAGGGTTTCGTGTGATGGCACACATCTAGCAGACACATGTAGCTTTGAAAATTGGTTGGAGTGCACTTGTTCAGTTGTTTTTTGCAGCTTAGCTTTTTTGTCACAATATTCTCTTAATAAAATTTTATTTTTTACTTTTGAACAATTTTAATTAAATATCGAATTTTGTAATGCTGAAATTATTTTAAACGAAAAGAAAAATGGGTAAAAGCAAAAAATGAAAAATATAATCTACCTTAAAATGTAAAAAGGACCAATTTTTTATAATTGTTTGTGGGCACACATGTTTGAGAAAGCTTAAACTATTAAAAATATGGCTGTACACAAAGCGTTTGAACTGGTATGCTTCCAGCGGCGGTGAAAATCCGATGTGCCAATGAATTGGGTTGATGTGCGCGCATGCTTGGCTAAATGGTCTGCTTTTCCGTTACCTGGGACACAGCTATGGCCTATCACCCAAAATATCAGCATGGTCACACATAGGTGGATAGGTGCATTGTGTCAGACTCGTTGTTTTTGTGTTGTACGTCTTGCTGGTCCAAGAGCTCCTGTACCAGCCTTATCTCTGCGTGCAAACTAATAAAAAGATGGGATTATTGTCCCAGGACACTATGGCAACCATTGTATTAAGCGTCAGAAGCTCTGCAGTAATCAACAAGAGTGATTTTTGGTGGTTCTTGCGAGTAAGCCAACCTGTGATACAATAAAATGTGTGGTGCCCAACACAAATTTCAAGCCACTATCTTTTCTTTTCAAGAATCGAGATCGCCCTCATGGCCACTATACACATTTCTGTTATTGCTGTAAACATCAAGGAACACCATGATGTTTACAGCGCTGCCCCCTTTTTCAGTTCCTTAAGTAATTTTTGATACTTGAATATATTAATTTAGACCCATATTTTTATAGAGCACAACAAAAAGTACTGTTGAGTAGTTCAATGGTGATTGATTCATTAACTAATCACCAGTTAATTCCTTGGATATGCGGGAATTCATACGCACATATAAATATTAATGAATATAAACAGTGGAGGCTGTTCATCATTTAGCTTGCTTTTAGTTGCTTCTTAATGAATACTTTTTATCATAACAATTGGGCACTGTTTATGTTGCTCGTTCTGTCTCATACAGGCCAGACCAATGTGAATAATGTATTTTAACCTGACTATTTGTTTGCTACAAATGCGACAATTCAACACACATACTGCAAATTTTCTGGACAGCGGCTTAATCCAGCTGAAAACCGCTCAAAATTGGTTTATAGAACTACTCACAAATTGTTGATTGTCACGGGGTTTTGTCTAGTTTTGCGTTACAGGCAAAGTGGCTTAGTCCAAAGTATGGCTATTCGTGGTTTCTTACATTGAAGACTCGAGGCTTTTTTCCAAGGCAAATGGGAGCGTTGGTCATGCCACGATGGTCGGCTTTAATTTTTCCTGATGCCTAGCTATTTTTGGACTGGAAAGTGAAAATGCCATCTCTGTGATTTTATTTTGCTGTGGGTCCGCTTTAGGCCCTGTGCATTGGGTATCGACAAAAAAGCATTGTATTGACTTTTTGGATTGGCGCACGTCATTGCACGTCCAAAAAAGCTTAAAAATGATGGCTGGCCATGTTGCTCTCAAACATCGCGAGCGTGCTTTTTTTGTCATCAATGTTTGGTATTTTTTGCGGCTTTGTTGAGTGGGTGAGGGCTGCAGAAGCATGTTTCTGTTTTTCATTACGCCATAGCTTTGTTCATTTTTTGTTTAGATTTGTTTTTGGTCATGTCCGGATGCATAAACACACTTCCGAGCTTCCGCCAGCTTTAATCCAAGGGCGCATCCGTGCATTATTTTTATTGCTTGCCCTAGTTCAGCCGGGGGCATTATAAACGCAATCTCGGCACTGTCAAATAAAAACAAAGGACAAGGGGCAATGGACATTGTCGGATCACAGTCGGAAAATTGCCTTTTTCATTGTCCTCCTTATTCGAAAGAAGCATAAAAAGAGAAAAAAGCGCCATCAGTTTTTCTTCCCCGGCATGCGTAAATGAACAATTGCCAAAAAGGCAATGCTTCGCAAGCCTGCAGCGTTTTTCTGTTGCGCATATTGGTTGCTTGTTTGGGCCAGCGCTGTGCCTTGCGCTTAACGGCATAATAACAAACGCAAACGCAGTCATAAAATATTCAGATATATGCGATCGCTTTATTAATTTCGCCAAAAAGACGCCCATCATCGCTCGGTCATTATTTAATATGATATCTGCCAATCATTTTCATATATGCCAAGGGCAATCCATATCGAATTTGGCAATATGACAGCATTTAATGGTGTCTAAATATTTCGACACCTTGCCTGCCCACTGCATGCCGCAATCGAGCTAATTGAAAAGCCAAGGTAAATCCCAGCCTGCAGGATTTCCAGGCCTCGTGATTTTATACACTTTACAGGGCATGTCGATGCGCAGTTACACCGTGTGTTGGTGTTAGGAATATAAAAGGAAATTAAAACGCACCTGCATCCTCGCTAGAGGTGTTGGGCGTCAAACCACTGCGAGAGGCTGCAGACCATTTGCATTTTGGGAACATGCAATACCATGAATAATCATACGACTTTTGTCTTAGATGCCGCTGACTTTACAAGCCATCGCAGCTCTAACTTTTCTGTTGGCACTCTGGACTGGGTAGAGTGCTGGCGACTTGTATTTTTAGCCTGATGGGGTGGTATACTCGTGCCAGATGGCGCTTTTTTGTTTGTTCGGATGATAGTAATTTATGCGCAAAAAAGCGCCGTACAGAATCTGTTTTACAATCCCTGTTAGAAACCAGAGGGTTTTCTACCACCCCCCTCCCCTGATGATGCAATTATCCCCCGTCCTCAAAAATGTTCACGTCACTGCCAACGCACCATGGGGGTGAAGCCCTATTCTGCATATATTTCATTGTTGGATTATTTACTTAACACATCTAAGCAATGCATGCCTCTGCATGCTGGTGTTGGAATGTAGGCTTTTTGGGCTTTGCCTGCATGCGTTTTATGCAGTCTCACTGTCTGCTCCTATACCAGTCACCCGTACTCTGGAAAGCGTAGCGCTGCTTAAAGGATAGCAAAGAGCATTACAACCTTTTTTAAAAAAGACTGACTGGCCCAGCTTGCGCTTTTATTACTTTAGAGATGCACTCATATTTTTGTCGGAATATTGATGAAAGGTCGCGCTTTCCTTTTGGCAGCCATTAAACTTTTGTTCGCACAGCGACGCTACAGCTTTGAGCAGCTTATAAATATCCACTGCTGATATCACTTTATTGTGTGGGCCAGTGGATTCTGACTCAAGGGAGAGAATGCCAAATGGGCCATACTTTGGATTGCATATTCGGATACCACTGTGTCGATGCAAAAAATGTCAGTTTTTCATTTTGATTGCTTTTTTCTACTTTTTTAGTATGAAAAATACCCAAAAAACATGTGTAAAAAGCACATAGAAGGCCTTTTTGCCCGGAATTTTTACACTATGTGTAGATAAAATGGCAGTCTTTAAAAATTGTATTTAATTTGTAGAAAAAGTGGCAATAAAGAGAATAAGAAAATTTTCGGCAATTTGGTAAAAACAAGCCAAAAATCCCAATCACGCGCAATAGAACAATGGCCAACTCGGGTTGAATTTGAAAAATGCATAGGTTTGATTACATTTTAAAATATGGAAAGTCGTCAGGAAACAAATGTATCCATATTAAAAATAGAGCCGAAAACAAAAAAGCGGAGAGGATGAATATAACGGCAAAAGCAGCAAGGACAGCGAGAACTAAGCGAACTGAGAACATTTAAAATGCGACAAACTGACGCCTGCTCACGATTCAATTCTTTTTTTCTCTCAACTATCTTTCGTATTATTATAAATTATTCAAAATGCTTACTATTACTTTTCCTCTCCCGCCTCCCCCACCAACGGCATCCACCAAGCTGCCCTCATTTGAGATTTGTAACGTCAACTGGGAGGAGCTGGCTATACCAATTATCCTCATTTCTGTATTTGTGTTTACTTTTATTGTTATTTACCTTTATCGTTTGGCCACAGCACCAAAGGCCAATGCCATTTCCACTATGCCTGGTGGTATTTTTGCCGCCACCGCCGATGATACTGATAATGGCGTCGACGCTAATTCTCCTGATGATGCTGATTATTCTGCCCCCACAGATGATGCCGATTATGCCGCCGCCGCTAATGCAATTCCGACTGCCAGACGCAGCTATAGATCCTATCTCGCGGAAATAGCAGGATTGGACCCATCAGATTGTGAAGGATGCAATACTGAGCTCACTGATGAGTCCGATAACGAGCTCGATGCCCTTTTTGCTTTCTATGCTGCTGAAGATGCCAAGCGGGATGCTGAAAATGCCAGCTATTATGCTGAGCAAGCCATGGAACTGGATGATATTATCGCCAGTTTGTAACTCAGCCATTATTGATTCAAGAATAGGTAATGCTACAGTTGACTTTTGAACTCGATGCTGCTACAACCAAGGTTCTTTGCTGTATATTGTTTGCTACAAGTAATGCTGTGCATGTTTTTCTGCCTGTTTCTATATCCCTGTTTATTGTTCAATTCGCCTTTTCTTTGATGTATTTAGAGGCGCTGGCTGCCTCATCATACATACTACTGATAAATGCCGTCTGCTCCACTCGTTCGCTGTCCCTGAAGTGGCCGGTGAGGTGCTCTATCAGAAGAAAGCTTTCCTGATCTTGTCTCCGAACCCGACACCAGTGACAGACTCCATAGCCTGTTGGGAGCGACCGCCATTTAGTAGTCTTGTATGTGTTTGATGCATGAGTCAGCGCCAATAAGACATTTGAGACTAAAGGTGTTTTCTGCTTTAGACAGGGTCATTTGACCAAGCAGAGTTTCGTGTGATGGCACACATCTAGCAGACACATGTAGCTTTGAAAATTGGTTGGAGTGCACTTGTTCAGTTGTTTTTTGCAGCTTAGCTTTTTTGTCAATATTCTCTTAATAAAATTTTATTTTTTACTTTTGAACAATTTTAATTAAATATCGAATTTTGTAATGCTGAAATTATTTTAAACGAAAAGAAAAATGGGTAAAAGCAAAAAATGAAAAATATACTCTACCTTAAAATGTAAAAAGGACCAATTTTTTATAATTGTTTGTGGGCACACATGTTTGAGAAAGCTTAAACTATTAAAAATATGGCTGTACACAAAGCGTTTGAACTGGTGTGCTTCCAGCGGCGGTGAAAATCCGATGTGCCAATGAATTGGGTTGATGTGCGCGCATGCTTGGCTAAATGGTCTGCTTTTCCGTTACCTGGGACACAGCTATGGCCTATCACCCAAAATATCAGCATGGTCACACATAGGTGGATAGGTGCATTGTGTCAGACTCGTTGTTTTTGTGTTGTACGTCTTGCTGGTCCAAGAGCTCCTGTACCAGCCTTATCTCTGCATGCAAACTAATAAAAAGATGGGATTATTGTCCCAGGACACTATGGCAACCATTGTATTAAGCGTCAGAAGCTCTGCAGTAATCAATAGGAGTGATTTTTGGTGGTTCTTCCCTATATAACAGCCTATGGTTTTTCTTTATTACTCGTGGCTAAGGAAACAATATTTGCAAAGAACATTGCCAGCTAGTCAAAAATGTTGATTTACGAGCCGCTCAAGTGCACTGATGTCTAACGCATGGCACGTATATTTGTGCTTTTCTGACCAAAACACATATTGCAGCTTTTGCTACCTAATCGCTAGTGCCTTTGCCCTGCCTGTGATAAAGTTGGGGCGTGTCAATTGTGTGGTGCCCAACACACATTTCAAGCCACTATCTTCCCTTTTCAAGAATCAAGATCGCCCTCATGGCCACTATACACATTTCTGTTATTGCTGGCTGACATCAAGGAACACCATGATGTTTACAGCGCTGCCCACACAGCGCTGCCCACACAGCGCTGCCCCCTTTTTCAGTTAAGTAATTTTTAAGACTTGAATATATCGATTTAGACCCACATTTTTATAGAGCACGACAAATTGGGCCATTATAGCAATATTTGTCTGTCATTTGTAGGCGCTGTAGCATGTGTTTGTAATCTAGCAGCCTACTACAATCCACTTGAAATTTGCCATTTACTGCAGTCTTTTCCTAAAGTGCATTGAATTGATCAGTGTCAAATGTTTTTCTGTCAGCTATTCTGGGGTTTATCGTCCAAACCTGTTGGCAATGCACTGCGACCATTCCGTTATACCAATATAGATTCTATATAATGCTGCCACAATGACTGAGCTCAAATGGGTCAGTGAGGTGTGTCAACGGGTGTCTAAAATGCTTGACAGATACATTTTTCTAATACATTATCTGGAGGTGTGGCAAAATGTCAAGGTGATATAAACTTCTGTGTGGCTGAATGATTGGAGTATTGTGCCCACTGCATGGCGATGGGGAATTCCAGCAATCTGAAGGTATCGGAACATGCCTCATGCCCGTCTTACTTGAAAGTGCCCCGATTGAGACGTTGAAAAGTATATATTTATAACCATATAATCCTTAATAACAGCAAGCAAAAAAAGCAAAAAATATAAGGAACCCCCGAATGCTTACATAGACGTATATTACCTTCTCTGTCTTAAAGTCAAATCATATGATTTTGAATAGTGGGAGCAAGCGTTTTAGACGAAACTCCCTACATATGCACCGTCCGTTATAAGTTTTTAACACTGTCTCTGCCCTGCGCTTAACACACTGCCGCAGCAAACTTTGAGGTACGCACAGTCAAAATAAAAAGAGAGGGTGAGTCTGTGTGTGTATGTGTGCTTTGGCAACCGCTCCATGTGCCGTTATGCGCCCGTCTGGTGATATACGCTGCTGTATAAGAATAAGAATAAGAATAAGAATAAGAATAAGAATATTTATTTGAACAAGAATAGCAGTGAAACAAATAAGTAGATTAGCTTGCAAGTGCAAATGCAAGTGCAAATGCTTTTCATTCACAGACTTTTATTGTCTGGGTCTGAGCAATCAAAGCAATCCGAGTTTATTTTTCCGTTTTCACAACTACACTGCTTGAATGATGAGATTTAAGTGTGGATCTTTTGTTTACGATAGTTTGTAGCTCTCTTTTAAATCAACTCTATCTATACAAGGCTTTATTGGAATGATAATAATTTTAATAATAATTTAATTATCTGAGATTAATTAAATTAATCAGCTGATCCGTCGAATAATAATGTATGCTTGTATAAGCCTGCATTTTGTAAAGCTCCATGAAAGCGTTCTCTTATTTTATCCATGCTATTGCGTTTTTTATATTAACTATTTATTATTCACTACTTACTATAATATATTATGACTTTTTCAACTAGCGCTGTCTGTGTATATGTGGTACCCATACATCATTTTTAATGTACATTTTTAGTATTTGTGATGAAGACTATGCTTCAGTCGTGTGTATCGACTGAAACAGTGTTTTCTACATTATTTTTTAAAAAAACTTTTCATTTTACACCACTATGAATGAAAAGACTTTTATTGTATCAATATACTTTGTATTAAAACTATTTTTCAGATTCACTAGGGAAGCCTCCTATTGAGTCCTCCCTAATTGCCCTTTTATAGGCAATTTAAAACTTTCTTGAATACTACAGTATAAATTCCCATTCAGCATTAATGCAGTAGTTTGTGGCCTCTTGGCTTAAATGAGCTTGTGTGATAATCTGTTTTGGTATTACAATGGTGGTGACTATCGTGTGTGAGGTATTTGTCAACTGTTCATGGGCCAGAGGCAGCGGTGGTACTGTTGCTGCTGTTACTGCTAATGCTGTGTCTGGCGTTGGTACCATTGATGTGATACAAAAAAATCTGGCTTGTCCCGGGTGATTGATTCATTAATCAATCACTAGTTAATTCCCTACTTGGATATGCGGGAGTTCATACGCACATAAATACTAATGACTATGAACAATGGAGGCTGTTCATCCCTTAGCTTTCTTTTAGTTCATCTTAATAAAAAATTGTATTGTAACAATTGACATTGTCCCTTTCTGGTGCCTTTGCTGGTCCTGCTGCCAATGTCTCTGCAGGAATAATTGCCTCCTTGGTGTGCACTGTCATGATATGCTTTATATGCACCTTGCTCATCTGGTCGATGGCAAAGCCTGTTTGGTATGCAAGGCTTGGTAATATCTCCACAAAGAGGCAGTATTTTTTTGCCCATTGGTTCTCATCCACATTGCAGTGACCAGAGCTCAGGCTGTAGGTGGGCTGCATTGGCAGCCTTGTCTGGTTTTTTGTTATGCTCTATGCCCATGTGTCTTTATACTCATTTTATCTTGAGCGGCTTCTCGAAGGTCTAAAGCTAAGTCAGCACTAGTTGGCCGAGATACTATTGGTCAGAGCTGGAGACCAGTTTTCCAATGTCCCATTTGTCTGTGAGCAACTGAGCAATCCTGATGGCAGCTTGGGAGTTGCAGTAGACCCTGACTTTCCTTGCCAATGGCATTAGGCCAGTCACAATTACTAGCGCAATAAGCTTGCCCATTATAGATAACATGTTTCCATCCTGCAGCTCTCTTGCCATGATAAACTCCTGTAACTGTCCCTTACTGTTAATGCATGTCACTACGGTGGTAAAGGTTGTGCTTGGTTCATCCTCCTTTTTAATCAGTGAGCCGTCCATGTAGACGCTAATGTCGCCATATTGGTCCACTGCAGAGGCTAGCTCCTCTGTCCAGAGGTGTGTGCACAGGTTTTCCAGGCAGAATGGTCACATTTGAGCTGTCAACATATTTCCCATCACCCACCAGCTGGTGCCATGCACTTGTGGTAAAGGACCACTGTGTATTTCCTTGCCATTGGAATTCATGGGGTTGTCGAGATGGCAGCTATGTTCACTCGGAGAGTGTTGCTGACCGTCTTCCATTTTACAAGGTGATGGGAGTGTATGGTAGTTGTCCCTGGCACACTTAGGAATAGTTACAAGATGTCCGTTGCTGGCTCCTCAGTCAGGTGTGGTATTCAAATAGACAGACCATGGTGTGACAGCTACTTAGACAAGCAAAAATCACTGATGTGCTTGTCTGTGATATAAGAAAATGTGGTTTGTCCCCAGCGATTGATTAATGAATCAATCACCAATTAATTCCCAACTCAGACATGTGGGAATATTGCATACAAGCAATATAAATAGTAGAGTAATGCAAATGATTGATGTCGTTACTCTTTAGATTTCCTCTAGTTCATTTTAATAAATACTTTTTATCATAATATTGTCAGAGATAATATTGGCCCCATAGGAGTCAAAATAATGTTTCCAAACCTTTAGGGTAAAACCTGGGGGAACAGTGAAAGGCCGACAAATTTTGCCTTCTATGTGGGTGAAGTATTCGATGAGGCTTGTGTAATTTGATGGATCCACACGTGGCGTTTGGTAACCCCTGTTTATAAGTGAGGGGTCAAGGCAGATAGGGAGAATATGCTTCAAAACTCATTCAATAAATGCTAAGTGATGTATTTCTGTATTTAAAGGACTGCATAACTCACGGCAAAGTCCTCGAGTTGCTCAACTTGCATAATTAAAAATTATAAAAATAAATATCAAAAATTAGTGTAAACTTAATAGTCAGTCCAGAAATAAAAATAAAGGTAAGGGGCACCTTGCAAAATTTGCATACTCGTGTTTTTAGATTCACGACTTGGCAAACAGGCATAGTAGTTAATCCAACGAGATCTGTGAATGACTGGGTGGTTACTATGCTCCAAATACAATATAACAGTAGACACGCTACTATTTAATATTTATATTTGGTTCTGACACTAGCCCAGGTTCTGGATTCACTCACCGCTTTTGTAACTTTAGTGACGGCCGATCTATCGAGGCAATCTGTGTTTACAAAAGTGCCAAGCCACCAATAAGGCGATAATAAATGACTGGTTAACAAGCTGATATTCGCAGATTCACAAATCCAGCCAATTAAATAATTTATTTTCTGACCCTCAAATATTGTGAATAAAACAAAAAGGGATCCACAGTTCATATTTTGCTTACTTTTCTTCTTCTCTCAAGTACTCTTTCCATTCGACTTTTTGCACACTTATCCATCCATCGACCTTTCAAAGCTTTTCAAGTGGCTATAATCATCTCGCAATTAATTAGTTATTACAAGGCCACAAATTCACTTCCAGCGACCAATTTACAACCATTCATTTGAATTCAATTCGAAATTCCCCTTTTCACCACTTTTGAATATTTTTTTCACTCGACTACCTATACTTTTTTTCTATATTCTCATCTCTAGTTTTATTTTTATTACAAAATGAGCTCTTCTATTCACTCTCATGTTAACGGGCACCAACCCGCTACACGCCTGCCTTCTATCTACCCAATGATGCGCTCTTCCAAGAATGTTCATGACCCCGTTTATCCCACTTACTCTCCTTACTTGACCACAGAGTCACAGATCCAGTCGCTGAAGAGTATGCTGGCGCAGGGGGATGCCGAAAACAAGGAAATACACGCCAGAATTGACAAAGCCGAAGCCCACATCGAGAAGATGCTTGCCGAGGACAACGGAAAAGATGCTGAGATCAGTGCTCTTGAAAATGAGAACAGGTCGCTCCACAGCAAACTAGAAGAAGACAGAGTTTTTTTATCACAACTACAACTTTTTGGCATTTGACAAGATGACCAAATACGCAGAGGCTACGTGCAGAGAGAACGAGTGGCTGCAGAGCGAAAATGACAGGTTGCGGAGTGAGAGGAACAGGCTGTGGACCGAAAACAAAGAGCTCCAGAGAAACGACGCAATCCCCCAGAAGACACACAAGGCTCTCTACAGCTTGGTCCTGTCCAAGCACGCAGAGATCGAGCAGCTGCACGCCGATGCCAAGAGGAAACGCCCTTACACCGACGCTTTACATGACGCAACCGAGCACGTACAGTCATCCAAGAAGAGAACATCTGACAAAATAGCTGACATTACAGCCCAACTTGCGGACGCTCAGGAGGATCTGGCAGCGCTGGCAGATGACAAACGGCGCCTTAAAGAGGAAACCTTCAGTTTAACCAAGCAGCTGACCCAAGCCAACAACTCGCTTGCATGCAAAGATGCCCACATTGCTAGCCTCAAGGCTCAGGCTTGCACCGAGACTGGGTCTAATGGCGGCGCGCGCACTCGACATGCTACTTCTGGTGCCCAAGTCAACGGATGTCCAACAGCACCAGACAGCAGAGGCAACTGCAACCACCAGAACGAGATCGTGCGTTTAAACAGCAAACTGACCAAGGCAGACTGCGCGCAGGAACATAGCGCTTGCCAGTTGGAGAAAATGAAAAGGTGTCTTGAGATTAAGGAGCGGGAGATTATGGCACTGATTGGAAATTTGGCCGACCAACCATTTGAAAGTAGACCAATGGATGGGTGTCTTGGTCCAAAGCAGTCTGTGAAAGGAACATATTTGGAATTTCTTATCGATACGCCGAACACGTCCATGGAGTCGCCAGCTGACAACCCTGTGCGTGCCTCTGAATTAAAGCAGCGCTTGCGATATGTGGCCGTGGCCGACGCGCTGGTGCAAAATAGGCCCAGCAATGACCACACCACCCCTCGCACGCGTGCTGAGGATTATCCTGCTGATGGGAGCTCCAATGTCAGCACCAGCCGCCCGAACTGCAAATCCAACAGCAAAAGCGTGCGCTTTGCCCTGGATTAACTTTAATATATTAGGATGACACTAACTTTTACTTTTCGTATAAAACTACTGAATTTTATCCTTTATAAAAATAATACCTTCCTTGCTCAATTGCACACCGACACTTTTCAAACTATTTCCTGAAACAAACCCCGAAGTCATTGCGTGTCAGGAAAGCGAGCTCAGATTGCCATGCATCCTTCACCACTCGGATGTCCTTTAAATCGCGACCTCTGGGCTTTTTATTGATGTGTGGGAAAAACCAAAAGTCACAAACCACTAAACCTGGCGAGTATAGCGGTGCTTCAAGAAGCTTCATCCCAACCTGCAAAATGTGGTCCAACATACGTTTTGATTTGTGAGGTGGTGCGTTGTCCTGGTGAAACACGATTTTGCTGGGGTTGGAATTCTTGTGCATTTTTCCACTTGGCAATCATGGGATCGATGCCATGCTTGACAAAGTATTCAGTATTGACAATGCGCAGTTTAATGTTAAGGTTGGCGTGGACAATAGTAGTTTTGCAGAAGATAAGAGCAATACATTTGTCTTGACCAAAGTGTGAACAAATCTGAGTGGCATATGATCTCCGATGACATGTGTCTTGGTTGCCGAGCCATAGAATGACATGTTCAGGTAGACATATGGTTTGTCGCATGTAACAATGTTATATATATTTGTTCTGGACGAGCCAGTGAAGTCCTTGATGAACTGTTGGCAAAACCCAATGCGCTTTGCCTTAAGCCCGTCAGTGAGGGAATGAAGGACCAATTGCCGATGAACTATTCTATAGCCCAGATCACAATGCAAGCCATTTTGCATTAATGTCACCAAGCATCTGTATTGTTCAGTTAAATTACCAGCTCTTGTATGTGAAAACTGGTTGATCGTCTTGCAAATAGCGGCGCCATGAAGTTGTGCAATTTCGAGTTTCGGACGGCCGCTTCAAGGCTCAGCTTCAACATCCACGCGTCTGCGACTAAACCTGCTAACCCATCTTCTAGCTGTTGAGATAGAAGGTGCGCCTGTGCCGCAATGCCGGTGTAAAATTTGGTGAATATCCAGTGGCCTTTTCCCTTCTAAATAATGATATCTAACCAAAAAACGATATTCAATATTTGCATTATTTTTAGGCGCTCATTTTATGAATTATGTGATAAAAGACAAAATTTCAAAGTTGCACAGAAGAAAGAGGAGACAAGCTGGGAATGCATGCTGGAGTAAAAAATAATAACACATTCTAACCTCACATTAATAAATATAAAAATTTCTGGATACAAACAATACTCCACACGGGGTGAAAAAACACCACGTACTTTTAATTACCCCGATATTTTAAATCATCTGTGATGCGGCGAGTTGCTAGAGGCGACAAAAAGCCCAAGATGCGGGGTGAGTGTTTGTACAACGGCACCTGCCGCTGCAAGATGGGCGCGAGCAGTCGGAACTCGGGTGGCGGCGGCGCAGTGGGTAGAGTGATAAACCCATTGAGCGGACAAGCGCATTGTTCTCAGTTGCGTATGCTTTCTTGGGGATGACAACATCATTGTATATGGGAGGCATAATGGCCTTAGCAAGCTTGAACCAGGCCAGAAAGAGCTTTTTTGCGCAATCTAGTTGTAAGTCTGACATTTTGCGCACACCAATGCGTAGCATCGTCTGAATGTTTGTCTGCAACACACACGAGCTTCTAAATAAATAAACTCTGTAGTTTGGCAGCGTGTCTAAAGGTCAGAGCATATTGGTTCAAATAAAAATGTTTCTTGCAAATACAAAAAATTCAAAAGAACATAATACTGTTTTAGTTCTATCTTGTTTTTCTCAATATTATTGCTTACAATTTTGTTTCACTCATGTTTTATTCACAAGACCTACTGTGTCGCCGCCGTGGCAGATTTGGTGTTATTTGGCTGCTTGCAAATGCCAACTCTCACAGCTGTTGGCATCATGTGAGCGGCAAGGATGTCGCAAACATTGACATTCCACGTACTTGTATTGACATATTGTTGCCCTCGGCACCTATGTCACTCCGGCTTACGTCTAATTTATTGGTCGGGTTGGCGCAAGCGTTGAGCCGCAAGGCCAACATGCTATATTTCGACAGTCATTCAACTCGGACGAAAATCCTAACTACGCCCTGGGTTACCAATGAATGTGGGTTCAACCCGTTTATCTCTGCCAGCAAAACTGTTGCCAGCGCACATTTGATTACTCTGTCTAGCTGCTTTGTACCTGAATATGCTGATTCTTTTGCTTGTACAAACAACAACGCAAGCAGAAAAATGCTGGCGGAATTTGGTTGGGCCGGGCTCAGCGGCTGTGACAATACTTTTGTGACAGGTTTGGAAGCCAGCAACCCAGCAAGCTTATCGTTAGTTGTGAATGCCTCTGCTGTACCATTGCAGCCCAGTGTCTCTTGGAAGTCAATCTCGATTCCAGATGCATTGGCGGGTAGTGAAGATCAGGCCTACGGAGCACCCGGTCGCAGCAGTGACATTCCTGAGCTACTTACCAGGCGTTCGGCATCATCCTTGTTTGAAACCGTATCACTACATATCCCAATGTCACATGGCAGCAGCGTTGGCAACGACGCAATGCCATTGGAGCACGAGGATAATGGCGGACAGAGTGCGGACATTCAATTTGACAATGACGGCAATCTCCATTTTGTCAGCTCTTCGCCAGATATACCACACGATATTCCTTTGCAAGCGCTCGTGCATGACAATGCAAATAAGCCAGACACCCCCAATGGCGTTAATTGTTCCAAAGACTGGTTGCAAATGGAACTCGGTAATTCTGTGTCGGCAGCACCGGGAATTCAAGATAGTGCGTCCCGCATTTTTATGGAAGAGGATAACCGATCTGGCTCCTACAATCCTGGTTTGGCATTTGAGATTGCGCTGGAAGCTGCGGAGAACGACATTATTGGACGGCAGACAAATAATACAACAGAAGCAAACGTTGGGCATGTTTTAAAGCGCCAAAGACTTGGACATCGGCAGCTGATTGACATTGGCGACGGATCCCAGAATGGTACGTACGAAAAACGAGTCACCGCGCTGTGGGAAGACACTTGTCTCTGGCACAAGGCTGCAGAACCAAAGGTAATTGCTGCTTTCAACAAGCACGTTCAACAGCAGGCAGTTCGGCGCGCTCGAATTGCTGCTCAGATGTTTGCGACGCCCTGTATACGCGCCACAGAATTCCTGTTTTTGCCTGGCAAACCGGCAAACGCTGATGCTACAACACTTGCAGAGGGGGGCCATGACCATGACTATCCCTGTGGTTTTAATGCAAGCAGTCCTGGTATAATAGACGGGTATACCAGTGATGATTTTTTAGCAGCTGACGACAATCATATGAGCGCTGTCCTTGACGTTGATCTTGATCTTGAGCAACGACGCGGCGCATCGACACCAGCTGTAAGCGAGGAGGCGGACTACTTTAATTTCCACATGGACATTCCCTGGCTCAATCCAAAAGTATTTGATCCGCTCCAGCGCAGACAGTCTGCAGTCAGCGGGCAACTTTCAGTCAGAGCAGAGTCGAGTCCAGATCCCGGCGCTGCAAGCCGCCAGCACATTGCTTCAGTCCATGGAACGCCTGCATCCCGAGTTCCGTCCCTCGACCCACCTTCATCAGATGATGGCCTGGAGATCCGGTCATTTGAGCTTGCAGCACAAACGCCAGATCAACAAATCGATGACAACAATGTCTTTGGACAAGGCACCAGTACCCCCAGCATGCGTGGTTTGGACTCTTTTCTTAACATCAGTCAACTTTCCGACAATTGCAGTGGCCATGCAGATGTGCCAGATATGGATCAGGAGTCGCTGAGCTTCAAGCGGTTTGTCCTCGACAGAATGAAAGAGCATAGTAGCAACAGCGTGGTTTTTGACGACTTGCTTCTTCCCTCGTATAGGACTCGCCGTGTGGCAGCGCGCGCCTTTGTAGATCTGCTGCAGATGGCATCAAAGTCTGTGTTCCATGCAAGCCAAAAGCAAGCGTTTGCAACTATCAACATCTCGATGCTTTAGTGAAAATTGTTGATAAAATAAATTGGTGGTTTAAGGCATTAATTAATTTTATTTATTTGTACACGGAGGGATGATATTAAAGATAAAGATTTGAATTAGCATGTTAGGTCAAACCCTTCTCTGAGCAATGTCGGATGCGATATTTCTCCTAGCAGTGCTGACTGATCCGCCGATGTCGCGTGTGATATGGCCGATCTCATAGTATCCATGTTGTTGGCGACACCCATGATGGGTTTTGAACTGGCTAAGTCTTCGTCACTGCAATTGAACATAGAATCTGCATTGACTACGCGCAGAGTTAGCGGACGCTGCAACGTATTGTACAGGGCGCAGTCAGTAGCATAGTTTTCCACTTCGCTGTTCCGAGGCTTATGCAAAGGCGATGACGCGGCAGCGCTTGTGCTTGTGTTTGTGCTTGTAGAAAGGGTGGTCGACTTGGTGGGAATGTTGGTAGCCGATTTAGTCACGCCGGCAGGGGGTGTGGCGCTAGTTGTGGCTGTCACAAACTCCAGATTTCGTGCCCATGCTGGGGCAGCGGTCTTAGCCAACGAGTCATTGTCCTTTGTCGGGGCGCTGCCATCGCCGTTAATCGCGTCAAGTTCTGCAACAGAAAGTGCCAAAGCAAGCGTGCCCTGAGTTGTAGATCTGGTGCCAAACTGTGTAAAAGTATCGAACAAGCGACTTTTTTTATCGCCAGTAACAAAGGTGTCGGGATTATCTTCCGAGCCGCAAACTCCTGAGGGTGATCCCGTTGGAGTTGGGTTCAGAGTCCCGGATCGATGGACGTCAAACATGTCGATAAGCTGCGGGTTGGCTACTCCCGGCGCAGTCTTCTCCCACAGGGCTACTGTCTCCCGGTGCAGCGAACGCACAGAGTGACAGGACTTTGGAATGGTATCAATGGCCTCCAGACCAGAGAAAAAGGCACGGAACAGCAAGGGCGACTCTCTTATGCTGCTTTTGGCAGTGTTCATCAGCCCTGAAAATCCATGGCCGATTGTTGAAGCCGGAGATCCTTCGCCATCTTGATTTGGCTTTTCACCGCTATCTGACCCAGTGGTGGGGTTGGTAGCGGGGTCTGGGCGCGACACGAGCTCAAGATCAACCTCGCCTCTATTCAAAATCTGGAATTGCCGTAGCCGCTGGCGCAGTCCCTTTCCAAACGTCCGCGACACGACAAAGGAGATAGCCACAAGGGCTATATCGAGTATGAGCAAGAGTGTCAAGATAAAAGTCATATACTTGCGACCACCTGCATACACGTCCTCGCCATCACTCACAGCCCGGTGGCGGTTGACAGTGACCAGTTTGCAGATAAAAAAAGCCGGGGAAATGACAAACACAGCGATGCAGCCGTACATCAGCCAGCAAAATTCTTGAACGGCGGAAAATAGTGCCATGCAGAGCACGCCGGTGCAGACAAACAGAATAAGAATATTTTGTGCCCAGCCGCCGCCCTCACTGCCGTGCGACTGAACGGTGATGGTGGCCAGCTGCATCCAGAGCTCCAGAAAGAGAAACGCTGCAAGGGTTACCAGTGACAGCAATATCTGATGAAAAAAGAATATACGCTGCATCTTTAAATCGGCACCCAAAGCCCGGTACACCTGCCAGCCAAACTCCTTTTTCAGATAGCTCCATACCAGCCAGACTTTGCCCGCGAATCCCAGCGCCAAAATAGATATACTGACCGCCTGCATGGCAATAGTGCCAAGAAGCGCCCCTGTCTGCGTTATCTGGGCGACTTGGAATAGCACCAGCAGCATGTCGAATGCGGTAGCAGCAGTTACCAGAGGCTCGCTTCTGACATGCAGTGCAGAATACGTCAGGATAAATGCAAATATCTGGGCGGCAATGAAGCCGCTGTCGTATACTATATACAGCTGCGTCTGATTTGATGTGTCCGTCTGCCGATTTAGGCGCGAGATAAAGTACGCCTCGAATGCAATATTGGCAACGGTTTGGATGGCAGATATTGATATGAATATGCGTGACTCCCGCGTCCATCTGCCGCCGCGCAACAGGGGTGATGTTAACATAGTGCCAGTGATGTGTGAGAGAATAAAGAATATTTAGTAAAGAGTTGATTGCATAAATAATGCGGATGTGTAGAGCTAAAGAGCACAAGGAGGATTGGAGAATATGGAGGAGAGAAGTAGCAGTAGCAGTCGCAGTAGTAGAGACTCTACATGGGCAAAGATATGATGACGAGTGCGATTTTATTTATTTGGGGGGAAGCGAGGGACAAAATAAGAAGGGAGAGACACAAGCTGTCATGCAGTACACCCCAGAAATAAAATTCAAGCTCGCTTGTCCCTTTTTTCGAGGGACAAACAGTGAGGGAAGAAACAAGTAAAAAAAAGGGACCGCCAGCTCGTGCGAGAAAAGTACAATATTTTACTTTTTTTGCACGCAGCACTATTGCTCAATTAGCCGTGATTGGCCAACCCGCGCATTGAGAAAACATGCGCATCATTGTTGTCGCCGGGCATTTGTCATATAAAATGGTTTAATATTGTCCATTGAATTTAAAAGTCATCGTCATCACCCGCTCGCTTTGCTCGCTGATTACTCAGACAGCTAATCGAGAATGCATTTAAACCTGTTGAGAAAAAGTGTGTTGACAGTATCTATTTTATCATCATCATAACTGAGGCGCTAACATCACTGGAATATGAAAAAAGAATTGGCTACTGAGATACATCCTCAATTATGCGCATATTCATCAAAATTGCCTTTATCACTGATCGCGTGAACCAAGCAGGAACGCTCAATCCCTCGCTGAAGCAGTTGAAGATGATGCGCATGTTTTGGCTTGCCACAATATCTTTGCTCCAAAAGCGCCGTCCGATTTCAGGCACTGCCTATTCAATTGAGGGGGCTGCAACATTTAAAGGAGGAGCTACGCCAGTTGCAACGTCTGTCGTGCCATCAAAAATGGGGGTAGCAACGCTTGCAACTGGAATTTGTATATTAAAAAGAGGGGCAGCGTTACTAGGCGTTGTTGATTAGCGTGTGTGGCTGGGTAGCGAAGAGGGGACAAAAGAAGAAAGGAAGAAATGGTGGTTCTGCCCGACTATTAAATGCGGTAGGAGGAAAAGGGGTCAGTGTATAGAAATAGAAGAGAGGGAGGGGGGCAGGGGAGAGGCACAAAGGCTCATGGGTCGGCGGCATTGACGACGTCGACTGAGTGGCTCCTCGACCCGACGAATCTCGACGGGGTGCCTGGGGACTCCAGGCGGTTGAAAATTTCCGAGCGAGCAGCCGTTGGGCGCAGATACATCCTGTGCGCATTACTTTGCGCCTGGCGTGACTTTGCACGTGCAATGCCACAAAAGTTGCCGCGCAGGCACCACGCAATGGTGTTTATCTCCTGCTCCCGCAGGCCCGCAGAGAGCAGGTATCCACGCACCGAACCGTACTTTGCGCGAATATGTCTGAGGAGGTTGTGCATGGCTGAGGCGGGCGAGTCACAGAAGGACTCAGGCAAGCCGACAGCACCCATGTCGAGCAAAATCATGCGGTCGCGCACAGTCTCGAGGTTCTTCTGGGACAGCGCGTAGTCTGCGGCGATTATGTCGTCGTCAACACCGAGGATCCCCAGCAGCAGCATGGCAACAATGCCGGTGCGGTCCTTTCCATGCTGGCAGTGAAACAGAATGGGGTAGGCAGCGGGGTCGGCAAATATGCGCAGCACTGTAGCAAACTCATCCTTGCAATAGTCGACGTAATCCTCGTATGAGCCGGCCAGGCCGCGCGGCGCCAGCACTTCGCGCCCAATTGTGCGGATGGCCTCGGCCTTGTTGAACGTGGCAAAGCGCAAAATGACCTTGATGCGCGTCGACCATGGGGTATTGGCCCAAACACACTTTTTGCGGTAGTTCTCGCCGATGACGTTGCAGCGGTACCGCCGGCGGTTACCGTCAAACTTGTTCGTGACGACTAAGCCTCTGGTCGAGGTAGAAGAGGCAGGGGTCAGCGGCGACACTGCGCTCTCTTCATGCTGCGCGTGTGGCAATGGTGCTCTGTTGTCGATGGTATTATCAATGGCAGTGTGCTGCGGCATCGGATTGCCCAAGTGAGCGGCAGGGACAGCCGGCACAGCGGCCTCCACGGGGCGCAGGCCGAATTGCGAAGCAGCGTCGCGCTGGGCGTCGGCCGCCGAGTTTCGATAAAAGGAGTCGTCCGACGACTTTGAGCTGCTAGAATCGCTGCGCTGTCCAATTGGCGCCTCTGGTCGTTTGGACTGTTGCTTGGGCTGCTCGTCGAACTGTTGCTCAGGCTTCTCGTCGGACTGTTTCTGGGGCTGCTCATCAGACTGTTGCTTGGACTGCTGCCCGGCACTATTTACGACCACGCCGTTGTTCAGCCACTCCTGGTCCCAGTACGATCGCAGCGATTCCATCGTTTCGCTCCCCCAGTCCATCGCCGTCTGCGCGATGCGGGGCTGCGGGGTAGCGGGATTGATGCTTGTTGAAGCAGTAGTGGCACTGTCGGATTCGGGCTGGCCACCGGATGTGTATCCAAAATCGTCAGCCACCGTGTTGCTGGCAGCAGCAGCAGCAGCAACGTTATTATCTGGTTGATCCATATGCTCCATTACGCTACTTCTGCAGCGCCCATCCCCGTACTCGGGAAACTCCTGTGGCACGTAGGGCGTTTTGGAGGAGATGTTCTGTGTGTCCGCGGGCCCGGTGTCCTTGTCGTACAGGTGTGCCAGGGCGCGCGCCAGGGCATCCTTATTGGGATCTCCGATAGACCGCGTGTACCGCAATGAGTTCCTGCGCGACCAGCTGTGCTGCGACTCGCCAATCTTTTCCCAGGGTCTGGCGGCCGACTCGTAGTCGTGAGCAGCAACCTCGACAATGGTGTTACGCACTTGCACTGCGCGCAACTTCATCAGCTTCTCCAGGCTTTGGTCAGCGGTGGGCTGGATGGACGCCGGGTAGTGATGCATGATGATGTCGCTGGCGCGGGCCTCGAGTTCGGAGCGCAGATCAATGATCGTGCGGATTCCATAGCTAGAAAAGAGCGTCTTGATATCGTGCTCACAAGCAGATCCCAGCTCAGCCGAGCGAAAGACAACGCCGGGCAGGGGACCCTCGGACTCGGCCTTAGTGCGGTCCTTGTGCAGCTTGAGGCCCAGTTTGATGACACTGGCGCCTAGGTCGCGAAAGTTCATGATGCTGCCGCTGAGCGTCTTGGAAGAGGAGCTATCGCGCGCACCGCTGATTGCCACTTTGCGCACATTTTCGGGCGGCGTGGTCTGGGCTCTAGAGGCCATATGGCGCTCGATCGCACGCAGACTGGGGCTGCTTTCGTCGCTGCCTCTGGGCTCTTCAAAGTGCGCATGTATTTTGGAATCAGTAGGTACCGAGCGCGGTTGCAGCGATGGCGGCGGTAATGGCTTGGATGTGGTTGCAGCCGCAATAGCAGACGGACGGTGCGATATTGGCACTATTTGGGGTGGTAAGTTGCACGAGTCATCGTGGAAACTAGGGTGGTGCGCGCGCTGTGGGGCGGCCTTGGACCCGGGGCCCTGGCGAAAGGAGTGCCTCGTCATCAGCGGTTCGTCGTCTTGCAGCCCAAATGTTCCCTCCATGGGGTTCTGCGGGTGGAAGACATCAACATCGGGCTGGGCAACTGGCGGAGGCATAGCAACGTCTGGCTTTGGTATCGGCGGCACAGATCTTGGCGGTGATAGCGAGGCCATAGGCATTGGCGGAGGAGGCAGCGGCGAGTTAGGAACCTTTAACTGCGCCCGGCACACCTTGAGCGAGCCGTTCTCCTGGACGGGGAGACCTGATGACCGGTTTTCTTGAGAGCTGTCGTCAATATCGCAGTTGTTCAGTTCGGCCTCTGACCACGATGCGGTGAGCGAGGGCCGGCGCGAGGAGCGGTAGTCGCGCTGGCGGTCGTGCGCGAGCTGTGTGTTCTTATCCGGGGATGTTGGAAGGTGTTTGTCCATTTGCTTTGGAGAGAGTAAAAAATAATAATACAAGGTATGTAAATAATGAGACGAAATATATTTACACAAATACAGAACTAACCCAAACAACTGAATTGAATTTAGTTTATTTCAAGGCTGTTTGAATTTGAGCGTAGCACAAACTGCGTGTATAATATACACACATAGCACAGTCTTGTGTAGCTGGCTGGCTTGCCCGCCAATATAGCGAAATATGCGCGATGATGCCATGGTGTGCGCAAAAGCACCAATAGGCTGGCAAAGCGGCACTCAATATTTCCGCCCAATTGCTCCACAAAGTGGCTTTGATTAAAGGAAATGCGGGGAAATCTAAAGTCACAGCGTATAATCAACCATGCGAATTGCGGGAAGGTTCAAATAATATTGAACGTCAATCAAATTAAATCAGCTTGCACAAGCCATGTCACGTCACACCAACGCCAGCATCGCGGCCTGGCGACCGGCCTCGCGGCCAAAGACAACGCACTCGAGCAGCAAGTTGCCGGCCAGGCGGTTGGCGCCATGCAGACCGCCGGTCACCTCGCCTGCCGCCAGCAGCCCGGGAATAGGCGCGCCGTCGGTGGCACGCAGCACGTGCGCATGCTCATCAAAGCGCAGGCCGCCCATGGTGTAGTGGATGCTGGGCGTGACGACAGCCCAGAAGTACGGCGCGGCGGCATCCGCGTTGAGCGCCGGCTGCGGAAACACGCGCTTGCCAAAATCATCGACGCTGTCAGCATTGCGGACCTCGTCGTGGGCGCGGAGCGAATGCTCGAGGGCAGCGCGCGGCATGCGCAGGGCAGCGGCCAACGCGCCCAGACCGGCGGCACTGTACACAAGCCCCATCTTCTCGTAGAAGCCCAGCGCGCCACGGCCAAAGGCATCGGCGGCAGCCTGAGACAGCAGCAAAAAGGCTGCTGGAAGCCCGGGGTCCTCGGCGCCGGCATGTGTGGCGCGGGTGTCCGGCGATCCGCACGCGTCGTTAATGGCGCTGGTCACAACGTCGCGCGTCGCCAGCTCGTCGACAAAGCGGCGGCCACGCGCGTCCAGCAGCAGCGCGCCAGCGCCGCGCAGGGCCTCGGCCGCAAGAAACTTTGTGTGCGCCGCGGGCTCGCTGGCGCGCACAAACCCCGTGGGATGCACCTGCACCCGCTCCATGCCAACAAGCGCCGCGCCAACCGCCGTGGCCAGCTGCAGCCCGTCGCCTGTGGCAAATGCGCCGTTGGTGGCCGGCAGCGCTTCCAGCTGCGGCGCGTAGCGCTTGAGCCACTCGCCGCCGCCCCCAAACCCGCCGGTGGCCAGCACCACGGCACGAGCATCAAGCTGCTGCGTAGCACCGTCCTGCTCGTACGTGACGCCGCTTATGCGCGCCCCGTCCAGCTCGAGCGTTGTCACGCGCGCGCCGGCCACCAGCCGGAACCGCGGCTCGTCGGCCAGGTGCTTTGCCAGTGTGCTGACAATGCCCCAGCCGACGGGCTGCGGCCGGCCGTCGGGCGTGTCGGGCCGCCGGTGTGTGCGCGCCACGCTGTGGCCGCCCAGTTGCGCAACCACGTCAAGGTCCAGCGCAAACTGGGTCTGCAGCCACTCGACGGCGCCCGCACTATCCTGCGCTAGCCGCTCTGCAAGCACACTTGAGCCCTCGCCGCGCGCCGACCGCAGCGTGTCAGCCTCGAGCGCTGCCACCGTGTCGTTGATGCCCAGCTTGCGCTGCGTTTGCGTGCCGGCGCCGTTGATGCCCGAAGACGCCTTGGCCGAGTTGCCTCCGGTGCGCGCCTCCTTTTCAAGGAGAGCCACTGTCACGCCCGAGCCCTGCGTCCGCTGCAGCGCCTCTACGGCAGCTGCAAGTCCGGCCAGCCCGCCTCCGACTATGACAATGCCCGCCTGCGCTGCTGTATGGCTGCTGCTTGCTGCCTTTGTAGCTTGCTTGAGAATCGAGTGCATTGGTTGTTTTGTAAAGTAAAAATTGCGAGCAAGAGACAAGAGCCCGATCGTCAGCGCTGCGAAAAGCAGGGCCTTGAATATCCGCACCGCACTCCACCTGCCAACCCCGGCCGCATTCTGTGCTCGCCCGCTCCGCCGCCTGCCATCGAAGGAGGAGGAGGATGAGGATGATGATGATGATGATGGCGCCGCTGCTCGATGCTGTGCCATGTGGTTTTGTATTAACTGAAATATATGGGGTTTTAATCGTACGACAATTTATTTTTATATTTTGTAGAAAGAAAGGGCGACGTCGCAATAAAGCAGCTTTGACCGTACCATTTAGCTTGCATTTGTGCGAGCCACCTTCCATGCGCATGACAGGCAAACATCATCAGGCCACCTTTTCCATTCAACACCAGGTCCTTGAATCGAGTCATCGAATCATCAGACCTTAAACCCTGAATTCTGAATTCTGAACTGGAAAAAGATCAACTGAATAAAAAACTCTAAAATTTCTGATATTCCCATACCCATTGGCCCGCCTTATCTCCGAGCCACTCAGCTTTGGTTGGCGCACCGCGCGGTGCGTTTCAAATTAAACGCCTCAACTTCGACTATATTCCACCCCGCACGCACACAACCCCTAAATTACTGCTTTTTTGCTACTACTCATGTCTGCGAATCCGCTGCACACATATCGCCACCTGCTGCGCGAGATCAACCGCCAGTTCACCCGCGTCAATGGCGATCGCACCTGGGCGGCCCAGCTGCGCCAGCAGTGGCAGAGCGCAAGCACAGACAGCAGCGGCCACCACCACTCCCAGGACGCCCTCACCTATCTGTTCAACAATCGCAAGTACAAGGATCTTCTGGCCGAGTTTAACCCAAAGTCAACCGAGGGTAACCTGATTGAGCGGACTGCCCGGCGCGTCGGCCTCCAAGCGCCAAAGTCATACGCTGAAAAACAAAGCTTGAAGAATTAAACACATTTTAATAAGCGGTTCAATATACATTTCTAATTACGGCACATGCAAAAGTTTGCTCCGATCCCCGCTTGCTCGCACGTGCGCCCGGCAGGCACTGCCGTGAATAATGAGCGGGCAAAGTCAGCCCCATCGTATGCCGGCCAGTTGGCCAGTGTTTTCAGCGCAAAGTGCGTCTCCATCGGCGTCGTCAATCGCTGCTCGTTCAGCGGCAGCCCGCTATTGCCCTGCTCGTCCACCTGCGCGCGTAGCCAGTGCGGCAATACCATGGAAAAGAACGGGTTCTTGTGCTCGATCTGCCCGCTGTTCAGAAACGCAAAGTTCAAGCCCATGTGCAGCCCATGGTCTGACACCAGGAACAGCGCTGTGTCCTCCAGCTCGCCACTTTCGCGCAGGTCCGTGAGGAACTGCGACAGCCGGTTGTCCAGCGTGCGCAGTACCTCGCCTGTGCCCTCGTGGCCCTCCATCAGATTGAGCATCATGAGATACGGCCGCCGCTCGCCCTCTGCCACAGACCGGAGCTCCTTCCGCAGCTGGTCCACGTATTCAAACCCGTACTCGTGCACGTGCTTCCCGTATAGGCACCGTGCGACGATCGAAAACGGTCCCTTAAAGTTGCCAAAGGCGTTGCCCGACGACGGATAGAACTCGGGCATGCAGAACGGCGAGGACAGCTCGTAGTCCAGACTGCGCTCGCCCACGGAGTACTTTTGGCTGGGGTAGTAATTGCCCGTGTACGTTTTTGCCCAGTCCTCGCACGATGTCTCGACACGCGCTGTTATATACCCGCGGTCGCGGAAGTACGCCCAGATTGGCAGGGGCTTCTCCTTCTGCGGAAATATTTCGCCCAGATACATCGCCTTTGTGCTGTTATCGGTACTCACGCCTAGTGAGTGATACCGGTACAGCTCGGTCAGCTCTGCCTTTCCCGGCTGGTGCAGTGTCGGAAGCACCTTTGCTGTCTTTTTCAGCCGCCGGTAGAACTGCCGATGGGACATGGCGTCGACAAAGAGTAATATAACATTTGGACGCTTCCCCGCCACACTCACAGTGGTCTCGTTTGTCGTGGGCTGCCGCGTATCGGTGTCTGCTGGCGGAACGTAGCTGGGAAGATGCGATGGATGCGGGCTGACCCTAGTCACGATCTTGCTCTCCGATCCACAGCGCACAATGACTGCCTGGGTGCCCTCCTCGACAAACAGCGGCTTGACATACGTTTTCCGCTCCATGTCGCCCAGTACGCGGTGGTTGAAGACCTGCCACTTGGACTTGTCCTTCAGCGGCCACGCCCGTGTATCGGGCAGTATATCCACGTAAATGGGCATATCTGCTGTGCAGCTGGCGCTCAGGATACCATTGTCATCGAAATGGGCCGTTATGTGATCCGCGTTGGCCTTGCAGTTCATGCTGCCGGCCCAGAAGTTCTGCGTACCGGCCGGCAGCAAATCTACAAGTGGGTAGTTTCTCCCCTGCCACCTGCATTCGCCCGGGATGTTCTCCAGCTGGCCAAACATGCCCTGGTCAAAGACGCGTATGTAGTGGTGCAGGACCACCGTACCGCCACATGCCATGACAATGAGAGAGACAAACAGGATCACGATAAAGTTTGGGATCGTCATGAACAGGATGTACACCGTCACAATGACAGCGTTGAGCGGGATGAATATCAGCAGGAATATCAGCAGGTTGTAGAATCCATGTTGCTCGAATCGCTCGCCATGGTCGTACAGATACAGTGCCGCGAAGATGACCAGTATGAGGACTGCCATGCTTCGCCGCATCGTTCGCCTCAGCTTGCGCATGTACAGTATGGTCACCATGGCCGTCAGCGAGAGAACGGACACTATGATTTCGGCTCCGAGAAGTCCGAGATTGTTGTTGATAAGCAGGAGGTCTCCGCCACGAAGGCTGAGTACGTAAGACGAGACCCAAATGCAGGTCAGCCCGAACAGAATAAAGGTTGTGCCGTTTTTCAGTCGAACCAAATATCTCAGAGCAAAGAATGGCGACTTCACACTGCCGAGCATGTCTTTATACGGCTCGACAAAAGGAAGCAGGTAGTCGACATCCTTAGCAGCGGTGGCGTCGCTGGAGTTGCTTTTAGATCGGAAAGTTTTAACATCGAGATCATCGTTATAGTTGTCCACAGCCATTATCCGTTATTTGTCCGCTAGACCCTGCAAGTACTCTAAAACAACGAAGCAATGAAGATCTCTATTATCGCACTCGTTTACAGTTTTTTTTTGCAAACTGTTAGTTTAGAATTGGCGGGCGATGAAGACGCACGCATGTAAATCCGATACTATTTTAGCCCATGCCCATGCTGCCAAATAATATTCCCCGCAACTCCACTAAAAGGTCGAGTTCCATGCAATAAAATTTGTTGTGGCATCCCGCGTAATATTTACACTGAATTTTATTCAAAAACAAGACAAAAAGATACTCAGGATCCTGCAAAAAAAAGCACTATCCACCCAGTCCCAGTCCCAGTCCCAGTTCCCGTCCTATTCTTAGTTCTCCTTCCAGTTGAAGTTGCACGACATGCTGCAGCAGCGGAAAAACACAGTCATCGGCTCATCGGCCGACCGCATCTGGATTTGCTTAAAGTACGCGCGCTCGTGGAGGCACTTTGGACACGAAATCTCGATAGAGTCTACGTTAGCCCACTCCTCCTCGCCGCCCAGCACGTCGTCGACCTCTTTGCGCTTAAGAATCGTGCGTGAGATAAATGGCTTTGAGATAGGGAACATGTACGGGCACGTCTGGCACACCAGGCAGGTCTCGCCGTTCTGTCCGACGCCGTTCTCGACCAGAAGCAAGTTTGAGCACGACGGACAAAAGTGCATTGTTACGAATTGAGCGTGCTAAAATGTGGAGTGTGCGAATGCAAGAGCCAAAATGGAAAGCACAGCAAATGGCAGCAGCAATGAACGACAGCGACGCCAAAGCTGAGCTGAGCTGAGCAGTGCTATGCTGCGCCCAGGAAGAAAAAATAAAGGGCGTTTTCGTGAGCCTTGTGCTTATTTACGCTCACGCTGCGATTGGCCCAAACCCTTTACACGTGATTTGGAATACCTGTTTGCTGGCCTGTCTATTTTCTTTGTTTTGTCTGCCTGCTCAGCCAAATCCGCGATTGCATCCAGCCAAGGGCTGAATCCGTTTCTTTCTCTGTAAAGTCACCATTATCGAATCCATCCAAAATGAGGTACGCATCGCTCACAAGCGGACGATACACCGCATCCGTGAGCCGGAACCACGGCATCCAGTGCGGAACAGCAGCCACGAATTGCGCCAAATTCGAATTTCTGTAATTGAAAATTCGGAATTCGGAATTGGCAAAGTTGGGCTTGTGCGAACAGAGGCAGCGCCAAGTTGCCAGCCTTGTTTGTGACGGAGGAAACCGAGCCAGAATATGGCTTTGAACCCAGTACTGCCGCTGCTGCTGGCAGGGCGCATCATAGCTTTTGTTCTGGCCCTGGCCCATGTCCTTGCTTGAATTAGCAGGCTTGAGGCTGCCTCCCTCTGCTCGCATTGCTTGCGTTGCAATGAGCGCCGCTACGCCCACAAACAAAGACACAGACGCACAGGCCACGCTGCGTCTGTTTATGCTATAAATCAAGCAGCATACACGCACTAACGCTCTGCCCGCATCTCTACCACGCACCCTCTCACCCTCTTAATTGTCCTGTTTATAGCGGAAGCAAGATTCAAGTAGCAGCAGTCCGTGAGGAGGTCAAGACCCTCCTCAGCGCCTCGACCGGCGAGCAGAAGCGCAAGTTCGTCGAGACCGTCGAGCTCCAGATCGGTCTCAAGAACTACGATCCCCAGCGTGACAAGCGTTTCTCGGGAACCATCAAGCTGCCCAACATCCCCCGCCCCAAGATGACCGTTGCCATTCTCGGTGACGCTCACGATTGCGACAAGGCCAAGAACATTGAGATGCCCTTCCGCTCCGCCGAGGACCTCAAGAAGCTCAACAAGAACAAGAAGCTGATCAAGAAGCTGGCTGCCTCGTACGACGCCTTCCTTGCCTCCGAGACCATGATCAAGCAGATCCCCCGTCTGCTCGGCCCCGGTCTCCACAAGGCTGGTAAGTTCCCCACCCCCGTCAGCCACGGCGATGACCTTAACTCCCGTGCCGACGAGATCCGCGCCACCATCAAGTTCCAGCTCAAGAAGGTTCTGTGCCTGGCCGTCGCTGTTGGTAACGTCAACATGACCGAGGACGAGCTCCTGGGTAACATCATGCTTGCCGTTAACTTCTTGGTCTCCCTGCTCCGCAAGCGCTGGCAGAACATCAAGTCGCTCTACATCAAGAGCACCATGGGCAAGCCCCACCGTCTGTACTAAGCCTTGGCGGCAGTACACGCGAGTGTTGGTGGATCAATGAGGAGCGTTGGTAATGGCGACTTCCGCTCATTCCGTTTATATAAAAACAACCCTGTGCTCCTGGCGATTAATTTTTTTAGGTTGCGCGCGCTTTAGCGTGCGTGTGTCTTTTCATTTTGTCTTCTCTTGTACAGTTACCAAAGCGCTTTCCGGGTCTTGTGTTTCTCCTCTTCTGGGCTTTTCTATGTCTGGATGCGGGAGGAGTGGGGAAAGTGAGGACTCGCTCTTTGCTTTTCTTTGCCCGGAACTGTGTCTCTTGGGAGCTTTTCAGCGCTCTTTATTTTGACATCAATACCACGAATCTTGACCATTTACAAATCATAAAAATGTATATTTGAATGTAAACATGAGCTGTAACGCCGATTGCGCAAGCATTAGTGAGATCCACGTCCGCGCTTTCTGCGGTTCGGTTTCTTGTCCTTTTTGTCGTTCTTGTCTTTGCTGGATCCGTCGTCGTAGTCAGCAATGCTCTGGACATCTGCGCTGCTAGACTTGTCGCTCTTCGCAGGCCTGTCGCTTCTGATGCGCTTCGCAGAATGGACATGTGGCGCTGCGCTGCGCTGGGGACGATCGGTTGCTGCGGATGAATCGCCCCCATCGCCATCATCGCCGCCATCGTTGTCTTTGGACTTGGAGTCATCATCTTCAGTCGTCCTCTGGCGCTTCAAATCAGAGCTGCGCTTCCGCTCTTTCTCCAGCTCCTCGCGACGGGTTTGGATCTTCTGTACCCGGTCAGCACTGTTGCCGCCGCCGCCGGCAGTCAACTCTACATTGATCTTCTTCTCTCCCATGCGCCCGTGATGGAATTTGAGTGCATTCTTGTAGTCGCTCGAGTTGCCAAACTCAGCAAACGCAAAACCCCGCGACTTGCCTGTGTTCTTGTCCGTCATCAGGCGCACTGAGATCGGGTTGGCAGCCCTCATAAAGCTCTTAATATCTTGTGCTGTGGTCTTAAATGGGATGTTGCCGATAAAGGCAATGAACCGCACAGCACTCCCAGCTCCGTTTGTCCGCTTCTCAAACTTTTGCTTTACTTCCTCAACTACCTCTTCCTTCTTGGCCTTTCTCTTTGGCTCGCGATCGTTGGCCTCCTCGGTCTTTTTGGGTTCAAGCGTGTGTCCAAACTTTGCTGCCCGCCTTTCCTTTCTGTTTTTCGTGGGCGCCCCGTCAGTTTCGTTGGTCTCGCCTGCACCATTGGTGGTTGTGTGTTCGCTTGGCTTTGACAGTCTGGCCAGCTTCTCTCTGTATTGCATGGCCTTGAGCTGCTTTTTGGTCATCTTTTTGGCATCGGTGTCCATGTTAGTGGCGGCCTTCACCACGGGAGCGTTGTTACCAACAGTGTCCGACATTTCGATTAACAGCAGAACGGTGAATTGTAGAAAATAAAAAGTACTATAAAAAGGAAAACGCGAAAAGACGAGTGGTTGTTTTCTAAAATAAGATGTGCTTGCACAGCACACCACAACCAAACGATATACGAAAAATTTAGTCAGTAATGAAAAATATCGTGATTATGATTATCAAGCGCATTGATCACCATATGTGATCACAGCAGTGAGGAAAAAGATTCCTGTTTTCCTTTGAATTGGACTTGGATATCAAAAAGCCTTTATAATTGTTAAATATACAGAGTTACAAAATATCTGCAGTATACCCAGATTTTAACATGCAATTAAATTTAAATATTTTGTGCTTGTATTTATATATGCTTATACTTTTGTAAAAACTAAAAATTATTTCTAGGCAACATAATATATTTTTTAAAAGAAACTTGACAATTTTTGTTAAATCTTGCAATAGTAACTTTGTTGACTATTGAAATTTTTACTGGAATTATGTAATATAATTGCATTGAGGTGTAAGCAGACTACCGTGTAAAAAACCTCTCACATTCCCGTCCATTGGGAGTCAGAGTTGCTAGAGAAAAAGATAAGAGAACAGTGGTAAGGCTCTCCAATTGTGATGGGATGCATATAAGTGGAAGTGGAAGTCTAGTTGGTTGTCCGGGTGTTGAGCATGGCATAATGACAGGATCCTGGCTAGCTCATCATTGCCTGGCTTGAATTTTAATCACTGGCGTTGTACTTGTAACCAAGCGGCTCTTGAAAAAGTTGGTCAACCCCGATTTTATAATGAATTGTAAAATTCCTGTACGATGTGGATTGTGCATGATTCCTACACCAGGCATTTACGACATTTGGGCCGATTTCAAATTGTGTAAATGGAAATACCCATTTATGAGCAATTCACAGGTCACATGATAAAGCTAAAAACAGTTGTATCATCAGCTGCTGATTGACCATGCTGAATCTGTATATTTATCCGCTTATTATTGAAGCACAAAAAGGCACTTCAATTTATAAACCCACGTTCTCTTGTCATATTTTTTCACTTTTCTTCTCAGCAAAAAAATATTTTAACCTTATTTATGACTTTCAATACGTACGACTACATTTTACCTCGAGCAAAGCTGCTACATTTAGCCCCCATCTATATTATAGCACTGACACAATATTTCTGATGAGCGCCAAATACACTCACAAAAAGAAAGACGCAGGCAGATTTCCGTCCGTCATGTCGGTATTGCACAGGCTGTCTGGCGTGTCAGCCAGACCCACGCCAACCATTGTTATCCATGGTGGCGCTGGTATAATTTCCAGATCTAAAATGACGCCAGCTGAAGAAAGGGCAATTCGTAGAGGGCTTTACCACGCGGCTCTGGAGGGATACACCGTGCTGCGACGCGGTGAAAGTGCGGTTGACGCAGTCGAGATTGCCGTACGCTCCTTAGAGAACAATCCGACGTTTAACGCGGGCAAGGGCTCCATTTTCAATATTGACGGCGTCAACCAGATGGAGGCCTCGGTGATAGACGGATCCAATGGCATGGCTGGTGCAGTCACACTTCTCACTGTAGTCAAAAACCCAGTCTCATTGGCCCGCCGAGTAATGGAAGGCAACCAGAACCTATCAATGTGTGGATCGGGAGCCGAGAAGTTTGCCAATAACGAAGGCCTGGATATTGTCGACCATTCATACTTTTGGACAGCGCATCGGTGGGAGCAGCACAAATAACGAAAATCACGTCTGGAAACGGACTGGGCTAGGAATACTTCCACCTCATTTTTGTTATCAACAGATGAAATGGTTAGCAACAAGTTCGACTACTCCCACTTGATAACGGGCACTGTCGGTGCTGTGGCAATTGATGTGTGCGGGCGCTTGGCCGCGGCAACTTTGACTGGCGGCACGACCAACAAGCTGGACAAGTGTCTTGACAACACTTCAGCTATTGGCGCAGGGACTTGGGCTGACAGCAAAGTGGCTGTCAGCTGCGCTGGAACGAGCAAGAACGCTACCCATCAAGGGACCTCTCGCTATATTGCTTCGCATGTGGATATTCTCGGCGAGAACGCGAGCAAGGCCAGCGCCATTGCGATTAACGAGATAAAAAACTGGGCGGGGATGGCGGGGTCATTTGCCTGGACTCCAAGGGCCGATTTTCGATGACCTTTTGTTCAGATAGAATGTACCGCAGCTATTTCTCGGCGCTGACAGACCACATTCCTGTTGTCGGCATATTTAACGACGAGGCTATTGCTCCAGAAGACAACTACATCCAATAAATTTTATAGTAATATAGCAATATAATTCACACAATTTTTGTTTAATTGGTGGCTGGCTCGTAAATGTATTATTGATAGCTTTGGAAAATATTTTAAAATTTTAAAATGAGCACAACGAGGGTCAAGTAGCGATTCCAGATCCCCCCGACTCAAAGCGCCGCTTCATTTTTATTTTTTTGTCATCAAGCATAGATGTCATGCTCGTTGTCGATGCAGTGCGTCCTCATCACCTCCTCGTCGTGGCTAGTAAAATGGCACACCATGCAAATGAACAGGTAGTTGCTGCTGGAGGCTCCGCAGACAAGCTTGTGCGTGTTACATTCGCGCTGGTGCATCATGGTAAATGTATGTAAAATAGTGGATGGAATTATGTGAGATAAACAGATGCAGCTTGACAAAAAGTTTGTTTTTTCTCTGATAGGCCTGACATGTCGAGCACAAGCAGTATTTATATCATTTTGGTGTGTGTTTTTTGGCGACTTGGTTGATGTTCAAAGTTGAGGCCCTGGCTCTTCACTGTTCAAATAAGTAATTGTTGACTGGGTGACAAGCATGCGATAGACATACTACAGTGAGACTCCGCATGGTCAAGAACAATAGCATTTTAAAAATATAAAACCGGGTTTGCTTCACTCATTTTTTGACATATTAACTTGGTGCGACTATTACAAGATCCAAGTAAAAAGTTCAAAACCCCCCAACAGGGGTATGAGCAGACCCGGATTCGCTTCACTGTGAGCGTAATAAATGAGAACTGCAGGCATTCTTTTTTCTTTCAAAAGTATTAGCAGAATAAAATCAAAAAATCAATGCGTGGCGTTATTTTTGGGGGATAATACCCAATGTTACAAGTTGCAATCCAAACTCATTATCGGGATATTACTTTCTAAGGTTATTCTGGTTATGCTAATAGCCGAATAAGACTCATTGGCATTTGCCCCCGTTTTAAGAGGTAGTATTTTGTTTTCAACGTCGGCGCAATTTTTCTATTTGCAATATACCTGACCTCTGTTCCCCAAACAAAAAGCCAACAAACAAACAAACAAACAAACATATTGATATTAATTTATTTTGTATTGTTTGTGAAAACTGGATTACGAATCCTGGTCCATCAGCGTGTCTGTAGCCATCCTGTTCAAGTCTGCGTCCACACTATTAGACTGGTCAAATGTATGTCCGCCTTCAGAAATGTCCATGCCGGTAAACTCGCTGGCTGCAGCATCAGCTACATCGGCACCGTTCGCATGCTCGTCACCATCTTCAGAGTCCTCAGAATTTCCAGCATGTGGACCCTCCTCATCTGCCTGTGGGTTGATAATTGTGCCGAATTCGTTCCACAGGCTGGCTATGCGACCAAAGCTGCTGCCCAACGAAATTGCAGACTCCAGATTCTGGTTGAGCTGGAGAAGGTTCCGGTTTACCGTGTCCATGCCCTGGTTTATTTCGATTATAAGCCTCTCTTTCTCGCGCTCGTACTGCGTGCGAGACCCGTACCCGCCGTGAGTAGCTCTGTTCGGTCCATGCGTTAGTGAGCGTTTCTAGTAAAGAGGCGTACGTGTGTGTGTATGTGAGGCAAACTTGATAGGTATTTGCGGTTCAAAATTTAATTTGTCGCATGGATTAAGCCGAAAAATTCAATCAATTGATCATTGTCGCTCGTTGAACGCATAGATTGGGTAAGTTCACGTGAAACAGCTCCAATACAGTGAGGTTAATAAATAAACACGTGAGTGAAACCATACCAACACGTTGTATTAACATAATATTATGTTTATTTTTTTAAAATTTTAATGCTGAAAGGCCAAGATATCAATTGCCATTTGTATCACACTACCTATTATTATCAGCACACAATGAGTGAGGACAACGACAACAATATTATGGATGTATCCCCAGCAGAGCCACCACTTGACGAACCATCCACATTAGCAGCAGTGCCGCAGACCGAGTCCGACCAAAGGGCATCGACTCCGATCTCCGGGCGAATGCTCTCGCGGTCCGAGATCCAGAGCGAAAAGAGCCTTGCAGAGTTTCTTGTGCAAATGGACAACTACGCGCCCATTATTCCCGAAGCGCTGACAGAATATTACTTAGCGCAGGCTGGGTTTGAATGCACGGATGTGCGAATTAAGCGGCTATTGGCGCTGGCTACACAAAAATTCATTTCTGATGTGGCGACTGATGCGTTCCAGTACAACCGCATTCGGCAGCAGGCGAGCAAGGAGAAGAAATTTAACAGCAAGGACCGCAAGACAGTGCTTAGCATGGATGACCTCACTGCAGCGTTGGCTGAGTATGGCGTGAACATTAAAAAGCCCGAATACTTTTCATAAATCACCTTTTTTTGCACAGAAACTGTTTTATTTATTTATTGTTTTATTTATATTATTCTGGCAATTGGGAAAATGGAGTAAGAATTAGCATAGGCAAAAATGTATATATATAAATCAATGTAGAGTGGCTAGATGGTCTGGATACCACGAGTGCTGGTGTTCCACGCCTTGGACTCGTTTGCGCGCGACGTCTTGTGGGCATCGGCGCGCCAGGCATCGGCCAGCACCTGCATCCTCTCAAGGTCCTCATCGCGCTTGGCAATGACCTGGTGGAGCAGCTCGTTGAACTCGGCCCGGATGTCACTGGCTTCCGGATGGCTAACCGAGATGGAGCTTACGCTGGCAAACCGTGCAGGAACAGCCTTGGCCTCGAAATCTGGCTGCTGGCCACCATTAGTGGCAGCAGTGGAAGCATCGGTCATCAAGTGCTTTGTTTTCGCCCATTCACTCTGGCCGACGCGGTCGACAATGAGGTCTAGAACATGCTCAGCAGTCCTGTCCTCCATCTTGCGGCACCTGCTGTGCAGTTGCTGGGCCTCGACCTCAAACTTGGCCTTCTCAGACTCCAGCTCGACAACACGGGTACGCAGGCGGGTGATCTGGGCTAACACATGCGTAATATCCTGCTGGATTGTGTCCTCTTGCTTTGAGCGCTGCTTGCAGTAGCTCTGCAGGTCAGATAGCTTGGCTTGAGTGTCGAAAAGCTCCACACGAGTGTCGCGCGACTGGTCCTCGAGGTCGCATATCAAATTCTTTAGGCGCCGCACTTCGGAAATAACCATCTGGGACAGTGGCGCCAGGTTGCGAATTAGCGAGGGCACACCGTCGGCGCCACCGAGCTTGAGCGCTGTTGTGTAGACCGGTGCCGTCCTTTCTGTGCTGCTCGGCAAGGTCGATTCAGCAGCCGAGTGTGTCGTAAGCGCGAGCGATTGGGCATCAGTACGAATGGCCAGCACAGGATGCTGTGTTTGCGTCAACATCTGCATCTGCATCTCTGGGCCGTCGACCATCCCCAGGTAGTTGGTGCGCAGGCCCTGGAAGAAAGACGCCGAGCGATTGCGCAAGCTATCGTTGGAGTCGGTTTTGAGTTGATGATGCTGAAGTTGTTGCTGTGGCATGGATCCATACGGCCACGCTACGTTGGCCATTGGAGGCGATGCGTTCAGAGACGAGCGGCCGATGCCTCCGTAGTTGGGTCTCGCGGACGGTAGCATGCTGTATAACGCAGCCTCGATTTCGGCACCCACTACGCGGATGACCTCAAGTTCGTCCTCACGGTTGCGCAGCGCGTCCTCCTTGGCCATCAACTTCTCGGAGTACGCCAGCAGCATTTGGTTGATGCTCTCGTCAGCCGATACAGGGAGATCTCTAGCAGGTTCAGTCGCTGTCTGCATGTTTGAAACTGCTGCCGTCCGTTTGATGGGAGCTGACGAAACCACAGGCGAATCTGCAATCCTCCGCAAGCTGCAGAGTGTCGGAAGACTCCGGCGGCGAGATAAACGGCGCGGAGCATCGCCAGTCGACCCGGCGGGCGGGCTGCTGCCGCTGCCATTATCTGAATATCCCTCGACTGCCGTCGTCGCAGTGCTGGTCAGCATTGCGCTGGCATCGCGCAGCTTGCGCATGTAGTCGCTAAGAATGACGTCCTTAGATGCAGCCTGTGCCTTAATCCTCGTGTCGGCCTCGCGCTGAATCTGCTCAGTGCGCTCAGCCTGCTCGGCGAGCTGAGTCTCGAGCAAAATAATCTTAGCCTGCAGCTCGGTCTCCTCGGCGGACTGCAGCGGCGGAGTGATGGGCTCAATGGTGCCGACGGCAGCAACAGCAGCAGCGGCCTCGGCGCGCAGGGCAGCGGCATCAAGTGTGAGTCGCTCGATATTGTCGACCAGGCGCTGGCGCTCCTCAGTCCAGCGCTTCTCGGCCTCCTTGTGCTGCAACTCCAGCGAATCAGCGACTTCCTTGACGGCCTGATCAAGGCGGCCAAGCTTCTCGCGCTGCTGCGTAATTACCAGCTCTGGGCCTCGCGAAGGCGCCTCTCGGTGGCCAGGTCGCGCTGCAAACGAGCATGAGCATCACCGATGCGCATGGCCTCGCCGCGCAGACTCGTGCACTCCATAACAGTGGCGTGCAGCAGCGCCATGGCAGCAGAAGCGCTTTCCGCACCGATTGACGCATCCAGGGGCAGCGCGTCAAGCGCGTCGACAGTGAGCGTACGCGGCGCAGGGCCAGCCTTCAGTGCGAGCGTCGGGGTCGCTGGTGGCGTGTTTGTCGGGGTCATTTCGTCGACGCTCAGCGCGCGCAGCTTCTCGGCACTGTCCTGCACGCTGCCCAGCGCGCGCAGAGGCGTTGCCATCTTGCGCAGCCCCTCAGAAAAGGCACTGACGCAGCGGCGAGCGGCCTCGGCCTCGACCCGCGCAGACTCAATCTGCGCACTCGCACTGTCGGCTGTCTGCTGGGCCTCTTGTGCGCGCAGCAGGACGTCGTCCACGCGCGCCTCTAGTGCCGCAGCACGTTGCTCAGCGGCCAACTTCTGCTCGCGCAGAACGGTCAGCTCGCCGGACAGCCGCTCGGCAGCGAGGCTGGCACTATGGCGTGCAAACTGCGACTCCGAAGCAACGCCCTCGTTCTCATCCTGCAGCGTACGCACCTGGGATTCCAGGCTCTTCTGGGCGTCCAAGCTCTCCTGCTGGATCCGCTCCTTCTCGCGAATGGCCTGCTCGCTTGCCAGCTGTGCTTGGACCTTTTCGCTTGTGGCCTCGCGACTAGAGTACGAACAGCGGCAGCAAGTACAGCAGCCTGGTGCGCATGCAGCGCCGCATCAACAACACGCAGCTTTGTGGTCAGCTCGGATACTTCAGTCTCAGTCTGCTGCACGCGCGCGGCCGCGTAACCGAGATCCTCGTTGAGCTGCGCGTTGCTCGCGTATTTAGACTTGTTGAACATCCCGACGCTAGTACCCGTGCCCTTTGCCGCTGCGTCCGCGGCGCTCTTTGCTGAGTCTCTCGTGCGCAGCTCTGAGGTGAGTCGGGTGCGCGCTGCCTGCAGTCGTTGCCGCAAGGCGGCTCCCTCGTGCACGCAGCGTTCGTGCTCGTTTGCCGAAAGCACCTTGCCAGCATCGCCCGACGCAAGCATCGCTTCGACCAGGTCGGCCGCTGCGCCCATGTCGCCGAAAGCAACGGCAGCCAGCGTGTTGTCCTGCGAGCGCGCCGACAGCGGCTGCAAACTGGATGACAGGCAGTCGAGCAACGTCGATTCGTTCAAGCTGCGCAGGTTGGAGGATGGGAGGTCGCTCGTGCTTGCACGCTTGGCTTCCGCAGCGTCGCTGACTGCGGGCTGGGTAGGGGGCGCGTGGGACTGGGACCGCCTGCGGTTCACAGCATCATTTGTGTGGTCTTTTGTCAAAATGTTGCGCTGGAGCTCGGCAAGGCTTGCGGTGGCTGCGGCAACCGAGGGGACAATCGAGCTGGCTGAGGGCACTGGCCCCGTGGGCACGACAGAGCCAGCGCGGCGGAGAGCCAGTGAGTGGTCCGAGGCAACGTGCGTCGGCTCCTCCGGCGCATTGAATGCGCCGAGAAGCGATCCGCGGCGCTTGCTGGCATTGTCGCTGCGCACGCCGCGGTAGCCAGTAGACCCCACGGGGCTCGACGACATTGCAGACTGCGACGAGTTGCCCAGGAGAGACGGTGAGCGTGAAAAGTTCAGCTGCACGCCTGCAGCCATAGTCGCCTGGTGATCCAGCACCATTCTGCCGTTGGAACCCATGCGGTAGGTGGGCACGCTTTCGACCTCGACTTCTTCCTCTTCATCATCGTCGTTGCTGTCGTCGAAATCATAGTCGTTGATATAAGAGCTGGCGGGCCGCATACCCTCGGTTGACTGCGCGTGGTTGTCTGTCCCAGAGACGTTGTCGGTACAAACACCAAAGTTGACAGTGGGAAACATGCTGTGCGGGCGGCGGTTCGCTGCGGGCTCTGGCGCAAGCCCTGTCGATGCAGTGGTTGTGGACAGCTGGTCAGCAATGCTCAGGTTAAATCCGTTGGCCATCGAGCTGCCAGCGACCGACGACGAGCGGCTGTGCATGGCTGATCCAGTGCCATTTCCCACGGCCATGCCGAAGCGGCCAAATATGCTGAGGGCCCGCGGATCGTTCGTATACTCCTGGCTGTCGAATTGTGACACGCGCTCCGATACCGAGGGCGTGTTGGACGGGCGGCGTCTGATTACGGGCGAATTGCTGTCGGACTGCTCCTTGAGATTGGAGCTGCTGAAGCGCGTGGCCAGGTTCTTAATCTTTTCGCTGATCACGCGTTTGTGTCCATCGTTGGCCGAAAGCGCTGGGAAGCCACGTACCGGCGCCGAGTTGGGTGGGGCGGCGCCGAGGGCGCGGCCACCGGCATAGAAAACTCGACTCTGGGGCTTCTGGCATTGGCGTCCAGAACCAGACTCGGCCTATGCTGCATGGGAGCGGCCACTGCGTCAGCAGGTGTGGGCGGTGCCGACATGAGCACGGCGGACGTGGTGCGCGGCGGGAACATTGCATCGACATTAACGCTCTGGCGCAGCTCCTCCTCAATTTGCCGCTGCTGCCGCTGATTCCGATGCTGCTCCCCCTGGTACTCTTCATCTCGGTGCTCTTCATGGCGCATCTGCGCCTGTTGCAGCGTGTTATTGGCGCTGTCCGACACCCACGATGCGATGGACACTGGCGGCAGGCGGTCGTCGATATAGTCTTCGTCGACCTGGCGCGGAATATCCATGGACGCTCGGGCATGCATTGGGTTTGTGACAGGCGACAAGTTGAAGCTGTTGATGCGAAGATTTGAGCTGGAGCCGCTAGCGTCGCGGCGAATCTCGTCCATGGTGGCCTTGACGACTGGGCCATTGTGGCCCTCCATGGCCAGGTGTCTGATCTGCGGATGGCTGCCGCTGCGCACGCGCTTCTGCTTTTGCTTCGGGTGCAGGGCGCCTATGCCTGCGGAGGACACCCAGGACTTTTTCGCAGAGGTCGGCGAGCTCGGGGTATCGTCATTTTTCTTTTCGCTGTTCTTGGCGCCGCGCTACAATTCGGAGGTTGAATGATAATTCAGATGATTTGCCAGTTGGGCTTTGGTTTTTGATTAGTGCGATGTGCAGATCCCCATGATTAGAGCCAGGTAAAAAAAGAGATAAAAGGGGAGTGGGGGGTAAATGAGAAGAGTGGAGGAGTAGAAAAGGGACGTAGAATGCAGGCAAGAGAGAATGATGAAAAAGGAAGGAAAAAAATTGATAGCGGAAAATGCAGTGGAAAATGCAAAATGGATGCACGCCCTGTCTGTTTTAGGGAGGCGATTGAAAGACAAAGTGTGGTAGAGTGCAAGCACAGCTACATCAAAAAAAGTTTAGTTTCCTGTTTTTTTCCGATGGAGAAAAATAGAGAAACAAAGTACGTACCAGAAGGCGTTTCATTCTAATTCAAGTGGCAAATGTACAAGCAAAAGGCTCGGCAAGCGGCCCGGTTTTTAGTATCCGCTGGCTATGGCTATTGTTCTGAGAATGAGAGAAAAAAGAGAGAGGACACGTCGGGCGCTTCGCTTGGGCTGGTGCAGTTTGAAGTATAGAATATTATAAAAGCCGAGCGGAGAGCAGTTGTTGCGGCTGTGGTTTCGGACTGCTAAGGGACAATATAAAGCAGCCGAGTCGAGAGTGAGAAATGCAAATAAAGGGGAAATAAAAATAATAATTAGTGTGAACAGTGAACAAACAAATAAAGAGTAAAATAAAAATTAGTGTTGACGAAAAAGCAAAAAAGGGGAAGGGAGAAAGAGAGAGAGAAGGTGACGGAGAGGGTGCGGGAGCAGAATTTGAGCAGATTGGCTGGCATCAGCATCAGCAGCAGCAGCAGCAGCAGCATCAGCAGCCAGCAGCAGCATCAGCACAGCAGCAGCGACGGTGGCAGCAGCTGCTGCTGCACCTGCCCCATGCGGGCCTTGGACCCTTGTGGCAGTAGCCGCCCCCACGCGCCCCACAGCACAGAGGGATTGTCTGGCGAGGTCCGCTTTTTCTAATCGCTCAGGCAGCCAAAAAGCGAATCGCAGTAGCAATGAGGCAACAGAGGAGAAAGAGAAAGAGAAAGAGAGGGCGCTTGCGGAGACGGAGATGGAAGCCAGCAGGCATGGCCGCGTGGCTGGGTGTGTGGGAGGACGGTGGCTTCGGGTGGGTGGCGATGGCGACGGCGATGGTGGACAGCTGGGCCTGCGTGGCTGCTGGCTCGGCGGCGGACCGCCGCGATTGTCCGAGCGCGGTTGGGTTGGCTGCAGAGTTAATTGGTTGAAGTTGATTGGAGTTGATTGGAGTTGATTGGAGTTGAAGTTGATTGAAGTTGATTGCGGATTCCGATTGTTGCTAGTCTAAAAGGCAGGATCTACAGTGGCGCCCTTTACTGGGCCTTGAAGGCGTCGCCAATGGCCTGCATGCCGTGCTCGAGCTCGGCGCGCCAGTTGCCGGCAGCATCGGCGCCGGTGCCGTTGTCGGGGCCGGGGTCGCTGGCGGGGTCGGGGTCGTTGGCGTCGTTGCTGTCAAGCGCCATGCCGCGCACGAGCTGTGGCGCACGCTCCAGCCAGCGGCGGCGCGACTGGGCCTGCGAGCGCTCGACGATGCGCGTGTACGCGCCGGGCCACGAGGCCATGACGCGCGTGATGAGCCAGCGCACGGCCAGGAAGGCATGCTCGGCGAACAGCAGCACGACCAGCGCGGCCGCCAGCCCCGTGCGGCCGTAGCGGCGCATTGCCGCGGCGTCGGCGTCCTTGGCATGCGCTGCCAGGCCGGGCGGCGCGTGGAACTGGTAGACCAGCAGCGCGTTGGTGATGGACGACAGCCAGCACATCAGCCGCAGGGCGCCCAGCCACGGGCCGATGGTGTCGACACGGCGCGGGATCGGCCGCTGCGTGGCGCCGGCAATCTTGGCGGCGTCGCCGCGCAGCTCGAACCAGTTGTTGACGAACGCGGCCAGCGGCGCCAGCGGCCACGCGGCCGAGAAGAACGCCACGCGGCCGAACTGCGACGCCATCTCGGCGTAGTCCTCGTACGTGCTGTACACCGGCAGCCGCGTCTCCTCGGCCACGCACGCGATGAACAGGCGCTGGGCGGCCGCGCTGGGGCTGGGGCTGGGGCTGGGGCTGGGGCTGGCCTCGGCACCGGCACCGGCACCGGCACCGGCATTGGCGCCGCTGGCATTGCCCCTGCTTGCGCGCAGCCCCCGCTGCGCCCACCAGCGCAGCGCCAGCGGCACCAGCGTCTCGGTGGCCAGGTTGACGAGCTGGCTGGTGACCACAAAGCCGGCCAGCAGCGTCTGCACCATGGCGGCGGCCGGCGTGTCGCTCTGCTTGAGCGGCGCGGCAGTGGCGCGCAGCCAGCGCTCGAAGGCGTCGCGGTGCGGCACAAACACCCACGCGGTCAGGAACAGATACAGCTGGTCCTGCAGGAACTGGAACACAAACAGCTTCGCCGTCAGCTGCGCGGCAAACTCGGCCTCGAACTCGTAGTTCTCGTACTCAGTCAGCGCGTACGCCACGCGCGTGCACGCGCCCGTGTACAGCGGCAGCAGCGCCGTCAGCAGCACCACCGGCGCCAGCGCCAGAACGCTGGCCAGCGGCCCGGCGTAGAACTCGCTGGCAAACGTCTGCACGGCAAATATCGCCGCCACCAGCGCCGCCAACAGGGCCGCCAGCGCCACCACGGCGGCGGCCGACACGCCGCGCCGCGCCCAGCGCCGCGCGCCCGACGACACGGGCGCCGGCTCGCCAGTGGCAGCGTCCAGCACAAAGCCGTCGGGGCGGAAGCCCGCACGGCGCGCGTCGCCCGCGCGCTGCACGCCGTGCACGCCCCAGTACGTGGCAATGTCCGACTCGCGGCGGGCCCACGTCTCGGTGAACACCGCGGCCCACACCACCAGCAGCACGGCGAACGGCCACGCGAAGCTGCGGCCGCAGGCCCACCACGCGGCGCCGGCCGCCGCCGGCAGCGCCAGCCACAGGAAGTAGCTCTGCAGGAACGCAAAGTACATGGCCACCTCCTCGCCAAAGTGCTCGCGGATGCGCTGCAGGTCGCGCGTGCTCACCAGCCACTTGCGCGCCCACACGCGCACCCACTGCCGGTTGAAGTCGCCGTCGTGCAGCGCCACCACCGCCACCGCCGCGCCGCCGCCGCCGCCGCCCGCCCCCACCGCCGCGCCGCCGTCGCCGCTTGCGCCCGCAATCAGCCGGTGCACCAGCCGCTGGCGCTCGGCCACCGGGATCGAGTCGGCCGTGGCACCGGTCGCCGACAGCAGCCGCGCGGGTCGTCCAGCGCCGCCGCGTCGACCTCGAGCGGGTCGGCCTCGCCGCCGCCGCCACCCTCGACGCGCCGCAGCGCCAGCATGCCGCCCAGCCAGTCCTGCAGCCGCGACCGCTGCCACTCGCGCACCAGCCGCGCGCGCGGGCACGTGACAAACACCAGCAGGTGGCCCTTCTCCTCGCGCAGCGCCGTGCGCCCGTGCCTGCGCTCGGCCACCAGCGCCGCGCGCACCTCGACGTGCAGCCCGGCCTGCACCAGCCGCTTGACCACGTCGCCCAGCTGTCCCTGCGCGCGCGCCTCGGCGACGCCGCGGTCGCCAACGCCGCGCCCGGCGTCGTAGCGGAACGACACGACAAAGTCGGCAAAGCCCTGCGCCGCCAGCCTGCCATCCTGCACCGCCAGCCCGCTGCCACCGGCGTCTTCGTCGCTCGCGCTGGCGCTTTCCTCGCTGCGCCTGCGGCTGCGCTCCTGCTCCCAGTACTGCTGGAACCTGAGCGGCATGAGCGCCGGCTCTGGCTCCAGCTCCAGCTCCAGCTCCAGCTCTTGATCCGGCTCCGTGTGCTTGTCCATTGGTCGAGTCAAAGTATGTATTTATTTATGCTTATTAGGAAAATACAAGGGTGGGAGATGGAAGACAAAGAAGGGCCAGCTGTGTATGTGGACCCCAAGTATGTTTGCTATTCGCAAAAGGGCTTCATTTGATATGGCAAACGTCACCCGCCATTGGCTGGTGGCCCTCATCAGCCAACCTGAAAACTCAAATAACAACAATAACAACAATAATAATAATAATAATCACGTTTCAAATAACGTTTTGAATTGGCTCACTCCACTTTCCCTAATTTCTTTTCATTCCAATTCTTTTTTTCTGTTTTTTTCACGACTGCTTTTTTCTTTTCTATTTTCCCACTTGCAAACTCAAATCTCTCTCTCTATCCCTCTTTTCCTTTCTTTTTCTTACGACGGGGTTCAGGTACGATGACAAAGACGACAGCGGCGACGGTGGCGGTGGCGGTGGCGGCACCAATAACTGCACCAATAACTACACCAATAGCCGCCCCGCCAACCGCTCCGCCAACCGCTCCACCAACTGCTCCAATAACACCGCACGCGCCGACATGAATGCCTGCCAAGCTAGAGTTTTGCCGCACAGATTAGTCCATGCAACTCCAATTACAACCATGACTGCATGTAAAACCGCCACCAGCTCCACTAAATCCAACCTTTTTTCTCTCCCCACTGTAGCAATTTAATCAAAAGGTTCTATAGGCACAACATGGCCGAGCCTGCTGCCTCCACACACGACGAGCCCATGTCTTCGGCCACCGCAAAACTGCGCCCGTCCTTGCAGGGCATTGAATTCAACTCGGGCCTTGACAACACCGAGGAGTCGGACTTTGACGACGAGGAACACTATGCATCGGACGACTCTGCCAGCATGACCTGGATCACCTGGTTCTGCTCGCTCAAGGGCCACGAGTACTTTTGCGAGGTGCCTGAGGCCTTTATCGAGGACGAGTTCAACCTGACCGGGCTCAGCCAGACCGTCAACTTTTACGTCGAGGCCCTGGACATGATCCTGGACGCCGAGGACGAGAACGAGGACCCGCAGTACGCCGACGAAATCGAGACCATCGACAGCTCGGCCGAGATCCTGTACGGCCTAATCCACGCGCGCTACATCCTGACGCGCGCCGGTCAGGACCAGATGGTCGACAAGTACGAGAACAGCGACTTTGGCGCGTGCCCGCGCTTCTGTTGCGACGGCACATACGTCGTGCCCTGTGGCCGCACCGACGTGCCCGAGCGCGACTCTGTCAAGCTGTTCTGCCCGTCCTGCAACGACATCTACTCACCGCCAAGCTCGCGCTACCAGAAGGTTGATGGCGCCTACTTTGGCACCACGTTCCCGCACATGTTCTTCCAGACCTTCCCGTCGCTGGTCCCCGAGGACCAATCTGCGCTGTACACCCCCAGCATCTACGGCTTTGCCATTAACGAGCGGAGCAAGGCTGGCCCACGCATGCAGTGGCTGCGCATGCTGCCCGAAAAAACCCCCCAACAGCTGCCTGCCGACGATGACTCTGGCGATGACAATGATGATGACGCCGCCGCTGGCAACACAACCGACTCGCAGAGCTACGTTGAGGCCAGGGACGCCGCCGACTTTGACGCCCACTCGGCGCCCTCTGCGCCTAGCCACCCTGCCGCAGGAGACGCACAAGCTGCCGCTGCCGCCCCTGCGCCTGCCGACAACGCCTCGGCCGATGCCATGGATATTGGCACCGCCTCCCCTTGCAATACCCGCTCGCCCTCACTGACAGGCGACCGCCGGAAAGATTATTCGTCATCAGCATCTGCCACCGCTGCCGCTGTCGCCGTCGCATGAATCGTAGGACGGGTGTAGCTAGCAATTGGGCACTCTTTTTTCTCCCCCAACAGCCGCTTATATATATATTTTTCGGTCTACATTTATTTTGTGTGTTTCACTTGAAGTGTTTAATTTGTGTTGAGCTATGTCTCCTACCATTTTCAACAACAAATATTTGTTATTTGAAAAAAAAGCTTTAGCTATTGTATTGTGCCTTCTATGGCCAGACTTTAGTAATGCGGACACATTGAATAACTGCTGATATACAGCCTTGTCCAAACTGCTGCATTTTTAAAACCTGTCATTTTGTCGAGGCCTGCTGCCCTGTGTTTCACATAATGTTACAGCATCCACCTTCGGGGAAACATAATTATTTGTTATAATCTTTGTTATTTCCATTCATACGTTCTTATAGCCATTGTTGACTATCGGTTAATGGAAGTGGTCTTTCTGCTGAGTCTATTGAGGAGGGGGGGTTTATCGCATTTGTAGAAATTTCTAAACTTGTCAGACGTGTCAGACGTGTCAGACGTGTTGGACATCCCGGACATGCTGGACGTGTCGGACTTGTCACACTTGTCACATTTGTTATATTGAATGAGGAAAGCTAATATTTTATTTTTCGTAGTATTAAATTATTTAAATGTGGATAAAAAGAGAGAGAAAAGACATGAGCCTATTTTTTCAACAACTTTATATGGCTTGCCAAAATAATCTCTGCCAACTTATGTTTTGCTTTCAAAACAAAATAAAAAAGAGACTTTTAAAGCCAAGCGTCCTTTCATAAAAAGATAATTACATAGTTCACTTTTTAAAAATCCCAAAACAAACTTGCACAAAAGCAGTCAACGCAAGCATTAAAGTTTATACAGAGTGTGCGACGACTGCCATTTTGTCAGCAATATGCGTTACATTTAACATAACCAAACTCTGCAGCCCTATCATATCTACGCGGATAAGCATGTCCCTGAAATATAAAAAAATTGCACCATAACTGATCCTAACATGTCATTTTTTGTATGGACTTGCGCGTCGGCTGCAAACACTCCGCTTTATCTTGTTTTCATCTGTCACATTCAATTCAACGCCTCTAGCCACAGCTATAACCCAAAACTCTTGTACGCACTTTACTACGCCTTTTGTCGTCGAGCCATCAATCTAGCTTATTTTATTCTTCTTTTGTATATTATTTTGACCAACTGTGAAATGGGTGTCGTGCGGAACATATACCTCAGTTGGAAGGCACTGCGCTTCCCCTGGCGCAAAGACGTATTCAAGGGATCGGATCTTGAAGGCAACTTATACTTTGAGCGAATGTCGCAAAGCACAGTTCGTCCACGCCGTGTTGTTGTGTATAGGGAGAACTTTGCCATTAGCGATTACAAAGACGACATCATCCCGGTGCAATGGCAAGCGTGGATGCGCCATACCAGGGATCAGCCGCCGTCAATCAGCGAGCTTGTGCAAGAGATCCAGCGCCGCCAGCGTCTTGCGGAGAATGTCCGCAAACTGGATCTTGCGCGGAAGCAGTCTCAGGGTGTGCCCGAGCTGGCTGGCCAGAGTGAAAAGAAAGAACAGCCTACAGTATTCCAAAAGTCGGCTCCCGGCGAGAGCTACCAGCCCGAAGGCTGGACGCCATCGCCGCCATCCAATGAAGCGCCCGCCTCTGGCCGCTGTGCAGAAGGAGGAAGAGCGAGGGGCGAAGTCGGTACCAAAGAAAGTGATGGCCGATAACCGCAACGCAACATACAAAATGACGTTGCCTGGCTCGGCAATCGCCATGTTGGTCTGATCTGATCCACTCTGATCCACTCTGATCTGTTTCCACCCTACTCCTGTCCAAGCGACAACAACAAAAATACAAAGAACTGTTTCTTCAGTGTCCACGTGTCAGCAATGAAAATCTGAAGGATGTCAATATTTTTCTTCTCCTTCTCTGCAACTCCGCTTATTTTTCCAATTCGAATTCAATTTTCTTTTTTGCCAATGTCAGACCTCAAACTTGTATCAAGCAACCGCTGCTTTGACGGCGAGGTGCGCAAATACACGCATGCCTCCTCTGCAACAGGATGCAAAATGGCATTCAATATTTTCCTTCCTGACACTGCAATTTCGAGCAAGGACAAGGTGCCCGTGTTGTACTATCTGTCAGGACTCACATGTAATGAGGACAACATGATCACCAAAGGCGGCGCGATACCGTATCTGTCCAAGCATCAGATTGCGCTGGTCACACCCGACACCAGCCCTCGTGGCGCTGGTGTTGAGGACGAGGATGGAGACTGGGAAATGGGCATAGGCGCAAGCTTCTACGTGGACGCAACAGAAGAGCCGTGGAGAGCCAACTATAAAATGTACACCTACGTGCAGCACGAGCTCCAGCAACTGGTAGCTGAGAGCTTTTCGATCGACAGCTCACGCACCTCGATCTTTGGACATTCCATGGGCGGCCACGGTGCGCTTGTCTTTGCGCTGCGCAACCCCGGCCACTATAGGAGCGTGTCTGCATTTGCTCCCATCTGCCATCCTACAACCAGCAACTGGGGCCGCAAGCAGTTTTCCGCCTACCTGGGAAGCAATGAGTCGGAATGGGCACAGTACGACGCCACCGAACTGGTCAGAAGCTACAACGGACCACAGCTTCCCATTCTCATTGACCAGGGCGATGCCGACCAATTTTACAGCAACGAGCAGCTGCAGCCCTCACATTTTGTTGTTGCTTCAGAGAGCGGCAAGCACCAAGTCAAGCTCGAGACGCGGATGCAGCCTGGCTACGATCACAGTTACTGGTTTATCCAGACATTCATGAAGGATCACATATCATTCCACGCCAAAAACTTGCGCGAGTAGCTGGTTGTTTTTAAACATAAATAATTAATTCGACATGGCAGCTTAATCTAATGGTTTTTACAATATTGTGGCCCAATTAGCACGGCTTGTCCGTGCACAGTGCTCCATAGTGGCGCTATGAAATTACTGTCTCGCAATTTCGGGCGACATACTTGTGTCTCAGGAAATTAAAAAATATGCAGTGCATATGTGCAAACACCAAATAATGCGCGATATTGAAAGTTTGAACAGTAAACACAATATTAGTACATCTTGGCTGGCACGACCACGACCACCATTTTAAAAGAAAAATAAAGGGAATACACATATGCGACAATTTATTACATCGATTTGACTTTGCTGGGCGCGTAAAAATAAACGACACAACATTATTCCCCACTTTGAATGTTTCATTGTCGATACCTATTATTTCCTTCTAATAACAACATTTTCGTATTGTCGTATATTTAACACATATCATTTACGTATTATATTTTACGCATCGTTTTCCTTGGCCTCAAAAACAATGGTGTTAAAATTTTGGAAACGAAAAAGCATAACCGACCACGCAAGTCAACCCGGCGTGAATGCAAAGCTTGCCTGCAGGGAGAGCCGGGCCTCATTTTTATCTCGCGCGTTTTTCTGCTGGGTGACGCCTCTTCTGGTGCATGGCTGGAGCACCCCAGTTCAGCTAGAGTCCCTTCCAGATATTGGCAGACACAGCGAAATGGACCCAGGAATGATAGCTGCCAGATTCCACACCGAATGGGTAAAAGAGCAGCGCCGAGTCAAGTCAAGCCCCGACAGAAGGAGTCACGGACAAAGCAGGGTTCTGCGAGCTCTGCGTCAAATTGCACTTGTGCCGCAATTATTCGGTAAAATCGGTGCCTGCCTCTTTGGCCGCGGTCGCGATCCTGGCAATCGCAGCAACGCTACCTCTCAACTGCCCAGCCTTGCGTGCTCATTGTATCCGCTAGTGTCAGGCTATCTTGCAAGAGCCTTGTTTGCGCGGCTGATAGCCGAGCTCATCCCTGTCTTTATTCCAATTCTCGTCAAGCTCACCACCTCATTTTCTCAGCACAAACGCACGGCCATAAAACACGCACTCAAAGCAGGCCAGGCGACTATTCTGGCCAACGGCACCCAAGCCCCGGTACTAGAAGGCCCTCCAAGCTGGCAGGGCTACATCCTGGCACTGAGCATGTTTGCAATGCTTTTGCTATACTCATGGTCGTTCCAGTGGTTTTTCTTTGAAGTTGGCAAGGCAACAATTGTTGTTCGCACTGCGCTGGTGTCCGCAATATACCGCAAGTCACTTGTCCTGTCTTCCCAGGCTCGGTCGCGGCTAACTCTGGTCGACTAACTAATCTCGTGTCATCAGACATGAGCCAGATTGAGCGTGGCGTCACTAACATGCTAGTGTGCATAACCATACCTATCCAAGTTATTGCATCCATTATAGTACTAGTGTACATGATTGGCCCAGCAAGCATCAGCGGATGGGTTCTTGTTATAGCATTTGTGCCGGTGCAGATGTGGGCATCAAAATATCTCGTCGGGCTGCGCAGGCGTGCTGTCAAGTACACCGACAACCGCATACTCGCAACCCGTGAAGCACTGCAAGGAATGCGAGTTGTAAAGTTTTTTGTGTGGGAGGACACTGTGCTGGAGAAGATTCAGAGAATACGCACCAAGGAGGTTGCGCTGATTGCCCGGCTCAACCTATTTCGATATGGACTTATTTCGTTAGCACTGCACTCGCCAGTGTTTGCGTCCATCCTGACATTTGTGATATTCGTGCTAACCGGCGGGAAGCTGCGAACAGGCCCCGTTTTTGCAGTGATTGGGATATTCAACTCAATGTCAGTACCGCTCAGCTGGCTTCCGGGTGCATTAGCCGAGACCCAAAACTCGCTTGTTCCCTGCAGAGAATAACTGAGGCATTGCTTGAAGAGGAGCTTGATCAAACTCCCCTCCCACAGGCAAGCCTTGACATCGCTGTGAGGGTGAGCGGCGGGCACTTTGCATGGAAGTACCACCCTCCCTCATCCAACACTAGCAGCAGGCCAGGTCTGATGGCCCGTAGTCTGGATGATAAATTTGAAGGCGATACTAGAATACAGGATACAGGTGTGGGACTGCAGAGCTATCGCTTTCCTGCAGATCAAGATGCAGCCGGCATTGAAGAGGACCCTGCTTCTTTCAGTCTGAGCAGTATTAATATCGAAATACAACATGGTTGTTTAGTGGCAGTGATCGGCAGCGTTGGAAGCGGAAAGAGCTCCCTGATGAGTGCGCTGCTTGGTGAAATGAAGCGTGTTTCAGGCACACTGGCATTTGGAGGCTCACTGGGATATGCACCACAAGTGCCTTGGGTCATGAACTCTACAATCCGCGACAACATTATTTTTGGTTTGCCTTTTGACGAAGAGAAGTACCTGAATGTCATAGAGGCCTGTGCATTAGAAGTTGACCTTGCTGCACTGCCCGCCGGTGATTTGACAGAAATTGGCGAGCGAGGAGTCACATTGTCTGGTGGGCAAAAGCAGCGTGTTAGTATTGCTCGAGCAGCCTATTCTGATAGCGACATCACCCTCTTGGATGACTGTCTGAGTGCGGTGGACACCAGGGTGTCGCGTATCATTTTCAAACACTGCATCAAGGGGTTTCTATCGAGAAAAACACGCATTCTCATCACAAATAGCTTGGATTATCTCCCAGCATTTGATCTTATTATTACCTTGGATCGAGGGCGTATAGTCGAGCAAGGCTCATTTGCAAATCTGATGGCTTTGGAGGGGGTAACTGCAGCGATGTTCAAGTCATTTATGAGTAACGACCAGGAAGCCATTAACCGCGCCAGGGCAGCAGCCATGTACACAACAGACAGCTCGCTTCACACTGCAACGCCAATTAAAGACTTGTCTGAAGATAATGATCATGACCGGTTGTACGACTTTTCAAATATCTATGGACATGCAGAGACACCGCTGCCTGAGTTGGCGTCGGCATTGGCGTCGGAGTCAGAATCTGCATCTGCATCTGCATTGGCACTGGTAGGAAACAATACAGGAGTGAATAATTTTGGCATGAGCGGGAGCACAAGTGGAAGCAGCAGTCTGGTATCGGGTACCTCTGGCAACTGCAATGGCGAGGATAAAACAATTCCAACCAACACCAGCAAACCCAAACAGTGCAAGAACAAGCATAGGGTTACCGAAAAGCTTATGAGTGACGAGGAAAGACTAACTGGACAGATTTCAGTATCGACATATCTAGCCTATATTCATGCCGGCGGTGGATTTGCCCTATTTTCTATGGTTTTGTTGTGTCTGGCCATCTCCCAGGGCTGTCGCATTGGGAGCGACTTTTGGATGCGCCTGTGGATTCGGCATCGGCATGATGCAGGTGCCACCCACACATATATTTGGGTCTACGCATTGTTTGGTGGACTGCAATTGCTCTGGTTTGGCTTGTTTGCTGTGCTGCTTGTGGCAACAGTATACAAAAGCTCAAAATGGCTCCACTCTCGGGCACTTCATCGAGTGGCACACTCACCAATGTCATTTTTTGATACCACACCTTTGGGCCGAATCCTCAACCGCTTCACACGTGATGTCGATTCGCTGGACCTTGCGCTGTGCGATTTCTTTCGACAGTTTTACCAAAACATATCTCGCTCTATCGGATCATTTGTCTCCATTTCTATCCTGGTTCCAATATTCCTCATTCCCTTAGTGCCTCTATTTTCCCTAAGCTGGGCGTTAATATACGTGTATCTGCGCACATCAGTCGAGATACAGCGTGTCGCTGCAATTTCTCGGTCACCTCTATATTCCCACTATGCCGAAACACTTCAGGGACTGGCAACCATCCGGGCATTCAATGCCCAAAATCGATATGTCAGCATGATCGAAAGGGCACTTGACGATGCCAACCGCCCGCAGTGGTACGCGTTGGTTGTTCAGAATTGGGTCTGGCTGCGAGTAGACCTCCTCAGTCATCTGCTGTCATTGGTGGTGTGCCTCATTGTCGTTGCGCAGCCTGCTAGATGGGATGCCGCTGCAGTTGGCTTGCTTTTAATACAAGCAACACAGATGGGTGCATATGTGACCTATGCTGGCCGCGGCTGGACCGAATTGCAAAACAACATGAACTCTATTGAACGAATAAACTACTACGCAACAGAACTGGATCAGGAGCCCGGGTATAATGGCTCGGACACTGAGCGAGAGCCGGGATGCAACCTCCTCGGACCAGTTGCTCCACCACCAGCACCCAGCACATGGCCAGAAAGAGGGACTATCATTATACGCGATCTTTCAATGCGCTACCGCCGAGGACTCCCACTTGCGCTCAAGGGCATCAACATGGAAGTGTACGACGGCGAAAAAATAGGTGTTGTTGGTCGCTCCGGTGCGGGAAAATCAAGCTTAATATCAGCCCTGTTCAGACTGACCGAGCCATCGAGCGGCAGAATATTCATCGACGCCGTCGATATCCAGACGCTGCATCTGAGCCGGCTTCGCAAGGCAATTGGAATTCTGCCGCAAGATCCTGTTCTCTTTGATGGAACTCTGCGAACCAATCTTGATCCCTTCCACGAGTTCAGTGATACCGAGATTTGGGACATGTTGGACCAGGTCTGTATGCGCAGCCAGGTTGCCTTGCAGCCAGCCAGACTCGACATGGCTATCGGCGAGGGAGGGGATGGTCTGTCAGTCGGCCAACGCCAGCTGCTTTGCCTGGCAAGGGTTCTGCTTCGTCGACCAAGGATATTGGTTCTCGACGAGGCCACCGCAAACGTTGACCACGAGACTGATGCTGCCATCCAGCGCGTCGTTCTTTCTCGAGCCCAGGGAATGACTGTTATAAGCATTGCGCACCGCCTTCAAACAATCATCAACTATGACAAGGTGTTTGTAGTCGATGACGGCAGGGTAGTTGAGTCCGGGACGCCAATCGCTCTGCTCGAGCAGCACTTGCACCCCGAACTCAGTGATATTGAAGCGTTTTCAAATAATGAACAGCCATCCGTTTTCTACAATATGGTCCGAGAAATGGACGACGATGCCCTGAAATATATGCTAACGCAGGCACAGGCTGCTGAAGACAGACGGCGCGCAGGCCTTTAGCCTCTATACTTGTTTTTAGACATTTCTACTCAATTTTTACATCCGCTACATCCATTTTGAATGTGCGAACAAACCAATATACTTTGCTAACAATCAAATGGCAAAAGAGAAACGCTAAAGAAAAAACTGCGACATATGCACGCCACCTCAGCATACAATGGCATTTGTCGGATGAACGCTTAGCGGGTGCGCTGTCTCTTCGCCTTGCCTGGCCGCTGGACCTTGAATTTATTAGTTGACCCTGAGAAGCTCGAGCTCTTGTTGCGACCAGCGTTAAAGCCGCTCATATCAGCCGCGCTATCGGCCGTGTTGTTCTTCATGCCGCGCTTCTTGCCGCCAAAGCCAAACTTCTCGTTCTTGACCTGGCGCCTCTTGTTGGGCATCGGCTTGCCTCCCTTGGCCTTGGTCTTGTTTCCATAGCCTGTTTTGGACTTGCGGTCATCGTCAGAGTCGATATCAATCTCAAAGTCGTCGGCATCGCCAAGATCGCCGCTGCGGAGACGCTTCTTGATGGTAGTGATCTTGTCGAGCGATGCCTTCTTCTGGTCCTCGCGCTCCTTGATCTTCTCCTGCTGGATCTTTTTACCGTACTTGCGCAGCTCGCGCTGCTTCTTGGCCTCCTCGGCATTCTGGATGCCCTGCTGCTGGTCAAGCAGCTTCTGGCGGATCCTTGCCATGTGAGAATCAGACTTCACCATCTCGGCGAAGTAGTCGACGGGCCGCTCAAATGGAATTCCGAACTTCACCAGCTCCTGCTTGCCCCGAAGCACTGCGTCCAGGCCTTGTTGGTAGAACTTAAGCTCACGGTCCAGATCATTGTCGGCCTTTTCCAGGACAATGGGGGTCAAGCTGGTAATGTCGCAGCGGTGATTCCATTGCAGCTCCTTCTGGGAAATCTCCTCCAGCAGCGCAGACAGTGCGGTTTTGTGGTTTATAAACTCCTTCTTGGGCTCAACCATCATGGAGTCCGAATCGAGAGCGGCCATCTCGAGAGCAGTCTCCTCGTCCTCAAGCACAGAGTCCTCGTATGCGTACTCGTTGTCTGACATTATTAGCAGTGTTTAAATTTTGTCCAAGAGTGCTTCTGGCAAGTGCTGTGTGTGTGAATATAAGTATACTAGACTGTTTCTTTGCGCTCAAAATACGGCCAAAACAGATGGAATTCAATGGGTCGAAAAATATGTACTATGACAGAAAGGGAAGAGAAAAAAGCAAAAAAAGGAGAATGGCAAAAAAAGGAGTGGAAGCATGCAAGGCGCAACCACGATCCAGTGGTGAGGAGGTAAAAAAAACCTTTCATTCAAAATTTGATTGATTAACGCCTTGATCGAAACCATTTTGCGCCAACCCATACCCAACAGCGTGTCTTTAACGTTTGTTTGACAGTCAATAAGGCGCTATAGTTTTTTATGCTGATCACCTCTGTATTCATTGCTTCTTCCTTCCTCCGCAGCCGTACTAAAAGACACTAGCACCCCTGTTGCTGAGTTTTAATTTTGGACAATATTTGTATTATCTCTTTGATTTCTTGCCTCTACACAACTTATCCTTAGCCAACAAGAGTACCAAATGGCAGAGTCGCTGCAGTCACTCCCAGACATTATTGGGGATGAGGACACCCAGCCCTCAGTCAACCACAACAGAAGAGGCTCGGATGTAGCATTAACAGGCCGCAACGAGCGAGCACTGCAATTCTTGACTTCGATAACAACAAGCAACGTGGTTGATGCTGGGTATCGGGCTGCACACAATGCAGCGCATAATAACTCGGATGGCATCCGTTTTAACTTTGATCCACAGAGAATCTTGGGACATGACAATGTGGTCAATTCAGTTGTGAGCGGCGTGGCTGCGGACGTTCAACAAAGGAATTCTGGACAGATCCTGCGATTCGACAACGGCGAGGCTGCGCTCTCTGGCGAGTACACGAATGCCGACAGCAACGACACGGATGCCAGTGGCGGCCCGGTTGATTTTGGATTCCAGAGGCGAGTGTCGTACAGCCAAACCGATTATACGGATGTGCGAAACTGCCACCACCCGACTGAGTTTGTCATGATGAAGCCCTCATCGTTTCCTATGGTATTCGCCTCGATCAAGCCATTTAACGGAAAAGGTGATGACAAGTACAGATATGGGGCAAGTGCGGTTTCAGATGGGTATGTTATGCTGTATAAACGCTGCTGTTATTTTTTTGGAGCCCGCAAGTTGTGTAATTTTGGTGAGATAGTATTTTACATGCCGCTGACGACATTAATATCGACTTATTGATTCTACAACACCACTGCCGCCATCACAACAATGTAGCGAGCGCAAGTATGGCATTACTATAAACAAGAAGGTGAGTTATGTAACATGCAGCTATTACTATTGAAACCACTATGCAGTCAGAGGCTTGTTAATTAAATGATCGATATTTTATGTGTTTGCCATTTGTAGGACCTGTCATTTGCTCATCTTTTGCATCCTCTGCGGACCATAGCGTAAGTGTACAAACGAAAACCATTTTTGCAGATTCTGTGTAGTTCCCAACTTCTGTTCATTTGTATTCAGCAGCAGCAGTAGTGCTTGACCAATTTGATTACTACAACTTGGACTTGAGCATGGGGGTGAGTGAAATCAACCCTGTGTTTTGTCAATATTCCGGCACAATATACTTGATTGTTTTCTGGCTGCTTCTTAGTAACAGTCCGTACGTAAATCTAAAACATCTATTGACTAATATGTAGACCAGAGGCTGAGCATGACTCTGGGGGAGCCGTGGGTAACGCATATCAGCCGAATCGACTTGACGACCCCGGGCTGCACAAGGGGCTTCAGCGCACAGTTCTTGGGCTGACGGGGTATATGGGCACCATATTTGAGTACACCCGGCCAGACGACCTGCGACAAGAGCTCAATGACCACTTTAGAGAGACGCATCCCGAGCTGTATGCGGCCGGGCTAACTCTTGATCAGATTCGGCGCTTGAGAGCACATATGTTGCGAGTGACCCGCGAGCAAGATCTCGAGCTATCAACTGCAGCTATAGGCTGGGTTTACTTTGAGAAATTGATATGGAAAGGATACGTGGCCAAGGATAATCGTAAACTCGTTGCTGGTAAGTTTTTAATTTTTAATTTGCTTCTGGCCGACATTGAACAGCTGGTGGCAGGCAGCCTCAGTCACGCGGCATAATTGTGGGGAGCGAAGCATTGTTCGTTCTGCCTGCAGATATTGTCATCTGCGCTCTAAATTTATTGACATTATCGAAGAGCATGACTAACATTTTTAAAAATTACTTTGCTATTTTTTGTTATTGGCCATTGAGCATTTTGCATGTCTCTCAATACGAAGCTACTTTGAATTCAGAAGCCGAATTTATTGTGCATAAAATAGCGTGAAATGAATAGTTTTCACTTCCGCAACAATTCCACTCGCTGATTTTCTGCCGACACTGTCACCGGGCGGTATCACACGAGCAACGCTCAGTTGATTTATTTGACAACCTACTCCCCCCCCCAAAAAAAAATACGCATTGTGTTATCTGCCTGTTTGTCTCCAACCATTACTGCAAAATAAACTAAATTGCGGATATTTAAAGTGCAAGGTAGCATGCCTGTGAGGCACTTGTGGAAGCTAACACTGAATTGAATAAAATTACATTTCATTGTGATGTGATGATATATTGTTCCTTTATGTTATGTTTTGTGCTGCGGTATGGTATGGTATGGAACACTTCAATGTATAGATTTCAACTTGTGTTTTTTATATTTATATCCGCACGTGCATACATTTTCCGCAAATACGAGTCATTAATTTATCTTGTTTTATTCCCGAGCTTTATTTTATTCCCGAGTCCTAATGGTGGATGTTTTTGCCTCGTGCTTTTGCAGAGGCACCAGTGCATGTGTATGCAACATCTCTGCAATGGTCTTGTGGTAGCGTCCATATTGCTTTTTGGTTGGCGCATTATATTTACAAAAAATTGTCATCAACGTTTAATTGCATGTGTATCTATCTGTCTTTTCCTTTCATTCTGTGCGTTTTATTGTTGTTACATTTAGAAGCAATCAAAATTTACAGACATGACGCATTGTATGAGCAACATTCATTTTGTCTGTCTTCAACGTTTATACTCGAATATCACGTCCATTGCGCGTGACGCACGCTTTCATTTTGAACACTAACATTGTCAATACATTCTCTGACATTCAAACATCAATGTAGCCGTCTGTCTGTTCCTCGCATTGAAAATCAATGAGAGCCGCGAAGCACCTGTTTCTCGATCACTTCAAGTAAGTAAATGCATATGTGGCCACATGTGGCACTTCCCAACCGATATATTTGTGTAAATGGAATGTTTCCATTGTCTTTTTGTCGCAATTAATATTTAAATCCGGAATTTGTCCACCAAATGCAACTTATTTGCGTGTGCATGTGCATGGCATATGCGCCTGGTTTTTTATTTCCAATTTGATGCGCATAATTTAGTTTGTATTTGCCCTCACTCGTGTCTGCTTATGGCGCGAATGTAAGCACTCTTTTACAATTGTAATTTATTTGGTGTTTTTGTTAATGGTAGCTGTTTATCTACTATAGACAATGTTACATACACTGTAAAAACTGTTTTGTCAATTAAAAAACTCTGTTTTTTGTTTGGGAAACTAGTTTTTTGTCACAATGAATGTGTTTGCAGCCAAAACCCGGCGCTGAGCAACTGTGCAATCCCAAGCAAGTTTTGAAGTTAATTAGCTGATATCACACATGCTTCGCTCATATTCAATGTTTATGTTTAATTGACTTTAATTTGTGAGTAGGCTATCCAGCGGCGCTTTGAGGTATCTTCCAAGTCGATATTGGATCAAGAGTTTTCGGTCTTTGCAGAACTCGACTTTTCGCTGTGGGTCCCTCGCCGTGAGTTTATGCCGCATTTTTTGCGCATGTTTGAAGTTCTTGGTAAGTACCCCCGACCATACGGATATTTAATGCTGATAAAATGGAGCAAAGTTAACACGTTTATATGTTTACTAATGCCTGTCTGCCTGGACACAAGCACGAACACAAATTACTATGCATCATTTATAGGCCTGTACCGCTCGCTTGCGGACTACCTTGGAGACAGCGACTTTTTTGCATAAAAGCTTCAACTGATCCTAATCGAAGAATCTGATTAATACGGCGCGCGATCAGCTTTTTTCTTTCTCCTTTTTCACTTTTTTTTGCGGGCTATACCCAGGATCATTTTCATTTCCAATTTGCCCTTATTATCGCTGGGACAGTTTTTTTATACCTTCTTTTGTTTATCACAGCATTCAATTCATTTCAATATTGCCAAACTTTTTCCACAACTGAATAACAGCATTTTGAATACCAAAAAACCGACCATGGTATCTTCCTCAGAGAACAAAAGAAAGCAGCCATCATCAAAGACGACCCCGAACAAAAAGTCTGTTAAAAGTGCACAGCCAGATACTGCTTTCGAGCGTGTAGTCGTGCCGCAGCGTTTGGAAGCCAAAAGTGACAAGCAGGAGTCGAGCGACATGGATCAAGACAGTGAGATTGAGACCACCCGCGTTGGCGAGCAGGAGGCGACTGCCGTCGAGGACGTTGCCACAACCAGCGACGAAGAGAACATGGCAGCTAATATTGAATTCCACGGCTTCCGCAACGCCAACCACAAGCAGACGTCAAGCATGCTTCCTATCGCACCCAAAGTGCCCAAAACCGCAGCAGAGCAGAGTGAGACATCGCGGCTGATCGTGGTTTTGGAGGCGGCGTCGCTGGAGACGTACAAGGTTGGAAAGAGCAAGGACGCCAAGTACCAGCTGCTTAACTGCGATGACCACCAGGGCATTCTAGCCAGAATGGGCCGAGACATTTCCGAGTCGCGTCCTGACATTACACACCAGTGCCTGCTTACCTTGCTGGACAGCCCGCTGAACAAGACGGGTCGCCTCCAGGTGTATATTCACACCACCGGTGATGTGCTCATTGAGATTAGCCCGCAGGTGCGCATTCCCCGGACGTTCAAGCGCTTTTCGGGCCTGATGGTGCAGCTGTTGCACAAGATGTCTATTCGCTCGGTCGACGGCCACGATAAGCTGCTAAAGGTGATTAAGAACCCTGTGTCGCAGTATCTTCCGCCTGACGCCGTCAAGATGACGTTTTCATACGACGCGCCGACCGTCCACTTGCAGACATGGATGCGCCGGAAACTCAAGCCAAACCAGAGCATCGTCGTGGCCATTGGAGCGCTGGCGCACGGCAAGGACAACTTTGCCGATGCCTACGTTGACGAGAAAATTGGTATTTCGGAGTACCCGCTTAGCGCGTCTGTCGCTTGTGGCAAGCTGACCTGCGCACTGGAGGACATGTGGGGTATTCTTTAATTGCAAGATGAATACAACAATACCAGGCATTGTAACCAAGTTTAAAATACACGCCGCTTTTAATGTTTAAAATGAATAACAAATGCAATACACTATAAATTAATATATAAAAGAAAGACAATGGGCAAAATGAATTTTTTTGTCGATGGTGGCAATATTTTTTCACCAGGGTCTCCAGCCGCGCGGGCTCTTCTCTCTGCCATTGGCCGGGGTTGCTCTCTGAGCTCCTGCGTCTTGCCAGACATCCTCACCACATATTTCCAGTTGGTGCTGCTGCTGCTGCTGTGGAGATGCTGGCGCTGTGGGGCAGTGCTGCTCAGCGACATTTTGCAGCGAGATGTCTGACAGCGGGGTCAAATGAGGCAACAAGCTTGCGCTCTTGACAGAAGACACGGAAACTGCAGCAGTCGCCAAAACATCAATTCCCATTTTGGCCTCGCTGATCTGCGAGTCCTGGTAATAGCGCTTGCAGGACGACGGTGATTGCCGACCCCCGCTTGCCTGCGAGTATCTGTCCTGGCAGTGCTTCTCACGGCTGGTTGCCATCGGGTGTGCAGCCGGTCGGGCTCTGCAGTCACCAGAAGCCAGCGGCCTGTCTGCCAGAGCATGACCCTCAGGCTGGGAGTCAAGTGGGGAAGTGTATGAGCGCATCCGATGGGCAGGCTGGACTGTATACTTTGCCGTTCTGGACCCTGTGTCAGCCCTGGCACGCGTCTCTGCAAGTATTGCTTGGATTGATGGCAGCTTTGTCTCACGACAGCCGGAGTCGGCCACGCTTTGAGTTCCATGTGACCAGACAGGGGGGCGGCTACGGTAGTTTCCCTGCGATGGCGACGGTGAGCGCTGCATCCCAAGCCTGCGGTGGACATGGTTCTCGCTAGCCGGCGTGTTTTGAGAATAACGAGAGCGCACCTCCAAATAGCCTGTGCTCTGTGTGGGAGCGAGTGGGGATGTGGCGGCGTACGCATGTACCAGTGCTTGAGAGTGACCATCGGCGCCAGAAGCGATGCCGTATTGGCCAGCAACCCGCTGATAACTCGACACTGTGTTCCGCCGGTTGACGTGAGAGTGCCTGTCATTAGATTTATGGCTATCGTGCAGTCGGCCTCCGTTGTGGTTGTGGCTGTAAGTGCTGTTTGGGGAAACTTCGACCACATTTGTTGATGCAAATGCCGACGACGCTGAAATTGGCGTGCGTATGGGATACGTATAATGCGGAGACCCCGCGTCCGGGTGATAGTCGTGCTGATAGTACGCGTTTGTGGCAGGTCTTGCGTATGCGGCGTTCGAATACTCTGCAGAAAACTGCGTCTGTAGCGAATGGGAGGTCGGCGAGTGTGGTAGCGACAATGTGGCAGCACTGCTGAACCCGGTGACGTCGACTACCAGGTTATTTGACGAGCGGCTGCGGAATGCTGGTGCTGGCGTGGACGCGTGTGTCTGCAAGGTCCCGCTCCTGTGATGAGTGGCGGTGTGTATGTCGAATGTCATGATGGGCGCGGCGTACGCGTCGACAGATTCAACAGACCCAATCTGACGGGTGTTGCCATCAGTCAGCGGCTTGGAATGCGTGCTGGAAAGATGGTGGGGATGTGAGTGCTGGTAGGGCGCAAATGCTGGCTGCAGCGCAGAAGTAGAAGCAGAAGCCGATACGGACGGTCTGTTGATCATGCCTGCAGTGTAAATTATGGCGGTATTGTTGCGAATCTGCCGCTGCTGCTCAATGCGCAGGCGATTGTACTTTGCACGGCGGTTTTGGAACCACACCTGGACTTCGCGGTTTGTCATGGCAAGTTTACTAGACAGCTCCTCGCGGATGTCGTGCGTCGGGGTGTCGGTTTTTTCAAACACGGCAGTCAGCTCCTTCAGCTGCTCAGGGGTGATGCGCTTGCGCTTGGCCTTTTTGAACTCGGCAGCACTGGACTCCTTGATGACAATGTGTGTGTAGCGACCGACTGAAACAGGGTTGCTGGCACCGGCGCTGGCACCAGCGTTAATGCTGGGATCTTCGGCGTGTCTACTGCTGGTTGTAGCGCGCGTCTCCACTCCTCCAGGTATAGGGCCGCGGTGCATATATGACGACGATGTGTGGATACCGGCAGCAAATATCTGCATGTTGTTGGCCATATGTCGATGTTCTTAATCTCGGGATAGGTGTGTCACGGGGTGCTACTGCTGCAATTGTGTGCAGAATTGGGCGACAATAGTCAATTTAAGTTTGCTGCGCACACACACACAGGCAGAGCTAAATATGAAGAGAAAAATACAGGTCAGATCCAAAAGTGCAGAGCGAGAATTGGGGATATGATAAATAATCACGCAAGGGCTTGGGTACAGCGTGCAAGATGTTGTAGGCGATTAGTGACTGGAATATGAAGAGTATAAAATAAGCCAAAGAGAAAGCGTACGTGTTAATAGATGTTGGGTGTCAAGAAGAAAAGAAAAAGGAAGAAAAACGCGAGCAGACTAGCACAGATGAAAGAGAAAATAGCAAATTATTATATAAAAAGCAAAAGAATATGAGAATGAATGGAGCGGGTATTAAAAATCAATGTGCGTGTAATAAGTGATGTTCGAACAAAAGAATATGTAGAGTGCTAGTTAGAGTATGAGCCGTGAGAATTAGTAAGTGGCTAAAAAAGAGAGACGATTAAAGACAAAGCGGCGGGCGTGAGGTAGAGTGGAACAGAACAAGATGGCTGGAGTCAGAGCAAGAACAAGGATGTTAGAGGTCTTTGTGCTGGCAGCGCTTTGGCTGCTTTGACAGTTTTGGCTTTGTTTTGCCCACTAATTGTTTCTACACCCAACAACCAAAAAGAAATAGTGTAGTCAAAAGTGCAGATTGAACGAGATGCTCGGCTCACAATACGGAGCTTTAAACACACAACGAAAAGTGGGCGATAGAATAATTGTGGCAAATAATAAAATATATATATAATAGCGGCTATTGTCAATAGAGGCAGAGATGTGGAGAACAGAGTGGGATATTTGTAGACGCAAGAAGAGCAAAACAACACAAGGAAAGAAAAGGAGTAAAAAAAGCAAGAGAGCAAAAGAGCAAAGACAAAGTAAGTGGTGACAGGTCTGGCAATAAATAGGAATCAGACTAACCGCCTTGAGCAAAGACGGGATGCACTTCATGAGCAGCGGGGACAGGGGAAAGAAACGAGGAGGAAGTGAGCAGATGCTAAGCGCTGGATATAACCTTTTTGCACTCAGTAGATTCATAATCGCCATTAAATGCTGCAGCTTGGGCTCGTGCTCCTCTGTTTGATGGAAGCGGTGCCCTGCCCTCTCGCCAACCACCACACGGTGCCCGCCGCCACTCCCCCGGGGCGCAACACCCGGGCTATGTTGCCACCCCCCTCTCATTTCCACTTCCACTCACAGTGTCTGCTGTGCTGCGCTGCGCTTTTCTGCTCTGCTCAGCGTGCCTTTTCTGCCTGCGCAATTTGGTTGCACTTTTGTTATATCCAGACAGTGTGGGCTCTGGGGCGGCAAAAAGGGCGACAGAGGTCCAGGCATCAGACGCAATTTACAGTTCCACTCACTCCCTGTTTAACGATCCCAATGTGTTAGTTTCTTGCCACTGCTGAAAAGTTGAGTCACAGTGCGAGTGGGAGCGATGTTCAATCATAACTGCCAAAAGGCAAAGGAAGACAGGGCACCATAAATGAAGTTTCTTTGGGTGCACGTGTAAATTAGATATCACCAAGTTACACGCCGCTTGCCCCATCTCCATCACAGCATATATTGCAACATCAATCGCAATTATCCTCGCATTTATTTTTCTCGATAATTTTAAATTTAAAATTATAATTGCGCATCATATCCAAGCTGATATATGTGCCGGATTTATTTGGAAAGCTACAATTGTGATTTGGTGGCAAAAATCGCTTCTGCTAAAATGGAAAGCATGTTGTGATTTGCAGGTATCCCGAAAGACGACATTGCCCATTTGGGGGAGGTGGTTGCACAGCTACAAATACGCTGCCGCCTGCACACCCCTTTGCCATCTTGGTATGTGGAATGCGCATAAAAACAGAGCTGGCTAATGCATGCACTGCAGGATGCTCAAAATATCCCGCCCAGCGCAAGCGGCGGTAGCGCGATTGGGGAGGGGCAGTGCTGGCCGATGCAGTACCGCAAACAAGACTACGAATTGGAGTCTCTGCGTGTTGGATGCACCTGCACAGCAGCGATCGTTGCCCGCGCAGATATTCCCAGTTCGCTTGGCGGCGCATGCGAAAGGGGGTCCTGCATTTGCAGGATATTTGTAGTATCATTATTTTATTTAGTGTTAACCTTAATTACAATGACAAATTGGGTAAAAATGTATTAAAATGTATTAAAAAAAGAGCTGGATTAGCAGCCAAGAAAACGGAACAGAGGCCAGATACCCACCGCCGGGGTTTATTGCTGCCGCCCTAGTGGCCCTTGCCAAACACTGGCGCGAGAACCCAGTCGTGCAGCACCCACACGAGCCGCTTGCTCCATTCGCCGTAGACAGAAACAACCTGCGGTACCTTGGTCTTGAACGCAAGGCTGGCAAACATGCATGCCACCAAAGGGAAAATTAGCGGTGCGCCAATGACAAGGGTCAAATGCTTGGCAATTATTTGGCCGATGGTGGTAGCGACGTACGGCTTGATCATCCTGAGCTGCTCAATGTACTTGGCATCAAGCCCATGCTCCTCGGCGCCGTCAACAATGATCTTGTGGTAGCGTGCCGAGGGGTGGTATCCACATGCAGATGTGTGGGCGTCGATGAGCGAAATGCCCGATATGGCCCGTCCATCGTATGTCTCGCATGCAATCTCGATGAGCTGGTAGCCAAAGTCGCGGCTGCCATTGCCGCCCTCTGTGTTGACGATATGGTCGAGCTCCTTTTTTGTGATCAGATGGGCGATGCAGTGAAGAGGGGATCCAGCCTGGCAGTCAGACATGCGGGTCTCCCCAAGAAGTGTACTGTCCTCAGCAGAGCCGTTACTGTCGTTCACTGGGAGTATGGTGCCAAACCCCGGCTCCCAGTAAGGCAGGCCGACCATGTCGAATGTCAGCTGGTATCCAGGAACTACCACCGGATGCGACTCAACAGGGAACACCTGCCGCCGCCCCGAAAGGACCTTGCTGCTCATATTTGCGCCGTAACCTATATTAATGTACCAGTCTAATTAGGGGCATTTGAAATGAAATCATTGAACACGTGAAGCAAAACTTTGCGCCACAACCTTCTATTTCCCCCGCCACAACCAAACCATCGGTTGAACCCTGCCCCGCCCACCTTGGCCGTAGCAAGGGATGAAACAATGCGGGGCTGCTACTACTGTGTCTACATACCAAGATACCACACCATCCCGTTGGTGTCATTGCTATCACCTGTGTGTGTGTTTGTTTCTACTGCCGCTGTGGCTACGATGTTAGCAACTGCCTCTGTGGACATGTTTTGAGCAAAAAATGTTATAAATGGGTTGGTAGTGTGTAAAATTGTGTTTAAAAGATACTTGAATCCAAAATTGGCCATTTGTTGGCCAGATGTTCCCCTTTTAGTGTCTGTGCTTGCCAAGATTTCTTGGCAAAAAAATTTTAAAAAAAACTAAATACAGCGCCCTTTTCTTGGCGAGCCTCCAATAGCTGACAAATTATATATTCTGTCTCTGGCTCTTCCAAACAAACAAATGCACCCCACTCCACTCTGCAAGAAATCAAGCGGCGGCCGACCAATTGCCGTGGTTATCTCTGTACAATTTTGATTTAATCAGATGCTGAAATAATCGCCTGTCATGCACAATACCATTCATACCTGCTCCACCAAAAAAGACTGCACTCGTATGTTGAAGTTGTCATTTATGTCAAATTCAAACCTCAAATTCCCTTTATCTTCACGTTTTATTAATTTGAACTCCATTTTTTGCCTCAGCGGACTCGCACTCAACCGGTTATACAGCTCTCCGGCTCAAGTAAATAGAAACACCGGGCAAACGGCCGCCCTCCTTGTAAGAGCTGGACTACCAACTGGGAAAAGTGGAGGCGACAAATGAACATTGGACCACCGCTACAGGCCAATGACATAAATAACGGCAGCAACAACAGCAAAGAAATCGAGGCCGCGTCGCAGCAGCTAACGCGGAAGCAGGCCGGAGCTGTCGGCGCGACGACATCCGCAGTTCGCGGAATTCTGCTGCAGCCGCTGTACCTGTGGTACCGCACGCCGCTAAAACTGTTCAGGCCGCTGCGCGTTGACTATCTGGCCACTGCTCGTGCGCTGCTGCCCCAAGAGGTCCTATCGCGGCGAGTGAGCCTACGGGGCTCGACTTTGGGCATGATTGCAAACGCTGTCAAGCAGCGCGGGTGGTCGTTTTTGCCCCGCTACGTGATTCAGCCAATGCTCGCTAACTGGATCGTCGGATTTACTCTTTTTACGACATACACTGCCACGCTACCTGCCGCTTACGCGCGGGCGTCTAGGCAGTATTCCATCAGCAGCAGCGAGCCCCTGCCATGGCATCCGCCGTTTATTGCTGGTGCTATAGCTGGGCTTGCGCAATCGGTTGTGGCCACGCCACTAGATTCGCTCCGCATACGCTTTGAGGTTGAGGACATGGTCAATGGTCGCTACCACAGTTGGTGGGGATTTGTCAAGAACCAGCTATCTGACGCCGGATGGAAAGGGCTGTATCGCGGCCTGAAGCTCACTATGGCCAAGGACGTTGCCGGATATGCTGGTTTCTTTGGCCTATTTGAGTTGATCAAAAACGAGACTATCGACCTGTATCGTGACTTGGTGCAGGTTGCGTGCACCGCGGATATAATAAAGTCCAACGCTGATATAAGCCGCCTAACCAGGGCACGGGTGGCAGAGCTGCGTGGTTTGCTGGATCGGGAGCCAGAGCGCATTGAGGGCCAGGGCTGGATAATCCGCAACCACATCGTCGTGCTACCTGTCTTGCTGCTGCCGCCAGTACTTGGAAAGCCGGCCTGCATTTTGTTTGCGGGTGCCATTGCTGCTGTGGCCTATCAGGCTGTTGACTACCCGCTCGAGCAGTTCCGCGCGCTGCTGTACTCAGAGGTTGCCAGCGGAGAGGTGATGCAGCAAACAGTTGCGCGGCGCTTTCCCTACAATAACACCGGCAGCAATGTCATTGAAAAGGCGCTTCCCAATACACGGCCGCAGGGACGGATTCTAGCTCAGGTCACTCCGTACAGAGCAGCATGGAAGTCGCTGGTCGACACTGCAGTCCGCGAGTACCCGCACCCAGTGCAAAGCGGTATTTATAAGACCATTTTGGCTATGCGTTATTTGTACCGCGGCTGGCTTGGTGTCTCGCTGCGCTCAATTCCAGCTGCATCCGCGGGCCTTGTTATATACGAGATGCTCAAAAGCTCTCTGTGAAATAAAAATTGTTGATATGAAAAGCACATGACATTATTTTCTGCCCACAACTTACTAACTTGCAGCAGCAAAAGTGTTGCACCGACCCAAATTTGCGCGCATTTTTCGTTGGCATTTTAGACGGACGATCTGTTGCTAGCTATCGATATTCACCTTTTACTCAATTTTTAGTCCTTATATTTTTGCAAGCTCCAAAACAGGCCGGGATAACCACGCAGCATTCAAAATGTCCTTCAAGTTTAACTTTGGAGTCAGTGCCGATGGCGAGAGCACGACCGCCCACAATGACTGCGCCGCCGACACGATGTGCATTGATGAGGACGTGCAGCCAGCGCTGTCCGCGGCCCCATGCGAAATCATTCCACTGGCAATCCCAAGGGTCTCTAGCCTTGTTGTGGATGCCATTTACTACGGGCAGCAGCGCCTGTGGAAGCGCCAGATTGATGATGTTCAGTTCCAACTGGCCCAGCAGGACTCGATGGACGAAAACGAGAGCAGCCTTATGAGGCACGCCATTGCCAAGGACAAAAATGCTTCGGACGTTATAAAGGGAGTGTACGAGGGCGGACTGAAGACCTGGGAATGTAGCATTGATCTGCTCTCCTTCCTTGTCGAGCACCAGAACGAGTCTCACATGGTGCTGAATGGCGCGCGTGTGCTGGAAATTGGATGTGGCACTGGTCTTCCCTCGCTGCATATTCTAAAGACGGCTCCTGGCGCGCACGTGTGCATGCAGGACTACAACAGGGACGTTTTGGAGCTAGTGACAATGCCTAATGTGCTTGTCAACACCGTGCTCAGCCCTGCGGGCGGCAGCATGGGCGATGAAATACACGCTGATGATGACACTGAGACATGCGAGATTGATATTGACTTCCGCCGAACCCAGGTACTGTTTGGTGCCGACACGGACAAGATTATCGGCGAGCGCGAAGTCCCAGAACTCACCCCTGAAGAGGCCCGCGAGGCTGACCTGCGGCTTCTGGATGGCACCAACATTGCTAGTCGGTGCGAGTTTGTCGCTGGCGACTGGTCCAACATTGAAGAGGAGCTGCGCCGGCAGGGCCGCGAGCACTCGTTCGATCTGGTTCTGACAAGCGAGACTATCTACGACACCGATAGCTACAAGAGGTTGCACGATCTTCTGGTGTGTGTGTTGGCTCAGCCCGACGTGAATGCGCAAGCCGAGGGACAGCGAGTGCCAATGGTGCTTGTGGCGGCAAAATCGATTTACTTTGGGCTTTCGGGATCGATACTCTCGTTCAGCCAGTATGTCAGAACCCGTGGTGTGTTTGATTCGGAGTGTGTATGGCAGAGCGCGGCAGCATGAATCGGGAAATACTGCGCCTTACTTGGATAAACTCAAACTAGGGGCGAATGCAGCGAACAGCTTCCGACTAGGTACTCTATCACACCTTCTCGCACGCAATATATTTCTATTATTATTATCCAGTGTCTTGCACTTCAAAAGCCCGTCTAGTTTAAAGGCCTGTTGCGCAATTTGAAACTATATTGTGTGCGATTGACATTGGCACTATGTGCGCTCAAATTAATAAAACAATGAGATATTTGGGAGCAAAGCGGTCTTCATATGCGGGTGTGTAGATATGTGCGATTTGCCAGCGATCAATGGTCCAAGGCCGGTCCAAGACAATCGCCAAAAAGTATACCCCGTTCATCGCACACAGGGGTTTGCCTGAGGAAGACAAACAACCAGCTACTATTTTTCAGATAACAATATAGCGCTGAACTGTGCCTCCAGCGAAAGAATGCCTTATTGGTTGGTCATAAATGGCCACCAAAGGCGAGGCCGTGTTTTGCTGTTGGCAAAAATATAAAATCATGTCATGACAAAGGAAGGCTTTGGGTTGTGGAATAATTTAATTCAAATATAAAAAGTTTTTTCTAATACGAAACAAGCAAAGCAGGCTATTTTGGGCACATGAAATTGCCGCTTACATTGTTCAATTTGATATCAGAGCACGCCAAAGCCACGTTTATGGCCGCCAACAAATACGTATTTGGATATACCCACAAGACAAGCGGCTTCTGTCTGGTAATTAGAAAAGGTTTTCTTTTTTGTAAATTCAAGTCTCCAAGTACAAGGCGCTTCAGGCATTGTTTCTTCCTGGTTATATACAGGGGCGTGTCCCAACTCCTTCCTGCAATTTTTTAAACACCACACATTTTTCTTCTTTGCGCTCCACGACAACGCTTTTTATTTTATTCTTTATTTTCCAAAAAATAAAACAAGTGCGCTTTAGTTACCAATAACAAGGACGCGCGATCAAACGATCAAGCGATATTTTACGTACAATATCCACACTTCGTTCCAGTGGCATCGCTCTGCCGGCAGCGCGTTTAAATTCAATCTCGCATATTTTTACGACCACACCCTTTTACACGCGTATAAGAATGAAGATGAGTGGGATATCCTTGAGCGAAAACGATAAATGGTTGATTGGGCTGTCGGTTGTGATGCCGCCGCTGGCCATGTACCTCAAGTTCGGCAGGTCGAAAACGCTGACTACAAACTGCCTGCTCACAGTCTGTTTGCTGCTTCCAGGAATCTTTCACGCAATCAATTCGATTTTCAGCTATCCAAGCGTGGTGTTTCGCGGAAGGAGCGAGCCAAAGAACATCTCTGACTCGCGCGATGATGGGGTCATCTGGGGCATACCTCAGGATCAGTTCCAGAGTATCAGTCACTCAATCCGCGTGCTCGAGGCACAAAACATAGCGCTAAAGAGCAGCCCTGTGCGAGTCAAGTCAGCTTCGGAGCTTTCGCTGGCATCCGGATCAAGGTCACAGCTTACTATAACCACCAGCTCAACAGCCAACGAGTCGTACATGGCGTACTTGCATGGTCAGGCACCACTGCTCAACCCCAGCTATGGCTGGGGACCGGCAGCGATGGGCCAGTTGCCGTTAAAAGTGGGCATCGCACATTGAAACATGCGGCGCGTTTGGTTGGGGGAGAGCGGCTGCAGCGGCGGCGGGATAAATGCTGCTAAACATAGCAAACCAATGGCCCAATCATGGGCGATGACCAAACGAGATGCATCTTGCACCCAGGTTTGGTTTAATATCTGTGTAAATGAAGGGGTAGATTAATCCAGTCTAGTACCTGTATAAATTTGTCATGTCGCAATTATGCATAATGAATGACATCAAACCTGACTTTATTATTTTCTGTGGTGACTGCGAGTGTGTATATCTTAGAAAAGAGAGGGAGTTTGAAAAGCCTCCATTTGTCCACCTTGCTTTGATTTTTTGGAGTAGTACAGCGCAGCACACACACGTAGTTCTTTTTAACGTCTGTGTTTTGGCACAACCAAACGAATAAAGTATTCCCAGTCTTGCCCTTCAACCTTTTCTTCTTTTTTCTTTTGCTTCTCTACTTTTTCAATTATACTTTTATTTAAATATTGCACACTTAATACTTTCTACTCTCCCATTCTCTTTATTTGCCTGTTTTGTACACATTTGTTGCACGCACGATATTTTGAACGACAACAGCTAACTTGCTCAGATACCCAAACATGTCCTGCAGAAACGCTACTGATGTAATGCTGCTCATCCTGGCATTTTTCCTGCCGCCTCTTGCTGTCTTCTTCAAGCGCGGGTGCACTGCCGACCTTCTTATTAACGTCTGCCTGACAATTCTTGGGTACATCCCCGGAATGATTCACGCGTGGTACGTTATCCTCAAGTACCCCTATGTGCACAGAGTGTAAAATGTATGAGGGAGCGAGGTCAGGCAGTATAATTTCGATGCGTGCCAATAGGCAGTACCCACTATACCAAGTACAAATATAGTTGATTGCTGTAGAGCAGTTCACTACTTGCGCGCGCAAATTGCATCTGGCTCGGCCCAATATATTCATTTTCAAAGAATTCGTTGGTTTTATATTTATTTTCTAATATTATTTTATTCATATAGTTGCGTATCTGCAATATATTCATTTACTTAATTTACTTTTGCGTATATTTTCAAAAATAAACGAGCTCATTTAATTAGTAGAAAATGTAAGCGCTATGCAAAAATTGGGGCGGGTGCTGATGCCTGTGCCAATGACAACATCAGTGCTGTCCTGTGGATTTACACCAAAGAAAAGAATGAAACTAGTGGCAATACACCACTATGGTTGAAGGTACTATCCAGTTCCCTGCTTCTTTTGGAGAGAAGAAGCAGGGGAAGATGGATTCTTACGCACACGCTTAGTCTTGGGCTTCGGCTTGAGCGTCGCTGTAGACTCGGGTTCAGCCAACTCTGGCGATGCCTTTTTGCGCAAGAAACGGGAGGATGATTGCCTTTAAGCAGGGCATTAAGGATTATGAGAAAGTTTAGCACCGCAGCCATGTCGCGATTCCATTTCCGTCTGTCTGATGGCACTCTTTCGCCATTCTTGATCTTGGTTCCGTCAGCCCTGAAGGTTTGCGAGCAGTTTTCCATTGTGCACTGGAGCAAGCCGTGGCATAAAATTTGGCGGGGTTTTTCTACCGCCAGAATTGTATTAACATCTATTGCGGCTACCTGCTCCTGCTGCTGCTGACCATTCTGCTGCTGCTGCTGGGCAGCCAACTCATCGCCTATCCTCTGTCTGATTCTGCGCTCAATCTTGCCCCGCGACCAGCCTCTCAGCCTGGCAACGTGCTTGAGATTATCGGCAGGCTGGATATTGATGCACCTGCTCCCAATTTCGCTCAGATAGCTCATCCTGCAGCTGCTGCTTAATTATGCGGGAAATCTTTCGCTTAGACCAGTCCTTTTCCTCCCCTATCCGCCGGATGCTATCGGCAAACTGTGGCTGAATAGGCATCTGCTGGTTGCAACTCTGCTGTGCACTTTCTGTAAAAGATGCGGCGTCGGCGGCAGTTTTAGTTGCAACAGAAATTGCGGTAGCTGCTGGTGTGACAGAATCAGCAGCGGCGCTGGTTGCAGCTGCAACGGAATTGGATGAATATAATTACATTGTTAAGCGTCGCGCTTAACCTATAGCCAAAGCACCAGTCAGACGCAAATTTTAAGTACTTCCCCGCATTTTCGAAAATCTGGACTTGCTGATTTTTAGGCTAAAAACTGGAAAAAAACGGGTTTTGAAAACCCCCCGCTTAAAAATTTAGACTTTCGCTATGAATGTCTGGAAATTCCAAAATACATTTTCACTAGTGTACTGCGGATGGCGCCGCCGCAAACAGTGCCGCTTTTGGTTGCTTGCCTCCTCGTCTTGGCATTTTTTGTACAAATAAGCATAACATTGTGATAATTTAGCGTTGGAAATCTAGAAAATAATTATGGAGTTTTGGACATAAGCTCTCCATTCATTTTAGTCACCAGTTTTACCCAGGGGGATTGAGCTGCCAGGCAGTTAATAGCCGCCATGAGAAAAATAATAATAAAATCTTGTCTCGTGCTTGGGCGCAGCATTCGGACCAATTGTCGGTCGAGCAGGGTGTTTGAAACCTGGGTGGCGCTCACCAAATCTGCAACGATATAAGAACATCATAATAAAACTGCATATCGATGAAATGTCGCAGTTCCAACACTTGAACCTGATGTTGGACTTGGCGGCGACCTTAGTCTTGTCCTTGAGCACCGGCTCCGAATTCTGTGAAATGTCGTATCTCGTTTTATGATTTTTGGGATCACAAATCAATCATGTGATTTTGAATGTTTTTTTTGAGCGAGCTGCAAAACAAAAATTAAGTAATAAAATTGCAAGCCAACTATTTCCAACACTAGTCGAATGCTTTGCATTTTTATTTTAAACTTTGAAAAGTACATTGTTTAAATAGTTAAGCTAGTGTTGGTAACAATTTTTCTACAGTTCTTATACAGTTACATTTTCTAAACTTACTTATAACACACTAGAAGCGCAACTTAAAATGGTTAGTATTTTTGTTGTATCTATAGCTCCTGAAAGTATAAATGACATGATGCCCATTGCAGTGCGTGTTTCTACCACTTTTCATTATGTTGATTTTCTCAGTTTATTTTTAATACTAACCAAATACCGGCTGCTTGTGGGCAAAGTGAAAGGAAAGTAGCAGCCGCAGCAGCAACAACAACAAACTCAAGCGAGCAATCAAGCGAACAATAACAGCATAATTGTAAAATTTCAAACAATATTTTCTTCATCTTCATGTCTTCAATCCGACATCGACAAAACTCAAAAACATTCAACTACTAAAAAAACATACAACACCGCTTGCCATCCTTCTTTTATAGGAACCAATCAATCAGGCCAAATTGCGCGTTTGCATGCTTCTTTTTATATCAAACATGGTAGAGAAGGCTTATGCTGGGAGAAAGTGCAAAACGAATGTATAAACAGGAGTGCACGAAAAAGTGCAAAAATGCAACACCCCCCGTCACATATTCTCATGACATTTACCAATTGAAAAGCGTAAAAAAAGCTCAAAAACGCTTCAAAAATTCGAGAAAATCACCCAATAAGAGCATGAAAACCCGACAGCCAACCAAACTATACGAGCGTTTGACCAAATATGAAGTTTTGCGCTCCAAAACTCCTAATCAACAGAGCAGATTAGGCGCACCCTCATCCTGGCAATCAATGTTAGTGGGAAAGACGCTCACTGCTTTTGTCATGTGCTTGCTGCTGCTGTTGTCGCTAGTTCGCCTGTTTTTGCAAATGTTTTTTCGACTTTGGTCTGGCTCCTATGTTTTCTGAGAGAGCAGCAAAATGCAAAATATAATTATTTTAAAAAAGTGCACCAAGCCATGGGGAGTGTTTGCAAACCATTCGTACACATGAGGGAATCTCACATGCCGCACACAAAACTGGCCCTTGAAAAGTGACAATAACAAAAGGAGGGTTTCTTTTGCGCAAAGGGAGAGGGTGGAAAAGGGCAGTACAAAAAAATAAACACAGCTCCGCGCTTTTTTCCGAACGATCTGTTCAGCAAAAATAATAATTTCGGCGGATTTTCATCAATCTCCCTTTGAAGACTTTAAACGAGAAATACCGCTTTTTTCTTTTTTCTTCTCATTTTTTGTTCTTTCATTGATTTTGCCTCTTGTATTTTTCCATTGCACGCACAAACATATATATACACTTTCATATATACTTTTTCGTTATATATTTTAAAACCACCATCACCACTACCGCTGTCAAAAACCACTGCGTTTTACTTTGCCATTTGCCAACACTCCTCTGGCCACCAAAGCGTTCGAGAACCCTGTTTTACTACCAATACGGCGTTATTATCTCCGCACTCCTGGTTCAGTGGCAGCTGTGTCTCCCTTTCATCACCCCCTCACATATAATTGACATAGTCAAGCTTTGCGCTAGCCGCCATAAAACATGGAGCCCTCTGACATTGTTCTGCTATTTCTTGGCGTCATTTGTCCCCCGGGCAGCGTTGCGCTGAAGCGTGGCCTCAGCCGCGACTTTATCATTTGCATGGGTCTTACTTTTCTTTTTTGGATTCCAGGCAAGTTTTTTGCTTATTTAAAAAGCCAATGTGTTCATCTTGTGATTGCCTTCCTTTTGAGTTGTGTTTGTGTTTATGTTTGTGTTTGTCTGTCTGCCTGTCATACTCGTACAGCTCAGATAAACTACTGCGGCTTGGCCTTCATTACATTCTCACCACCCTTGCAGACATGTTGATTTGGTTGTTCTTGTTGCTGCTGTTGTTGTTGTATTGGCTTTGCTGGTCTTCATTTAAGTCTTGTTCTAAAAGAAAAATAACCAATGGCATTGGCTAATTTAAACACAAAGGGTCGGATCGTTATTTGAACGTTGTAAGGAAAATACACAAATATTGGCCGACCCAATTATGAGCTGCAAACGAGCTGCATTTCACTTGAACCCATTTTCAAATAAGCGATTATGTTCACCCAGCGACAGTGGGCTGCGTATTTTACATGACATGAACAGCAGCTAATACTTTTTCTTGTCGCCGCTTTCACCAGCATGTATCTTATACTTTATAATGTAGGAATTGCGTTCAGTTGGTACTTGATTTTCAAATATCCGCTCGAGAACTTTCGGCGCACAGGCACCACCGGACAATATCATACAATTGAAGACGGACTACGGCGCCATTCTCTAAACAGCGGTGTTGTATCTGGAGATGACACGCTGTATCGCAGCGAAGACGAAGGCTCCCGCAGCACTACTATGACCTCTGAGACTGCACAGCAGCAGCAGCAGCAGCAGGACTTGCCACTGCCTCACAAGCCGCAGTCGAGTCGCAACAAAAAGACACGGCGCCCTCGCAATAGCAACAGCGACAACCAGTCTGGCACTAACAACGGCAGGAGATCCGCTTACGCTTTGCAGGAGGCAGCCCGCAACTATGCCATGAGGCATCAACAACGGCAGCAGACGAACTATGTGAAAAAATGGTTTATTGACCGCTTCTACTTTTCTGACCCAACGCAAGTCCCGCCGTCACCGACAAAGTCTGCAGCACGCCAGCAGCACGAGCTTGACCCTACTCGGTGATGCCGCTGAGCCCAAGCCTTCAAGTTTGCACAAGACAAACAAATATGGTGTTTTGGCGTGGTGCAGAGTGAGGGGCGCCGTTGGATTTATATACTCCATGTTGCTTGCCGTGCCCCTCTGCGTTGGTGATGTGTACTTTTATATGACTGTCCCACGCACATGCACACATACATTTGGGTCATTTGCTGCTTTTTTTAATTACAAGTCGAAATAAAACGTTGACAATACTAGACCAGGCTGTCTGGACTGCTTCTGTTACCACCGCTGACGCTGATCAGCGTAGCTACTGATATGCGCTTTGCCGAACACGAGTGGATCTGTGGAGAGAGTCTCCTCGGGTCGTCGCCCCCCTGCCTGGCATCTGCATCTGACTGATCCAATGCGGAGAACGACGCCATCAACGCGCGCCGGCCGCGGCTGAGCATGGCTGTTGATGGCAGACCGCCACGGCCTTTTTTTATGACTCCGCGCACGTGGCGATCCTTCATCTCCACAAAATTTTGCATGATGTACGAAGGGCACTTATCAGCTCCACGGAGATCCTGAATCATCTTGGCAATTGTCGGGTGCGAAAAGCCAAAGTAGTCGGGCCCTGATGCCGAATTCGAATGCTCGCGCTGCCTGATACGGTTGACTGTGCGCAACACTGTGGTCCATGCCCCAGTTGCTGTTGGCGCGACAATTGGCGATCCAGCCATGTCTTCGGCTTCGACATGGAACAGTGGTGCAACACCGCCATCGGTAACCCAGCACGTGTAAATGACCTGCTTGTTGGGATCTGTCATGCTATAGTACTCGCGCTGCACAGTGTACCCAACTGGCCAAATGTACCGCTCGTTATGGTACGCGCTGTAGTCCCAGACAATGCGGCCAAGACTCAATACCGTGAGTATCCCCACTTGCACTGGCATCATGTAATTGCCATCTATGCTACGTGGCACGGGCTGAACTGATCTAACCTTTGAGGCAATGTCGTGATGGCGCTTGCGCCGCTTTCCAGCTGGTTGCTGCGCACTTATTAGATCCGCGTCGTTTGCACCTTGGCCGGCATGGCAATAAGTAGCAGGCAGCGGTCCCATCTGGCTCGACGCGCTAATCTCTGGATAACTGCCATTGTGCCAGGAGGGCAAATACAGCGCTGCCAGCGAGGACAAAGACGTGCTGCTGCCACTGGCACTTCTAAGTTTGGGCGTTGATATTCTGTGGAAACCCGCGTCGTCGTCACCTGCTCTGCCACCATGTTTGTCAAAGCGGGCCTTTTTTCAGGGTTTACCTGGCCTGCAGTTAATCCACCTTGATCTTGGCTCTGGGCTTGCGGCACTGTGTTATAAGGGCGCACGCTTTTGCCATAAGCAGGGTGAGGCATGACTGGCGGTAATACAAGCGTGTTGCTGAATCCTTTGCGCTGAATATTCATGTCAGAGGATACAAGTTCTGGTTGTGGGTGCTCTGGCAACAGCATAACTCCGCGGCTCGTACTCGGATTCGGGATAGTTATTGTCACCCGGTCACTAATAACAGGCGTTGGCTTGCGCGAAGTAGTATGTGCAGCTATTAGGCAACGGTCAAAATTGATTACGTCCTTCCCGGCCGTCTCTAGATTCGCCGGTGGCGGTGGCCCGGATGGAAACGCCAACGACAAAGACAAATTTTTAACGTCCATATTGTGCGTGGGTATGACATTGCTTGTAGCAAGCTCAAGTTTGTTTAAACCGTTGCCATTTTCTGCCCGCAGCTGGCTTATTCGAAGTCTGGCGTCTTCCAGCAAAGACGCCAGCCGATAATTGTCCTATAGTATAAATTGCATTACTTAGTATTAGAAGTATATATATATATGATTAACCTGTATTTATCCACTTGCCGGGCTGTTTAAACGCAAATTACAATCGTGGACAGCAAAAATGTAAATGAAAAATGCATGGGTCCTTTTCTCAATCGATATATAAATTCAAACGTTGATGCGCGATATTAAATATATCACTTACCTCTATCACCTCGTTCAGTCGCCGACAAAGTTTGTCGAATTGGTCTTGTACCAATTTTTCTGAGAAAATAGCTGGTGTGTGTGGGAAAGGTTCACAAAGATGACGGGTGTCGGTGCTGTTGTTAGACCCAGTGCCAAAATGAGCATGGTGATTCCAGTACAACGCATCGTATTTAAGTGTAAGCAGTTCGGACGATGAAGCGGCAGTCGGCGCCTGGCGCCAAATATCACTCTGCTGCGAGCTCACTTGTTGGTTTGGTTGCGGGTGTGTGTTAGAACGCACGTGCGAGGGCGGTGGCAAGTACACCCTCTGAGCGGCTGAATGCGATATCTGGAGCCGTGGTGTTCCAGGAGTTGTCCGATTCATATGTGCATTTTGCAGCGACATTGTGCACAATTATTCGATTTGTGCTGCGGAATAATGTAGATGGTTTTAGTAGTCGGTGCTGTTGATTTTGAAGGTTCTAGTGCCAAGTATCAAGAATGTGGTGCTTGTATGCGTATTTATTTGTCAAATTGGCCGCACGTAAATAGGAAGGATTTTTTTGAGAACTGAGCATTAAGCGCGACAAATAAAAGAGGGACAAGAAAGTGCGAATAATCAGAGAAAAAAGTTGGCGCGCATTTGCACTCGGTTGCCACTAGAAGAGAAGCGAGTACTAACGCCGCCTCCATTATATTTTAGTCAGCTCAGTAGAAAAATAGTCTAGAAAATAGTAATGATTTACAGTGCAAGCGAGCAACGACGCCTACAATTTTTGTGCAGAAATTATCTCACACGGTGTAGCCGATATTTGCTAATTGCCTAATATAGGGCTGTACTTTTATAAAGGGCACCATTGTAACATACATTGCAGGAATCTATGTATGCTCTTTTGCCTTTTTTTGCATTCTGGAGCCAGTTGAAAGGGATGTGCAAGCATGCGCTGCATGGGATCGCTGGCCATATTTGGTGCATGTGTAAAGGCGACATACCAGGCCATATTTCGATTGGTCAGTTGGTTAGCGACCACTATAGAAATGCACCGCGCTAAGGAGTGTGATATTTTTGTCGGTACCACCATTGCGCGAATTCTCCAAAGCAACATTCGCCACTGCTTAAAGCGGCAATGTTCCTCCACGATGGCCCATCCGATCCCTTGGCATAATCTGCTGTTGCCAGTTGCTGAAAAATGTGTGAGTGCGAGCTGAACTATCGGGTGCTGAGAGCCAATTAGCAATTTTCAATGATCTCAGCGTGCGTGCTCAACACAGTCGGCATGAAAGTGGACAAGTGCAGGTGGCGGCATATTTGCTCTGACTTGTTGGCTTGTTTTTTCAATTTAATTCATTTTGTGTTGCTTAATGTTTTGTTTTATTTGAAAAATGTACCTCGAGTAAATGATCCAAGCGGGCCACAGAAAAAGGCAGCAGAGGACAGTAAATCGAGCCAAAGAACAATTTGATCTGAGATAGCAGATAGATTTACTCGGAGTCAAGTTACACTGCCGGTGGTAACCACCGACAAAGTGCCCCAAGTAAATACAATAAAGCTTCTGGATTATAGTACAAAATTTTCAGTAGCCAAGGCTTCCGGCTGGCGGAACGGCATAAAAGGGGATCCGGGTTAAATCGGTGTTTGTTTGTATTTATGGCACAGGCGCGTGGCTAAAGGGATTGACATTAAGCAGCAGTATAAAAAAGCACTATTTGGAATAGGGAAAGCGGCACTCGATTGCGCGCACATTTATATTTAACAAAGTCAGTTCTCCTTCCAGTTGAAGTTGCACGACATGCTGCAGCAGCGGAAAAACACAGTCATCGGCTCATCGGCCGACCGCATCTGGATTTGCTTAAAGTACGCGCGCTCGTGGAGGCACTTTGGACACGAAATCTCGATAGAGTCTACGTTAGCCCACTCCTCCTCGCCGCCCAGCACGTCGTCGACCTCTTTGCGCTTAAGAATCGTGCGTGAGATAAACGGCCTTGAGATAGGGAACATGTACGGGCACGTCTGGCACACCAGGCAGGTCTCGCCGTTCTGTCCGACGCCGTTCTCGACCAGAAGCAAGTTTGAGCACGACGGACAAAAGTGCATTGTTACGAATTGAGCGTGCTAAAATGTGGAGTGTGCGAATGCAAGAGCCAAAATGGAAAGCACAGCAAATGGCAGCAGCAATGAACGACAGCGACGCCAAAGCTGAGCTGAGCTGAGCAGTGCTATGCTGCGCCCAGGAAGAAAAATAAAGGGCGTTTTCGTGAGCCTTGTGCTTATTTACGCTCACGCTGCGATTGGCCCAAACCCTTTACACGTGATTGGGAATACCTGTTTGCTGGCCTGTCTATTTTCTTTGTTTTGTCTGCCTGCTCAGCCAAATCCGCGATTGCATCCAGCCAAGGGCTGAATCCGTTTCTTTCTCTGTAAAGTCACCATTATCGAATCCATCCAAAATGAGGTACGCATCGCTCACAAGCGGACGATACACCGCATCCGTGAGCCGGAACCACGGCATCCAGTGCGGAACAGCAGCCACGAATTGCGCCAAATTCGAATTTCTGTAATTGAAAATTCGGAATTCGGAATTGGCAAAGTTGGGCTTGTGCGAACAGAGGCAGCGCCAAGTTGCCAGCCTTGTTTGTGACGGAGGAAACCGAGCCAGAATATGGCTTTGAACCCAGTACTGCCGCTGCTGCTGGCAGGGCGCATCATAGCTTTTGTTCTGGCCCTGGCCCATGTCCTTGCTTGAATTAGCAGGCTTGAGGCTGCCTCCCTCTGCTCGCATTGCTTGCGTTGCAATGAGCGCTACTACGCCCACAAACAAAGACACAGACGCACAGGCCACGCTGCGTCTGTTTATGCTATAAATCAAGCAGCATACACGCACTAACGCTCTGCCCGCATCTCTACCACGCACCCTCTCACCCTCTTAATTGTCCTGTTTATAGCGGAAGCAAGATTCAAGTAGCAGCAGTCCGTGAGGAGGTCAAGACCCTCCTCAGCGCCTCGACCGGCGAGCAGAAGCGCAAGTTCGTCGAGACCGTCGAGCTCCAGATCGGTCTCAAGAACTACGATCCCCAGCGTGACAAGCGTTTCTCGGGAACCATCAAGCTGCCCAACATCCCCCGCCCCAAGATGACCGTTGCCATTCTCGGTGACGCTCACGATTGCGACAAGGCCAAGAACATTGAGATGCCCTTCCGCTCCGCCGAGGACCTCAAGAAGCTCAACAAGAACAAGAAGCTGATCAAGAAGCTGGCTGCCTCGTACGACGCCTTCCTTGCCTCCGAGACCATGATCAAGCAGATCCCCCGTCTGCTCGGCCCCGGTCTCCACAAGGCTGGTAAGTTCCCCACCCCCGTCAGCCACGGCGATGACCTCAACTCCCGTGCCGACGAGATCCGCGCCACCATCAAGTTCCAGCTCAAGAAGGTTCTGTGCCTGGCCGTCGCTGTTGGTAACGTCAACATGACCGAGGACGAGCTCCTGGGTAACATCATGCTTGCCGTTAACTTCTTGGTCTCCCTGCTCCGCAAGCGCTGGCAGAACATCAAGTCGCTCTACATCAAGAGCACCATGGGCAAGCCCCACCGTCTGTACTAAGCCTTGGCGGCAGTACACGCGAGTGTTGGTGGATCAATGAGGAGCGTTGGTAATGGCGACTTCCGCTCATTCCGTTTATATAAAAACAACCCTGTGCTCCTGGCGATTAATTTTTTTAGGTTGCGCGCGCTTTAGCGTGCGTGTGTCTTTTCATTTTGTCTTCTCTTGTACAGTTACCAAAGCGCTTTCCGGGTCTTGTGTTTCTCCTCTTCTAGGCTTTTCTATGTCTGGATGCGGGAGGAGTGGGGAAAGTGAGGACTCGCTCTTTGCTTTTCTTTGCTCGGAACTGTGTCTCTTGGGAGCTTTTCAGCGCTCTTTATTTTGACATCAATACCACGAATCTTGACCATTTTATAGTTGGGCTTGTTTGACCAGCACATTGTTATTGATAACCATTGTAATGTCGAACTGAATGTGGCTGGTTGCGGCTTGTACTATTGTTTTTTGTAACGACAGCTGCAAATTTAAGCTCGCATGAGTGGTACGCATTGTTGCCTTCGATTTGCTCATTAAGACACATCCCCAATACCCCCCACCTCCCTCCTATTATCCGACAACATGTGCTTGTTTGCTCGATAAATGTACATCTTGTACATTGCTGGGTCATATGCGCGCAAACACAAGTGCACAAAATCATTGTGGATACGCTTGCTCAACTAACGTAGACGCGACCAAAAATCAAACCTGCCAATAGTAGTCGCATCAACAGCACCTTCAATATACCAACTATTAGCGAATAATGAAAATCACACAATGCACACGTCGTTTAAACAACACACGCTCACTTATACTCTCTCCCTCGTCCAATGGGCACATTGTTATTTTTGTCGTTTTATATCAAAACTGGGCTGCTTGGTTCAGACTATTATCATTGTTTTGAATCATTATATTCTCAAGCACCAAAGGCACCATCTGCCATCATCACCTATCTGTCCTTGTTTCTCTCATTGCTGCATTTATAACTATTAATTTATTTGCCTTCACTTATAAACCACAAACTTAAAGCTGCAGACCACACGCCAATGACGAACTGTACTGCCAAATTCGAGGCTATGATGGCCAATGTCACGGCGCCCCCGCTATCTTTGGACGAGTTTCGCATGTATGTTGACTACGATCAAAAGGCCAGAGACGCATTGGCGTTTTGCGAATGGTATCAGCGATATAGGACCGTATATTTTGATCGCGTAGTATTGCCATCGACAAGATATACAACTGCGACGAGCACGCGCTCAGTAATTCCACGTGAACCATCCGCTCCAGAATGCAAACAGCAACTGCGTCTTTCGCGGGCCGCTGCAGGTCGCACATCCAGGCGCTCAATGTCGGTCCCAATCATGCGAGCCCCAGAATCAATCTTATCTGCCATGATAAATGTGCACTCTTCCAAACCTCACAACTTTAGCATTCTCAGCGAGAGCATAGTTGATTGCGCGTTCAACACGGCTACCACGGGCGCGAGTGGTGGTTCTGGGAGCGACCGAAGCCCATTTGCGTGCACTTCAATGTTTTCAGTGAGAGCATATCCTTCCTTGGCCAATCATTACAGTGACTCGAATGACAGTGGTGGCTACTGTGAAGGCACATTCGCAGACACGGCGGCACACAACGCACGCCTACGGCGGACAATCGGGGCGGCTGGATTGCGCCCCATAGCGAGGCGCCGAACATTGTCTGTAACGATTGGTGAACTTGGACTGGAGCAGCACACCACGAATGAGCAGGAGAACAATCGGCGGCAAATACAATCGCTGCTGATATTTGAGTGCTGGTCGCGTTTTCTGTGCGACCATGCCCAAGAGCGGCTCGACATCCCGGATTCGGAGCTAATGTATATCAAAGAGCGCTTGCCGCTGAACATCACGCATATCCCTAGGCCGCTACTCTGCCAGAATGACATGCTTGCTCCGCCGTCGCCACAGGTCCAAAAGTGCAGTGGCACAATTGCAAACTGTTCGTCTGCAGCTTCTGGTGGCCCGAAATCCCTCGAGAACATGTTTGACAAACACCACAGGCCGGCCCATCTTTGCATTCCATCTCAGAGGTCCATGCATTTTCAGCCGTGTGATCAACTCAAGCGCAATATGGCATCGTTGGTTCAGCTTCAGCAACCGAGCATACTAAACATACCACGCGTGCAGTCCCCGCTATCGCTCGGATCTGGTGTTAACAACATTTCGGATGTGTGCCTGAACTTGGAGGGCTCGACAAATAAAAGCAGCAACGGCGAGGTGGCCAATACATCAGCAAAATATATGATCGCCAGCCTGCGTCGAATTTCAACCATGCCTTCTCTCAAGCACACACCAATCAGCAGTGTGGATACTCGTGGTGCCAAACAAGAATTTTTTGGCTGCCAGCTTCGGTTGCCTCTTTCGCCGCAGCCGCTACGGACAAAAAAAAAGCGGACGGTTTCCATTGGCGCGCTACAGGAATTGCACCATTCACTTTGGCCGCAGCCACCATTTTCATACACTCCTGCAGACTTTGAAAGCAACTGTGCACTTCAGTATTGTGGCTACAAGCCAGTGCCAAAGTCAATATTCAATCTTATTGTGCCCAGCGCGGTGCCGCCAGCACTTTTTGACACCATTGCCAAGTTGTCCGCCGAGTATTTGTTTAGCGGCCACTTTGTTGAGTTTTGCCGGCATGCGCGATACAACATCACACATCGCGAGCAGCGGGGTGCAGCAGCTGGCTCTGCTGCCCTGTTCACGCTCGGGTTTGCCATTGGGGCAGTTCTGGTTGTAGTAGACGTTCATATTGCGTTGCGTGTCCTAGCTATGCCTTTTCTGCTGGCAGCTACACTGCTCACAATGGCTTCATTGACGCGGGTCAATATAGTTTTGTGGTGGCTCCGACTGCGCTCGACAAGCCTGATCCGCTATAGCAACATCAGCTCGGAGCCTACTGCTGATGGTGAAAGACACTTGCAAACTCGGTTTCAGACAGACCCAGTTCTCTGTGCAATTCAAACAATAACTGGAACCATTCGGTCGCCGCCGTTTCTGGCCCTTGCAGGCACCATTTACAACACCGATAAATGTATGCACGGAAGTCGCTGCTGCTACTGTCTTTTGGCAGACAACACAGGAAAGGAAGATGCTAATGCGGCCCATAGTTCGGCACGACTGGACACCGTCTCGCCATTTTCGATGTGGTCACAGCTAACTCTTGGTACAGCAACTAGTGATTTGTGTGGCAAAATTGTGCGATTTATGCTGCGCAAGTGCAACACGGGAGACCAGTGGTATGTCGATCTACGCACCCAGCGATACGAGATATTTGAACCGCACGTGCTTCGCGGCCAGTGCCACATTGTTATGCACCAGCTGTCTATTGCGCTTGTGGTCTGGGTAGTGACAATGACAGCACTGTTTCTGATACCGTAAACGCGAGCAGGCACTCGGTCTAAGCTGTACTTTCCAGCTTTTTTAAATGTAAATCGTTTGCTCGTGCAAAACATTTTTACGGCATGTCCGCATTTGATTTGGCATTATCGGTAGAACATATATGTAACAAATCTCTAATCTGTGTGTGGTAACCTTGGAGATTGTGTTTACGTGCTTCTTTAAATTTCGTTAAACTGATATGTTACCACCATCTTTCACCAGAGGTAGGAAATTAAGTGCAATCATTTGGAAAGAGACTCAGCAGCAAGCAGCAAGCAGCAGCAGCAGCAGGGGGCAAACTCAAAGAGGCACCCTCTACTACGACTACTCACCTTTGCTGGCAACCACGGATTGATTTATTTTCTCTGAGCAAAGTGTGGATGTTTTTTGTCCAATGCATCAAATTATAGTTGCTGCTTATTTTACTTTAAAATACATATACACAGTAACAAAAATACGAGTACAAAAAAAGACGTCTGATAAGCAAGATCATGACTGCTACAAACACATTATCGAGTAGTATTTGGTCATGCACCCGACACTAGTTCGACTAAAATGCACAGCAACATTTTCCCAATTGATAGGTGTACCAGTATAATTATCGTTGACGTAGCTGCAAAGCGACTGCTCCTCATCCGAGCTCCATGACCGCATGCGCTGCTTCTGTGTAGCACGCCTTGTAAATGCTCGTTCTGTGGTTGCCAAACTGCGCCAGATCTGTTCGGGGGCACCTTGTGGGTTGTACCGGCCCATCCATCTAGATTTGTCACAGTCGTCAAGTGTGTCAAATATATCCTTGTCTTCGCTGTATGCAATTGTACCGAATACGTGGTTCAAACTTGGCAACTTGGCTCTTTTCTTTGTTTGTTGACCCGCCATCGTCAACTGAGGAGTTGCGTTGCTTGTATTTCTAAAGGTGTAGTTGCTACCCTGCTTGTTGATGGTGCGGCGGCAGTTATCAGACGGATTCGTCCAAATCGACTCGCCACTGCCATCATGGCAAGAAAGTGCTGATGAATACTGCCCAATGTCGGCTGCATGGGTGCGCCTGTCATTGTGATGCCGCCGTGTGCCAGCAATTGAATTTTTCAATTGCTTGTCGTCAGCTCTTATATTTGAGTGCTGAGCCCTTAATTTCAGTGAATGCAAATAGCTAGGGTCAGTAATATATCCAGAGAGATAAATTTCATCTTGCCCTGCTGGCTTGCGGGAGATAGAACTGCATTCCGGAAGACTCAGTGTGCGTTGCAAAGGGTGGTTGATAGCGGCACAGGTGCCCGCGCGACGAAATAAATACAAGCGTCTGCCACGCTTTGACGTTGCTGATGCTGCTGTTGTTGACGTTGGTGGAACGCTCTCCGGCTGGCTCCCAAACTGCCTTAAGCACAGCTTCCACATTAGTGAATTTAAATATCGATTTAAAAATAGTGGACGGAAATTTAAACGAATAAATTAAGAATGAGAAAAAGGAAAAAGGAAATGACAAAACCCCTCACTAGATTTCCCTCTGCTTAAATTTTTCGAAATAAATTGTGTCCCAGCCAATAAACTCTTTTCTCTAGGTGAGAGAGAAAATAATCCATTGAGATATAAAACAATTAAAAATAAACAAAGTTAATGATTAAGGTTGATTGTCTACCATCCACCTTGCCCATCATGGGCTCTATTGCTGACCTGGCTACATGCCCCTATAACGGAAATTATTTTAGGGGCGTCATGGTAGGGATTTCTTCAGACCTGGGTCTAATTGCCTGGCGGTGGAAGTGTCCGCTAGGGTATTAGTAAAATTAAACCCGAGAACTTTATCTACCAGCTAGAGCGTCAATCATGGCCAGATAGCTGATATGGATGTATTATGCTACCCTCATTGCTGTTGTCTGCAAACACTTCAGCTGTAATTTGAATATTACTAAGCATAATATATATTATTATATTTAAGGCTACAAAAAGAGCTTCAGAGCTCGTTATTATTAAAACGTTGTGCGCATGAAATATCATAATAAAAACATTTCATGTGACTATGCCATCACGTGACCCAGCTCAACTCTGGCATCACATCAACAGACCATCATTTTCGTCCTGTCGCGGATTTGGCAGTCAGGATGTTTGTTGAGATTGGAGTCTCATCAACACTCGGCGGTTCTTAAGTGTCAAGGATTCCTCATCTCCCATCCAATCTGTAGGTCACACTGTCCCTTGTACCAGTCGTTATGTTTGTCTATAATCTCGTTTACAAACACTGTTGTTTGTTGTGTGCACTCCCCTTGGTGTTTATTGACCAATATTGTGTACGTGTCCTCTGTCAGCTCCTTCCAGCTGTGGCTGGGTCCCAAAGATCCCAATGAAATCCATGCGTCAGAATTTTGCTCTCCCATCATGGACACATAAACATGTGGACCTGTGTCTCAACAGTCTGCCAGCCAGGCAATGGGCATATATGCATATCTGGTCTGGATATGCATCAATGTACCATTTCCACTATCTGTTTGCTACAGGCAGTGTGACATCAATTAATTACAATATCACGTGATAATTGCAATTGTGATTGTTTACGATCGCGATTTCTATTTTCACTGTCGATAGTTTTGAATAGATAAGCGGAGCTCTTTAAGCTCGCTTATAGGGATTTTTAATCATAAATATATTTTATATAAGCTATTATTATTACAGGCAGTGTGTCGGGACATATTCTTTTGTAGCTCAATGCTCATCAGTTGCCCTTTTCTTTATGAGCACTAAGACTCACAGTCATAAAAAGGGCAAAACAAGAACATTTATGAGTTCCCCCTTCTCTTTTCCCAGTTTTTAAGTACATTTATTGAATTCATTCATTAACAACCTTGCTACCCATGAGTACCATGATTTGCTGCCCGGTCACATATGATGGCACAGGCAATATTGCCAAATGGTGCTCACTCATGCGTTTTTGCATTATATCCATCAGCACAACCTTTGAGAAGCACTTGATAGCTTCAGCCATTTTAGCCAATCTTTTGGGCCCCCAAGCTTATGGCCAGTTACCCAGATCAATGTGGAGACTGGCCGAATTATTGTTGAGCCTGCCAATTTCATTGAAGCTCTGATCAGCAAGTTTACTCCATTTGCAGACAACCACTAGGCAGAAGTAGAGCTTAATGTGATTATGCAGACTGGTACCATACAAGAGTGCATTACTGCATTCCAGCATTTAATTCTCTATATTCATGGCATGAATGATGATGACCAGCACCATCATTTTTATTATGGCCTGAAGCCCAGTATCAGGGCATGCTGTTGACATAGGTGCTCCTACTACCCTGGCTGAGGCCTATAGGCTTGCCATTGTTGCATACACTGATTATACAGAGCTGAATCAAGCATGTGCCCCTCCCTGCACCCCTGCACCACTCCTCATGACCACACAACCATGGATGTCAATGCTTTCTAGGCACCACACCTTAATCGACTTTCAGATGGTGAATGGAACCGCCTGCATTGAGTAGGCACCTGTTTTAAGTGCTGCCAACCTGTCCACATGTTGTGTTTTTGCCTGCAGAGTCATGCTCCTCAGCAGCAGCATTTTGTACCCATCTGCAGGTACCAGGTAAATAATTTTAAAATATTTACACTGTCTGTAGCCCACTTCCCTGGTTACCCTGCTGACCTACTCCCTGGTTTTCCTGCTGCCCAGACTATATACTATGGCCAAATGCCATTCATGCACCCACACAGTTATCACCAGCTGCAGCAACAACAACCCCTGCTTCTTCCAATTCTCAGGGTTTTCACACCAGCCAGTAGACTTCCAGGTTGCTTGCAAGCCTAATGTATTTGAGAAGCTTAAAATATATTTTATCTAAAACTAAGAAAAGGAAGGAGGAAGAACTAATAAATGTTGTTTTCCCTTTTTATAACTGTGAATCTTAGTATTCATAATGAAAAGGGCAACTGATGGGTGTTGGACTATAAAGGAAATCGGTGCCCAACATTGCTTCTATTGGCAAAAATAGTATTTTCTTTCCTCCCTTGTTATCTTTGTCCTGCCAACAAAATAGGTACTATTTTCAACAGACCTTCCTATGTTGTTACTCAGTCTGTGTCAGGTGGATTTCCCCTGCCTTTTTATTTGTACTTGTTGTTGTTAGTGTTGTGTGCTGTGCTGCATTATTTGGCAGTGATTGTACTGGCATGGTGCTAAGCAAGCAGTTTGCCGACTTGCTGTCACACATTGAATTTTATCCCCTGATTTCCCAGTAACCATGTTGATTGCTGATAAAAGCGAAATATACATTGCTTGTGTTGTGCCCCCACTATACATTGCTGCCAGCCCCACAGCCAATTTATGTAATTGCATTGTCACCCCAATTAAATATGCATGCATTGTCAGTGTACCATGAATGGCACACAACAAAGCACATGTTGACTGGGACCAATGCATTATCCAGACATGCTATAGTCCCATTTCCAAGTATGCACCAGTGCTGTTGTAAGGGGAGGGAATGGGGCCTGAGGTCGCTGCACTTGTCTACATTGATATTAGCCTGCAGGAAGACCTATGGGCTGTCGCTGAGATGTTACACACTTTGCAAAAGACAGTGGATATTAAAAAATCAGAGCAGCAGCAGACAGCAGTGATAAAAATACAGCAACAGCACACCTGAAAGCCATGTGGCTCAGCACAATTTACACAGATCAACTTTATGATGAATTAGCAGAGGAACTGCCACCATGTCACCCACAGAATCTGACATTCAAGCTGCATCAGGACACCAAGCTGCAGAACTGTGCTATGTACAGGACTCCAGTGCCTGAACTTGAGGGCCTGCACGAAATTGTTGGTAAACTGCTTGAGCACAGCCAGATTTATAGGTGTGACATGGCCATTGCATTGCCTGCATTTGGCATTAAAAAGAAACTCAGGGGCTACAGATGACTTGTCGACATGCAGCAGATGAACACAGCAATTAATGATTATTCATGGCTGCTGCCTAACATTGGTGCTCTACTGGATCACTGCAATGGATGCAAATTCATTTCGATTTTCAACATGGTCAGCAGCTACCAGCAGATACACATACATCTGGATTCAGAGCCACTGACACCATTCCATTGTCCACTGGGCATCTTTGCATGGCAGATGGTGCTACTGTTGGAATTCCGTTCTTGGTGGAATTCCAACACTCCCCTGACAAGGTGCTCACATTATACCAGAGGATGAGCGATGTCTGACAAAGGCATCTAGGGGCAATTGCTTGGTCAGATAGTCAGCAGCTTGGTCAACAGTCGAAACATACTTGAGATGATATACTTGCTGAGATAGTGCACCATGAGGAAGTTGCAGAGTGGACTTGTAGTGCTTGTTGACATCAGTCACAGCACCAGTGCGTGTATTGTTGATAGTGCCCTCATTGTCACAGAAGATAGTGGCAGGGTCAACATGTACATGGATGTCACACAGCAGGTCTTGTAGCCACATGAGCTCACGGACAGCAGAGGTCAGGGCAATGGTCTCAGCTTCAACTGTGGATTGAGGTGGCAAGCCAAGAGCACGTTTCTTTGACTTCCAAGCAACTGCTCCCCCTGCCAGAGTGAATACATAGTCAATTACCATGGCTTCCACAGTACGCAGTCCAAATGAAGCATCACTGTACCCAACTAGGTTGAGGTGTTCAGACCGACGATAGTGAATGGCCATGTTGCAGGTGGTCTTCAGATACTTGAGTGCTCGCTTGGCAGCACCCATGTGTTTCATCAGTGGCTCTTGGTTGAATGATGCAAGCACAGAGGTGACCAGAGCAATGTCAGGCCGAGTGACCATGGCCAGGTACTGCAGGGAGCCAACAATTGAGTGGTATTCAGTGGCATTGCACTTGGCAAGGTGTGGGGCAGTCTCTCCAAGCTTGGCAGAAGCAGCAATGGGCAGATCAACATCATTGGCTTCCTCAAGGCCATACTTGCTGACCAGGTTCTGGATGGCAGCAACCTGGCTGATCTTGATGCCATCAGAGATGTGATGCACATTGATGCTCAGGATTGTGCTGCACAGACTCAGATCCTTCATTGAGAACTCAGCAGACAGGCCAGTTTTGACCTTGGCCAGGATGTTGTCATCAGATGCAGCCAGCAGCAAGTCGTTAACATAGGTCGTCAAAATGCATGTTGCAGGGCCACTCTTAAGCCAGTAGACACCTGGATCGTCATTGCTGCACTGGAATCCAAGGCTGCCACAAAGAGAGGTATTCAGGTAACGATTCCAAGTGTGTGGTGCCTGCTTCAAACCATATAGGGAGCAGTGTAGCTTGAGAACACTCTTGGTCCGGTCACCAGTCATGCCATCAGGAATCTCGACATATATGTCTTCTTCCAGGTCACCATGCAGGAAGGCAGTCTTGACGTCCATGGAGTGTAGCAGCCAGTCATAATGTGCTGCAAGAGTTATAACTATATGAATAGACTTGTAGGTCACCACAGGTGCAAATAGATC